GGGGATAAGTAGAAAACGGCGTTCCGGACGAGATACGGCTACTTCGAGTATCTTATAATGCTATTCGGCCTTACTAATGTACCGGCAACGTTCTAAGCGTACATTAACAAAGCGCTGTTAGGCCTTATAGATACCTGTTACGTAGTGTACTTAGACGACATCCTTATCTTTAGCAAGTTAAGGGAAGAGTATAAGCACTACCTACGGCTCGTATGCGAGCGCCTGTAGAAGCATACCCTCTTCGCTAATCCGAAGAAGTGTGAATTCTTTACTAACAGAGTAGAGTTCCTAGGCTATATCGTTAGCACTAAAGGTGTTAGTATAGACGAGTCGAGGGTCGAGACAATCCGAGACTAGGAAGAACCGAAGTCGTTCTACGACGTTTAGGTCTTCTTAGGCTTCGCTAACTTCTACCGCCGGTTTATTAAACACTATTCTAAGATAGCGCACCCGTTAACAAGCATGCTTAAGGGTAGCTAGAACGGTAAGAAGGGGGGAAGCTTTAAGATAAACGCAGACGCAGCGTAAGCGTTCCGCACGCTAAAAGAAGCGTTTATAATAGCTCTAATCTTAGCTTACTACGACCCGAAGGCGCCGCTTAGGATTAAGACTAACGCGTCGGCCTTCGCCATAGTAGGAATCCTCTTATAGAAGCTAGAGACAGACGGCGTAACGAGGTAGCACCTAATCGCGTACTAGTCTCGTAAGCTTACTAATGCGGAAACTCGGTACGAGACGTACGACCAAGAATTAATAGCTATCGTCGAGGCTTTTAAGCAGTAGCGACACTACTACGAGGGAGCGCCGCATTAGATATAGGTGCTTACTAATCACGCGAACCTCTAAGGTTAGAGAAAGGTGACTACGCTAAACAAGCGACAGGCTAGATAGGCCGTATTTATAGAGTCCTTCGACTAGGTTATCGAATATCGTTCGGGTAGTACTAACCCCGTAGACGCACTATCGAGACGACCGGACTACCATTCCGAACAGCTAGAGCCGGACTACTTATTACCGACACTAAGGAACAAGCTAGCCGCCTAGGTAGGCAACGCTTCCGCGGCAGTGCGATACGTTATAAACCGAATTTCTTAGGGGTAGGGTTGCCTACGGGCCGCATGCGCGACGCCTACGTTACGTGCTTAAACCCCTAGAAGTTTCGGAATGCCTCGATACGTAGCGATTGCGGCACTTAGGGGAGAAGACCTAGAGATAGAGGCGGGTAAGCCTTTAAAGGAGGTCATCCTAGCCGTCTAAGCGAAACACGAGAAGCTAGAGAGCCGAAGGCCCCTTACGCTTAAGGACGGGCTATAGGTACGCGAGGGCAAGATCTAGATTCCTCCGGACGGCGCATTAAGAGCGGAGATTATGCGAAGACATTACGATAATCCCCTCGTAGCGCACTTTAGACGCGACAGAACTATAAGCCTTATCGCTCGAAAGTTCTTCTAGCTAGAGATGTAGAAGGAAGTTAAGGAGTACGTAGAGTCTTACGATATGTACTAACGTACGAAGACGAAGAGGCATCGGCTATACGGCGAGCTTACGCTACTACTACTTCCTAAAGGGCTATAGCAGGAATTGTCGATAGACTTTATTACCGACCTGCCTCCTAGTAAGTAGAGAGCAAAGGTCTACGACTTAGTCTTAGTCATAGTCGACAGATATACTAAGATGTCGCGATATATCCCTACGAACAAGACTTNCTAGGATCCGGGACCGGGGAACGGATTACGTAGAGTACCGGGCTCGTAGCGAGAGCTAAAACCGTACGAGCCGCTAGCGGCGCGCGTATAAAGGGGGCGACGGGGTATAAGGAAGGCGATCGTCTTAGACACGCCCTTATAGCGAGCCTCTTCTTCGCGTAGACGAGCTACGGACTCGCGTTCAAAACGAGTAAGATCTAAATTTGACATTACGGAATCTGCCTACTAGAAAGTTAGTATAAGGTACGTAAGCGACTTACAGAGTAAGCCTATCGGAGGAGGGGATAAGCAAGGTTAATGCGTATACTGCGCGTATGCTACGCGCATGTAGTTATAATAAAAACAATTCCGTAAGCGGAAAAAAGTCGAAACCATTAAACATATACTAAGCGTAAGCGGCGCATATGTTAGAAAGGACAAGCGGCATTAGGAAGGGTCACTTACTAGAAGTGTTAGGGCTACTAAGCAGATGTTATAAAGCTAATAGGAGGAAGAATTACTAGTGCAATTTGAAATTCTATATGTTGTGCTATAGTATAGACTACTAAGACAATAGCGTTATTGTTGCGACGCTAGGGCGCACTCCGGTAAAGCCTAGGGAAGCGAGCCCGTACGCGACGTATATACGACGCGAAGCGAGCCCGTACGAGACGTATATACGACGCGACAATTTTACGAATTCCGGCCGTACGCGACGCGACGCCGGATTTAGGAGTAAGTAAAGTAGACGCTGCTCCCCCTATACGAGCCCCCTACGAGCCGTATGCGAGGCAACTATAAATAAGGCACGCATTACGCACTATACGCTAGTCGCATGTAGTGCACCGACTATTAGCCTCCCGGTTACGGACAACCGTATAGAGGAGGGGATAATTGTTACCGGAGAGGCTAGGGTAGCCTCTACGACGAAGCCTAAGCCTCTAAGCGAGGCTTAGCATATATAAGTATATCTTTACTTTCGAAGACACCGATACTCGGGGCATCGATTAGTCTTTACCATTAGTGACTATATCACTAGCGGGACTTCATACGTTGCTACATACCTTTATACTCTTACAATTCTCCTAGTTTATATTAATAATATCCTTATTGCCTTAAAGTTAATTAAGAATATTAACTAGTTTAAAGCAGAATTTAGAAGAGTCTTTAAGGTTAAGGACCTAGGAGAAGTTAAGAAGATCCTAGGAGTATAGGTCACTAGAGATAGAAAGAAAAGAATTGTTAAATTGGATTAAGCACACTACATTAGAGATATCCTCTCTATGTATAGTATGNAANANGANAAGACAAGAAANANAAGCACCCTAATNAATGGATATAATTCTATTAGGCTAGNAGAANAGGCTAATCTAAGAACNNATNAAAAGGGATATTAGACATTAATTAGGAAGCTTATGTATCTTGCTATTTTAATAAGACCTAACATTTCTTTCGCTCTTAGGAGACTAAGCTAGTACCTAGGAGATCCGGCTAAATTCTATATGTCTACTATNTCTCTATTGCCTTAGTAGTAATAGGTAACTATATATCCTAGTTGCTATAGTCTCTCTCCTCTTATTTATCTCCTACTGTTCTTAGTAGAGCCTTAACAAGTTACATAGGTTCCGGGATTATGCAAAACCCGGGCTTATAACTAGTTAAAATAAGTCGTACAACGGGTGCATAAAATACTCTAGCTAGCGTAGGGAAGTAATCCTAGAGCCTATAGAATTAACCGAAGGTGGAGACGCGACCTTTGCTAGTAAAAGCGTGCTAATAGTATATAGCGTAGTAATTAATTAATTGAAGAGAAGAAGAGTATCTACGGGCGCAATCTATTAAGAACATCTTGCTCTACTAAGGCGTTAGGATGCTAAGTTAACCTTGTCATCCCCTTACTTGTTATAGTCTATTATAGACCTATCTATAACAGAACCTTACCGTATTGCAATAGAGTTGTAACTCCTCTAAGTGTGCTAGGACTGCACTATTTTCAACTATAAATTCCTTAAAATGCTAACTCTCTAATAGGGCGCAGAACGATAGGCTAGCTTCGTAATTCGTATAGGTATATACTTTATCTGCCTTAAGCTTATTAAAAGGAGCATTAAGATTATGGCCCTTATAGAGCTAAGCGAGAAGGTTAGGGTAGTCCTTTTAAAGTTAAGCGACCTCTTAAATTGCTAGCATATAGCCTTCCATCCTCTGCGCGAGCACCTCTATTATATAGTCCTTAAATTGCTAACATTTGGCTAGATGTTCTACCTTCCTTTTACTATAACTTTTCGGCAGTCTACCTCCCTTCTCTTTGCGGCACTATATATAGAGGGATAAGGGACCTTTAACCGTCGCTACTACTATATCTTCGAACTATAGCGATGCATAACTCGTAGCTAGCGCCATTAAAACAATTAAACACGATTTGAACGAGTGGATTACTCTATCTTAGAGGTCTACAAGACGCCATCTACGTTAGCTAAGGTCACCTCGGAACACTCGGCTAATAGCAATAACGACAGATAGCGACAAACACACCTGTAATAGCGACAGAATAGCGACAACGATAGCTATGCTGTTACCATTGTCGCTATCAGCAACCCTAGCCAGTAGACATCCAGTCGTCCAGAAGATTTCGCCGCTTCAACGTGAATCCCAGTCCTTTCGTCCGATGAACCCGATGAGCGCGATTCAACTTCCCTGATCACAACACTGATCCAAAACATCTAAAGAGGGTCTGCGTTTCAAGGCCTTGGACATGCATGAACTCCAACATCCGCCGCTCGAGAGGCTTGCATGACAAAGAAGCCTTTCCCTGTCGCGCGCAGAAGGCAAAATCTGAAACATACTTTTTGGCAACGGTCAAGCAAAAAGTACCGAGGCTGGAAGTGTCTGCTCAGGTCTTGGCAGGGGCTAGTCCTTCGAAGCTTCCACCAAACCTCCACAGCCTATTCTCACGTCAATCAGTTATGCTTACTCCACATCTGGCAACCTTTTACGTGATCTATGCAAACCTTGGTTAAATCTGTGCATCCAGATAGGTAGATGGCTCGGACGTGGAAATGCCTATTGAACGCTTGCAGCACGGAGGGCGTTGCGAATGAGGCAGGCATACGCTACTCACAGTCACTCGTCCAGGGCTCTCGAACAAGGAGGTGTAAAAGAACTGTCGATCTTATTGTTCTTTGATATACTACACACATCGACAACATTTCCAAAGAATACCGAGGCCATGCAAGCTTTCACCGAGCCTCGGGAGGATCTCCCATGCACTCCGCAGTCTCGATGCCGCAATCCATGTCAATCTGAAACCGGGGACGCACATCTGCCGTTGACAAGCTCATTCGACGAGATCCTATCACGAAGGAGGAGCACCTGCAGTACCATTGGAAGTACCATTTCCGGGTTCATCGCCACCACCACCCATACCACCTCCCATGCCTGATGAGGAAGAGTCCATCACGCCACCAGTACGGTAGTAGTTTCCTGCAGGAGTGATGGTCTGGTTGTTGATCATGTCCACGCCCATGGAGATCCAAGCCAGAACACCATCAGTGATATCGTCACCAAGCAAGATGTACTCCACCACGGGGTCAACGCCATCGGTGGCAGTCTCTTCAGACAGGATGGAGTCTTCGCTGTTGGTTGTCCAGTCTTGTGTGTTTGTATTGTAGGGGTAGGTGGCTTCGACTTGCTTCAGCAGAGACATGTCGAAGAAGAGTTGGCCAACGTGTTGGACCGAGCCGGAGGACATGGTACCGTTCACGTAAAGGGTTGTGTTTGTGTGGGTGACGATGTGGACATGGTTGGCGCGGCTACGGAGGAGGTCAGTATCATGTTGATGTCTATGCTGACGGACTTGCATACCTGGTGTAATGACCGGGGACAATGGACTCGAAAGTGGCAACACCCTCGGTATCGGTCTCGGCAATATCGCGAAGGAAAGTGGTGTTGACGTTGACGGTGTCCAAAGAATCACCATTACCACTGGTAACAATGCCAGAGTAAACACCGGTTGCATTGCAATGCCAGAAGTCGATATACACATCTGGAACAGGCTCGCAGGTGTTGACGTCGATGACCTGGATATCAAGAGTTATGGGAACACCCTCCTGGTTCTCGGTGATATTCTTGCGGATGAACTCTCCCTCGACATATTAAGGACCTTGAGTGACCTCAGGAACAAGGATACAAGAGCCATTGCCAAAGAGGTCCTCCTCGGTAACGTCCATGTTGATGCTGGTGTCGTTGGACAGATGAGTTGTGTTGAGGACAGAAGCGGCGTCACGCTTTTCTGCTCGCTGGTTAGCTGCTATCAACAGCCTCTCGGTTTCGATGGAAAAGTTACCCATAGCAGCAGGAAGACCGCGCTTCTGTCTCATGTTGGTAGCCAGGGCATCGCGACGGGCAAGGGATCTTTGCCCAAGACCACGAGCCTTGATCCTTGCCTCGCAATGGCTCAACGAGCGCTTGGTTTGAGGGACGGAGTCGTAATAGGTACGGCGCTCGAGGGCCTCCTCGCGAGGGTCATGACCGGGGTGGGCAGCAGCAGCGCTTGCCAGAGCCAGAGAAGCGAGAATGTTCTTGAAGTGGACCATGATGAAGCAAGAGTTGTGTGATGAAGTTGATATGATGAACAGGAACGACAAAGGAAGAACAAAGCAGAGTTTTATACGCCTGCATCACACTCAAGGCCATCCCTCAACTTGCAAGGCCTTGCTTGACCTCATCAGGTCGCCACGCAAGCAACTCACAACAGTCCAAATTCCCGATAAAGCAAGCAACTGCCCTGATCTATCAAGCTTCACACAGACGAAGCCGAAAAGCCCTAACATCACAGACTCGAAGATGGAATAGGCGAGTGGAAGTCATGCCATCAACGAATCACAATCGAGACATTTACACTTTGCTTACGCGGGATCTTCATCAACATATCACATTAGTTTCAAATAGCCACCTACACCTGTCTTGGCATATCGAGGGCATTTCCAGGCGGTTAGGTACATTTCTGTAGTCGCTGTTCCGGCGGAAGAGAATAACACAAGCCGTCGTTATAGCACGGACCTACAGACGCGTATGCTTTGCTTGCATGAACAATTCACCTTCGACATATGGAATTCGCACTGTAGACACTTCGTTAGGACCAAGAAACATATCTTCAACAGTTGACTCGAGATGTTTACAGCATATAGTGACCAAAATATCGATTCTTGCTGTTTGTTTAACAAGAGATCGATCTGTCGCGGTGAAACTTCAAAGACCTGTAGAAACGGACGTTGTTCGCGAAGCTTCACCACCGCGTCACCCGCCAAGAGACAAACCCGTGGTAGATGCAGAAGAGACGACTTGCGGTGACACAGAAGAGGGCAGTGTCCATTGATATTGATATCAGAATCGATTTCGCCAACTTCACTTCCTGCCGCCTGATCATCTATGGCCGCATGTAGGCTCGAAGCAAGATTTTGGCGGTTTATCGGGTTTCTTTGGAAACCTCTCATCCCGCTGATTTGTGAGTTTGTTCAATCAGTGAAATATGGATGTCTCAACTGCTGCAGCTGGCTGCCAGTTGAAAAATGGTTTATTTGGATCTATATAATGTATTGCATGCTGCATGACGATATGTTGAATGCGGCCTGTCCAATTTACTACAATGCAAAAGAATGACTCGGGAAACTTCCCCTTACACACAAGTAACACCACTCCGATGAAAACTCATACCAGATTGGCATGCGAAAGGCGCGTATCATTGATCCATCACACTGCATCAACCTTGGCATAAAAGCGACATCAAACGATCAAAGCGATGAGACCAAGTACCTTGACTGCAATGGCCGTTAGAGGTGCTGCAATCATGGTGAAGTCAGTCAACAGCTGGGCCACATCAGCGTAGATAGTCGCAGTGGTGGCCAAGTAAGACAAGATTGACGGAGAAGCTTTCAAAAACACGCCGACGAGTTGGCTGGTGAGGTCAAGGGTTCTAGAAATGTCTTCGTGAATCTCGTCGGCGATACCTGCGGAGAACCTAGTCAGCCTCGAACAACAGTCATGTATGCTATGCTGTGGCTTATACCCTTCTCAGTGTTCAAGAGATGATCGAAGGCCGCGGTTACGTTTGCAGTGACGGCCTGGATTGTCTGGAAACCATTGGCGAGGATTTTGGCATTATCAGCCGAAAGAGGGATTGCCGCCTTAGCGATGTCTTCGACGATGTGATCGATGGCGGTGATAGTCTGGGAGAAGTCTGAAGCCAAGATTTCAAGGGTCTTGTCGTATGACTCGATGCCGGATTTGGTGATGTTGGCTAGTTGTGGGTCTATTAGCTCCGGGCGCGCTTATGTGGATGACCAGGTGATAATACCAAAGACGTCCAATACATGCATAGCGTCAGCCGATGTAGTGTGGACCAGGTCCTCAAATGCGATTAGAACCTCAGAGGTACCGTCTGCTGGCTTTGACTCGTCGGCAATTGGCATGCTCATGACTGGAGCAACCATGCAAGCAGCCATAGTGACGAGTGAAAGGAGCTTCATGATAATCTGATCTGATATCGGGAAGCTTGGAAGGGTTAAACAGGTGATCAAAGAGCAGCTGATGGAGAAGTAATCAAGTAACTCGTCCGATAGAAGCAGCTTTGTCTGGTCGGAGGAGCTTGAATTTATGTCTTCAAAGTGCCATAGGGTTTCAGTGTTCTCGGCTGTGTATACCTGACAGTATCCAGTGGAGCCTCGTGTTCCCGTTCAACAACTCAAGTGACTCCAATAACGGCTGTCATCGGTATCAAAGTTTCAGAAACTGCGAGCTCCTTTCGCCATGACACATATACAGTGCGGCGGACGGCTGTTCGCATCGCTGCACGTCCAAACGTGTTTGGTGGTTCGAACACAGCAAGCTCGTATCTGCAGTCAACGTCTGCTTCGGCCAAACTTAATCTCACTCACTCCATCATACCGAGGTACTTTGCTCGTTGTTGATCCCAAATTCAGCGAGAACATCCGTGGGTCGCGAGTATACGAAGATAGCTTGGACTTTTACCATCAAGGTTGATGTGTTACCAATGCCGATGACCACACGCCAACTCGAAAGATGGACTGGAGAACAGACGGAGTTCGCTACTGTCCTCATCTCACATGTCCTATGCCATTGAGCTCTTAGGAATCTGTTGTGATCAAATCAATGTGCCAGACCTCTACAATTGTGATATGCTTGTCAAACAGATCCAAGAAATGCGACGCTTGACTCCAAGTCAGTTTCCCGGCCTTGTCGCATCGCTGTATACCGTCGAACGGAGATAAGACTACTGAGTCAGAGGCTGTGAGAATTGACGGATCACACCACCAGATAAGTTAACGATACTATGGGTATACAGAGTCGAAAAGTAAATCGTAACGTCTGCAAGTGCGTTGATGGTCAAAAGAGACGCCAAGTTCCAAGAGATGTCTGAAATCTGGCAACTTCACCTCGGCCCCACTTCGACGACAACTCCCATCGCACCTTCTCCTTCCTCACGAATAGCGACCAAAATCGTTTCAATATATCCACTCCCACACGAGAAGATGAACCAGATAACACAAAAGGCTGCCGACGTGACTGTCGAAGTAATCGACAATGAACAAGACTTCACCGCCGCCTTCGAGATAATTTCCAAATGCTTCGGCGAACAAACCAACGACGCCTTCTGGAAAGCCATGAACCCTGGTTGGAATACACCAAAGGGAAAATCTGCAGGCATTTCACGAATGGTCAAACGCTATCAAACTGTCACCAAGAATAATTCTGGAGAGCCGAACACAATCCACCTCAAAGCCACTGTGCCTGATCCTCAAAATGCACGACAACGCGTCATTGCTGGGTTTGCTATATGGGCACAGTTATCTATGGCTGATGGACAAGGAGATAAGCCCTCGACTGATGTGACCACTGCTGCGGATCTGGAAGACCTTTACCCAGGAAACGAATCAGAACAACGTTTTCTGAAGCAATGTTTCGCGTCTTTCGTGAGCCAGCGAGTGAAGACACTGGAAGAAAAGGCGAGCACCGCATCACCAGCAACTTTCAGTCTGGATCTTTGCGTGGTAGATCCTTCGTTTCAGAGAAGAGGCATTGCCAACAAGTTGGTCGAGTGGGGGTTAGTTGAAGCTAAGCGCAGAGGAGAGCTTGAGTCCACGACTGAGGGATCTGCTATGGGGAGATTCGTGTACCAAAAGTTGGGCTTCAAGCCTGTGAAAGAAGTGGTGTATGATGTGGATGCGGAGTTCCAGGACCGCAAGTTGCCACCGAATCTGTTCATGCGCACAGGCACAGTCGCCTAGCAGGCTGAGGAGCTTCTCACGACAATCATACGCTCATCACATATCGCAACAAAAGCTTTGGCCCTCGAATAGGGGCGATCACTTTTACTGTACGTATTGAAACTTGGTATTTCTTGCTACTCAAGATAAGCAAGCTCAATATCTGAATAGCCTCTCCACGCCCTCTCGTCTCAACGTCCTGTTCTTGATCTTGTAGAAGAACAATAGGGAGATGCAGCCAGCAGCCACAAAGAAAAGCAAGCCCGCATTTACCCAATGACCAGTAGGGTATCCCTTCTTCTTCTCTTCCGCCTTGTAAATCCAGACTCCCGTGATCTGTCCCGGTGCACCAAAAGAGATGTTCAAAGCAATAGCTAGTCCAGCCGCTGCAGTACTATGCAAGTTGGACGATAGCCATCCCAAAAGAGGTGGGATGCAGGAAAACGAACCGGCAGCAGCCACGATGAGGCAGCCATATCGAGCGTTGTATGCGTCCGGTGGAAGCACAGCAGAGGCTAGGAAGCCAATGGCTCCTACTGTGGCGAAGATGGCGGAGTGAAGAGCTCGACTGTGAGTGGTCAGTATCTCGAATCTTCTCCATCGCCTTGGTTTACTTACGCATCAAAATGGTCGGCAGACCAAGACACCAGAAGCGTCACCACATAAGCCACTGCATACGGCGGAACGGTCATCAGCTGCGCCGTAAGGTCTTTGAAGCCCAGACCTGCAGTGATGGTTGGTGTGAAGAGGGACAAAGAGCTAAACGGGGTTGAGATGCCAAAGTAGATGGCATAATGAGCGTAAAGTCTCCAATCGGTCAGTGTGACTTTAGCATCCTGCCAAGTCATACTCTTACTGCCACCGTGCGAGCCTTCGAGTTTCAATCTCTCTGCAGCAAGAGCTTTTTCCTCAGGGGAGAGCCATTTGACAGTCTCAGGATAATCGGGAAGGAAGAACCATACCAGTGGTGCCGACAGCAATGATGGCAATCCCTCTAGGATGAATAGCCACCGGAATGCTGACAGACCACCGGTACCATTCATATGGCCAACGCCGTACGCGATGGCTCCTCCAAAAGCACCTGCCAATGTCGCCGAAGCCAAGATAAAGGCCACTCTTATCGAGCGCTCATCGGTACGATACCAAAATGCTGAGAAAAGACGTTAGTTTGTATTTCCCAATGGGATCCGGATTCTCTTACTGAGGTAGTACACAAGACCGGGAAAGAGCCCTGCCTCGAACACTCCAAGCATGAAACGTAATGCTGTGACTCCAGCAAAATTATGGACACCACCTAGCCCCATGGTCATGACTGACCACGAGAGCATCAAGAAGGCAATCCATTTGCTCGGAGAAAGTCGTTTGAGGAAGTAATTGGATGGTACTTCGAAGACCATGTAGGCAATCAAGAATACCATCAGCGCGATGGTGTATTGGTAGGCCGTCATGTTGGTCTCGGAAAGCAAGTCATTGTGTGTCGAAGCATTCAAAACCTTAGCATTGCCGATGTTGGAGCGGTCGAGATAACACAAGAGGTAGATACCACAAGAGATGGGTAGGATCCTCAAATCCTGCTTCCAGACAAGCTTCTTATCCTCGGGACTGCCGCCTCTGGTGTATGCTTGTTGTGAGCTGCCGGACTCAACATCGTTGATGAACTCTGGTCCGACATCCTTCTCGTTGGTGTTGGTCATGGTAGAGGAAATGAGATGGAAAGTATGATCCGGGGTAAATCTGGGGAAGACGCTCCCAGATATATACACTGATGTTCGACCAGAAAGATCGATGCCGAATTATCCAGAGGAGTTGTTGAGAGATGGGAAGAGCAAACGAAAAGATACGTTGTCGGGCGCCGGCCCCAACCACCGCTTCTGTAGGATGCAGATCGGACCATTTTAAGCGCTGGTGTAACCCCCGCAGGACCCCACATAGACGATCCTTCGGACCCCACAGCCGATTGTCTTCCCCATATCTGTCCTGTCGGCCCCTACGACCGTCGACCGCTGCTGCATCAAGTCAGCATGCAAACTACTAACTGCGATCGGTGCTATCACCGGAAAAGCAAATGCGACCGACTACAGCCCTGCACATCCTGCAACAAAGGCGGGGCACAATGCGTCTACACTGACCGGGCAAAAGCGAGGGCTGTGCGACCGGATGAGGTGGACCGACTAGAGAGACGCCTCGCTCAAGCTGAGAACCGGAACAAGTCACTGGTTGCTGAACTATCGAGAATCAGATCTACCGGTCCGCCGAGAAACGACGAGAACGATCGAATTGACCCGGTCCAGGAGCCCGAACCGTCCGACTACTCAGTCAGAAGAAGTGATGTCGCAGCTCAGGTCTCTATCTTATCAACAAGTGCTGCTGGCGAACGGCAATACCTAGGCTCTACGAGTGGTGTACTTTTTGCAGATCTAGTGAGAGCGAGCGTTGATGCCCCTTACTCGAGGCACCCTTCACCACCAGGGACGATACACACAGTCGATTCTCCTGAAACTTGCGAAGACATCCCCGCCAATTTACCACGAGAATTACCACCGGAGAAACTGGCTCGGAAGCTCGTACAAGCTTATCTCGATCACGACTTTCTCTGCTACCCTTTCCTTATTCCTTCTGAGATACACAGGATGTTAGAATGTCTCTACAGCTCAGGAGTGTCGAGTCTGACACCTTATGAGCTGTTTGTTGTGGATATGCTATTTGCGATCAGTACAGCTCAAGTTTCCAAGTACGACTGGCGCCAATTGCCTAGCGCAGAGAGTCATCATGCCAGAGCGATGGCTACGATCGGGAATGTGCTTCGTTTAGGAGGACTGCAAGCTCTGCATGCCATCTTGTTACTTTGTCAGTACAGGACCGGAAGTTCAATCCAGGATAACTCGGGTTCAATGTGGCTACTAGTTGGCATAGCAGCTCGTATATGCTTCGAGATGGGCTTGCACAAAGAATCAGTCTTCCAACTGCAGGGACCTGGCCATGACGATGATACAGCTAGGCGTTACCTGCTGCAGGAAAGCAAAAGAAGATCTTTTTGGAGTGTCCTTTGTATGGACAGGATAACTTCACTTATCCTTGGAAGACCTTGTGCCATTCGGGATGAGGATTTTGATCACACATGTCCAGATACAGATAAAACCATCTCAATCATGCCCAACGCAGCGGAAGAAGCGGCAAGACCATTCGTGTTCAGACACATTGTGTCTTACCGGCTACTTTGCGGACGGATTGTGTCTGCTCTCCATCGGAAAAAGGCTCCGAATGTCAAACAACAAGACGTTTTACGATTGCGGCAAGAGCTCTGCGAAGACCTGGACCGATGGAAACAGGAAGTCGAGGACCTGCACCTCGAGCAGAATATTCAAAATTCTTCCTTATCCTCTTGTCATCTTTCGACGGAGTGGTACAATATGCTGTACTCCAATGCGATGCTAATCCTTTGGCGTCCCTCGCCACTCCTGCCTGACGTCTCGCATGATGCGGCATCCTTGCAGCACATTTTTGACTCTGCAAAACAAAGCATTACAATTTATGCTAGTCTTCACAAATCTCGCAAGATCAACTATAGCTGGATCACATTGCAGTCTGTCTTCCTGGCCGGTCTTTCTTATGTCTACGCATGTGGTCGACACTTCCGCTCACGTTGGCGCAATCCTTCTGAACCGTCGTTGCAAAAAGATCCAACGACAATTGAAGTCGTCAATGACACGAGAGCTTGTTCAAACGTGCTAGTGGCTGTCTCTGAACGGTGGAATGCGCTGCGTAACTGCCACGAGGTCTTTGACCGTCTCGCTGATGCTGTTTTGAGTGATGCTATCAAGCTTCAAACAGCTCAAGCTCAACAGATGGTTCAGCCAACCTTACAGCCTGCAGTAAATAACAACAGCTTTGCTGGAAATATTATGACGGTAACTCGAGACACGACCACCTTCTCGCCCCTGGCTGTGGACACGGAGTTCTTGCATTGTTTCGATGACCTGCAGCATTTGTATAACACGCAGCAAATCGAAGACCCGATCATGGAGTTGAGTCAGGATTGGCTGGGATATCTAGGAAATGAAAATGAATTTGCGGAGTCTGTGTATCAAATGCCTGGATACTGAAAGTTCATAGCACAATCAATATCATAAGAGGAGCGACATCTCCCATATTTCTTGAACGACGAACAAAACTTAGATTGTTCCTCTTTGCAGGAATCTGATCGGGATGTTCACGTGCTTGCTTCGCAGATATTCCCCAACGCCCTTGCCTAGTCCGTCAATGCGTGCGCTTGAAGCAATACCTCCGTCGAGGAAATCCATGATGCGGCTGTTGGACATCAGCATCTCTTCTGTGAGAAGACCTAAAATTAAATCAGAACTTACAAGTGCACTGCAAGAATGTTTGGGAACTCGCATCGCTCGATACTGTGTCCGGCATAGTCATCTTGCAACAATTCCTTTAGTTTGTTGACTGTGAGCAAAGATTGTAGCCAAGGATACTCATCAGCATGTCGGACAAAGAAGCCAGCGTTAGAATTATTTGCTTTGTCGCCCGATCGCGCATGTACGACCGCGCCCAATGGTCGTCTCTCGGTTGGACCAAAGCTCTCCAGATCGATTGCGGCGGCCGTCTCGGAAGATGGCCTTTGCACTGGATAATGCTGAGTTCTTCTCGGTGGAGGGATTGATATTGTTTTCCCAGCGACTACAGCTTCGTGGTTGATGGTAGCTTGCGGGATAGTTGCTGGAAAGATCTCATAGAACTGCTTTGGCTCCATGGTGCGGAAATCCAGGTTCATGTGGTAACCAGGATAACTCTGCATACGCAGTGAATACAGCGGAATCTTAAACTTCTCTGCCGCGATATCTTCTTTTCTGCGTGCTTGTGCAAATACTCGTAACATCACAGTGCCAGCTTGCTGCGAAGACGGGTTGTCGACTTGAGTTCCGTAAAGCTCGGCCGAAAACTTTGAGAACTTGCTGCCGCTGAAGATACTTTGCAGTTGTTGCTTCATCATTTGTGCCTTTTCTTGCACGTCGAGACCGTTGATGTAGTATGTCGTTTCTGCTTGCCAACCTCCGGGAGCTGCCACCATGACCTTTGTAGTCGCTGGCGGCGGAAAGCCTTTACAACCAGTGATCGAGACGCAGTTTTTGCGACCGGTCTCTTCGATTCGAATACTCCCAATATCGGCGACCACGTCTGGATTCAGGTACATTTGTCCCTGCAGCTCGTATAACAACTGAGAGGTAATGTTAAACTTGTTGACTACACCATTCATAGAATCCGGCTTTGTAATATAACAGGTTCCAGACGGCGTGATCTCTGCTATCGGGAAGGCGAGATCCACCAGCTCGGAAAGAAACTGTTTGAAGCCGGAGAAATTTGCGCCTGTTGCGTATGGACCGCACTCGATGAGATGACCTGCTATCAATGCTCCAGCAAGCTGATCATAGCTTTGCTCAGACCAGCCATACCACCAAGCTGCAGCACCAACGACTGGCGAGGCATCCGTGACGCGACCGCAGATTACGATATCAGCACCTTCTCTGAGGGCTGCGACGATACCCCATGCGCCGATATACGCGGCAGCGCAAGTAGGTTCAAGGTCAGGATCCCAATCCTCGAGCAGTTGATTTTGATGATCCAAGTGAGGGAACTCGAGGGCTCTTTGACCAGATTTGCCCTGTTTCAGCAGATAGCTCACATCATCTCCCAGGATAGTCGCTACCACCAAGTCGTGGCCGCGGCTTTGACATAGCTCCTCAACCTTACGAGCAAGTACTGGTGCGTTCATTGCTCCAGCATTGGTGATGATCTTGGTCTTTCGTTCGGCAATGTCATCAATGCACTCAGTCAGTTGTCTAAGAAACCCAACATCATAGCCAAGCTCTGGATCTTCTGCCTTTCGGATCGATTCCCAGGCTATGTTCATCTCGGAGAGCCTGAGTTCTGTCAGAAGAGTAAACTCTCACAAGGTGATGACATACCAGTCGCCAGTGATGACATCAACATCAGCTTCTCGTACCATGCGAGCCATAGCATGCGGCGCATCTCCAGTCGCGCCGCTGCAGTTGCCGATTCGAAGGTGTCTCTGCGTTGGCATTGTCAATTCGCTCAGCCTGCAAGTTGTTGCTCTTCCTGAATTTTACAGCAGGGAGACATTGGCTTGACATATATCCAAAGCAACGTCCGGTTATTTCCGCCCGGCGGCCTACTACATTCGATTCATGTTACGCACCACACGCCTTCGACAGGCGGCAATGGTATCACGATGTGGTGGATAAGTGATCATCGAGGGCCGAAAGGTTCGGAAAGGACGATGGAGGTCATCGGGCGTCGGCGCCGAAAAGCCTCTTCTGTCCAGCCGACAATGACACGGTGTGGAGACCCCAAGCCGGGAAAGAAGGTGACATTCTTTCCTTCCTTGCTACCAAGACCATTTAATAAACTTTCTCGTCATCATGGCCATGGATGTGCACGGCTGTCCATCTTCCAAGCCAGAGAAGGTAGACTTGCGCGTGAAGATGAGCGACATTTGCCGGCCTGAGAGCACAGCCCGAAATTCACATAAGAGTCAAGGTGTACCTTGGAAGTCAAGCCAGGTTGCCAGCGCTACAATTTCACGATGAAGACCAGTGCCATTACCGCCACTCTTGGTGCCGTTCATGCCACCAATGCTCTACTCACAATCAGGAACAATGATTGTGCATCCTTCACACACAATCTCACTCTTGCGGAGAACACCAAAATCTTGAACACTACCTATCACGCACCTCACACCGTCAACATTACTAGCGGTCAGCAGAACATCTACAACAGCCATGGTTTTTGCGAAGTCGATGCAACAGTCCCATACGGCAGAAATTCCACCTTACACTTTTCAGTCTACTTGCCAGATGCATTACCCTACAATGGCCGCTTCATGGCCGTCGGTAATGGTGGAATGGCCGGAGTCTTGGATAAGACAGCCTTGATGCAGCAGCTGAACTCTGGGTTTGCGTCTGCCGCTGGAGATGCTGGTCATCTGGCTAGTTTGAACAACGATGGCTCGGGAGCCCCTGATACGTATATACCTTACCTACACAATCCCGAGGAAGTCCAAGCTTGGATTCACGATGCCATCGCTCTCTTTGTACCATCTTCCAAGGATTTGATCGAAGCTTATTACTACAAAACTGCAGCCTACAGCTACTACAGCGGCTGCTCTACAGGAGGAGCTCAAGGTTTTGCTTTGGCACAATATCACCCAGAACTTTTTGACGGCATTATCGCTGGCTGTCCTGGCAACTGGTACTCTCATCTGGCTCTTTCCTTTCTCTGGAACGCGCAACACGCCGTAGAAAACACATCGGCGTACCTTCCACAGACCGTACTGAATTTCACCGGTCAAGCAGTGTTGGAAGCTTGTGATGCCCAAGATGGCGTCAAAGATGGGGTGATTGGGCATCCACTTAAGTGTAACTTTTCGATCGATTCTCTGGCTTGCAACGCTACCCAAATACCACGCAACAACAACACTGTCACTTGCCTCACTCCGGATCAGATTGTCGCGGCAAAAGCAATTTACGCTGGACCGAAAGATTCCGACACAGGGGAAGTACTCTATCCCGGGTTCGCACACGGCTCGGAGATCCAATGGATCTTACAGGAGGGCTCACTCTCCCATGATTTCTCAGTTCCGATCCTCCAGAATTTGGTCTACGGTAACCTCAGTTATAACGCCTCAGCCTTCAATTGGACAAGCGATGTAGCAGATGTGGATACAAATGCTGGAGCTTTCATTGATGCAATCAGTGCGAACCTCACTGCTTTCCGCGATCGAGGCGGCAGATTGCTCGTCTATCAAGGCTGGGCTGACCCCTTCAATGCCCAGACATGGCCGATTCAACACTACGAGGATGTTCAATCTTTCTTCGACGACGATATTTCGGACTTCTACAACGTTTTCATGATACCTGGCGGTGGACACTGTGGTGCTGCATCGTTCTACCCTCAAGTGCCCGCGACATATCACACAGTACCTGCGTTAATGGATTGGGTTGAGAGAGGAGAGAAGCCTGAGGAAGTGTTAACTACAAAACCCACAAACGGAGAGACAAGAAGCAGAAAGCTTTGCGCTTGGCCAAAGGCTGCGATTTATGTGCAAGGAAATACCGACGATTGGAAATCATACGTTTGCGAGTAGCAGCTGCTCAACCGCGACGGTAATTGGAACAACAGGACTGATCACACGCGATCAATAACTTGAAGGGAAATATTTTCATGATTTATCGAAGTTTCGAGTACCAAACATGCGCAAGTCTGCGGACCAACCTCCACACTTCTCCTAGTTTTCTGCTGCGACTACAATCACCAGAAACTCAGTCCCATGCTATTGTTGATGATGGTTTGTTTCTTTTTCGAAGTGTGGGCAAAACCAGAACCGATGCCCTGCTTTACTGCGTTTGCTTACTTCTCCATTCTATTCGTCTTTCTTACAATTATTCGAGCCATCTACAACGACCCTCGCTTCAGGCCAATTTGGGTCATAAAAATTCCAAACCCATGCTCCTGGACAGATTCTGGTGCAAGATTGGGCTCTGCGGCATCGGAGGCAGCAGCGCGAACACTGGAGCCGAGCTTGCGGGAGGTGATGATACTACCGCCCGTATCCTGACCACTGCTCCAAACTTCGATTTTCCATTGATCACGCCAACTCCCTCTCTAGAGATTTCTACTAGTCGCTCGGCTGCCGCGGTGGTTGCCCCAGCTCATATGGACGTCGGAGAAATTGGGAAACCGTAAGAGACGGATTTCATCACCATCATCTGATCATAAAGATCCGTGAGAAGACCAGAGGTGTGGTTCTACGCCAGATCCAAATCTGAAAAGCACTTCTGGCACTGCGTATGAAAGTTCCGGTAGAGCCGCCATGGTATGCATAGGTGTGCTGAAGTTGTTCGGTTTGCGAATTTGCTCGTGGCGTCTTTTCTCAACATGCATTTCAAGGAAGAAAGTTCCTCAAACCACGGAACCACCTCAATGTATACTCCTTTGGCTTTTTGTCCATATGGTGTTGGGTGGGCTGCTAATTACCATATATCTCTGGCACCTTTCAATCGATTTGTCCACCTTATTCGAGGTTTCACCCTGCCATCGCAGTTCAACCCTCCCCATATTTCTTTTCTCACACACTCCGCTTATGACCAGACCAGCCATGAATGACCTTACGGCTTTCCCCAAAGCCCTCGGTCTTGTACTCTTGCTATCATCATGCGTTCAATACACTTCCGCCGCAGCCATCGCCATCGCCAGCACTGAGAGCAGTCGTCTTGTTCACCCTGCCGACATCACCGACAGTCATGTCAAACCCACTGAAGTCGTAGATCTTAGGTCAATGATTTCTGCTGCTTCTTTGGATTGGCCTATAATTCCAACAATGAATCCTGACCTCGTGTCTTGGCTTGAACGCAAAAGGTCGTCCTCTACAGCTTCTGGTCAGCGTGCCGCTTCAGCCACGACGGATATGCCTTCCAAGACGGCTACCGCAAGCTCTGAAGACGCAGTTCCCTCCGACGATCTCGTCACTCGCACGATAGCTACACGATGGCCGGATTCTTTGTTCGATACCAACCTCCCTGTCCCACGGCCATTGACAGAAACGCCCGAGTATGTGGTAGTCACTCTGACTAAGAATCATATTGCCGCGGAGCCAAGGACCACAGAAGCCATTTCTACCTCAGGAGCTGGTATCACAACCATTGCATCTTTTGCTCCAGGGATCGAGGTCATGACTACCACGATAATCAGGGAACCTTACTCATGGCCAAATCCTATTATATTTCCGCCTCGACCACCATGGGTTGACAAAGAAATTACCGAGATAATCACTTGGACAAAAACCCACTCGAACACTGCAGGCGCGACCACCGCTACTGCCAGTCTCTCTAGCAGTGTAATTTCCAGCAATACAGCCAAAGAATCAACTACCCTCGACCTCACCGTCAGTTATCGATATTACCCAAGTACTGTAACGCATTCGCCATACGTCTATGGTGTGGGACGAACGACTTATACCCGAACATATACCCACACCGAGACTTTGAGTATTGCGGCATCAAAGACATCAAACGCTAACGATGACTCTTTTTCCAACATCGAAACAGTAACTGCCATCACAAATTTCAACGCCGCCATCTCTGATGCCATCATCGCTTCCACCAATACTCCTACTCCTGCTATCTCAATCTCAATCTCACTGGCCTCTGTATCCGACATCCCCACCCCTACAACATTCGCAACCCAAATCCAGGGGGAAAATGCAGATACCGATATCGCGAAGAGGACACTGCCGCTTTCAACCCTCTCGAATGATGAGTGTTAGATGAGTTATGTGCTTTCGGTGCTTCAGGGTGGTGAGGCTGGTTCGGGGTCGATTGAGGGTGGAGGACAGATGAGTTTTGTTACTGGTGCTAAGACTGTTCGTGGTTGAGAGNTTCAAATGCAGATTTGTCCAATCCTTCTCTGTCGGCGAGGGTCTCCCAAGCTTTCTTGACCTCAGGCTTCTGTGCCCACTTGGCAAGATCGATTTTACCTTCCACCAGAGATTTCTTCGTGATCGGAGCGTCGACTAGACCGCGATCAGCTGCGAATTCGGAAATAGGAGGTGTATCCATAAGTGGCATGAGAAGTCCATCGTCGCCGAAATCGTTTTTGAGATCCTCATCCGTAAACATTTTATCCGGAATTTGCAGACCGAATTTAGCAGCGACTCTAGGCCACAAGTTCTGCCAAGACTCTACATCGCCGTTCACGACATTGAAAGCCTGATCAGCAGCTCCAGGTGCAAAAGCGGCCCATGTGTTGAATTTCGCATGCAGAGTTGAGCTCGTCAAACTGTCGAATTTGGTGTAGAAGTGTGGAGAGCCTGGCCAGATGAAAGGTTGCTTCAACTCCTTGGTTATGGCGGCATAGATGCCCACTGCAGAGACCAAGTTCATGAAATTTCCTTTGGCGACGCCGATGACATCGTTGGGGTAAGTGACTGTCCACTGCCAGCCATTTTCTGCGGCGGCCTTGTGTAGGATTTCTTGCTGGCGGTAGTAGAAGTTCGATGGGTAAGAAGGGTGTTTAAGCCAGGCGTCAGATTCTTGCATTGGGTTTTTGGGGACGCCGAAATGGACGCCGTATTGTTTGCAGCCTGTGGTTAGGATAAAGCGTTTGATGTTCTTTGCGGCTCCGGTGATCTTGAGAGCAGAAATGAAGTTTTGGAGCATATCTCCGTTGACCTTCGTGGCTTCATCTTCATCGTCTTTGGCGAGGTAGGCGGTGAAGAAGACGTATTCGGCGTTTATGTTTTGAAGCTCTTTGGCCATTTCCTGAGGGTCGGCTTGGAGGTCGAGGTGGGAGTGCTTGACACTTGATGGGTAGTCTTCCTTCTTGCTGCGAGAGAGAGCGTAGATGTTGGACCATGTCTTTGTATCCTTTGCGAGTTCGAAGACGATCTCGCGGCCGAGGATGCCTGGAACATGGTCAGAATGCGTTGGACGCGAGTGAGGGAGATCAGCTACTCACCAGTAGCTCCGGTGACGATTGCGTTAGGCATGATTGAAAGGGTTCTGTGTTATCGTAAACGTAATTGATAGTTGTTTACGAGGGATTGATCTCACGATTGAACAATGCGAAGAGGGTTGTATTTACATGTCCGAGGAAGCATTTTGTAAGCATGACGTAGATTCGACGTGGGGTGGCTAATAAGAATCGATCAGGGTCCTCGGATCTGATGGATGGCATTTCAAGTGGTCGATTCTGCCTTCAAGATACTGTAAGAGTAAAGGGGAGTAGGAGTGCGAGAATACATTTGGGCGGGCCATCTAGTCAATCGCCCAGAAATCGATTCGTGATTGATGTGAGAGTATAGCAAAAGGAGTGTATGATTGATCTTTTCTTGTGCTATTTAAGAAGAAGAAGATGCAATCTACCTCGACTAAACATGATCTTCAGTGATTTTAAAAGAGCAAGACAGTATCTCATGGACATGTGGTCAACTGCAACTGGTCTGCCCAGGCTCGTTCAGGGTGTCTTCATGGTCTCTTCGTGATCTTGCTAGAAGCTGGTCTTTGGCATCTGGTAGGCAGCCCGATCGGGCGGCTGCATCGATTGAAAACTCGACCTCAAGTGCGAAGAGTGGCGTAGGCGGCTGCAGGTGACCATGGAGGAACAAGTGTAAAGCGCCGTGCTATACCAATAATCCGATGCATGCAGTTCATGTCAGATCAAAGGTGAGAAGCGTAGTGAGTGAGATCGTGCGGTCGTAAAGCCGTGAGGACGTGAGTGTGGAAGATTGGTGCAGATCGTATCATCACTTCTTGTCGCCGCCTTTTGTTTGGGTGAGAAGTTCGTTCAGGAAGTGGTTGATGAAGCTCTCCTTTGGTTGTTGCGCTGTATGAATCAGCTTGTGTATGCGGCAAGATAATGGCCATCTCTTACGCTCTTTTGCAGGTTCGTTGGGCTTGTGCTGCGAGGTGTGTAACGGATCGGACTTGTGCAAAGGGTCGGACTTCTGCAGCGGGTCTGCCTCATTCTTACGAAGACCGGCCTGTGTCTGAATCTCTTCCCAAAGATGACTTCCAAAGCCTGGTCCTTGTTCTGCTGGTTGTAAGTGACTGGTGTTGGAGAATGACTACGAGATGGAAACACACTCTCGATGTTGGTGCCTCCCTCATCTCCCTCCAGAGGACCGTGGCGGAGGCGATGGACGCCCTTGTGGACTCTGCGGACACCCTGATGGAAGGTGTGACTTTCGAGGAGCTATTCATCCATGTGTCAGTGGCGTTTCGGTTGTGCGAAAATAGACGGCGCATACTCGTTTGACTAGCCATGCCTGTGTGAATGTCAGTGATTGAGTGGCGACGCAGAAGAATATGTTGTGCAGCTAACCTCGACGACTGCTACCCAGGGAGCCATGTTGATTGCGACTGTCAAGATCAGGCAGGTGCTCGATCGCAATAATGAATTGTTCGAGCCTGAGTATTAGGAAGGAAGGTGCGTGCTTCGATGATGGCTACGGAGATAATGGACTTTCGGGAAAGGCGCGCGCCCGGGCAGGGAAAGTGCAGCCGGCGTTTGACATTCTTTCGTGCCTCTTAGCACAGCACACGACTACCCCAATCTCAGCTGCTGCAATGCACGAAGTTGTTCAGTCTTGCACCGTGTCCGCAGAGAGTCTCTCGTATGTCGGCTCTCTTTGGACTCATCGTAGAAATGGTCAGCCTTCCTGCCTTTCTGCGGGTAATTTCCCAGACGAAGCTCGGGATAAACAACAGCCGACGTGAGATGCGAGATGGAGGGGCCTCCTGCCCCTCGGTCATCGTCATGTCATGTTTCAGACTTTACACTTTTGAGCCTCGAAATTGAACAAGTCGATTGAGACCATCGCTCTCACTCACACTCGGTATCTTTATCCTTTGTCGCTTCTAGTCCCTTCTATCAGGCTCTCGCCCGCGCATACGACTATATAACTTCAGCCGCCGCCCGTCAAGTTGGCTCACCCACGTTCGCCCCGGCGCATCCGCCTACTTGAGAAGCAACAAAAGTTTCTTGAACGACGCTCCGCCAGTATTAGGCGCGCCATGGCTACTCGCTCGGCTTCGACTCAATCGCTTTCATCAGAAATGCCTTCTGCCTTGCCTCAGTTCCTTCGACAGGACCGATCGACCCTCATACATAACTTCAACTATCTCGAAAACGACCAACGCGATCGACTATCCGAACAACACGACAATCCAGAGCAAGAGTCGGAATGGGCCCGCTTGACAGGCAACGACATCGCTATTCGCAATCGCTACATCAATGTTGAGCCTTTTGCCAATAATCGTATCAAGCTGGCTGTCGCTGAGGGTTATAACGATTACATCAACGCATCACCTATCGCTCTGGGCCCGCGCCGATACATTGCCACTCAAGGTCCGAAGAGCACTTCTACATCTCAGTTCTACCGCATGCTTGCCCAGGAGACAGGCCGGGATACACCTGCCGTGGTCGTCATGCTCACTCAGACCCATGAGGCCGGCCGTGAGAAGTGCTTCAAGTACTTCCCCGATACCCCTGAAACACCGCTCGAACTCCAACCAGACCCTGAGATCAACGATGGTAAGTGTCTCGCACTCGCAGTTCAACATGTTTGAGACTATCGCATTGCAGAAAGCTATCCCACTCGGTGCCTTTCTCCACTGAGAGCTCGTCTTGTTGGACGCTCTCAGCGGAGTGATACATCGAACGCGGTACAACTCTGCATCGCGATGGCCTCAAACATGCCAAACTATCTTCAGGAGAGCAGTATAACGCATGCGGATGAGTCATGCTAATCGTACTTGCAACAGGTTTCGAAGGCAAAGTCGAGCTCATTTCAGTAGAAGAGGATGCCACAAGTCGCTGTGCCATGCGTCACCTGAAACTGCATTACAAGTCCGCCAAAGCTGAAGAAGATCAGAATGACGACGAGGACTGGAAGGAGAAGGAGATTTATCACCTGTTGTTCGTGGGATGGCCGGATTTCTCGGTACCGGAAGGCGAGAACCGCAACGCCATGCTTAAACTCATCACAAAATCCGCCGAACTGAACAAGCCACCGAATGTGCCAACCCCTGCTGAATTTCCACCTGCACTCGACCCTGCGTCTGAACCATCGGCAACAGCCAGTCCTCGCATCATCCATTGCTCGGCCGGCGTTGGCAGATCAGGTACTTTTATTGCTTTGGACTTCCTACTCGCTCATCTGGAACGCGGCAACCTCGATTCAGTCCCTGACGATGTCGACCCTATCTTCGATACTGTCAATGCCATGAGAAGACAGCGCATGATGATGGTCCAGAGCGAGGCCCAATTCTTGTTCTTATACGACGTTATGCGTTTGGCATGGTTGGAACATCATCGTGCCGCAGATGCAGAGCCTTGAGACCAACACGGTGCCACTTGATCAGACACATATTCCAACATTCACAAGCTCGATCGGGCAGCCACGGGGCTGACTGATCGGATCAGTCGCAGCTATTATGCCATCTCGAAGACGAGGCAAGGACGCACTGCAACACTGTACATATGCAGAATACTTTCTCCAGCGCGCTGGCCACCATCGAGAGCCACACCACTCGCTCCACACATCGCACCTTTATGCCATCACAGAGCTACGCACAGCTGGAATACACGGTTTACAGCGGCTATGAAATATTCCCATCATGAGGCGATGATCTAAAGAAGACACCACGGTAGCTAGCAAGTAGATGAAAGTCCATTAGATTGACGCTGCAAAGCGCATCAAGAAGCACATCTTTCCAGAAAACGGTTTCTTCCCCTATGCCTCAATTGTGATCTTCAGCAGATTGTATCATCTGTTGCCATGGTCTAGCAAATAGTATCATCTGTTGCCACGCTTTTCTTGCATATAACATGATGAGATTCCCATAAAAACAATCTTTCACAGCAAGATACAATATGCCAATCCCGCCAGATTACAAGCACAGATAAAAAAACCCAACTCTCACTTCCTGCACCACGAAAAGGAGAAATTCGATATTCTATTCTACCGGAAAACGTCAATCTCCACCTCGGATCAATCTCTTCCCCTCTAAAACACAGCACCACCAATGATAAACACCCTCTCCTCCTCCCTCTTGACCCACCTCACAACCTCCTGCGCCGCTTTCGCCAAAACCGCCCTCTCGACTCCACCCCCCGCGACAGCATAAACCTCATACTGCCCCGTTTCCCAGCCCAACGCCACGGCATCTCTGGCGCAAGCGTAGTGGACTTTTAAATGTGCGGTTTTGTTGTGGATGCTGGTGTGTAGAGCGGAGTATAGGGAGACGAGACGACGGTGGGGCACCAGGGATGTAAAGTGTGGGGAAAAGGACGGGCAGAAGAATTGGACGTTGGGGCGGGATTTGTAGATGAAGTGGAGGAGGGGGGAGGAAGGGAGGATGGAAGGGATGGAAGGGCGGCCGTGGCGGATGGAGGATTTTAGGATTGTCATGCTGTTGTTTTGGTTGAGTTGCTAGAGAGGAAAGATGTGTAAGTGGGTTTCTGGTCAAGAGAGATTGGGAGAATGGAACAGGGGTAGGGGCTTACTTCAATCAAATCGTCGCGCATCTGGCGTAATTCGTAAAAGGCTTCTTTGTCTGCACTGATGAGGATGATGGCTAGTTGATCATCATCTCTGGTCGAAGAAGTCTGCGGTCGCTCTTCTGACACTTTGGCATGCTCGTCGCCAAGGTCCAGGAAACTTACATACATGTACAAGAAACCTGTATTGTTGAATCCGGGCAAACACAATGGGATCCAATTCTCGCCACCGCCGGTTTTGACGCTCCCGGCTTCGAAGAGCATGTTGAAGATGAGTTGAAGGTCTCCCGGGTGTAGAGAGTGTTTTCTGGGTCGTACTACGCTCACCAGTCTGCCTCCTGCTACCATGAGACCGTAGAGAAGATTTGGCGACTTGACTTTGAGAAGGGTATTGTTGATGACTTGACGGTGTGATTTCCTGATTTTCAAGCATTCGAGTGCTGAGAGCAGGGTGGGCAGAGAACCTCTTGTGAAGCCATCGGCCAATGCGCCGAGCAAAACTTCTGTGCCTTGGAGCGGTCGTCGCAGATCCGTAGAAGGTCTGTTTGAAAACATGCGCTGCATGCTGGGCAGAGTGAGTGTTGACAGAATCTGCATGTACAGAGATTCCAGCTGCGTCTTAAGCTGTAAGTCACTCTCGCCGAGTCTGCTAATGGCTGCCAAGTTCAAATGACCCTTGGACAGAATCACGAATCTCGCGTTTCCTGCCGTGAAGCCTCGTAGGTTGTCATTGACGTCCTGATAGAAAGATATAAGGGTCTGGAGTATTCCGATATGATTGGCAATGACTTGGTCATCACCATGTCGACTCCAGATGGGTTTCCCCGCCGATGACAAGATGAAGAAGTGCTTGAGTTTCGATGTCCACGAATTCATCAAAAACTCCTCATTCGTGCCATTGGACCGAAACTCCTCCAACTCATCAAACTCATGATGCATCCGGAGGCTGAAGATATCGTCCTCATCGAAAACATGATCCATTGGGTTTTCCTTTTCCAATTGCGCGCTCAGTGCCTTCCACGCAGGACTTGTAGGGAATGGGTCCCCAAGTAGACTTTCCATCTCACCAGCAGTCCCGACCGTATTGGCGTAGCTGCGTAAACTGCTCGTTTCTGCTGCGTCACTACCGACGCGACTTCGAAACCTGTTAATAGTGGCCGTACTCTGTTTCCTCGACACAGGCCGGCTTGGTGGAGAAAGATTGCGAGATCTTCGGTCTTCGAAATTGTTTGATGTGTGGACATCTGTCAAGGAAACTGCGGTCGTCGGTCGTGCTTGCAAGTTTGGCCGTGAAGCCATTCGTTTCGGCAATCGGATCGAACCTCCAGAACCCCGTTCTTCCAGTAGATCCAGATTGGATGGTCTAGGCGGTAGAGGCGGCCTGATTTCCTGAGAGTTCTCCATCACATCTTCTCCATGTTCTCGCATATCTTTGGCTTCCGGAGATGTCGTCGGCTGGGTTGTGACCTCGTCCGAGGCGTCCTTATCTGCTACAGCCGCTGCATTTGAGCTGCTCTGATCTGGCTCATCTGACATGTTTGATCTGTGTACTGATGGGAATATTAAGCAAGATCAAATCATGGCACTGTGCATCACACGCTCATCATCTGCACCACACGAGACGAACGTGGCTGAGGCTTCCGCGGTGGCGGTGCAAATCCGTGACACATGGGTCACCCTGATTGTGTTCAACAAAGCTCCTTTTCACCGCAAACATGGATGTTCGAATTCATCAATGGCAAAGAATTTGAGACTGGAGGTGACTCTCTTCATGTCCATAGTCTTCGAGCCAGGAACCTCGCACGAGTGCTCTGTTTTGTTCTGAGCGATTTGCTTGATACGCTTGTCGGAAACCAACAACCCGAGGTTAAAACTTCTGGAGCTGACCCATGTCACATTTTTCTACGTGAAGGAGTGTCTCAAGGATACGCAATGAGAGTAAGAAGAGAACGCGGTTCAAGAAAGTTGCCTTCTCACTTTTGACAATGCCTTACATACAGATATGAACGCCTTTCAACCCAAAGATATGGTCAAAAACTAACTCCACGCATTGAGTGAACACAATAAGGGGCTTGTCTATTGCGATTTGCCCTTCTTCTTTTCCTTCTTCTCTGCCTTCTTTCTTGCCTTCTCCTCCGCAGTCACGGGCGCCTCTGCTCTCGTACCTTCGGCTAGCTTCTCTGCAGCCTCGGCGGCCTTTCTTCTCTTCTTGTCTTTGGGTGTTCCTTCGCTGGCTTCCTTCTCATCACGCTTGCGCTTGCTGCGTGCGTTCTTCTCGGTTTGCTTGGCGTTGGTGTCACTTTCGTCTTCGGAAGAGCCGATGAGACCGGGGTCTGAGTCGCCGAAACCTGGGGGCTTGTAGCGCATTCTCATGCCTTTGGGTTGAGGACGGGGGTTGCTGATTGCAGGGGTCTTGATGCTTGCCGCGGCATTCGAGCCAGTGTCGGGATCCGTCTGATATGAAGAGAGGTTGGGGAGGCGGACGGTTTGCTGGAGGTGGAGGGTCTTTGTGACAGGAACTTCCACGGCGGTGTAGGCGTCTGACTTTGATGAAGGTAGCAAGACACGGGCGTTGTTGGTGGGCTCCTCGGCCAAGTTGTAGTCGGTTCCGTTGTGTGAGAGGATGGTTTGGTGGGATTGGATGGCGGAAAGTGAGACGGACTTGATCTGGGATAGCGGTACTGATGAAGGTGCGGTGATGTGCCAGATTTGTTTCGATGAGATGGTGGAGGGGTCGAAGAGGGTGTTGACTGTCTTTGCGAGGGCGGACTTTGTGTTGAGTGCCTTATAGCCTGGTGGAGGAGCAAAGGGTTGGGCAGGAACAATAGCTGCTGCTGTTGTCTCAGATGCGGCCGCTTGTCCAGCAGCTCTAGGCTTTGCGACAGGCTTGTCTGCCTCGCCCATCTCGACATCGCTGTCGCTGTCATCCTCGGAGCTGCTATCATCCGAGACCGAAACCTTTTCCGTGCTCTTTGATGCCTTGCTGGTCATGCTCGTTTTCAATGCCGCACCATTGGTTGTAACAGCAGCGGGTGCCTTCTTGGGAGCGGTCTTTTCAGCCTTTGCCTGTGCAACAGCAGCGTCAAGATCTGCGTCTGAGTCTGATTCCTCCTCGCTGCTGTCGCTAGGGACCGGTGGACTGTTTGGTTCCGTCTCTTTCACCTTGGACGGCTTGGGCTTCTTGGTGTTCTTGCGCTTCTCGGCATCACTCTCGCTACCGCTGCTGTGACCACTGCTGCTGTCGCTGTTCGATCCTTCGCTGTCGCTGACGTTCTGGACTTCCTCGGTATGCGGAGGGGCTTTGCGCGTTGTTTCGGACATCTTGGGGGCCTTCTTTGGCTTCTCGCCCTTCAAAGCGACCTTGGTCTCCTTGATCTTAGGCATGCTGGATGGTCGTGGTTGTCGATGCTAATCAAGCATACATATGCGACGAGCGGTGTTGACGCCCTCGGAGGACTTTGGATTGATATTGAAGAATACTGCGGGATTGCTGGTGATATGAATTCGGTATGCTGCAAACGACTCTCTCGAGACGAGATGTGAAATGGTATGCGACCATCAAAATGTTTTTTCTGGCGGCTTGACCAAAGCTTCCTCGAAAAATGCGCCAAGTCTTTCTTCTCTCCGCCTTGTCTCCGTCGCAAGCCCCAATTTGGAAACCCATCAACCATCTTTCACTTTTTATATCATCCAAATCATATCTTGCTTTCGGACAATATCTAAATCAAGTCGTCTTACAATCCAATCGCCGGATACCTCTGGACTTGATTTGGCTGCCAAAAACAAGAACGTCAGCCAAAAATTCACGGCAGACAGGCCGAGAAGAAACATCGAAAAGAGAAAAGATTATCATGCAGGAAAAAAGAAAAGCCCAGGATGCTTTTCCTGTGACCACCACAAAGAGTAAGTTTATGCGAGTCTTTCCATGTCACAGTAGGTCTACCAATGCTGACAAAATTACCAGCCCGTCTAAGTGCTTTTGCTGCTGCCAAAGCAAAGGCAGCGGGCCAAATAGCTCCCGATAGCCCTTCAGAAGCCAGCATAGAAGCTGCTGCCAATGTTGCTGGAGTCAACCGCAGCAATGGTCATAATGGCGTTGAAACTCCACAGCTGTCAACATTACTCTCGAGTTTCCCTCTGTCAAAATCCCAGGAGCTTGACAAACATGTCTCTAGCGATGATGAGGAAGATGCTACCGACTTTGAGCAAGAAGAAGGCAACAACTATTCCAGTGCTTATAACACGACCTCTTACAAGTCAGATCAACCGGTCAAACTCTCAAATCTTCCACCGGATTCGCAATGTGTGATTAAAGACATACCGGAAATGCTCACTTTGAAATTGGAAGCCGGTGAAACCGCTACTTTTGTTGGAGAATATGATCTACGAGTCAAGTCTGGCTACATTATGATTTATGGTGCTGTACTCAGAGCCGGACCGACAACCCATCGAGTATACGCTCCGTCTACACATGCACTACCCGTAGTTACAGCAAAGGGCGGCGTTGCTGAAGTCGACATCATCTCAACTACTCGCTCGTTGGATGTCCTCAGCAAGATCTCTCCTCTGTGGACGAAACTTTGGTACGCTCAGGCTCAGAAGGACGCACAACAGACCGATACGGAGCCGAGGTCTTTCGCTCTTCTCCGAAGCTCATCAGACGACCCGCTGAAGCGTGCTGTTACAGCACTCGAGGTGGAGCAGGATTGCCAGGTCACATTGAACAGAGTCTTGAGCAAACCGACAGCAACACATCCAAGCTCGGTAATCATGGTTTCCGGACCCAAAGGATCTGGCAAATCGACCATCTGCAAGTGGCTCATCAACACCTTCCTCACTGCATCAAAAGCATCAGCGTCAACTTCATGCTTCTGGTTGGATCTCGATCCCGGACAACCCGAATATTCTGCTCCTGGTCAAATGTCTCTTGTACAGATTCGATCACCTGTTCTCGGACCAAACTACACGCATCCATCTGGACATGTTAGTTCAGCTTACAGAACTATCCGATCGCATACCATTGCCGCCAATTCACCAAGGGATGATGTTGTACACTTCTTGGCTTGTGCGATGGACTTGCGTGACGCATACTTCCGTGCCCTGGAAGACTTTGCTGGAGCTCCACTCGTGCTCAACTGCTCGGGCTGGGTTCTTGGATCAGCAGTGTCCGCTATGATGGAGCTGGTTCAACAATTCCCTCTCACTGATGTCGTGCTTATGGAGCCGATGGAAAGAGAGACTGTTGCCTCTATCGAAGCCACATTACCAATGGCCAAAGTCTTGATGATCCCACCTCGTCACAAACCCGCTCAATCCCGTACAAGTGCAGAGTTGCGCGCTATGCAATCAATGTCCTACTTCCACTCGCTTGCCCCTCGCAAAGGACTTTCCACTTGGACAGACAACACACTTTCCCAACTCCACCCCTGGCATGTCAAATTCAACGGTGAAAACGCCGGCATCTCATCAATAATGTCATACGGTGAGGCGGTCAACCCAGACTTCCTAGCGTCCATCATCGACGGCATGATGGTAGCCATCTGCGAAGTCGAATCCGATGAAGCGTATGCAACAGTACAATACAGACCCCCTCACGTTCCCTCAGCCTCTGCAGCAGAAATGGGAGAAACGATGAACGATCGCATCGGCCGCACACCAGAAGGCCTACCCTATCTCCGTGCCGACAACAGCGGCCTTATTCAACCCCTCGACCCCCGCTTCTCCTCCTGCAAAGGCCTCGCCATCGTCCGTGGCATCAACGTCGCGAGACAGGAAATTCAACTCCTCACCCCCATGTCTGTGAAAGAAATCAAGAATTTGCAAGGATCGAGGACTGTTTTGGTCAGAGGCAAATTCGACAGTCCCGGGTGGATTTTCTTGGAAGATGTGTATAGTGGGAATGCGCAGAGGGTCAAGAGGCAGGAGATGTTGAGTTTGTTGAAGGATAAGACTACCAGGCCGTATGTGGCGCAGAGAGATGCTGCGGAAACGGGATTGGGTTTGGGAGAAAAGGAGTGGAGGGTTAGGCATTTGCCCAGGAACTTCGGCGCGAGAAATGCTGCTTAGAGCGTTTCTTTGTCTGACCGACTGATGGTTGTGTCTGGATGCTGGATGGAACAGAAGAGAAAAGGAAACCTCATTTGTACATATATTTATCGAACCCCTTGAAGTATAGGGAGCCGCTCCTAACGGCTTATGGATTTGCATGGTCTTTTTGTGACCGAAAAAGACTCATGAATTGGAAACATCGCGTCTTCCACCTCTACCTCGACTTCAACCTCCTTGTGATGTGATCGTCACCTCTATCACAACACCTTCATCATCTTCGCATCTCTTTGATGCAACATACACCATCTACTTGGTAACCTCGTTGGGAGTAACAGCGAATGTCGGGCGGACGAAACTAAACAAACATCAGTGACAAGTCGGTGATACAGACAATGGTGTGGAAGAACATACCGGTCGCTGTGGTAGACCTTTGTCTCTGCGCCGAGCAACTCTCTCTCACGGGCCTTGTCGGCAAGGTGACGACGGACTTGGTCACGGTCCTCCTCTGCTTGCAGCATGGGGATAAGGTGGATACGAGACCACATCTTTTCGCGAGCGAGTTCGCTGTGAGGCACAAAGATCAGCATTTACTTCTTTCTCAAAATCCAAATCCGGCCAATTGATTCTGTAGATTTTCGTCTGCGCCTCGTATAGCCATTCTCTTCCTGGTATCGCTGCTATACGGTATTCTCCACCTCTTGCGCGTTCTTCCGTCTCTTCCTCTGTTCTTGGACCCGGCTGCTCAATTGACTGGGAAGATTGGAATCGGAGAATCTCACTTTTGTTCGCGGATACCCTGGCCCACACGCCAGAAACCGTAGGTGCAGATGGCGCCGACCATGATGAGGTAGGTCGCGGGACGGAAACCGCGGGCGGGCAAGTTGCGCTTGTATTGCACGGGCTCGTAGCCGCCGGTGGGCGGCATATCCTGAGGCATGGTGGGCGAGTTGTGTGTGGGGGGTATACGGTAGAGTGGGTGGATAATTGACGGATGCGATTGAGAAGGCGTGGGTGGGATTGTCTATTGCTCGTCGGCCGGTATGCTGACCTTGCTGCTTGCGACGAGAGGTGCAATGTGAAGGCTTGGCGTGCTTGAATCGGTGCTCACGTCGGCGACTCGACATATGACTCGAGCTTAAGAATTTCTTCCCCACCAGCGCAACTGCAACAGCGACGACTTTGCGAACTTCCACACGATCAAGTACAGGAAAATGGAACAAGACGAACGGCCAGCAAAGATACGCAAACTCAGCAGCCATCATGAGCGCGACTTGGCACCTCAGTCGGCGCCTGCTGTCGACAAGGATGCCACCATGCAAGATGCTGCCACTGCTACGGCCCCGGATGCTGGTATTGCACCGACACAACCACCTACCGCGCAACCCGTAGCTGATGCCACCGAGGCCACAATCTCAGCTCCTGCAACATCACAATCCCAACCTCAAAACCTCTCCGCTGGCACAACAACCGCAACAACCTCCACCGACAACACCACTGCCACCACCGCACAAACCCCCGCAAATGCATCCCAACCTCCTCACACAACAGCATCCACCACAACGACTGATCCCCCAATCTCCAAATCAATGCAAAAGAAACTCCGCAAACAAGCCGAATGGGATGCCAAAAAGGGTGAGCGCAAAATCTGGCGCAAGGAAAAGAACCAAGCGAAGAAAGAGCGCAAACGCGAAGAACGGCGCACCAACCCGGACGCCTGGAAGGAAAAGCAAAAGGCCTGGGTGCGACCTACAATGCTACCCATAACCTTCGTCATCGATTGCGATTTCGACAATCTGATGAGAGATAACGAGAGGATTTCCCTGGGAGGGCAATTGACGAGATGTTATTCTGACAATAAGAATGCTGCGTTTAGAGCTCATCTTGCCGTGTGCAGTTTCAATGGAAAGTTGAGGGACAGATTTGATGGTATTCTCAACAAGAGTTATCAGAATTGGAAGGGTGTGAGGTTTTTGGATGAGGATTTCGTAATCGCTGGGGAAAAGGCAAAGGAGTGGATGGCAGACGATAAAAAGGGTGGACGATTGGGAAGTGTGTTTGCCAAATACGCTCCTGCTCAACCCACCATCACCGAAGAACAACAACAACCACAGCAGACCGAAACCGCCAGCGAACAAGCCGTGCCTCCTACCACGATCGAAGCACAAGATACCAAGCCAGAAGCCGCAACAAAGTCCAAACAACCACAATCCATCAAACCCACCTCCCTCCCCGCCGCCGACCTCGAAGCCCTGAAGCAACAAGCCGAAACCATCTACCTCTCCGCCGACTCCGACGTCACCCTCACGGAACTGAAACCCTTCAGCACCTACATAATCGGCGGCCTCGTAGACAAGAACCGCGAAAAGGGAATCTGTCAAGCCCGCGCCGAAGCCGCTGGTATCAAAACCGCCAGACTTCCCATTGGCGACTATCTAGCCATGGCGAGCAGAAAGGTGCTCACTACAAACCACGTGCATGAGATTATGCTGAAGTGGTTGGAATGTGGGGATTGGGGCGAGGCGTTTATGAAGGTCATCCCCAAGAGAAAGGGAGGACAGTTGAAGGGGTATGCAGGGGAGGGTGGAGAAGGCGATGACGATGAAGACGAGGAAGGTGATGCCGATAATGAAAACGACGACGTGCAGGATATCGAAGACAAAGAGGAAGAAGATGCCGAGGAGCAAAATGAGCAGGATGCCGAATTGGAGCAAAATGCCGGTGCCGCTACTGCTGAGACTTGAAACTGCTGTTCAAGCACTGAAACATTTACGTGTATATACTTTTTGCCTCATCATCATCTCTATTCACTACAAATGATCTTTCGCCTCTTGACATCAACGCCACTCTTGACTTTTACACTTTCAGAGCAATTCATACCCAAACATCTTTACTTTACCTTACCTTCTCATCCCCTTAACATCAAGATTACACACCACAATCCCATCAATTCCCATCTTCGCAGCTCTATCGCCTCTCCTCCATCCCCTCCTGTCTCCAGGGAAGGTGTAAGCTTATCTGTTAGTAGGACTTATGATATCATGTGCATCTCGGTAATGATAAAGAGAGCAGCTAACACTATACACGACACTTATCTCTATTATAAGGACCAGTAAAAGCTCAGGGATATTTCGAAAAAGGATGTTTCAATTAAAACATGAACGATATTGATCAAGAAGCAAGATATTTGATTGAATTGCGAAGGGAAGACCCCCTTGCAAGGTCCATGATGGATGGATGGATGGATGGATGGATAAAAAAAAAAAAAGGTATAGAAAAGCCGAATGTCAAAAACCCCCCCTTGAATTAATAAGGAGCAGAAAAAAACGAAAAGGAAAAAAAAAAACAAAGACCCAAATCCTCAAAGAAGGATTGATCTAATATTACTACCCTTACCACACCCATCTTCACCCTTCTCTTCCCCCCTTCCTCTACCTTCTACCTCGCACTCGGCTTGTCTTGAAAATCTCAATCCACACTTCCATCCCTCTCCCCCCTCTGCCCGTTCGACACCCTACTCAACCTAGACGTCCTGCCCCCCCTCCCATCATCAGTCCCAGCCAAACTCTCACTCCCAAAACTACCTCTTCTGTCTTTTTCCCTCTCGAGCATTCCCCTCAGATCTTCCAATTGCGTGTCCCTCTCTTCCAATCTCTGTCTCGCTCCTTTGCGATCGAGGAGACGTCCTTCTCTTTCAGCTTTAAGTCTTCTTTCCAATTCTTTGAGTCGGTGGATCCATCTTTGTTCTGAAGGCTGTAAAGGCGGTGTGGCGATGACGATGGAGGGGTTTCTCGTCGCGTTTGCCGTAATCGGTTGTTGTTGAAGCGTTTCTATCGCCGAACTGGAATGATGGCGCAATAAACTGCCACCCATACTCGCTCTGGGTGTGAGTTGATTGCTGGCTTCTCTGTCCTCTTTCTTTTCCGTTGGCTTCGGGGTGGCGGACTCGGCGGCGGATTTGTGGAATCGTATTTCGGCTCGAAGGATCTTAACCTCTTGCTTCAGTTTGGCGATTTCTTCCGTGCTGCGTGTGGAGCTTCTGTTCATGTTCTGCTGTGATTTGAGAACTGCGGATTCTTGTGCTTGCACTTCGATTTGGTTTTGTGCATCCTTGACCGCTCGTTCTAAGAAGTCCATCTTCTTGACGCGGACGTCAAGGTTTTGCTCGAGTGTTTGATAGTCTTTGCGAAGATTCTTTTCGACGGCGCGGATTTGCGATTTGCAATTGGACATCAGAGCTTCGAGCGTCTTTGTGGCGGAAAGAATGGTGTGGTGGAAGGGTTGGAGGGAGCGGGTGATAGTGTCGAGCGTGGGTGAGTCGGAGATGCTGGCTGTCCATTCGTTGCCGCAGAGAGTCGACAATCTGGTCCAGAGGGTGAAGAGAAGTTGATTGCGCTCGGTGAGTTGATCGCGGTATTGTTGTTCAAGCTGCATCATCTTGCGGCGGTCTTGGCTACGTGCTGTCTCGAGATCCAGGGCGCGAGACTCGTGTTGGGCCATCATGCGTGCGTTTGTAGAGTGGCCGCGCTGAGATTGCTCGAACTGGTGGAGGTCTTTTCGGCGTTGGGAGCGCTCTTTCTCCAACATATCTGACAGTCTGCGGCTCTCGAGACCACTGCTTTCGAGAAGTTGGTCTCTGTTCTTTAGCAAGCGGTCCTTTTCTGCCAGTTGCGACTTCGCTTCGCTGAGATCGTGCATAGTATTCTCCACTTCGTCTTGCATTCTCTGGATCTCCTGAAGCCAACCAGTGCGTCTATCACCAAGCACGCGTCTGAGACTGGTCTCGAGCTCTTCCAGTCTAGTCTTGTACTTTGTGGCTTCAGTCTCCGCTTGACGTAGAACCTGCTTGACACTTCTAACTTCATCCTTGGACTTCGTGTTCTCGTCGTTGAGGTCATCAATCATTTGTTGGACTTCTTGCTTGGACTGGTTGTCGACGATCTCGCGTTGGCGGCGTTCTTCGACAAGGCTTTCCTCAAGCTCTTGCATCTTCTCCTTCTCGTCTTGAATCATTTCCTGCGCCGCGTTGAGGCTATTCTCCAGGTCGCCAATCTTGATCTTGTCGCCTTCTTGCTCTTCACGTAGGAAGGAAATCTCACCATGCAAAGACTCTGCCTGAACCTCAAGCCTGTTGTTCTTCAGAGCAGTCTCTTGCAAGTTCTTCTCCATCTCATTCAGCTCTGCATTGGCTTCATCCAGTTCTTGCTCAAGCATTTCAATACGCTTCATAGCTGCTGTCCTGTCATCTTCAAGCTGAACTAGACTGTCATTGAGATTGTGCAACTCGCGCTGCAGAGCCTTGAAGTCGTCTTCTCGATCCTTGAGGTCCGAAGCAATGCGCTCACGTCCTTGTTCGGTCTTGTCAAGACTGTCCTCTAAATCTTCGATGGCACTAACAGCTTCGATTCTGAGTTTTTCGTGTTCGGCCTTGACGTGCTCGAGTTCTAGTTCTGTCGCTTCTAGCTGTTGAATGGCTTCGTTTCGCTGGTTCTGAACTGTCCTCAGATCTTCAACAGCAGCATCCAATTCGTTCTCAGAGATCTGGACAGCCTCTTCGAGTTCTGCGATAAGCTCGGTCTGCTCGTTGAATTGTCGTTGCATGTCCTGGAAGTCCAGTCTAAGAGCGGCGTTCTGGTCACGCAGGATGCCTTCACGTTGTTCGTAGCCATCTCTTTCAGCATCACTCATTCCCGTAGCTTGAGTTTGGCCGCTAGTACGAGATGTGGACCTCTGGTATTGATTTTGTCTGGACACGGAACGATCGAAGATACTTTCGCCCGTCATGGAGCGGCTCCCGTCGACTCTGCGATGAAGGAGTTTTAGGTCTTCGATCTCCTGCTGAAGACGTTCTCTCTCTCTGTTGCGAGATGTGAGCATGGATGTCTGAGCACCAAGATCGCGACGTAACTCGGCGTTCTCATGTTGGAGCTGATCGACCAGAGTGATACTGGAGGAGGAAGCGACAGCGCTGCGGTTGTCGATGTGGTCGGATTCGGTGGAATGTGAACGGAGTTGGCTCATTCTGTTGAGTCCCCTGCTTGCTTCTGAAGCCTTTTCGCTTCTAAGCATGATGACTTCTTCGCGAAGCTTACGGATGTCCTCTTCGGCTTGTTCTCTACGAGCAGTCTCTGTAGTGAGAAGGTCTTTCCACATTTCCTAGACATGTGTCAGCGTTCTTGTCTCGGATGTCTAAGACCAGGTACTCACGGATTCATCTTCCTCATGCTCTGGCCCTCTTCGTTCATTCATGGCAGTCATGTACTCTTTCATCTTACGCTTTTCCACCTCCTTGGCCATGTTCTCAGCAGTGAGGTGTGCAATTTGAATCGTCTTTCTATCAAGCTCTTCGCTGAGTTGGAGAATCTCATACTCGAGTTCTTCATGACCATTGCCAGCCGCCTCTTGAGCGAGCTTTTGCGCTTCGGCTAGGTCCAGCTCTGATTGCTTGAGCCTCTTCTCAAGGTCACGTATTTTGCGGCGCAGAGATTGGTTCTCCTTTCGCTCGTTGGCAAGATCGGTCTGGAATTGGACATTCTTGTTAATCATGTCCTTTACACCTTCTTCCGAACGATTCTGCAAAGCCTGGTCAAGGAAGTGGATCTTAAGTTTTAGATCAAAGTTCTCCTTGGTAAGCTTGTCGATCTTGCTGTTCTGCTCTTTCAAGGTAAGATTACCACCTGGGCGATTGCTGAACGTAAGCGCGTTTGAGGAAGATGCTGGCCGCTTGTCAGGGGAGATGGGACGGTTCTGCTGTCGGTACTCTTTTGCGATGGTGTCGGGTACTTGAATGTTCTGCACATGACGAGTGATGATGGTGTCTGTTGGGGCATGGAACTCAAACATGTCTGGAGGACGGGGTGTAACGGGATCAGAGGCGATGGATATCTTGTCCTCCTCTTCTAAACTACCTAGAGCACGTTCTGCGCGGATGCTTGCCAGTACAGAGTTGCCACGGTTCAATGGAGGAGGATTAGGCTCGCTGTCTCTAGACATGGCCGACACAACACTGCCGAGACTGGGCAGTCTTGAGAGTGGACGGCCGTGGCTGAATGAGTGATCTTCGGGGATAGCACCACCAGTCTGTAGAGCGTAGTCACCAGTTGAGTATTCTGTATCGGCGTTGGAGATGGCAGAGAGGTGGCTGGGATTTCTTTGAGAGATGTAACTAGGTCTCTTCTGTAAGCGTGACGAAGCGGAGTGAAGGCTTCCCATGTCGAGCAAGCTTCTATCTGATATCGGCAAGGGGATTTCCTCTGGCTTTGTTGAGGCGGAAGTTGTGGAGAGGAAGGAATGTTCTGGATCTTGCGGCGCATCTCGTTGCGAAGGCTCTCTGGATGAATGCGACAGGGCAGCTTCTCCAGAAGAAAGAGACAAGACGCGTTGGTCTTCGGACGATGGAGCATATACGGACACCCAGGAGGCGGATCTTTGTTCGGCGTCTTTGGAGGGATTAGAGCGTAGAGTGAGTCTTGTAAAGGCGGTCGACAGGTCGTGATCGTTGTTGGATGAGCGGCGTACGGGCTCTGCGCGCATCGAAGAGCGTTCGGCGGCCGCGGCGGCAGGGGACGAGGGTTGTACGATAGGAGCGGATGCGACTGAAGCAATTTCCTCCTCTTGATCTTCCTCTTCTTCCTCTTCCTCCTCTTCCTCATCAATGTCGTCCTCGGTCTGCTCCTGGATGGGTGGAATGTCGCTGTCTTGGTGGTGTTTGATGTTGAGGTAGGTATCGTCGGCACCAGTCCTTTCATGGGACACACGGGTGGACAAAAGGTCGGGCATGAAGCTAGACTCGACATCCATGAGCTTCCTCCTCATCTCGCGCTCGTCGAGAGCATCAATGTGCGTGTTGTTGACATGTAGCAGGCTGTCATTGGACATGGGCAACGGCGGGAGGTCCGAGTCGTCTTGGTCGTACAAGTCATGGTGCGGAGAGAAGGTTTCATTGTGGTCGTCATCGTAGTCATCCTCTGGGTATAGGTCGTCTTCACCGTGGTATGGATGGTAGTCGTCGATGGATTGTTTACTGCTTTGTTGATGGTCTTTGACTTTTCGAGATGAGACATCATCAGCGTCGGCGGCGCGGTCGGCCAAAGGCGCGGGCGAACTCATCTCCTAATCAATCCGGTTGGCGAAAGAGAGGAACACGTCGCTGCCAGATCGCAGATAACTGCGACTTGCCCATGGATGAAGCATCAACAACTGCAGATGAAACGTCCGACAAGCAAGCAGGCTGGGGCTAGCTTGGAACCTTGCCCGAAATGCTCGGTCCCCGAGGCCTTGTCTATTGTTTATTTCCACCGCGTAGTTTCTTGTAGGATATATCTAGAGATGCTTGATACCAGTTGTCTGTAGGAATATGAACATAATTTATCTTGGACCACTCGAACTCGTTGTGGTAAAAATCGTCTGTCTACCTACTTTGCGCCGCGCTTGCACTTGCCGAATCCGGATCATCAAAGCCCGAAGCAACTTCTCCACCATCGCATCTGCAGCGCTCGACCTGCCCTGCACCGACTACTCGAGTACTCATCAATCATTCTTCTCATAACTACCTTATCGCAACTACATCAACATTGCTCATTTGACGAGAGCGCTACAACACACTGAATCCTTGCGGGCAATAGCATTGTCTGCTGAGGTTACGCCCCTTAAATAGCTTCACAACGAGACAAGCATAGGCCAAGGTTCGAAAGCACGTTTTGAATACTCGACTCTACACATTTTGGCTCGACAGAATCCCCCCTCCTTGACATATCGGGACCGACTACTACAGCTCCTTCTCCGGCCTTGCCATCATGCTAAACACATAGGTCTCCAGCTTCTCCATGCTGATATGACCGTCATCTGCCGCATTTGTGAGGCTCTGTTCGAACTCGTGTCCAGAGTATTTCTCAACAACTGGGAAGATGAAATGGAAGGTTTGCAACTTCTTCTTGGCCTCCATCAATTCGACCTGCTCTTTGTGGATTCGGTCGACCATCTCGTTCTCCAAAGAGTTGCCTGCCGCCATGGCTTCTTCCAGCTTCTCCTCGACGATGTCGTGCTTGATCATAAGATCATTTAGCTCTCCTTGGAGGCTGTTACGATCGCCCTTGACCCTCTCCATTTCTTTTCTGACGTCGTTTAGCTCAGACTGGAGGTTGAGGTAATCCTCCTCAAGCGCTTGTGCCTTCTCCAGCGCCATCCTGAGATGATCATGCTTGATCGTAAGGTCTTGGTCTTCACTCTCGATGCTCTCCAGTTCCACCTCGAGACTGGTGTGTTCAGTCGTCAGGTCGTCCACATCGCGGCCAAATCTGACGTTACGTATGACCCTCACAAGTTCCTCCTTGAGCGCGGTGCGATCGGCGGCGGATTGCCTCAGTTGTTCTTGGTATGCGTCGCGAGAAAGCTTGGTCTCTGACAAATCCGATCTCATCTCATCCAGATGCTGGTTGTGCAGGATCTTCATGTCTTGGAACTTTCTCTGGAGGTCGTCGCGCTGACACTTGATCTCCTCCAACTCTTCATCGAGGTTGTTGCGTGCATCGTCGATTGCATCCAGTCGGTTCTGCAAGGTGTCACGCTCGCTCTTGGCCTCATATAAGTCTCCTTTGAGCTCGTGTTGGTAGGCGGTCATCTGGTCAAGATGCTGTCTGTGGTTGAACTTCTGATTCTCAAGCTCTTTTTCCAGCTTGTGGCAGTCTTTGTTGGCTGTGGCAAGCTTCTCTTCAGTGGTGGGTCGCTTCGGGTCGTTTTCTCTATGTTCCTCGATAAGATCCTTCACCGCGCTCACATTTGCTATGAGCCTATCGCGTGTAGCTCTCGCATCACGAAGTCCGGCTGTGAGTTCTTCTCGGACCACAGACAGATGTTCACGATAGTTGTTGGTCTTTTCCTGGAGCTCTGCTTCAAGTTTGAGACCCTTGTTGTTGGCTGTGACGAGCTCTTCCTTGATCTTGAGATACTCGATGTTGGCTTTGGCAAGTTCTTCATGGGCGCCGTCCAGCTTCTCTTCGACTTCTTCCAGTTCAAAGGCAATATCTGCAAAATCGGCCTCGAGTTCATCGCGGTCGGTTTTCTCATCGGACAACTCATAGCGGAGGTCGACGCATTCCATTTCCACTCCGTAGCAGCGTGCCTTGGTACGTGCCAAGTCGCTATTAGCTGTGGCGAGCTCTTCCTGGACGGCGAGCAGCTTCTTTTCGGCTTCCTCCTTCTCACAGGCAAGATCTGCCATTTGAATCATCTCCAAGTCGAGGCCGTATGTCGTGGACCAGACTTCATCGCGATCGACTTTGACGTCAGCCAACTCCGTGCGAAGGTCGTCGCGTTCCTTTTGTGCTAGAGCAAGTTCGTCTTGCACCTCATCGCACCATGCCTTGGTATGTGCCAATTCGCTTTTTGCCATCTCCAAGTCACTGATGGCCTGTTTGGAGCTGGCCACGGTCTTGGAACGCTCCTTTTCGACATGGTCCATAGTATCCTTGAGATATTTGTATTGCTCATCGGACTCGTGCTGGTACATCTGGAACTCCTGCTGCTTTACGTTTTCCAAGGTTTCGAAGTGGGTGAGAGTATCTCTGAGCTCTTGAGCGTGCTCGCTCTTCAGCGTCTCGATGGTCTTTTGCATCAAGTCGAAAGTCGCAACTTCTTGCTCTCTGAGACGCTGGATTCCCAAGTTGGATTTTTCGGCATCTTGGCTCTTTTGTTCGGCGAGTGCTTCAGCGGCCTTCAGCGATTTTTGCCTTTCGGTGAGGACGAGATCTTTGTCGTGGATGACTTGTACCAGGTCGCTGATGCCCGTGACGTGATCCATCTCGTTTTCCTCGATCCCCAGACGCAGTCTTGCAGCTTCATCCCTGTTCTCTTTGGCCAGTGCTTCAGCGACCTCTAGCAATTTCTGCTTTTCGGCAAGCATGGTGGTCTTTTCGTTGATGACGTGTTGCAGCGTAGTCAGATCCTTCGAGTGCTTGGACTTCAAGTCTCCGATCTCCAAGCGTCTACTTGTCTCATTTGTGCTCCTCTGCACGGTAAGTCCCTCCACAACCTCCAAAAGCTCCACCCTTTCATCAACAAGGTCTTTCTTTTGCTTGAGCAAAAGGTTGGTTTCATTGAGAAGGTCATGTTTTTCCAACACAAGGTCATTCTTCTCCTTCAGTATAGCTTCCTGTTCATCGACAAGTTGGACTCGCTCACTCCAGCATTCTTCGATTTCGTTCTGGAAGTCTTTGAGTAGAGATTCCAAGTTTTCGCACTTGCGTGCGTGGTCGAGTTCTTGTTCTTCTGTGCAGGTGCTTTCGTTTGAGCTGGTGGAGTAGGAGCTTTCGCAGATGCTTTCGTTGTCGCTGCTGATGGAGTGGCAGCTTTCGTCGTCGCTTTCGCAGATGCTTTCGTCTTCTGACTCGACTTCTTCTGACTCGGCTTCTGATTCGACTTCGGTGTCAGAGAAGGGGGAAGTTGGGGGAGGGGAGGAGATGAAATGTTGTTCTTCGGTTACGGATGGTTCGTTTGAGCTGGTGGAGCTGAGGATGGACCAGTTGTCTTCTTCATCGAAAGAGTGGGCGGCGTTGATCTCCATACCCTTGATGCTGGAGGTGCTCATCTCTGCGGTCTTGTCGTTGGCGACCTTCATCTCCATATCCTTGGTATAAGTACCTGAAGCCATGATGTGAAGAGGTATCAAAAGGTTCAGTTTGTGTAAGCTGTGTAATTTGTGTCGGAGTCAGAAAAGGCAAGTGGTGTGAAAGTGTTGCGTCGACTTGCTACTTCTTTTCTTTCCAAATATCGTGTGTAGAAAAAGAAAAAGACAAAGCCAACTCGAAAAACTTCGCAATTTTATTCCTACCTCACGCGAACGAGTCATAAGTTTTTTCTTCTTCCTTTGCTGGTTATCTAACTCATTCTTATGATTCACCCCGGAATCATTGGTTGTAGAGGTAATTTTTCTCCGCCTCTAGGCTCTAGGGATGTTGGGGATATCAGTATCATGCTATATAAATCTTCCCATCACCTTCAATCATCCAAACTCCTCCTTTACATAGACAAAAGAGGTATTTGGTTTTTTTTAGACACCTACCTTGTATGTGATGTGATGTGATATGATACTATAGAATGATCATCTATCGCACGCTGGTTTTCCATGTCGTCATGTATTCATGAGGCTCAATGACGCTCAAACTTTCTCTGTCTGGAGGCCCATCCACGAGGTAGGTTTTAGCACGTGAATACCATGTGTGTTAGAATATTCTTGGAAATAGCTACCCTGAATTTGATAAAGATGAGATGATGCAGTGTAGCATGGAAGTTACAGATTTACATGTTCGGAAGGCGCGATTGTTCACGGAAACGAGTTATTTTTAATAAAGAGTATAAATGCCGATTGGGGTGGTGCGAACAAAACCCACCACTTCAACGAATGTCGGGGAGATAGAACACGGCATGTAGAGTCACTGAAATTATTGCACTGGTCAATGGAAATATTTATGGAAGGGAAGTCCCTTTGATGGATAATAGTATGATCTAGAAAATCCTCATTCTGCTGTATTAAAGTGTGGAGACAAAAAAAAAAGAGGACAGAGCAAAGTGTTTGTCATGATGATAGGCCGTAAAGAATGTTTCTGCAACAAATGAAACCATAAAGTTCGTGTTCTCGGGTTGAGAAGCCCTCTGATACCGAGCTTCATTATTGGCACGAAGAGGAATATGTTCTGCTCTTGATACCGAAGCCGTGGGAGGTCATCTGACAGAACAACAAATCCTAGAAGAGGAAAGATAAGGTAGTGGAAAGAAAAAGACGAGTTGTGAACAAAGGAGGGAAAGAATCAGTCCACTGTCAAACTATGCTCCAGCTCTGAGGAAGGGATGTTAGTTTCCAGTTGGAGAACTCGGATACCGTTGCAAATGTTGAGTCGTGCTGCGTAGCGGGTATCTAGGTGGCCTCTGCAGCTTGACCATGTCAGACTCAATATCCTTGTCTCGCTGGATGTGTGCATTTCTCAAAACACCGGGGATTCGACCGTTCGTTTGCTCAAGTGGAACATCTCTGAAAGGTACAAAGTCAGGTGAAAGAGCTCCAGGCTCATGTCTGGAATGCAGGACTTGCGTCCAGCACCAGATGAGCTGAGTACGTCGTTTCTCTATGAGCGTGAGGATCTGGCTTTCCGAGAAACTTCGAGATCTTTCGTACAGCTGATTGATTGTATGTGCGTCTAGTGAGTTGATAGGGAGGGGGTGAGAGATGGTTGTGGAGAGAGTGGAGGTGTGAGGTGTGGCTGCTTTTATGAGAGGCTGCTGGGTAATGGATAACCCCCTTCGGTTGAGATCTTCATCGTCATCTTCGGTTGTCGCCAGTGTACGAGGACTCTTCTTCCCTTTATCTCTGGCTTTGTTGATGGTAGAACTCGAGCGAGAAGCTTTTATTCGCCCGGAACAACTGACACGAGTGGAGATGGGTGAGTTTGTCCTTGCGTTGGTAGATGCTGGCTCTTTGTTTGTGCTTGGATCCACCGGATCTTCGAATGATCGAACAGCACTCGCAATGGTAGACACAACACTGTCGTCTCTGGGCTCTCGCTTGATTTCTGGAGTGTTAAGATTATCGCCAGATGGAAATCCAAGTCTCAAGAGGGGTGTTTGAGGCCGCCCGAAAAACTCTTCGTCGTCTTGGTGGTCATCCTCATCGAAGCATTTCCCCTTGTTACTAACGCCATTTGGCTCCAAGCCCTTCTGATTCGTGGCTAGTCGGACAGGGTTGACATACTCGCACTCAACATGATCGACGCTTTTGCCTTGACTTTTGACAACCGCCTGGTAAGCTAGTTGAAGGTCCACTCCAGCATCGAAGTGTTCAACCAGTAGGGGTGCCAGAGTACTGTCAAATCTTGCTTGCGAGATAATGCGATCGGGAATTTTCCGCTTCGTATAAGCATTTCGAGCCGACGACGGAAAGTAACTGAGATCGGACCCAATACATTCACGTAAAAGATACTGGTGAGCATCTTTGAACTCTGTAAAGGGTGGAATAGGGCCTCTGGTCTCATTGGCCCAATCAAGCATGACTTTTTCGTCGAGTGGTGATGAAGGCCATATCTTGTTTAAAATTTGGGTGTGGGTCAATGGAATAGCCATGAATGGTGGCCCATACAGTGTCCCATCCCCGTGAGGGCTCCAGAGTCCAAACACACGAATCGCTTTGGCAGCCTGTCGGCCAGCTTCGAGACCACCATACCATAGCGCAAGTTCCACGAAATGTGCAGCCGACAAGCTCCTTCTCGTGATTCTCGTGGTTACAGCTTTCTGAAGGTATTTGGTGACATCCCAAGTCTCCTGAGTAACCAAGGGGTCTCCAGACTTTCCAGAAGCTTTTTCGGCGTTGTCGACAAGCACAGAGGTGCCTTGAAGTAAGTCTTGAAGAAAATTGAGAACGCAGGCTTGATCGGGCTCATGTACTATCGTTTGTGCCAACGAAACCCACATTGCCTTGTGATCTTCAGTGATATGCTCGGATGTCATGAACCTTTTCAAGGCCTTGAAATCACAGATGCCATCTATGACACCATGCGACTTCGAAGGCCAATCGAAAGGTAAATTTTGCATGACCTGTCCTGGGACAGGGAGCGATGACCGTGCGACCAAAGCATTTTCTTGGTTGGTCTGGTTCAGACCGGGCTCACCACCGCTGGTAACACTGTTTCGAGAGTCACACGAGCTGCGTTCATACTCTAGAACATTGTCCGACTGTTCCAAGGGCGGATCATCGTTGTCCGCTTCAGCATCGTCCACTTCATCGTGTTCTTCGACGATAGCTGGCGATCTGACGTTACCAACGGCAAGCCTAGGTTCGACCGGAGACGACGAGACACTATTGCTACGAAGACGTTTGGTGTATTCGTGACGTCCGTGAGTGTTTGTCGGAGATGTTGGAAGTGCTCGCTTGCTCATCTTGTCCATCCTGTTCACATCACAGATTAGCATTCCTGAAGGCATCGCAGGTGATCAAGTAACGACTTACTTGATCTGTTGCGATATCTAGAGATTGACTGCAGAAGACGAAGATGGCGTTGATGGTAAATCTGCAACCCAGATGGGAGGGTGGCTAGCTGGCTGATATAGTATCTGCTTCGGGAGACAGAAGCTTCCAGGCTAAAGTCCCAGCAAACGATACTGCCATCAAAGCAGAGTTCGGCGTTTTGTTGAGCATGAGTGTCCAACAAAGTGGTGAGTTTGTATGTTCAGAATTAATCCGATGTCGAGAAGTAACGCAAATTTTGGGACAAATTTTCAATTGTGAGCAGATACGAAGAGCAAACACTTCCTTTCAATCCAGCCTTTTCTCATTGATTATTGATATATCACTGCGACCACAAACTACATTGCCCACCAGCCTTCGAAGCTTTGTTCTCAGCTCATCAATATTGACCCGAACGAAATGTCTACAGCATGTACATCTCCGCCATCGATGACTTTGGCCTCGTTGTGTTGTTAAAGCTGTCCTACGCGATATGTTAGAACCAAAATATATATAAGCAAAACGGTTGCGCCTACTGTTCCAAATTTATTTGCAAAAAACAGAGTAAGATGTCCATTGCGTGCTTTCATCATTGCTGCTGCAACAAGTCCCGAGAGCATCGCACCCGACATCAGAGCAGTCGGTCTTGGCATGGACAGTTACCTGGCATCCGTGTACGGTCCCGCCGTTCTGCATAGCCGAATCGAAAATCCCGCCGAGGGACTGGCAGGCCACACCAACATTGGCTGATTGCGAGGTTGTAGCCGATGTTCCAGAGCATTTGAACTCAGTGTACGTATCGAACGACCATTGAGCATGGCTCACGGCGCAGATACTGCTCAGAGTAGTGGCGAGGAATAGGAACTTCATATCGGTGACAGAAAGAGGTCGATTGTGGCTGGATGATATCGAGCTTTGCGTGAAGTATAATATATGGGAAGAGATGAGGTGCGGAGGAGATTCTTGGGCATGGGCTTTGGCGATACTCCATTATATGCCCAAACCTTTATGCGAGGGCACCGCCTGGACATTTCTGATCTACGGTCAGGATGACGGTGAAGGCATAGACAGTGTTACATTGGTCCACGTAACATAGGCGCGTGAGCAAGATCTTCGGTCCAACAAGCGTTTGATATCTTTCCGAAGCATGTATTGACCTGGGCCCCGTTGCTATATTGTCTTCAGAGTTCGTCGGCTTGAAACCCTTCCTATTGCTCACTCTGTAGGATATCGATAGTGTTACATCGGTCCGCATGACATGAGCGCGTGAACGACAATCTCGATGTATGCTATCGTTTCGAAGGAGTAGCTTTGCAGTCTCCTCAGCGACATCTCTGATCATGTATCTCGCCCCAATGGGAGTAAAGTTCGCCGTTTAGAACTCTTGTCTGAGACCAATCCTGTAAGATTCCCGTAGTAAGAGACCGTATCAAAGTTCCTACTATAACATATGCCACCATGGTATTGGGACTGATAGCGGTTCGTAAAGTGCTTGCCGAGATAGAAGATCCTCGCTTGCTTAGTCGTAGCTGCAATAGCATGAACCGTACTCGTACTGAGGCATAGTGTTGTATGCAGATCGCTCGCAGAGACATAAGATCTCTGCTTGTTAGGGTCGGCACAGCTTGGAATACAGATAACATTCTGGGTATCTGGGACTTACGGCCGTACGCGAATTGGCTGGCTAAGACATCGGATCTCTGCTCATCTGATTCTCAGTCGAAGCGACTATATAGCACATACCGCCACTTACTCAGAATTACGGCCGTAGATGAATTGCTTGCGGAGATAGGCGATCCTTACTCGTTCTAGTCGGGTGTTCTTTTGGTCCGAAGGAGCCAGAGAGCTTAGCAGCATTAAGACAAAGCTTAGTGAAGCTTGGTTTGACTACCATCCAGGCAGACTACGTGCGCATTCACGTATTCCATTCATTAGCTCAAACGGCTCTCCTTAGTAACAGTAGCCACATCCATATCTCGCCGCGTGCCAATGCCTCGAGGGGATTGAGAAACATGACTGAGGTGGTCTTTCCCAACGTAGCATTCGAAGTGGAGATTCCTGCTTCCCACATTCATGCTGACGGATCATCCTATATTCCTCAAAGCATCTAACCGAGATGACGTGGTGGCCTTCTCTGCAGAGAAGTTCCCAGCGGAAGAAGATCCAGCGCTTGTCATAACTGGTAGTAGGTATAAGTTCAGCGACCTTTCCCGCTGTCATTCGTTTCTTGCTCGACACAACTCAACACTCACAATCATATCCTTGCCTTCCTCAAATTATAAATACCAGTCTTTTAAGATGCATCCAGCCACCATCGTTCTTACGCTTTTCGCAACACTGACACTGGGATCCTCTCAGAAGATTGTCGTCTATTCCGACGACGCCTGCGCGACCCAAATCACGACTTTTGACTCCTCTATGGGAAGCGAAAACTCCTGTCAATCTCTCCCTTCGGGCATCGGCAGCTACGAGGTCACGAATGATGCTCACAACTGTGAGGCTGCCTCGGGAATAACCGAGTACAACCTGTATTCGAACACAGGGTGCTCAGGCAACGCAGTGATTAGCACCTGCTACGTTGGTTGCACGGCTGTGGGTGATGTTACTCTGGGGTCGTGGCTATGGCAGACTGCTTCCGACCCTGTGGACCCTCCGAGGATCTGAGACAGATTAAGTGCAAGGAGGAAGGGGAATCGACTTGGGCTTCAGAGAATCATGGGTTAGAAGCGGCACTGTGGAGACACAAACCGCAGCATTGTAACGTGTGCGTAATGGGACACTCTGCGTGCGTAGACAGGTATCGAGAAATTCAGATCATAGTTCCCAACCTCACCAATTAGAAGCTGTGATCCATCACTCACTGTCCTCCCATCATTCATCTAGGCGGCGGACCAAGTGTCATATCGTATTTTACTCCCGGCTGCCAGGTCGCCTCGCATCGCCTCGATGCCCTATCTTTCCGCCGCGTACAGATGCCATGGCCCATAGAACTTGATTACGAGAACAGTCTTGCGGCTGGAGTCATGGGGTCAAGTAGATCATGAAAGGTTCGCATTGACTCGAAGACAACCAAGATCAATCGTTAAGTAAGGTCTGATCTGGAATCATTGTGATCGTAAATTCGTGGCCTGTGTTATTTTCTTCTGTTTGTGTGCTGTTGTTTCAATCGTCAGGGTATTCATCCTTGATATTGCTAATAAAGACTTTGTTCTCCTGGTCCCAGCGCTTGAAGTAGCGACCAGCAAGTTTTAGCAAATTCTCAGATGGGTCTTCTTGGAGTACCACGATGTTTTCTTCTGCTACATAGCGTAGAGACTCATCTTCGCATCTGTGAACATGTTAGCATGGCTGTGATGACATAAGTACTGGCAGAAACTCACATGATATGGTAGAAGCTTTGTTCGCGACCATGGGGAAGGTCTTCAACGCGCATACTCTGGATCCAGAATTCGCCGGCCTGGCAGCTCGGATCCCAACCAATGACCGCACCCACATAGCCATAGCGTACGTGTCGGAAGATTTGTCCCACTTTGTGTTTGACTAAGGATGTGCGCTCGTCTCGAGGAGTAACAGGATTCGCATTGGCATCTGCAACTCGAATCTGCTGCAAGACAGATGCCAGTCTAGCCTTTGCTTCCGCTCCGTCTAACATAGGCAAGACAAATTTTTCGAATAGCAGAGCGTCATCAAGCCACAGCCCATCTTGAACGTAGCCTTCGAACCAATTTACTATCTGGTTGAGCCAATGTTGATGGCGCACAGCTAGTTCACGACTCTTAGGGGCGTCGACCTGGCTCATGGTTATCAGACCCCACAGCGCGCAGAATGCAATATTGGGGGTTTCCCATCCTGGTGAAGGACGATGGAATTGCATAGATCCGATGATGTTAACACCATTTCTCAAGACCAAAGCTCGGGTGTGAGCTCGAGTCAAGCAAGAATATTGGCTTTCTGGCGTGTTGTAGTGAGGCATCTGGTCGAGCATGTCACGCATCGTCTGCTCCGTAAGAATCTCATCATTTTCAAATGGGTTCATCCAAACAACACCATCGGGAATGGTATGATTTGCGCGTGTGTCTTTGATCGAAAGACCGTATGAGCTCTCAATAACGGCATGAATTTTGCCAGGGAAGTTGCATGGCCAAGCTTTGACACCAAGTCGTTCAGCGACGCAGCAAAAAATGGCGACCGACTGCATAGGGATAGAAGATTTGTCGGTAGGGTGTTTCAATACGTGGCAGATGAAGCGATATCTCATATGACTGAAGGTCTCTGGGGAACAGCCCACAAGATTGTGCTCTCTCAAGTACTTTGAGATGGCAACGGCTTTAGCGATATAGTCTTTGTCACGCCAGTCCGGGTCTGAAGATTCGACAGCATGAGCGAGATCGTCAAGCTCCTCCCTCAAGACTTCGAGTTCGAAATCGCTGCTGCTACCCTGAATGAAAAGATCAAAGGCGCCCAAGGCCTCTTCAAGAGGCGGATAGTCCTGATACTGCATCTTATTCCATGTTTGTACCGCCTTGTAACGGTGCAGCAACTCGAGAATAACACCACTCCAATATCGGCGGGCAAGAACGTCATCAGCGTCATGGGGAGCGTGAAGTTGGCGCACCAGCATGTCTTTGGCATCGTAGGAAAAGTCCTCTACAATGTCGTGCATGCGCGCCATGCGGTTTTGTTGGGTGCTTAGAAGGTCGTTGAAGATGGTCAAGAAGCGTTTATCCTGAATGACCTTGTCGGCGTAGGCCTGCTTCCACTGGGTTGTTGAGTGAAGGTTGTAGTCCGGGATTGGTCTGTCTTCCCGCTCTTCCCAATACCTCCATTCCTCACGACACCAGCGTCGCCAAAGTGAGGCGGTATTCGAGATCTTGTACAGGCGTTTCGAGCCTTGGCCGAAGTTGGCGGCGGCGGAGGCGCTGAGGTGAAGGAAGATGTTGTGGATCAACTCGTCCGGCAGGTCAAGTAGCGTTGTGGAAGCCATGGTGGTGAGCTGTATGCGATGGCTCGGTGAAGGTGAGTGCTGGTAGCATTGAAACAATAGACTAAAAACTTGGACGACTGAACGGCAACTCGATCTCGCCTTCTTCCTGGTCGTGACGCGATAAAGTTGCCCTCGCAGAAGCAAGAACCGATGACGACCAAAATGCGGAGCGGCGAATCTTCGGCTTTCCGGCTTCCGTCTTCCAAGTTTCAACTCTGCCGTTTCCTGTAATCACATGTCCAAAATCAACATCTGCCGTACCACTCTTGTCGGCGCGCTAGTCGCCAATCTTCAAGAAGCAAAAAGCCTTCTGGTTATGGACAGCCTTGGAACAAAACTACTGTCTATCTCCAACTCCATAACCGCTCCCAAGCTGCCAGCCTCCCGTATACTCTGCTATCACAGCATTGGCAGCATGTCTTTGAGAGATACGGCTTCAGCTCTGTAAGAATCAAGAGCACACATCTCCCTATATTCGCCTAGGTCTGTTTTGACAACCATTGACGTGCTCTTTTGCGGCGTATCAACTACTCCGTCTTGTTGCCGACATATCCACACTCGCTTCGCAACCATGCCACGAACAAAGACGTCTTCAATGAAGCCATCAGGGGCTTGCTTGGCCTATTAAGGACTTGGGAACTCGAAGCTTCAAGGCATCAGGGGAATCCCTCGGTAGCTTGGAGCTGCGTCTCGATGCCTGCTGCGACATAGAATCCGGCGAGGGCCCTGCTGAGTTCCACTTTGACGTCCTGAAATCTAGCGCCAATTCTCGCTTCGATCTGAATGAAGAGCTTCAGGTCGTCTATCGCATTGACTTCCTCGCTCTAGAAGCTCGTCTCGGTAGTGCCCCATCTACAGCTATGTGCCAGTTTTACTACTGCCATTTTACATCTGCAAATAATCGACTTGGAATATCTGGACCCAAATCAACAAACATGAGACTGTGCGTAAAGATCAGAGAATTGCTCTAGCTAATAATCTAGCATCACTGAACCTACCTCGTCTGAGATTTTCACTTATTGGATACTATGGCACGACCGATGCTCACAACCATTTTTACAGCTGCAGCAGCCTCGAACAGAACTGTTTCGACACGCTGAATTGCTATCCGAAGGGTCTACCAACGTTCCTGTCTGAACAAGCTGTATCTCAACAATGCTCTTGTATCGGCTCAACTGAACTCGAGCTCTGGCGAGACAACAGCATCCAGATGGCCTACTCTTCGACGATTCTCCATAACAGGCGGCATAATCCTTCCCAACGGCGAGTGGTATTACACAGGATATCCTGACGTCTTAGAGGCAGGCTTGGGCACACCGCACTTGAGCAGTGATAGTGAGCCTGAGACATCTGATTCGGGAGGTGGTTTGACTGATCTCGAGGACAACTCAGACCACGATGCAACAGCCAGCAGTTCAAGATCATATTACCCTTGGCGGACGCAACCGGACCCGGACTCGTTTAGTGCACTAATCAGAAGTGTGGCTGCCGCGATACCACGTATGCCTGCACTCCAAACAGGTGATATCGAGCTTGGCTCCGAAGACCGTCCCCCTGTGATACTTGTTCTTAAATTTGCTGCGGTCGGCTGCGCATTCCAGGACCGGCCTGATTACCGAACAAGAGATACACAAGAGGATATGAGGTCGCGAAGGCTGCAGATCTGGAATGGTCGTGGAGTCGAGACGTTCCTCTTCCAATAGACCAAGGCCGTATTGATGAAGTGTCTTGGCCCTGATGGCTTCTTGATGATACATACATACCCCCCAGTTCAGAACGGGTACGAATGCGGGGAGCGGGCAGCTAATCCTGATTAGGAAGGACATGAAGATAATCGTGAAAGCCTAAAGATAACCAACGGCTGCCCGAATCCTTTGTAGTACAGTACGTGGGATTCGCAGGATCCGCAGGATTGTTGTCTGGTCATTTGGCACCCCTAAACGCGCCTCTTCTTGCACCGAGGCTTGTTGGAGATAAGTACGTCGGCAAGCCATACTTGGCGCACGCTTCATTGGACAAGACGAGCTTATCAATGGAACATTGTGGTTGACGGATGGTTGCATTCCGCAGCGCATTTCCCGCAGCGCTCCCCGAAATGCCTCAAAACATGGGTGGCCGCCGCTGCCGGTTTCTATCCACGTTTTCTCTTTGATCTTGTGTCGCAAAGATGAGTAGCGAATCCAAGACTTTCGACGACAAGCACGCCCAGGCTGGGGCAATCGGCCACAATGTCCACGACTCGGATGACCGCGACATTGTTGTTGGCGAGCAGAATGCGCTGCACAGAGATCTCAAGGGTAGACACATGCAGATGATCGCTATGTGAGTAAACCGACTAATCTCGAGTTTGTCGCTGTCCTGACCAAAGTTCTAGTGGTGGCGCAATTGGTGCTGGTCTCTTCATCGGCTCTGGTGGTGCTTTCCAAACTGGTGGTCCTGCCTCTGTGCTCATTGGCTTCATGCTCGTTGGAATTCAAGTGTAGGGTCTCTGCCGTTGATGGTTTTGTTCTTGTCTGACGTCAACACGCAGCTATTTCATGATGCAGGCTCTTGCAGAAATGTCCGTCATGTACCCAATCAACGGTGCTTTCGCAATGTACATCTGTCGCTTCGTCGACCCATCTTTTGGTTTTGCCTGCGCCTGGGAATACGCCATCAGTTGGTTGACTGTCCTTCCCTACGAAATCTCTGCTGCTGTCAACATTATCCACTTCTGGGAAGGCTCACAGCACATTAACAGCAGTGCTTGGATCGTTCCATTGCTGGTCGCTCTCGTTGTTATCCAGTTCTTCGGAGTACGAGGATACGGCGAAGTGAGTTCGAAAATGATGGCTTCTGGATCCAGGAGCTGATCGATAAACAGGTCGAATATGTTCTCAGTTTGATGAAGATCCTTGCTTGCATTGGCTTCATGATTCTTGGTGTCGTCATCGATGTTGGTGGTGTTCCAACTGACAGAAGAGGCTATATCGGTGGAAGATACTGGTTCGTGCTGTTGGGACATTTCATTTGACCAGAGACTGATTCCTTGAAACAGGCATGCCCCTGACGGTGCCGCCTTCCTCAATGGCTTCCACGGATTCTGCAGTGTTTTCGTCACCGCCGCATTTGCCTACACTGGCACTGAGTTGACCGGTTTGGCCGCAGCTGAAACCGTCGACCCAAAGAAGGAAATCCCCAAGGCCTCGAAGCAGGTCATCTACCGTATTCTGATCTTCTACGGAGTCAACCTTTTGCTCATTGGTTTGATCGTGCCGTCAGACAGCCCACTATACAGTGATGGAGGTTCTACATCTCGTCACTCACCTTTTGTCATCGCTATCAAATTGGCGGTATGTCTTTCTCAATTATTAGAACTCGATCAGAAGCTAACTAATCCGAAAGGGAATCAAAGTCCTACCATCGATTTTTAATGCCGTTATCCTCATTGCCGTCATGAGTGTCGCAAATTCTTGTACTTTCGGCTCAACTAGAACCATCCAGGCTTTGGCTGCAAACGGTCAGTAATTACACGGTATCACAGCGAGCATGCTCAGAAACTAACATTGAACACTAGGCATGGCACCCAAGTTCCTGGCTTACATTGACAAGAAGGGTCGTCCTTTGGCCGTCATCGCCCTCCAGCTCCTCTTTGGTTGCCTCGCATTTATCAACTTGGCGCCCAACGGCGGAGATATCTTCAACTGGCTTCTGGCCTTGTCCGGTCTCTCGATTTTGTTCATCTACGGTGGTATTGGCCTTGCCCACGTCCGTTTCCGAGCTGCCTGGTAAGCAAGAAGAAGAAAGAGAAAACAAGGGGATGTTCTCAAGAAAAACTACTAACCCACAAACAGGAAATACCACGGTCACTCTCTTGACGAGCTCCCTTACAGAGCAAGCGCCGGTGTCTACGGTTCTTATTTCGTCATGTTCATCACCGTAATCGCCCTTCTCGCACAGTTCTACGTTGCCCTCTATCCCATCGGCGGCCCCAACTTGGACACCAGCACCTGGTTCCAGCTCTACCTCGCCGGTCCTCTCCTCGTCTTCCTATACTTGGTTTGGAAGGTCTACAGCTTCTTCAAACGCCCTGCCGACCGCCCTCTATGGATCAGCACAAAAGACATCGATATCTACACCGGCATGAGGCAGATCGATCCTGTCATGACTGGCGATGTTTCGATCAAGCAAAAGAAGGGTGTGATGGGTCACTTCAAGAATGCTTTCAGCGCTGTCTTTTAAGCCAGGGACAAAGGCTTCAAAAACCAGGGATTGTAGACACATAATTGGCGCATCCACCTGGTTGGACAGCTGCAGCAGAGGTCTTGACTATGTACAAAGATGGACCGCGTCAAGAACCCCCCTTATAACTATTCATCAGCATCAGCATCAGAAATTCTTTGTAATTCACATTATTCAATTCTGACTAAATCATAAAAGCCAATCAACTCTACAAACTTGCTTTCCTTATCTTGATCAACATCTATTAATATCCTGTGCATCCTTATCATCTCCACCACATCCACCAGCCAAGCTATTTCACTGATAAGGAATAATCACACATCCACCCATGTTCACGATCTGCCCTGACTCGAGTTTTGATAAGCATCACAGACCCTCCACTCCTTGCCAGCTCCAGCTCCAGCTCTCTGACACACTGGAAGACTGGTCTTTATAAACTAACTAGACGATACATTTTGCACGTACGGCCACAGTCAGCTGAAAACTGGGCATCCCGTCCGCTCTGCCATACATAAGCAGTTGAACGGCAGATTAGTACTACGGTGGGTGACCACGTGGGAATCCCTGCTGCTGTACGTTTTGCTTTTTGCATCTCTTCGATGTTTCTCTTTTGCCAGCGAGCGAGGAAAGACTTGATAGTGTTTGTGTCGAGGAAGGGTATGGTAAGGGTTGATGGTCGGTGATGGCTTTTATTTTCGAACCATGGAGATGGAGGCCACTGCTTTGTTTGTCTCTAGGCCTTGTGATGATTGCTGTTTCCTTGTACTCGTATGATCTTTTCGTTGCGCTTTGTGCGATTGTTGTTTTTTGCCTTGGGTCAAGATGGAGAGGGTTTCCTAGGTGATGATAAACTCGCTATCCTGCATCACGACTGCCTCCCTCGCTCCATATCAGCAACAACCGACAGCTCTCTTGAAGCTCGCAATCAACCTCCTGCAGCCGCACATGTGATTCTTTCCTGGCGTTTGTGCAAAATTTGAGGTTTCGTTATGGGTATATATGTACAAGATGTTGCTACAATTACTCTAATCAGAGCATCCACCCATCGCTAAACGCAGTCAAAGAAATCGAAATATAGCTCTGCAAACCAGGATCTTCTGAATCAAGGTGCCACCAATGCGGTAAACACATCCAACTTCTTGATCAGGTCCACCATGCGGAAAGGTTTGGTTATCGTGTCATCCATGCCAGATGCAATGGCCTGCGCCGTTTGCTCGGCCCTCGCATTGGCAGAAACAGCAATGATGGGGATATGATCGCATATCAAGCCTTGCTGCTCGTATTCGCGAATCTTCCTTGTTGCGGAAAGGCCGTCTAGAACGGGCATTTCGACGTCCATAAGGATGAGGTCGATTATCCTGTCAGAAGAACTGCGTAGTGCGCTCCAGTGACGGGTTGTTTGTAGGAAGTCGAGAGCTTCTTGGCCATTGTCTGCTACCACGACTTGGTAGCCACGTTTGACGAGTTGCATTTGTAGCAGGCGTTGGTTTACCGCATTGTCCTCGACGACTAGAATGCTGATTCTGGTTTTCGGAGTTTGATCGGCGGACAAAGAAGCCGAGTTCTGCCTGAGGAGTATCGATTTGGGGGGAGGAGGAGGGTTGGTGCGGTAAGCCTTGACGAAAAAGGCGAACGTTGAGCCGACGTCTGTTTCAGATGCCAGACCGATTCTTCCACCTTGCATTTCGCAAAGCTGCTGTGATATGCATAGACCCAGGCCAGAACCACCATACTCATTATAGGTCCTTGCTGATGCTTGCGAGAATCTGGTGAAGAGTTTACTCTTTTCTTCTTTCGTTAGGCCTGTGCCCGTATCTGTGACGGTGAAATGTAGATGCACAATCTTCGCGACGGAAGCTGGATCATCCTCCAAACTCTCTTGACTGTAGTCGTGTGGTATGTGACTAACGGTAAATTCGACTCCAAGTAGCTCCTGTGTGGGTGGTGTGCTTGACGCTCCCATACGAACAGTGACTTTGCGTACAGATCTCTTTTTTGAGAACTTCAAGGCGTTCGAAACGACGTTGACTAGGATTTGTTGTACGCGACCAGGATCGATCGTGACCCATTCAACATCCAACCCTTGAAGTGAGGGGTCGACCTGCGTTTCTAGTTGGACCAAGTTATTTGCGGCTTCTGCCTCAAACGACCTATCCACATTGGCTAGCAACGACATTGCGTGTGTAGGAGTAGGCGCCAGTTGTAACAGTTTAGAGTCCAGCTTTGATAGCACGAGGACGTCATCCGCGATCCTGAGTTGATGTGCAGAACAAGATATTATCGTGCTTACAGACTCGATGCTTTGCTGGACAAGTTCTTTTATGCGTTGCTCTGCCTTGTGATCTGGTACCATATGATTTGCGAGAATGGCTTTTGTCTCTGCAAGGTTTTCGAGAAGAGCATCTGCGCAATGCATGACCGCGCCTAAAGGATTGCGAATTTCGTGTGATGTCATGTCGATGAAGCTGTTAGGGTTAGCGAAACACTTTGCAAGTATCAAAAGGACAACTCACTGCTCCTGCTGTCTTCGGGCCTCAAGTGCTTCCTCCATCCTGGTCTTTTGCACTGTCTCAGCGAACTTGATGGCGCTGATGTCTTCCATAGTACCAATGACGCCTGAAATCGATCCGTCCTCGTCAAATTCAGGAATAGCATTTGTGAGGATCCAGACTGGACCCATGGATTCGCCATTCTCATTGTACCATTCTCGCTTCATTCTGACCTGGACCGTAGATTTGGTCCTGGCAGTAACAACGCCTTTCCAAAATGTTTCGGCAACCTTCTTGTCTTCGTCATGGATGACTTGAGGCCAATCGATCTGATCGAAGGGCACCACAGGATGACCAGTCTGCTCAAACCAAGCCGGGTTTACATATGTCACTCTGCCTTGTTGGAACTCTATCAGGTACTAAGGGTTGGAGTCAGTTTCGGCACACAGAAGCAACATAGAAGCAACACGTACGATTCCCACAGGGGACTCCTCAGCAAAGTCAAAAAGTCGTTTGTTGCCAAATCTCTCCCGCGCCAATGCATCAACAGTCTCACGAGACCTTTCAGACGTGGCCAATCTTTGAGCAGCGGTATTGGTCGTGCATCCTAGAATGCTTCTTGCAGCTCCGTTTGGGTCAAACACAGGAAGCAAAGCTACTGAGGCCAGAGTACCGATGACATCTTTACCTGTGCTGTCGTCGGACTTATATCGCGTCTCAAAAGAGACTGGGGTACCTGAAGCAGCCAATTCCCATTGTGAGGCCACATAGTTGGGTTCATCGGCCAGTGTATGTATCAAGTCCAGGTAGGCATTTTCTCTGGTCCCATGGTCATTTGAATTGAGCCAGGTTTTGTTCGCATGAACCAGGGTGCCTTTCAGATCGCATTCGAACAAGCTGATGCCTACCATGTCTATGACTTGCAAGATTTGCTGATTCCGCTCATTGCTGGACGAATACTCGTCGCAATGTCGAGTTCGTTGTCCTTGGTTGTCCTTCGAGCCACCAAGCTGTACTTGTTGTTTGCATTGCTCTGCGCCAGCTGTGGTTGAAAGGTCGTGGCCCGTATCCAAAGCGATTGGCCTTTTCATTCCTTCATGAGTGACGTCCTGAACTGATATAAATACGCCGGTCATCGAGCCAGAAAGAGGCATGGCAGTCCAGCGCCAGATCGTGTTCTCCTGAGTGTCTCCACTACCAAGGACTCTCGATTGATCAATGACAAGGAGGTTGTTGGGAGGTGAGAGGTCGTTCTGCAAGGAAAAGTTTGTGATTTCCTGAGGCATATTCATTTCGGTCTCCCTTAGTACATGACCGAGATCCACCGCTCCATTCGCAAAGGCTGTGCTATACGCTTCATTGTAAAATATTCGCCGGTCGTCTCCAAGAAGTAGCAGCCGTGGTTGGGAATCCAAAAGAACGATTTGACATATTTGGAGAAGCTCGGGAGGCCATGAAGACAGATGTTTCAGTGGAGTTAATTCCCAGTCGTTGTCCAGGATGTTTTGTAAATGCTGTCGTTGTTTTGGTGTACTTGTGTGTGGTAGTCGCAGGATGACATCTTGATTGTGATGCGCGCCCTGCTTGACGGGCTCACATGCGACCGTCATTTTTTGGTCCTCAGACACGAAAGAAGGATGGAGGCAAATCACAGTCACTCACTGGTGGGCGATGCGGTTGCCATTCAAGCAGGATTGTGCACAGAAAACACGGAAAGACAACAAAGGCGTTTTACCTTCGGTGGGCTGTTCTAGAGCCACTAGCCCTGTCATGCCAAAGGCGGCAGTGATCTCCTTAGAGATCCCTAAATGCAAGTGCGCTCGTGGTGAGGCAGCGTGCAACTGCTTGTTCGGACTGGCTCCCGCTTGCAGTTGTCGCTGGGACTCTACTCTTTGCGCCGCTTACGAATAAATTAGGAAGGGAAGACCAAGTTGCAAAGCAGGCCGAGGAAATTGTTCATATTCACAACAGCCTGAAACTTGGCGGGATAGTCGCACCACCACCACGAGAGCACCTTTGTCAATGCCTCATCACTGCAAACAAACCACAACGCACCATCTTGATCTTGAATTTGATCATTTTCATGGTCACCGCCGAACCCGTATGGATTTCTGATATGAATATTGAGTTCATAGAAATCTGTGTCGCGGTTATGTCTCGGGACGATCTTGTTCCTAATACCCGAGGCTCTGATATGCTTCAGCCAACCGGTGTTTTATGCACGTTCGGCTTACCCCAAGTAGGAAAAGGGTTCTTCGCCGCGAGTCTTGGCCAAAATATGCTGAAGGAAAGGCCATTCGGTAAGAGCCGCTTAAATGCAGATGTGAAACCCAATGCAGGCTGCAGTACTTGATAGGATGGAGGAATACACCAGCGGAAGTCTATTGTTGCCACATGCCCACATGCCGCATCTCATAATGTTATTTCTGCCCTCGCGCGGGATCTGAGAAGACACAAGGAATGCTTTGAAAAGGAGGTTCTTCCTTTCGCATTCTGCTGCTCGGTGAAGATACCCATGGCATTCAGACGGCACAGAAGTGCAGCTGTATTTCTCCACTAGGTGTTCTTGCCGCATCCGCATCCGAAGAAACTGTCAGTGTCTAGCGCGTGTCTGGATCAACGCATTCTAGGCCCAACGAACCCATCTCTCCCTTTTAGTACATGAGAACGCTTGGGGAACACAAGAGTAGAACAGCATTTCCAACTCACCATCCTACAGTCTTCAACCCTCGCACCTCGTCGCGAATGGATATCCTCGGTTACGATCAGGGTCTGCCTGATCTTGACCTCCCCAAGAATAACGACAAAGAGGCACTCGGTCAGAACACCAGCATCCCGATCGATTCGCCGCAACAATGTTCGAGCGACTTCTACTACTCAGCGCCAGTGCCTGTGACGATACCGAATTCTCTGATGCCGGTACCTAGCGTTTTGCTGGAAAACCCAATGAACCTGATTTATTGCCACTACTTCATCAACTACACGGCCAACGTTCTCGTAACTCACCAGTGTCCATCAAATCCTTTCTCGACAATTTTGCCGCAGCTCGCTATGCAAGATGATAATCTTTTGCGACTCTTGTTGGCATACGCAGCATGTCACCGAGCTCGACTTTTGCGACATGCCGAACCCAAGAACCGCATCGCAACGTGGGTTACACCTGTGTTCCCTTCGCTGCGTCAAGCTCTTTCCGGAAACGAGCCCATTTCCGATTCCGTATTCGGATCTTGTGTAATGCTTGCCTCACTTACTCAGTCATATCCTCTGGCCTTTGATTTGCCCATTTCCTGGCAGGAGCATCTGAGCTTGGCACGGCGATTGTACAGTCTCCGTCTTAGCCAAGAAGGTCTTCAACGAACCAATGCGACGGTATTCTTTGGTAGATGGTTCGCCTATCTGGACACTTTTGGAAGCGCAAGCAGCGACACTTATCAAGGCGCCTATTACGAGTGGTCACGCGAGCTTAAACTGGCAGAGCAAATTCCTGACATACAGTGTCTGGCTGGCTTCACCACCAAGTCACTCGTCCTGTTATCGAGGACTGCAGAACTGGCCAAACGTTGCGATTATGAGCGCAACTTAAATGGCCAGCCCTCGATTCAGACCATCACCATGTCTCAGCAGTTGAGAATGAATCTGGAGCTGTATACCCTGGAGATCAAGCACACACGCTATGACTGTGCCTGCTCTGAGTCTTCGTCGTCCTCTACCGAAGTGTATCGCGCCGTCAATGCTGCGATTAGCCATGCCGCCTTGATCTACTTGCATCGCCGTGTGTACTTGCTTCCCTCGGATTCTCGGTTGGTGCAGTTTTCGGTAAATGCCATCTTGGAAGCCTTCAACGAGTTAAAAGGATACAATGCGTTTGACACTCCGGATATCATCTTGCCTCTCTTCCTTGCTGGCTGCGAAGCTAGAGACCCTGGTAAAGCTGTCGACGTGTTGCAGCGCCTGCAGAGTATCGAGAATGCCGGTATGGGACAGGTCGTTCGTGTCAAGGCCTTGCTTCAGGAATGCTGGGACTCTGGGAGAGACTGGACTGAGCTCAAACACAACGTTTTGCTTGGCTGAGAGCAGGCTATTTCCTTCTGTTGAGCAGTCAGGAAACTGCTCAGGATCATATCGAGCGATCGACGCCTGCGTTGAACCTCCAAGGACGCCGCTTAGCATTTGCAACATTTCGAACACGAGGCGTAAGGCGCAGGGTTCACCTGAGAACATCGGCGCCGATAGCAGGCCGATGAAAGGACGTCGCAGGCGAGCGTTGCCGGTCGCAAGACTTAAGGGAGACTTGCACCCAGAACATGAACTCCCGCTATAAGCCAAAAGATTGTTTTCGCGCTTTTGTTGCAATTGGCAGGATATCTCGAAGTGCGGACTACTGAGATACATTGTCTTCTGACGAAGCATTCAAGCTTGCCTCTGTGGCGAGTAACGCATGGAACTAGGACATGTCTTCCTCCGATAAATCCACACTCGGATTTGACAGATGGCAATTTAGCTGCCAATGAGTTGGACAAGCAGGGATGGGAGGGAACATCAATGTGTTTATCACACATATGAGCATGAAACAAAGGAGTAGAGGAGCTCATGACTACCGGGAACGAAGGCGAAAACTCATTAGAATGTAGATAGAACGAATTTCGTTTTGATTTATGGCTTTTCAGCAACTACACATGTCTGTGTCTCTGTGAAATGATCGTCCAGCTCATTGACATGAGGAATGAAGGATCTCAACACGACCACATCACGTTGGCAATCCTTATGCTAATCGTGTTGCCAATGGCTGTGGGAATGATCTTGTTGGCAACTCAACGCAGTCTGCAACCATTCCGAGAAAACTACTTGCACTTTCCACCTTCTGATTGAACATCGAAAACCAGTACATTCGCTATACAGTATCAAATGCAACTCATTATCAGTCGCGACTACTCTCATTCAAGCTCGCGTCTCTAGTTACATGGTATACAAGCACAAAATGCACAAACTAAGCGCTACCGCCGACGAGAAAAGCTGCAAGCGCCCGTCTGTTTCACATGCATTCTCTGCGAGTAAGAAACAGCCCACAATAAGGCAAGCAGGGCGTCAAGATCATTTTTTACCTTGACCCGACTCATGCAAGTAACCTCTTTCTGGACGCACGATATGCAAAGGGCTCAAGCCTCACGCTTAGGTACTTGTAAGCGCTGAGATCTCTGTGTTTAGTGAGGCACGTAGGTCCGATATATGTAGGTCAAAGCTGCCAGGCCTGTTCTTCTTCTTTTCTTCGGTCGTTTTCACAACTTGACACTTGAACCGGTGTGTTGCTTCTGGACTCTCACTCTGGTCTGGTTGTATCTCTTTTTCTAGACGTATCATGGCAGTATCACGGAGTTGGGCGTCTTTTCCCAGACGCAATACAATTACCAGCACAGATGATGAAGAACAATCACTGGAAACCCTCACCCAACAAACAAAACCAGAACCCCAAGAGACGATCCGTCGACTCACTTCTAGAGAAACCCTCTTCATGTCACCTTCCAAAACCTGGAACCTCTACCGCCGCAACCCCTGGTACTTGAGCTGGCAACAAGAAACCTGGGCCATGATTTTCAGCTTATCCTGCCTGATAGCCGTCGCAGTAATAATGGCCTGGATAGATGGAAAACGTCTATCCATCTGGCACTGGGCCATCCAACCCAACGCTGTGATTTCAGTGTTGATTGTTTCCAGTAAAGCTGCTTTGATGATCAGTACGGCGAGTTGTGTCAGTCAATTGAAGTGGACGCATTTTCAAAAGAGACCTAGGCAGTTGCGGGATTTGGAAGGGTTTGACGATGCGAGTAGAGGTGCTTGGGGTAGTTTGCAGTTGCTGTTTAGTCCCTCGGGCTATCTGAACGTGGCTGTCACGTTGGGATGTTCGGTCACTGTGTTGGTGCTGGCTATGGAGACTTTTGGACAACAGTTGCTTTCGTTCCCTGAGAGACAAATTCCGGTTACTAATGAAACAGCTTCGTTTCCGGTCATTCAGAACTTCAATGCAATGCCATCTTGGGGTACTGGAGTACAGCTTTCCGATCGTCTGTTGAAGTCTCGGCTAGGGCTTATGGAGAGTATCTACGGACAGACGACCGACCCACCATTCGACTGCCCTGCTTCTTCATGCTCGTGGGACAGCCATGTAACACTTGGACTGTGTTCACGCTGTGAAGACGTAAGTTCTACTCCAGGAGGCTGCGAAATCAAGATCACCACCAAATCAAACAAATTCGACCAATATAATGAGACAACTCTGGAGTGCGATTACGATACGGGTAAAGGTCGAAATCTTACAACCATCAGAAGAGCACTTGGTGTCGCAAAGGACATTCCCGATCCGAACAATGCATCCGCTTGGACATATAGTACGGCAATCGATATCAGTACTTGGGATACGGACGCGTTTTACAACAAGGGCCAACCTGCAGTCGCGTTCAACTTTAGTGCGATTGTTACAAACGACACATGGGAGCGTCCGCAAATTACCACTTGTTCGCTGTATTTCTGCGCTTGGGTGTATGAGAACTCGACAGCACAAGGCCAAAACTTCAACGAAGGAAAGTTGGAGAAATATATCCTGGGTTATGACTCGATTCAGCGGACGCAAACTGGGCCAGGAGCAAACATGGATACTAGCAACTACACCTTCTCAGCCAATGGGACAGGGTTTCCAAGCGACAAACATAACGAAACATTCACGGTGTACGGCGATGCAGATAGTGAAATGTTCGGCCACCTGACGACCATCCTCGAATCCTCAACTTTCAGTTATGTTTCCGGCTCCAACGCATCTACCGCAGGTCTGGGTGACGCTTTGATGGTGAACCCAAATATAACAGAGCTGGCCGACAGAATGTCCACTAGCATGACGAACGTTTGGAGGCAGTACCAAAGCACGCCAGCAATTGGAACAGCATGGGAATCTGTTGCATTCATCCATGTCGAGTGGGCGTGGCTTACGTTACCAGCCGCAGCAGTGGCAGGTGCCGGTGCTGTCTTACTCATGACATTGATACAGAACCGACGGACTGTTCTGTGGAAATCATCGGTCCTTCCGTATTCTTTCAGATCGCTGCATGGATGGGAAGATGCTGATTTCGACATGGAGACGCTAGACGAGATCAGAGACAAGGCAAAAGAGATGAAAGGTCAACTGATTGGAGACGAGAACGAGAGAGTGAGGTTGGTCAAATCGTGAAAGCGGGAGAACCTAGCGTTAGAATAATTCGTAGAGCAATTCATGATTTTCGCGACCCTGGCATAACCACAGCCATCGAGATCGTTGATGATGTTTGACCGCTGTGCATAGCACTTGTGCTTTACTCTTGGGGTGCGTCTGTCAGAGGCACATATGATACGCCGTAGAGCTTCTTTTTCTCGACAGAGCCGTCTTCCTTCTTGTCAACAATGTAGATGAACTGTTCACCGCGCTCGCCAACGGGCATGAAAAGCCTGATCCAGGTCATCAGCATACTGTCTCTGACCGGGCGAACCTTCTCTCGACGCAAGCATCAGCTGCTACGATCGAGAAGCTGCGACTCGTGGGGATTGTTGAGAAACCACGTACCTTCCAGGACGTTTGAGCTGGTCAATGAGATCTTGATGGAAACCGACCGCAGCAGCACCCACATGGATGACATCGTAACCTTTTTCGCCGCCTTTGCCTGTCCAACCCTTTCTACCATCGGCCTTCACATAGGTGATACTTCCATTGGCAAGTAGTTGGCGACCTTCAGAACTCTTATCGGTGTTCTTCTTAGCAAGGTCCACAAGCGGTTGGATGTGTTCGACTCCAACTACTGTGCCACCAGGCTTCACTAGTTCGGCCAAGACGTGAGTAAGGTATCCAGATCCCGAGCCAACATCCAGCACCTTGGCCCCGGGTTGCAAGAAATCAAGTACAGATTCGCAGGCGTTCGCGTGCATGTGGGGTGCAGATATCGTGGCTGCATGGCCTATCGATTGGGGACTATCTCTGTATGGCGCTGCTGGAGCGTAATGTGCTCGGTCGACCTGAGATGAGAATTAGTAAAGTCGACTGTGCTAATATGAGTCGACCGCCTACACTCTTCATGGCTTGTTTTACACGATCTGTTTTGATGAGACCGTTGTCGGCAAGACAATCGACGAGACCATTGTTGGACGAGCCGTGACTACGCCAGGCCATTGTAAGCTGGCGGCGAGCTTGCAACGCGGTGGCAGTCTGTCCAGTGCGTAGAGAGCTGGAACCTGATGGAATTCTCTTCGGAAACTTGATGAAAGACACGTTGGCGAAAATTCCTAGGTCGAAATGTTCCAGAGTACGATGTGTTCGATGTGCCAGTAGAACTCCGGACTGTCGGAAGCTGCAATGCTAGATAGACGGAAGGAGCGTGGTGGTCTGCGGGGTTGTAATATCGACGTCACTTGACCTCGACTTCTACTGTGTATAAAGTACAGCAGGCACGGCTTTTGAAATATGGCCAAGCGCATGTCGATTTCTATGGCAAGATCAGCACAGTCACAAGTAAAGAGGAACCATGATTTGAACAGTGAAAACTCGTAAATTTCCTCCGATAGGACATCGTCATATGCTATGTACAAAGAAGTGTAGAGACCCGCAGACACACTACCTAGACCATTTGACATGAATCTGGAGAAAGGTGCTGATCAAAAGAAAAAGAAAAATCAAATACACGAATGAACTCTTCGTGAAGATAGAAAAGAAGATTTAAGATCGGAACTCCACAGAAATGCGTGCCCACAGAAGATAACCATGACTCGTACAAAATTTTTCCTAAGCGCTTTGTACAGTCTTAGTTGCAGATACCCCAGTACTGCTCAGCGTTGAAGGTGGAAGCGCTGTTGGTCTTCCACATGTCGTTGAAGGCAGTGAACCAGATGACGTTGGAGGTGACAGCCTTCTTGATGGAGGCGATGGCGGACTTCTGGTTCTGGACGCTGGGAACAGCGACACCGTTGTTGCTACCCTGAGTGGGCCAGCCAGTCTCGGTGATCCAGGTCTCCTTACCACCACAGACGTTGGAGACGCTCTGCATCTGCTGAACAAGGAACTCGCCGGAGTCCTCAGCAAGGACGTTACCGTCGAAGAAGGGGTGGGAGTTGACGGCAACGTAGTCAGAGAACTCGCAAAGTCCGGGGTTGGCAACCATGGCGACGAGAGTGTCGACAGCGACAATGCTACCAGTGTAGCCAGCGGCGGAGAGGGTAGACTTGGCAGAAGCGACACGCTTGCCAACATCAGCAACAGTGAGCTTGCCGCTGTTGACAACCTCGTTACCAATGGAGATGGTGTTGAATCTGGACCAGTCGCCGTTAGCGGCCTCGGTCAAGGTCTTCAGGTCAGCGGCGAGGGTCTCATCGGTGTCAACGTTGAAGACACCAGCGAAGATCTTCAGGTCGTACTGCTCGCAAGCGCTGAGGACGGTGGAGACCTGGTTGCAGTCAACACCGTAGGTGCGGACGAAGGCCCACTCATCGCCATTGCTCTGGGCGAAGGCGTGGATGGTAGCGAAGTCGCTGTTGACCTGATCCTGGGACTTGCAGCCACCGTCATCGGTGTAAGGAGAGTAGACAACGCCGTATCCCGAGGGACCCTTGCCGCTGGAAGAAGAGGCAGAGGAAGAGGCAGCGGCCTTGGAGGAGGAAGTCTGAGAGCCGTAAGAGATACCGGCAGAGACAGAGAGGATAGGGGCCTGGGTAGTGGAGGCGGCCTCGGTGGAGGACTCCTTGGAGATGGCAGCCTTGTAGACGGAGGCCAAAGTGGTGGGGGTGGGGGCGACGTAAACCGAAGAGGAAGAGGCCTCAGAGTAGGCAGGCTGAGCAGCGGCCTCGGTGTAGACAGGGGCAGAAGAGGCAACAACGGCAGCAGCGGAGGTTGCGGCAGCCTGACCCTCAGTGGAGGTGGAGTAAGGAGCGCCGTTCTCGTCAACAAAGACGACAACGTTGGGGAGCTGAGTGGTAACGTAGGAGTAGTCGGTCTCGTAGACTACCTCCTGACGCTTCTCGTGGAGCTCCTGGTGACGACGGTGGTGACCAGAAGGCTTAGCAGCAGCAAGGTTGATCAGCGACAGAGCGCCGAGGGCAGCAACACCAGTTCTCATCATGATGAATAGTATAAGGTAATGATAGTTTAGTCTGGCCGGCCAGCGGTGTCAGTGATGTGTATCAAAAGAATGTGCGGAGGGATGTTCAATCCGAAGAATTGGCGGAGGAAGACAAGTTTTGAAGCCTCGAGCAGAAGCCTCGAGCCCAACAACCTGGCCGGTGCTTGCGTGGTGAAAGGGGGCGGAGTGTGAAACTTACGAACTCGGTTCCTAAACAAAGACGAAGGCGTGAGAATAGATTGTCTCGAAATTGACTGACGCAAGGAGTTGCTCTGTGTGTTTGTTGACGTTCAAAAGAATGTGGCAGCTGTCCCGAAGCGCACGATTGAATTCCTCCCGGGGGATTGGTAGAGACGGCTAGTTTAAAGAATGTGGATGACCTTGAAGCAAAAACGAACGATGACCTGGCAAGGCAGTGGGTTGATATAACAGTGAGCAATTGGAAGAGACGAAAGCAAGAGACAAGAGCGAGGTCCACACTCGACTATCGATGGCAGAAACGGCCAACGGGTCGCCGTTGAGTACATAATCAAAGTATGGGAACCACCTAACTCGATATGGGAAGGACGAAGCCAAAGCGGAGGCTTCCCGAAATTGCCCAAGGCTTTAGTGCGTCCTGTACCTGAACATCACCCAAGCCACCCGGACTTCTGAAGCGAACGTGCGAAGTTTCTCTCGCATTTTCATGCATGTCAAGTGGAGAAACTCCGCTGTGCAAGGTTTCTTCTGCATGCAGAGAAGGCGGGAAAGGTTGAAAACCAGCCGAAGTCCGCCGCGCAAGAATACGAGATGCTGTTGCGTTTCTTCGACGAATCTCAGGCGGCCAGGTCGTCGTCGCAACAAAATGCGTGGTCTCAGACCACCGGAACAACCGCCTTGAGCGTTCGCCGTTGACGACGGTAAACAAACTGAACTCCAGAATCTCCCTGTGCGACCTGGAGTGTTTTGACTCGAGTCGAGCGCTCGAGCTGCGGCGACCTGCATGACCAAGAACAACAGACGTTGTCAATATGCGGCTAGGCCACGGTAAATATTCAGCATTTCTACACGAAGGTAGAGTTACGAAGTCGACGGCCCATGGGTTGACGTCTGGTTTGCCTTTATTCTCCGAACGCCATTCAGCTGTTGAAGACGAGGAAAAGATCGCTGGGCAGAAGACCTTGGCGAGCAAGCAAGGCCACGCGGCGAATGCGCTGGCAACGATGCCACGTCGAAGATGAATAGTGGTAGACGACAAGAGTGCGACTTTGGTACATCTCGAGTCTCGGCTTCCTAAGACAGCTGTCTTCGGGTCTCCGCCCTGCGAGGTACCCAAGGCACCATCTTACGGTACAGCAACCGTTCAGGTACAAGCAAATCAGTAGGTTTATTGCTTCTCGAACGACTCCACATCTTACATCTTATCGGTCAAGGATCAATGAACAAGGAAGAGGAAGACTTCTGAAGCCTTCCGTTGCGAATGTCTCACTCAACACATTTCGCATGTCTCTTTGAGCATCCTTTCTGTCTTCTGCCCATGTATCTTTCTGTCGCAGGACAGGGTTTCGCAGGTGTCACAATTTGCAATTCGACATTGAGCAAAAGACTCTTCTATGAAGTACACGGCACGTCGTACGCTCTCACTTCTGATAGGTTGTGTGCTTTGTTAGTGAGAACATGTCTTTGACCATCGTCTTCGAGACTTGTCCTCGGACTTCGCGTTTCTCGCAAAGTCGCAAACATTACAGCTGGGACCTACATCCCAGTGGGAAATCTTTCTCGTGTCGAAGATCTGTGTTTCCTCTTGACTTGTCCAACCAGATTTTTGTCGGGCTGAGACACAGGAACGGTTGCCCTGGAACGTCTACACGCGTCTACCACGACGAGGATTCAAGCAGTTCGTGCCTTCCTTATTGGGTAGACTGATTCCAAAGAAGGTCAGGATATTTGAGCTAACCACCGTATAAGCAGTCTCGACCCTAAGTCTCCAGACACAATAAGGTAGTGTATCCGACATACAAAGTTGAAGCTGGTTGTACCCCACCCAACTTTCTCGTTGAGTGAGCCCATGTCTGAAGTGGTCTTCTCCGCACGCGACTCGTCTCAACATGCACTTCTGGACTCCATATTCAGCTCCATCTTTTTCACTTCAGTAGCTTACGACCCGATTCACTTGCTTCTACCATAAGACAATATTGTCAGGCCATGCATTTGTCAAAAAAGGTTACTCTTGATCAACTAACAACTGACGGCCTCAGAGCAGTCTTTGCCTGAGAGCAAATCGCGACTGCAAAACATCCGCTCAGCCTCGAATAAGCAATGCGACTAGAGACACTGATTCTCGGGTAAAGACTGCAGTCTCTCACGTCTGGAAACCTAACGCGATACACCAGCCTATCCAACCACGACAAATCATATTCCTTGTCTATTTACCGATCAAGACTATCATCCGATCACGACAAGATACGCAGCAGGCAGAGTTTCTACTGCAAGCACTACTCCGGTGTCATGTTCTGATTCGAAGGCATCGTTGCTAAGAAAGCACTCCACGGAGTCCACTTTGGCAAAACTGCTCGAATCCACAGTCTTGCCGTCTGCTAGATGTCACAACAGTAACGACAAGCGATCGATCTCTTCCGCGCTGCAAAGACAGTTCCATCGCAGCATCATCACAGGCTTTGCAGCAGTGCAAAAACCATCGCTGCCTCCACTTGCGACAACGGTGGTGCAGCTTCATAGCCAAGACCGTCTTTTCTCGTATTTCTCCTCTTCTCCCAAACACGGCCGAGTTTCTCGTATTACTGTACACAACATGACGGCGCCGATCTGGAGATGTCACCTTCCTACAATTCCATCTCTGTCAGAGTAACACGACTCACGACGACGACAAGTCATTTCTTCGACGGCAGGTGAAATATGACTAAATTGCTGCAGGTACAAAGATTCGGAACTGCAGGAACGCGGAAGCTTGGGACCAAGCAACGACATAAAACGCATAACGGTGAGCTTGCATACGAGGTTATGCATTATTACAGATCTTTGTGGAGATTTGTAGCGGATGCCGAGGCATAACAAATGACCAGATGACTTGTATCCTTGGATAAAGGAGATACGACAGCAGCTATGATGATCTCAAGCAAGGTCAGCTGAACCTACAACGAGGTAATCTCAAGTAGAAGAAAGGTTGTCAAGGGGATCGACAGCAGTTTACTAGGGCTGTATACCGATCAAATCTCTAATTCCAATAGACAGAATAGCGCAAAGCAACAATACGACTATGCTAGATGTCTATAGAGTTGTCGCGATCATACGATGTGTATCATCACTTTTCTTGCGTTGTGAACCACAAAGACCGTCCTGATCCGCAAAGGCACTTGCCTTAGGCATTCATATTGAGACAGGGTCATCCCTTTCGCCAATGAATCTTTCAAACAAACCCCTCTCGACTCCCTCCCAACATCCTGTCGTTCCTGAAAATCATGTTGAGAGATTCATTGTGATTTGTTTGACTTGGTGTGTCAATGCTATGTCGACACAAGTGTTGTGTGGGCTGTAGAAGTCGAAAATCGTAATTGAAAAGGTCGACTTTCGAATCCCTGTGACCTGCGCACACTTCTGTGTTCATGTTCGCCGTGAAACCATGTACTGACACGATTCTGACTAAATGCATTCGATTGGAAGCACGGGACCGACAGGAAGATAGCTGTCCTTAAGCTACTCGAACTCGAGACAGGCGGTCGTTGTTGTCGTCTTTGACTGTGTGTTGGACCAAAACAATAACATGTGAAGCCCATGACGTCAACGGTATAACCCATTAACGCGTCATTTGCAAACCGTGTCTTTGTCGTGACAGAGGAATAACATCCCTGCACCAAACTATAGCCAATTCATATAGGAAAATGTCGACACCATCGAAACGACGCAAGAAGAACGACGGGCAACCTGCACGCGGACTCGACTACTTCTTTGGAAAGCAAGCACAGGTGAAACCACAACCGAAGGACGAACCGAAAATCGAAGCTCAGGAGACGGAGCTGAAGCATGACGACCTCGATCACGATGTCCTCTCTGATGAGGCTCTGGCCCGGAAACTACAGGCAGAATGGGACGAAGCAGACCGAGCAGCGTCAGCACCGGCGCCTACATCGTCGCCTTCGAAGGCAGCACCCACAACTGAGGCCTCGGAAGAAGCAGCATTACCGGAACATATAAAGCAAGAGTCGGACATAAAGGAAGAAACTCCCACACTCATTTCTGCTCCGGCAGCAGCACCTATCAACCCCTTTGCAGGTTTAGGCAAGAAGAACACGCTCTCCCTCCAGTCAGCTACCGCAGACGAAGACACAATCACATACGACATCCCCTTCGACCAAAGCCCCCTGACTTTCGACCCACAAAAGTACATACCTGAGTTGAAGAAGCAGTGGGTCACGGACAACGGCCATGCTACCTACGCCCTCCTCACCCACTGCTTCGTCATGGTGAACAGCACACAAAGTCGCATCAAGATTGTTGATACACTGGTAAACACTTTACGAGTTATAATAGAAGGAGATCCACAGAGCCTGTTGCCTGCAGTATGGCTAGCGACAAACTCAATATCACCACCCTACATCGACATGGAGCTCGGACTTGGAGGTTCTGCTATCTCAAAGGCGCTGAAAAAAGTATGCGGATTGGATAGCCCTGGGCTGAAGAAATTGTTCGACAAGTATGGTGATGCTGGAGACGTTGCATTTGAGGCAAAGAAGCGACAGAGCTTGACGCTGAGGAAGCCTAAGCCTTTGACCATCAAGGCTGTTTTCGAGTCACTAGTCAAGATCGCCAATGCAAAAGGTCATGGTAGTGTCGAGGTAAAGCAGCGATTGGTCGAAAGACTGGTTCAAGATTCTAGAGGTGCCGAAGAGAGTCGATATGTTGTTCGTACTCTGGTTCAGCATGTGAGTAGTCTTGATTTCATCAAAAGAACGATATCTGACTCTGGAGCAGCTTCGTATTGGTGCCGTAAAGACGACCATGCTTATTGCACTGTCTCGAGCGTTTCTCTTATCAAAACCACCAGGCGCGGACTTCCCGACAAAAGACAGACATGGATTGGCCAAGCTCTCGAAACAACAACTGGCAGAAGTATACTCTCCTGCCGAGGAGATTGTCAAGGCTTGCTTTGCTCGTCGACCAAACTATGTGAGCATACCACCTCTCTAACTTGTTGAATCTATGGCTGATGGACTTCTAGAATGATTTAGTACCCACTCTGCTCGAAATCGGCGTTACAGAAGAGCTTCTACTTCGCTGCGGTCTCGCAATGCACATCCCACTCCGCCCCATGCTGGGTGGCATTACTAGAGACCTAGGTGAAATGCTAACAAAACTATTCGGTCGCGAGTTCACCTGCGAATACAAATACGATGGTACTTGCACCCAACCACCTTCCATATGCCTTCTCTCTACTAACACTCCATTTCCCAGGCCAGAGAGCACAAGTTCATTGCGATCCATCGGGCAAAGTAACAATATTCTCCCGACACCTCGAAGTAATGACAGACAAATACCCCGACCTCGTCGCCCTGGTCCCCAAGATTCGCGGCGAAGGCGTGGAATCATTCATCCTCGAAGGCGAAGTCGTAGCCCTCGACCGCGCAACCGGCGCTTTACTACCCTTCCAAACCCTCTCCAACCGCGCTCGCAAAGACGTCGCCATCTCCTCCGTCACCGTAGACGTATGCCTCTTCTCCTTCGACCTGATGTACCTAAACGGCGAAGGGCTCATGGACCGCCCATTCCGAGAAAGAAGATCCTTGCTACGGAGTCTATTCGTGGAAATCCCCCATCATTTCACCTGGGTCAAAAGCATCGATGCCGTATCCACCGACGAAGAAGCAATCGCAGAGTTCTACAAACAAGCACTCGCGGATAAATGCGAAGGCTTCATGGCGAAAGTATTGGATAATCTGCCCAATCCTGATTTACTAGATGAAGACGGCATGCCAAAACCACCTCCTACACCATCCAAACGCAAACGTGCCGCCAAACCAAAACCGGGCGATATTCCCTCCTCACCACCACCAGAAGCGGAAACAGCAGCGATTAAAAAAGGAGGAAGGAGGAAAGCGCTCCTCGCGACCTACGAACCGGATAAACGACTCGATTCATGGTTGAAAGTGAAAAAAGACTACGACACCTCTGCGTCAGATACCATCGACCTAATCCCCATAGCGGCATGGCATGGCACAGGGAGAAAATGCAATTGGTGGTCTCCCATACTGCTCGCTTGTAGGAATCCAGAAACCGGAGGACTAGAAGCAGTTACGAAATGTATGGCCGGATTCAGTGATGCGTTTTACAAGGCAAACAGGTCAAAGTATGATCCAGATGCCGGATTGGAAGATGAAGATGAAGATGAGGAGGCAGAAGTACCGACCCCCCACCCAACAAAAAACAACACCCTAGGCGCCAAACCGTCATACATCTCCTACCGCGGCCCTTCCCCATCAATCTGGTTCTCCCCCCAAGAAGTGTGGGAATGCGCTTTCGCAGACGTGACTCTCTCGCCCACCTACACCGCCGCTATAGGTCTTGTTTCTGAAGAAAGAGGATTGTCATTGCGTTTCCCACGCTTCCTCAAAGTCAGAGAGGATAAAAGTGTTGATGAGGCTAGTACGGGGGATTTTTTGGCGCGGTTGTGGAGGAAACAGGAAGACAGGGGAGGGAAGGTGGAGGAGGAGGTGGAAGGGGAGGAGTGATGGATGGATGGATGGATGGATGGATGGATGGGGGAGTTTTATGTGTATACTAGCTGGAATTGGACGATGTTGATGACGTTGATCTTATAAGTTGCAGAGGAGAGATGGGTATTGGACGAGACAGCATGTATTTACTTTGTGCGTTTGTGTCAAGAATAATTCCAAACGCCTCTTTTTTGCTCCAAAATGGGGATTTCTGTTGACGCCGAAGGTGGTGCTGAGGCGTCTCGATATTTATCTCAGCGCCTTCTACTGTGCCCAAACCAAGCGTTGAGAACACGAAAGCCATTGGCGCTGGAGGAGGCGCTGAGATTTACTCCGTCCGATATCAAGGATTATCTCGATGCCTTCTGTGGTGCTGATTTGAGCGCTCAAAGGGACAAGAAGGCCATTGGCGCCGAGAGAAAGTTGTTTCATTCTTCTGAGATGAGGAAATTGTTCTATTCATAAACTTCGTTAAAACTTTCCTTCTACTCTATCAAGAGAGATGAAGGAAAGCAGATGTGCATGGCATGGCATGGCATAGCACATGTTCTAATAGCCCATTCCATAACTTCTGACGCGACTAAAGTAGAACGCTTTGTCGTTCTTCAGACCGAATTCACCCCAATCGTCTGTGAGTCTGTTGTAACTCCAAAAGCCCTTCCAAGTCAATTTGTTGTTACCAGCCGACTTCTTGCCTCTGCTTCCGAGACCGAATTGCATCTTCCACATGTACTTGGGGATAACACCGTCAGTCTCGACATGCACATCTCCCTCGGCTTCTTGTGAAGAAGTGCCGTCACCAGGACCGGAAAGTCGCCATCGCCCACGGAGTGCGTCCTTCATGACGCTATTGGGGAGAAGGGATCCACTGGCGTAAGAGCGCATGTTCTCCTTGGTGAGGTGATGGACGACATCGATGGGCTCGGTGGTGGTGAGGAGAGATATACAACTGCCATCTCTGAAGAAGCGGAGGTAGCGGAAGTATGTCACGATGAGGATTGGCGTGCCCCACGTTGACGAGGAGGTGTTTGTGGCACCAGGGCGTTGGTAGTTGACTGTACTGATGTAGCAACCATTAAATCGTAATCGAGGGCGTGAGCGGAACATCTGGCGCCAGGAGGACGCATACAAGGAGTGGAGGAGTTTATTGTCGATTTCAAGGGTTGTTTTTGAGGGGCGTGGAAGAGGAGCGAGTTGTGTTTCTTCAGCGTCCTGATCTTGTCCCTCAGAGAGGTAGGCTGCATCGTCTTCGAAATCGGGCTCTACAGGCTCGCCCTTGATGTTGCAGGCGTAGTTGTAATGCATGCCTGCGAAACCAAACTCTGGGCCTAGAGCGACGCGTTTCCAGATAGACTCATCTGTCATGACGAGGTATGCGAATCTCTTACAGACCAGAGACAGCTTAGACAGGGAGGCCAAATCGTTGACGGCAGTCCACGTCAATATCTCAGACAGAATCTCGCCAGGAAGTTCAGCGATAGGGCAAGGCGGAGGAGCATCGAGATCTGTGGGAGCTGGAGCACCAGGGATTGAGAGTTGGGAGAATTGGTCCACCAGCTCAGAAAGAGTCGGTGGCAGTCCGTGGGACGAGTGATGTGCAGTGCCTGGAACAGTCTGTGAAGCATTCGACGGGTTTGGTTGTTGTTGGTGGACGACAGGCTTCGGCTTGGGTGGAAAGGCCGAAGGAGGGAAGTGCTTGTTCTTGTATTTCTCGTGGACACGATCATCCATCTTGAAGGCCGTCCGGTAGAGAGCGACACTATCACCCAGACTGCCCATGGTCTCCTTCTCTACAGCCTTTTCATAGTGTTCCAAGGCAGACTCTGGCTCTTTTGTCAAGTGCCCTCTGGCAAGAGCTTGTTCGTGGGCATCCAACTTCAATTCGGCCTCCTTGTCTGGCAAGTCGTAGTAGACCTGGGGTGCAGCTTCCTCTTCGGCGTCTTGGTCATGATGTCTTTGTTGTTGCGGCTTAGGCTTCGGGGCAGAAGACGAGGGAGGAGGATTCCTGCGCGGACGAGTCGAAGGAGCTGCTTCTCTGGACTGTTGGCTGTTCCTTGACTGGACCTCTGCTTGCCATTGTCGTCTGAAAGCTTCCAACTCGGCATCGGTATTCTCTGGTGCTTCCCGTTCACTCATTATGACGGCGATTGTGGTTGACAGTCGTCTGGATGCACGGGGCAGTCTAGATCGAGATGGACTCGTGGAAGAGGCGTGAAAGTTGCGTGACGTAGGAGGGGCTGCTTGTCCAAAACGGCGTGCTCGATGTCTGCTCAATCAGTCTCGAGGCAGCAATGGAATGAGCTGGTCGAGAGAGATCAAAGTATAGATGATATTCCAGTAGTTAGAAGGAAGGAAACAGCAGCCGTCTTCGTCTTGCAGATTGCGGTGTCTAGATTGATGATCGGTGCTTATCGCCGAGCAAGAGAGTCTAAAGGCCGACCCCGGGCTGGGTGGAAAAGAAAGTCTCGTTGGCTTTCGATGACGCCCCAAAATCAAAGGGCGAGCGCAATCGCCATCATTCATCTCTCATAGCCATCATAGCCCAAAGTCACCCCTCTCGCTACCCTCCATACCACTCTTACCCCTCGACACTTCACACCTCGCTAGTAAACAATTACCGCTCAATTCACCACTGCGAGCTCTTTGCATCTCCGACCTTCGCCGACTCAATCGCAGCTGCCTCGGCCAACCTCCCGACATCTTATCAATCAGCGCGCCCACTCTTCCACCCTCTCCCTTCGTATACAGGTCAATTCTCCACCACCGGCCGTATGGCCTATATTGGCTCCGCTGCAGCAAATCAACCTGCTTCCGATTTTGCCAACATCCACCAACCCGCCGTCCCCTCGCAACCGCTAGACGACACTCCTGCCGCCACCATGGACCAAGAAACTTCCATTTCTCAGAAGATGATGTCTGCCGTCTCTGGCAGCATTCTGACCTCGTTACTTGGTGTGTCTTGCTCGATAGCCATCGCATATCTTTTCGCCCAACTAACACTCCTCAGTCACACCCCTCGACGTTGTGCGCGTTCGACTACAAGCTCAATCTGGTCCGTCTCCCCTCAATGCTTCTACCCAGCCCTCCTTTGCGCGCCTCCCTCCCAATCTCGGTATCTCGGCATGCTGTAGAGAGGTCTACTACGTCCCCAACCAAAGCCCATACTGCATTGCCTCGTCCACTGGTTTTACTGTCGACGAAATGCTTATTTCTCAATGTGCGGCAGAGGAGACTGAGCGAAGAACTTTCAACTCCACAATCGATGGCTTGAAGAAGATCGCGCGGAATGAAGGCCTTACAACTCTCTGGCGCGGCTTGAGCCCCACTCTGCTCATGTCCGTCCCTGCCAACGTCATCTATTTTGCTGGTTACGATTGGTTGCGCGCAAACCCGAACAGTCCCATGAAGGACCGCGTATCCGACAACTATGCTCCCCTCTTTGCTGGTTCTAGTGCCAGAGTGCTTGCCGCCATCGTCGTTAGTCCCGTCGAAATGTTCCGCACTCGCATGCAAGCCAGTCATCCCGAAACTGCCACCCCGACCGGTGTATTCAGAGACACCTTGTCTGATGTAAAAGAGATGGTCAAGACAGATGGATACCGTGCATTGTGGAGAGGTCTCGGCCTCACTCTCTGGAGAGACGTGCCTTTCTCTGCTTTATACTGGTGGGGCTACGAATACGGCAGACAGACACTCCACACCGCAAGAGAAGGTCCCGCTTCTCACGAGCCTACAGGCAGCTTGAAGAACCGCGCAGTTAGCGAACTAGACCACAAGACTGTACTAGTAGACAGCTTCATCGCTGGTGCAAGTGCAGGCGCAGTTGCCGCGTTCGTCACAACTCCCTTCGACGTCGGTAAGACTCGTCAACAGGTCGCTCGCCATTCTACTGACGCTGCCTCATCCGCTGCTGCAGGCGTCCGTCCTGAAGACAAGCTGATGCCCCGCTTCTTGTGGCACATCTACAAGACTGAAGGCACTGCCGGTCTATTCAAGGGCTGGGCTGCACGTACCATGAAGGTCGCACCCGCATGTGCCATCATGATCAGCAGCTACGAGATTGGCAAGAAGATGGCCGGCACCATGAACGAGAAGACCGTCAAGGAGTCCACCTAAACAAGAAACAATTTCCTTACCTGGATCAAAAAAGGATCTGGAGTGTAATTCTATCACGGCCTTTACTTTGCATTTTGGCAAACAAAAAACACAGCGTGGAGTTTTCTGGGAGCGGCATTGGGCTTTTTTTCCGCATCTGTTTTATTCGAGTTCTTCTTTTCTCTTCACTCATACCAGCGCTTGCATCAGCGACCATCTTGTCTTCTGTTCTTGCATACCCCGTTTTTTTGTGGTTAGCGAGGGATCTCTACGCAATTGTCTCCTTTTACTGTACTACCACCGGATAATTCGAGCCATCTGGTATCTATCCAATCTCATCCAACAATCAAAAATCTTCGCTACCACAAACTGTTTTTTTTTATGATTTCACCCTTTAATTCTCAACTGTGCGTCTCTTTTGTCAAACGTGCAACCTGTGAAGTTCAGGTATGTTTCCTTCCCAGCATTTGTCATGCCGACGATACAACGGATGCATAAAAGTGTAGACGATGCAATATCATCTTCTCCCTCCTCCTCCTCCTCCTCCTCCGACCAATCCCTCAAACAACTCATCTCGTCGCCTCACCCACATTTCCAATTCCCGACGTAAATCCTGCATCTGTCTTCTCACTTCCCTTGGCTCCGGCGACACACCTTCATATATCGCTATTTTGCCCTCTACATCTGCCAACCTCTGCATCAACACCTCTGCCGCCTTTCCCGCTTGCTCGACTTCCATGAGCAGGGTCTCCGGTATACTGGAGGAGGAATTCCGCAGTCGTTCGTCATATTCGGCGATTTTGGCTTTGAGGAGTTTGGTTTGGCGGAGGGTTTCTGATGTTCGTTTGGGGAGGTTTGGTTCGGGGGTGAAAGGTGTAGAGGTTAAGGTGCGGAGGTCTGATTGGAGGTGGGAAGATTGGGATTGCAGAGATGTTTGGAGGGAAGTTGTTTGGGAGAGTTGATGTGTTAGGGAGAAGAGGGATGTGGTCAGGTTGAGGAGATGGGTTGCTATTGATGTTGGGGATGTGGAAGGGGAGGTTAGAGATATGGATGCGGTGGCGTGGGTGAGGAGGTCGGAGGTCCCGGGTTTTGAGAGGGAGGATTGGAGGTTGTTAAGGATGGTGGTGTTGATGTTGTTTGTGTCTTGTTTCTACATCTCATTAGCCATTCCATTTCATCCCCACCACTCTCACTTATTCGAAAACTTACCTTTCTCTCTTCCTCCTCTTCCAATTCCCGCAATGCCATCTCCTCTACTCCACAAACTCCACTCCATCCTTCATCGGCCTTTTCATTAGCAGCAGCTAATGCCAACAACGCATTCAACGTCTCCTCATTCTCTTCAAATTTCGGCACTCTGGAAGGAGTGGGATATTTTTTCCGCAGAAAGGAGTGGATGTAGGTCCAATCTTTTGCCAGACGTTGTTGTTCTGCTGCTTTTGAGGGGGAGAAGAGGGAGTATTCTAAGGGTGTTGTTGTGGTGGCTGGGAAGGATGGATGATCCATATTGATGGTATGCTTTTTTTGGTGTTTTTGTTGTTGTCGACGGGTTGGAAAATTGGACAGTGTTGTGGTATAGAAGTGTATTGTGGTTTGTTTGAGTGTTGGTTGGCGGTCAAATTGTTTGGGCTTTGGAGGTCTTGGCGGTGTACATTGATGGTTTTGGAGGGAACGAATTGATATTCTGTTTTATTTCTGGAAACCTATTGGGTTGGATCCTACAGTATATCGAATGAAGATAGACTATCGAAATGGAGGTGACTCGATGCTGTGTCGCTGGTCTAGGTAGAGCAATTGTGTGTTGCAAAAGAGGAAGTCATCGAGAAGTGGATTCAAAAGCGAGGTCCAAGCTTCTTCCACCGAAACGTCATTGATGCGCGATGCCTTCGTGAAATCCATCAAAGACAACAATTTGTGTCTGTCACATGCCAATTCTCCCTCGTTTGTCTCTCATCCAATTTGATCCTGGTTCCAGAGTGGACCGCAGGTAGCTCATTTCCCCAGCGAACATGTCAGGAAACAAGGCGGCGCTGAAGGCTGCGAAAGTCGCCTTGGATGCAGAGAACTACGATGATGCTGTCACTCAATGTCAAATCGTTCTAGCATCAGATGCTCAAAACTACTTTGCGTACGTTTTGGCTGTGTTCATTTGAATCAATAATGCTGACCATATTACCAGCAAGCTATTCTTGGGACGCGCATTCCAAAAACAGAACAAATTAGATGAGGCGGCAAAAACATACAACTCGGCCGCACAGATCAAACCGGATGATGCTCAAGCATGGTTGGGTCTATGTAATTTGTATGAGAGTCAGGGCGGTGTGAAACTTGACGAGTACCGCGAATCTGCTCTGAAGGTTGCTCAAATCCAGGCCGCAGCTGAGGATGCTCATAAATGTCAAACCACAATCAACAAGCTGGTAGAGTTCACCAAGGAACATGGAACCACTGCCCAATACAAACGCGCACTGGAAGCTCAATTACCTGGAAGTCCTATCTACGAATTCTTGGAGGGTCGCTTACCGAGTCCGTCGCATACATACACTCGCCTCATCGAAATTACCGAGGAAGAAGAGAAGCAACGCATCAACAAGGAAATCGGCGAGCGAAGAACAAGGCTAGGAGCTAGAATCAACCAAGTCACTACCGATGTTCGCCGAGAAGTCTTCACAAAGAGCAATGTCGAAGAGCTCTACCAAAACCTGATCGATTGGACCAACGATGATGAGATTCGTCGCGAATACGAGCAGAAGCTCTTACAGCGAGCTTACGACACTTTGATCGTCCTGACTGGAGACGCGAAGGCTGCAAAACGTGAGCAGGTCATGGGCATCGTACACGGCATGGTTATTATCAAGCACCCTTTCCTCCTGGCCTGGACCGTCGATCTCGACTGGAAAGATGTCGCAAACATTTCGGACCTTGATATCAATGTTTTGAGAGAGTATCTCGAGTTCTTTCCGGAAACCAGTCTCGGTAAAGTCCTCAAAGCATATCTGGACTGCGAAACTTCACCGTTCCCCGCTCCTCCAAAGGACCCTCAACAAAAAGAAGAGGAGGTAGAGCCACCGCTCAATCAGGAGGATAGAATACTTCTGATGAGTGAAGGTCTTGAAGATGGCAGTAAATCTGTTCTCGCCCATCGTCTCGTCGCAGAGTACTATCTGCACCTCGAAGAGTACGAAAGTGCAGCAGAGGTCGCTAGAAACGGCCTGAAGATGCTCGAGTCTGAGGAAAGAAAGTCAGGTCTGTCATTGCAGGACAACAAGGATGCTTTCAACAGCACACTCGCTACTGCGTTGGTCTACCATCAGTCACCCAAGAACCACCCAGAGGCTAGAGATCTTTTCAACAACATCCTCGAGAGAAAGCCCAAGCATACAATGACACTTATCGGACTAGGTCTCATCCTGGAAGAACAGGAAGAGTTTGATGAGGCTGTCAAATTCCTTTCGCAAGCCCGGGATCAGGACCCTAGTAATGTTCGCATTGATATCGAGGCAGCTTGGTGTGACGCGCTTCGCGGAAACTATGGTCCTGCACTTGAAACCATGGAGAAGCGCTTGCCTGAATTGAAGCTTGACGACCCGAAAGCACGAGAGCTCAGAGCACAAACTCTGTATCGTACTGGTGTTTGTCTTTGGAACCTCGATACTTCCAAGACTGCCAGAAGAGATCGCAATGGAGCTTATGCCAGGTTCTTGTCTGCAATCAAGACCAACGTCAACTTCGCCCCTGCATACACTTCTCTTGGATACTACTACGCCGATTATGCCAAGGACAAGAAGAGAGCACGCCAGTGCTTCCAGAAAGCCTTTGAGCTGTCAGGCTCGGAAATCGAGGCTGCAGAGAGACTGGCAAGATCATTCGCCGACCAAGGCGAGTGGGACATTGTCGAGATCGTTGCGCAAAGAGTCGTCGACTCAGGCAAAGTCCGCCCGCCACCAGGTTCCAAGAAGAAGGGTATAAGTTGGCCCTTCTCAGCTTTAGGTGTCGTGCAAATGACGAAGCAAGAGTACTCAAAGGCGATCGTCTCGTTCTTGTCAGCACTCAGAATTAGCCCCAACGATTATCACTCGTACGTCGGTCTCGGAGAGAGTTACCACAACTCTGGCCGTTACAACTCTGCAAGCCGTACTTTCATCTATGCCGAGGAGCCTCATGACGGAATTTCTATGAACGTTACTGGGCAGAACTGGTTTACGAGATACATGCTTGCCAACGTCAATAGAGAGCTCGGTGAGCATGACGAAGCGATTGCTGGTCTGCAAGAAGTTCTCACTGGTAGAGCTGAGGAGTTCGGAGTCCTCATTGCATTGTTGCAGACATACAATGAAAAGGCTTGGAGATGTGTAGAGACTGGCTTCTTCGGTCAGGCTGCTCACAGCGCAGTACAAGCAATCGAACTCGCTCAAAAGATTGTCGAACTGAGACCGCAAGCTTTCAACCTGTGGAAGGCAGTCGGAGATGCTTGTTCGACCTTTTACTGGATCCAGGACAGACTTGACATCTTCCCCTCCGACGTCACTAAGCAGATGCTGATGAAGGATGTTGATGTTAAAGAGTTCAGCATATTGTCGGACATCGATGGAGTGGACTCGAAGGTTCTTGAGGGCTCATCGGATGATGGCAAGCCTCTCGCTTGCCCGGAGTACTTGGCTCTTTCGTTGCTCGCATACAAGCGTGCTATCTTCAGCTGCGCTGACGATGTACATGCGCAAGCCGTAGCCTGGTACAATCTTGGATGGGCAGAGCACAAGGCATTCAGCTGCAGCGATGTGAAGACTGGAAAGAAATTCCTTCGTGCCGCTGTCAGATGTTTCAAGCGTGCCATCGAGCTTGAAGCAGGCAATTCGGAGTTCTGGAACTCGCTTGGTGTCATCACTACCAGACTGAACCCCAAGGTTTCTCAGCACTCTTTCGTAAGATCTTTGCATCTGAACGAGCGTAGTGCAAAGACATGGTGCAACCTCGGTGTTCTCTATCTCATTAACAATGATTACGAACTCGCCCACCAAGCCTTTGGCCGTGCTCAGTCAACGGACCCTGACTACGCACATGCCTGGCTCGGCGAAGGTCTCATTGCGCTCATGATGGGCGACAAGAAGGAGGCATTGTCACACTTCACTCATGCTTTCGAAATTTCCGACTCTGCTTCTCTCATCTCAAAGCGCCAGTATGCAGTGTCAGTCTTTGACAATCTGCTCGCAACCCCCTCAGCCTCGAATGAGATCACTGCGTTGATTGAACCGCTGTTCGCCTTGGAACAGCTCCACAGACAGTCTCCTTCAGATCAAGCATACAATCATCTTGCATCATTGTTCTCAGAACGTGTAGGCGATCATGGTCCTGCTATTGAAATGCTCACTACCCTTTGCACATCGGCAGAGTCCGACTACGAAGCTACCGAGTCGCTGACCTCGCTTGGCCGATTCGCTTTGGCAAAGGCAGACCTTGCCAGAAACCAGCTTGCATCAAAAGACTATGAGTCAGCCGCTGAGAATGCAGGAACATCACTCGATCTGTCTGCTGAAGCTGATGCGAGTGGCCTAGAGCCGGACAGCAGACGCAAGGTCCGCTTATCTGCCCATCTGACAGCAGGTCTTGCTGCCTTCTACCTACAGAACATGGACGACGCCATTGCCGCATTCAGATCAGCGCTCGAGGAGAGCAACTCTGACCCTGATGTTGTGTGTCTGCTTGTCCAAGTCTTGTGGGCCAAGGGCGGCGATGAGGAGAAGTCTGTCGCTCGCGATCAACTCTTTGACTGTATCGAGAAGCACGACTCTCATGTTCCATCTATTGTCCTTCTTGGTGCGATTGCGGCATTGGACAACGATACCGATGCTCTGGATGCCGTCCAGGATGACCTCTCGTCTCTGCGCACAAACGACAGTATTTCCATCTATGATCGTGAGCATGTCGAACAAGTTCTTGGTGCTATTGCAGGTCTTTCGTCGGACGCCTCGGAGTTGGATGCGCTCGTTGAGACACAAAGAGCCATCATGCTTGCGCCACACCAAAGTCATGGCTGGACACAGCTGACCGATCTGACTGAAGAGGCGTACCCAGCTCAAATGGCCCTACTGACATCGCAGAGAGCTGTTCCACCATACGGCGATCTTGGAGCACAGGATTTGGCAAAGGCATTTGCAGGAACAGGAGTGGTCAGGGACGCGCAGAGAGCGATCGTACTGGCACCATGGGAAAGAAGTGGCTGGGAGACATTCGCAGATGCAGTGACGTCTGCTTAAACAGGCTGATATCCGAACATCACAGTGGCTGGGAAATACTGTTGTTTGCACATACTAATGAAGCGAAACAACCTAGCCAGGTCAGGCCAAGCAAAATCAATTCAATTCCAATAGAACTTTGAGAGAATTTTCGTTTTGACATTTGCCGATCGCATCGATTTACCTTTACGAGGAGGAGAGCTTGTGGTGGTGGAAGCAATTTTGTATGTCTTGGTATGGATACCTCGTGATCGTACTTCCGCCGTCTCCTTCCCCAGCTGGACTTGATGGTTCACACGGATAGACGCCTGTTGAAACGGTGATAGTGTTTCTGTTTCAAGCCTGCACCAAATATAGAGTATATTGAGGAGATCTTGCTGTACGTAGGAGGCTTGGGTTACATTTCATGCTCACAGCTGAGTCTCGAATTTGTCCATTGAATCGTTCCCCGGTCAAGAGGGAGCGAAGAGATGTTGAAATGTTTGGGAAGAAAAACAAGAAGCACCCCACGTGCATGGTGCCTGAACGCCAAGCAGCCTCGGCCGCGGCTTTGCCCGGCCCTGACCAGAAAAGTCCAGAGCTTGTCTCCTTGCCTTGTCATGCAGCAACAACAAACATCACCCCCTTCGTGTTCCTACCGCAATGCGAGGCATCTTTCATCTCAGTACACCGGTCGAGGGGCTCGGAACGAGGCGTTTGATGGACTCGATCAATGGGCCTTCTATTCCATCTTGACTCGAAAGTCTCCTGGATTTCTCGTTTGACGTCAAGAGGGGTAAACGCTTTTCTGAAGGAGAGTTGTCTTGAGCAGGTTCAAAATCAATTAAACAAGTGCAACCTTTCCGTAACCGGTATCGATACGGAGTCTGATCAGGCAGCTGGGGGTGGTGAGTTCACACATCGTATCTTCATTCCTTGGCGTAAGTGGCAATTGAACGGTGGGCAGTTGGTGATGTATCTATCTTTGGATGAGACACAACTTCAATTCAAGGCTGGAGTGTGGCGTGTCTCATTGCATTGTATCAATGTTTCTTGCTGTAGAGAAATTCTGCGAGATGCTTGATCTGGAGTCTGGACAAGCGAATGATCAACAACACCAACAAGGCACTTCTGCAGGAACCCGCATGCATCGAACTGTAAAGATGTTGAATCATCAGATGGATCCGAGGTAAAGCGATCAAGGCTCTGGGTTAGCAAGGCTAAAATTGCACTCTTAGTCCACAACCCCGCTGAATTGGAATGCAAGAAGGTTCAGAGATGAGTCCCCGTTGTGGATACGAGGTCGAACTCTCGTAACGGGTTCCTGGTTCCTGGAGCTAAACTAACTCGGAACTCCCTCAAGCCTCTCACCATGTCATTGGGAAACACCTCTCGATATATAAGGCCTGCTCGACCTTTCCAATGGACAATTCCCTCCCCCATCAACAACTACAGTCGTTCAACTACTACTAATCCATCCAACTTCCACACTCGCTACACAGCACCTTTTACAACTTTTTAATTCTTCCCAAGTTTTATATCACCACCCTACCGCAAATATGAGATACTCCGCTGTTGCCTCTCTCGCCTTCGTTGGTGCCGTCGCTGCCCAGAACTCCACCGCTGGTGCCGCTGCCACTGGCTGTGTTGCTTCCTACAACACTTGCAGAACCACCCGCACCAACGGTCTTTCTGCCAACCAGGCTCAGTGTGCTTCTGACAACGCTGCTTGCCAGGGTGCTTGCTACGCAACCTACAACACTTGCCGTACCACTCGCACCGACGGTCTCTCTGCCAACCAGGCCCAGTGTGTTTCCGAGTACGCTACCTGCCTCGGAGAGAACCCTCTTAGCCCCTCCGGCGGTCTGGAGTCGTCCTTCATCCCTTACAGCGCTACCGCTAGCTCCAGCATGACCTCTTCTGCTGCCGCTCCCGTTTCCACCGCTGCTTGCCAGGCTTCTTACAACTCTTGCCGCACCGCCCCTGATGCCAACATGGCCTTCTGCGCTTCCCAGTTCGCTGGCTGCCTTCAGGAGAACCCCTTCGCCAGCAACGGCACTAACACCGTCACTGCTGCTGCTTCCGGCGGTGTTGTCTACACCACCCAGGTCGTTACTGCATTGACCACCGTTTGCCCTGCTCCCACCGCCGGTGCCTACGTTACCACTCTCGGCAAGAACGTCTACACTGTCAGCAGTGCTACCACCATCACCGTCACTGACGTGAGTTTCAATCTTATCTCTGTATTGACCATCTTGAACCGTATATCTGACTATTCTACAGTGCCCTTGCACCATCTCCAAGCCCGTCACCTCGGCTCCTGCTGCTTCTGCTTGCGCTACTCAGCTGTACGTATATTCATTGCTTCAAACCCATCTGAACCAAAACTAATATCTTCCAGCTTCGATGGTTGCAACCCTGCCAGATCCGCCTGCCCCAACGGCCCCGGATCCTACATCACCGTCACCCCCTCCACCTACCCTACCAGCTACGTCGTGAACGGCCAGACCGTCTCCTTCACCGCTGCCCCCACTTCATGCCTTCCCTCTTCCGCCGCCACCACCAACGGTGTCATGACCCCTTCTGCCGGCGGTAACAAGAACGGCACCGCCTCTGCCACCAAGCCTGCTGTCTACACCGGTGCTGCTGCTCAGTTCGGTGCCGGTTTCGGTTTCCTCGGTGCCGCTGCTGGTGCCGTTATGCTTCTTTAAGCATGTCATTATCAATCTTGAATGATTTGATAATCTAGGAGATGAGGAGAGGATGGGGATGTGTAGAGGAAACAGAAAGCAAACCAGAGATGCTGTGTAGTTGTTTTGAGTTTTAATTCTTGTCTTTTTTTCGGGGGTTTTAGGAAAGAATCAGGATTTTTCCACATCTCTTGTTTTCTTTTTCCCCGATCTTTTTTTTTTATATACCACTTGTATAAGTATGGGCGGGCTTTGGGAAGCCCTTTTTGATATCACTGAATATACTTGTTGTCGATTGCATACCTCTTCTCCTACACTCTTTGCATATCTCAGGCTTTGTTTCGTTTCTGATTGGGGTTCAAAGGAAGGAACGATCGAAAACCTCTTTCCATTCCATCTTTCGTTTCTCTCTCCCTCCCAGATTTTGCAGCCGGCTGTCTTCATGCGTCGCCGCTTCCCTCTGTTTGTTGCGTCTTGATCGTATCTTGCCCCGGCTTCGAACCGTTTCAGTGCCAATAGCTCAAAAACGATACCGTACTCGTATCGGAAAGACGAGGAAGACAGACCATGATTGGCATACTCAGGAAGCCACCAATACATAGATTAGGTTGACAGAGAAACCAGTGGAGAATTGCAAGGGGGAAGTAATCTGGAAGGCTCCATTACGCTCCTTTCAACCAACGGAATGAATACGAGCTTGCAAACTGAGGAACGATGGCATCTTCACATCTTTCGAAAATTCACTTCATACATGAAAAACAGCGTATTAAGGGTATGTGATTATTTCATTGACATGCGTAAAAAGTTTCATCAAGCTATTTGCTTGTTTCTTACATGCTGATCCACCTAGCCATCCAGAACTCAGTGACCTGCTTAGCTTCATCCACAAGCCCCATATCCAACAACAATTGCGTGGTACCTCTAACCGCACTCTCCAACGCGCTGAAAATCCAAGCGTGCGTATAACTAGTATGTTCACCCACAAACACCGTATGCTTCTCCGTCTGAAAGTACGCAGGAAGATACAAATCTTGCTGTAATGCTGTAGGCGATGCCCAAGCGCCGGCTTGATATTCATCATTGAGCCAGCATTTTCTGTCGTAGGCGCCTGTGAATTGTTCGGCGGCGATGGGGCCGTGGATTTCGATCATGGCGCGTTGGACGTAGGCGACGTGTTCTTGTTCGGTCATTGCGCCGAGGGATTTTGCCATGTCGCCGGAGAGGTAGGATGCGAGGATTACGCCGGGGCCGGAGCTGTTGATTTGGTAGGACGGGTAGCACACACTGCCGATCCCTGCTATGCCGCCGCCAGAGCCGCAGCCGCCGATGATGGGGCGGTCGAGGTGTTCCCAGAAGCGTGTTTTGTAGTGGAGTGCGACTTTGCAGGCGGGTGAGTAGTTTAGTCTGCTGATGGCGCGGCTGAGAAGGCTAGAGTAGTCGGGGAGACGCCAGAGACGGACTTTGGAAAAGGGGACGGCGACGATGGTGTAGTCGAAGTCTATGATTTCGGTTTCCATGTCGAAGGGGTTGCCGGGGCGGAAGTGGACGGACATCTTTTCGGAGGTCTCGTTCCAACTCATGGCTTGGACGGCAGTTTGGAAGCGAGTGCGATTCAAAACTTGAGGTCCGAAAGCTGCAGGGAGACGACTCAGACCTTGATCGATGGTACGCCATTTAGTGGCCTCAAAGTAGACATCTTCGTACGGCCAAGATGGGAGGTTATCAGCAACCGAGTCAATCTGATCGGTGATGTTGTTGTCAATACCCATCTTGTAACGGAGGTAACCAGACTCGGAGAAGTCAAGGAAGCCCTCAGCAACGGCTTGCTTATGTGCCTGGAAGACGTTGGTTGCATATAGACGAGTCTTCTCAGTAGTCATGCCGAGCCAGTCCTCAAACTCTTCGGTTGCTTCTGCTACAGCAGTTGCATTGCTGTATGTGAGAGTGGCGTTAACAGCGAGGGAAGGATTCTCGGACACCTCTGCCACGCCCGGAACAGTACCATCAGGCTTTCTCTTGGTGGTGCTCGAAGGGTCGTTACGAGCGGTTTGGATCCAGGGAATGAACTTGACCTCGTAGGAGGGGTCGTGCTTGTTCTGCTTGTTAAGTTCGTCGGCAAGCTGGAAGACCATCTTGTGGTCGTTGATCTCAATCGTCTCGTTGTCCATAGACAAGCTGACAGGGAAACGCATAGGGCCCATCTCCTGGTACTGGTATTGATCAGGCTTGGTGGCGTTGAGATAAGATGTGTGGACACGACCTCCGATACGCGATGAAGCTTCGATGATCTGCCAGTCGTGGAAACCAACAGAGTCGAGAATGTGTGCAGTCATCAAACCAGACATGCCGCCACCGAGAATACCAACAGACTTGCTCTTGGTTTGAGCAACGAAGACAGACTCTGGCTCCTTCTCCTTCAGGTATGTGACACCATCAAACCAGGGGCCCATAGCATCCATGACATCTGCAGCAGCGAGATGTCTCTTGTTGTTTCTGCGACCAACAGAGACCGGTGTAGATCTGCCTAGCAAGACATCACCAGAGAAAGCATGAAGACAACCATCGCTAGAGATATCCTCAGGTGCCAACCAGACGAAGCGAGTTGGTCTTTGTTCATGCCAATTCAAGTGTCGCTTTGCCAAATCGTGGTTTCCAACATGTGTGCTGCCGAGAACGTGATGGGCATCTTCTGTGGACTTGATGCCACAATCACCATAAACGATTGAGAACTCTCCGTCATGAGATGAGTGATAGTCGACATGGATGTTGTGCATACCACCTGCCTCCACAACCTCAGGGAACTTGAAGGAGACCACTGGACCTTGAGGAGCAGCGACGACATGCTGGATGAGAGTCGACAAGGCAAAGACGCCTGTCGAGAGTTTTCGAATAGACATTATGAGAAGGAGTTGATGAGATGTACACTGAAGTAAGCATCCTGGGCATAGCTTACCATTTTATATATCCAGCTGCCTACTACTGACACGGATATGCTCCTCCAGCAAAGCCCGAAATCGATACTCTGCGGAGTATGCACAGCCTGCCTGCCGATGGTTGGGACTGCAAACCAACAGCCATGGTTGCGGTGTACGGTTACGCCGTGTCGATACTACACATGCAAGACATGGGTGAATGAGTCCTATCTCCACAGTACCAAGTCGGCGACATTCAGACACTCCAGGAACCGGCCTCTCCGTTCTTGCCAAGGACACGCTTTACTACTTCTGCAGTATTCCAACCGAGAGACTGTATCCACGTTGCTCCGGTATCGAAGAGTGACGCCCTTCAGTGACTTGTCAAGCGATGGCCGACTGTTTGCCCGCTCTGCCTATCTCTAGACATTGAGGCTGTAGGGCGTGGATACGACAAGTGCACCGAGTCCGGAAGCTCGAAAGAAGGCGCGAGGAAAACTTTCAATGTACCCTGCAGAGGTGTTGACCCGGGATCGACAAGATAAGGTCGGAAGGTGGATGCAAGATGGGGACTGGGGGATAAGAAGTCTTGGCAGCGATAGAGATTATCGTTTCCATTTGTTCGGTTGCTTACCACATCGAAAGCTGCATGTAAAGAGAGTGTAAGAAGCGGAATATGGCCTGACTAGACGCAGAAGACAGATTGTCTCGTGAGTGAGATCAAAGTGGCTGTCGCGGGTCTGGAGAGGCCACACCGCGCTGCACGGCACAGCCGGGATCATTAGAGGTCCGCGCAGACATCATCTTTCAGTGTATGTCATAGGAATCACCAAGAAACATATACGGCCTAGAATATGATGGTAGGCAGATAGAGAAAGTGAACATGACATCTGATCAAGATTTGCGTGCAGAAAGGATCGCCTCAGCAAATATAACTGCGGTATACGGATAAATCCCGGCAAAGCCGATGAACTGGCGGAAGTGCAACCAATCTCGGCTCTCCGGGACCTCTGTGCATCTCATCACCTCAGGACTCGAACGACTCTAGAGGTCATGTCTTACAGTTTTGCAAATTCCATGTGTCAAATTTGGACTGGCTTCGTCAAGTCGTACTCCAGAACGCACGCGACTATCTCTCAATCCCTGCTTCGTTCTTTCCACTCTTCTCGAATTCAAAACGCTACAGAGTCCAAGGATCAAGAGTCCGGGCAGGAAGATGCCGGGAAAGAAGCCTCCAAGGACAAAAGGCGGGAGTATGCGCGGAAGTATCATCAAAAGATTCTGAACGACCCGGAACGTCTACAACGCAAAAGGCAGCAATGGAGGCGCTGGTATGCTAAAAACTATCCTAACAATCCTACGCTCCAACAGAAAAGACTAGAGAATGTCAGACGCTGGCGAGATGCGCATCGAGACGAACACGTCAACAACTATCTCAACGACGCAGCGTACCGCGAAGCCTACCAGAAGGGCAATAAACACAATAAAGCCTCGGATGAAAAGAAACGTGTTCGATTAGAGCAGAACGTCGACAATTGTCAACAGATCATGAAATTTTGTCAATGGATTTCTCACACAGAATGGGCTCGTCGAATGGCTTGGGAGACGCATGAGCTCCTTTGGAACGAGACTGGAAAGACTCCAGGACTTTGTGCATCTTGCAAAAGTGTATACACACGCAAGTTCTGGTGGCAACGTAAGAAGTCTGATGAGAAGTCTGGTGAAAAACTTCTTGACTGCCACAATTGCTTCTGTCACAAGGATTGGGAGAAGGCCATGCCAATTGGAATGAGAGGTCATGTCTTTGGAACTGGCCGGATCCGACAGCCAGACTGGACTAAATATCCTCCACCATCTTCGTCCAAATCCTGAAGATCTACGAGGTTCGCGCATACACCAAAATGACGCCATCTCAACTTCTTCTCACCATCTCGCCTTCGAAAAGTACGGTCAACACAAGACGCCGGGTCTTGACGACCATCGCTAGACTTGACGGCAATTTTATCATCCGAGCCTGTTGATACCAACCGGGTGCTCATATGATAACAACCGTCACAATCAGAAACTTCATACCTTCCTTGCCCGGGATAAGCACTAAACACTGGCTAAATTACTCTCCTCAGCATCGAGAACTTTACAGCATTGTGCAGCTTTCAGCACATCACGCCATGGCAATTGCAGATATCTATCAAGGCTTCACGTAACAGCCCTTTCCCTTTTCACACTACGATCGGATATCAGACGCGATGATCAAAGATCGTTTTAGCACGAGATTGCCTTGTTGATGAAACTCCGAAGAACTGCTCGAGGACATCTTCAACCATCATCTTGCAGTGCTTTCTTTGCCAAAGCACAATTTTCATCAATATATGCATCGTCGACAGAGCATGCCAAAGTCGCGGCACTCGCTCATGTTCCCTAAGAATTTCGTACAATTGGTAATCACTGCATCGATGACAACAAATCCATTGAACGTTTCGGTCTCAAGCCCCTTGTGAGCTTGTGGGTTAACACCAGATACTTGATCACCAAAATTCCACTAGAGATATCTCAATTACAAAAGAATAGCCCAGTAAACAATACACCCCAAAAAGCAAATACTTCCATATCCCACAAACCCCTTCAAGCAAAACAATCCAAACCATCCAAACCCAAATATATAGATAATCAAATATTCCACTTTTCCTTCTTCCTGACCTCCCTAACTACACAAATTGTACAGATGGATTTACGTCTGTCTCACTCTCACGTGTTTACTTGCGTATTTATTTGCTACTTGCTGAAAATCGAGTAACTCTGATGTTTGCATCAGAGTTCTAGTGGTAGGATTGATTTTGTGCGCTACATATATCATTGCACTATCTGGTTGAAATGCGAGAGATGAGGATATGAGGATCTGAAAAGATGGTCGACTGATTTGATGAGGATGATGATGTTGGCCATGTGAAGTTGCCATGTGAACGAGTATTTCAACACGATATGCCGCGCCGGAATGGCCGACCAGATTGATAGGAAAGCTATTGGCGCTGAGGTTGGTGTTGAGAATTGCCTGTCGTGTGTTCAACAGCAACTTTCGAGTTCTTCCATTGCCGAACAAGGTCTGGATCGCTCCTGATGACCAATGTCCTCTGCGAGTAAACATCAGAGTAGAATGAAGAAGCACAGTGTGGTTAGAGGATTCATAGTATAATTCCATTGTACTTGTCTACCAAACTGCGTAGTAGACACAATCCTTTTTGTTCTTTTTCGTATCGTTGAGGTCAAATATCCCATGTTCCATATCATAGACCAACCCCTCGATCAAAAAGATGCCATCATCGTATCTGCGTTCTCGTGTTTTTTTCGTCTCCATCTTTCGTGCTTCCGAATCCAGAGGAAAAAAAGAACTAAGGCTTAGGGACGTGGAAAGTCTTGCTGATCATAAGACATCCATGAGCCACAAAGATCAGAGCAGCAGGGTGGAATTCGAATATCGAGCCCTCAGCAAACACGCCGAAAGGAAGCTGATCGTGGATCCAGCCCTTGCTGACCCAGAAGGAGATCAAGGAGACAATGCCTAGGGAGGTGGGGGTGGGGAGACCTTCAAAGTACTTTGCTTTGCCGTTGGCATCTTTGGGCACGCTGTCGGTGGTGATGTTGAAGCGAGCGAGACGGAGGAGACCGCAAAGGGCGAAGGAGGTGAGGAGGAAGTGGTCGAGAGGGGTGCGCATGCCGATTGCGACTGATGCGACAGCGGGGGAGACACAGAAGGAGATCTGGAGGGAAGGATCTGGTTAGCAAGGTTGAATTGTTAGGTTCAGGGAAGTGTGTCGTACCAAGTCGGCGAGCGAATCAAGCTCCTGGCCCATAAGCGAGCTCTTCTTTCTCCAGCGAGCGACCTTGCCATCCATAAAGTCGAAGAACAGACCGAAGGGCATGAAGGCCAGGGCAGCCCAAAGGTTACCGAAATCGTTGGGGTTGCCCATGCAGTAGCGGAGAGAGGACATGACCGAGTTGATACCGCAGAAGCCTGTGTTGTAGTGTTAGTACCCGATGCAATCGGGTAGATTGCAGGTATGATTACGCACCATTCAGGAGGGTGATGAGGTCGGCAAGGTGCATAGCACGGATCATAGAGAAGTGGCCTGGGTCAGACTCCTCCAACAGGCGCTTCTGCTTGTCCATAGCTGTCTTGTGGTCAGCTTTGTTACTGTGTTATGGCCTCTGTTACGACATACGAGGACTAGCGGTGACTTCTTTTGCAGCGTCGGTTGACGCGTTCACTCTGCGAGACATGATGAATTGAGTGTTGGTGTTTCTTGAGTGGGTGTCAAACTCAAGAGTGGAAGGTGCTAGGAGTATAACAAATAACAAGAAGGACAGAGGTTCCTTGCGGTGCACAAAAGGGAAAGCAGGTTTAGACGCGGGCGTTTGCGATTGGAGCGAGACGTCATTCAATCCCACAAAAAGGGACCACCAGCTCAGCCACAGGGCAGCTCTTCACTGCCACTTTGTGCCTTCAATTCGTTGCATGTGATAGCCTCATATCTTGACTTCAACATCATGCAACAGACCTCTCACTGGCCATCTCCCCTTTCACGAAAAACATCCTGCATTTTGACACGCCTTCCAATGAGGCATGTCATGGTTTTGAGAGAGACCAATCTGACTAGTTTCACATGCTCAGATTCCGGATCCCTAACACTATATATTCTACCTATGACCTCCCAGCTTCCAAACCATCCAAGCAGGCGTCGACGTGCGCACGAAGAAATCTCACAATTTCCATACACTGCGGTGGTTGCCTCTCTTCCTCTTTGAAGGTCGCACAGTATACGACCCCCCTTCGAGCACCAGGTCGATGACGGCGTTACCGCCGCCAAAGATCCGGCTCTCGCGGTGGAGTTCCATCACGTACGGACACACTGCACGAGGCTCGTATGGGTCAGTGGTAGCGAGTTGTCCGTCTTGTTGTTGGCTTTGGCACCGAGTAATGTTTGATCTCTTGGAGTGTTGCGTTTGTGATAGTGCATTGCAAAATGCATGATAAGTTTCAGGTCTGAGTGTATGCTATAAGAGAGCGGCTGCGGTTTCATGGGCCTCTCGTTTGCTTGAGCAGGGTCCATGACAATCAAGTAAATGCACCCCATTTTCAATGCATAGTTCTCGACTATGGTACGCCTATCGAGATGCTTGACACTTTTCAAACCCAAAGTCCTATCCGATGAGAGCATATGCAATGGCCGATCTCCTTGGACAATTCACTCTCTGGAATGATCATGTCTTCAGACACTCACTCTACGCAAGTCGATGCTGATGGGAGAGATGCCAGAAATGAAGTTGGAATGATTTTTTTGCTCCTCTTCTCTCTGTATTCAAATAGTCCTGTACAGCGTAAAACATGAGATGAACTGCCTCTTTTCGAAACAATGCCTCCGTGAGAACCATTTCCCAAGCCGTCCAAGGCCTCATAACTCCGTGACGCCGCTGCCTGTTTACGCCCACATGCTTGCACTTTTGTGTGTGTGAAGAATGCCTGTAGATGGCTACTACGCTTAGTAGCCACCACGGCCGCGACCACCACCGCGGCCACCACCGCGACCGCCAAAGCCACCAGAGCCACCACGGCTTTGGAAACCTCCACGGCCACCGCGGTCACCACCGAATCCGCCCCTTGAGCCACCACGGCCGCCGAAGCTGCTACCGCCACGGCCACCGAAGCCACCTCTTGAACCGCCACGAGGACCACCACGGCCACCACCGAATCCACCACGGGCACCACCGCGACCTGCGGGCTTCTTGACCTTGGGAGCACCGGGAGCGGGCTTGGGCTTGGGAAGGAATCTGGAGGAAGTGTTAGGTTTGAGTTGAAGATAGTCCAGCGCAAGGATGTGTACCTCTCAAGGGGGAGAAGCTTGTCGCCGCCGATGTAGAACTTGTCGCCGTTCTTGAAAGAAGTTGCGACAATACCCTCTTGGGGCTTGATGGTGAAGTAGACCTGGTTGATGGGGCCGAGAATCTCGTCGACTTTGCCGACAGCGGTCTTGTTCTCGAGGTAGATGGGAGCGTTGAAGTAAGGGATCTTCACGTTGGTCGAAGTGCAGACCATCTCGCCCTCGGAAGCGTGCATGAAAGTGCCCATCTCGTAGACCTGGTCGGGAGGACCTTGGGGAGCGAAACCACCGCGACCTGCGCAAGTCATATGTCAGCCATGACTTGTTCTTTACCCTCCAGAGCCAACAGGAATGTATGCGCACCTCCACGGCTACCGCCGAAACCACCGCCGCCGCGTCCACCTCTGAAACCACCACCACCACCACCGCGGAAAGACATTTTTTCTGGTCGGAAAAGTCGAGTTGAGGAGTCGCTAAAGGACTACCGGCGTTGAATCGACCGGGATATGAGCGTGTATAACAAAAGCCGTCGGCGAGTAGACAGCTGTTTGTGAAATGTACGTTGGCGTTGGACGATTGACACGGCGCGAGAAAAAGTGCCAGACTTGATGAAGCTTGAAATTTACGCCAAGACACGAAATTTGGAGGGGACGGAAGCTGCCGCCCGTCAGTCGCTCTCCCTGAGGGTTGCGCTAAACAGTCACCGAGCTGTGTGGTATCGACTAGCTCTGACTCTTTCTGTACATGCTGTCTAGCTGTAGTCGCTACTCGAGGCATCTGATCACTCCTGCCACCACCCACCGCCTCGCCAGATCCTGCAGGTCCAGCTTCCGCCCGGCACTCGCAACCTCCCAAATTACCATCGCCCGCACTTTTACAGCTTTTTACCCCGCCGCCTGCAATCGCAATCACACCATGGACGCCGTCAATGCAGCCGTCGACGGAGTGAAGGATGCCGCTGAGGGTGTCAAGAACATGGTCGTCAGTGAGGCCCAGCAGCAACAATCTCAGCAGAAGAAGCAGCAAAAGAAGGACAAGAAGAAGGGCGCACAGGAGGACGGTGATGCTCGTCCCCTCGAAATGACTCCCCCTCCATCATACATCGACGACCGCAACAAGATCTTCGACAGAGTCAAGGCCGAGTACGACGCATGGGTTGCTGAGCAGCCTCGCGACGACATCAACGTTACTATGCCCGACGGTAAAGTCCTCGTTGGCAAGGCCTGGGAAACCTCCCCTGCCGAGATCACCCGTGGAATCAGCAAGTCGCTGTTCGAGCGCACCGTCATCTCTAAGGTCGATGGAGAGCTGTGGGATCTGGACCGCCCTTTGGAGAAAAGCTGCAAGCTGGAATTGCTTGATTTCGAACATCCCGAGGGAAAGAAGGTCTTCTGGCACTCGAGTGCTCACGTTCTGGGTGAGGCTTGCGAGAGAAGATTCGGTTGCAGTTTGTGCATTGGTCCCCCGGTCGAGGATGGTTTCTACTACGAAATGGCTCTCCCCAACTCCGAGCCTGTTCTGGAGTCTGACTGGAAGCCCCTGGAGAAGGTCGCCGAGAAGGCCATCAAGGAGAAGCAGACTTTCGAGCGTCTCACCCTGAAGAAAGAGGATTTGCTCGAGATGTTCAGCTACAACAAGTACAAGCAGCACATTATCCAGGACAAGATTCCCGATGGCACCAGCACCACCGTCTACCGTTGCGGCCCCTTGATCGATCTGTGCAGAGGTCCTCATATTCCTCACACTGGCAGAATCAAGGCTTTCAACATCATGAAGGTACGAATTTGACAATCTGTCATGTTTCTGCTATCAAAACTAACATATTCGTAGAACTCCGCATCTTACTTCCTCGGTGATGCCAAGAACGACTCTCTCCAGCGTATCTACGGTGTCTCTTTCCCCGACAAGGCCATGATGGTCGAGCACAAGAAGTACCTCGAAGAGGCTGCCAAGCGCGATCACCGCAAGATCGGTAAGGAGCAAGAGCTCTTCTTCTTCCACGATATGTCTCCCGGTTCCTGCTTCTTCCTTCCCCACGGTATGATCATCTACAACGCCCTCCAAAGCTTCCTCCGTAACGAGTACTGGGCCCGCGGTTACCAAGAAGTCATGTCTCCCAACATGTACAACTCCGCTCTCTGGAAGCAATCTGGTCACTGGCAACATTACAAGGATGACATGTTCACCTTCGAGGTTGAGAAGGATCAGTGGGCCCTGAAGCCCATGAACTGCCCTGGTCACTGTCTCCTTTTCTCTCACCGTGAGCGTAGTTACAGAGAGTTGCCCATGAGAATTGCCGACTTTGGTGTTCTCCACCGTAATGAGGCTTCTGGTGCCCTCACTGGTCTTACCAGAGTCCGTCGTTTCCAGCAGGACGACACCCACATTTTCTGTACCGAGGACCAGGTCGAGTCTGAGATTCTTGGTCTCTTCGACTTCCTCCGTACTGTCTACGGCAAGTTCGGCTTCACCTTCAAGATGAAGCTCTCCACCCGCCCTGAGGGTCATCTTGGTGATGTTGCCACCTGGGACAAGGCCGAGGCTCAGCTCACCAAGGCTCTTGACCAGTTCGTTGCTGGTGGTGGTTCCCAGTGGGAGCTGAACCCTGGTGATGGTGCTTTCTACGGTCCTAAGATCGATATCACCATCTCAGACGCTCTCAAGCGTGAGTTCCAATGTGCCACCATTCAGCTCGACTTCCAGCTTCCCCAACAATTCAACCTTGAGTACCGCAGTGCTGAGGCCGGTGAGGCTAAGGTGAAGGGTGAGGAGACCAAGGAGAAGGCCGTTCTTGAGCAGAAGGCTGCCCCCGCTGCCGAGGGTGCCGCTGTCAACGAGAAGGGCGAGAAGACCGAGGCTAGCTACCGCCGTGAGTTGACTCCTGGTTGCCAGCGTCCTGTCATGATTCACCGTGCTATTTACGGTTCATTCGAGCGTTTCATTGCCATTCTCACCGAGCACTTTGCCGGCAAGTGGCCATTCTGGCTCTCTCCCCGCCAGATCCTCATTGTCCCCGTCATGCCTTCCGCCAACGACTACGTTGAGGAGCTGCAAACTATCTTCCGCAACAAGGGCATGCACGCAGACATTGATATCACCGGTAACACCATGCAAAAGAAGATCCGTACTGGCCAACTCGCCCAGTATAACTTCATCTTCGTCGTCGGTGCTCAAGAGAAGGAGTCTCGCACCGTCAACATCAGAAACAGAGACGACCCTGCCACGCAGAAGTTGGGTGAGCTCATTCCTCTCGATGTCGCCGTCCAGAAGATGGAGGCTCTGAGAGATGAGAGAAAGCTCAAGACTGAGTTGTAGAGTGGCTTGTCGGAAAACACATGGCGTTGGCACGGATACAAAAAGATACTCATCGGAATGCTTGTTTGGAGCGTCATTGTTGTTGTATCCACGATTGGTAGGTAGATCGCTATCAGAAACATATTCTTTCTAACTTTGTCTTTTTGCTCTGTGATTTTGAGATGTGTTAGGCTGCAATGTGGGTGAAAACATCGAACCCGACGCTAGCAATCTCAGGGGTCGTGGTCGACTTCGATTGATCCATTGGAGGCCAATTCACGACACAATAGGAAAACATGAGAACTCCCCTCCTGGCTGTAGCTGAGATGGATCCGTTACGACAGGCTCCAGTGGCATCTTCCTAGGACAAGTTCGGTCGGGACATCCTCAACAGTACGTCAGACGCCTGAGCACCTTCCCTTCAAACAACTCGCCACTTACCACGTCGCAACAGCAACTCGTCACATTCACGTGCGTCTCTCAACCGCTTGCAAACGGAAGGTCCAACACGGCCTCTTCCGCTTCCCTTCTCATCTCTTCTTTATAAACCATCCAATCCTTGGTTTTGACTCTCGACACAACATCAAACCTCTGAAGATAAAGCATTCAAGAACCAGCCCTTATCATCAACAACAACTTCACTACTCATCTACCATCAAGAACCAACCAACCGCCAACATGAGCACCGACTTCGGACGCAAGGTTCGTCTTCCCATCCGTTGGTTCATCACGTTCATCACTGACATACATCCAGGATCTGTCTGACAAGGTCAGCCTCTCGTACATACACTGCCCACGCACCACGCTAACATACCTCGAGATTGAGGAGAAGATCACTCCTCAGGCTGCCAAGGGCCCTCTCGACACCTCCAAGGAGCATGTCACTGGCCACGCCGACCACGTCGCCAGGTTTGTCATCCATCCATCTCACTCTTCATCATCAAGCCTCATCTGACATCCATCGACAGAGACCTCAAGACCGACGACCACAAGTCTCTCGGCCAGTCCACCCACGACAAGGCCTCTCGTCTCACCAGCACTTCTGACGACCACAAGTCCGTCGGTGACAAGATCAAGGATGCCATTCCCGGCCTTCACAGCGGCAAGCGTTCCGATGCTGCTGAGGTCATCGACCCCAACACTTCCACCACCACTTCCGACGTCATCAACAAGAACCTTTGAGCAGTTCACAACAAGACTCTGATGGAGCGGTCCTCTGATGGAACACTCTCACGATGCAATGACCCTTTGATGGCATGATGATACGTTGGCGGATACCCCTTTGCTGCTTTTTGCACTGCACCTGAGACAGGAATGACATACCTTCGATACTCACTCTCATCTTCTTGCTTCTGTGACTTGTCCTTTGCGCTTCTGTATCATCGTGTCTCTGTTGCCAAGTCTTCTCCGTGATGTCTCTTCCCAATTCGTAATGTTTACTGTCCTGATTTCGTTGCCACTCTTGGCAATCTCCTAGGAACCCTCAAGATCTGACCCCTTCTCCCGCTCGTGTGTCTTGTCGTTTCGACAACCAGACTTTTCATACTCATGCATGCCTAGAGTATCAAAACATCTCGCCAGCGAGCCTCCATATGCTCTGGAGGTATGTCCATCCTTATCAGGCAAACATCCCTCCAGAGCGAACATCCTTAGCTCAACTCGCAAGCTCTACCGTCCGTTATTAGGATATACTCGATGTGTTATATTCCGTTGCGTTGGCGATATTGAGGTGTGCGAGATATAAGTGACTCTCTGATGCCATCTTTCTACAATAAAACACCTGACAGAATTTCATAAAAGTTAACATGACTTCTAGAATCGCAAAAAGAAGAAGATGAGGAAGAATAACTTCCATAGCCCCTATGTTTTACCCTCGAGGGGCCAAAATATTAATGTATAGAAAAAAAAAAGTCTGTATTGATTATAAAAGAGGTCTTTCCTGATAAACAGAGGGAAACAAAAAGGCTATGCAGAAAAGGGTGCCCCCCGAACAAAAAGCCGACGGTGTATAGAAAAAGTCCACCAAAATGCTCTGATAGTCTTTCGAAATCCCAGAAAGAAAAGAAAAAACAGCACTGGTATATTTGAAGAAGTTGATACGTTTGTGATTTCCTTGAGAACACCCTATCACATCATGACACACTCCTGCTCCTTGGTATGCTTCGGCACGCCCATCTCCTCGAATGTTTTTGGCCCCGTCTTGACAGGTTTAAGCGGTGCAGGTTTGGGCGTCGTGGTCGTTGGCGGCGGCGTCGCGATCCCACTACCGCTTGAATCCACAGAAGGCCCCGGACTCGGCCTGGCAGCCGAAGGGGTTGCAGAATCCGCTCGTGGAGGAGGGTGGGCGAGGCTAGAACTGCTGTTCGATTGTTGGGGTCGTGGTGTCCGTTGGGGGCGAGGGGTGGTGGCAGAACTGTTGGTGTATCCGCTGTATGCCACACTGGGAGGCGGCCGTGCATCTGGGGGTGCGGTATATCCGATGTCGACGCGAGAGTTGACTGGCGGCAAAGGAGAGGAATTTGTGTGGCTGATAGGGTGGATGTTAGGCGAATTCAGTGCGCCGGGTTGAGGGCGAGGCCCAGGGACGGGACCTGAAGCTACGCGTTGGCCGGTTGGTCGCATACCTCCGGGTACGGGACGGAGACCTCCTCCAGGTGCAGAGGCGGCGGAGTCTGGACGGACGTGGGGAGGTAAGGCGGAGTGAGCGCGAGGACGAGGACCCATTGGTGTTGTGGTTGCTGGGCGCATATCTAGGAAACCACCCGTTGGAGCTGGTGTAGAAGAAGTGATCCGCGGAGTGAGATCTTCTAGTGGATAGGGAGCCGTTGATGTTGATCGCGGAGGAGGCACGGTAGGAGGTCGATCGTCAAGAGGATAAGGCGCAGGAGTACTAGAGGTAGGGGGACCAAGAGATGACAAACGTTTCGGGTGGGGTGAAGGTGGTCCCTCAGCAATAGACTCAATGCGCGGTGCTTGAGGTTGGAATCTGGGAGGTCGTTGGCCTCGCATGGAGCCGTGTTGCGACTTGATACGGCTCAGAGCAACATTCTCATGATCCCTCTTTGACAGAAGATGTTTGTGGGAAATGCTTTCAATACGACCCTGAGCATCCTTGTTTCCGTTGGAAGCAGCCTTGGTGTACCATTGCAGAGCAAGATCGATATTTCTTGGAACATGGATACCAAGCTCATTGAAGTAACCCATAGCAAATTCAGCAGTTGACAAGCCAGCGTGAGCGGCTCTGTTAGCGTAGATGTAAGAGAGCTCTTCGTGCTTAGGGAAGAGACCCTCGTGGCCAACGAGGAACCACTTGCTGATAGCCATATCAGCTTCGGGTTCGCCTTGTCGTGCTGCAAGGCGATTGTAATGAAGAGAAAGGGCAGGATCAAATTCGCATCCAAGAGAAGCCAACTCATAAGCAGATGCCATCTTCAACTGAGCCTTTGAGAATCTGCAGAAAGCCGAGTTCTCGATATAGCGTCTGGCTTCCGGCTCGTCAAAAGGTAGTACACCCTCAGGAAGCTTAATCTGTGGCAGCTGGCGAGCAAGCAGCATACCGTAGACATAGGCACCCTGAGGTGCATTTTCGTCTATTGAGTCTGCAGAGCGCCTGATCAGGTCAAGACCAATAGCATAGTCCCTTGGTTGGTTGTATTGTCCGCGCAAAGTAATCATACCCAGACGGTATAGAGAAGCGCTGTCTTGAGCATTCACACCACGTCTGTAGTTGTCCAAAGCTCTTTCTTCATCGTTCGCATTCTCGTACAACATGCCGAGACGATAACAGGCGCGGGCGTAACCTCGATCGGCGGCTCTTGCATAACAGCGGAAGGCTTCACGCTTGTCGTGGGGAGAACCAAAGCGACCAAACTCGTGCCAGATGCCGCGCATAAACTCAGCCTTCGGGTGGTGTTGATCGGCAAGGAAGGTGACAATATTAATGGCATCTACCATGATCTGACGCTCGACTGGTGGCTGTGCTGGTCGCGGGGATTGTGTCTGTAGCAGTCGGTCCTCGTTTTCCAGACAGATGGTGACATATTGCAAAGCATCCTGGGCCCATGCCAGTTGCATGTCCGGGTCATTCGAGTTCAAGACGGTAACTCTTGCAGCTTCCAGGACAGATTCGAACTCGGCATCGGTTTGGGGAATATGGCGGCCGCGGTATGGGACTTGGGGGAAGGCGGCAGCCTCGTGTTGGGCAGTGTCGGATAACTGCATGTTTGCGATTCCTTCTTGGATCTGGTCGCTCATCTCGGGCATGTGTCTGTGTCATGGTGTCAGGAGTGCAATGCGATGGATGTGCAGGACGTCATACCTTTGGGGGGCAGGTGCGACGAGTGCTGGACTTGTCGGCATATAGTAGTCGTCCATACCGGGCACATAGGTCGCGCTCGTATGGTGCGGGTGGTACGACATTTCGGCGTCTTTGTAGTCGGCGTAATGCTGGTGTGAATATGAATGCGACTGAGGATAGTCGTCGTGGTGATGGTAGTGATGATCCGGATGTTGATCTGTACGAAGGTCGCTGTCTCAGCCTTGATCGACCAGTCTGGCCTGTCGCGCTAGCAGCAGTAAAGAGACATGCATGCTGAAGGGGAGAGGAAACAGGCAGAAAATAATCAGGAAGGTGCTATCCAAACGTACCGTACAATGTCCCCCACACCGGCGGTGCCGCTTGTTGTCGCTGCCCCAAAAGCATCTCAACCCTCCCCGCCAACACAATTCCAACGGCCAATTTCCTGTTTCTTTGTTGAACAATCGCCCAATCCGCTCGACCTGAACGACAATGACAATCCTTCTTCTATCTTCTACTGTCTCGAGAACTACTCCCATGTACATATATCAATGTACTACCCAAGCCGTACTTCCGTCCGACGCGTGTCTCAATTTCAACCCCCACTGAGGCCGAACTTCTCCTACCGAACCTTCTCTATTCAGGGGATTCTTCAATCTTGGCTTCATCATTTCGACGGGTCTCTGTGCATCGCCACAAGACACAGCCTTGTCTAAGAATCCAATTCCTTTGTCCGGAAGACGCACAAAGGCCTGCCTCCGCTTCCTGACAAGCCGCCTGAAATTCTGTCGTGCTTTCTCAAACACTAGTGTGCAACATGATGACAACATCCAACCTTCTCTCCAAGATACTGCCGGCTATGCAAGAACTGCCCTTTTCATGAAATGACATTGTGATAGTCGTTGAGATCGTTCTTGGCTACTCCGCCATCTTGGCCCGGACTGCGTATTGCGATACGGCCATGATCCGTCTACCAAGACGCCAGTTTATTAATCTCACTCACAACCAATCTCAAATCACATCAAACTTTTGACCAACATCACTGACATCCAAAGCGAGAATGACTGTCTCAGATGTCTCTTGGATCCGATTTTCAAACAACTCACCCAACACAAAGCAGAATGCCTGTCTTCCGCTCGCATGATGGCTTGTCTCTTAGCACAGATTATGCGCCAGTACCTTGACGATAGCAAGTCTGACGTCTTTGCTTAACAGAGTCACCTTGACAGCACAACTTCGCGACAATGTAGGTACTTTGAAAGTCGGCGTCAAATGTCTGCATTGGACAAGACAGTCTCAATGATCCTTTTCTGTTTTTCATAGCTGCGATACTACGTTCACCATCATATAAGGCGTTCGTGCCTATATTGTATGTCAGTATCTTGACAGAAAACCACAAGCAAAAGAGAAAATGGCTTCTTTCTTCCAGCAGATCACACAAGCCTTCAAGTCGCTTACAGTCGGCGATCAACCTGATCAGTTCAACCCAGGAAAAACATCGCATATCAAAGACGGCGACGACTCTCAACGCCAGAACGGCCCTCCTGACGAGAGTTCTGGCTCGGGCTCCTATGTTCCGACGGACCGACAATTCGATTTCGTTCCTACCACCAACGATCCCATGCGCCCAAATTTCGTTCAGACTGGTCTTCGCAGCTACTGGATTGGCCGCTACTACCCTACTGGCACCTCTGCTCAGACTTGGGCAATCGATGGTTGCCAAGCCCTCGAGATGGCCGGCGACTTGAGAAAACAGGTCACTGTAGGCAGATGGATTGCTGTTTGTGATTCATGCCTTTTGGACTGTGCTGGAGGTCAATGGGAAAAGACTTGTCAGATCAACATGCAAAGTAAAGAGATCACCTCAGCCGTCCAGTTCATGGGAGGATGTAGGAAATGTGGCCGTAACTTCAACGAGTTTGTGCCAGGTATCTGAGTGCGAAAATCTTTGGATGGTATGTATACTTGGCTTATCTGAACCTCTTGGGATAAGTGAAGTTGACTTCTATTCTTCAGCGATCCGGGCTATGCTATCATCTACCTTCCCGGTTCACCCATTCGAGCAACTCATTTCTTGTCGCGGCCCACTCCAACAATACGCTGGCTTACAACACCTTCTCACACAACGTCATGAGAAGTCGACCATGAGGAAGCTCTCGTTCTCCATGCTCGGTCAAGCTTGGTGTTGAACATATGCACTTTGATCCACCTTTGAGCCAGTCTTCACACTAAGACAAGCTCGCTCGAGACTGCCTTGAGGACGGACACATGTTTCGCTTCGTAGCAATTTCAGCCTCGTCCATGTCCCCATTAACATATTATAGATCGCTCGTAATCCCCCTTGCACATTGAATAAGAAACATTCACAGAAATCTCGAAACCCTTTCAGATACCCAACATGGACCAACTAACTCGAGCTTTCAACTCCCTCTCGCTTGACAATAACAACACCAGCCCACTAATACCCACTATTATGCCTACTGGCATTCGTCACGCTCAGTACAACGTCTCTCACAGATACTGGGACGCCTGGACGCGCAACATGAAGATTCGAGTTACTTCTGGATCATGGGATGGGCCTTGCGCTTCGTGTTCTGGGAACGTGAAAGGTCATTGGAAGAAGATCTCTCAAGTCCATCTGCTTTGCGGACAGATGATGTCGACTGTATCGTTTAGTGGGAAGTGTATGTGCTGTTCCAGAACATATCATGAGATGAGAACAGAGGTATGAAGGATGGCTCGTGACCATGATGGTATGTATATGGGATTTGAGCTTGATTGGGCCCGAGTTGATTCGTAACTAACAGAAGGCGTCTTCTAGACACTCGAACTGCCAGTCACAACCCACACCACGGATGCTACAGGTGGATCTTCACTCCAGCCTCGATAACACGCTACCTCGCGTTTCTTCTCAACTCTATGCATTACGTCACAATAAAGCGACCTTTCCCACGGCCCTCGTTCTTTGTGTTGGATACAAAGCAGCGAAGAATGCAATTGTTCTTGTCTCTTTGTCTTTTGCTGTTCTCATTCACCAGTTCTTTGCATCTGCCATTATCCCACAAACTTGCTTTGTTGACTATTGTTCTCTTTCACACCCTTCCCCCAAGCCATGTTCCTATATAACGAACCATCAAATCATTGTCTTTTCCAGTACCCTTTCGCTCCTGTAAACCAACTACACCGACTGGGGCAGAAACACAACACCAAAAATTCACATCTACCCAAGAACAACACTCGACAATGTTCATTCACACCAACTGTTTCTGCCGTATTTGCGCTGGCCGCAACATGTCTACTTTTACTGGTCGCCCTGTCGTCAGTCCCTTGTCTCCTTCTTTCCACCACCGTGTCGGCATTGACTCTCCACCTAGTCCTCTTTCTCTTTCAATCAACACTAGACGTCTCTCCATCAGCGACGGCTTCACACTCCCTAGCCCGGTTTCTCCTTTCCTCATGCCTGCTAGGGACTTGCCTTTGAGTCCTATCACTCCCTACAACCCCACCTCACCTCCTTGGAGCCCTTCTAGTGAGTACAGCACAGACTCTGCCACTTCTGACTTGTCGATTGCTGAACTCACTGCTGGTGACTTCCCTTCGCCTAGCAGTCCTTATGTCTCTGAATTTGTTTGGGACATCTGTGTCATCCCTTCCGTTGCTTGCAAGACGAGTGTCTTTGCTGCTCAGTGGAGAAGCAACGGCACTTGTCCTTTTACTCTGCCTGCTAAGAATGGCCCTTGCGAGCGCTCAATCAGTCCTTCTACTCTGTCTAATGGTAGAAAAGCTGTTTCTTCTGCCGCTGCTGAGACTGTTGCTCCACCTCTTCCTCCTCGACCTACTGCTGTTAGGGGACCTGCACCTAAGAGACCTCTGAGATCGCCATTGTTGGCTGAGAAGATGAGTTGGGCTGGCCCTCGCTTGTCTTTTGATGCTGGAGCTGGTGCTTCCATCTCCTCTGCCAGCGACAGTGTCTCTGCGCATACACTTGCTGCTGATCAAAGACCACTGCCATCTAACGCACCTTGGTGGTCTACCATTCCCGCTCACACTTATTCGCATTCTTCTCTCTCCACCACTTCTACATCTGTCAACTCCTCAATCCGCAAAACCCCATCGGTTTTCTACCGTAAGAGCCAGCCCACCACTACCCCCTCTCCTGCCACCCAAACGATCAACCAAGCAGAAGCCAGATTTCTTTACTGGGATTCCCCCTCCACCTCTGCAGCAGCTGAATACGCAACTGTTTTCGGCATCCCTGTTGACCAGGATGACTTCGCATGGATCCGCTATCCCGTCCCCGGCCCCCATGCTCTGCACTGCTATGACGACGAAGATGTATGGCAAAGCGTTTACGACGAAGACGATACACTCGACCAAAGTGCCGGATATGGCAATTGGCATGATGTAAACCCCACCGCCATCGATGCTTCCGATCCCTTTGCCGATTTCGACGGGGCTTTTGGTGGTGGCGCTTTTGCTTCTGCTCAATCTTCACTTTTCCAATCGGATCCGGCTTGTTCTGTCACTTCTACGATCTCTGAAGATGTGAGTATTCGCTCTTCCTCCTATTCCGGCGTCACGACGAGTATTCGCTACGCAACTACTTTGGAAGCTATGAGGGCTTCTTATATCTCTGGATATTTGAGCAGATCTGCTGTTAGTGCGGTCAAAGAGGTTTGTACTCCTGCTTATAATATGGGTTCCATTGATGCAATTGTTGGAGGCATGTTTTAGATTTTTGCAAAGGTAGGGTCTTTAGGAGAGTCCAAGATTTGGTATTCTCATTGGCGCTGGATCGTCTATTTCGATTATTTTACCTGGTTAGGTTTTTTGCTGATGTTTTCTTCTTTTCTCTTGAGTTGTGCGCTGATTTCCACCCACTTCGAAGATGTTTTACTGCTTTGCTATATACATTTTTCCGCTAGGTCTTCTTATGAAATATTATCCAATATATCCAAAAAAAAAATCAAACAAGCTCTCCTTATTTTCCATTCCTTGTTTTACACCAAAGTCTTCTTCTTAATTATACACACCGTCTACTACGTAACCCCTTATACCTCTCTATCATATTTTCTCTCTTTTTTTTTTCTTTTCTCCTTTCCCTTTTTTTTTGGTCTGTTTATTACTTCTATCCTATATAGTGTTTGAGCCAAATCCACTTATATGTGGCTTTGTTCCTACAACCGGATTTAGTGCCACTGTACACTCTCTTTTTTTTTTCGAAACATCCTTTTCGAATATCTCTGAGCTTTTACTAGTCCTTGGATAGAGAAGGGGGTATCGTGCATAGTGTTGGCACTCTCTTTATCATTACCCCGAGATGCACATGAATATCATAAGTTTTGCTGACGGATACGTTTGCACCTTTTCTGGGGAAAGGGGGGATAGAGAAGGGTTGATAGGGCTGCGAAGATCGGAATTGATGGAGTTCACGTCCGGGGGGATGTATAGAACAACTGTGCAATTCGAAAGTGGAACAAGAGGCTAAATTTTCAGGAATTATTCTTGTGGTTTTTCAACGGCTGAGTATCGCATTCGAGAGGTGGGAGGGGAATGGGTGAGATGGACAGAGAGATAGAAAGGTGTTTGCGTCAGATTGCACAATACGTGGATGTGGTGGGTACGAAGAAATGCTGTTTAGATATCTGAGTGTCAGAAAGGCAAGATTGCCTGAGCTTACCATCCGAACAGATTGAGTAGTTGTATTCAAGGTAGGCGAGAGTGGTCATTGGTGATTGGGGATAACGAGATATCATGGTGGTCACGAAACAGAGGCACAAACAAGTGGAACGACAAAAAAGATTTTAACAGAGCAAAATATTATAAATTTCTTATCCAGTAAGATGATCGAAAAAATTAGAGATGTGGAAACAAGGAAAACGCTTACCTGAACGCCATAAATATTGTCGCGAGTGGTGATATCAAGAGCGGACAACAAAGCAAAGATTTACCTATATCAGTGGCTTACCTTCTATACCGACTCATCCATTGAATCACTATCATAAGCCTCGAATCTGTTGTCAGGAGTTCTAGGTGCACTTTCAGGAGACCTAGCTTCAGAATCAGAAGCTGCGCCCTCCGGAATCTGTTGAGCATAAGTTCTCTCGGCATCATTGGTAGCGCGGAAAGGGAAGTCTTCTGACTGGGCAGGAGAGGCCCTTGGAGATCTAGTGGGAGTACCGGCGGAAAGACTGCTGTCCCATTCAGAGTCGATTTCCATGGCAGCATGACGATCGACGTTGTTCTGGTGTTGGATAATGTCAGCTAAATCTCTGACGGTAGGAATGTGACCAGCAGGACGGGATGGTGTGGATATGGGAGAGGTTGTGGTGAAGGGATCTTCAAGATCCGAAGGGATATCAGGGGTACGTTGGGGAACAGAAGGTCTGGCGAAGAGGGGAGGAGGAACAAGAGATGCAGAGGTGGGTGAACCAGAGCCAGAGTCGTCGCCGCGTGGTGGAACCCACACGTACAACTTTCTCGGTGGGACTTCAGATTTAGCGGCAGCCAAGGCTTTGGCATCTTCTATAATCTCGTCAGTTCTGCTCTTAAGGTCGCACTTGTTCATGTTCAGATTCAAGCTTTCTGGGTGATAGTACAGTTCCGAGGGCAGCATGACTTGCAGGAATGCATCGGGGTGCTGACCATACAGACCTTGCTCCAACTTCTCTTGAATCTTGGCGTCAACGTGGAAACGACGGCAGTCTTCGTATCGATTGTTCTCGACAGCGCGGATGAAATTTTTGAAAGGGTTACCCTTAAGCTTTGTAGCCAGACGGTTGAAGCGTTCTGCAGCCCAGTTTCTATCCATACGATCAGTGTAAAAGTCGAAAGTGGATTGAGAGACACCGACTTGCGTGAGAAGGTCAAATATGCTGCTATGAGGGTTAGCCCAGATGCCAATAATGATGTCCTTGTGTTGAATGCCTGGGGTAGAGAGCCAAAGAACGAGCTTGCCCATAAAGTCACACCAAGCCCAGACCTCGTCGATATCAGAACTTCCCGGAGTAGCTCTGACTTCGATGGTGCCCTTGGAGCCGTTGAATCTCTGGAGGTTGGTAAGGTTGACGGCAATTGATCGTTGACTGAGCGTAGCTCTTCCTCTGCCCTGCGTTGGAGGCCAAGAGTCAAGGAAATCATCGATGCTATCATGAGCTGACATCGATTCAAGCCAAGCAGGGGCGTTACAGTTTCTCAAGGCTTCATAGATTGTAGCTCGAGTCTCCTCTTCAGATTCCAGATCCATGGCACCTCTGATTGTTCGCGCAAAGTCCTCGAGGAAGACCTTGGAAGTACTGCCAACATACACATTCTCCTTAATCTCAGAGTATGAGTACAAAGGGTTGGGTCTGTTGATTCCGAGCGAGGGGCCTCTGACTCCTTGCGAGCAGATTCTAGACACCGGGAGCAGTGCATCAAAGTGACGTTCGAGAGCAGTGAAGACGCCAAACATTCCAATCGAAGTCTGTACAGGTGGCCTCTCTTGACCATTGCCCCAATGAGTATGAAGACCTGTGGATCTGTTGTTGCAGAGCAAGAAGCCGGGCCTGGAAAAACATTCGATTAGTCTTTGGAGGACAGCAGCGACTTCAGTCTGGGCTGACCATTCGTATGGTTCGCCAGTACAAGGGTAAATCTGTCCAATGGGATCAGGTGTAGGCTTGGTGAAGTTGAGGATTCGGCTGACAAGTTCCAGCGGGTAGAATCGACACTCTTCTGGGATGTAACCAGCTTCGTTGGTTTCGGGTACAATTGAAACATCGTTGTGGGAAGTCCAGAGCTGGAATGGTCTGGGATTGTCGATAGAATCTTCTACGGGCAGCATAAAAGAGTGTATTTGAGGACACTTGTCGCATTGAACTTGGACAGGCCTGTTCAGGGCTTTCATTGCGGCCCTTTGGGGATTAACATTATCAGGTGCATAAGCGAGAAACTCGAATTCGATTCCAAATGTCAGATCACTCAGGATCGAAGGCTGACCAGCAGCCTCGGTGGGAATGGTTGATTCAGACATTGGTGACGGGATGAGGGGGGTTGTTGGTTTTGTTGATGTGGTCTGGAGGAAGTAGCGTAGCACGCTTCGAGTGCTATTATATATAAGAGACATCATGGTTAGAGTGGAAGGTCCTCGCGCAAACGAACAATGAATGGAACGATGTAAACAAAGTCACTCAAAGAGTGACAAAGGCGTGAACGAGATGTTGACAAAGATGGATAGGAAGTTCAAAGAAGAAGGCGTCGTCCTTGATCAAAGGAGCAGACAGGACAGGTTATGAATGCTTTCTTCAAGGGTATGAGCAATGCAACGCCTCTCATTGTAGCAAGACGAGTCCTTGTGCATTTCGAGAACGATGTTTTGGCGTGCACGCTGCTTTGAGGGTCGAGCCTATGCGACTCAAAACACAGGCTCACCAAGAGACGCAGCAGGAAGGGGTGCAAGCTTCAAGCATCCTAGAAGAAAGAGCGATACACAAAGGCGCATCCGAAACCAGTCCCGATCCAGGATTGCTTTTCGAGGTTTGAGACGGCCAGGGCAAGCTAGACAACAGAGAATGATTTCGATGTCTGACTTCAGCTATTTTGGGTCGAGTAGAAATTGTGCATTGCTTGAATGAAGTATGAGCGACCATGTTGGATGGTCTCTAGTAATGAAAAATGTTTCGACAACCAACACAAAAAGTGCGATCAAAGAAGTCGAGAGACTCTCGGCTCTCATGTAACAAAGACATGAGGTTCGTAGTCAGCACCACGTACAGGTGGTCTCTCTATCGCTAACCAAAAAAAAAGGGTTGAAACACCATCCTCACCCGAGTAATCGGAATCGAATTATTCCCTCCGTGAAAGAAGAAAACGCTGCGTATTGCACTCAAGTATCGCAAGTCATTGAAGACTCGCACACAATCTTCGCACCGGCTCCCATAGGAACGCGATCTCTTCCTCTTCACCACCGCAGTGGATGTTAGGTCAAGACGTCCTGAGTTTCTGATGCCAGGTGCAGACGTGTCACGTCAGGCCCTCGCGGGCAGTGACTCAGAGCTCGCTCTTTTGCAAGAACAAGGTGAGTGTAAAGTGTGAAGATTACTCCGAATTTCTCATTTGCAAGATAGAGGACAAAGGCGAGCGGTAAAGCATCGCTTTGTCTGTGTGGAAGCAAAGAAACGCAGCTTTGGTGAGGATGGTGCTTGAACAAGGACGGAAGGTGAACGCGAGCGAAAAAGAAGTTTTGGACCCTCGAGCGCACGTCGGAGATGCCAAGACTTTCGCGTCATCCCTGGCCGAGTGAAGGAGCGAGCTTTAATTTATTGATGGATGCTCTTTCACAATTCAATCCACAAAGCATATCAGAATGGGTTCAGAAGACGGAGATCGTAGAAGACGTCGCGACAGCAGGGAGAGACGCTCTGACAGGCCACACGATCGAAGAAGAAGATCGGTGAGCAGAGAGGATGATGACAGAAGAGAAAGAGACAGCCGGAGCCGACGATACGACCATGACAACAAGGAGAGAAGGAGGAGACATCACAGCCGCTCAAGGAGTCCGAGGCGAAGACACGACAAGGAAAGAAGCTCACGCAAAGAAGATACATCGCCGTCACCACCGCCGAAACGCAGAAGACGATCCTACTCGAAATCAAAGTCACCTCCACCCCGCCGCGCTCGTGGACCACTTCCCTCGCAACAAGACCAGTTCCGCCAGGGAGATGATGCTGGCCCAGCAGAACCGGCCGTAGAAAAGCAGAAGCCCAACTTCAATGCGACAGGACTGTTGGCCAAGGAAGCGAACACGGTGGCTGGCACAAACACGGTCCTCAAATACCACGAACCAGCCGAAGCGCGGAAGCCCTCAAGCAAAGAGCAATGGCGCATGTTTGTCTTCAAGGGCAAAGACATGATTGACACAATCCACCTCTACTCGCGCAGTTGCTGGCTCATGGGACGCGATCAAGCCATTGCCGACTTCCACCTCGAGCACCCGAGCATCAGCAAGCAACATGCTGTCGTTCAGTTCAGACACATCACAAAGACGAACGAATACGGAGACAAGTTGAGCAAGGTCAAGCCATATCTCATCGACCTGGACAGCGCAAATGGAACGCGGCTGAATGGTGAGAAGATAGGGGGAAGTCGATACATTGAGCTGCAAGACGGCGATGTCATTGGCTTTGGCGACAGTGAGAGGGAGTATGTCATGATGCTGCCTAAATAATTCATCATCTGGTCATCATGAATAAAGAATGCAAGTCATGAATTAATCTCCCAATTTCAATAATTTGATATTCATAGTGACGTACTTCATTGCGCCCAAAAATGCTTCGAAACGCGGGACCCTCGACACGATCATCTTCAAGCTCTCTGAACCTCGACCTTCAGTCAGCAATTGACCACCAACCAATGCAATGACGACCTCGATACAAGCTCCGAAAAGGGCGACGACCCTCATCTTCTCCGTCCAACAACAATCCTTCCGCCCGCTAAGCCAGCGCCATCAATTGCTACGCGCCAGCATCAGCAACCCCAAGACATACTCGACTCAACCACCTTCCACGAACCAAGACGAAAAGACCAAAGAGCTACCTCCCAAGGAACCCTCTCAACCAGACGAAGATGGCATCAACGGCCCCATCTCCACTCTCCCACCACCCCTCAACCTCCCCGAAAAAGGCGACCGCTCCACCCCCTCCCACCTCTTCCAAATCGGCCGCGCATACGGCAAATTCTACTGGACAGGTGTAAAAGCAACATGGGCAAACCACAAACGCGCAAAGGCTCTCAAGACCCAAATCACAACCGCAAACCGCAACTCCGGATTACCAAATATGCCCCGCCCGCTGCTCGCCCATTTGGAGTTCTACTATGAGAATGCAGGCAAGGGAAAATTGACACGCACGGATTTCCAACTTCTGATGCGCGAGCAATATGATTTTAGAAAGCTGCCGCCGTTTGCCTTGATGGTGGCGTTGTTTGGAGAGTGGTTACCGCTTATTGTGCCCTTCGTACCTTCAGCAGTCCCACGCACCTGTCGCATCCCCAAGCAAATCGAAGATATGCGCAAAGGCGTAGAAGAGCGCCGTAAGAAATCCTTCCGCGAAGGGCTCAGCACACCGAAAGCCGCAGAGTCAAATGATGAAGCCATGCCCACCAGTGCTGCTGGCGGCAAAAAGGCACTGCCTAGGTTATATGTCAGTATGAGGACGGCGCAACATATTGTCAAGATGGGTAAGCCGCAAATGCTGCATATCTCGAGGACACTGGGGATTGGAGGTAGATTGTTTGATAGTATTGGTGTGCAGCATCCCTTGTTTCCTGTCAAGTTGATGAGGCATTTGGGCTATTTGCATATCGATGACGAGTTGTTGTTGAAGGATTGGGTGTTGAGTCATTTGACGTTGAGTACAGAGGAAACTCGCATAGCTTGCGAGGAACGTGGTATTGATGTTGTGGGTAGAGGAGAAAGCGAGTTGAAGGAGGATTTGGGCAAGTGGCTTGAGGGAAGAAAGAGAGATGATGGCAGCTATGGGGAGATTCTGAAGATGCTGTTTACGAGGTAAATTCCTGATCTACTTTGTCTTCTTGGAGATTTTACTAACTGCATCACAGACCGAACGTTTGGGGTCAATCTCGTATTGAAGCACCTGAGAAAGCAGATTCGTCTGACTGAGCTGCTCTGGCTCAATGACATCGAACTTGCTCGAGAGGATATGTAAAACAGCTGTATAGTACACTAATATCCAGTGAACTTCTATCCAATGCATTGAAGGATTGTCATTCCAAACATTCTTTCATTCGTATCAGAGCCCCTGATATGCAATCGCACTCGACTTTGGCCATCCATCGGACAACGTGAATTTGATCAATTCTATCAGCCAGGGTTGTCCGCACAGCCCTAGCCATAGAACTTCAAGATATGCTCTCTCTTCTCGCAATTCGTTTACCTGTACGATACATTCCTGTCTGGACCATCGAGTTGTAAATCAGATCTCACAACCAATTTCGAAGACCACACGTTTGATGCCCAAGAACAATTGAGAAGCCGGCTACCCAGCGATTTCTCACGAAACTTTCTTTAATTTGACAGTTCCCAAAACTCAGCAAGTCCTCGGACACCACGCTGTATCCGCGTGATACTTTTTCGCATTCTACGCGAGAAAAGGCAGAAACGCAACGGGTGCACAAGAGTCAAGACAAACAGTCCTCATGACAGTGTATGCCATTTGCTTGGAAGTGCTTGGGTATGCTTCACCTCCGCCCCGTCCACCCGGCCGTAACGAGAACACATGCATTTCCCGTCTGCCATGTCCGGCGCGGTATTCTTGGTATGCTTGGTGATGCCAAGGGATGAAGTTGTGATGGACGGTGATGGTTCGTCACGTCGTGGATGGACTCGAGGGCCTGGCCCAGGATCAATAAACGTGCAACACGCAGCGGGTGGCGCCGCGGGTCTTGGCCGCGACAAGCACCGACCCTGACAAGCCTGATCTTCATGGACCACGACTCTCACCCTTTTTCTCCATCTCACGTTTAATCTGTCAGCGATTGTTGAACTTTGTGTGATCGTCCATGATTATGTTGCGGCCGTACAAGCTGCAGGCAGCATACACTGCCTCCCCCGTACTTGTTTGCTCGGCCTCAGTCTCGGTGAGAGTGGAAAGAGTTTCTTGGCTGCGTGTCTTGGGTTTCGCACGTTCTGCTCAACGCATACCGCAATGTCATCATCGGTGGTTTGCGTTATCAGTTTGATCTTGCGAGCCCTGAGCCGATGGAGGCCTGAAGGCGTCTACACTCAAGGGTTACTCGTCACTGACAGATATGGTTTGCTTCTGATGCTTGTGAGTAAGCCACATTACGATTGCAGAGCCTCTCTCTGCCCAAGGTGAGTCAAGAATGGGCAGGTAAGTTGCTTGTTTCTCTCATCAATATGTCATGCAAGATACCCAACGCTATATCCACTATTTCTCGTACAAGACTTCGTATCACAATCACCAAACAGAATAGAGTGCAGGATGTCCGTTTTTCACATGATGTTGAGTATCACCTTTCGGCCGGTACTGCTGTCTTGTCTTTCTCCATATCCCCATTACTCCGGGTGTCGTTTGTCTTAGCATGATCAGATAGGCATATTCGGTCCTTCAAGCGTAGAGTCTACGCGTAGTATGCTCCACCCCCGGGACTCCAGCCCCCGTGCTTGGCTGGAGATGATCTGTTCAACAGCATGTGTAAGTTGCGACAGATGAAACGGGGCAGTGTGATAGCAGTAGATTGCATCAGAGTAAGTGGAAAGAGACAGCGAGAGGAAGACAGACATATATGCTCTCCCATCCATGGACCCTTGAAGGATTTCTCTTGAATTCATACACACATACCTTTCCACTATTCAGAAATCAAGCACCATGTACGAGTCAAGGAGAAATTCAGAATGGTCACCATCAGACCTCACCGCAGTCCCGACACCCACCATATCTCGCACACCAACACTAGCCCTCGACATCAACAACCCAGCCGACCTAGAAGCCCAACTCCTCCGTCTCAAAGAACGCAGAGGCAGTGATAACAGCACAACCTCAACTGCAACTCACATATCAACCCCCGACCTCGAACAAAACCAAACGTCCGAAACAACGACAACACCCGCAAAACCAAACACCCTGTCGACCTACCTAACCCACCCTATCACGCCATCCTCTACCTACACCCTGACCCAATTCCTCCTCCTCTCCCTCGCCACAGGAATAATAGACGCAACCACATTTTCCCTCTACAGCGTCTTCGTCACAAAACAAACAGGCAACACCATTTTCCTCGCCCTCGCCGCCTTGCAACACACCTCCGTCTCCCAAACCGAACCAAACGTCGCAATCTCCATATCCCTCTTCTTCTGCTCCGCCATCCTCTTCGGCCACCTCGGTCACCGCATGGGTTCATCCACATGCCTCTGGCTATCGGTGTCAAATCTCATCTCCACCGCTTTAATCTTCGCAGCAACAGCTCTCCGCTATTTCGGCCCTGCTCAACGCACCGGTCCCTACGCACTGGGCGTCATCGCTCTCCTCAGTATAGGCATGGGCGCTCAAGTCACCAGTGCATTTTCCGCAAAGATCCCCGATGTAAATACCACCATGATCACAGGCGCCATCGTCCAACTCGCCACCGATGAAACCGTATTTGCAAAAGACAATGTTGCGAGGACGAGACGGGTGTTGTTTTTCGGAGCCATGTTGGCGGGTGCGTTTGTGGGGGCTGGATGTGCCAGTTGCATGGATGCGGCGCTGGGATTGCTGGTTGCGGGGATCGTCAAGAGTGCGGTTACGATCATGTTTTTGTTCTGAGATGACCTAGGGGGGAGGAGGAGAGGGATCGAAGAACAGGACAGAGGGGAGGTAATGATGGTGTGGTATGGCGTTTGAGGGTCTCCACATGCTCTGATGATTTTTTTATGACAAGGTACACGATTTCTAATGACGCAAAAAGATAGATATGAGATTAATGACATGATGCACGAAAGATGGTCACTCGAAAATCAATGATGAATTATCCTCGTCTATTTTTGCTTTTGTTGGAATTGTGACTCTGTTGTATGCTTACTCGCGTGGAGGTCTTTGTGTTTGATCTTTATTGGCTCGAGTTATGAGCAAGATCATAGGGTCTTGGTAGAGTAAGACGGTATGTCACAAGCAATATGCACTCACAGCAGCAACAGGAGGAGGGATTACAAGTGTAAGTAAAGTCTCGGTTCGTCTAACCAATCCTCAATGTCATTCACAAGTCGTCTATATAGGTATCTTCATCCGTCTCATTCCTCTGGTCTCGCAATGTACAGAGTGTGTCCAGATCAACTTCATCCATCTCATCTCAATTCGCTCAAAGAAAAGAAAAGAAAAACAAAAAAAAAACATTCAAAAGAGGACAATGTCCTTTTTTTCCGCAGATCCCAATATGCTCCTGAGATGCAAGAGATGCAAATTACAAGGAAGGCCCCCATGAATGATGAGCAAAGGAAACAGAAGAATGCTTGCGCGCTGGCAATGCAGAAGGGGGATATCAATCGTATCGTTGATGCTGAATGAGAAAGCAAACAAAAGAGGTGCGGGCGTAGAGGAAGGAGGTTGTTGGGCGTGTGCTGCTGTATCCGGCAGTTGGGGTAGTATGCCCGAAGGTCGTGATCGTGATGCATAGCTATCGAAAGCCTCTGTGGTTTCGTATCATGCTTTTGTGGTGGGGTGTGGGCTTGTGGGAGGAAGAATTGCTCATGAAGATCATTCATCCGTAAGTCTGTCAAGGAGACGAATACTCAAGATCATGACCAGCAGACCGATGGTAACGATGAGTAGCAGTGCAAAGCTGAACCAGCCTAGCACCATGGCTGACGTTCCCACTCCACTTTTTATGCTCCCGTTGCCCATGTCTTGGGCGACTTGTGCTGCTGCTACTGATGCTGTATGTTGCCACAGTACAGACACCAAGACGAAGACCGAGGCAATAAAGACGAGAGCAAGTGCCGATTGGGAGACTGGCCGCGACGGGAAGGGCTTGACATCGACTTCAGAACCGGTGGAACGGTCTCTTTCTTCGTGCCAACCTGGAAAGGATGCGAGGAGGAGGAAGCAGAGGAAGGCAAAGATGATGGCGATGATTCTGTTCATGGTGAGTCAGTGAGGTCCTTTCTCAAGTCATTGGCTTCCAAACTTACATCAACCACGGGAAGACGACCGAGTTCTTGAAGGTATTGGCGACCCAGATCAAGTTCATGGGATCTTCATCGATACTGATCTGCTCAGCCAACAAGGTGGCATTGTTGGAGCACAGGTAGTTGCCTGCGGTTGAGGCGATGCATAGACCAAAGTAACCAACTCTTACTTCCAGCTGTGTCTGTCCAACGATGTTGGCAATGGCAGCAGTGACTCCTGGGTCCACTTGGGCAGGGTCATACGTCGGTGTGTATGTTTGATAGTAAAAGTCGATCAGGAAAATGCCTGGTATCAGTGGTGAACTCGACGAGCATCCAGCCAGTAGTAGTGCTGTAAGAAATTCATGTCAGTAAGTGGTCAGGCAGTGATGATGTTCAAGCAGACTCACAAAGTAAGATGATTGCTATCGCGATCAAGATCATAAGAATGTGATGATAACCGATGAACGGTATCAGGCGTTGAATGCCGACGGCAAACCCAACGGGAGCCATGGCTTTCTCTGGAATGAAGTTTTGTTCTGTAGATGCCCTGCAGGCTGCCGGTGGCCGACGAGGTGAGAGGAATGCCGACTGTGACTAGACACAATGGTCCTTTGATCTTGTCGTGTCCGTCGCGTGTCTTGACTCGTGGAATGTGGAGGTTTGAGTTGCCTGAACCTTTGTTGAAGTGTGGAGATGGATGGCCGTTATGCAGCGGATAAAAGATGTCGTTTTCTCTGGTCGCAAAACGTATGTAACGCAGGTTTGTAGAAGCCAAAGTGTGAAGAGATGGAAAGGCGCGTGTATCCCTTGTCCTTTTGCTGCACGACAAAAACGCGAGGTTGGTAAAGTGCTAAATGAATTTCCTGCCACCCCAGCCTCTCTCGACCAAAAGACCGTGATGATCGTTTTGCAAACACTCGGTTGCGTGGGGAACCAGGCCAACCGCGCTAACATCAGGGAACTCTCCCGCACCCGCTTCCCGCACTTCTGACGTGCGCACAAGCCAATCGGGTCATTTTCGCTGCACTTGGTCATCATCCTTTTTCAATCATGTTTCTCGAGAAGAATAGATATTAGTCTTCCTCAGAATGGCTGGAGTAGATATGTGAGAGAAGAGCATCACGAACATGGCACAAGGTTTGCAATGGATCATCAAGTAAGGTTCAGATCCGTTTTAGATTCTCATGTCGCTTTTCTCTATCACTGGAAAGTAACTTTTCCTGGTATCATAGCTAGCAAGAAGACAGGTTGAAGCTGCCTCTGCATTTCGTAACCGAACACCGCCGCCATCCTTTTGTCCCATGTTGAATATCGTGTCATCCCAAGACGCCATTAAATGCAATCAAAATCATGTCTTCAAGCTTGACATGCTTAGATGGGGAGGGGGAAGGTGGAGGCCCACTCGGCAATCTCCTTCTTGAGGTTCTTGATCTCCTCAACCTCGCCAGAGGCGACCTTGGCCTTGAAGTCCTTGAGCTTGTTGTTCTCCTTGGGGAGATCGGCCTGGACAGACTTGCAGAGCTTGACGGCAGAGTCAATGTAGCCGGCAACGCGCTTGAAGTCATCCTCACCCATACCACGAGAAGTCATGGCAGGGGCACCAATTCTAATACCGCAAGGGGTCAAGGCAGACTTGTCTCCGGGGGTGGTGTTCTTGTTGCAGGCAATGTTGATCTGCTCGAGGACAGCCTCAACACGGGCACCGTCAAGAGCCTGGGGCTTCAGGTCGATGAGGACCATGTGGTTGTCGGTACCGCCAGTGACAAGGGTGTAGTCACGGGCCTTGAACTCGTGCTCAAGAGCCTTGGCGTTCTTGATGACCTGCTGCTGGTACTGTCTGAACTCGTCGGTCTGGGCCTGCTTGAGGGCAACAGCGAGAGCAGTGATGGTGTGGTTGTGAGGACCACCCTGGTGACCAGGGAAGACCGAGAAGTTGATGGGGCCCTCGAGGTCGTAGAGGGTCTGGATCTCCTTACCAGCCTTCATCTCAGTCTTGCGGACACCCTTGCGGAAGAAGATCATGGCACCACGGGGACCACGGAGCGACTTGTGGGTGGTGGTGGTGACGATGTCGGCGTAGGGGAAGGGAGAGTCGTTGACGCGACCAGCGATCAGACCGGAAATGTGGGCCATGTCGACCATGAGGTAGCAGCCGACCTTGTCGCAAATCTCGCGGAAGCGCTTGTAGTCAATGGTACGGCAGTAGGCAGAGGTACCGGCAACGATGACCTTGGGTCTGTACATGAGGGCGTTCTGCTCGAGCTGGTCGTAGTCGATGATGCCAGTCTCGAGGTTGACACGGTAGGGGAAGGTCTCGAAGTAGGTGGAAACAGCAGAGATCCTGGAGTGCTTGTTAGAGAAGCTTCTATGAGCTTGAACAGAGAATTGACTTACTTTCTCTGGGGTGTCTGGTAGCCGTGGGACAAGTGACCACCGTGGGGCAGGTCAAGACCCATCAGACGGTCGTGAGGACGCATGATGGCCTGGTAGACCTGGAGGTTGGCGGGAGAGCCAGACAAGCACTGGACGTTGACACCCCACTTCTCGGCGTCAAGACCGAAGGTCTCGAGAGCGCGAGCCTGGCAAGTGAGCTCAATAGCGTCAATGTGCTCGTTACCGCCGTAGTAGCGGGCACCGGGGTAACCCTCGGAGTACTTGTTGCTCATGGGCGAACCCAGAGCATCGAAGACGGCGCGCGAGGTGACGTTCTCCGAGGCAATCAGAAGGATGGACTCGCGCTGGCGCTGAATCTCCTTCTTCATGATCTCGGCGATCTCAGGGTCAGTCTCGATGAGAGACTTCTCCATGAGCTACTCATAGTCAGTACTCGAGCTTGGATCTGCAAGGCGCATTGTGTACTGACATCGCGATGGCTTTCGGGAAGAGCGTATGTCGACATATTGTGTATGTGTATGTGTGTGTAACGACTGGAAGAAGTTGAGGGGATCAAAGAAGAGAGGCGACAGCTATGAGCAATAAGTAAGGATTTTTTGGAAAGGAACAATGCGGGCGTGTTTGACTTTCCCAGCTCCGCACCCGGAGACCAACACCAAGTCTGGCTAGTTGATCCAACCCTACTTGGCGTCGAGAACTCCAATTGTCCTTCCCTTTTTGTACAACCACTACTGCTCGAAGGGAGGCCTTGATTATATAGTAATGTACGGCAGTTCGTCTCACTGGAATTGTGCTTCCCATAAGGCAAGAGTATGCATCGCCTTCGTGGTATGAGGCTGAATCTCGTCGCCAGCAGGAGCTTTACGGAGCACCCACTGCCCGCAATCGGTCCGCAAAACGCACTGACTTCGATCCTGACTCTCGTGCTCTCAACCCTCAGCGTTCGAAGAGAACGCCTCAAAGGTTGACCATGTGTGTTCTCTGAGACCGAAGAGTAGACCATGGTGACATGCTTTGCAAGGGTGGTTCACTATGCTCTCGAGGCTTCACGAAGGTCCTTGGTGGCTAGTGTCAATTGGAGTGACTACGAAACGATACAAGCAGTGTCGCATAACGTTTCTAGCCACTCTCAACATTACACCGGGGCATGTACGCCTTCCAGAGGTAATCGAATTTGTAACACGCCCGTAGCACATACACGTGTAGCATGTTCACTCAATTTGAGCCCCCCGTGCCTACAGTCGTACACGACAGGATCATGAAAACGTCGTTACCCCGACGAAATGTTTGTGCTGATGGACCATACCACTGGATCTAAATAACGTTAAAGTGTATGCATTTAGGCGTGTAAGGGTAGTCTAGGTGGTACTCGAGTACAAAGAGAAGATGTGAGATTAACTGTCTTCAAGATAGGCTAGTCCAGGATCAGCAAAAAGTGCTAGCCGTGGTCTTCGTACCAAGTAGAAGAACGGATTCAAGTAGTTGTAAGGGCGATGCTGACTTTCGATAAGAAACGAGCTTGCCATGAAGACGTATCATATAATTCACACCATGAGGCTCAAACTTACTTTATTGCAAGGACTGGGCTTGGAATACATACCACAAAAAAGTCATCACATAGGGATAGTCGTGTCAGCATGCTTGAGTGGATGCCGTCCAAGAGGGCAAAAAAAGGTCCACAGACTCTCTCATGCTCTTATATTGCTATGCCAAAACAGTGGTCCAGGGAACAAAATATCAATGCCGCTTCTGTGGATCGAACACAGTGCCTCCAGAATACTCTTGCAATGCAAGAAGGACAGAAGTTGACTTCAGTCTGGCGCTCTCCCAGATGAGCTAAAGCGGCTTGTTGTTGTAAGGCGGAAAAGGCGGTGGGTTTACGAATCTGTGGAGAACAGCGGTAGCGAGTTCCTGGAGGGGTCCGAGCTGTGTGGGTCGAACACTCAGGTCGCAGAAGCTCAGGTGATTGTTGAGTGGCTAGAGAGCAAGTGGAAGGATATGTATGGATGAGAGGACACCGAAGCAATAAAGAGAGCATTAAAGTCAGGGCAGCCTTCGAGCGAGTGGAATGAGAGAGGGACGAAGGCGATTGTCGAGAAAAAGCTCGACGTCAGTAGATGCAGGTTCACGTCAATCAATCAAGTCCAGATTGGGAAAGCGCGACACGACCAAAGCGCGGGCAGACGCGACTCAACTTCTTCCAGAGTGACCGCCGAACAAAACATTGACGTTGCTCTCACAACCTGGTCACTTTTGCCTTTTTGCTTCCACATCCAAACTTACGCGCACTCCTCTTCTCACATCACATAGTTGCATCCTTCTTCCAGCTATCAAAACAACAGCATCTCTTCAATCTCCATCACACTACACCACATTCACCAACATGGCCGCCGTGTCGCTGCTCAACGTTGCGGTACGCAACAACCCTGCGCCTTTCACTTCGCCATACGAGTTCGAAATCACTTTTGAATGTCTCGAGAAGCTGGACAAGGATCTTGAGTGGAAGCTTACCTACGTCGGCTCTGCCACCTCGTGCGTTTCCCGATCGCTAGCTGCCTTCTGTTCACCACGCTGACTTTCTTTCTAGCTCCGAGTACGACCAAGAGCTGGACTCACTCCTTGTCGGTCCCATTCCCGTCGGTGTGAACAAATTCGTCTTCGAGGCCGACCCCCCGGATCTCAACCGCATCCCCAACAGCGACATCCTCGGCGTCACTGTCATCCTCCTGACGTGCAGCTACGATGGTCGCGAGTTTGTGCGTGTCGGCTACTACGTTAACAACGAGTACACCGACGAGGCACTCATTGCCGAACCTCCTGCCAAGGCCGTTGTCGAGAAGGTCCGTCGCAGCATCCTTGCCGAGAAGCCTCGTGTCACTCGCTTCGCCATCAAGTGGGACAGCGAAGCCAGCGCTCCTGCCGAGTTCCCTCCTGAGCAGCCTGACGCCGATAATCAAGACGATGATGAGGCCGCGTACGGTGTCGAAGAGCTTGAGGAAGACGAAGTTGAGGTCGAAGGCGAGCCTGAAGTCAAGGAGGGAGAGGACGCCGAAATGGCTGAAGCCAACCCCGTGGAGCTGCCAAAGGAGGAGGACGAAGTCTCAGATGCCGGCAGCGAGGACATCGAAGCCGAGAGCAGTGCCAGTGAAGACGAAGATGAAGAGGAGGAAGAAGGCGAAGGCGAAGCTGATGGCGAGGCTGCCGACGAGATGGACACAGATGCCCCTGCTTCCTCAAATGCTGCTACCGAGAAGCCTCAACCTCCTCAACAACAGGGCGATGTCATGGTCCACTAGCAGATGCACCGACTTCTCATCTCTCAATGATTCATGCACGGCGCTGTTGGGAAAGGATACAAAAGCTTCACGACAATGGTTTAGGAGTACGCATTTCTGGGTGTTTTCTGTCTTACTCATCAAATGAGTTTACTTTCTGTTTCGATACCACATTCAAATACATTCACACCCTTTACATTGATATATGATTCTTTCTGTGCTTCAACTATATTACTGCTGGTTGAGTGGAGTTGTTCCTGTTTGCCATTCGTCGGTCGCATTACTGCCATAGTCTTTTATATGGAAAGATTGATTGAAGACGCAGCACCCGTTTCTGTTCGATCAGAAATCAACAAAGAATCAAGAGTTGGTCGATCTCTTTGTAGTCTGACGCGTCGTTGTTGGCATGTGAAGGAAGTCGCAACCCACCCCAAATCCTGGAAGGTGGAAGCTTGGGCATTCAATCCGACTTGGCGACATCTAATGTCTAGGCCACCACTTCTCTTCGAGACATGGAAGTCACCTCTTCCGACATCTTCATTTCAGTTTGAACAAGAAAAGATGGCCAGCTTCATCCGTGGAAAGCAGGCGGGCATACAGAACGACCTGTCCGCCGGGCTCACTCCCGAGCATGTCGCGATAGACTTCTTGGATAAATACGGCATCAATAGTCAAATAGGAGCCCTGGCTTATGATCCCGTGCAATCACTGCTGGCAGTGGGCACAAAGGACAGCAAATTCGGACCTGGGCAAATCTACATTTTCGGCAGAAGCAGAGTAGCGGTCACACTTGAACTGCCTCAACGAGCGTCAGTCAAGCAGATACAGTTCTGCGCCGACAAGCTTGTCTGTCTCGACTCAAAAAATGACCTGTCGTTCTACTCGCTCGAAGCAAAGAAACTCATCGGATCCCACTCACCACCAGGTGTCGCAACCACTATCGCGACAGATCCCGCGTTGGACTATGCCTTGATTGGTATGCAATCTGGAGATGTCCTTGCCTATGACATGGATAGAGAGGGAGCCGCTCCCTTCCGAATCCCAAATCTATGGGCTGAGCGCGATTCGAGAGTCCGTGTATCACCAGTCGTCAGCATCCAGTTTCATCCTAGAGATATTGGAAAGCTGCTCATCGGCTACGTCCACGGTGCTGTCACCTTCTCGTTCAAGCTGAACCAAGCCCAAAAGTTCTTCCAATATGAAGTCCCTGCTGGAGCTCCAGGCGGCCACGCAGATCCTTCATCATCAAAAACCCCTCGCTGGCCGAAACTCACCCAAGCAGTCTGGCATCCTACTGGCACTTTCATCCTGACCGGACATGAAGACAGCTCGATGGTGTTCTGGGACCCCAAAGATGGTAGAATTGTCTTGGCTCGGACTACCAGCGAGACTCATATCAATATTCCGGGCAAAGGTACCACGACTCTCGGACCGACAGTATCCGTGAAGGAGCCCATCTTCAAGGTTGCATGGTGTGCAAACAAGGATCCCGATGACACTGCTCTTCTCATTGCTGGAGGCGCCGATACTACTATGCCGACGAAGGGAATGACTTTCTTCGAGCTGGGACGAACACCAAACTATGCGACTTCAAGCTACGAAGTTCTGGCTGATCACCTAGAATCGCCGCGCCGACAGAGAGTACTCCCAACACCACCAAACGCCGAAGTGGTCGACTTTTGTCTCATCCCTCGAGAGTCGCCTCATTTCGCAGGTGCACAAGATCCCATCGCCATCCTCGCGCTCTTGTCGTCTGGGGAAGTCATCAGCCTCAGCTTCCCCAGTGGTATCCCTATCACGCCCACCAACCAGCTCCATGTATCCATGACTTTTGTACATCCCTTCATCAGACGTGCAAATGTTACTACAGTCGACAGAGTCAGATGGCTCGGCATGACAGAGACTCGCAGTCAAGGCCCACAAATCTTGAAGGGTGGTGTAGAGCAGACTCATCCTCTCAAGCGATACGAAAACCGAAACATCATCCAGACCATGCATGCCGATGGAACCGTCAGGCTTTGGGATGCTGGTCATGGAGATGAGCTAGAGAACGACAAGGTCCTCGAAGCAGGTGTTGGTCGAGCTGTTGGACGCATTGAAGGCGTTGACATCACTACTACTTCCCTTGCAAGCGCGAGTGGCGAGTTTGCAGCAGGTACCAGAAGCAGTGAAGTTGCTGTCTTCCGATGGGGTCACAACAGAAACGCTGGTCGTGATGTGCCTCCATCTGCTGGTGGAAATAATCCTAACTCTCTCACCAACATCGTGAATAGAGCCGATCCTAGTCTCAAGGAGGGACTCTGTCCTTTCACCCTGCTTGACTTGCAAAGTGGTCCCATCACAGCAGTCAAGGTCAGCGAGGTCGGCTTCGTTGCAGCTGCTTCCGAAGGAGGCAAAATTGCTGTCATCGACATGCGTGGTCCTGCTATCATCCATCTTGGTACGACTCAAGACTTTGGCAAGGGTGACAAACTCGGCACGTTGCGCCGAAAGAGTAGTCATGCTGCTGACAGACCAGAGTGGGTGACAAAGTTGGAGTTTAGCGTAGGTGTCCCATCCCATGTTTGAACGTTTGCAAGATGCTGACATTTTTCTTAAGGTCATGACCCTCGAAGACGAGAACTACTCCAGTGTGAATCTCCACGCTGGTACTAACTTGGGCCGTTTGGCAACTTTCAAGCTTGTACCTGACTCCAGTGGGCGTTACTGTGTCGACTTCAAGGGCATCACCTCGCTCGATGGTCGCATCATCCACATGTCGCCAGTGAACACCCAGACAGGGAGACTAGCATCCGCAAGTCAGGACGCGGTCGCCAATCTTCGCAACGGTGCAAAGACCGATGGTGTCCTTGTCGCTGTGACCACAACAGAAGCGCGTATTTTCCGCCCAGCCACATCAAAGGGTGCTCACAAGACATTCGATAGCCACGCCTGTGAATCAGCAGCCGTCGTACGGTTCCAGGACCAAGGCTATGTGCTTGCTGGACTTTTCGGCGATGGTACTGTACGTGCATACACGTTGCCTGCTTTGAAAGAGCTGAACTCGATCAACGTATCGCATATGCTGGACACCAGGCGCTTCGCAGACTCGATCATTCTTCCCAATGGCGACATCTTCGGCTGGAATGGTCCCTCCGAGATGGCATTGATCAACATCTGGGGTACAGGTCAACTACTGTGAGTTCAGTCTTCAACGAAGCTCGAGAGAGACGAACACTAATTGTCTGCAGGCCGAAATCACTGGACAAGTTGTTTAACCCAGATGCAGTCATTCCACCCAGACCCACAATCTCAAATTTCCAATGGGTAGCAGGAACGCAATACGTGACTCCAGCAGACATGGATCTCCTGAGTACGTTCTCCTCCTCACTTCTCTCCTCACCTTTTTCAACACTAACCTCTCGCTCCAGTCGGCGGCCCATCTCGTCCCCCTTCCAAACGCATGATCGCCCAAAACCGCGCAGATGAAGCATCACGCCTCGCCGCCTCCCGTGCCGGTCCTTCTGCTTCCACCTCCGCCTCCGCAGCTGCTGCAAGTAATGAGGGCTGGGGCGCCTATCTCCAACGCAACATCCAAGAACGTACTGAAAAGCTGAATATCATGGGAGACTCGATGGAGAATCTAGAAAACAATTCACAGGGGTGGGCCGACGATGTCAGCAAGTTTGTTAACAAGCAGAAGAGGGGTGCTGTTACCGGGTTGATCAAACACAAATTCGGATTCTAAGTGGATGAACATGAGAGAGACATGTTATTGGGAGTGGGAGATGAGGATGAACATCTGGTTTTTATTCAATGGAGATTCCACTATTCATACGATACGTTGTATTCGATCGCTTCTTAGCACTCTATCCATCATAGTATTGATAATTTTGACCAGTCGTTCCTGCTACCCTTGGTCTCGACGCGGCGCACCTCACACGGGTCCGCTCAGTAGGTCGATTAATTCTCACGAGCCACTCAAATCTCACAAATCCATCGTTCTCTCGAGTCTACTCACGTTAATTCTCACGAGCCACTCAAATCTCACAAATCCATCGTTCTCTCGAGTCTACTCACCACTCTCATGATCTTTCGTCTCTGTCTCGTGATTCGTGATCGTGATCGTGATCGTGATCGTGATCGTGATCGTTCATCTAATTCCCACATCGCTCATTCTTACTCTCACGTCGCTCAATCCCGTTCTCGGCATCGCCACATCACTCTTCACCAGGGGTAAATGAGAAATGTAAAAAATGAGAAATGTAAGAGATGAGAAATGGAGTGGACGGGTGCGACAGGGTAGGTGTGACAAGGAAAAGCCACGATCAAAAAAGCTACGATCAAGAAGATACGATAGGTAACAAGCAAAAAAAAAAAAAAGGCAAAAGACACACACAAGCGACACAGATGCAGCGAACGAGTGTCTCCAAATGCACAAACACACTGCGCAGTCTCTGCATCGATAATCATAGCCTCCACATTAAACCACTCGTGCAGTCGTTTACGGAAAGAGCATAACTAGCAGACTGCAATGGCGACATCGATGCGGAAGGCAGAGAACACGGGTTCCACGATGAGTGAAACACCATAATCGATACCAAGGGCTGCTATCCAAAATCTACTTCGAACAAGCCCCTCAAAGCCATAAAAGAGCAATCGCAACCTCATGCCTCACCGCAAAGTCACAGGATGAAAAGACGACAATGATGTAGACAGTAAACAGCAATGTAAAATAATCATGTCTATTCGTGCAATGTATAACCCGCTCTCAGTTTAGCCATGTCCGCCCTGTCGCGCAAGTCATATATCATCTCAATCCACACGCTCAAGTCAAGTAACCTGTGTAGGAAAAGACTACTCGATTTTCCTTTCCTCAAAACTTCATTTACGATCTCTCATCATCAATAACATCTGCAAATGGTGTAAATCCTATTCTCCGCCAGCAGCCCTTCTCATTTGTCCCGCCAATTCAGCTTGCAATTGTGCATCTGCATCATCACCGTAGATCTGAGCTCCATAGATACCTCCATGCTCTTGTGCTTGTTGTGATTGGTCTTCAAACGCATTATTCGCATCAGAGGTGCCTGCGTTGTTGAAGTTTGCAGTATTCGCAGAGGTGGAGGAAGCGTAGATGTCGGACATGATTTGCGGGTCTACGGGCATGGGGTCATAGGGATATGATGACATGTCCATTGCTTCTTGTGAGGTGGATGTGTTGAGAGTTGCGTTTTGCATGTTTGCGTGTTCGGTGGTGGCGGGGTTGAGGAGGGGAGGTTGATGTTGCGGTGAAGTTGGTATGGCGCCTGGGCTTGCTTGTGTGGTATCCGAGGTCTTGGAGGGTGTGGCAGCTTTGCCGGGTTTGGCGGTCTCTTTGCAGTTTGTGCAGTTGCGAATGGCTTGAGAGACGGTTTCTTTGATGCGGATCCAATGGTATCGTTCAGCGATGGAAGCGGTGGTTTTGTTGATACCTGCGTGGGTGGCAGCGTGGGTCTTGAGGGCGATCTCGTATTGCTTTTGAGGGTCGCTGATGACTTCTTTGTCTTTGAGCATGAGCTTCTCTTCACCACCACTCGGGTCGGGGACGAGGCGGTAGTGGGCACCTGCACTGCGTAGTCTACTCTTCTCTGCGCGGTCTGCACCGTTGGGGTAGTTGCCTGTCTTGAGGTAGTATCTGATCTTGTCGAAGCGCTCTTCGGAGAGGTAGTCTTCAGCCTCGCCATTGAGATCACGACCGAAGACGATGGCGTCAACAAGGTGGTCGGAAGACTTGAGATTGCCGCAGCCGGGGACGCGACCAATGCGCTTGAAGCCCAGAGCATCCCAGATCCTGACCGAGGCGATGTTGGTCTCGTAGACGAGGTTGAAGACCGAGTATGTATAGCCCAGTTGAGGAGCCCACTCAAGGTACCCCTCGCCCATCAAGCGTCCTACGCCTCTGTTTCTTGCGACGTCACTGACCAGGAATCCGCCATTGCAGACATGGCTAGAGCGACCAGGGTAGTTGGGCTTGATGTAGAAGCTGCCGAGACATTGCTTGGACCAATCGATGCCCTCTTTCTCCAACTGCCACACGTGTTCAACATTGCTCACATCACCCAGCAGCATGACAGCACCAAAGTTGGCGAACCAGTAGGGACCGAATGACTCGAGTGGTAGCTCATTGATCATGGGGTACGTATCGCCCTTGTCGATCTCGCGATTGAGGAGGGCGCATAGGTAATGGAGAAGTGTCTTGGGCACTTGGTCGGGAGAAGAAAAGGGCAGCAGTGTCGCTGTCGTCGAGCGATCGCGCAATGTTACCTGGCGTGGTACAATGTTGGCCGGTAGCGGCGCATACGGCGTGGGATACGGTCCATCTCCAGATGTGCGGTAGATGACGGCCGCCGTCGGGTCATCCAGCATTGCAGGCATTGTCGCGTCTGACTATGATGCGCCGTATGTCAGCCATGCCTCGAGCACTATTGCAGTGTTCCTGCATCGTCATGGAAGAGAGAGTGATGGTGACTTACGATGTGGATGGTAGCTTGAATAGGTCCGATGTATGCTGGAGACCGTCGCTGGTCCCACATCTACACCGAACCTGCTCCTCACTTCTCTTCCCTCCTCAACCACGTGACCTTACGCCCTTTGAACAACACCCTCGCGCCCTTGCTAACAACATACGCCTCCTCGATAGTAGTCTCACTTGGACGGGCTTCGAATATCTGTGCATATGTACTGGTGGTTTGCATTTCGAATCTTTATTTCTAACAGTGACAATAACCAGTTCCCAAAATGTCTTTTCCGACAAAGCTGAAAAATAAAAAAGCAACACGATAAACATCATTATGCAGTAACCATCCATCTCAGAGCTTGCTCTAGAGATGAGCATGAAATGGCCACTCGCTGTTTTACACAAACACGCTGCGAGGCGTGAAGCATGCCATGATTTTGACGCCAAGGATAATTCCACCCAATCTATTATGTAGCTGACCGCAGTCGACCCACTTAGTACATGAAGTGAGCGAAGCGACGAGCTGCTGCGGATGACTCTGAGCTGCCACCCGAAGTACCAGCGGCATCGGTAGCTCCAGCCACTGCTGTACCAGTAGTCTGGCTGGTTGTGTCGTTGTTCTTGAGGTTGGTGGGCTGCATCAAGTTCATAGGAAGCGTGGTGACAGGAAGATTGAGGAACTTGCCAGCAACCATGGGTGCAACGATCAAGACAATGAAGATGATGAACAGGGTGAAGTACAAGATGGCGTAACGGATTGTACGACGTCTGCGAAGCTTCGACTGCTTCAACGAGTAAATCGGGGGGCGAATTTGGCGACTGTGACGAATATGTTAGCAAACGTGGATGGAAAGAATCAAAGATCAAAACATACCTAGGACGGAGCCAGAAGAGCATGACCGAATGGAAGGTGTCGATGTAAGGGATCAAGAGAGGAGGAAGCATGAAGAACAACAGCAGGTGACCCAAGCAGAAGTCCGACGAGAAGTATCCCAACTCAGTGATCTTACACAAGAACTCACGGCCAGGCTGAGAGAAGCCCATCCATCCCATGCCGTACCATTTACCGGTCCACCAAGCAACGTTGGAAGAGTCGGTTCTGAACTCACGAGTGAGGGTCAGAGCAATGATAAGCTTGTAGATGAAACGCTGGATCGCGAGCGAGGCGATCATGCCGATAAGCATCTTGGGGAAGCTCCATCCCTCAAGGAAGAACATGACCTCCCACATGACGATAAGGACAATAACGGCGATGGCGTGAGCGATAGCGGCCAAGACAGCACCGAATTTTTTGCAGCACATGCTGAAAACGGGTCCCATACAGCAAGCCATCATAAAGAAGACAGCCGAAACACCAGCATTGACACCAATAGGAGCGAATGCAACGATAGCGATACGAATGAGGGGGTTGGTCCGCTGCAAGTCGGCGTTAGATGCGTCCGGGTTGATGGCACGAGTCGCTCCAGTTCCAGAGTTGATGTAAAGGTAAGGAATGAGAGTCACAGCAACGAGGAAAAGGGGACCGATAACCTCAGCGAAGAAGACGTTACCGAAGCGGGCACGAGCCGTATCTCCAGACAATTTGGCGGACGGCTCACCAAGCACCTTCTTCTTAAATCCGGTGATGCGGGTACGCGAAAGACGGACGAATCCAATCCAGGATGCCGAGTGTCCCTTGGTGTTTCCACGAGACAACCATCTGAGGAACTCACGGTAGTCGATGAAGAAGTCGGACCATGCGAACTGGTGAGGGTTGAACAGGAAAGGAGCAACACAGAGAGCGAGAAGGGAAACCCAGAAGTAAAGAAGCCAGTATCCCCAAATGGTCAGAGTACCAAACAGAAGCATGAGAAGCAGACGGATACCCAGGTAGATCGAAGGAGCAGCGAAACGAGAGTAGAGAATACCGAAGGGCATACGGGCAGTGGCGAAACCACGACCGGTACCGATGTAACGGGCACCACCGTATGACAAGTTCTGCTGGAGAGCGTTGGTGTAGATCTGACAGACGAAGACTTCGAAGAGAGGAGAGAACGAAGAGAAGTGCTTGGCGAGACGGGTAGCTGCGCGCCAGAATCCACGCTCAGTCAACTCCTGAACCGTAAGAGGAACGAAAGAGATGAAGAAGACGATGAAAATGGAAACACAGCAACGCTCGATCCAATCAAGACAGGGACGCAAGTTGGCACAACCAGTAGGCCACTGAGGATCAGTGATGGGAGTGTTTCTGTTGTAACGGCAGATGATAGTTTCGTGTCTCAGGGCACCCAAGTTGATGATACAGAACATGAAGAGCTGCACAGACAACATGATGAAGGTGTTGTTGACGTGGAAACCAGCGTGAGCGTAGTAGAAAGACAGGAAGCGGTCCAGAGGGAGTTGAGTGCCGAGGTAGTAGTATTCACGGGACAGCATTTGCTCACCCATACCAGTACCAATCTTGGTGGTGAAGTTGAGAATGGATCCGAAACCCAAATCACGACCCTTACCACACTGGTAGTATTCGCAGTGCTTGATTCTGCCACCACGGAGCTGAGCAGTCATACCGGCGTAAATATCCTCGTTCAAGTGAAGACCCTTTTGAGCCTTGGAGACACCACCACGAGTAGTCATGAAGATACCGTTGAGGAAATCGGGGTGACCGTAATGGAGCTTACCACCGATCTCAGCGAGAGTACGAGCGAAGAGAGTACCGAATGTCTGTTCCTTTCCGGCAGCGACGTCACCGAGAATACCAATGTTCTCAGAGAAAATGTACTCGCGAGCACCGAGAATGGCAACAGGGTCGAACTTGGCGGTGGGCAAACCAGGAGTGTAAGGAGAGACATTGTCGGTGGTCATTTCCTCGAACTCGGCAAGAACAGAACGAATCTTCAGACATTCCTCCAGGTAGTTGTCCTGGTTAGCGTCGATGAGTTGGATATACTCACCGCGGTAGAAGATGATAGAGTGGTTCTGGTTGTCAGACTTGCCGTCACCAAGAATGGGGTTACCTGAAAGCAGAACGCGGAACTTGGGCTTGCGAAGACCGTTCTCCATGATCTCGGAGTGACCGTCAATCAAAGCAGAGTAGAGACGAGGGTCCTCACCTTCGTTGAGCGGAGGTTCTTCATCCAGGTAGGCAATTTGAAGGTCGGGGTAGGCACGGAGCAGGAACTCAGCGTTCTCACGCTCTTCCTTGGTGAACTTAGCGTAACGCTGCATGGAGACGCAAATCTTGAACTTGCGACGAGCCATACGCTCCAATTCTCTCTCGAGCTTATCAGAGTTACCGCCGAACATTTGAACGACCTCGGGGTTCTCGACACGGTACAGAAGCTTGATAGCGCGGCTGTAGTTCATGAAACCAGAGATGGTACGGTAGAGGGTCTGAGAACGGAGCGATGCCCAAATACGAGTACGAAGAGTGTACTCGGGAGCAGCAGACTTGAAACCAATGCAGTAGAAGGGAAGATCGTCGATCTTGGCCTTTGCGGTGTCCTTCTCGGTCTTCTCGTACTCGCCGTTGAATTGCGAGGTTTCGTCGGCCAAAATCTTGGTGTCCTTGACGAAGCAGTCCCACTCGTGAGGGTGAAGCTGCTTGAGGTACTCCAACATAGTAACACGCGAGTAAGGGTCGTCTTCACGAATGATCTCACGGAGGGAGAGAAGAATCTTCTCGCCATAGTGGGGAATCATGACGGAGAAGGTAGGCATGTTGTCAACGGGGACAGGCTCAGGAATGGGAGTAGACAGAGACTGGGCGAAGAAAGAGATACGACGCTCGGCCTCACTCTGACTGGGGAAGAACTCGGTCTTGAAGGAATGGTCTTCCTGGGAAACGAAGAAGGTAGGTGCTCTGAGAGTACGCTTGCCCTCCTGCTCGGAAGGAACCTGGTGGTACAGAAGCTTCTGGACGTGGTCAATGGCGAGCAAGTGCTCACGGTACATCGAAATGATGATGGCGTTCCAGATCTGGGAGATCAGGACCTTGGGCTTGTACTTGATTTCCATGTCGGTGGTAGCAAGAACCTTGGAGTAGATACGCTTAGGCAGACGGGAGAAGATGTTTCTCCAGGGAGTCCAAATAGAAACACCGAGGTAGAACGAGCGAGCAACCGAGTAGACAGTGTTCAAAATAATGTACCAGAGGTAAGTATCCAAGAAGAACAGAATCAAGTCGGTGATGTACATCAGAATCAAAGTAACGGTAGCCTGGTGGTAGCAAAGCACTGTACCAACGTATTGAATACCGATGCAGTGTCTGATTTTGAGGGTCGACAGAATACGGATGGGATCACGCAACGACAAAGTCAGGTAGAAGTAGGACTCTGCGAGCTTGGCACCGAAGACCATGATCCAAAGACCGTAGGACATCCACATGGCATTGCCCTTGAGGTGAGGCCAACTGGCAGTGAATGTCTGACTGGCGACGTAACGACGAGACTTGCCGGTAAGGTAGCTGCCGAAGAGACCACCGAGGGGCATGATGGAGAAGAAGAAGAAGGTGACCAGGGCAATCAAGAATTGCACAATACCGAGAATGAGAGCGATCTTGCCTTCACGCTTGACACCAAAGATGTATACGGCGGGTGCGACGTTGATGACGAGGACGAGAATGAGGAAGAGAAGACGCTTGGTCAAGTGCTGAGCACCTGCCCACTTTCTGGGGACGTAAGACCATTCGGCGAGCGTGGCGAAAACCATGATAAGGGATGCGACAGTACCACCGAGACCAACGGCCGAGAAATGAGCGGGAGTGGTGGGAGAGTTATTGCGCTGCTGCTCGTAATTCTTAGTGTAGAGAGTAGGCGAATTGTAAGAAGTGTAGAACCAGTAGGCGGTAACGTGAATGACCCAGATACGGTTGAAGTTGACCAAGTTGTGGAACCAGGATCTGGTCTCCTTGTAGGTCTTGAAGAAGCACTTCTTCCAGATGACATCTTGGAGTCTCTCGTAACGCTCAGCAGGAGGCAAGTCGACCAGACGCGACTTATCCTCGAAAACGATACGCTCAATACCCTCGGGGTACCAGAAGAGCTGGTTCATGTCATCGTAACCAATGATCTTGTTGTGATCACGCTCTCTGCGGACGTACTTGCCGTCGAAGATTTCGTAACCTTGATCTCTGCAGTAGTTGTACAGAGGAGTGATTACGTTGTTCAGGTAGGTGAACTCCTCAACGGGCTCAACCTTGTTCTGGCAAACAGGAGAGTGGAAGTAATCGTCTGCACACTTGAAGATGAAACACATCAATTCAGGCATGAAACGGACCTGGTTGGCTTCACCCCAGCAAAGAAGGTAGAGAGCAATTTGTCTAACACGGTCGTGCTGCGACATCTTGTTCATACGTGACTTCCAGCGGTATTCGGCTGCTTCGAGACTGTTGTCGCCCTCGAGACTCGACAAAGTGGCCTCCTCGTTTCCGGCGTTGTCGGCAGCCGCTTTCTTGGCGGCCTTGCGGGCCTTGCGAGTGCGGCGGTTGGCTTTTCCGAGGTTCATGTTGGCGAAACCGACAGCATCGTCGAGATCAAGGTGAGCAGCAAAGTACCAGCGACGGTAGTTGGCGTTATCACCACCGATGTAGTCGGCGTGGAGCGACAGAAGAGCCTGGTTGGGCGACATACGCGAAGCACGCGAATCGAGCAGGGTCATGAAGTGGTCGAACATGTTTCTCATGCTGTCACGCTGGAAACCGAATTTGGCTGTCAGGTCGAGGAAAATGTCCTCAATCTCCTCCTTCGACAGAGGGATCTGGGCGTCGGAGGTCCAGGCAGGGTAAGGCTCTCTTGAGCGCTGACCGGCGGGGAGAGCATTGGTGTAATCCATGCCGTAGACGGGAGTCGAAGCACCCGATGAGCGATTGCCACCGTAGGAAACCTGAGATGAAGGCGGGCGGAAGCCACGACCTCCCTGTTCACCGTTGTAGCTGTTGTAACGCTCATCACCGCGACCGTAGTAGTCCATCTCGGCAGCGCGGGCCATGTCGGATCTCATGGTGAAGTCGCTGAAGGTCTCCGAGTCTTCTTCAGAGTGGCCTCTGGGCTGGCGGCCTCCTTGCTGGCCTGCAGCGTGGGCACCTTGGTCGTAATATTGGTCGTTGTAGTACTCGTCCTGGTAGCCGTTGTGGCCAGCATCGTAGTAGCCTTCTTGGCCTTGAGCTTGGCCCTGGTAAGGGGCGCCGTGTTCGCCCTGGTAGTGAGCAGCTCTGGGAGTGAGTTAGCAAATGTCTGACTGTCAGTTTTGCCAAGGTTGACATACCCTTCATCGTAGTAGCTGTCCTGGCCATTGCCATAGCCCTGGTTGTGGTCGTAGTAGGCCTGGTTTTGATCATCTTGGTAGTATGCATCGTTGCCGTTGCCGTGGCCATAGCCGTCGTCGGCGTAGTGGCCACCGCCCTGTTGAGGGTGCGCCATGCTGAAGTCAATTACAGAAAATTACTGGTGGCGAGTCAGATATGCATTCAATGGAAGTAGATGACTGCTGTGGTTGCTCACCTCAGATGACATTCGCCGTGAAACAAGGGATGAGCAGGTTGCGGGAATGTGGCCAAAAGAGTCCGAAAGGATCGTTTGTTGTTTGAGAATACAGCGAGTGGAATGATCCGTCGAGGGAACTGATGCGGATGCAGCAACACCTAGTCCTTGATGGAGAAGGCGGTGTTGATGTTGATTTCGGACCGGAGGTGGTGAAGGTCGAAAAGTGGCCGCAGTTGTTGCCGTGAGAACGCGCGGCCGTAGACTCGGCAGGCGTGTGTGGAGATGCAGGAAATAGACTTCTCAGTCAATCCAGGATGCAGCTGTCGAGCAACCTCTGGTCAATCCGACACCTTGGATGGGTGGAGGAAAGGGAGAGAGAGACAGATGTGTAGCCGGGAAAGGAACACAAAAGAACGAATGGATGTTTTGCAAGAAAGCAAAAAGACGCTGGAACAGAAGGCGCGCGCACGAGGCAGGGGCGGGAAAGGGGGGCTTTTGGTTGATCGTAGTCTGCTTGTTTCAACGGCTTGGAGGCGAAAAGCCGCACCAACGCGATTCACAGAACACCACCAGAATGCACCAACAGAGCACCAGCAGCACCAAGCAAGCCCCCAGCAAGTCCCAGCGGCCGGATCCCGGGCTCTCTGCAGCCTGCACACAGGCACAACAGGAACACAACTCTCCCTCCTAAAACAAGCTCGGACCACTATTCCGCGCTATCACGCCCCAGCGCCAACTCTCATCTCGCGCCTCAGTCCCACACACCGGCCTCCCATTCGTTCATCGGCTCGCGCTCTAGCGCCAGTAATTCTCAAACACCCCGGTCTGACACCTGCGTCCTGCCATTCCTGAGACCAGCCTCTTGAAATCATTTCCGCGACGGACCGTCATCGTCGATTTTTTGCTGAGAACCATGGTCCAAGAGGCCTCTCACCTCACCGTCTCTCGTAGGGCAGAACTCCGTCGACGAGTGGACACAACTCAAAGCAAGAATGACGATCCTTCTCAAAGAACCGAACCGCGTCTCTTGCACAGCCCTGTGCTGCTTTCTAAATTCTCTGCTCGTCGCGTGCCGCGCCGACCGACTGGGTGGTTGATTATTTGTTGGCGGTAGGGGTGCCAGATCTTAGCTACAGTAGCTAACAAACAGCAATAGCTACTGATAGCAACAGGATAGCAATGTCGCTATCCCCGTGCGCGATTTTCGCCACCCAGAGCTTGCCCGTTTTGGGGGTGGATATGCTAGTTAAATCGTCATTTTAGCGGGTCAGAGTGGGTCAATATGACGTCGATTCGGGAAATTATTGGCTATCTAAACCATTGACCCTAAATACATCTCTTATTATTTAACTAAATGGTTTGCTCGGCGGTAGCGAGTTACTCGGAGGTTAGTTCTCTTAGTCCTCGGTGCCGCCGACAGTAGATAGATCTAAGTTACGAAGGGCTCGTATAGAGGTGCGAGACGGTGTTTCTAAGGAGGCTCTAAAGTTACGAGGGTCGATGTTAGAGTTATAAAGCGGTAGAAGCGTTAGTATAGAGGAGCCGAAGGAGGCGATTAAATAAGCAGAACTTAGAGGTGTTACGAGAGAGGAGGATAAATCGATATAGCGGCGCTTACGTAGAGTAACGACTAGAATTAACGATAGAGGCGGCATTAATGCGCAAGATTAAGAGGCTTAAGAAGGCTAATATTGCTAAGGTTAAGAAGGCTAATATTGCTAAGGTTAAGAAGGCTAATATTACTAAGGTTAAGAAGGCTAATATTGCTAATATTGCTAGCTCTGTTAGAGGGGTTAAGATGACTAAGAATTGCTATATAGTTAGTCCTAAATAGCTTAAATAACGTCGTCGATCTCATTAAGTTCCTCGTCATTATCGACCTAACTATAATCGAAGTGCTATATCGAGTTAGCGAGAGCATTAGTTACTACTGCCTTTAATAATTCCTATAAGGCAATAGGATTAGCAATTAGCTATAGGATCCGGTCGAGTTTAGCTATACGTAGTCGATGTCGTTCTTTACCTTCTATATTAGCAATCTCGCGGCGGCGAGCTCGGCGCTCGTTCTATTACTTCTTAAGTTAGCAAACACGTCTAAGGGCACGCAAATTACGATAAATGCTAATAAGCATGTTAATAGAGGACGACTTAAGCTTGCTCCGGAACTTGTTTTAAATAAAGTTCATGCTCGAGAAGGCTCTTTCTAATAGGACTAAGTTCGCTAGTATAATAGCGAGCCTCTTAGCGAGCGCGGTAAGATAGCTAGCATCTAACCGGAAGAGGCTCTAAAAGGTAGCCGGATCGTTAGCATTGTTTTTCTAGAGGTCCTTATCGCTAAAGACACCGATTTTGTCCTTAAACTAACTAAACTAAGTGTAGAACTAACTAAGGCCATTAGGAACGTACTTTTTAATGAATCGGCGCGTAATAGCCTTCTCCTCGCGCGAGAAGGTGTCGTAGGAGGTCGGTATAAGTAAGTTTAGAGCAAAGGCGGCCTAGTAGATGTTAGTTATTTAAATTTTGAACCGCCTGTCGAAGGCCGCTAAGGCCTCGTCTAAATGCGGTAAGTTGTTTAGAGCTCTTAGATCATTACGTATATCTCTCTAGCGAGGAATAACTATACTGACAGTAGATCTATTAGCTTCTAACTAGATCTAAGAGTTATGTATCGGCTTAAGAAGGTCGCGAAGGTAGCTAACTCGGCGCTACTAAGACGGGTCTTTAATTAACTTTAGATACTTCTACGCGGTCGATTCCTCCTTCTTACTAGTTCGTAGGTTCTTCTTCCTCGCCTCTAGCTAGAACTCCTTACGCTTAGTAATCTTAGCGCTCCTTAGAAGGTCGATGTTCTTAAGTCTAGTCCTAAGAACTGTGTTCCCTATCGAGTAATAACTGCTAATGCTAGAGCCTTAAGACCCTCGACTGATTTATCGTTACTAGCCTCCTCGACTAGATTTGCCTATAACTTCGGCGAGTTCCTAATATAGCTATTAACTATCTGCACCTCTTTAGCAGTAAGGCTATAGTAAGGAATAAGAAGAACGTCCTTAAGTAGCAGCTAATGCCTATAGGAGTCGCACAAAACAAGAAACACATACTTCGTATTAGGGTTAGTCTCGATAAGCATATAGAGATTTCTTATTAAAGGGCAGGTATTAGTATAGTAGCTATTCTATGCCTTAAGACTATTAGGTGTTAACTCGCTAACCTTATCCTTAAGCAGGGCCTTAAGTTTAGGTCTAGTATAGTCTATAGCGCGAGTATCTTAAGTTTTAAGGTAGATGCTCTAACCCTCCCTAGTATTTAAGGAAAAGTTAACTATTCTCGCCCTACTAATCGAGGTAGACTTATCGCTAATTATGTTTAGATACGGTAGCTAGTCCTTAATCTTCGGTTTCTTAGTTATTACCCTTACGCGCACCTTCTCTATAACCTCTTCGTAGTAAAGGTAGAGCAGATCGGTAGCTAGTCGGTCTCGCGAAGGAGGTAAATATCTAGGCCTTATAATACGTAGGAAATCCTTAAAATACTAACTCTCCCCTAGGGCACGAAACGATAGTCTAGCCTCGTAGTTCGCGTACGTAAATGCCTTATCTGCGGCCTTCTTATTAAATAGCTAATTAAGAGGACCCTCGTAGAGTTGTTTTAGAAGGTTAGGGTAATCCCTTTAAAACATAGCGAGCTCGAGGACTACCGGTTCGTTCCCTTCTATCTTTAACCTTAGAACCTCTGCTAGATGAGTTTTAAATTGCTAACACTTAAGTAGATGCTTAACCTTGCGTTTCCCTTAATTTTTTGGCTATCTACCTCCCTTCTCGTCGCGACACTAGATGTAGAGCACTATAGCAGTTTTAAGCTCCGAAATTACCTCCTCGAACTGTAGCGACGCGTATGTAGTATAGGGCGGCATTATTAATGGAATTAAGCCTCTCGAACTACTAGAATTGCGCTAATTATCATGTGCTTAGAGACCTTCGATACGCCATCTACGTCAGCTAAGAACAGCCTCTGACCGCTAGATCAATAGCTACACGACATGTAGCTATGCTAGCACCGCCGATACCTACAAAAACCAGTCGACTGTAGCTATGATGTTACCAACGTAGCTATCAGCAGCCCTAGTTGGCGGCCAGCAAATAACACACATCCTAATGCGATCGCCACTAGACAACTTTCTGGATATCATGCTAACTTGCCAGTGCTATTTTCAGCGTTGTCATTCATGCGCCTCACACCTCATACTGTGCTGTATGTACGCATGCTTGTTGAACGGTTTGCTACTCGTCGTGAAATGCTTGGATGGTGCTTTGACTGTGGCGCGCCCTCAGAAGCGTCATCCAAATCTCTTGATGTCGAGAAGCTCCATTAAATTTGCGGGTTCTGCTCCAGATGGTCAATCATATCAATTGCGTTCACCACACAATCGATTGACTCGCCGAGTTATCCTATCGCCGCGCTGCCACGTCTTCGCACCTCGTAATGAAGTCAAATCCTCGAGCAGGCTGTGTTCGTAATTCGCGTGCTATTTACAGCTGCATGCCACGACTATGGGCATACGAATCTCAAGCTACATTTCAATCCTTCCAGAAGGAGTCTGTCCTATCAAAGACGGCATCTGTTTAAGGACAGAGCTCGGATATAGATGCCCCATGTCATGACCTATGTATTGATTTACCTCCCGCAATCTCTTCTCTCGTCACTGCGAATCGTGAAACGCACTTCAAGACATGACACAAGTCATGAGTAGAATTGCACCGATGATAGAACCCAGACATGCTAGTGTTGACGTAGCGAAGACTGTGTACAATAACAAGGACGTCTCAAAATTCAGGACATGTTATGATTATGCAGGCATGGATGTTGTTCAAGAGACCGGCAGTCGTACATCGAGCTACGGAGTCGTTACCTCTCAGCATGTCTCTACTGCATGTGCGAATCATTTACAAATCCGACATTTTGATCGTGACGACATGGAATTCTCCATGAAAACGATGTCGCAAACGTTGAGAGTCTGGTCGAGGACATAAAGGTTATTTGTTCCCCTCGGAAGAACGCAAGTTCAAAGACAGGAGAGAGGACTTTTCTTTGCAGGAGGTCAACAAGGCAAAGGCGAATGTTTACACTCTCGGCATCTTGTTGACCGTGCTAAGAGTGATACGCAGCAGCCGTTGAGACACGGAAAGCTTGGCCCGGCTGCTCGGAATCGTTTCTTGCAGAGGACGTGGACACGGATGAGAGTGGAAGAGACAGTCGAGTGCTGTTACGCCACCTATGCAGGTGTTTCGGTTGACGATTCCCCATAATCAGCAGTGGACATTAGCAGGCACGGTCAGTTGAAATTGCGGGCGTGAACGGCGGCACATAAAGGATGAGGGACGAGACCTCAGGACGAAGCAGCAGAAGCAATTGAAAAGCTCTTGCGCAGAATCGGCCAAGCTCTGGGCAGGGGAATTGTAGTGAGAGATAAAATAGGGCAGGCAATATTCCAGACAATCGTGCGGGCTCGTATCGTTGTGGCGAAGCAAGCTCCTCGGGGAGATGAAGATCAGATGGGAGGAGTGGGACAGGAGGTGGGCTTGCGCGGCCAGTGCCAAACACAGAAGCGTCCTTATGTAAGGCGCTGGCCTCGCCACGGCGCGCACTCCCGGACAGCAACCTTTCTTGTTTGCCCATCATTTCCTTGTGCCATCTTGGCTATTCTTCCTGTGACATCTTCACATCCTATCGACCTTCGTTCACTCTTTGCAAACAACTCTTCAATCTCATTTAATCGCTCGTTCGAAGACTTTTTTCATTCCTGCGTCTCGCACCTTCCTCCTGCCCCTGAAGACCTAAACACAGGCGGCCTTCAACCTATTCACCACTAAACAAGCATCTACATACTCAAAATGAAGGGTTTCGGCATTGCCACAGCCATCGCGGCGGCGAGCATGCTTGTCTCCAAGGTCGCTGCTGACGTTGACCCCATCGTCATCAAGGGCTCCAAGTTCTTCTACAAGACCAACGGAACTCAATTCTTCATGCGCGGTGTCGCATACCAGGAGGATGTTTCCAACTCGACCGACAGCACTTACACCGACCCTCTGGCCGATGCATCCATCTGCTCGCGCGATATCCCTTACCTCCAGGCCCTCCGCACCAACACCATCCGTGTTTACGCCATCGACCCTACTAAGAACCACGACGATTGCATGAACATGCTCGCAGATGCTGGCATCTACGTTGTTTCCGATCTGTCTGCCCCCGACCAGTCCATCAACCGTAACGACCCCGCCTGGAACGACGACCTGTACGAGCGTTACGTCTCTGTCGTTGACGCTCTCGCCAACTACACCAACACCCTCGGTTTCTTCGCCGGTAACGAGGTCTCGAACTCCAAGAACACCACCAACGCCAGCGCTTTCGTCAAGGCTGCTGTCCGTGACACCAAGGCATACATCGCCTCCAAGGGCTACAGACCTCTCGGTGTTGGTTACGCTACCTCGGATGACTCTGATATTCGTGTCAACATGGCCGACTACTTCGACTGCAGCTCCGACACCGCCCTCAACATTGACTTCTGGGGTTACAACGTCTACTCTTGGTGTGATCCTTCCACATACTCAACTTCTGGCTACGAGGCTCGCACTGAGGAATTCGAGAGCTACTCTGTCCCTGTCTTCTTCGCCGAGTACGGTTGCAACGCTCACCGTCCCCGCACTTGGGGTGAAGTCGAGGCTCTTTACGGTGATGACATGACCAAGGTCTGGTCTGGTGGTATTGTCTACATGTACTTCGAGACTGAGAACGAGTACGGTCTCGTCTCTATTACCAACAACAAGGTCTCGACCCTGGGAGATTATGTAACTTAACTCCGGTCCAACATTTCAAGATACTGCTAACAGTTCGTGCAGAGCAACCTCAGCAAAGCCATGGCGACTGTTTCTCCATCGGGCGTCAACAGTGCTTCGTACTCTCCTACCAACAGCGTTGCCGCCTGCCCCACTGTCAACAGTGCTTGGGCTGCTGCCGCCTCCCCACTTCCTCCCTCTCCCAACCAGGAGCTTTGCAGCTGCATGTTCAACTCTTTGAGCTGTACCGTCAAGTCTAGCGTCGATGAGGAGGCCTACGCTGACATGTTCGACTATGTGTGTGGTGCCGACGCTGATGCCTGCGCAGGGATTCAGCACAAGTACGTATTCCCATCTTATTCCTTCCAAAGGACTGGAAAATCTTGTGAGCCCTTGGACTAACAGCTCTACAGCGCCACAACGGGTTCCTATGGCGCATATTCAATGTGCAACTCCACTGAGCAGCTTGGTTTCGTCCTCGACCAGTACTATTCCGCCCAGCCCTCTTCCCAGAGAGCCTCCGCTTGCGGTTTCAGCGGTTCTGCAACTTTGAAGTCCGCATCAAAGCCTACCGGAGTCTGTTCTTCCTTGATGGCTCAAGCCGGAACCGCCGGTCAAGGTACCGTCACTGCCTCCCCCACTACTGGATCTGGAGCCGCTGCCACTGGCGGTTCGGGCTCAAAGGCATCTGGTTCTTCGTCTGGTTCCAAGGGCGCTGCTTCCACTCTCTCCGTCCAGAACGTCCGTGTCGGCTCCTTCGCCCTTGGTGTCTCGGCCTTTGTTGCCGTTCTCTCTGGTGCTTTTGCCCTTCTTCTGTAAACAGTCAAAAGCCAATCTGTTTTGCGCGGGGGGTCGATTAGTATTGATAGTTGATTAGACTTTGTTCGCGTTGTATACTGAGCTCGTACATGATTTTTCTGCACTGCCCTTACTCACATGTGCTCCAGTGCCTGTACTGCCATGCTTTGTATATGTTTTCCGACTTAATGATTCAGCTACTACAAACCTACGTTCTTCGCTAACAGTGTAGTCCTGTTTGTTGGTACAATCAAATACCCACGTCTACGTTCATCCCTAAGCATTGGTGGCACGCGCGAATAGCGGTTCTAGCATTTCAGGAGAGCACCGCGGCGCTCTTCGCAGCAATCAGCTCAACACGGCCAGTGTCGAGCTTGCTTCGCCATGCTTTACTCACAAGTCGGGGCAACAGCAACATCCGCGCGGCCTCTTGCCTACTACCCATCAACGCGGACACGATCGAATCTTGAACATGGTCTTGAAATCCAAATTCTTCTCACTCCACAATTCACCAGTCACCCATTGAGCGGCTTTACTTTCGTTTATCTCATCCGTTTCCCGACCGCATTAACTCTTCGCACTTGTCCTCTATGAACATACCAGGGTCTCTAGTCGAGCAACTTACCGACACACTCAGCTCCATCCCAAGATCGTCTTTCCATGATCACAATCCGCATGACATGAGGGATGTCTGCCCCTTGCTTGGCTGGCCAACATCGCGCGAGAAACATCGACTTCAGCCAAGAATGACGCTCCACAACGTCAACTCAAGGACCTCACCTATTTTCCGCTATCCCAAAGCAGCGCCCATTGTCGCCCGACTCCATCTACCTTTCCCACGCCTACCCGATAACGCCATCGTAAAGGCAATGCAACATCCACCACAAACGCGTTCCTGTTCGGCCGTTTGGCAGCAATTCAACATGAGTTGTCATCGAGTCATCGACCACCTGCTCATAGAGAACCATTACTGAGTGCAAGGTATATAAGGCCGACTCGACGTCGAAGATGAAGACCAGGATCTTGTTCAACGGCACGACTTCACCTCTCGACATTCTGCTTACCAAATACCACATGGTCTGCCCAGTGCTGTTCTGCATATATGGCAAGGAGCGAACTTGTAAAGAGCCTCTCAGAGCAGAGTGGTAACCTGTCGACGACAGTTCCATCAACGCCGAGCTTCACAAAGTCCGTATGACAGGTCTTGCTATAGGCTATGGGTGTTTACCCTTGCGAGACTTGAGAAAGTCAAAGATGCAGAACCTCCTCACACCGACAAATTACTGGAGAGCACTGAGCTACTTTGCCAACACGCCGCCGACTCAATTGTGATCGACCCATCCCATCGTCCCCGATGCACCGTGAAAACACATGTTGATGGGTCTCGAAAAACTATGGGCATGCAGGTTTTTGAGCGTTAGGAGAGGTCTTGGTGAAGCTTTCGATGGATGCACCCAACAGTGCGGACAAAAAGACCTGCTCTACAGTCAAGGGCATACCAAATATTACCAAGCTTCCAAACTGCCTCTATGCATGTTGCCTTTGTGTTTCATACGGTTTAATTCTTCTCATCGTATACGTGTGAGCAGTTCAGACCGGGGCTGGGTATTAAAACAGTTTTTTGTGCCCCGTCTGGGATCGTTCTGCAGGCATTAAAGATAGACTATACTACAAGTATCTAGCTACTATCTTTCTATTTGATATAGTCTACTATGTGTTGCGCAATTAATCAAAACGTCGCAAAAAACGCGAAGTTTTGCAACTTTCGAAAAGTTTAGAGCGGATGCGTCGAAATCCCCACGACTTCTGACCCTGAGAATACTCCGCAACGACAAGAACGGCAACATGCGTCATTGTGCCATCTATCCAACCATAATGCGATTGATGCGGCCCGACAAAATCGAACTCGCACCGAGAGACAGTACAAAGGAGGTTCCCTTCGATCCGAAGACTCCGCCTGTTCGCTCATTCAACCAATTCGCCCCAAATAATGACATTGACAGATGCGCCGTCTGTCTTTTACATTTCTCTTCTGCTTTTCATCTGAATAGCGACGCAAATGTTCGAACTTCCATGCCTGATTGATACTTTCATCGACAGCATTGAGACTACTTTCGTTCCTGATTCCGGACAATGACCCGAAGAGTTGGTGATTGGTCTACAATAACAACATCGTCCTTGCTCGCTTGGGGTTGGTTGTCGACAGTGGACCTGAAGGTAATGGAATGCTGATCGAAGACCTAGAACAGCTGAGATCACGAGAGAGTAATGTTGTAACAGGGCAGAGGAGATTGAGTGAAGGGTTCGTGGTAGAGATCGGATGTAGGAACTGTGAGCGGTGTTTTTTGGCTTCTGCACGCTGCGGTACCGCTGAAAAGTGAAGGTAGGAGCGAATTGATTTGTGGTTGCAGCCAGGACGAAACTCAGTGAAGCTTAGACTGAGATTGGCCTTGAGATGATGCAGACTCACTAGAACGGAGTGTTGTCGAGAGAACTTCCAAAGTTCTCGACAACCTTGGAAGTGGCTGGTATCCCCCAGGGACTTGTGAAGGGTGACTCTTCGATGGAGGAACCGAGTCTTGTTGATGGCGTGCACACGAAAAGCTGTGTTCGAGTAGTAAGGTAAGATCGAAGTCGAATCTGAATCGGCAGTCCAAAGTGAGTATCTCTGCGTCGTGTCGAAACAAGTGCGGCGACCACAATGTCCGTGTTTGCCCTTCGAGTGGAGCTAAAAAGAGACGTCAACGCTGTTCTCATTACCCTCCTCGAGAAACAAACCACTCAGCCGATGCCAATCGTCTACCGCGGTCAGTACCTCCGTCTCTTCTCTCAAAGCCATGTGACCTCACTGAAGAAGGCCTTGACTGTACCATCGGCCACTGTCGCCTCAAAGTGTCGACACACCCACCACACCAGGTATTCCCTCGTGAAAGAGACGACGAGATACCAACACCTGCCCTGATATGCCAAAGCTCGAGGCAGTACCAGCGGTGTTCAGGCTGTACACAGAGTGGACGTACTCTGGCCGTATATGGAGCAGTGATGCCAATGAGTCGTAAGACCTCACTCATCTGACTCATGAGTCAATTGCCCCGTGAGTTCCTGCACATGAGGCGAAGAGGTCTGAGGCCTCCCGGCAACAGAGGTGGGCCAATAATCTTACTGTTCAGATATGCGTTTAGTTCTTCGCCGCTTCGCTCACATACGCCCTTCATATAGCCATAATTACGAGGATTCAGCCATCAGGCAGCGAATATGTCAAGTTTCCAAACGACACCATCAAGAGAGCCGACGAGAAGAAGTCCTATTACTGATGCCCAGATTTCAGGGGATGCAGAACCGTGTGACATACAGCAAGATCAAGCTATTGCGAGTGCAAACTCGGTTTGTTTTCGCAATGCGTTCAGTCTACACATGCCCGGAACGTATCTTGATGGGATTCAACTCGGGATGCGACGGCTCTCAAACCCGGACTCGAGTTCTATCGCACAGTGGACTTCAGCGGCCGAAACCAAAACTCTCAAAGTCCTCAAATCTGGAAGTCTTGAGCCTGACTGATATAACGATTAACGAGTGTTGCTTCTTTCATCTGGCAAGTATACCGCTCGGAGAACTTCGCATGCGCAGGATCATCATATCTGAAATGATTGACTTGGTCTCTCGGCGGCTGGAATGGATTGGTAGGCGGTACCTGGTTTGACATTCACCTTGGGACTTTGAGATGGCTCAAGCTCGAGCTTCAAGCTGGCGCCACACATAAAGAGTGTTTTCAGTCCATTGGTACGCTAGCAGAATTGAGGATCTTTGAACTACTGACAAGACCTCGTATGGCAAAGAACCCATCGGCCCTTGGAAATCTACTCGAGTTGTGCGATTTGGCAGTTTTAGGAGGTCGATCATCGAACCCCGACTGGCAATATCGTCAACAGTACTACCAATCTCATGCTGTCTTCGCCCTCACGCCATCATGGCCATTAAACGATTATATGTCATCTGGACATTAGGCTCGGCCTCAGCCTCCTCCGCTCTTGCCTCTTCCGTTCCTGCCTCCTCCACTCCTGTCTCTTCCATTCCCGCCTCCTCCACTCTTGCCTCTTCCGCTCCTGCCTCATCGATATGTTCAGCTTCCATGTCATGGCTTTTATCGCTACTGCCGTTGTCGTTGTCATCACAAACTTCGTCAACGTCCGCGTTGATGGTGATCTCCTCGCTGCTCTCTTCAGAGTATTATTCCTAGCCATGGTTGGATCTTGTAGATACCAGGCAGTCGTCGTCGGCTCCGACAGAGGTATCGATGCCCTCCGAGCCTTGGATTGCAATAATACTACAAGACATGTGGCGCTCGCTGTCTGATCTCGCCGTTGGGAGCAAACATAGCTCGCAGCGAGGGACGTCCAGATCGCTTAATTGCGATCGTTCCCATCTCCTTGCTTAACAGCCAGGAGTGAGTGTTCGAAGCAGCGTTACTAGTGTCTCCGTCGACCGATACTAGCCTACTATCCTTCTACTAGATCACCTCCTATGCATGCAGTGACGGTATACATGGCAATAACGAAAGGTGCGAGTATATCGAACGTCTTCTACAAAACCATGTAGCTAGAGTCGATGAGCCTACATAAGCCTCGTAGTCCGCCTTAATACTGCTATTAAGTTACCAAGATCTTCTGCTAGAGAATACCGGTGTTTCTTTGTGTTGTGGTCCATGACAACAAAACTTCTAGCTTTCCTAAATCTGACTATATTTTCATTGACGCTTTCTGTGCAATGCTTTCCCTGGTTTTGCAAGGTCTACTAGTGGGAATGATGCTGCCGTCAACAGAGAGATGAAATGATTGAGATAAATTGAGGCCAGGCGTGAGAGACGCGACTTTCTGTATTATCACAGTTGCACATGAGAAGTAATTGACCTACAGTCAGGGCTAAGAATATCCCAGCGAATTAACCTATAGCGAATATGGATTGAGAATTGATGTCGGGAGACAGGCTATGATCCTGCTCCTCCCAAATGCACAAGTATGAGGTCATGGTGTTTTGGATAATGAAGCTTGTTTCACTGAGGATGTTGCGTCGGGTTCGGGAAAGAACATCTCAAATTTGTTGTTCCTTCCTTGAGCTGCGTTTGACGAATCTCATTTGTCTGCAAGGCTCGTCATCCCAACGATCTTACCACTCCCGCATATCGTCCACTCATAACACAACAACACCGTCCCATACCGAGATGAACAATCCACCTCCAGCCAAGGACGTTGAAGACGCCTGTGACGAGAAGTCAACTTCGACTGCTATCGAAGTACGTGCGACGCCTTTCTACACAATTCCCTGAACCTGACGGTTCACTTCTAGGGACTTCTTTCTGGAGATCTGGCCAAGTCACTCTCTATGTACGAAGCGGAATACAACACCTACATACAAGCCATGATGGACGTCAAGGTCGACACCACTCAAAACGTCTGGGACGACTACTATGACTACCTGGAGGACACGAACCTGAATTTGCAAACCATCGACCTCGACACCATTGACGCGGAAGGCATCAGCGAGATCACACATCTGCTCAAGTTAGAGAACGAAGCAAATGCCAGTGTCTTCAGGGTGCGCCGCTTGATGATGCAAGCACACAGACACATGGACAAATTGAGAACCCTGGCAAAAAGAATTGATGAGGAACATGGTTTGGAGTTGGAGAAGAAAGCCCATGTGGTCAATGTTGAATTGTTTAGACAATACACAAAGAACGTTCAGAAGCATTTCGTCGTTCTCCTCGAGCCATGGAGAGCTGTCGTCTACGGACGCGCTGCTAAAGTCTTCGACAAGGAGGAAGGTTGATCCAAACATGAGCATGGAGTCAACGGATACTGGGGGATACTCATGATTCCTTTTAACAAGGTGGATGTGGACAACTCCTACGGTCGTATCACTTGTCTTTGCTATGTTGAGACTTTCGGGTATGGTGGCACTCGGAAAACGAAAAAGAAGGCTGGATGGATCCCAACCCATTCTATTATCAGATATGCGGGCAACGCAAGCAGGAAAACATCTCATTCGAAGAGCAATGGTATCACCCCTTCCCCAGCCATGACCGACGGCAAATTAGGCATCTTGTCCGCAAGCTTGCTCGAATCTTCCAAAGCATCTCTTCTGGGTTCCACGAAAGACCGCTCAAACAGTACAAGAGATATCTCGATTCTTAAGGTAATAAACAAACAAGCTTTGTTTCGATTTACTTGCTAATTGAGAATAGCCCGAAATCCCCTATGGTTACAATCTGCTTATTAAGCTTTCGTTCTCGGCAAGAAGCTTCTCAAAAACATGAGGTTATTGGAAAAACATGTGGTTATTGACATCATCCTCTCGGAAGCTGTTTCTATTGATAGGATCGATTCTATCCAGACCACACTTGTCTGTAAGGCACGACCAAGACTGCACCTCTTCGACGACTACTCGTCGATATCTGCACATGCAACACCGAGTAAGTTATTCTCGAGGGTGACTAGCTAGCTATTCATTGTATCCAGTCTTTATCAAAACCTGTCACCTCAATACCATATCCTTCTCTGTGAAAAGCAAATGCAACTTCCTTGGCGTAAGATTGATCACTTGCCAACGTATGAACAAGTCCTTTGTCGGGCAAAGCGTGTCGAAAATGTAATATCGCTTTCTCCAGTGGCTTCAATCTTCAGCATCTTATGTGACATAACGGACTTCCGCTCGTGGCCTATCTGCCAAATCATCCATGCTCATTGATCACAAAGCCATCAAGACAGGACGCGATAGAACTACAATATGGACAGAACACGAAACACAAGACACAACACAAGCAATGACACAAAGTATTCAAGAAGGGAAAAAATGAGCTGTTATTCAAAAAGAAAAAAAGGCTAAAATGGAAAAAAAAGTCGGTCGGCTCGCGATTATTACATCGGAGCAGACACAACAAAAAAACACTGATGGTGATTTGTTAACGAAGGAGTCCACCCTCGGCACATGATCCCTGGATCCATTTCGGCATTGTCTGACACTGCTCAAAGGAAACGACCGCAGTTGGACTTGTCGAGCACGGCATCTTTTCCAAAATGCTCCTTGTAGTATGCTCGACAAACTGGGAAGTCGGCCGACCTCTTGCCTGGTTTGATGTGGGTTTCAACATTTCTCGTACCCTCAAAAAGTTTACCACATGCCCAGCACATGAAGAATTGAAAGTTCTGACGCTCAATTGTGGGTAGCGCGTTGAAGGCTTTCTTGCAGTCCGGTTCGCTCTTGAAGTGCAGGTTCTTCGGGCCTTTCGAGCGGAGGATTACTGTGCAGCCAGGCCCTGGGCAGGGCACGCCATCTTCGTCGAGCTTCTTGGCTCTGTTCTTCTCTCTGGAGCCAAAGTCACAACGCTTAGGACCACTGTCTGTGCCCAGCTCAAGCGTTCCGTTCGCGTACTCCAGGATAGACATGGCTTCGCGAGCACGTTTCAATTCCGAGGTGCGCTTCTTGCCTCTGATCAGGTAGTACACGACTTCTTCACCAGTCTTTGTACTGTTCCAGGTCAACGTCAACATGATCCTGCGAGCCATCTCAAATTCTGGTCTCACAGAAGAAGTGTTTGCCCAGTGGCGTTCATCGTCTTCTTCGGTCACGTGCAGTTGCAGCATGACAGGGGTGCCGTCAAGGGTACCCTTGGACGAAGTTGTGTGACCAAGGTCATCGATTTCTTGCCTTTGCTCAGGCGAGATCTCAAGGGTGTACGCTAGGGCCAGCCTGACAGCGTAACCAGTGGTATCGCCGCGAGGGTGCAAGTAAATACTGGCACCTTCGGTCAGTCGACTGTACAAGGTGTCCTTGCTAAGGTGATCCTCGTAAATCGGCGAACTCTCATTCAGACCGCGAGTTTGCAGTGCGGACTTCATGATCTCGCGACAGGTACGTGCTAAAGGATCTGCGTATGTCTTGAAACGCTCGACCCATGCATCTGTAAGCAAGTTGATCTTGTCACCATCCCGCTTTGACCAACGCTTCGCTTCATAATCGAATGAAAGAGAAAGGTTATGTAACCAACCCCCATTCAGATCAATAAAGCAAGCTTCAAGTAGCTTGATTGGACCCATTCCATACGTCTTGAACACTTCAATCGGCATGATTGTCACAGCCTTCAACTCAGCACGAGTGTTGTCAGCGTTCATGAGCTTATACAAAGCCTTGCCTGATTCAGACCTGTGCCGACTTAGGCTGAAATGTTGCAAGGCTCTTGAAAGCATCATTTGTTGAGTCATCGAGCCAGAACTTCCGTAGTAGTTGTGTATCAATAATCTCATGAGCTCAGCAACCAAATCGGATTGATCTGGATGGAGCTGAACGATGCGGACATTGTAGAGGCCATGCATGTACTCGGCCTCGAAGATCTCGCGGTAAGCCGCAAAGAGCTCCTCGTGCGGCCATGGCTTTCCTCCACTCATCAACTCAATTGACCGAGCAGTCATGCCAGCGAGCGCAACTTTCATGAGGTCCATGGGGGTGAACACATCCATCCACGAGTTGTCTTCTTCAGGGAAGGCCTGCTTGCGCAGCTCGTATGCGGTCTTCAACATCTGAGGAAGCACCGCGCGGAGAGTCAAGCTACCTGGATTGATAGCACTGATCGAACCCGAAGGGGTCCTGATCTCTGTAAAATAACCAGGGGCCGGGAAGTATTCAAACTCCCAAGCCTCAGTCGTCGAATACATGTGGGCGCCGACATAAGAACCGTTGGTCAGTCCAGGATGCTTGCGACCGCTCTGTCTTGCTTGACCTGGCTTGAAAACCAAAGGTGCAATCTCAACACGGACACAAGGTGCCAGAACGACCTTGGACCGTTGAGCACGCGAACCATGAGCTGGGACATCACTATCCTCAGACAAAGCCTCCACTTCAGCCTCATCTAGACTGCGCGCTGGTTCAAAGTCGTCATCTTCTGACACGGGCACATCAATCTCTGGCTCGTACATGTCATCAGCTGACTCGGCCTCGGGGGCAATAGCCTTACCCTTGCCTTTGTTCAGACGACGGACCTCGACAGGCTCATCTTCTGACAGGATGTCATTGATGGGAGCCTTGGCCTTGGCCTTGGCCTTGCCCTTACCCTTACCCTTACCTCTCTTTGGACGAGGGCTCTGATCAGGCTCATCGGCACTGTCATCAAGAGTCACCAGGTCAACTACAGGAGGACGAATACAAGCACGCTTCACTCTCGGCTGCACACCAAGATCTACTTCAGACATGCGGCGCTGTGCGCGACCGACATGTTCCACACCCGAGCCACGCAAAGCATTTCTGCTTGGGGCCAGGGAGGGAATGGGGGAAACACTAGGGCCTCGCAAAGCATTTCTGCCGCGGGGCGCGCTGGTGGGACTAGATACCAGGTCCAGGTCACGCGTAGCGGGGATGCTAGGGACCGGGACAGCAGGACTAGATGATAGGAATTCCAGGCGAGGAGCCTGAACAGCGGGCTTGGGAGAACCCGGATAGATGTCTGACAGGGGTGACGAGTCCCTTGTGTCGTCCAACTGATCTTCCGAACGATTTGTGTCCGTAGACGTTCTTCCGTGACTCTGAGGAGAGGAAGGGATAGGTGGGAGAGGAGAGGGGGAACGACAAGAAACCACAGGGCAAGGACCCGAGTCAAACTCCTGCCACTCCCTGAGGCACTCATCCTTGTCTTTTTCGCCCACTTGGGCCTGGTACTTACTGAAGAACGCCGTTCTGAGATCATCCTGCTGAGCCTGTGGGGTGGCGGCAGCGAGGGTTGTCTCCTCGAGCAGGTCCTCGTTGTGTGAGTCCTTGGGTTGCGCGCAGAACAACCTTTCAAGGGTCTCCCTTGCGTCGGAGCGGCGAGCGGCGGAGGACGAGGGCGAGGGCGAGGGCGAGCGACTCTGATGAGATTCGCGGACCTGGCGAGCACGGCGGATTGAGGCAGCACGGTACATGTTGGCGTGTTGAGTGAGAACGGGTTTAAAGAGCGTGAAGGGCTTAAAACGAGAGTCAATGCAACAAAAAACAGGTCAAATGAGCGTGGTCGTAGTCGAGCGTGTCAGCTTGGTATGGCGAGTCTGAAGCCTGAAGCTTGGAGCCAGAGTCGAGCTCGAAGCTCAGCCCGGGCCCTCCTGGCAGTGACTGACGCCATTCGTCAACAGACGCCCACCATCAATTGGCCCTCCATCAATTGGCACAGCTCCAGTAAACGTCAATCCGATTACTCTATGTGCTCCGAATATACTGTCCTTCAACGATACAGTATCGGGATAGTCTCGACAAACGTTCCTCTTATAAGCCGAATTGAATTTACGCAAGACGCGCTGGTCCTCTGTATGATACTGAAGTTCTGGATGACTTTCAGTAACTGTCCGGTGGGCCGCATGAGCGTCCGGAGATTTCCAAGTACAATGCAGTGGCATGAATACGGTAGCATTAATCGGACTGTCATTGCCATACGTTCTACAGCCTGTCTGATCATATCCTGTCTTGTTCGTATACATGTTCCGAGTATTCGCCTAGTCGATGTTTCCAAATGACCTCTTTTGTCGACGATGACTGGGTATCAAGGCCGCAAAACTTCAGAGCCTTGTGATGTAATGCGCCCCATTCTATGTAACAAGAATTGAACATCACCAAGCTTGCGTGCTGGCGAAAGTGATTTAACCAAGTCATGGTCTCTTGCTTGGTTGTATAGATAGTCGCCGTTTGATTGGCTGCGTCGATTTCAACGGGCCGAGATCATAGCTCAAGTCCGCGTCCGAGCGCGAATCTTTTTCGTGGCGATCATCATGATGGTCGCGCATCATGATGCTAACCAAGCGACAGAACCTCGGGATCAGGAGTGAATTAACTTTGTGGCCTCAGACAACCAGACAAGGACACCAGGTCCAGCATCAAAGCAGCAGTCCGGAACCCTCTCGTAGCCGCAGCGCTCGCACACCGTACGCTTGAGCCGGACGCAACCCCAAGACATACGTGTGGTCGATGTTGCCAGCACACCAATATCGACCACAGGAGATAGCTTTTCGGACGATACAAGAGATGGATTTCCAAGGACAACCAAAGTCTCGAGGCTCTCAGGAGCAGGGCAACAGCAAGCACGTCTTCGCATAAAGACCAACTGCTGCTTGTCCGGTATTGAAGCTCTCGTTGCGCGAAGAGTTAGGAAGAAGCGAGCCCATGGGTTCATGACGATCGTCGGTCACCTGTGAACCACGGAAAGCGAGCGGAGGCCGGGAGTCAGGCCCCTAGTCAACACCATCTCTGAGATCGGGCGGCGTTGCTAGGAGGCATCTCTCCGCTACGGCTCTCGCACTCGATCGAGACCTACTAGACACAACACGATGGGCCTATAGCGAGCTTGGGAGAGCTTTACCGGTTTACAGGGTGCAGGAATTTTCGTAGTCTATAACGAATAAATGTCTCTGCTTGATCTACCCTGGCCCAGTACGCTCTCGTGCACAGCCATAGTCGTCGCCCATATGCTCGTCTTCTCGCGCCCCCTTCTGATCTCTCTCACATATCCTCCGCCCTTGCTGGCTCTTGACCTTGTGTGATGTAAGGACCAGAGGGATGAACGGGAGTCAGATGCCGAGCTGCTCAATTTTGTAGAAAGTCCCACGCAAGGCAGTGGACCCGAGTGTGAAACCGCGTATGTCGCATTCAATTTCTTCTCTTTCGTGGTCCTCACTGATCTAGACATCTTTCCCAGCCAGCAAGACCTCGATATCACAGCTTGCCCCCACCAACTGCGATTGAAATTTCTGTACCGGAACGATACAGTATCGAATCTTTCTTGCTGCTGGCGGACGGGGGAGCTCATTGTATGTGATGGAGGTAGAGAGTAATGCTTTGTGTGACGCATGCATATCAGATAAAGACGTGGGTTCGGCGAACATCATCCTTTGTACGTGTCTCTCACACCGAGGTCGCACGAGGGGATCGCCACGTCTGCAAATGGTTGGCCCTCGTCTTGCATCTCGTGTTTGCACATGCCGAGCTGCGAGACCAATGCCGCAAGTCCACATTTGTTCAGCTTTATGGTATCTTCGGGAGTACATCTCGTTATTCGGGTTGATTGAGGCCGGTCGCATCGCTGGGCTAAGTCTGGACTACCTATGTCCCGTCAACTATGGCAGCCGAGAGCTGGATCACGGGCTCGGTGATTGAAGAAGTGTCGCGCTCGTGAACTGGTTTGTCGACCTTTAAAGCATCCTCCGAAAGAGGCGTAGATCCAAGCGACGAATACCGATCTGCAAATTCGATTGGATTAATGTGACTGTGTTAGTGCTCCTTTGCGTGTTCGGGATAGTCGAGGGCAGAGAGCGCCATCTCTTTGCTCTGGCGGACGCGTTGGCTCGAATGATAAAATGCCGCTCAAGCCATGGTGTGATGACACACCGATGGTCCGTGCCTTGCAGAATCAGTCAAAAAACATAAACACATGGGTCCTACTTGAGTAAGGCCAGAGAAGAAGAGCAAGTTCACATGTGGCACATATAATTTTTGGGATGCTTTCCATTAAACTACAAACAGATAAAAAATACTGGCCTTTGGCCCAACCAAAAAGAACAAAGAGAAGAAAAAAAGCAAAATAAGAATACAAAGAATAGAAAAGACAAAAGAAAAAAAGGGAAAAGGCCACCACGACAAAAAAAAAACCGAAATAATTATACTAAAAAAAAAACCGCCACGCTCTCAAAACTCGTCCTCGTCATCTGGCAGTGGGACCTCGGGCATCTCGACGTCGGCGTAGTCCTTGTCGAGCCACTTTGGTGGCAGCGGCGCGGGCGGCGGATGCTGTTGCTGTTGCTGCTGTTGCTGCTGCTGCTGTTGCTGCTGTTGCTGCTGCTGCTGTTGCTGCTGTTGCTGCTGCTGCTGTTGCTGCTGCTGTTGCTGTTGCTGCTGCTGTTGCTGCTGTTGCTGCTGTTGCTGCTGCTGTTGTGGCTGCTGCTGCTGCTGCTGCTGCTGTTGCTGCTGTTGTTGTTGCTGTTGCTGCTGAGCTTGTTGTTGTTGCAACTGCTGCTGCTGCTGGGCCTGTATTTGTTGCTGTTGCATTTGCAATTGTTGTTGCTGCTGTTGCTGAGCTTGTTGCGCCTGCTGTGCTTGCTGTTGTTGCGCCTGTTGCTGCTGCTGCTGTTGTTGTTGTTGTTGCTGTGCTGCTGCTGCTGTTGGTGTTGCTGCTGCTGCTGGTGTTGCTGCTGCGGCGGCAGCCTTGCGCAGGGCGGCGGCGCGGCGGGACCGGGCGCCACGGCTCAAGCCCTTGCCATGGGCTGGGGGCGGGCGCGATCCGGCGACGCCGGACGTGGCGGCACGGGGCCGGGCTGCTGAGACGGCGGCGGTAGGAGCGGCTTGGGCAAGGGTCTGGTCGACAGCTTCGGCAGAGTTCAAAAACGACGCGAACGCCGTGCCGAACAGAGCGGCCTGTTGAGGTGTCTGTGAATATGGTCAGCACTTGTGTCATGCATGTATGTATGAAATGGCATGATGATGGACGTCGATGATGGTGGACGTCGATGATGATGGACGTCGATGATGGTGGACGTCGATGATGATGGACGTCGATGATGTTGGACGTCGATGGTGACTTACGGGGGCCATGGATCTTGCTCTTGACGTTGTCAATGGTGTCGGATGACTCGACCTCTAGGGTGATGGTCTTGCCGGTGGGAGGAAGCTGCAATCGGAGTGGTCAGCATGAGTGCCTAAGAATCAAGAACAAGCGTCTGTGCCAGGATGTGTTATAGCAGATCCATCGTCTGCAAGTATGTGGAGTCTGCTACTGGTGGCGATAGCAAGTACGAGAGAGCTGCTTTGAAGCTGTCGATGATGGCGACTGCCATGAAGACCAAACGAGAGATGCTTTGAAGCTGTCGATGATGGCGGCTGCCATGAAGACCAAANGGGCAATGGATAGGTACTTACAACTGCTTGATGTGATGCTGAGGAGAGGAAGCAGGTTGGGGACAGGCAGAAAGGATATACTCACGAAGCGCGGGGTACAGCACCTTCCCAACTGACGACGAACAACAGCTAGACTCGTCATCGGCTGTCGAGTCGAGTCCCGCTCGAATCTGCGGTCTGTGACGTTTGACTGACTTCCATGGCACCGGAGCTCATGTCTCGGATCACATACCAGATTAGATCAGCCTACACTCACGGCTTATGCGATGAACTCAATAATGCATGCGACCTTTGTAACCCACTAAATGTTATATGCTACTCTGTAGGAGTGTTCTCTGGCAGACCATGTCTCGTTAATTAGCAAGACTCGACGTGCAACGCCGACTCCCGAGTACTCTTAAGTATATTGGAATTCTCGCAAGCATAGCTCATGGATCGAGCGTATCGATTGTCGTTCGGCTTTCGAGCTCATAATCGAGTCACCTGTCATCCGTTTCCACGGAAGCTTGGTTGTGGTGCGCATACTGAACAGGCATGCTGCTCACTGTCAATACTGTCAATACTGTCAGACATACGATTGACCTACTTGTTGCATTTGTGACATGAAATCTGCACCAAGACGATTGTCAGATCACGACTTGTCACGAGCTTAAGACAGGCGCAAAAGTTTAGTTCTTTCGCAGGTGCTGTAGTCCGTGACGGAGATTCGATGGCAGGAACCTTTGCTACTCAGTCACCACTTGTAGTGACAGCATGTTCTTCTAAGCGAGGGATGGTCTGTTTTCGTCACGTGCATTGCTCGCAAATTGTGATATAGGAGGAGCTGCGACACAACCCTTTGACCAGAGAAGGAAGACATATAATCCGATCACAATGGGAAACTGTTTAACATGTGAGTGTGTAAAATAGACACGAAAAGCTATTCGTTGGCGGATGGCTTATCAGCTCTCCTTGCCGGACTCACAAACTCGCATTGGGTCCCTGTCGATCATATCGCCTTTCTTTTGTGCAAATTTTGTACAGCTTGTCTTGAGTAGCCCAGTCTTATCGATCATGATTCATGGAAGCGGAAATCAGCATTCGGAAGGCGCGCCTGCAGGCAAGATGCGTCACTTCCGGGGTTTCGCATATTACGTCCGAAAATCTTTTCGCTCTGCTGGACTGCAGGCTGTACTGTCCGAAACCATCCCTGTATGGCCTTGACGTACGCAGTAAAGCGCTTCGTAGCAGGGGTGCCTTGGGTATCGAGGTACTGGAGTAGGGTGTCGTTGTTCTTGGAGAGGAGGTGGTGATATTCTTGAGGTGTTGTACCGCTTGCGCCCAATCCCTTAGGGAAGGGTGGCCTTTTCTTGTCTGCTCCCATGGGAACAAGTACAAGCAGTGTAGAGTGAGCTAGATGTGTTGGCGGCCAAATGTACGAGGTTTTTCGTGAATTTGGCGTTCCTCGCGTATTACGTCGGGGAATGGTCTCCTGTAACGCGCGCAGGGGATCGTTAGCACGTTCTCCGCATATGGAGAAAGCACAAGCGCATTTCTTCACGTATAACCCTCTTTGTCTTAGGGCCCTCGTTACAGCAGCTGGGAGGTGGTGATAGGCTTGTCGACGCTCCAGTCAGACTTGGGCTTGATCTGGTGTGATTATGTGAAGGCTTTTTTAAGACTCGGGACAAACAGAATAGCAAGCAACAAGTCTGACAGGTTATCTTATGGTTTCTCCATCTTGGGTGTCACCCTTAAGACAAGTGAATGAAATTTGGATGTGCTGCTCTACTCTGCTTCTTGTGATGTCCCGATGTTGCTAACGCGGTGTAAAGCAAGATGGGAATGTAGACAGCTGTTGACACAAAACCTGGTGAAAGTGCTACGCCAAAGAACCAGTTGACGGGTAACTCGATACAAGATAAGTGAGTGTCGATAAGATGCGCTGCTGAAGGAGAGACAGTGAAGGAGCGTAGACTGTGTCCATCGACGCAGAGAATACAATTCCAGAAAGACTCGGGAATGGTAGGTTGTGTCCATCTGTCATGGCATAACGCCTGTGGCGGAAGATGCGAGAAGTCTGACGAAGATACAAGAGTACCCGACCACTGTGGCTAGAAAATGGCGTGGATCAGGGTGTGATGAGTAAACAAAGATCCAGACTCGTGGGGACTGAAGAACAAGAGTCTTCGTAGGGCCGGACATTGTTGACATATAATTTACAATCACAGAAGCGAGCAAGACTAAAGATGGGTTTATCAAGCGTGGAGATCAGAAAGCCATGCTCGTGATGTCGACGTAGATATTTACAGAGCCAATCGCCTCGTCTAGCGACTCTAGCCAAGCCGACTCGATGACGGTGTTCTGGAACCTGAAGCCCAACAGCTCATCTCCCAGAACATGTGGTGTGACGAGTGTCCAAAAACCCCTGATGCCCATGGCAGATGGATGTCGTTTTGTCAAGTGTGGTACCCTTTCAGCGCACAGCTTGAACATGGCTCAATTTTTCCTGGGTCAAAAGATCATCTCAACTTTGTTGTCCATATTGTGTCCGGCTTGTGTGGCTATAGGAAATGCTGGAGTATGTAGTCTTCTGGTCCATGATACGGAGCTGGAGTCGACGGTGTCTTGAATTCTGCCCGCCCAAACATCGGGAATGAGGCTTGGTGGGGACAAGTTGTTGGACGCTTTGTATAGTCTTGGTACCCCGAACAGTTCGTCCTCGTACCAGGATGACTTCAAGTGTTGCACGAATGCTTTCTCTTGCGTCTCGAGGAGGCGGAGTATCAAAGATAGCTTCATATATGTTGCCGAAGAACTCCTTCGCCTTGCCCTTGGTCCCTAGAGTATTGTCTTCGCACTTGTTGCTTTTCCGGTCATTCAGTCCTTGTACAGGACGATGTTGAAGTCGAGAAGCGTCTTGTCGGAAGGAAGGCCGCGTACGAGGATGTGTGATTTGGAGGTGCCCTTATTGACGAGGGTGCGTGGTTTGGACGTGTCCTTGTTGATGAGGGTGCGGATGGGCCCGAGACCTCAACCGACCTATTGCTTCTCGGCCTTCTTCGAGTATTTGATGACTTTAGCACGAGTCCCGTGAACAATAACGGAGATGGCGAGATCCTCGGCGGTCAAGACAGTCAGGGCGGTCAAGTCTTTCGGGGTATCGACAATAATTTCTTCGACGGTCGTCTTGCTAGGAACATAGTTGTAATCAAGCTGGGGATTGCTTCTAGATGTTAGAGGCTATACATGAGATGTTCTGTTGTTAGTTTGGACATACATGGTGGCAGACATGAGGTTGCTGATCACAGATTTGGGTCGTTCGGTCTGATGGGTAATTGGAGGTGTCGGATAAGACTGGTTCGACTCGGCCGTTGTGCCGTCTGTCGATGCGGAGTAGGTCACTGATCTTCTTTGGCGTGAGCTCGCCAGGCCTTCAGCCGGATCTCATCCATCGTCGCTCGAAGAGGCTCGTGGTGGACGCTTTGATCGGATGCAGCAGGGCCATCAAGGTCCAAGGCTGGAGATGTGCGCACTTTTTGAACGGCAGTAGCAGGTCTGCCAAGACTGTCACCTCCGCTTCCGGTGCCGATGCCGACTCGAATGCAGCGCCATGCCACTCGAATACCACGACTGCATTTTCCGATATTGACCTTTCGCAACTCATTTGAGTATAGTAAAGACATCCCGAATGTATCAACGTGAATGATTAGTGGCACAACAATCGCAACAAAACCGAGCATCCATCCCGGCGAGATGCCTCATAATACATCCGGTCAAAAGGCACAATGTTACTAGATTTGATGTCATTATCGACAGAGACTAGCAGGAGTCTCTCCTAGGGCAGGAGTAATCTCCCTGCTGCTATGTTACATGCTCTGCTTCATTACTGTCGCAATGCACGGTGCCTTTCAAGTTAGAATGACGCCCTATAAGAGCATAATAGAGCCGCTCTAAGCTCGAAAACATCGTCTGTTTAACTTCCCTATACCTAGATCTAACCCGAGCCATTGCACTGGTATGATCTGAATCAGTTCAGCATGCGTTGTGGCATGTGAGTGACGCATTCTCCAGGCCAATCATCGTCTAGTCAGATTTGTATGCAGGGAGGATGGTTGTCGCATTCCTCCCCATCTTGGCCCATCAAACTATAGGTATGTTTTTCATTCCTCAACCTTGCTTCGTCAATCGCGTGCACAATGTCTTCCGCGCGGATCGCTCTTCTCCTTTTATCTCAGTCGTTCCTTTCAACTCGTTAGCTGGTCGTGGTACCACATTCGCTTCTTTGCGTAACTTTTGATACACCTCTTCATCTCGTTGTCCAGCCTCTAGAGGCAGGCACAAAGATGATACCTCGTCGTTTCCTCTCTCTTGCGTCTGCATTTTCATTCTTGCAAGCATGTAACGCAGAGACTATCACGCTCACGACTCACGTCAGTGCTTGTAGCGCAACCTACACATCTGGAACCTCCACAACGGTCATCGAATCTACTGTGACTGTTCAGCCCACGCCATGGACTGATGTGGCAGCCAATGGTGGTGCACCATTCGTGATTCGACTTGAGCAAGTCGATGCCTCTGGATATCCAGAGCAGGATCCCGCGCCATACTGGTTGACATACAATGGAAACACAACGACCAATTCCTCGCTCGCAGCAGTTTACTTCATCACTGGAGGCCGACTTTCGACACAGAATGGTAGCCACGTTGCGACCAATATCAACGTGGTTGACCAGGCATTCGGCATTACCGATTATCCTCTGCCCATTAACACCACTTTCTCCGTTCGAAACAGAATGCTGAATTGGACTAACCCACTTTTCACGAATGGCACTGCTCAGTTCTACAAACTTCCTCCTGGTCTGCTTGACAACGCTTTGATTCTTGCCAAGTTTTTGGGCCCTATGGAGGCACAAAGAAGCTGGAGTCCAGTCATTCTTTATGTTGAGCCTTTGGTGAACAATGGGACAGGAGTCACACCTTCGGTTTCCTCTCAAGCTTCGGGCTCACCTCTGAGCACTGTATCAGGCTTCTTGCCAAGTAGTATTGCCTCTTCATCAGGCACTGTTGCACAGTCTTCAATCTCCGGGTCATCCGCTTCATCATCTGCTGCAGTTGCTGCATCCTCGATCCAGTCCCAATTGTCGTCGCAGTTGTCGTCTGTCGCCTCTGGAGCTTCCTCGGCTTCTTCGATGGCCTCTATGTCTTCTCAATCGGCATCTGCTATATCTTCCAGGTCTGTTTCTGCTTCTTCTATGCAATCTATGGCATCATCTTCTGCTTCCTCGGTGCTTTCGTCGATTGCCGCCGGAGCTTCTTCTCTTCCAGCTGGAGTCTCCAGTTCGGCAGCAGGTGGAGCCAGTTCAAGTGCGACCAGTGTTCCTTTCAGTGGCTCGGCATCTATCAGCGGAATTGGTCCTGTTATCGTCCCGAGTTCCAGTGGAGTCTCTACGACCACCATTCCTGCTGCGGTCTCGTCTGCCGGCTCTTCATCAGCCAGTTCCGCCTCCTCTTCTGCTACCCCGACCACCCTGCCTCCTCAAACAACCTACACTTGTCCCTCTTCGGATAATCAGATGGTTCAAGCTAACACTGGAGGTATGTACACCATCGGTTGTAACGAAGAAGTATCAGGAGGTGGTGTGCTCGCTGGCTCCGCTCCCGACTTCAACGGTTGTATGACTCTTTGCGATCAAACCACTGGCTGCACGGCATGGACCTTCAACGGAAATTGCTACCTCAAAACCGGTGCTTCTTCGTCTGAGTTCTCATTCCAACCCGGTACTCAGGGCACAGTTTCTGGTATCCGAAGTGTTCCAGCCCGACCTGGTGGCACAGGACCCTCGAGCTCTTCTTTGGTCTCTTCTGCTGGTCAGTCTTCATCTTCTGTTGCTAGGCCATCTTCGTCTTCTGCTGTCCCAGCTGTGTCATCTGTTTCTCCAGCAGTGTCATCTGTGGCACCAGTCTCGTCAGTATCTGCGGCTTCTAGCAGGGCTTCCAGTAGCACTCCTGGTATGTCATCCAGTGCACCAGCTTCAGTCATCTCATCTTCGGCATCGTCTATTAGATCATCAGTCTCTTCTGCATTATCTTCGGTGGTATCATCCGTCAGATCGTCTGCTACTTCTGTTGGATCTTCAGCCACTTCTGTTGTATCATCTGCATCTTCCGCAGCATCAGCCGCATCTTCAAGTCGAGCAGCCTCCTCCTCCGCTGCAGCATCCTCATCTTCCAGCCGTACCAGCTCGGCTCCAGCAGCCGCATCTTCAATTGCAGATTCCACGTACTCTTGTCCTGCGGTCAACGGTACATCAGTGCTGGCCAGCACCGGTGGTACCTATGAGATTCGCTGTGCGGGTGAAACGACTGGTGGTGGAACCAATGCTGGCGCTACAAGAGATTTCAACCATTGCATGACCTTGTGCGATCAGAGAGCTGGTTGTGGTGCTTGGACTTACACTGGTAACTGCTACCTCAAGCTCTCTGGTACCATCAGATTCCAAACCGGCACATTCCCTGCAAATCAGGTTGCTGGTATCAGAAACGGTCAAGCATCTGGCGCGCCATCAAGTGCACCAGCTGCGGCCGTCTCTTCTACAGCTGTCGCCGCGTCGTCCTCTCTGCCTGCCTCATACGCTACGGCTATCAGTTCAGCTACATCTGCACCTTCTTCTGCTCCCTCGCAGGTCAGCTACTCCTGTCCTGCAGTTGATGGTCAAACAGTCGTGGATAGTACCGGTGGTACCTACACGATCAAATGCGGAGGCGACACAACCGGTGGTGGAAACTCTGCTGGTGATTCTCCAGACTTCAATGGCTGCATGACTAAATGTGACAACACAGCTGGATGTGGAGCTTGGACTTACAACGGAAACTGTTACCTCAAGATCGCCGGTGACATCCAATTTGCAGCCGGCACGTTCCCTGCCAGTCAAGTTGCTGGTATCAGAAATGGTCAAGCCGGCGGCAATCCTTCTGCGACAACTTATGCGCCTGGTGGTGCATCTGGCTCCGGCACTCAGACATCTCTTGGTCCTGCATATTCCTCTACCGATAGCTCCGTCCCTAAATGTCCTGCTATGGATGGCTCGACCATCACTGATGCAAGAGGCGCCGTCTACAGCATTGCATGCGGTAACGATGGGCAAGGTGCACTGATCAAAACTGTTGGTGTCAACTCAGGGGGTATCAACACATGTTTCGCGGCTTGTGACGATACACCACAGTGTGGAGCCTTCACTTATTCAGGCGACGAGACCATGACTATGGGTACTTGCTATCTCAAGTACGAAGCTGGTGACCGTTCGAACACTGGTGTTGCAACCATTGCGCTGGCTGTTCTCTTAAAGCCCGCTCCTGGTGCCGGCTCCGCATCGTCGACCTCCTCGGCTGCTCCTTCTGTGACTTCCTACGCAGATGGCTCGACGCCGACGGTAGGTGGTACCACATATGCGATCGAGGACAACACTAGCTACGGAGGTACCGTCATTCAACTTATGAGAAAGCGAGCAACTCTCAACGTAGGCGATTGTCTCAATACCTGCTCTCAATACAGTCAATGTGTTGGAACATCGTTCGACGGTTCGGTCTGCACTTACTACGGTTCGATCGACAAGACCAGCAAGCAAACTGTTCAGGGTGTGACTTTTGCCACGGTTCAGGCTCGTGCATCGCCTAGCAGTTCAATCGTCCGCCCAACGAGCGCGGCTGCTTCATCCTCACGTGCAGCTGCCTCCTCGGCTCCTGCTGCCGCCTCATCGTCTCGCGCAGCTGCTTCTTCTGCGGCTGCCTCATCTGCCGCTGCCGCAACAACAGCACTTCCTTCGGGTGGTGGTAGCCCTACGGTTGTGAATCCCGATGGCTCCACATCGACCTACAATGGTCTTCTCGCCAGTCCGACTCGCTGCGACTTTGGTGACCCGCTCAACACCGAGGAAGATGACACTTACTGCGAAGTTGATCTTCCCTTCTCAATGCGCATCTACCAAGGATCCTCAACCAAGACATTCCCCAGCACCAATGGTGTAAGTACTTCTCCAAGCCATCATTGAGCCTGAAACTGACATCTTACCCACAGCTCCTCTCCCTTGACCAAGGAAGCATCATCTACAACAACGCACCCGGTCTCCCTAACCAATTCCTCCCCCCTAACACCGCAGCTCCTTTCTTCGACGACCTCATCAAAAATGGAGATAACCTAGACATGGGCATCTTCTTCCAGACCACCGCCACCACTGTCACTTACGAGTACCGTCTCGCTCGTGGAGGCACTTACGAAAACTACCATTTCACTCTTAGCTATGACAGCACCAAACCTGGTGTCTTTGTCTATAGGTACTATGAGATCGGCGGCGATCAAGGATCGGGCAGTGCGAATATCGGTATTCAAGGGTTGGCTGCTGATGGCAGGACGGCTACTGCTGTCAACTTTGCTCTCAACAAGCTTGGTGCTGTTGTGGTGGGTTCGACGTTGACTTGCGATACTTCAGTCACACCTGCTGCTTGTGTGCGTTCTTAGGTTTAGGTCCCTGAGATTATGTCTCTTCCTCAAGAGGAGGTACCACACGTGGTACTTGGTGGATGATTGCATGGAAAGTTTTGTTGGGCATAGCCAGGATGTCTTTTTGCATTGTTGTTTGCTTCTTCGTTCACGGATTATTATCCACTCATAAGTATTAGTCCTGTATGCTCAAATTGAAATGAATGATTGATTACTATACCAATCACTGCTCGAGACAGCTCTGGTCGACGACGTGACGCCGTCACTCCGAGCGCGACTCCCTAGCACAGCGACGCGCTGTTGTGGTGCATTTGACGCAATGCACGATCGTTTTTAATTCGAGCGCGTTATCCAAGGGGAGCGAATACCCATTCTCCTCCCCTTGGATCTAACTCTGTCTCCGAAAATCATTGTGCATTGTGACAGACGCGTGAGTGACAACGTCCGACGCGTGTTTGGAGAGACGACCGTGCTGGAAAGACAGGGTGAGACCTCTTGCACAAATTTTGTCGACTTCAAAAATTCAGAGCGGCAGCAATGGTCACTTTTACCATTTCTCGACGATGTCTTGATATTGGCGGATCGAGTATCATGTTCTGCTATTGATTGCTCAATTTCGGTTTGGTGGATCAATGCTTGGTCGATGTATATTCACTTTTCGTTTTCGAGCATTCGATCATTTGGGAATTACACAATTTCATCAGAAGAAATAGAACGATGCACACATGGAAGCGATAGTGACGACAAGGGTATACAGGGTATGTAAGAAGGCCTCAAAGGCCATCAAAGGTTCACTAGGGCTCTCCCTTTGGTAGTAGGTAGTAAAACATACATGCTCGCTCGAGATAGGGTGCGATATGCATACAGACAGGGTGACGGGGGAAATCCTTGCTCGGAGCTCGGATAAATGACGGCCGATATGGGCCACGCAAGTTTTGCTTATCCACCACGCGCGTGTTAGGGCGCTGGTATCGAGATGCTGGCCGTACAACTATACGATCATCTGGAGATTTCAAGAGAGTCCACCGAGAGCACGTGAAGTAGCGGTTCCCAGTGCATTGTCACGCAGGATGCAAAAGCCTTGTGTATTTCCAGAGCGATATCTTACGAGTCCTCATATGTCGAGGGAGTGGTTGACGTGCGCTGTCTATGAAGATCAACGCGTTCGGTATCAACTCCCGAAATACGTTCCGTGACCGCTACGACTTCCCAACCACCTCATCTCTTTCCTTCATTTTCTCTGCCACTCATAATTCGGACCAACTCCCGACATCGAGGCGCAGTGTCAACTATCTACCAGCACAGATGCAACTCTATCTCGAATGGCAAAAATAACACGATCGTCCGGAGGCTCTCATTCGTCGAACGACATCGCTCGATCTCCCTAAAAGCCCCCTTCCACTTCAGAGCAACTCCTGATTCATATCAAAAGCCTACTACCGGTCTCGATCAACCACCAAAGCCTTCTTCATCCTTTTCAACCGAAGTTTATCAAGAAAACATAGGAGTCGGCTTCATTCGGATGTCGAGTAAGCATCTAAGACATTCAATATTGCTTGGAGTCAAGCCACATAACGGTCTCGTCCTCGCTTCTCCTTTGGAAAACGGTTTCATCACACATCTAATCCGGATTTTGCTTGCGAGTGCGAGGTCGCGATGCTCGATATGGGGTATATGCTATTATAATGTATGTGGGTATTCCCGATTTGACAAATTTTGGGAGCATGTTTGAGCCACAAGCTTCTGTCAGACCCTTCCTGCCACAGCGGAGAGGGTCTTCTAGGCGACATCTCCAAGGGTCTGGCGGACTCTGCAGACAAGACAACTGGACTGGGAAGATGCTGTTGAACGGTTGAACGATCTTGATGCAAGACTCTGACGACAGTCGTATGGGCATGCAATGATGACTTCACCAGCAGAGCCAGAAATACATAAGCATGCCATGAATCGCGATGGACCAGATAGTAAGTGATCTAGAAAGACTCTGACAGCCACCCCGCCGGTTCTTTCGGCCGTTAACGAAACTTAAACGTTGAAAATGTGAGACCCGATCCATCCAACACAAAGGTCGAGATCTTTGAGGATTCTGGTATACCGAATTCCACTGTAGCAGTTTCATTATATATGTTTCCTTGTTGTCTCCTCTGTTCTTCTCTATCATCAAGCAACTTCACATTCATTACAACACCAACACACACTCTCTTCCAACTTCAAGCATTTCAAGCTTCAGTCACACTCTTTAACAGACACTACTACTACATTCTTTCCAACAACCAATACAATCTCTATACCAAACTCACAATGCGTTTCCAACTCTTCGCTCTTCCTGCCCTGGCTGCTCTTGCTGAGGCTGCTGCTATCTCTAGCAAGCCTAGCAGTGTCTGCACGACTTGCCCAGTTACTATTCAAAACACAGATGCCGCCATTGCATCAGTCATGTCTCAGATGTCCGCTCAGAGCCCCAGAGCTGTCCTGACAACCACAACAATCACTGGTGCACCAGTCGCCTCTACCGCAGTCGCAAAGATGAGCACCACCGCCGCTCCCACCACATCAGCAAAGCCCACTTCATCAGCAAAGTCCACATCGTCGGCTTCCAAGACTAGCAGCACCAGCAGCAAGAAACGTCAACGCCGTGCAGCTACCTCTACTTCCTCGACCGTCGTCTCATCCACACCCACCAACGGAGCATGCGCAGTACAGCCCAACTTCGGCTACACCTACACACCCTCCAACCCCGCCCCCTCGGCCTTCCTCAAGGACTCCACCCTCCGCTCTCAATACATGTCGGCCAATGTCCCCACAAACTACACATGGCGCTTCGCCGGCTTCTACGCCTCCCAATCGCAACCAGGCTACATGTTCTACACCGAACTCTCCGCCTACAGCCCCACCCAATGCGCATCCATCTGCGACGGCAACGCCCAATGCAAGGGTTTCAACATTTACTTTGAGCGTTCGCCCAAGCAGTTGCCTGGAGATGGTTGCAGCAACCCTGCTCCTCAGGTTAATGTCAGATGTGCCTTTTACAGCACTCCTGTTTCGGAGGCCAATGCTGTCAATGTTGGCTCGTGGAGGAGTTCGTTCAATGTTGTCATCACTGGTGCTAATGGGTACACCAAGAACTAGATTAACAGAATGGTTCTCGGTGAACGGCGGTGGTTGATGGTCATGATTAATTCTTTTGTTCTTGTTTTTCACCTATTAGATATCCAAAGTATGCACGATGAATGATCTTTATTCTATTCTAAGAATTCCCGACTTGAAGATGTGCGATTCGCGGAATAATTTTGTCTATATACGTTTAGAAAGAGCGATGAATGAACGACTACCCATCGTGCCTTCGTCATTAATCTGCAACCTTACTCCTCTACACTTCTCATACCATAATATCAACACATATCGGTTTTCTCCATCTATCGTGTCCACCCCGAGACCTCAAAGAAGACAAATGAACAAATATCATCTCGTATGGGTCCTCACCATGATGGAGGAGTGAGGAGTAAATGTGCCTGAGGCTTCCAAGGGATGAGGGAGATTGGCACGTGGCGTGGCTAGAGAGAAAGTTCTGTGCTTCTGACTCTTTACGGATGTTGAAGGGAAAGTGCGACGTTTCTCTGGGTGTTCGATACTTCAACTTTGCTTATCACTTCCACCGGGAAGCAAGTACATCATCATTCTTGAAAAAAAAAAAAGGACCCAAAAAACCATCTCTCATTGAGCAAAACACCCGAAGAATGAATCGCGGAAACGACGACCATCGAGAAATGCATTCAAACCACATCCCGTATGACTCGAAAGACTCGCCCTCTCTATCAACCAACAATCCGGGCTCCACGAGCTCATCACAATCAAATGTTTATTTCGTCTACGGCTCCCTGATGGACCCCTCAACCCTCCAATCCGCCCTCCAAACCATTTTTCCACCCACCCTCCACCCAGCAACTCTTACCGGCTATCACATCAAGATGTGGGGTTCATATCCAGCCCTGCTCCCTTCCTCTCCATCTTCGTCAGTCTACGGCATGGTTTTCGAAATCAGTGCTTTTGAGCACGCGAAACAGATTCAGCAACGCTTGGAGGAATATGAAGGGTCGAATTATAAGTTGGAAGAATGTGTTGTGGAAGTTCGAGGAAGGGGAGATGAAGAGGGAAAGATGGTGAAGGCAAGAGTATTTGAATGGATTGGAGGGGAGGAAGAGTTGAAGGAGGGAGTGTTTGATCTGAAGGATTATCAGATGAGGAAATTAGAGGGAAGGAGATAGGGAATGTTCTAGTCGGTGTCGATGTTTTTCTTTTTGGCTGGCTCAAAACCATTGAAACACTAGGTTAGCGTGGAGTCGGAGCGCAATGGCTTCAAATGAGAAGTTGGATGGTTGATGGGACAGAAGTATAAAGTTTGACCATCTATATCATAATCAGGTAAAGACAGTACATGATATTTGAGAATCTCATCTCAGTTTACTACCTTGCTCATCGAGGATGTTGGACATCTCAAAGCATAAGGTATGTGTAGAACGATCGACTTGACGAAATGCTTGCAATTCTAATCAACAACAGCCCGGAATTGTTACTCAGGATTCCTATCTCTCGCATCTCAAAACTGTGTGGCTTTCCTTATAGCACAAATTTAGATAACTCTTCACCTCATGATCAAAACAGCAAAAAGTGTTCCCGTCAACACTACAGTTCGCAGATGAAAGTAAGCCCAGGTTCTTCCAGATGAAATGCTCGGGATCAATGTCTCTGTGCTCTGTTTTTGTCCTGCTAACAACCCTGCTACTCGTACAAAGAGTGAACTCTCATTATTTATCACTTACACCAATCGAATTTCTACTCAAGGCTCAAAAACAAGTTGAGCACTTATCCTATGCTTTTAACATACTGTCAGACATCACTGAAATGATCTCTGACGAGAAGCTACGTGAGTGATGGAAGATGAGTACGACTTCCGTTGTGAGTAAAGGCGGTATAGAATACGGCAGTTTGGAACCAACCTTATTCTTATCCGCCTCTCCATTCTCGAAAATATACGACAGTGATTATCTTGCTCGGTTGACAGTCGTACTTAGTTTATAGCCTATCCCAGAGAAACGCTATTCTAACAGCTCAAAAGAAGTATCGAGATGTGGAAAGATAAGGGACGCGGAGGTTGCAGGATCAGATGGTTCACAAAAAGTGTGAAGCAAATGCGATCCTATAAATTTTGATGTTTATACAAGTGAACTTCACGATCTTGATGGACGAATGTTGGGTGGATGTGGTAATCAGAGCAATGGAAATGTTGAATGGAAGGAGTAATGAAGGCCAAGCTTCGGCATGGAATGTTGCGGATACCCACACAGATGCCGATGCGATGTCAACGAAGCCAACGCGGCAGGTGCGATGGCATCCAAAGCTATCTGCACCACAAGTTCGAAAAAAGGCAACAAGGCGAAATCATTCAAATGGAAGAAGCAGCGATTAATCGACAAGAAAAATTTGATTGTCAAATTCGTTAAGAAAAAAAGCAAAAATCTAGATCTAAGAAAATTTGGATATCTCATACAACAAACAAAAAAAAAGCGCCATACAAAAGGTCATAACAAGTCATTTGCCAACCATATCCCTTGAACCCCAAAACCAATAGTTGCCATTCCAACACAGTACAATCCAAAAACAAATCATGAACGTTTTCAAAAAGGCAGGCGTTTTAGCGACCACCGATCTGTCCCTTGGGGATGGGCTTGATCCATGCGGTCAAGACACCCATGCCCATCATGATGGCACCGATGGTCAGGAAACTCTGACCGAAGAGAGTTTTCGTGCCGTCAACGCTGTATCTGAAAATGATGGCGAAAACGATACCGCCCAAGTTTCCGGAAGCACCGACGACACCGGAGACGATACCGTTGGCGTGAGGGTGGACGTGAGGAACAAGAGAGTAGTTGAGTCCGTTCGCACCCTCGAGGAAGAAGCCGACACCACCAGTGATGAGACCGACGAGGGCAGGGCGGGAGTGAGGGTTGATTACACCGGTGATGACCATGAACATACCGGCAAGAGTGACGTAAACGTGAAGGAGCACCTTCTTGCCCCAAGGTCCAGACATGCGGTATGCGTAGTCGGAAACGATACCACCAAGAGGTCTGAAGATGATGTTGAAGAGACCGAACATGGCAGCCCAGTTACCAGAGTCCTGAAGACCGAGCTTGAGGTTGCCGCGGTAGTAGTTACCGAGAACGCTGTTGACGGAAAGCTCGCAGCCGAAAGTGCAGAAGTAGCAGATACCGAGGACAAGGGTTTGAGGAGAGAAGACGACGGGGATGGCGTCCTTGAAGGAAGGCTTCTGGACGACTTCGCCACGTACGGTATCGAGCATCTGTTCCTCGCCCATCTGAGCTTCGTTGTCGGCGAAAGTGCCACGAGTCTCGTCGAGCTTCTTCTCCTCGCTGGCGACGTCCGAGCTAGAAGGTGAGCGAGAAATCTCCTTTCTCTTCTCGCCGCTGATCTCGCCAGTGCCGGGCACATCAACGATAGCGCCTTCGATAGCGTGGGAACGGAGGTTGCTCTCAGCAGTCTGGAAGCGGTCGGCCCACTTACCAGTGGGAGTGTCTTCGCAAAAGAAGAAGAGTGCGAGGGCGACTGAGGTGATTAGGATACCAGGAACAACAAAAGAGACACGCCATGCGACGTGACCGGTGAGGCCCTGATCCTTCATGAGGGAGTTGTAGATGGCAGGCATGACAAAGTATGTGATACCACCACCGGCGTTACCGAGACCAGCAGTCAAGGAGTTGGCAGTACCAACAATGTTCTTATCGTAGAAACCAGTTGTCCATACTTGGCAAGGCACGAAAGAGCCACCGAGGATACCAATGAAGAATCTGAGGACATACAGACCGGCAGCACTGGTGACGGTACCAGCCAGGAAGGTGGGAATGGCACCAAGGAGCAAGCATCCGGCGAATGTGTATCTAGGACCGAAGCGATCGCAAGCAGGACCGGCAACCAGACGAACGAGGAGAGTGGCAGTCAAGGCGATGATGTTGGAGTTGGCGACCTCGTGCTTGCTGATACCAATGTCCTTGGCAATGACATCGCTGAGAAGTGGAGGGAATGCGTACCTTACAGTCGGGTCAGCCACAGTATGGGGAGGTATGGGGTATAGTGTACTTACCAAGACCAGAATGCAAGCAAGAAACCGAACCATGAGAAGAAGAATACACGGCCATAGTTGTTGACAGGGTTGAAAATAGGGATAGTGCGAGCCTTCTTGTTGATGGGGTTGACCTCTGGGGCCGACCACAAAACGCTGATACCCATTGTGATATGGTATTTGATATGATCTGGACTGAATATGTCGTGGGGATGATTCCTCAAATGCCAGAAATGAGATGGTCTTCGAACCTCTTTTGGGGTTGTTGGTATGTAATAGAAACCGGATGAGGAGACCAATTGCTGGGGTGAGGATGGGGAGGTTTAATATTCGACTCTCACCACACTGACATCGAGCAGCAATTTGATGTATCTCCGGTGTACAACTGATTACCACAACGCCAAAGCAAAAAGTAAGTCCGCGGATCTGTGTGTACCGTCAGAGTGCAGATCTTGGGACCTCAGCTAATTCTGGGGTTGGAAGGAAATCTGGAGCGTCCGGCCCCTTAGCTCCAGATAAGGAACTGCAGAGGAGATGGTCGAACGACGTGTGGACCGGAGTCGTGAACAGAGCCGCAGAGGACCAACAACGTGGGTGAGAAAACGGGTTGACTTCAGGCTAAGCCGTGTCGAGATAAGGATCCGGGAGTTTTAGGACACTCTGCATGTGAACCCTTGATCTGCCAATTCTCCTTCTCTTCTTGCTGTTCTCGAAAAAGGGCGCTATTCATGAAAACAGTAACTTAGATTCCTGATGTCTGTAGAGGCATGTTCTTCTCACACAGTCAATCCCCTCATCAATCAGTTCAGATCAATCAGACAGGGATCTTGTATAAAACACGGCTTGTGAAGAAGTGTGGGTGTTTGGGGGAGCGAATCGTTGACCACGTATTGGAAGCTGGCTTATCTCTGGGCGCACAGATAACCACAGCTCCCGAGAAGGAAAAAGTGGATTTCTGACCTCCCCTGCCTTATCAGTGGCTTGTTGTTGTAAAACCTCTCATCATAGAAATACTTGACCATCTACGATGAGAGTTTTGGTTCCTTTGATGCATGTTTTTTTGCTTTCTCCTCGCTCAATTCCTTTCCGGATGTGCCTACCTCGCCTCGAAAGGTGGTTGTCTGCGGATTCTGCGGAAGCAAGTTTCGCCTGTGGTTGATTCGTCGCAATCAACAAACTCGCGAGTCGCAAAGTATACTTTCAACCCCCGTTGGTGATTGTAAAAAGTGTAGGTTCTTTCTATCTCAGGTAGGTGCAATTGCTCGCGACAGTCATCGCATGTGTAAGGCTCGCAAGCAGCGAAATCTGTTGAACCCAGTGTCGTTGCGTTTGACGTTGGCGCACCTTCCCGCTAGCTCCCGCCTTCCCTTATCTGGAGTGGTCAATGACCAATCAGAGACGTTTACTTCATCAGCCTTGGATGGTGATCATCTTGTGGGCTATCGTTTCGAGACAACTGACATGTGAAATGCTTATATCGCATATTGCATTTATTACCATGCTACTCATCACGCAGCCTCATGTCACAGTGCAGTATGGTTGATTCTGGTTCTGATAAAAATGATATGTGATTTTCACCCATTCTCGGTGAAATGTGAACTACTGTCTTTGACCACAGCCTTCCTCGGCTCAAAGTTCTGACCATAGCAGGCTGGAGAGGTAAGAGCAGTCAAGACGAGTTCTTGGTTATCCAGCGGCTCTGCGTCCGCCCAGTCGTGAAAATGAAGTCTGATATCGAATTGGAAAGCCACACGCATCGATTGTGTGCCTAGAAGCCAAGTCACTTTGCTGAAAACTGTCAATCAAGGATGGCATGGCATGTGTATCGCAAGGCTGGTCGTCATGGTTCCCGCGGAAATGCTTTTGTCGGAGTTACGATGTCTGTTAACCGCGTATGGGTTCCCTTTTTGGTCAGATACAACGCTTTGGGTGCTGTCGGACCGACCTGCTGACCGAACAGGTTGCTCGAATACATGACTGATGAAAGCGGTTGCTCGAAACACCATGAACTGGACAGTAAGATCTCGATATCGTCATGCTCTGCTGGAGTGCCTGAGAATAGGTTCACGGCACACGATCCGAAGTGAAGATCAGACAATGCAAGCCTTATCTGGCAACGCAAAAAACAACCTCATACTCTCTTGGTCTGCAGGGCAGAGAGAAGCCACCAGTGTTCCTTCACGATGGATGGATCCTGCGAGACAAATGAATTTCCTGGGAGCATACCGGAGAAAGACGACACAAGGAACCTGCCAAGTCGAATGTTGTTTCTCCTGACTCTGCCACAGCTGTGGACCAAGAGTTCAACCAGGCGCGTTGAACTCCACCTTGAGGCAAGACTTCTCCGGGCGCAGACAATAACAGCATCTCCGCGCGTGTGTCAAATGAGGGTAAGAGAAAGCGTGACATTCGCGCGACCACCCGTGAGTTGTTCTTGGCGGCAAGGGTGCGTCCCTAAATGGTCCAGGCTCGAGAAGACTGCAACAGATAAGGATACATGCTCTGGCTGATTTATGGTTTGCTCTGCCATCTTGAGCTGAACATCTGTAAGTTTTCTAGTTGGATCTCCGACAAAGTGTTAGCATGTGATGGAATGACTGATGGTGGAAGAAGATCTCAAGGTCGAGTATCAAATTTCGTAAGCTGTCATGTTCAAGCCGGAGCTGCTTCGTCTTTGATGGGCACAGCTGGAGTCTCTGCCTCTTCTTTGACGGCTGGAATCTCCGCCTCTTCTTTAGCGATAGGGGCCTCAGTCTTCTCTTCAACCTCCATCTTGACGTCCTCTGCAGGTTGTTCCTTGGGTGCTTCAATCTTCTTCTTGGGCTGCTCCTTCGGAGTGGGCTCGAAGATCTCTGCAAGGTTGTATTTTTTCAGCGCGTCGTAGTCGTTGGGTATAACACTGATACCACAGATGCTCTGCATAGATTAAGTTTGTGTCCCATGGTATTTGAAACTGGCTTGACTCACGGTATAGACTTCGACCATAATAAGAAGATCGGGTTTCTTGAGGTCAACTTGATGTCCCGGGCCGACCGTATGCGCAATGTTCTGGATAATGTCCATTCTCTTCATAACATTGTGGTTGCGGATTGTGGGACGAATAGCAAACTGCATATTCCATAAGCATCTTAATGGTTTGATGACTGCCGTACAACCTACCTTTCTGGACACGTGCGGCTCCTGGTGGAAGTGAGGAGCAAGAACCTCCTGGGCCACCTTGATTAGACCGTTCTCAGTGGCCTTACCCATGAGGGTCATCGGCATCAGGCGATTGCAGAATCGGGTCCGCTTTGGTGCGTTGGGTTTGGCCGCATCTTCGACGATTCTTCGTACAAACGACACCGGCTCGACGGGTGCTCTTGTCTTGAAGAAAATGACTTGAATATATATTAGCAGAGGTTCGAAATAGAGTGGAGCTTACTTACCGCATTGTACGTCCAGTTTGATCGACCAGAAGAGAGGTTTGCTTTGGCTTGGGGGCTTGCGCATGTCGGCGAGTTCTTGTTGGATTTCGGCTTCAATGTTAATTTCACCATCACCCTCATCGTCGGATCCCGCAGCACCAGCTTCTGCGGCCAGTTGATCTCCGTAGAGTAATTGAGCATACTGAAATTACACGTTAGCAAACGCAATCATTTTCGCATTGTTGCCTACCTCGTTGAAGAGATCGCGCAGCTCTCCTGTGCATTTGCCTTCTCTGCCTTTATCGCATGTTGCCCAGATACCTTGGTCGCCAGGCAAGATGACTTTTTGAGTTGCGTACTGGTCAACTCTACGTGGTGTTTGCCATAGCTTCTACTCTCAAGTCAGTTTACAAGCGATTAAGACATCGGGTGCAGAGATTTGCCTTTGCTTTCTTGCTGGCACCGTCGGCTCCACCTGAAGGAGCAGATCGCTTTTTGCTTTCGTCTGCCATATTTTGGATGTTTTTGTGGCAGAGTGTTGAATTGTAGATTGGAGTTTTTCTTTAGATGGACTTTCCAAAGCCGGCAAGCGAGGTCAGAGTGCCAAGCAATCCTAGCAGGAAGTCACGATCAAGCAACCTTCCCGTGTGCTATAGACCTCATCACGCTTGTGCTCGAGTAGCTGTAGAAATGCACAGTGTTCTCGCGACTGGTATAGTAGCCCAAATAGAAGCGCCTTTACTTACACGCTCTTCAGAGGCTGCGTTAGGATAACGTGTGACGAAGCTTGTCACATGGGGAGGAAGCAAGGAAGCAAGCACAATGTCAAGTTCATAAGGTAAGAAGGCATAACTGAGAAGAGTGAAGTTGAAATGGAATCATTCATGCGTTTTGTACAGCTCAGTAAACTGCCTCGTGCCCTCAAAAGGAGGCATTTTTGGAAAATCGAATAATAACAGATAATGCTTTCCCACTCTCTTTAGCCCAAATCCTCAACGCCGACGACGCCGCTATACTCCGACAAGATGGCTTTGCAAGAAATTCGCCATTTTACATGCTCTTCCTTGACTTCTTCTTCTCCTTCTTGTCACCGTCAACACCCTCGCTCTTGCGCTTCTTCTTCTTTTCCTTCTTGTCGGCCTCGTCATCGTCTGAGTCGCCGCCCATTGACTTTCTCTTCTTGTCCTTCTTCTCCTTCTTCTTCTCATCCTTGGACTTCTCCTTGCGGACGGCTTGCTCGGTTGCTTGAGCGGTGACACCATCAGCCATCTCGACGTCCTCGGCAGCACCAGCGGTGGGATCCTCGACGTTGATGTCTCCAAGAACAGCGTTCATTGCGGCTTGCTAGTAGGTTGTTAATTTCTTGCACTTCATTCACATGATACGATATTGCTTACCATAGCTTGCTCGTTCTTGGTAGGGGCCTCGCCAGTGGCGTAGAAGTTCAGGCGCTCCTCAACCTGGGCCTTGAGGGCCTCACCGAACTTGGTGGTGGGAGTCTCTGAGAAGTTGTCGATTCTTGAGGCGATCGAGGTCTTGTTGGCAAGGAAACGAGAGATACGACCCTTGTTCTTGGCTCCGGCACGACCGATGAATGACGAGTGGTAGATGATACCGAACTTGGGGGTGTTGCCCTTGGTCTTGAGAGCTCTGAAGAGGGCCTTCTCGGCACCGAGAATCTGGACAGTCGAGGCGGGGTACTTTGCGAGGTTGGTCAAGGAACCGGCCTTGGAGATGAGACGGGCACCGACGGTCTCGCCGATGAGAGCAGCCAAGTTGGGAGCGACAATGCTCATCTTGGAGACGAGGTAGTTGCCGACCGACTTGCGGTACTTGTTGAGGGAGACAACGCGCTCAGCGAAAGACATGACGTTCTCCATGTCAGCGTCGGAGATATCCTGACCCATGGAAACCTTTGCGGCGTCGATGATGCTGCGGGCAATGGCCTCGTCGTCGTCAACAATAGCGGCAAGGTCGTGCAAGTTGTCCTCGGTAAGAGTCTTCTTGTCCTTAATCAGAAGAGCGAGCTGGGCGTACTTGGTGTTGTCGGAGACGATCTTGACCAGCTCGGGGAAGTGCCAGCCGTACCATTCACGGACACGCATGGAGAACAGGTTGGTGGCCTTGTCGAGGTGGTCGATGGTAGCAATAGCCTGGATGATGTGGTTGTCGTTCTTCTGGACGCTGAACTTCACCTTGGCACGCGAGTAGGCGTGACCAAGACCAAGCTGGGCACGGTCGACATCACCGGTTTGGAGCTGCTTGAGGAGCTTCTCGGCGTGGAGTCTCAGGCCACGGAGGAGGTCGGCGCAGACTTCAGAGGTTTCGGAGGTCTCGCACTCGAGCGAAGGGAATCCAGCCTTGATGCTTCCGGCAAGACCTCTGTCGGTAACACCGAGGACGGTCTTGTTCTTCTTGCTGGCCTTGGGCATGTTGGCCTCGAGGACGGTCTTCAGGTAGTCGGACATGATGCCCTCAGAGACGAGGTTGGCGTTCTCAAGAGCCTGGGCGGCGCCCTGGAAGGGAGCGAAGGAGACGAGCTCGACCATCTTGCCTAGTGGGTATTAGAGCTATTGCGCAAGGAGATTCACAGGATACTGGAGGTGATACCGAACTTGGCGAGGTCCTGCGACTGCTCCTGGACTTCCTTGAGGCGCTGACCGACCGAGTCGGCCTGCATGCGGACCTTGAAGATGGCATAGCCCACACCGGACTCGTGCAAAAGGTAGTCGACAGACATGGCGCCGATAAATCGTTGTCTTTTTTAATATATGGCGGCGCGCAAAAGTCTCGTCGGTTTAACACTTGCTTCGGAAGAAAATGCAAAAAGCTGGAGGACCAAAATTCGAAGTTTTTGCCAAGGCCCCGAGCTTGCGGTGCCGTAGGGCTGAAGGGACCGCCGCGAGACGAGAAAGTTGGTGCTGCAAGCAAGCAGCAGACTGCCTTACCTGCCCATTCAGCTACTGTACTCTGTGTTATTGCCAGAGTTCTTGTCAGATTCCAGGCGAAGTTATATCCACATACCATCGCCATGTCTGCCGCCCAACTCCTTAACCCCAAGGCCGAATCAAGGGTATGTCGCCAAATATTTATTATGCGCCTGCCAAACATTCACTGACAAACCATGTACAGCGCCGCGGCGAGGCCTTGAGCGTCAACATTGCTGCCGGTGAAGGTCTGCAAGGTGTTCTTGCCTCAAATCTGGGTCCTTCGGGTACCCTGAAGATGCTGGTCGATGGCGCTGGCGGCATCAAGCTCACCAAAGATGGCAGTGTCCTGCTCCGCGAGATGCAGATCCAGAACCCTACCGCCATTATGATTGCTCGCGCTGCCACCGCACAAGACGACATCACTGGTGACGGAACTACCTCTGCTGTTATCCTGATCGGCGAGCTCCTCAAGCAGGCCCAGCGCTACATCTCCGAAGGCCTCCACCCCAGAGTCATCACCGACGGCTACGACCTTGCAAAGGCCGAGACCCTCAAGTTCCTTGACGACTTCAAGCTTGAACGCGAAGTCGACCGCGAACTCCTCCTCTCCGTTGCCCGTACCTCGCTTTCCACAAAGATCAATGCCACCCTGGCCGAGCAACTCACCCCTGACATTGTCGATGCCGTCCTCGCCATCTACAACGCTCCTGCTAAGCCCGACTTGCACATGGTTGAGATCATGACCATGCAACATCGCACCGCCGCCGACACACAACTCATCCGTGGTCTCGCCCTCGATCACGGTGCCAGACACCCCGACATGCCCAAGCGTGTCGAGAACGCTTTCATCCTCACCCTCAACGTCAGTTTGGAATACGAAAAGTCCGAGATCAACTCTGGTTTCTACTACTCAAGCGCGGATCAAAGAGAGAAGCTGGTTGAGAGTGAGCGTAGATTCGTTGACGAGAAGTTGCGCAAGATTGTCGAGCTGAAGAAGGAGGTTTGCGGTACAGATGGATCCAAGGGCTTCGTCATCATCAACCAGAAGGGAATCGACCCCTTGAGTTTGGATGTCCTGGTCAAGAACGGCATTTTCGCTCTCCGTCGCGCAAAGAGAAGAAACATGGAGAGATTGCAGCTCATTTGCGGCGGTATTGCTCAGAACAGCGTCGACGACCTCACACCCGATGTCCTTGGTTACGCCGGCAATGTCTACGAGCACCAGCTCGGAGAGGAGAAGTACACTTTCATCGAGGATGTCAAGGAGCCCAAGTCGGTCACTCTTCTCATCAAGGGACCCAACGCACACACCATCGCTCAGATCAAGGACGCCGTCCGTGATGGTCTGCGCAGTGTCTACAACATGATCGTCGACGGTAGCGTTGTACCGGGTGGTGGTGCCTTCCAAATCGCCGCACACGCACACCTGAACAGCGAAGCATTCCGCAAGACAGTCAAGGGCAAGGCCAAGTGGGGTGTTGATGCCTTTGCCGATGCTCTTCTCGTTATTCCCAAGACTCTAGCCGCTAACTCGGGACACGATGTTCAAGACTCAAGTAAGTTCAGATGTACAGATATTCCCAACACACATACTAATCATGTTCACAGTCGCCGCTCTCCAAGACGAGCAAGCAGAGGGCAACATTGTCGGTCTCAACTTGACAACTGGTGAGCCCATGGACCCTACACAAGAAGGTGTGTACGACTCATTCCGTGTCCTCCGCAACTGCATCGCATCAGCCGCTGGTATCGCATCAAACCTACTACTCTGCGATGAGATGCTCAAGGCAAGACAAATGGGCAGAGCACCTGGCCCTGGCGGAGAGCAAATGGAGTAAAAAAGTCAAGTCAGATAAAAAGTATTCATGACGATTATGGCATAATGCGCCGAGTCGCAGCATTTCGTACGTTCCAGCAAACCTATCAGTTTCACCAGGGTTTTACATCAACCATTTGGCCAAGGACACGAGCATTTAAGTTCAGTGATGGCAGGTATGCGAGTGCAGAGATACGGCATCCGTGATATGGAGATGTACGAGCTCAAGGAGAAGGAAGACACGCATGTTGGAGGTTCCTCTGGTTGTTCGTGTTGTAAAAGAATGGACTCCTCGGACCCCACATTCTCCCACCGCGTACTTGGAGTAGCAGGCACGAATACGCGCTTGGCGGACGCTCTCCTAGACCGGAAATAGCAGGCCAAGAGTCGCATCAGCTTAATTCCATCTACCTTTCTTGTCGCATCGTACCTTGCTGAGGCTTGCTCCTTCACATGTCTTGTGCTGGCTTCTTGCCACGTCCCTTTCTTCTATTCTCCCCACTTCCTTGATCGTCAGCGCTCCCTCTTGGTTGAGCGAGCCTGCGTAAACGACAGTATTCTTCCCCTCCTGTTTCGGAGATAAGTCACACGAGCGCTCGAATATCCTACGCACGCATAACCGGCCGGCATGATTCGGTATAGACGTTACAGGGCATTCATTGCCTTTACGGTCATTGCTATATTCGCGACATATTACTTTATAGGGCATGGGAGTATAGACCTTCCTTCTGCAATTGGCGCAGGATCGCTGAAGCAGGCTGGCCTCGATGCAGCAGCTGCTGCTGGTGAGAAGGCTCAAGCTGGTCTTGATGCGCTCAAACCCGAAGAGCCCACAAAAGAGGATATACTTGGGGTTCTACCACCACTACCGACCACAGAAGCAGCCCTTGCTACCACTCCCGTCGTTGCCGAAGCGCCGAAACCATCGACAGAGAAGGTAGCCGCTACATCCTCTGCAGCCGCTGCAACCCAGTCGCTCAGCCAAAGCACACCTCAAGATGCAGCTGCCCTCATACCCGTACACGAGCTGGACGATATGTCCGAGGTTGGCGAAGGCAGAGTTGAAATTCCTGCAATTCACCCAGGAGAGGTCAGCGCCCCAGCCATACACTGGTCGAAACAACCAGAGCACTTCCCTATCGCGACAACGATCCAACTTCCCACTGGCAGCCCCAAGGCCATCCCTCGCATCCAGCACAAGTTCAAAAAAGAGTCATCCGCCGACAAGGCCGACAGAGAGGAGAAACTCAAGGTCATTGAGAACGCTGTTTCGCATGCCTGGGAGGGATACAGATCAAGAGCTTGGATGAAGGATGAGGTCAGACCCGTGTCTGGAGGTTCTCGCGATCCTTTCTGTGGATGGGCCGCCACTTTGGTCGATGCATTGGATACTCTTTGGATCGTCGGCCTGAAGGACGAATTCGATGAGGCTGTTGAAGCAGTGGGTAAGATCGATTTCACCACTTCTCAGAGAAAAGACATTCCTCTTTTCGAGACGACAATCCGCTATCTTGGCGGTATGCTCTCGGCCTACGATTTGAGCGGTGGAAAACACAAGGTTCTGTTGGATAAGGCTGTCGAACTTGCCGAAGTCTTGATGGGTGCCTTTGACACACCCAACAGAATGCCCGTTACTTTCTACCGCTGGATGCCAACTTTTGCTTCCCAACCTCACCGTGCTGGAACCCACGTAGTCTTGGCCGAGATCGGCTCTCTTTCTGTCGAGTTTACACGCCTTGCTCAGCTCACAAAGGAGCCCAAGTATTACGATGCTATCGATCGCATTACTGACGCCTTCTTGGAATGGCAGAATGCTTCTGGCTCCAATGCAACTCTGATCCCTGGCTTGTTTCCCGTTCATATCGATGCTTCTGGTTGCGAGAAGCCCGCTCAGATCAAATCGCACTACTCTCATCCCGCTGGGAAGGGTGGCGATGTCGCAGTAGGTGATGGCAAGCCAGTGGTTCCACAGCGTCCTGTTACCCAGGGCCAAGGTACACGGACCGGTGCTTCCACAGAGAAAGACGGATCATCTCAGCCTGTCAACGCTGGTGGCTCGCGCATGGGCGCATCTGGTGCTGGAGTTAGCAAGATCATCGGCTGGGATGAGCCTTTGACTGAAGGTGATCTCGACAACAAGAAATCCAACACTGTCGCTCTAACCAAGGAGGGCACAAGCGATCCAGAGCTGAACAAGAAGATTGTTGGATGGAACAAGAACTTGAAAGAGGGCGATCTGGACAGCGCTCAAGCCAAGGCAGCTGCCCTTGCCCATTCAAAGGCCAACGACGACCTTGTCAAGCGTCAACTTGGTGATCTTGAGAACCAGAAGGAGAAGGCCGATGAGGCCGTCTTCCAGAAGGAGACTCAAGCAAAGATGCACACCTTGCAAAAGGAAGTCTGTATTCCTCGTGGACTTGCTTCTGGCAACTCGGGTGGTTCGGACACATTCACCATTGGCGGAATGGCTGACTCGCTCTATGAGTACTTCCCAAAACAATACCTCCTGCTGGGTGGTCTGGAAGGCAAGTATAAGACTCTTTACGAACAGTCCATCGATGCTGTAACCAAGCACCTTCTTTTCCGCCCCATGACTCCTCAGAACGCAGATATTCTCTTTGCGGGCGAGTACAATGCCCATACTCCCAGTAAAGAAGGTGCTGTGGAAGGCGCTCTCAAACCCGAAGGCGCCCATCTAACCTGCTTCGCCGGTGGCATGTACGCTATGGGAGCTAAGATCTTCGGCCGCGAAGATGACCTCGACCTAGGAGCCAAATTGACTGAAGGCTGTGTATGGGCCTACAACGCCACAAACACAGGCATCATGCCCGAACACTTCCTCGTCTCTGCCTGTAAAGATGAGAAGAACTGCAAATGGAATGAGACCAAGTACTGGGAAGAACTCGACCCTTACGCCGAGTCTCGCACTCAGGTCAACCTCGCCAATCCTCTAGGCACCAATCGTGGAGCGCCTCAGGTTGGCAAGCGCGATCTCGATGGCCCTGCTGCTACAATTGCACATGCTCCAGCACCTGCCGTGCCTAACAGTGTTCCTGAATTGGATATCTACCCAGACCAAGCAGAGTCCCATGAGTACGTCCCTCCCACCCCGCCTACTCATGAGGAATTTGTTCTCGCCCGAATCTCCGAAGAACGTCTTCCAACTGGAATGACCCGCCTCCTTTCCCGCAAATACATTCTCCGCCCCGAAGCCATCGAATCAGTCTTCTACATGTATCGCATCACCGGCGACCCCCACTGGCGCGAAGCAGGCTGGCAAATGTTCCAAGCTGTACACAAATACACCTATGCCACTTACGGAGCTTCCGCTATCGATGATGTTACGAAAAATGTACCGGGACAAGAGGACAGCGAAGAGAGTTTCTGGTTGGCGGAAACGCTGAAGTACTTTTATCTGCTGTTTAGTCAGGAGGATGTTGTTAGTTTAGATGAGTGGGTGCTCAATACTGAGGCACATCCATTCAGGAGGCCGGATGCTGAGGCTGCCGTTGCTGAGCCTGCGAGGGTTGGTACTACTGCTTAAGGTGTTTGTGTTATGTTTCATGTTTTCCTGTTCGTTGAAAGTCAGAATCTATCTATGTTTGGTAGATATATGAGGAGGAAAAGGAATGTCTCTTGGATAGTGACAACTGCTTTCCATTTTCAGATCCTTCTTTGTTCTCGACCATCTTACCTTGTCTAACTCATTTCTCTACGGTCAACGTTATGTTCTCCTAACTCCGAGACATCCGTGGAGCCCCGGATGAAGCCAAACTATAATCCCCACATCAAACAACCAAACCACAAACATCATCATCATCCCTATCCACCTCCTCCTTTGTTAATTGACCCTTCTTACCTTTTCAGCTCCTAACCCAAAAAATGCCAGGGCTTTTCACCTACGCATCAGTGGTTGCTTTGGCAGCCCTGTCCGCGTACGTCTACCCACCAGTTCGCCATGAACTCACTGTTGTCGGCATCGGTCGAGCTGTCCCTCAATCCACCATCCCTTCTTCTTCCTCTTCTGCAGATTATGTTAGGATAGAGGATACATATCATTGCGAAGATTTGCATCATTACACTCCTGCGAACTTGTTGTTTGCGGCTTGTGAAGATCGACCTACGAGGTTTGGCTGGTTTCCTCCGTTGCATAATATCGAACCACCGGTGGATGGGACGCAGGGGAGTTTCCATGTTATAGATCCTGAGGTATGATTCTTCGAGCACCCGCCCATCTCTTTCATTCATCCTTGTTTCTCTTTTACAAGGGACAAGAAGGAAAGGGAAGGATAAAGATAGAAGGAGAGAAAAGAAAAGGTGCCGACTGACACGTTTTTTGCAGACCAAGAAATCCATCCGCCTCTCTTTTGAAAACTTCGACAAAACTTTCGTCACTCACGGTATCGATGTCATCCCGGACCCGAAAGACAAAAAAGCCGTATACGTATTCGCCGTCAATCATCAACCCAACCCCGAATTCACCGCTTCTCTCCGCGAACATATTCAAAAATCCAATTCTAGGATCGAGATATTCAGATACAAGATTGGCTCGCCTACTATCAAGCATATCAGAACTGTGGCAGATGCAAGGATTGAAACTCCTAATGATATTTTTGCCGTCTCGCCGGAGGAGTTTTATGTTACTAACGATCATGCTTATAGAGAGGGGTTGATGAGGGAACTTGAGACGGTGGCACCGGTGGGGTGGTCGACTACATTGCACATCACCATCACCGATCTCTCCGCTTCCTCGCCCTCCTCTGGCATCATCATTAGTACTGCACTCACCGGTATAAAGTCAAACAATGGGTTAGGTCATGTACACGGCAGCGATGAAGTCACGGTCATCAGCGCGGAAAGAGGAATCCTATATCGCACTTTCCCCAACACCAACAAAACCCTCACCGTCGAGGAAACCATACACATGGACTCAACTCTAGACAACCCATCCTACTACACCGACCCCTGGGCCACCCCCTCTTCAAACACCAGCGGCTACGTTCTCGCCGGTCTGGCCCGTGGAATCGACCTCGCCGGCAACGCAAACAAACCCGATGCAAAAGATCCACCTTATGTATGGTTGGTCCGGAAAGGAAAAGATGGAGGCGACTGGGAGAAAAAGATCATCTTTGCAGACGATGGAAGTAAAGTGCGCACGGCGAGTGCTGCGGTGATTGTGGGTATTGACCCTAAGAAGGAAGGAGGAAGGAAAAGGGGTTGGTTGTTTGTCACTGGCTTCATGTCTGAGAATATGGTTGCTGTGAAGATCGATCTTTGAAGAAGAGAAGAATAAGATTTCAGTACAATTTCGAGGAAGCAAGGACAATCGGTTTTTTTTTTGTCAAGGATAGATCGGAGACTGTGGATGAAGTAGTAGGAGAATATAAGACAGAATGATTGCAAAGTTTGAGATGAGAGAAAAACACCACTCACCAGGATCGAGAGTATGAAAGAGATGCTAAAGACCCCATCCGAACAGTACTAATATAGGAATAAATAAAACACCAAATAAAAACAGAGATGAGCAGGAAGTAACGACACACACCTTAAGGACTCGCCATACCACCCAAAAACAACAACATCATCGGATACCCGTTTTCGCAAACTCACAACCCCAACAACAACAAGCCCTCCTCACCAGCAATCCCCCTCGGCGCCATCGTATAAACAATCCTACACCACTTCCTCCCTCCCTCCCCATCCCCCTCCCTCACAACAACCCTCCCTTCCTCCCCATCAATCTCCTCAACAACTCTTCCGCTAACCCTCCTCATCCACTCCTTCTCATCCTGCAATCCAAACCCCGCCAACTTTTCCAAATACGCCTCAACACCCCCTTCCCCCATCCCTCTTTGATAAATCTCAAAAAGATCTCTTCGTTTGTTTTCCAGTACGTCCATGAAAAATTGCATTCCTTTTTTCGCATCTGTTGTTTGCAGGGAGTTGTGGATCGTGATCTCGTATCTCAATACCGTTGTTTGTAGATATGACCAGAGGAAGTGTTTATATTTTTTTCCACTCAGCCAATTTCCTTGACCGGTGGGGAGATTGATGTACACGCCATCTTTCGGTGGCGATAATGTGATGTGGATTTCTTCTAGCTTGTCAGCCACGAGATGCAGACATGATATCGCAGGCCACATCTGTCTAGCAAACGCTCTATCGTCAAACCATTGCCGTCGTCTCTTCAAATCTTCATAATACGGATCCACCACCATCTCCAGATACTTCAATGCAGGCAATTTTGTAGGAATCAACTCAAGAAGCACCTGCATGCTTTTTTGAAAAACTTCGCCTTGGAGCTGTAGAATGCGGATATGTTTCGCCGCATGTGTCGGCAAAGAATCAAACACTTTATCCAAGAAATTGTGATAGTGTTCTCTACCGCCGTAGTCGTACATGGGTCGCCAGAGCGCTAGTGGGGTGGATGCGTATAGGATTGGTAAAGCTTCTGAATGGATGGTTCGGCAGGTCAAGAGGATGGCGTTGTGGTTGCCATCGGATCCGAAAGCGACGCCCGGGTTGTGGTGTTTTTCTTCGAAGAACTGGCCAGATTGGGGAGTTCCGACGGTGTCTGGGTTCCAATGTGGTGTTTTTCGGTGCATGTGAATATCGTAGGTGCAAGGGCCGGTGTTGGTTGGGATGTGTGCGTAGATCATGTCACGTAGTTCGCGAGGGAGGTCTAAGAATGAGACGCCTGTTTGTTGTCGCTTGATAGATGTTTCCATTTTTTTGCTGAGATAGTGATACTGAGCAAGTTCATGTGATTTTCGATGCTATGGAATCCACGCGGACGTGAGTAGTTATATTGTGATGATTCTCTTATCCGATACGAGATGCATGCGAAGGATTCTGGTTGCCTGATCGGGCAGCTCCATCCCCCACTTGTCGCCATCAGCAATTCTTCCGAGCTCATTTGCAAATCCCCTGCCTCTTCTCTTTTCTGCAGAATCTTGTTGACTTTCTGCAATAGCAAATTTTTGAAGATTCATGGTTCTCCGCTGTAGACAATCATCGTCACGCTTGCTTGTCCTCCATGTCGATAACCATTCTTGCAGTTCATCAGCAAAATGCTTCCTGTCTTGCCCCAAGCATCACGATCTCCTCAACCTCAGCTCGCATCTCCTGTCTCTCATCTGCCCTCAGCACAAGTTTCTGCCCGGGATCGAACAGCAGACCATCGCCGCGCTCGTATACACGTCGAGTCCGCTACGATTGCTACAGCTGACAATGCTTCGTGACTGAACTCAGGTTTGCGGTTGGTCGAAGTACTTAGGGAGAAAGTCGCGGAGAAGAGGCATCTTGAGGCCAGATCCCTTGGCCTTGGAAATGGATGTGGCCTCAAGCCAGATGCCGACTGCTTCGTTGAAAGCGTCCATCTCATCTTTGTACGCCAATCTTGAAGAAGATCGTTGTGGTACCCATCTCACCGTGATCGGTACACGATTGAGAGACTGTACGAAATCTACGAAGAATTCGAGTAGCGACACTGGCTGAAGGCCACGAAGCCAGCACTCATCGAGTTCGAGGTGCCCAATCGTGATCTCATGTTCGTTTATGATCCTTGACAGGCAGCTTGGTTTGTCAAGCTCAAGCTTCGAGTTTTGTGGATCAAAGGACCTCACGTTGAGGGCCGCTAGGTGAGCGCCTTTAGGTTGACCCATGTTCGTCAAGAATGCCAGGAAGCCTCTGTAAAAGGGGTCATCACCATTGAAGCGACATTTCATGCTTATCCTCATGTGCGCCAAAGATATTGATAGGGATTCTTCCCTGATAGTGCGGCATGTTTGATGTATGTTAGAGTGTATGTGTTTGTTCGGAAGGGTGAAGGCAGTGTAAGCAGTCACAGTAGTTATCTGCTGAGCATGTACAGACTTGCAAAATGTGTGTATAGAGCCATTGGAGCATAGGTAACATGGTAGGCGGACTCCACGCAGTGATGTATCCCTGAAATTTGCGCGGACTGCCCAGCAACTCCCATCTTGAACAGGCTTGAAGAGAAAGCCATAGATCATGTTGCGGATCTCAGGCGGCAGCGACAAGAAACCGAGTCTTGACTGAGGTGCCTTGATCGTTTCCAGGACTGATGCACTGGCGATGGCAGATGCTCCTTCAGTCGGAGATGTCATCTCGCTTTGATCTGTATCTGCTGACGGAGATATGTGGCAGTGGTCTTGAGATGGAGAGACTGATGTGTGGTCTTGATTGTCACTGGAAGAGGACGACATGTGAGGATCGGGGTGGTTCGAAGAGTGCGATATGAGGACGTCATTGGCGGACGATGGAGATGACGGCGAAGATGCCATGATGGCGAGGCTGGCGTGGTACAGCAACAAAAACGCGAGGTTGAGGTGGAATTGTGGTGAAGTTGAGAGCCGAGAGAGAAAACAGAAGAGCAAAAGCTGCAGTGAAGAGTTAACGGCGTTGAGACGGCAATTTGCGGTGAACAAAAGTGATGTCGAGGGCAGGTGCGAGAGTGCGATTATGTGAAGAAAGCCAGGCAGTCACGTCTCAGCAATTCCATGAAAATGAACTTGAGAAAATGCGGCAGAATCAGACTCTCAGCGTCCCTGCAAAGCTTCAATATCACCCATCAAAAGGCAAGATGATTTTGATAATCGAGCGCATGTCCACTGAGAGCGATATTACCTACATGCTCTCTTTGGACGACCAGACTAGAACAAAAAACATCGTGCATTTTGACGGCTGGTTTGGCAACTCTGGAGGGAGGCCGAGAGCTCGCATTGTACCCGGCCCCTGTATTCATTCAGGGAGGAGCTTCTTCATACGCTCTCACTGGACCTTGACTCGGCGCGGAAAACATTGTGCATTTTTACATGTCCATAAAATTCATGCATGGGAGGAAGAGAGCAGTGTATCTTGGTAGCTAAACGATCTAGTAGCTATAAGCTATTGCGTGGTAACAAGCGACATGTATAGACCTTGCTGTGCTGCATGGTATGTATCTAGGCTCGGGCTAGTGCGATTGAGAGCTAGATGTGCTTACGGATGTCGTGTGACTCCTCGAGCCAACTAGGCAGGTCATCCTTGCTCTTGTTGAGCTGACGGCTAGCGGTCAATCTCAACGTAGCATTGACTCGCTCGTGCTCGTACGCCATCTTGCCACGCGAAGTCGTTCTGCAGTCCAGCGCGGCTCGCTTTGCATCACTCATGACAGCCACAGGCTCCTTGCGGGGCATCAAGTAACATCTGCGGAAAATCTCGTGGATCATACCCTGGGCCTTTGCCTGACTGTTATGCGGGCTGGGACAGACGGTACCGGAAAGCATGGCCGGCTCGTATTGGTTCAGGACGAACACAAGAATATGGATTGCGTCCATGATGATCTCTCTTTCCGATGCGGTAATGGTCATTTCGAAGTGGATGTTGAGATGGATGTGGGCGACATTGCACGGAAACTGAGGCAGTGACTTGAGTATGTTATGCACGTCGTCGTGACCAGTGATGAGAAATGAGAGCCTCAGGTTGAAGTATAGCAGGGGCATCGCCTCTTTATAGGTGAGTTTCGAGACGCTTAGGACGGCTGGATAGATGCGTCCACCAGTTCTTGCCATAAGGGTGCGACCGGGATGGTGTTGAAGACAGGAAAGGTTTTCGGACCAGCATACGTAGTGCTCGACAGCTACAGTGCAATAAAGACAGGGTTTTGGTGTCCCACAGAGAGGTGGAACTCCTCGGGTATTGACGGTGGGACGGGGCCTATGGGCGATGGCACGAAGCGAACCGTCTCTGGGAGCGACCAGGAGGTATTCATAGATGAGGATGCGGATTTCGGGAGGAAGGCTTAGGAATGAAGTGGTTGAGGAGGTAGCCATAAGCGTGGCTGAGAAGTCGAGAGGATGTTCAGAGGATGTCGAGAAAACACAGGATGAACAAATCGGGAAGAAATTTCTCGTCGCTACGAAACTCGAGCAGTCGTGGTGATGAGGGCACGAAAGTAAGTAAGTTTGAGATAGTTCAGTGTTGAGCGAGGGAAGTGCCGAGCATGGAAGACTCCACGTGTGTATGCCGAGACACGACACGCCCAGGCAGCAAAGGACGTCCTTAGGCAATCACATGGCAAAGTTGATTGGAAAACCTAGGCAACATTCGGTAGGTTCGAATAGGACGAGTCTTCTCGGACACCTCTACCGGTCTTGAGAGTTTTCTGCCAATCGACCAGTTGCTTAAGAGACTTCATTGCTAGTAGGCCTGTTCGAATTCCTACGCATAAGCCATGCTCCTATTAAACGCAGGGTAGTCGTGCCTCGTGCCAGGTGTAGGTCCAATTCAAACATTGACGATGCACTTGTGGTCATGCCTAACGAAAGATGCACTCACGCAGGGATGTAGCAATTAACCGACGCAGAACAGTCCTTTAGCAGTCAGCTTTGTGCAACGGGCACGCCTACTTAACTGCTAAGTTCCACTCGTCTCTGGAGGACCTCGCGCGCGTCGCTCTCGGCCAAGATTTCTAGACCCATCTCTTCCAGCACATCCCGAGCTGCCTCGTTATCGATGAACACTCTTCTTTCGACTTCGAAAAGTCCCCATTTCTTTTTTCCAACAGTCTCGCTGGAACCCTCAGCATCGACTTCGACGGGAATTTCTCCTCTGACCGGAAGATCGAGCAACGTCAATCCATTGTCAAGACGCAACATGGCATTTCGGCCAGCATCGGCACCGAGATAACGGTCGAACACACTGCAGATTCCTCTGAAGTCAGACACAAACTGGGATGCGCCAGCAGTCGAGAAAGAGTGTCGAAGCAGCACGCTATCCCATAGAGTGATCTGGAGACTGTGGCCCACAACGCGAACGATCCGACGCAATGCAGCCTTGCTCAGAGCGCGAGACAAGAAAGAAAGATAGGTGTCCAGGAGGGTGAGAGGAGCGTCCAGCTCGGCAGTCAGACTGGACTCACTGCCACTACCTGCGGCTGAGAGAGAAGCCCAGGGATTGATGCGAGCGTATGGTCTCAAAACGTCGCGAACGTGGTAGATCAGAGTGTCACAAATGACCTCCTCGCTGCGGATACGCAGGCTACGGTAATTGCCCGCGGTCTCTTCGAAGATGGCTCCCTCAAGCTCTTGAGTTTCCTGGCTGTCGTTGGAAATTGAGGCATTGGTCTTTGCCGCAATCTCAGCCATGTTGAGATCACCCTTGATGTTGACCTTAGAGGAGGCCCTGTACTGCAGCTCTTCCCAAAGCTCCAGAAAGAAGACGTCATCACTCCAATCGCGCATGGCCTTTTCCAAATATTCTGCAGAACCATACACGCGGCAGAGGTGGTCCATACCTTTGGCACCTGCAAGTTCGGCTTGCTCTTCTCGAGTGACACCATGAACAGCACGAGCGACAGCTGTAGTCTGTGTCAGGAAAGCCTGAAGACTGTTGTTAAGACGATAGCGGAACTGGTTGAAGATTTCGACCTGTATCTCAATCAAGAATCGGATCTTCTGACTGAATGACGACAATGACCTGTAACGCTCGGTAACAGTTTCAAGCAAATCATTGACGCGAACAGCCGCCTTGGTTGGCTTGGTACTATCTGCAGATACCGAGTCGTAATCAAGCTCGCCAGTCGAGCGATCAGAGATGATGCTCTCGTAGCGTGCCAGAGCAAAGTCACGCTCCACAGCCAGCCATTTCGAGAAGTAGGATTGCTTCTCCAGGATGAAATGAGCCAGGCCGCGCCATACTGTAGCAGGAGACAAGGGTGTGTAGTTCCATTCTTCTTGAATAGTCGTGTCAAAGGACATGACTTCATGCATCAGGTTACTGAGCAGCTGTGGCTGATCAGAGACTTGAGGCAGTATTGAGAGAAGTTTTCGCTGCAACATGGGAATCAAGGCAGTGATGAGAGCTGATATCGCATCGATATAGGCAGGAATCATGGCAAGATCAGAGCCTCGGAAGTTAGCCAGGAGCAACGGTTGCAGATTTGTCTGGAAGAAGCCGCAGTAGCTGTTAACCAGATCAAGAACATGGTTCAGGAAGTACTCGGGCTTGTCCAGGCGGTTGGTTGGACGATCGCCAGAGAAGTGATAGTTGAAACGGAGCTCAAGCGATCGGACCATAACTTCGAGAGGGAGCAAGACAGCAGGTTCGTCCTTGGACGTCTTCGAACTGTTTGCAGTATCGGCAGCCACTAGCTCAGCCTTCTGAAGGTCGATGAGCTTCTCGATGTGTGTATTCCATTCTTGCTGCAAGCCTGGAGGTACCGAGATACCCTGCTTTGGCCAGCCCATCTTGTTCAAGGTCTTTCCAAAGTCGGCGGCGAAAGCCTGTTCAATCTGTGTACGAAGAGTATAGGCAGTCCTCATGACATGGACAATGAGATGCGGTGCAGCTCCCTCCGCTGCTTCAGACAAGGGTTGCAGACCAGCAGCAAGAGCCGACAAGCGCTTGTATGCAGTCAGGACAGCTTCATCCGACTTGCCCAGTTGTTCGTTGCATTCAAGACGCAAAGTTTCGACCTCCTGCAACATTTCGGTATAGCCTGAAGCCAAGTCGAGCTTCCTCAGACGTTCCATACTAGTCTCAAACTTTTGCAAGGCTTCGTCACTGGTCTCTGACTGGGTGACGACCTGAAGACGACGGTCAAGATCATCCTGGTCTCGCTGGAAAGCCGAAGCCTTCTCTTTGATAGATGTCGCATGCTTGTCGGAGGCTTGCTGTGCAACGTTGTGGTCGTTTCGAGCATCATGAAGCTATCCGGATGGTCAGAAGATGGCACGAACAAGAACGACTTGTGCTCTCACGTACCTGCTGCTTAAGCAGGTCTTGTTGTGCCTTGACACTGTCCAGCAACGAATCTAGCGTGTCCAAGTCGGCGAAAGACTGCAGCTTGTCATCCAGAAAGTCGACAAGCCGGACATCGTTGTCCTGATTCCGATGGTAGTCATCAAGCGCCATTTTGTCAAACTGTCGTTTGTTATTGGCAAGCTGTTCATCGACATGGACCTTCAACTTACTTCCGATGACGCGCGAAGCCACGCGAGAGTCGCTCGACACGACTCGCTCCCGAACGGCTGGCTCTCTAGCATGACTCGATACCGAACATTGATGAGCACCGCCTCATGTTGGCATCCTTCGCGCGTTTGCTGCCTACCCACGACCATGCATATCAGATATATAAAATAAGACATCCTGTAGGTCAAGGTTAGGTATCCCCGTCTGTTTCCTTGTGAATCTCATAATAATTCATCCAATCTTGCAACATGGCCACTCCGCCCAACTTCTTTGTCGAGCCCCCATACATCCTCTCTATACCAACTCTAGTCGACGTCGAGCATTGTATCGTCGGATTAGCTCTTCGCTTTGTATTGCTCGGTCGAATCAATGCCGCTCGCGACTTCCTCGACCTTTACTACTCTCGCCCGGTACTCCAGAATCTCGAAGCTACAGGCCCTCGCGCCTTGACTCCTTACTGGCATGCAACAGAATACCCAACCAATTTACCTGCTTTCATGAAGACAGATGACTACTTCGAAGACTACATGGACTCAAAAACGCAGGAAGGTATACAGTGGCCAGTCTACGTGCCACAAGAGAAGCGTACTGAAGATGAAGCCGGCATCGATGCAATCCTATCACCCGAGCACAGTCGTCCAGGTTACTACACGACACTAGCTCCCAGATCGGCTTTGGAGATTGCCATAGACTTGGCTGAAAAGCGTGGCAATGATCCTATCAACGATGAAAAGGTGCAAGAAATTTTGGGTGTCATTGTCAAGCGCTTCTCTCCTCATTACACTTGGCGAGACCTCAACTTGATCGACTCTCCGCGTTGCGCCCCGTTGTTCATGTCTGGAGCTTTGGCAAGAGCGTTCAATGCGACCGATCAACAGCTTGACTCTCATGCGAAAAAACTACGGGAAGCATCTCAGCAGCGCTACTGGCAGGGCTTCTCTCCAAGCCTTCCAGATACCATACCTGAGCTTCTTCAAGAATGTAGTATTGCTTCGGTAGACAAATCTGACGATCATTGGGTCGAGATGGATGAAGAGAAACCCATGTCACTCTACAAGCCACCAGCCAACGAAGAAGACATCTCAAATTTGGAGAAAAGACTCGACACGATCCTCCCTGAAGACTTTAAGGCCTTCTTGCGGGTCAGTAATGGCTTTGGAGGTATCTGGAATGGCTACTTCCCTGGCCCCCCTCTTCATTCCACAGAAAAGATTGACTGGATCAACCCTGGCGAGTATGAGCTCACGTTCGATCAGTTGACTCTGCCTTACGAGGTCATGACCCACAAGAATATCGAAACTGGCAAAGAAGACTTTATTGGATCTCCTGTCTTCGAGGGAGTGATTGAGATCGCAAGCTACGACATTGACAGTGTGTGGCTCATCCCTCCTCCATTGATGCAAAAGATGCGCGACCATTACAAAAAGCTATATGATATGGCTGATGATCACGGGAAACGAACCATCGAGCGCTCAGTCGACGACTTTGCTGGTAGCTGGGAGCAGTGGGAAAAGCTGGAGTGGGGATGCGTATATTGGGCGGCTGGTGGGAGTGCGCAGCTGGATAGCTTCAAGAGTTTCAAAGCTTGGTTGGCAGATTCGGCTTATTGTGCAAAGACTCGTGGAGGAGATATCTAAGGAAGGAGCCTGACGGGTGGTGGAGCGTGCTTCTTTTCCCAGCTGGCGTGATTGTTTGGCGGTACTGTTTCGAAGTCGAACGGAAATCTAATGCGCACATTGGACTCCCCAGACACAAGCTCTGTGTTGGTAATGTATTCACTATACCCGAGCATCTGGTTTCTTCTGGCAGTGTAACTATTCAGGCAAAACACACCATTGTGGTCAATTGTAGGTCGATACAGTGAAGACTTCGCGCAAGTCGTGGGCAAAGTTCAACAAGACTACATATTAACAAGAGTTCCAGACTCAACATCACTTCTGTAAGCCCACACGGTAGTCTGGCCCAAGTGAGACCGCCGATCCTCTGTACAGGAGTAAATTACCGCCATTTACCGTGATTGTATACGCCGGGAGTAGTAGACATCGGAGTCTATCACTTTTGCTTCGCGGAGGATGGTGAGTTCGACTCTGGGCTTGATTTCTTTCTTTTTGCTCGTCGTGCAATGTCTTCCTATCTTTGATCGCGGGCCCATTCACAGTCGTCTCTTGCCAAACTATCGCGATTGGGATGGTTGCCCAAGCACGAGACCTAGGTGAACGAGAATGAGACCTCTCGAATCGTTGCGTATTATCTTTTCGAACCTCCTGGAAGTCGGACGCAGAGTTTCAAGACATCTGGTCGTGCAAGAAGCTTCCGGAAGCCATAATATTGTCCCTTGGTTGTATCTTTGTCTATTCATTCACACCCGAATAATCAATGTCTCATTGATCTCACTACTTTACATCTTCCCTTCGTTTTTTGGCTGTAAGAGTACATCCCCCCACGACCTAACAGACGCATTTCTCTTTCCTTTCCTGGATCTTTCGTTCATTGGAAATACGCAATCATGACCGACAATACGCACTCCATGTCAACCAGGAGAAGTCTCAAGACAGACCGTGCCAGTATCATCAATCCGACGGCATTCACAAGTCACAAAGCAACCATCAATCCACCAGCGACTACCACAGCTACCCCTAAGGCAACCGCCAACTCAACACCAAAAACACCACCTATTTCCAAACCATCTACCAGAAAACCCAAAGCCGTCGCCAGAAATACTGTCAAACCCACCACTCGTTCCAGTGCCGGCGGAAAAGCAGCTGTCAAACATTTCGTTTCAGATGAAGCACCAGATGTAGACATGCAAGATGAGGACACTCTTCCATCTACTACACCAGTAACCTCCACATCGAAAGCCACAGCAAAGAAACTCGCCACCAAAACCCCCATACCAGAGGAAATACCAAACTCATCACCAGAGGTAAAAATGCAAGACTCAGCCACCTCACCACCCATAACATCACCATTCTTCAAACCGAAATCTGCTATGAAGACACCCGCTATCAAGCAATGCTCCCCAGCGTTGACTCCAAATACACAAGTTCAAGATGTAGGTACCTCAGCGACTAGCCGACCAAAAGCGATACTCGAGAAACCAAACAACAACCCGCACGACTACCTCAAGCCCAAAGCCTCAAAGAGGAGAACCGTTTCCTTTGGCGGTGCGACCTCGGAAGCCGCCACGCAGACTGAAAGTGCAGATGTACCTGTTGTGCAAAGAGTGCATGATGCATATCCTGATCTCCCTGCTGTTGTGCCCAGAGATGGAGATGGTGTTCGTAAGCTTACCCTTCCCCTGCTAAACCAAGTACAGCGCCAGCGTAAGTGTATAGAACAGCCACACTAACACACCCACAACACCAGCATCCCACTATTTCTCCCACATAAACGGAACACTTGCACTTCATCAACAGGCAAAGAAATGGACACCTACGTTAAGTAAGTCTTGCATTTTCTCTGCTTTCTTGCAGTGAGAGGTGTAAATGCTAAATGGAGAGTAGATGTCAAGATGACGACGAATGAGTTTAGCGATGCTGTCGTCAGAGCCAAAGATGCGAGAAAATGTACCGGTGGCGATGAGTGTGGTGATCATTGTCCTTTGTTTGGAGCTGAAGGTCATGGTGATTGAAGCTCTTGATGGAAAATCAAGAACATTTTAAGATAAACACTGCATTTTGATAGATGGAGGGGCTTTTGCTGTCTGGGAAGGAATAGCTAACTAGACAAGAGAGCAGGTGTTTTGTCCAAAGGATTGCAGATTATTTTGTTGGTCGTCGCTTGGGCTGTCTTGGGCACACTGGCTGTGGAGAGTATAGTGCAAAGCCATTTTCTAACAAGTCGAAGCGTGTGCATTGGACTCCTGTTGCTTTTCTGCTTGCTCTATTAATTTCGATTTTGGAGGGAGATATTTGCAAAAGTATAACTGCTGGTATACTTTATCGCAAGGAAAGAAGTGCTCAGTAATTCGAAATAACAATTTTGAAAATTCGCATCTGATTACAATGAGATAAAAAACAAACGTGAAAATTAAGTATTCGTAAGCGACGTGAAAATAAAACTACACACTAACTCGAATTTTTCTCAAGTAGAGTTCGAATTGTCCGCGCAAGAGAAAGCAGACCCAATCTGCCCGGAAGCGTATGCCTCCTTGATCTGCACCACTACACCATAAGTGCCTCCAATCATGACAAAGATACCCAATGGGATGAACAAAGCATGCATCCAGAATGAGAACTGTTTGATGGCACTTCCCTTGCGATAATGCATGTGGTCGTGGATCCAGAGCCATGCTGGCAAGGAGATGGCCAGGGGTGCGAAGCAAATGCTGCCGGCGAGAGAGAGCAAGTAGTCAAAGATTGGTACTGCTTCGGCGAGCACAAAGGAAACTGCAGCGAGACCGAACGTGCAGGAGAGCCATGTACCCCAGTGGACCATGGTGTTGGATTGGAGGTGGGGTGATTCGCGAAGGACGCGTACGAAGATGTATTTTGCCGCGACGTGGAGGTAAAGACAGGCGCTGACGACCAGACTAGGCAAAGCGATACCATAGCAGACCATCTTGATGGTTTGACCAGCACTCTATGAGATGAATTAGCACTTGCAAAGGAGGTTCTGAGATTATCAAACTTACGCCCAGAGAGGGACTAGCGACCCACTTTCCACACCAGCGGTAGACAACAAGACTGAAGCTGAGGTATGCAGCAGTCACGATGGCCATGCAGATGAACAAAGCCTTGCGGTAGTCTCTTGGGTTCTTCATCTCGGAAATGACAGGAAGCATAGCACTAGTACCAGCGCCTGACACAAAGATGGTGCAAGATGCGACCATGCCTGCTGCGAAACTTGGGTAGGCAATGGCGTAGAAGCCGAATTCGTAATCGCCGGTTTGAGGAGCAGCTGCTGGACGATCGCGGGTGGTAACGGCGATGACCAAGATGAAGACGGCGATGAAGATGGATGCAAATCCTATCCATGTCAACCACCCGATCTGGTGGAACTTGCGAACCGATGCTGCGAGAGCCACAAAGACTGTAGCCAGGACGGCCCACCAAACTGAGCAAGCCGCATGGTGTGACAAGGCGTTGATGCCGATTGATACTCCGACAATACCAGATCCAGTAAGGATGACATAGGCGATGATGAAGAGTGCACCAGTCACCTCCTTCATGATAGGTCCTCCAACAACTCCAGCCATGTCGGCGATACTGTGGCATCTCGGGTGGTTGTTCCGGAAGTCTCCTTGGAGGACTGCAGTGTATGTGTTGAGGGCTTGCCAGCCGATGACACTGAGTGCTCCTCCAACAGCACCTAGCGAGTACATTGCTGCCGGAATAGACAGGACACCAAGAGCGAAGATTGTCTTTAAAAAGATGACGGTAGCCATTGGCCACCCAACAGTCCGGAAGTTGACTCCATCCTTGGTTTGCTTGAAGACTTCGAAGTCTTCGGTAACCCCTTCGAGCTTTTCCGGGTCCTCTGGTTGTGTTCCTATCTGTAGGTTCTTCTCCTGGTATGACGGGTCGGTAGACATATTGGCTGCCTTCTAGAATATGGACAAGATGCTGAGAGATGGATGTCAGGAAGAGCAGTCATATTCATACTTAGGCACTAGATGTTGCAATACTAGTCATGAGTTACCCCAACAGTTGATCGTAGTCAGGAGCTATCTTAGTGCGCCACGTGAGGTGATAAGCAGGGACTCAAACCTTCCATAGAACCGTTTCATCACCATGGACCAGGGTTGCATATCAGTGATGGACATTATCGCGTGTGATTGGAGAGTTTGTCCATGTTTCTTGTTTCTATGCATGTTCGGAGTCAGGTCAGGTTGGAGACATCAGATAAGGGTCAAGATAGGCGAGTTGGGGTCGATGCTTCGGCGGGGAGATGACGATCGTTGGGGTCGCCGAGACAAGCGACATATGCCACTTTATGTGATAAGATGTGTCGTTCCCCAGGGGTCCTTAAAACCTGATGGGACATTTTGAAGCGATGCAAAGAGGATTTGACTTGGCATATCAAGACACTTCAAGACCCGTAACTTGGGCAGTCTTTTGATCACCTTTCATTAAGTCGGAGGACGGCAGACAGAAACCAGACTTGCCGAATGGTTCCAAGCGACGATTGGACCTTCCTTCTTTTTATGCACTCATTTAGCCTGATGAGGGGACAATTATCAAAGTCAGGGCACTTTGGGTTGACATTGAATAACGAATCTTGGACCAAGCAACCATCTCGCATCCAATGTTCAAGATCACGCTCTAAGCGATATTCTCATGCTCGTAAAGACTCGAGGTCTGCTTTGGCTTTTAGAGTTCAGGGCGATGTCGGAGTGCATCACAGCCGGCACGGGCGCAATCGGGAAGAAACAACCCCGCGCATCCCCGCCTGTCTCCAGAAGACAGCTCTGGACTTTGTCATAGATTCTGTTGACGTGCTTGACTTGTGACAATCGACAAGAAGCACTTAGTCTCCGTACCACGTTACACACCACCACTACACACTTCCGCAAACATGCCAATCACATCCGGCGCACCTGCCCATGGCAACCCAGCACACTTGCTTCCTCCATCCTGGACCAGTGTTATCAGCGCCTGGCTCGCCGAAGACACACCTTCCTTCGACTATGGTGGTTTCGTCGTAGGCGCCGCACCAGCAACTGCTCGCCTCCTCGCCAAATCCCCTGGTATCCTCGCCGGTGTCCCTTTCGTGGACGAGATCTTCAAGCAATTGGACTGTAAAGTGGAGTGGCTGGTCAAGGAAGGCGAACTCGTGGGTCAGAATGGCAAACAACATGTAGCCACCGTAACAGGACCCACAAGAAATCTCCTGCTGGGCGAAAGAGTAGCTTTGAATGTCATCGCCAGATGTTCAGGAATCGCTACAAAGTATGTCCTTCCTCTCCTCCAAACCACCCATCTTCCTTCTCCAGATTATCCTCTTCAAAGCAACATCACTGACGCACAGGAATCGAACAGATCAGACTCACTCCTCCAACTCCTCCGCAAAGCCGGCTACAAAAACACCCTCGCCGGCACCAGAAAAACCACCCCTGGCTTCCGCCTCGTCGAAAAATACGGCATGCTCGTCGGCGGCTGCGACCCCCACCGTCAAGACCTCTCGACCATGACAATGTTAAAAGACAACCACATCTGGGCCTGCGACAACAACATCTCCACCGCCGTCCTCGCCGCAAAATCCGCAGGCGGTTTCGCCATAAAAGTGGAGGTGGAATGTCAGAGCTTGAATGAAGCGAATCAAGCTATCGAGGCAGGGGCTGATGTGGTCATGCTTGATAATTTTACACCGGGGGATATGAAGGAGGCGGCGAGGAAGATTAAAGAGAAATATGGGGGTGGGGTTAGGGGGCCGCTTGTGGAGGTTAGTGGTGGCTTGACTGAGGAGAATGTTAGGGATTATGTTAGTGATGATGTGGATGTTATTTCGTCGAGTAGTATTCATCAGGGCACCAAGCATGTGGATTTCTCGTTGAAGATTGTGCCCAAGGGGGCGGAGGTTGAGGATGGCAAGGGCGAGAGTGTTGCTACTTGATTGGTTTGAGAAGCAGCATTGGATATTGATGTTCATGCACAGAATACAAAGAGAAAGATTCAGGATACAACAGGCAACTGACAACTGAAGCGACCTAAGAGCATTTTAAACAAGCATGAGAACATACCGTGTCACAATGAATACAAAAGAGCGAGAGTGGTGATACATACATTCCAAACCGAGAGCATTTATACAATGATAATGATATATACAAACCCCCTCCACTACCTCCGCCATCTTCTCCCAACATCTCCACCCATCTAATCCTTAACACCCCACTGCCCAACCATCCCCATAGCCTCCTCACCCCCCTCCGCCAACTTCCCACTCTCATCCCTCAACACCCCAGCCACACAATTCCACCCATCCCTGCCTCCTCCATGCCTGAGCACTTCATCCCTAAACCTCTCTCCAGCACTCGGATCCACAGCTCCCAATTCACTCCTCTTAAACACATCTTTCCATATCTTACCAGCAATAGCGCGATCAAAGAGATATGAATAATAAGTAGCGCCATAGCCAAACAGATGGCCGAAAAAGCCTTGCCAGGACGTTCCAGCGGGCTCGGGGAGAGAGGAATATTTACCCCACACATCTTGATACGTACGTGTAGAGTCAAAGCCTGGGGATAGAGGTAAATTGCTGTGGTACGTTTGATCCAACATGGCGAGTAAAATCTGCGCTTCCGTTTCCGAGCCCTGGGAATACGTATCCAGGTTTACTCTTTCGGCAACTCTGGACGTGTCTAGTGGTTTGTCGGTTTCCCAATGACGGGCGTAGAGATCCAACACTTCGGGCGCGGAAGCGAAATGCTCCATCAGCACTGATGGCAATTCTGCAAAATCGGTGGCGCAGCGTGTTCCAGAGACGTTTTGAAGCGCGGTGCGGCCGCAGATGGAGTGCAGTGCATGACCCATTTCATGGAACAGCGTTTGCACTTCTCTGAAAGTGAGCAGGGCTGGTCTTTTTGTGGCGTTACCTGCTGGGATGGCGAAATCGCAGATTAGTGCTATGGTGGGTAACTGATACAACTCGTCGTTATCGCGGCGAGATTTATTCGCGGCTAGACCATCGGTGGCTGCTTCTTGTGCGGATTCAAAGAGAACACCGGTGGCGTTGCGTAGAGCTTCTGCTTCTTCCAATTCATCGGGGAGGATTCGGCGACTGCAGCGGAGGGTGAAATGAGCAGGGTTGGGAGACTTTCCGGCTCGCTCGAAGAGATCGCAGTAGATTACTGCTACATGGCCTTCGCGGTCGTCTATAACGTCTAAACGGCGAACATCGTTGTTCCAAGTCTCTCCAGGTGCAGCTTCCTTGGGAACAAGACGGATACCATAGAGACGGTGAAAGAGGCGTGATAACCCTTGCATGACTGTGCCCAGAGAGAAGTATGCGGAAAGCACATCAGGGGTGCGCGTTTTAGATCGCATCGATTGGAGGAGTTGGTGTTGGTAGTAGTCTCTATCCCAGGCATTCAAGTTGTCAGGAAAGTTTCCAATGCGAGCATCACATTTCTTCATCTCGAGCAACTCCTGCATCTCACTCTGTACTCTTGGTGCATTGTCGGCGGCCAGCGCGTCTAGGAATTTGACTACTGCTTCCGGGCTCTTTGCCATTTTGTCGGAAAGGGCCATGTGAGCAAAAGAATCGTGACCGGACAGACGTGCAAGTTCAGCACGGCGATGCAGCAAGTGTTCCAGACGCTCGATGTTTGCTTTGGCTGATGTGCGGTTGGCCATGTAGATCTCTCGCCTTGTGTCTGCATCTTCTACTGTGCGTAGAGCTAGAGAAGCGGGCATGCCGATGGTGGGTAATGAGACACTTCCCCAACGAGTCAATTGGCGTACTACCAAAGGATCCATTCCCTTCAACTTGCTGCTCGGAAGCTTAAGTAGTGGTGTTTGCGGAACCATCTGATCCACGAATTCAGGACCGATTTCAGCAATCTCATTAGAAAGCTCGACAAATGCCTGACGATCGGTATCCGAGAGGTCAATGGCTGACTTTGCAAAGTCTCTCGCAAGAATGTTGGCGACAGTCAGTTCCTCCTCGCTCCATGATGCGGTAACCTCAGGAAGAGCAAGAGCAGCTTTCAATTGATCGTTCAATCCAGTAGTTGTGTTCAAGACATTCATGTACTCGAACATCTGAGCATACGCATGAGCAGCAGCAGCTTGTATGTTGCGATCCGGATGGGTCGAGCGAACAAAGTCGCATAAGTCTATTACGCGACATAGTAAATCACTCAAACGGTCCAAATCTTTTGCAATGCTCTTGTACTGTTCCGTAGTATTATAGGCCAAGACTTTCGTGACTATGCGCTTGCATTTTGCTAGGGTGATGGAAGCAAAGTGTTCGAAGCCTTCGGGTCTCGTGAGGTAGCGGTTCTGGAAGAGTCCCACTGATTGTCGGGATGGATGTGTCTGCCTGGCTGAGAAGTCCTTCCAGAAGGGCTGTGAGTCGAAGATCTGGCGTAGAGTGGCATCCTGGTGCGACGTCTGAGGATCTCGGTGCGACGCAAGCGGCGGCGGGGCGGAAGTGGATGAAGATGTGGTCGCGGAAGTAGCGGCGGTAGCTAGACGGCGACGATGTTCATGTCGGATGCATCTGGCGCATGTCCAAGGCCTTATCGGCGGGGGCTTGAGCATTATTTAGTGGTTATATAGACATTTATGTACATGTCTTGAATGATGTCGAATCTTTGATGCGGGTGTGACGAGACCGGGGAGTTTCGCTCCGAGCAATTCAAGGTTGGCGGTTGCCAGCCGGCGCAGCTCGTCAAGTTCCAAAGCCCTCAATCAACTCTCTAGTCACGCTCGTCTAAACCCGCCGTCGACTCCTCATAATGGCATTCCAGCCTCTCCTACGGCATGTGAGTGAAGCCTGATGGTACTTGCCCTCCAATTGACTTCCGCTGACATGTCATGCAGAGCGCCGCGCCTGTGGCAGCCCTGACTGCGGCTTTCGCTCTTCAGAGAACCGCCTACGCCGAGGAGCTCCAACACGTACGACCACCCTTCAATACCTCACCTACACAAGCCAATCTTTCTCACACCATGCTGCAGCACACGCGCAAACCCATCTACGACTCTCCGGCCTCAGCCGCTCCCTCCCCCGCCGCCATCCACGACACCACCATCCACCCGGAGCCCGTCACACCCCCAGTTCGCGATGAACAAAAGCAATCGACAAAGGTAACCGCCGAGACCGTCGCCGCCCGCGTCCTCGGCCAACCCGCCTCGCCAACACCCACTGTCCGCCTGGCCGAACAAATCAAGCGCGCCCGCGTCTTCCTCCACGCCCAAGCCGTCAAAGCCGAAGATAACGTCGACAAAGGCCTCACCAAAGCACTCAACCTCGAGCACTCCTTCATCTCCACATTGCAATCCCTCGCCCCTCCCAGAGAAAGCGGCGAACGTCTTCTCCCCGGCTCCGTCTACGTTCTCGTCGCAGCCATGGCCGGCAGCATCGTTGCCAGAAACCGCAACATCCTGCTCCGTGGTATCGTGCCCGTTGCCGCTGGAGTTGGAACTTCTTATGCTGTTCTCCCCATCACCACCCGCAATGTTGGAGATTTGATCTGGAAGTACGAGGAAAAGTACCCTGTCGTCCGCGATAACCACATTCGTGTCCGTGATGGTGTTTCTCACTTCATCGAGACTGGAAAGGCACACTCGCAGATGGGTTACTATCAAGCTGTCGATAAGGTCCAGGGCGTGCGTGAAGCCGTCGAGGAGTGGGTCAGAAAGGGCAAATAAATTATTCGAATTGTCGACTTTATCTCCTGTTGTTTCCTGATAGACCATTTTTCTAACGCCCTTTCTTTTGTGTATCCTGTTCTGTTCGCTAGCAATGTCTGATAAAAAGTCTGTATATTAAGATGTTCGCAAAGTACACCACTTTTTCTCGAATCGGTCGTTTTTGTTGTTTGGTAATTGATGCCATTTGAATATGCTGATGGATTTCAGCCTAGAAGTGCTCCTATTTGAGTAATGCTCCGCCCTGCATGGCCTGGCCTATCCAAGCCCTGGCCTCTAATCCACGGCCTTTGCAGCAGCAACACTCTCATATTTACTTCTCAAATACTCCTCGACATTTCTGTCTCCAGTAGCATCGACCCTCGGATCCTCAACCTTCTTCGGCACCTCCTCCTCCGCCTTGTCTTCTCTTACCCCATTTCCATACCCCACCGCTGCCAACGCGCTCGCTCCTACACCAGCAGCAGTGCTGTAAGCACTACCAGCGACCTGTTTAGCTTGTTCCACATACGTGGGCTGTGCAATCTCAGGCTCGGGCATGGGATGTTCTTTAGGCGCCTGACCGATCGTGTTAGGTTCGTTTACGCCGTACGTGTCGCCGAAAGTGCCCTCGCGCTTGTCGGGGGTGCCGTCGGCGAGGGTGCCGTGGGCGTGCGTGTGGGATTGCGCTATGTAGCTCGTACCTGAAGTGCCTGTGCGGTTTGTGCTGGGCTGGTTTGAAGAGGTCTGTGTGGACTCGGTCTGGTGGACCTCGCGGACGGGAAGGGTGGAAGTGTTGCCGGCGCTGGGGGTGGATGACTCGGTGTAGGGGGTTTCTTGGATGACTTGGCCTGGGGGTGGGCTGGGTGGGTGGGTGTGCTCGCCGCTGGTTGTGCGGTAGAGGTCGGCGTCTTGACGGGCTTGTTGGCTTGCGGCTGGTGCGGCGGGTGTGGGTTGTGCTGAAGACTTTACGATGGCGACATTGCGGTCGCGAGGTTTGCCGTTTTCTGTGCCTACTGCTCTTGCGATCTTGTCGCCGGTCTCTGTGGTAACCCATCTGATGGGGCCGGTAGGAATGGTGTCCATGCCGTTCAACTTGTGCGGTGCTGTCCACTGGAGGACGTTGTGCAGATCCGGGTCAATGTTGGGTAGCTCACCGAACTTGTACTTTAGTTTTCCACCGTATTGCTCGGGAATGTTTTCGGGGTCGATGTATTTTGAGAGTGTCGGGTACATGTCCTGCTTGGAAAGGATGAAGATCTTGGACTGCTCGTGTGTTAGTCCTGAACGTACTGCAGTAAGACAAGGCTTGTGGTAGGACAAAACATACAACAGTGATGGGGTCGAACCACTTCTTGACCCAACTCCACACAGTGGGGAAGAATGAAGGAGCACCAATGATGAATATTCTGTCGAGAGTCTCGGGGTAGTGGGCGGTGGCCAATTGACTGGCATCTTGCATGTGGTTCTTCAGGTTCCAGAACTGTCTCAATCCAACGTTTGAGATGTCAACAATGTTGCTCGATTGTGATACAGGTGTTTCCGGGAAAGGACGGCCAGGCATCTCGGAGCAGAGAGGGAGAACAAAGTTGGTCAAGTTTTCGTATAGAGCAAACAGACGGAGCATCTTGGCGGGAATCTTTGACTGTACGGATTGGTTCTTTGACGAAGTTGAAGCCTCATAGGCGGAAACGGCCTTGCTGTTCAGGTGTGCCACTTCGAAGATGTAGACGGGAATACCGCGGCGGTCTTGTCGTCCAGTCCATTGAGGGTACTGGAAGGGTGTCAGTACGGGAAGAGAGCTGCCAATGCATGGCCACTGACCAGAACACGAGTCTGCTCATACTCGCTGACGTCGATTGTGTCGTAGAGCTTCTCCAGCTGGTTCTCCTTGCGCCAGTCCTCGGTGTCCTTGAATTGGCCAAATGCCTCGTTGGGAACAAACTTGCGAGCACGTAGGTACCGCCTGCCAGGGTTAGCAGGAGTCTTTGTGGAATGCCATGCTTGCTCACAGCATTGTTTCGTCGTCATGGCTGGGGGTGCCATTCGGGCCGCCTGTGGGGTTATAGTAGCCCTTCTGCAGACATAGCTCCTTGAAAGCCTCCAGTGCCTTCTCTTGTCCGGGGTTCAAGTGTCCTACGTGGGTCGCCGGGTACTACATTGCAGTTGTCAGCTTTGGGTATTCCATGAATCGGCCCTCGGCGGCTGTGCCTGCCTGCTTCTGCTTACTTGGTACGACTCCATGCGCTGCAAATCCGCTCCAGACATGATGATCTTGATATTGCGACTTCACTTGTGATAGACTAGAGATATGATAGGTCCTTAGGGAAGCGAGACAGGGTGCAAAGGAACAGTCTCCTCTTGCAACTTGCACTTCTGCAACTAATTCAAAGTCATCGTTTACTCTGGGCGCCCGTCATACTTTCGGCCTGCTCGGAACGCTAAGGGTCCAGCATGCCTTTGTTCCGACCTCGACTCATGGAACTTGAAACACCACTGAAGCGCTGATTTTCGTCTTTTTGGAGCACACATGGCCTAGATGCAGACGCTGAATGGCTTCCATGTCCTCCTTTGAAGCAACACCAATCCCGGATGCATCATCCGCCGTGGCTGCCGAGTCATGGCGACATCTCCGACATCAATAAGGATCCCAACTCCGATGCATTTATCACGAGAGCTCGAGTTAAACCAGCATCGCAAGCCCAACCACATTTGCTCGATCCCAAGAGTGATACGTCTGCAGTTTCTCAGCTATCCTCATGGTATCTTTTCTGAGTAATCTTAGATCCGAGCGCATGCAGCCACATCCCCAGGCATTCCACGAATCAAGCTCTTTACCTAATCCAAAGTGCGCTACCAGCCAATTTTTGAACACGGTAATAGCCTGCAGTTGATTAATAGCCGGCATCATTTCTTGCAACACGCTTAGACGACAGTTGCCATTCGTATCGCGTCCATGCGGTTTAACATCACTTTCTCTGCTTCTGTCAACAAGTGTTAGGTTCTAAGAAAGGCGGGTAGACTTGCATCATCTACCTCTTCCCGTTCGCGATACCGTTTGAACCCTATCAGCGACATGATGGCTTGGTAAGAAGTTAGGGCATGGGCTCGGCAGTCCCATCTCTATGTTCATAATCCAGAATCTTGAGGACCAGCACGCGCGCAGTATGCGTCGACCCCACCTCGATTCTGCTGCCTCTGATCGAGAAGAACAAGACACGACACCGTGATCCATGCATGGAGAGACTGTCAACACAGACCCCTTCGGCATCGCAAGCTCAAGCTACATACTTCCCTCGTATTGCCGAGTAGCAGGCCTGGGATGAGCGTCGGAGGCTCGATTTCCTGGGGTCGGTGTTGCGTCTTGCAGTCCAATGACATCAAAGCAGCCACGCTCGCTATTCAGCCATGCAGCGCATTAATCTGGAATGGCTGCGGCACGAGTCAAGACGGCATTGTGCATACCGCCGGAGCGGGCCACGGCGTTGACCGCACCACCACAGATCCACAACCACGACCAAACAGGTTGCCGGCGGCATTTGGCACGATCGACAGCTATCTACCGGATCGTGCCAGCGATTGAGCCTCACGAGTCACGACATCCGACCTCATCAATCGACGGCGAAATTGTAAGCACCCGCAAATGGCAATAGGTCTGCTTTGACAGGTCCTGTGGAAGACCCCAGTATCCACGTTGCCGGATCACAGTGCTGACGATTTTCCACGGGCACAAGGGATCGCAAGGCGATTCGGGGTAAGGCGTAAAAGCAACTTCTCCACCAACTCATCTTTTCGACCGAAACGTACGTCTTGACGTGGCCGGAACATGAAACAGACGCAACTTGTCATCCAGGGCGCAATTCAGCAACCACCACACGGTCCGCAGCGGAAGCCATCCGCCTCGCCAAGCACCCTATAGACGTATTGACAAATAGCCTGATGTGCCTGATGTGCAGCAAGTTGCATGCATCATTTCGGGCTGCCCGAGTAGGCTTGGTTGCCCTGCATCACTACACTGCTCGGTCTTTGAATTCACTCAATGCAGAAGCGCTTAGCAATTCTCAAGAAGAACGTGGTTCATCTACGAGCCGTACCGATGCCGTAGGCGAGCATGAAGCAGAAATGCTTCGTTCTCGGCTTCAAATTCCGCTCTCTACAGCCACACTGCGCTTAATAGTGAATTCAGGGCGTGTTGAACATCAAAGTTCTGTCGACGCGCCTGACAACGTCAAACGAGGTCATACATCCACATCATGCTAAGCAGCCTTGACAGAATATGCAAGCCTTACTTTTCAGTACCCCTCCAAGCCATTTTCGTACTTTTTCGGTATAGAGGCCTAGTCCTCAAGATCCGACTGGCTGTAGCCGGTCGAAGCTCCGATGCATATTATGGCCGAGGCAGCCAATTAGCAAGCAAGACTGAAACCAAATGGACACCGAGACGGTCGCTTCGCGGATGCGTACTACTAGGCGCGCCCCGCCTGTACTTACTTCCTTATTGCTTGAATTTTGGTCGCCTTGCAAGCGACGATCTCATGCTCACAGCGCGCCACGCAAACGCATAGCAATCTCCAGACAACAAAATCTGCCAGAGCCGCGCTGGGTTTGGAAATCTTTCTCGTTACCTAACCCGTTGGAGTATATGCATATTCCAATGCCGGATAACGTGCTCGTAGGGGACAAGAAAATTCAGGTTTGAAGATAAGACTAGGCGTTGGTTGTGGTTGGTATGCGGCACGAACCAATCCGCGCTGTTGCTTTCGTCTTCGTTCTTCGTCTTCGCCTACAAATACCAAACTTTCTTTCTTTCGAACATCTGGCCCAAACCTAAAGAGAGAAAACAAGAGTCGTTAGCACAGTATGGCTGTACGAAGTCAATCAACCAGCAACAGGCCCGAGAGGTTCCAGATTAGTGTTAATGACGACGGCGACCTCTACATGTTCATGGATACATGGAATGGAGACACGATTGCCAATTTCTTGACCCGTCTAGCGAACACTACATCACCAAAGCTCGTCCGCAAGAACATACACTTGAGCTTTGACGGCGTTCGTCTGGGCGAATCGACAACAATCTTTGAGGTTAGTCTCGACCCCTATGTTGACTGCGACATCCTAACGCGGGCAATGCAGACCGGTCTAGCAGATGGTGATGAGCTAGCCCTTCACTACAGACCAAAGGATGGAAAAGACGAATGCCAGTCATGTAACGGTTCACGTAAGTCTTAGACATTGCGACCTTCGCCAAACACCCCCATACCTCTACTGACATTTGGGAAATTTTCTAGACAACGGCACTGGATACATGACTCGTCAGAACGGTTGATTCCATTCAGAGCGTCATTCACATCAGGCCAACAAAAAAGCAAAACACAACAAGCAGTAAAACACCATCACAAAGCAACAAAAACAACAACAAGCACATTTCATGAGCCATACGACTACCAGATACCCAAGCCATGCAATCTGAGCAGTGCAAAAAACACCATCGTTGGAAATTTTTCATCACATCTTGTCACTTTTTCCTTCGGTAAAACCCTTACCGAGGGTTAATGTTATGTCGGTATATCTGCCGACTCCTGACAAAGTACCGACTCGGGAGATATATCTTTGTACGAATTAGGGGAACGAAAAAAGATCAAATCGTCTCCACCGAACTTTTTCGTCATCATCACCTGTTTCTCTAACTTACACTCGTAACACATGACCGTCCCTTTTCTGTCATGGGGAAATCACCGTGACTTCTATCAATTTTGAGATGAGAGCTTTATTACAAGACTTCATAACAACACATACACGTGATAATCATGCATTGTTAAATCATCCCGCATCCCCATCGATCCATTGGGCTCGAAAACATCACCATGTCAAGGTATACAAAGGTCCCCCAAGATCAAGCGCCGGTAATGCAATGTTGAGTCATCAGCTGTTCACCCGAATGTACCGTGGACAATGCAAAATGCAAAATGCACATGTGAATTTCCTCGAGGAGGAACGTGACTTGATCAAATCGTTTTACCCAATACACTGGGAAGGAACATCTGCACCTAGACAATTTTAAAAGGCCAAGAACTGTCGCGCTCGCTCGTAATTCGGGGGTGATGATTAGGCCAAGTGAATTCCAATGCAGGAAAGCGATCCAAAAGATCACACCACACCGACCCCAAGTAATCATCATCATTAAGAGTGATCGTCCGAAAAGAAGTTCAAGAGAGCATGATAGATCCCTTGCTTTCTGAGCTATAACTGTATACGTGCGTTTTCTAACCAAACCCTTACAATCTCTGATACGCAAGCACTTGAAACCTCACATTCTCCAAACTACCCGGATACCTCAATCCCTCTTCCAATTTATTCACCTTCATCTCCTGCTTGCAAATTTTCTCCCACCGGATTTCCGGCTTCGATTTTTCCTCTTCCTCGAGGGCTTTTTTGCCTTTTCCTTGGACTTGGACTTTTTCGATGGGGAGTTTGCCGAGGAGTGCTCGATCGGTCAATTGCTCCATGGTGTATTCTTTGACGTCTTCCGAGTTTGGGATGGGTTGGAAGATGGAAGCGATGATGGTGTCGATGATGAGGATTGTGCTGTTGGGAGGGAGGAGAGCGTCCAATCTTACGAAAAGAGCCAAGGTTTTTGAGATTGAGGTTTTGTAGAGGGAGGAGAGGGTGAGGAACAGGGTTACCAGGATTGGTTTGTCGCCGATGAGTTGGCGGAGTTGGGTGGTGGTGAGGGTGAAGATGTCGTGTTGTGTGAAATTGATGTTGAGGGTTGAGGGTGATAGTAAAGCGGCATTCGAAGCTCTGGCTGAGGCGCTCGCGTATTTTGACAGAGTTGGTGGTGTTGTTGCTCCTGTTTGGAGTTTTGAGATTACTGAAGACCAGTCTGCTGAGTCGATGAGTGTGAGATCCAGGATTGGTGCTGATGCCTCCGTCGAAGGATCCTCTTTAGCGGCATCCAGTTCTGATTGAGGTCGTCCAGCAGCATCAGATCTCAAATGCCGTAACAGTCCAGCGAACGCCATAATCTCAGCAGCACCTCCTCCAAAACAAATTGCTTTGGCCGATGACTTTGACAAACGTTGGACCCAATCATCTTCAGCTCTCTCCTCACAAAACTCAGCCATCACATTCGCAAACGCCAACGCCCTACTCGGACTCCACCTCAAAGCATACCCCTCCCTCTTCTCCTCACCTCCAAACGCCCCCTCCCAATCCCTCTCCAAAACTTTCTCATTAACCTCCTTCAACACCGGTATCAGCGCCTCAAAGTCCTCAGAAGCCGCAAACGAATCCTTGAAAATGTTCAAAACAAGTTGTTGCAGCTCGACAGGTAAACATTGGTCCTGAGGGGTAGGTTGGTCCTTTGGCGCATCCAAGTGAGGTTTCGGCTTGGCCTTTTTCATGTAACCGTTTCCTCGCCATTCTGGTTTTGCGATTGGTGGGGGTCGCGCTGGGGCTTTGGAGGCGCTGCTGCTGAGGATGGGGCCGTGTTTTCTTTGCGATTGCGCTTTTCTGTCGTATTGACCCATTGTGTTTGTGATTGCTTTTGTGGGTCTTGAAAAGTGATGGTTATTGTTGGTTGATGATGGAGGTGGAAGATGTGGTTTGGAACGTTGGCAAATTTTCGTCGAGAACATTGATGGAAGGTGCAGAAGCTAGTTGCGGGGATAACCCGGAATTAAATATACTGACATCCATGGAAGTGATGGTTAATGTTAGAGTCACAAATAGGTGGAAACTGCATGGTTGTGTCTTCTTTGAATTATGCGCAGCTATTTTGAAATTCACGATGGCATCCAATTAAAGTAGCAAATGTGGGAGGGGCTGAAGCGTTGGAGTCGCGTGTACTACTGGCTCTCGGATGTTCTGTTTGAAAAAGGAAAGGGGTATCTCTGAATCAAAACGCAATGCTTCGATACTCGTCGTATCTCTCTCAACTCTCCTCCTCCGCCTGCTCCTGCTCCTGCTCTTCCTGATCGTCCAGCAGATTCTTCAATGCTCCATCATCGCAAAGAGCTTGCATCCATGATTTGACGAAAGATCCATAATCATGTCTACGATGCATGGCCTCTTCGGCGTCTGTCTTCTCTGCTTGTTGAGAATCGCGTACCTGTGCTTTGTAGCCAGCCTGATTCGTCACAAGCTCTTGCCGTACCTTGAGCAGGCTCTCTGGGCAGCTTGATCTGAGCTGCTGCGTCATGTTCTCAGCCAAAATCGTTTCGGAGATCATGTCGTCGGTCAGGCCATAATCTTCATTTGCGCCAAACAGAGTACTGTCCTCTGATTTTGGATCAATGAAGCTACGCCAGCTGTGAGAAACTTGGTCAAGTTGTGTCTGAATCTCTTGGAGCGATCGAATGTTTTGCGCAAGAGCACGGCGGTCTTCAACAACCGGATCTTGCACGACGGCCATCAGACTGAACTCTAGCTGACCTTCTTCATACTGAGCCATGCGGACCGCAAGGGTACCCTGAACCACACGTAACCAGTCCTGATCAGGCTGGATCGTCCCGACAGCGGTAGGAAATGAGTCCAGACCATCAAGCTTCCATACGTCGTCACCAATAGGCATGTAGGCGACGAAATGGAATCCCGATGCTTCAGACTCTTGCTCCTCTTCCTCTTCAACCACAGCTTTGCTGTTTCTGGCTTTGCGTGGAGGGTTAGATCTTACTGCGGTCGGCGTTGATTCTTCATTGGTTTTGGCGGCTTTCTCTGCGGCTCTCTCTGCAGCTTTCTCTCTTGCTTTAGCCACTTTAGCAGCAGTTGCAGCTTGCGTTTTCTGCTTTTTGACCATTCTGTCATTTCGCTCATGCATCTGAGAATCGATGGCGAGCATGTCAGTGTCTCGTGCGAAAGAATTGTGGATCTTGCGCACGAAATCAAAGCTATCGATTGCGTGGCCTCTAGCAACCGGATCAAAGGTTTCCGTGAATTCTTTGAAGCACTGTAGAGGCAAGCCGAGCTCTAAGTCTGGAATGTTATTGACGATGTTCAGCAGAGCAACAGTTCCGCATGCAAATTGGGGAAGCTTGATGTGTTAGTCTTGACGGTGAAACCATGAATGGTGACTCACTTGATTGGCGAACCAGACATGAGAAGGACATGTTGTTTCTGGGACCTGTTCAGCAGTATCATCTTGCTGATATCTGAACAGAAAGATGACTGCGTGGACCGGTTTGGGTAAGACTGCTAGGTTGGTATCGTCGACACCGAATACTTCTTGGACTCTGAGATCGCGAACGCCTATGTCCTTGAGAATGGTGGTAAAGAAGGCCTGCAGGTGGATTAGTTCTAATCAACTTCCGACGCGAAAGAGTCAACAAACAGGTTCGGATTCAATCTCGCACCAACCAGGCCACGAGTCTAGTTCAGGAGTAGCGGGTGTAGGAGGCGGAGAACTTTGAGGTGTACTTGATCCATTCGTGCGTCTTTTCTTCTTAGGCGGCATTGTGACGGGTGTTATGATCCAAGTACGAACGTCGACAAATGAACAGAGATTTCAAAGGTGGCACACGACATGGCAATATTATGAGACAGATGTGAAAGAGCGAGCGAGGCTGTACGCAGTAAGACAGTCGATCGAGATGGAACGACAGGGTGACCCATAGACAGCGCGTTGTGGTCGCGACGCCAAGAGCTGTGACGAGCTTGATTGTTTTCATGTGCAAAACATGCGACAAGTCAAGTCGAAACAAAGCCATTCCTAAGCCAACATTCACCTCAGCAAACCGAACATCGCATTGGATAGCTGCACCAAGATCCACAGCATGCGATGAACGGCACACCTCGTCTTCGCTCCGGCGCCTTTCCCTCGACGCCGCAGTCGACGCGGCGCAACAACCTTACTCCTCAGAAGCTCCCAGACATCACCCAGCTCAGAGCTGCTGCCCCGGCACGACAGCAACCTCAGGACAATGACGGTCCTCTGATACCTGTCGAGACACTGGACGCGCCAACACAACGACTCTATGTGGTGGGCTTCTACCTGGCGCTGGTGGGATGGAAGATGTACGACCACTTCTACCTGAAAGAGGAGGAGACCGAGTCGCTATGGCTGTTTATGAAATGGGTCGCCTTTGATGGTATCTTCCTGTTCGGCTTGCCCGAGTTGCGCATTCCCTGGCTCGAGTGGTCGTCAGCGACAATGCTGCTTCTCTTCCTAGCCCACGCCATGCTGGACGCCATCCTCATGTTCCGCATTCAGCTTCCTGTCGGCGCTGGTTTCGCTGCTATTGGCAAAATCTTCTACGACCGCGAACTCGGTGTATCCGGCCACCATGTCAAGCAGTCCAGCATTCTGCACAACTCGTCCTTGATTCTCGGAAAGCAAATCATTCACATCCTGCCAGAGGGTTCTGCCATCCTGAACCCGGCCAAAACCTCCTTCTGTCTCAGCTCGACGAACCAACAAGTCTACCTCCCAATTCAAATCAACCAGACCACCCCGGTGAGCATCGACTTGCTCCGATACGAATTCGATGGCGCCACCAACGAGACCATCCACATCTCGGGCAAAGAAATAAAGAAGATGATGAAGGACGCCGCTAGATCCGCCTCACACCCTCCTTCCAACCAGCCTTTGCTCTTGCAATACCCTGCCAAGAAGACTGGTAGGTATTTGTTAGCCAAGGTTATGGATGAGTCCAAGCTAGAAGTACAAAGAAAGCGCATCGGCGACACCATCATTGTCACTTGTCCACAAGCCGTCATCAAATCCACAACACCTGATGCTTGCAAGGGCGACTTGTCAAGCATTGATCTCGAGGTTACCGGAACTCCTCCTCTGCGTATCAAGTACCGCAAGATTACCAATCAGAGAGAGCAGGAGGCCCATTTCCAGAGCATCCAACCCGATGACTTTGTTTCTCCTCTGATTCAGCAGTCCTCGGATGCTCTGGCCATTAGGAACACCAAGGATATCTCCTGGGCCCGCGCTCAAACAGTCACTGTTCCTCTCAGAGAACACATGGGAGAGAGCGGCAAATGGGTCTACTCTATGGACGAGGTTGAAGATGCTTTTGGAAATATCGTATCATACACTGAGCGTCAGCATGACGACCAGGAGAAGCCTTCAGCAAAGGCCGCACATCTTCATCAAGTCGTGACGGTGCACGAACGGCCCCTTGTTGTCATGAGAGGCTGCGATTCGCAGCATCCACTCAAGGTTGCCAAAGGTCAGCCTACTGCTCTTCCTGTTCAGTATGGTTCCACGGCGGCCAAGGGTACCGGCGGTTTCCTTAACACTCCTTACAACCTCGAGTACATCTTCACCCCCGAAGGCCAACTCCGGGCCAACGGAGATCACAGTGATGCAGCTCAGACCAAGTCAATTTCTATCAAGAATCAGGCGCAAAGACCAACCGTTCAAGACGCTGGTCTTTACACCTTGCACAAGGTGTCTACGGACATCTGTAGTGGTGAAGTCTTGGAGCCTGCATCTTGTTTGCTGCAGAACCCTGCGGAGCCAAGCCTTCGTATCGACAAAGAAGAAATCTTTGACAAATGTGCCAACAAACCCATTGGTCTGCGTGTCGACTTCCATCTCACCGGAACACCTCCGTTCAAGATTCATTACCAGATCACAAAGAAGGATAGTCCCCATCATGTGACACATATTGAGACAGTCAACGGTTTGCGTGGACAAATTGAGTTGACCCCTCCTACTGCCGGTCACTACACATACAGATTTTTCGAGATCAGCGATGATGTCTACAAGCTATACCCGCTCAAAGGAGATGACATGGTCATCGAGCAAGATGTCAAACCCTCTGCTTCTGCGAACTTCATGGAATCAACGCCATCTCGCAAGGTTTGCATCGATCAGCCAGTCTCTTTCGAAATTGCACTTCGTGGACAAGGACCATTCACGGTCGAGTACGAACTTGTTCGTGGTAGCAACAGAAAACGCCACACCCGCAAAGATATCGATGGCGAGCAGTTCACCATCAGCACCGATCCTCTCACCAAGGGTGGCGATTACACTCTTGCGTTGGCCAGTGTGACTGATATAATGGGTTGCAAGGAGTTTTTGAAGCAAGAAGCTAAGATTAACGTCCGTCACCAGAGACCAAAGGCCTCTTTCGGACAAATTGAAGGCACACGCGCTATCAAGACTCTGCAAGGGAAGACAATGAGACTGCCTCTTAAGCTTACTGGAGAAGCACCTTGGAGTGTCGTCTACCGTAATCTTCGTGACCCGGAGCGCTCGCTCACGGCCAGACTGGACTCACCTAACAGTGACTTCGCAACTGCTCAAGAAGGCACATACGAGCTCCTCCAAGTGCACGACGCTATTTGTCCTGGTGCTGTCGACGAAAATGCCAAGAAATTCAGCGTCGACTGGATCGAGCGTCCGCATCTGAGAATACCCGAGGCATCGTTTGACAGGATTGAAGGCGGAAAGTACATCAAGAACGACGTTTGCGAGGGCGAGGAAGATTTGGTGAACGTTCACTTTTCTGGTGCTCCTCCATTCCAGTACAAGTACGATGAAAACATCGTGTCCGAGCGTGGTGCCAAATCGAAGCGCAGCAAGGCTATCACTGCCGCACTTGGTGTCTCGTCTATCAACCTTGACACCTCGCAAGCTGGTGTGATCGATTATGTCTTCACTGAGCTCGCCGATGACAACTACGACCACAGCTCCAAGCACTTCACTCCTGTCACCATCCAACAACGTGTCAATGCTCGTCCTTCTGCCAAGTTCACTAATCCCGGCCGAACATACAGCTACTGCTCCGTGGAGTCTGCTGGTGAGGAGGTCATCCCCATTACTCTGGAGGGCCAGCCTCCGTTCACGATTGATGTCGAAATCAAGCACCATGGATCAGCCCGCCCTGAACTGTTCTACGTCAAGGACATCCAAAAGAACACTCATGACTTGCGCGTCCCTCACCAGTCGTTGCATCTCGGTAACTCTGCTGTATCTATTCGCAGAGTCACTGACAGCCGTGGCTGCAGTCGCATTGTAGATGCAACTTCACCCAGAGTCCAGATCTCAGTCCACGATGCTCCTACAATTCGCGCTCTCGAGAACCAGGAAGACTTCTGTGTCGGCGATCGCATTTCCTTCGCATTGTCCGGTCAAGCTCCTTTCCAGGTCTACTACGAGTTTAACGGTGTGGCCCGCAAAGCTAGCTCAGGCAGCACGACCTTCAAGCGTTTGGCAGAGAAGCCTGGATCGTTCGTCATCACCGGCGTCAGCGACTCCGGCTCCTCCTGTCGCGCTTCTACCCGTATTGAGAAGAAAATTCACGGTATGCCATCAGTGCGCGTGGGCAAGGGTGTTGAATCTCAAGTAGACATTCACGAGGGTGGTGAGGCCGAGATCACCTTCGACTTTGGCGGCACATCACCCTTCGAGTTTACATGGACACGCAGCACAAACGCTCGTCGTGGACAAAGGTCTGAGGTGTTGGAGATGAGAAGCGAGATGTCTCATGAACACCACATGCAAATCCGGGCCAGCGAAGAAGGCACTTACGAAGTCGTATCTATCAAGGATAGATACTGTGCCTATGCCAAAGAGGGCATTGATTTGACGAAGAAGAAGGGCAAGCTGCTTACATACTGAGCGTTGTGTTTTTTCTCGCATCCCTTCTACATGTACAGTATATACCTTTGTTCTCTTCTTCCTTTTTGCATTTTTGGCGGGTAAAATCAAAATAACGACACTTCTTTTTCTCTCCAAATCGTTTGTCCAGTTGCGTGCCGCAAGGTTTGTGATTTGCAATGTTTAGCGCTCATGTTTTCTAGCATGCAAGGTTTGAGAAGCTACGTGCCGATCGAGCAGGAGCTTCAACAAGTCCTGCGGTCATCAGAGGAATATAAGCCTGACGAGGAGGGAGAGGGATTGGGGGTTGCTAGGTTAGAGCAAAGGATAGGGAGGAAAGGGCAAGTTCAAGCGAAATTGGCTGCACCTTCCTAGTGTCGTGGCACTTTGAACGAGCCAGTTCCTCTCGCACTTCCAAGTACATCCTTACTTCAACTTTTTTGTGTTCTTCGAATGTTCGCAAAAACATGTTGTCGGCAACTTCATAAGAACGTCCTTTACTATACCGCTTGTTTGTCTATGACGAACTCTACCTGGTACCATAGCGACTCGTGCGTGGTCGGGTCCGTGTTCAAGGCGGCCACCACAGTATTTAACACCTCCGTTTGACGCCAGAATCTAATCAATAACAGATACCTCGACATGCGCACATCACAGACTCGAAAGAATAGTGTGCTGCTACTGTGGGTGGCATTTCTGGGAAATGCAGCTGCAAAATCACCTTCAGCGTCATTTTCGCTGGGAATGCCTTATGGAGTCAACGCTGCGTCGATTCCATATCCTCACCTCTCGGCTCTGGAAATGGCACCAAAGTGCGATGACGCAAATGCAACGATGAAGAGCTACAGAAGACTCATTGAGGAATTGTCTACCATCGCCAACATGATCGAAACTACCGATGCGCATACAAACGTGCCCGCCGGAAGCAACAAAGATACACACACGACATTAAATGATGTCGAAGCAGGATCCCAAAACAATCAGCCAGCGTCACAAAAGAGAGTTTATCTTGGTAACGAGAATCCCGAGGGCTGTCCTACAGATATCGATACACCTTTTTGTCATGAGTGTGGGGGCGACAAAGGTTCACCCGATGGAGTCAACAGATGCAGAGGTGTAAGTTGTCTAAAATCTAGGCGCTACCGATTTCACTAAACGGGAGAACAGATCGCAGAGCAGAATATGTTCCTTGAAGATTGTTTATGTGAGGAAGTGATAAACAATCATGGTGATCCGCTGAAACGTCCGAGTCTGGCTGAGAGACTTCGGAGGTGGCCAGAGTACGAAGAAGTCTTGAAGGAGATTGAGGAGTATGGAGACGAGGATGAACCTATTGATTCGAATGCAGACATCGTTGAGGTCGAAGACATCGATTCAGGACAATGCTCGGAAGCAGAAGTAGAAGTGAGTCAAGACGTCGCGCCAACTGCACGCCGCTGTTATAGCATGCATGTGTCCCTAATCAATGACGTCCCTTCAGGTAAAGCCACAGTCGGCTCAACTGCGTACTGGTCGGCTCTCCCAGGCATGAATGGAGATGTTACATCGAGACATGGTTTTGATACTTCCTACCATCCTTGTCTCTTCAGCCAAAGCCAAGGATCAAGGAGATGACCCAAAAGTCGAGAACGGTCCCCATTGAAAAACCAACGCTTGGATCGGTCATGCTTTCCATGTCGGAGTGCGCCGAGGTTTTGGGAAGCTGTGACTATCGTGCGGCTTTTGATCTGTAATCGGAGAGTCGACACGTTTTCATGATTTTTTTGGTAAAGGACATGATCTGGAAGTCGAGAAGAAAGTCAAATGAGCCGGTCTAGCTTTCTTTCACCTTTCTTCGTCCTTATTTCCATTTCGGACTGTGCCGAGGATTGGAAGAAGCTGCGAATATCTTGTATTTTCTGATCTGAAATTGGAGCCAACGCTGGTTCACAAACTGGCAAGAGACATGATCCGGAAGTCACGAAGAAACCTAAATGAGGTGTTCTTGCTTTCCTCCTCTTACTTGGTCGTTCCTTCCATCTTTGGTGATGTCAAGGGGGCCTAGGTCAGCAAGAGTACAACTACCTTGCTATAGTTGAGTTAAAACTATGGCCGACGTCTACTCAAGCCCTCGGAATAAGCACCCATTATGATCATGTGCTTATCTGAATAACGACCTCCCTTCTCTCTGACGAATATTGCGGAGAAAGAATGCCAATTGAAGGTCGCGGACAGGTTTCCGAAGCTCGTCTATACCATGTCAGCATTAGCGTCGGAACCCTTCTTCCTGCAGAAATCTGGACCACGGCAACAAACTACGGTAACCAACCACCTTGAATCACTATAGATAGTGCTTGATGCCCCATGTTCTCCCCATATTTTCTCCAGACTTCCCCAGAGTCTTTGAAAGCTTCAAGTTATCCTTATCCTATACCAGAATCAGTCATGGAGAAGTCCGTCGACGCTGTACACTTGGAAGACGTGCAAGCCTTGGGCGCCAATCTTGCCGAGATCTCTCACGACGGCAAACCTGTTTGGGAGCAACGCCAGACATATGGGCCGGCTGGCATTCGCGGATTGGCGACCTCGAAGTATGTGCTGGCCGCTGCAGCATTCTCCACCTTGGGTGGTATGCTCTTTGGATACGAGTAAGCTATTGGATATGCCTGTCAGGAAGGTTATTGCTAACATATGCCTCAGTCAAGGTGTCATGGCAATCACGCTTACCATGGACCAATTCCTCACTCAATTTCCTGAGATCTCCAGCACCGCGGTCGGCGCCAGCTTCAACAAAGGACTGATGACCGCGATGATCGAGCTCGGCGCCTTCTTCGGAGCCATGAACTGCGGCTGGATCGCGGACAAGTTCTCCCGAAAGTGGTCTCTTTTCATTGCCAGTATCATCTTCATCGTCGGATCTGTCCTCCAAACAGCCGCCGTCAACTTTGAGATGCTCATCATCGCTCGCCTCATCGGTGGCTTTGGTGTTGGCATGTGTGCTTGTCTTGCTCCCATGTACATCTCGGAGATCGCTCCACCTGAGATCAGAGGTACACTGCTTGTCATCCAGGAGTTGAGCATCGTCACTGGCATCGTTATCGCTTTCTACATCACATACGCCACTCGTCACATCCAAAGCCACTGGAGCTGGCGTGGACCTTTCCTGATCCAGATGTTCCCGGCTCTATGCCTCTGCGTTGGTGTCGTCTTCCTACCTTACAGTCCTCGCTGGTTGTGTGGCCAAGATCGCGACGAAGAATCTTTGAAGACGCTCAGCAGACTTCGAGGTGTTCCCGAGACTGACTCTCGTGTCCAACAAGAGTGGTACGAAATCAGGTCCGAAGTGGCATATCGTCGTGAAATCGAGCAGGAGAAATACCCCCACCTACAGGATGGAACTGTTTCTTCTACCATCAAACTTCAGGCCAACAACTGGGCAGACACTTGGAGAGGCCGTAACTGGAGACGTACACAGGTCGGAGTTGGCCTCATGTTCTTCCAACAGGTAAATTCTCCATTCTTGTTTTGACTGCACGAGATCTGACATGTGCCTTCCCAGTTCGTCGGTATCAACGCTCTTATCTACTACTCACCTACCCTCTTCAAGACCATGGGCTTGGACTACGAGATGCAGCTTACCATGTCTGGTGTCCTCAACATCTGTCAAGTCATTGCTTGCCTCTGGGCACTCTGGGGCATGGATCGCTTCGGTCGCAGACAGTTGCTACTCTACGGTGGTGTCTGCATGTTCATCGCACATTTCATCATTGCAATCTTGGTCGGATTGTACCATGACTCCTGGTAAGATTTCCCTTCTCGTGATCGGCCACTGAAAGACAATCACTAAACCATATCATAGGCCTACTCACTCCACTGAAGGTTGGGTCGCTACTGCCATGCTGCTCTTCTTCATGCTGTCTTTCGGAGGTGAGTCATAACACTTGACGAGAATACATCAGCTGTCTGACAAGTAGAACAGCCACCTGGGGCCCCATTCCCTGGGCGATGCCAGCAGAAGTCTTCCCATCCTCCATCAGAGCAAAGGGCTGCGCACAAGCAACAATGTCAAACTGGGTAAGTCCCTCTTTTCATCTCCAAAGCATCCGCTAACACAAGCAATAGGGCAACAACTTCATCATCGGTCTCATCACCCCTCCCATGATCGAAGGCATCGGTTTCGGCACCTACGTCTTCTTCGGCGTGTTTTGTTTGATCGCATTGGTCTGGGTGTGGTTTTTCATCCCCGAGACCAATGGCAGAACACTTGAGCAGATGGATTATGTGTTCAAGGATACACAGACGAATGAGGAAAAGCAGCGTCGTGCGAGAATCGAGGCTGGTATGATCAACAGGGTCAACGAGGTTGTTCGCAGTAACTCGATTACGGCTGTGTGAGAGATGTCCAAGCGGGTATTGGATCATGATATATATGGATAAGGATATGGTGAATACGATTATGGATATGACGGTTAGTTTTTAGCAAAGATATCTCAAGTTGAGCTTGAGCGTATTAAATCATTGGCCATTGAGAAAGAAAATGTATATCGAAAAGCGTTCGGTGCAACAACACACCAAATCAGAACCATCAAAGACAGACACGAATGAATACATAAACCGAGTGAGCTCCCAGAGCTCGACCTACAGCTCTGCTGGCCTTTTGAGACTCTTCATGTCCAAAGAAGGTTCGTATCGCCCATAATCCGACTTTGTGGGTCCCGAGTGACCTGCTTGAGAGGTTTGAATCTCCATGGTACTCCAATTGTTTGATGGCTGCGCACGATTCCGTCGTCTTCGGAACAAGATGACTGCGCCAATGAGGAAGGCAAGCGCGGCTACTGCGCCGACCACTATACCTGCTATTGCGCCAGTGGATGGCCCGGAGCTAGGGGTGTCGGTGGGAGATGTTGTCGAGGTGGAAGATGCGAGTGCGGGTAGTCTGGACGAAGAGTTGATGACTGGGATGTCGCCTGTGGTCATTGATAAGGTAGATGATACAGATGTAGAAGTGACTGATTCGGAAGAGGTTTTGGTGGTGGAGCTTTCGCTTGTAGTCGTCGATGATGCACTGCTAGTGCTGGGGAGAGAAGTTGCAAACAAAGAGAGGTCTCTCTGTTGGAAGGCGACCGTGATGGGTTGGGCCCACATAGTGATCAGGCCCGACACCTCGGTGAAGAACGTTGTTGTACCGTCCATCGAAGACGTGATAACATCTTCACCGCCGTCTTCCGCGAATACTGTTGTGGCACTCGCATCGGTAAAAATGCTCGTACATCCAAAATATTGTGCGGTGACACCTCCAGCGTTGACAGTACTTATGAAATTCGTGTAGCCGAATTTACTGTAATCGAGTTAGCAAAAGCTGCATATGCGCTAACAAGAAGACTATTTGGTACCTCAAACAACAGACTGCCGTTGTTGTGTCACCGTTGTAACCGTTGTTTGCAGTAGTATAACCAGAAGGACATACACCAGGGCTGAACACCTGAATGAAAGATGGTGCTCTACCCCAGCCATCCAGACCACGTGGATAACAGGAGGGATCCTCACGACCAGTACCGGCTTGAGCTCTCTGTATCAAAAGCCCTCCAGTCACATCGTTTGCAGCTTGGCTCTCGTACGTCCAGTGTGAAGAGCATGAAGATGGCGGCGTGAAGACACCCGACATGGGACTCGTGCGAGTAGTCAAAGGACTCTGAGTTGAACTCATCCTGAGTGATTTGTTACTCAATTTTCAATGGAGTGCACTGTCGATTGGATGACAAGATGAGGAGGGAACATTCGAGACAGGTGAGAACTTTCTCTGACAGTATAAGGGACACGTCCCGACGAACCACGAACTGTCTGGTCCGAAAAAGGATTCCTCGGCGCTTATGATGAGTGCCATATAGGCGCCACTCGATATGCACTGCAGTAGGATGCCTGAATGCACCAGGTAAAAAAAAACTCTGTGTGCTCGGTACCGAGAGTTCCAGACCGTTGGACCAGCACCCTTTCTGGTTTCTGAAGAGACTGCCGCTCTCGTTACTCGGGCACAGCTATGGTATCGACCGGACGTCAACAAGCTTTTCAAATTTCATACCACCATGTCAGCTCAATCATTTTGAACAGTATGTACGAAAGACTGCCCTAACTGCAGCCTCACGCACAAATACCTATCGAGCTGCTTCCATCTGCAGCTAGAATATCATGATGCAAACAGCCAGGCCTGCATGTGCAGTACGCAGAGAGAGAGGCGTCGTTGCCTCATGCGAGAGCACATATTCAGGTCTGTTTTGAGCCCTGAAGATTTATTTTGGTACTCGAGATAACGGCGTGCTTCCAATTGCATGTTTTTTTGGCTGTCTAGGCTTGTGTACGAAAGTGAGCAAAAGATGGATGAAGTTGCGAGTCATGCGAGGTCCCAGAGATTGAAGGTACATTGCGCCAAGGAGGAACCTGCCGGCTCCGCTTGTTCCCCGTCACCAGCCTTCGGATTGGTCTGTCACTGTCCCACAGCGAGTCATTTCGGCGGCTATTCCTCTTAGAATGAGCGGCGACAATGTACGACAGGTGATTGGGTTGATCGCGGACACGGGGTCGAAACGAGATAGATTAAAATAAGCGGATGCATTCTGCGCCGCTGAAGGTGGGTGGCCTTGATGGGCCTTGTGTTTCTCCGCCCGGCAACGATCATCGCGGTGTAGTTGGAGTGGTAGCCTCTGAAAGAACACGGTAAGATCAAGTTGGAACCTGGACTTTTACAAAGCTCGACGTTGTTCGTGAGATCACGCTTCACCTCTACCGACTCGAACAGCATGGCGAGACTGGGGAGACTTGGCTGGGGACGTACAGCGTTCAAAGCCACTCTTGCCTTTTGCACAATCATGGCTCTCGCATTTTTGAGCCCGCTTGGCTCTGCTTCTCCACGAGGATTTTCAATTGGTATGAGTCTTCCATCAAGAGGTATGGATTCAGTCCTAGATCAGAGCAAAATGAGCTGAAGTGAACAGAAGATCCTCCAGTTCTTGTATCGCCGGTCCAAACAGCTAGACAGAATGCGATTGCGGCTGCGTTTCAACACGCTTGGAATGGGTATTCTAAATACTGCTTCGGTCACGATACTTTACATCCTGTTAGCAATACTTGCGAGGATGACTTTGGTGGGTACGGCGCTACAGCCATCGATTCCTTGCCGACCGCCATCATGTTTGGCAACGAAGAAGTAGCAGTCCAGATCCTGAATTTTATCGCTGCTTTGGATTTCAAGGTGGTCAAAGGAGGTTCTAGGATCCAGGTGTTTGAGGTCACTATTCGACACTTTGCCGCCATGATCTCAGCCTGGGATTTGCTTCATGGTCCATTCTCTCACATGGTCACTAATCCAGATCTTCGACACGCGTTATACGTCCAAATGACTACGTTGGGGGATGCGCTGAGCTGTGCTTTTGACACTCCAAGTGGCGTTCCTCGCGACTGGGTTGATCCTGCGTTATGTCAGACAGACAAAGCCACCCAGAATACTATAGCCGGCGCTGGAACTATGATACTCGAGTTCGCAAGATTATCAGACATTACTGGAAACCAGACCTATGCCCACCTGGCTCAAACTGCCGAAGAATATCTGCTGAAGCCACAGCCAGCAACTGGCGAGCCGTATCCGGGACTCCTTGGCTCCTTCATCAGCGTGGAGACCGGACAAATTCTGGGCTCAAAGGGTAGCTGGGGTGCTTTTGCAGATTGTGAGACTTGATGCACAAACGAATTGAGATGACCGGTGACTAATAATTGGCAGCCTTTTACGAATATCTAATAAAGGCATATCTATACAACAGCGATCTTTACCAGTCCTATCTGGAACGATGGCTCATTGCAGCAGATTCGACGATTCGTTCGATTGGGTCGCATCCCTATGGTCACCCAGAGTGGACGTTGCTATCATCCTGGGACGGAGGCAATCTGCAGAATTCTATGGAGTCGCTTTCCTGGTTTGCTGGTGGAAACTTTATTCTTGGCGGAATGGTCACGAGCAACCAGACTCTTGTAGACTATGGTCTCTCGATCGCAGACGCAGCAGGTGCTATATACGAGTCAACCAAAACCGGCCTTGGGGGAGAATTCGTGACCTGGTCAACCACCTGCGAGGCCAGCGAAAACAATCCCTGCGACCCCAACGAGGCCATTCGACTCACTGACGGAAGGTTCCGATTACGGCCTGAGGTTTTGGAGACATGGTATTATGCTTATCGAGCGACCAAAGATCCAAAATATCAAGATTGGTCTTGGGCTGCATTCGAATCCATCAATCGCTATTGTCGGACGGATTCTGGCTTCAGCTCACTCACTGACGTAAATGCCGACGAAGGGGGAAGTAAAGGCGACGTACAAGAGAGCTTTGTCTTTGCCGAAGTGATGAAATATGTGTATCTCACACATTTGGAGGTAAAGTTTCACAAGTGGAGAGTTGCTTGTCACGTCGAGGTTGCTAACATATACATCAGGATGCCCCATATCATGTCCAAGACAGCCGAGGGAGCACGAAGAACACATGGGTCTACAATACAGAAGCACATCCGTTACGTGTTGCGGGTCCTCCACGATAATGATAACAACAAGACACGTACAGCCAGGGAGTTACGGAGGACATGGAGTATCTTACTTACAATCAATAATAGATACCATGGGTGGATACCTCGGTCATGAGCAAAGTGTTGTGGTTGACAAAAGAGGAAGACACTGTGCTTACGGCTGGACCAGTTGGGTCTCTCAACACACATGGAACATATACTGAGTTAATTATGTCTTAAGCACATACGGCCACAGTCAGCTGAAAACTGGGCATCCCGTCCGCTCTGCCATACATAAGCAGTTGAACGGCAGATTAGTACTACGGTGGGTGACCACGTGGGAATCCCTGCTGCTGTATGTTTTGCTTTTGCTCTAAGCGTTCTCTGTCCATTTGTTTTTGCCTGGGAAGCGGTTTCCTGTGTAATTTTTGCGAACAATCGTGTTCTGTTGCCAAGCATGTGTGGTTCGGACCTGCCGCGATGCGCACTCTCCAACTTGAGATCGGCACGGGAATTGAACTGCGCTTCCTCCTGTCTCATCACCCATTTGCGACTATGAGTTGATATGCACGCAGCAGGTTTTTTTTAGCTGATCGCTGCTTCTTTGCGCCGCTCAAAGTTGTGGGCGGCTAGGTAAACATCGGCACAGCCGAGTAAGCGTTAACCGGGACGCGTAGATTAATTTGCAGCAAGTCGGGTCAGGAGTCGAGAGAGCCACCATGAAATCCTTCTGGTGATGCAAAAGATTGTGTCGACTTTATCAAGCTGTATCACGTCGCGTTCAACTCCAAACTATGTTATACCAGCATCGGACGACAATGACCATCTGCAGAACATGGCCTGTGTCTGGTAGTCTCCCATGCGCTTAACCCTGCATCTACTCCAGGCAGCAGACTTTCCACAATGGATCCCATTGTCTCCGGAAATGATTCACCTGGGCAACCGGATGCGAATGACGGGCTGTACGAAGATGCTATAGATGCCGCTATCAAAGAGACTGTGTTTGAAAGCAAACTCACAGATGGCTGCATCCGAACGCATGAAGCCACTCCGTTTGGCATTACCCCAAAGTCTTTGGTATGGTACCGTAGTAGCTAGGCTCGCCTTTTCCATGGACAAGGCGAGATGGCACGCGAAGTGCTGGCGAAGGATTGACGAAGAGTAATGGGCCGGTGTGTCTCCCATCACCTGAATGCCTGCCCCGTGGCTTCACTTCTATATTCGACAGCAGATATGTTCTCCAACCAGACGACCCAACCCACTACGGCATCACAGGCGACCCCAGAGTTTGTGAGTTCGGCTCTTCAGGACGTGAGAGGTTCGTTCTTATCTAAAGAAGACAGCATGACACTCTGAAGTACTTCTACTTGATTTTCAGCGAGCCTGGCTTGTCACATTAAACGATTCCTGTGTTCAATGCCGAGGTACATCCATCCAGGAGGACGCGACCCTCCCACGGTTTGTTGTCTTCTATCTGTTTTGTCTCCTGTTGAAATTAGTCAAACAGTCGGCTTCCAAAATCGAGCGAAACACTGGGATCATAGGTAAGTTCGGGTCTGGCCTCCGAAGCGTCAACGATTTTTGTAACCTTAGGACCATAGTCCTGTCCCGCTCACAGGTTGCTCACATCCTGGTCACAAATACTATCGGTCTATCCGTATTTGACACAATATTTGTTGGTGAGTCCCCGATCTGCGTGAATGTTGCTGTTCGCTGTTGTCTCCATCTTCTGCATTGCATACGTGGTGGCTGCAAGAGCTAGATTGCATTGTCGCCGCGTCTAACGGGTCTGACTGCATTGGTATCAATGTTTCTGATGCGCTATTTTCGCCAGAGGATGGTGGACTAATCTCGCCCAGTCTGTCGGTACACACCAACAGTCCAAATCACACGCCGTGATGCGTCTCGCCGCGTGGAGTGCCTCGCCACAGGGCTTAGGCAACGAGTCTCCATGTCCTTTAGCCCCCCAATTCGAAATGCGTTAATCATATGATCTCGAAAGTTCCGGATCCTTCAACGCAGGCAGTGCAGGAAATGCTAGAGTAACTCAAGCCTCTCCTGCCACCTTTCCAACATAGCATGCAAGCCCTGTACAAGGCAATACGCCCACTCCACTTTTGGAAGACTAGTTTGTGTCGAGCTCACGATCTTCTGGAAGCCCACAGTTCATTTATGCCCACCAGAGACTCACAAAAGGCCGTGTAGAATGGTTCTCGACGGCGGTGTTGGAACAGCAACTGCTGTGGGTAGCGCTGCCAACATCTCCCTACGGCTTTTCCAAGTCATCTACGAATTCAAAGCTGTCGGTCAGCAGACACGAGATCTTCTCGATTCCACCAAGCACGTATCGTCCACTCTCGAAAGTGCGCGAACTATGCGACAACAAAAGTCTGGATTCCTCAGTACCGACGAACGAAAATGGATAGACAGCATAATCATCGACACCAAACGCTGTCTGGAGAGCGTGGCTGCTCTAGTCGAGCCGGCAAGAGTAGACCTACAGACCAAATCCGGACGCGTCGGCTTCGTGAACCGGAGTCTTTTTGTTTTCAGAGACTCTCCCAAAGTCGCAACCAACCTTGCACGACTTAACTTGGCACATCAGAGCTTGAACGCTGCGATGGGTGTTCTCTGCTCAAAAGGAACATATTGGCAACCCATCAGCGAATTGCAAGCAACAAACCAGCAGGAGGTCATATCACCACCGTCATATGAAAAGGACCAATCTCTACACCGGGGGAAGTTCTCTCGAGTCGGTAGTGTTTCCGACATGAGAAAATATCATCTTCTCTCCGACGACAGCGCAAGCCTTCGCTCTACCTACTCACTGCCGCAACCTCCTGTTTTCATCGCGGAGCTTGAGAGCCCTGATGCGAGGTTCACGACAATCAATTGTCCTCTTCAACAGCCAGTTGAGATGGATTCTGATACTGCTCTGCTTCATGTACCACCAAACAACATCTCAAGAGATTCGGAAGGTCTTCAGCTAGCAGGTCATGAGGACTCCAAAGGCCAGATGGACCATCAAAGACAACTCGGAATATACCGTCATGAAAAATTTCAGACACAAAAATGGTCAGCCGACAGCTACGAGACCTGTACAGTGCCAACAAATAACTTTCAAGTAATTGATGACAAGCTCAGCGGTTTGATCGCCCACGCGCCACCGATGAGGGCGAGATCAAGAGGAAGAGCTTGGTTGGAGTCTAGAGGCACACAGCGGCCGTGACACGGGTTTGATGAAAGATACTGCAGTTGATTTTCAGTTGTGCCTGGGAACGGAGATGATACCCCTTTTGTTATGCTATGCTTTTTTGTGTTGTGTTGTGTTGTGTTGTAGCTCTTTCGAAGTTTGGAATTGCGTTTGGCTGTTGGCATTGAATGGGTATGGTGAGTAATTAGCTAGCTACCTAGATTCGACACATAATTCTTGCGGAGTATTTGTCTGTTGGCGAACAAGTTGGTTTACCGCTATTACGCATCTCAATTCAAGGCCGATGCGTGTGTGCGAAGGATTGAAGTCGGGGGAAGGAAGGAAGCGGGATGACGCGCGACGGTCTCCCGGGCGCTTGACGCGTCTCTTCGTTGGTCGTTCTTTCCTTATCGCATCCTACCCCTTTACATCCGCAGCAAGGCTGGATGTAACCACGAGCATCCCAAAATCACATCAAATGTGCGGTAGGTGAAACAGTGGCTGCAGTCTGACGCCACCGAGGCGCTGGACAGTGGCATCGTGCAATATGTCTGGTACAAGGCGCTTAGGTACACGGCTTGCAGATGTGTGTCAACATTCTAGGAAGGCAGTCGGTTCTCGGTTGGCCTTATGATTAATGGCGTGTGCCCTTGACTGGACAGTGTGGTCCGATCTGGAGACTTGGAACATCGTGGCTCAGAACTTTTCAACATTCAATCGTCGTCAGCCTATGCCCTCAACTGATAGATAGACATAACAACAAACGATCAGAACTCATGATGGCTAGCACTGGCATTGACCCAGAGATTGTGATAGGCATCGACTTTGGAATGACAGTATGCTCAAATCATCGCTTGGCTTTTGGCTCTGAATGACCAACATTCTAGTGCACTGGCGTTGCGTACTCTGTGGCTCCAGAGTGGTCCCAACCAACAACAATTCAACACTGGCCTGGTAAACTCGGCTTCGAAACTCGCAACAAAGTCGACACAGTGCTCGCATACAAACCTGAGGGTGGTAAACCAGTGTCTTGGGGCTTTCTTGTCGACCATAACCGAGACGACTTGATTCTTCAGGAGCTGTTCAAACTATGGCTTGATCCCGGGTATCGAGAAGAGCCAGATAGTCAGGAGTCTGGTATCACAATTCAAGAAGCACGTGCATCGTTCGTGGATTACATGCGCTGCTTGTACGAAGCGATCTTGGCCCATTTTGACGATAACTATCCAAGATGGCGAACCAGACAAGTGGAGTTTTTGTTTAGTGTGCCTACCACATGGGAGACACCCATCACAATTGCCAACACCGAAGGGCTTCTCAGAGAGGCCGGTTTTGGCAGCGAGCCAGGGCATGTCGCCAAAATCTCCCTCACCGAAGCAGAGGCAGCCGCGGTCTATGTCTCCAAACAATCATATCAGGTAGGAGATATTTTCCTGGTTTGTGACGCAGGAGGTGGAACGACCGACATCAATGCGCTGAAGGTCAAAGATAATCGATCTTTCCGTACAGAATTGGAGCCTCTTCGCTCAGTCCAGGGAGAGGCAATAGGATCGACTCTCATCGACTACAAGGTCGAGAGCATAATAGCTGAGAGGCTTGGGCGCATAGCAAGGGTGCTGCGTGAATCGCCTGACAGGGTAGCAAGAGGCATGATGTCGGACAGATTCACGACCTACAAATGTTCCTTTGGGTCCAAGCTACAGGATGAGCTCGACCTGTTGCTACCAATACCTGGATTGTCTCCTGGCATGAATTACCCTGCTGCGCATATCCAAAATTCGATGATGACCATCACAAGGTAAGTATTGACCATATCCAGCAACCAGCTCGGCGAGGGGCAATCTCTGATCGTATTTCTGCTGTGACTGATCTCTAACGCATTCGGAGTACAGAGACGAACTTCGAGTAGTGTTTGATGAGATGATTGACCGAGTGTTCGCATTGATCGATGGCGAAATTCGAAAACTTCAGACGAGTCATCCTGGTGATAACATAGTACGCATGTCAAACGAAAGACTTTTCTTTCTTCTGACTAACAGTGATAGTCATACCTAGTAGTCTCCGGAGGGTTTGGAAGCTCACCCTATTTGAAACAACGGCTGAGAAAGCGATATGAGCTGAACGGACGCGACGAATTGTTCAATGCTCGTTCGATCAGGATTCTCTCGGCCAAAGAACCGTAAGTCTGCGTCCGTCTCATGAAACTATAACAGATGCTGACTATTTTCTCAAGACAACTAGCTGTATGTCATGGTCTGGTTATCAACAGAATCCAAGAGCTCAAAACAAAAGTGAGTGTGTATACAGAAAGATGTTGCCGAAACAGCTACGGCATCTTGGTGCGCCAATTATACGACCCTATGCTGCATCAAGGCGAGGATATCTGTCACGATGGCCGAGATAAGCAAAAGTGGGCAGAAAACCAAATCCATTGGCTTGTTCAAAAGGTGGGTCAAATCTTGCCGTCTACCTTCTTTGACATTTTTGTTTACGAGATACAAAGGGGCAGCGAGTATCTGTCAAGGAAGGAGTTACGCATCCATATTGCCTAAAGCTCAATAAAGGATCTGAACAAATCCCCTGGAGCACGCAGATCGTCATGTCATCCATATCCGCCGAGCATCTCCCACGAAGCATCAAGCACCAAGGGGTCAAACCGCTTTGCGTGTTGGAGTCTTGCGTCGACTATCATGCACTCACACTCAAAAATAAACACTGGTAAGCTATCACATCTACCAAGCTGGTAGTGTACTAACGAAAAGTATAGGTACAGTGTTGGTAGACAGTACTATCGTGCGGATTTTGATATGAAGGTTATTGTAGGCCCTGCTGATATCAGATTCGAGATTTGGACAAGAGACGGACGGATCAGTAAATCGCATGAGGAGATAGAGGTAACTTGGGATCCTCTCATCACTGAATAAGTTCTGTCATGTGTGAAGGGTGTCTTCTGAAGTACACAGGACAAATATGCTAAACATCTCGATTGGTCTCTCGAAACTAAAAGCCCATATCGCAGCTGCACAGCACTTCTGTCTCTGCTTCCTCCATATACGAAAATGTGCCCTTGGCCACTCTCGGACGTCACCAATACAGCATCTGTGTCCGGACATCGGATTCCTTCTGATCAATCACATCAGTGAATCGCAAAACAGATATGACACGAGCAAACTTACAGCCTTGACACTTGAAAGAGCGGATCTGACCCCACCCATAGGATTTGAAATCACTGCATCCATTGACCGGACCATTGCTATCGGCGTACCTGCCCTGACAGCCAGCCTGGTCCCATACGACACAATTTCCACCTTTCATGTACACCGACCATGGAATCAGTGCTTCTGGACCGCAGTTGCCATTGAAGGAACCGCCGTTTCTGTATTCGCGACAGCCCGTGTTAGGCATGCTTTTGCCAAAAGTTTGGCATCCGGTGAGGGTGTTGGCGCCGGTGATGCTGCGATATTTGGTGTTCTTGTCGGCTTTGCAGGACCAGACGTTGTCGTAGGCGATGACTTTTTTGGTATTTGTTAGGAACTATGCTCACGCAGGCCGAAGACAGGATTTGATTCTCTCACCTTCCCATGCCTGAGAAGTGGCACACAGGGTCGCAATAACGACTGCGCTGACGTTTGAGAAATGCATTTTGAATTCAAGTATAAACGAGCAGAATGAACAAGATGATCAAGAAAGAAGTCCACTATGACCAGAGCAGCAGCTTCTTATAACTTTACATTTTCGATGACTATAGAAGGATTCTTTGCATGGCACCATGCCCCCGGACCATTTGTATCTGCAACTATACAGACTAAACCTCCTCTCAAACTTCCACGAACCAATCGTCAACTAATGCTCATAGTAGAAGGATCTGAGACTTACGAAATGCATTGCACATGCCCCGCTCGCCCAGCTAGTCCCCGCAATATCATATTACTGTATATGCCTACATCTTGGCTCAGGATGCTACGAAGAGAAAGCACTTGGCCTGATGGATTCAAAGGCGATGCCAAGACGCATCGTAAACACCAACACGTATGAATCGCTTCCTCCCTCACACGACCTCGGACGACCTCGGACGACAAATACCAACACTCGATCAAACCTTGCTAGCAGACGAAAGAGATCAAGATGCTCCAATCCATCTAAAAGAATACTCAATGTAGGTCAGTACGAATTCGCCAGAGTCTGTGCGGTGACCTCACCAACCAAGCTGTCATATTGAACTGATCCTTAAGGAGTACCTACCTCTTCCAAAGCGTTGTATGAAAGTGATCTTTGGACAAATAAACAACTATCCACCCTACCAACCACCTACATAACAATAAAGCAGCATTTCAACCCGACCAAAGATCACTTCCACTCCCTTCCCTCATTCCATCTTCCCAAGCAATACTACAAGAAATTTCTAGACATTACATCCAAGATTTCAATATTCATCGACCGGTCATTGGGGAGGGCTCGGAGAACACGCTAAACTGCATCACCTTTTTGGCGCTTTTTCGAAGTAGCGATATGTTGGTGGTAGATTGAAAAGGATTAATGTTGGTCGTGGGATTTTGTTGATCAGAAGAGGAAGCGATGAGATGAAAGTGCAGAAGAGGAGACGTCTGCGAGTTTGGTTTTTTGTTGTCAACGACTGGTGCAGTAGGGATGGTAATGGCAACCAGTCGCGTATGCAACAAAAGGTGATGAATGTCTGCAACGCTGGTTTCCGATTCTCATGACCCGTAGGTGTTGCGTTGCCTTTCCGAAGCCATCCTTTCGGAAGGAAGCTTTGACGCAACCTTTTGAGCATACCTTCCTTTTCAATTTAAACTTCTGTCTGGCATGGTCGAATGGTTGAGCCTCGTGTTTCTTATCGTTCTGCTTGCCTGGCATATTTCCTTGGCTGTGTGTCTAGAAGTGCAGCAGGTCATTTAGACTCGTCCGAACATGCTTGTGTGAATTATCACTTGATGACAACGACTCGATTTGGGGAGTATGGAGCGAAGCACAAACAGACAAGTCCAGACGATCGTAAAGGACAAGAGCATATCCAACGAGCTCGCCATTCAAATAATGCCATGGGATTAATTAATAGAGTATTGTGTAGACTATCTTCTCGACTGGTATGCGATCACGATCTTCCAACCGTAAAATCCGTCTGCACCATGATACCATTCACACCCCTTCCAATCGGCGCCGCCGTGGTAGCCAATGGTGCCGCCTCGATATCATCGTATGGCGTGTGCGAACGATTCACACTACCCTCCTCCGAGCCCTCTGCCGTACTCCTCTGATCGGCCTTCAACCTGCCACCTCCTCCCACATCCATCTCATACTCGTCAATCTGGACAAACTCCTTATCCCCTCTTGCCGTACTCAGCGAACTCAATCTACTCCCCGCTCCATTCTTACTGCCCCAATTTCTAGAATTGCTTGTGCCCTTTGATCTTTTGCTACTGCTGTGTGCAGTGCTGTCGTCGTAGTAGGAAGGCTGGGAGGCGGGTTTGGGGAAAAGACGGTTGCGGAGGTTTCCTGTCAGGGAGCGGATGGCGGGGGCGCAGGCGACGATGATACCGACGTGGGTTTCGACTGCGGACCAGTAGCCTACAGGCAGATAATCCCAAGTCACGTTGTCGGTGTGGGCGAATTGGATGAGGAATTTGAGGCGGAGGATACTGACGATTGTGACGCTGTGGGATGGATTCGTTAGTGCTGCGACTACAAAGATGGAGCAAGGTAGGAGGAGCGTATGAGGAGGAGGAGGAGAAACTCACAATCCACCACCCAAGAACATAATCATCACTCCCAATTTCCTCCGCCAACTCATGGCTAGATCTTTGAGTTGGCGCATAGGAAGGATGATGACGATGAGGTCCAGGATAATGTTGATGATGGCAGATGCCCAACCTTCGGCATTGAGATTCAAGCATTTTCCTTGATGCTCGCCATCCCATTTCTGCCAGGCCATACTAACCGGAATGCATTGTAGTGCAGTGGCGACGATGAATACAACCATGTATGCAATGCAAGCTCCAATGATACCATAGATCATCCGGCGGAGCTTCCAGTCAGGGAAGATGCGGAGGTAGAAGAGTAAGATGGAGATCTTTGTTAGTCCGATTGCTGCGAAGTAGAGGAGTTCTGTGAAGTAGAAGATCTTATATCATATTATCAGTTTGAGAATTCGTGGTTTCGGGAGAACTGTTATCACATACCTCCAGGATCTGTGTGATGTGATCGAACGACACATACCACATGTCTTTTCCCATGCCGATTTGGTTCACTTCGACAAATGTCAGAGATGGTAAACATGGAAGAGTACGTAGATGTAGCACTTACAAACATAGGCGCAAATTGTTAATGGGATGACGAAGACCTAAACTCCCCGTTAGTTTGAACTACGGAACATGAGAAACTAAGATACTACCATGGCTAAACTGATGATCCAGTCGTCAGGGCCCCATTTCGAATGATGAATGGGTAGTCGAGCAATCGCTCGAAGAAGGAAAGCCAGGACAGCAAATCCTCCAGCGATCAATGTTGTGAGAGTTCCAATTCTCTCCTTGTTGCGACACGGAGCTCCCAGCAATGTTTGAAGGAAGGCTTTTGCAGCTGTGATGCATTAGCGAACTACTCTGGTTGTGAGCATGTGGAGGTGATCCTACTGAGTGATTCTTTAATCGTGCAGCTCGCTCTGACACACACGCTCAATTCATCTTGGAGAGGCTTATTGGCTTTGATACAAGCAATGTCTGTGAGCTCGCATTCTGATGCTGAAAGAGTGGTGATGGTGCACGTTAGCTGTATATGGTCAGCTTCAAGAAATGATAATCTGAATGGTTCAAATTGTCCAACATACTGCACAAGTGGGCAACTCTTGGACTGCAAGTTGCAGAATATCAGTTGCACTCTGATTTGACGCTTGTTGCGCTTGAGAGAAACACGCAAAGACAAAGAAAATCAATGGGAAGAAGGACCTCATATTGCTGAGCCGCAATGACCGACGCCAGACCCAGAGAGCTGTCCAGATCAAGGGAGGCCTTGTATAAATGAATGTGGAGGAGTTGCAGCAACGAAAGTAATATCAAGCAATCAACTTGCAAGACTGGGGAAGGGCAGAGTTAAAGGGACCATGCTGTTATAAGGTTATACACTGACACCAGCAATGCTCGACAGATTCTGAAACTGGACGGGCTTGTTATCACAATCGGCAGGCCAGGAGTCATACAAATCCCTGGTTTTCGTTCGGCGCTCTGTAAGCAGCTGGATACACAACTGATGGTCCCAATGGAAGACCATCTTAGTGTTGAACTATGAGGTCTTAGTGTTGGAGTATCACTGGGGAATTGAGAGATCTGGTAATTTGATGCACCGGGAGCGAGCCGTGCTTGAAGATCTTCGACATACATTCAGCCATGATGTGCGAATAAAGGGTCCTAGCTTATGGAGGAGAGGAAGCCTGTGCGCAACCTGTCTGACGGCTATCGCTTGCCAATACCAACTGGATGGTAACACTGCTTCGGCAACTGGATAGACTGTTTTGTTTGTGGGAGGATGCGTTGATGCCGCCGCAACAACTTGTAGCAGTCTTGAGACTCCAAGGACGAGAAACAGACTCGAGCAACGCCAGGAGTGGTGATGTGTGTCAGTCTTCGTATCGCATCGCACCGCACGCGTAGCAGCAGAAACAGGAATTGTCACCAGTCGGCAGGAAGGGACCAACGTGGAATAAAATCAGTTTGAGTCGAATAAGCTTCGCAGGGACGGAGACTGACTTCTTCTTGACGATCTGTGACATTTGGTCTGTTAGTGTACCGTGATGGTGTTTCAGCGGCTCTCGAGGTCCCGACGACAAGGTCCCAAATTCTGCTGTGGAGACACGGCAATGAAGTGTTGACAGATGCTAGTCACAATAACCACTATTACTTGACCTCCGCCCAAGAGACCAAATCCTGCTGCCATTCTGAAAAAGTGTGTAGCATGCGATTTCACGCAATTCTTGATCACTGATCAGGGCTTCGTGCCAAGTCGAACTCGAGTAATTCTGTTACGCTTTCCACTGAGACCAATGGACTGCAGTAAGATGTCGACCAGCACTGACTGGTCCGCACTGGTCCGCACCTTAATGCCATTCTACCGAAGAACGCCCACGTGGAATAGCAAAGCATGCTGAGGCTCGAAGAAATACCGTTGCGCAAGTCCTATTTGAACTTCAATCCATGAGTCGAGAAGGTGAATAGACACCAAAAAGAGTGGACGCTTTTTGACGGGAGTGGAAACAGAAGCTCCGGCGGAAGGAGCATTGTCCGGTCAAAATGCTTGTCGACGTGGAGCCTGGCGGTGGCTTGAACTTCCGGTCGTGCATAAAATCTGGTGTTCTCGGAATGTGGAGGGAGAAGATGCGATATCGGTCGGACAGGGTGCCCAGTCTAACTATGCTTCAAACAATGTATGGCGGCGTAGACGACTCAATATGTTTTCTTTCGCTTTGATATCGCTGATAGATATTCCAATGAGCATATTTGACTACTTCCTAGCACCAGAGCACGAAATTTCCAACCATTAAAGAGAAACGGGAAGAAAATGTTTTTACAGCTCGGTTTCCAGGCATTTACAGATTGTTGGCAACAATGATTGTCCATTTTCTGGAATGACCATGCTCAAAACTTGAAATTTGCCATACTCGACTCAAACCTCGAGCCTGAACCACAGAAGTCTCATGGTATCCAGATAGTATCAGTAAGATGTCTCAGAGGCTATCCGGATGAACGAATGTGTACGTGGTCGATGTGCAGGTCGTCGATAATGGTTACAGAGCTTGTATGGGGGATGACCCTGCTCCGACGCCTCGGCTACACTTGCCGGTCCCGAAAACGCGTCGTCCGTTGATCCAATCACGAAGACATTGCTCAAGGACACAAGATGCATGATCGAAGTCTTGCTTCGAGATCAGATACATTCGCAATATTGGGATCAGAAATAAGGTAGAAGATCGTTCATGATTTGGGGAAAAAGGAAAATTTAGATATACACACAAGAGAGATTTGCCCCTCTGGTTTCCTGAAGCACCCACATCCTCCGTGGAGAATCAGAATGCCCTTCATGATCGCGCAATGACTATGATGTAATTAAGAAAGAAGTCGATTCAACATTTAGATGCCGAAGAGCATCTTGCGGGGGTCCTCAATGTACTCCTTGACCTTGACAAGGAAGGTAACGGCTTCTCTACCGTCGAGAAGACGGTGGTCGTAGGTGAGAGCGAGGTACATCATGGGGCGGATCTCGACCTTGCCATTGACGGCGACGGGACGCTCCTTGATGGCGTGAAGACCCAAGACGGCGGCCTGGGGCAGGTTGATGATGGGAGTACCGTAGAGCGAACCGAAGACACCACCGTTGGAAATGGTGAAGGTACCGCCAGCCATGTCCTCAATGGTGAGCTTGTTGTCACGAGCCTTCTTGCCGAGCTCGGCAATGGACTTCTCAATGCCGACCATGTCCATGGACTCGGCGTTGCGGACGACAGGGGTGACGAGACCCTTCTCGGTGGCAACGGCGACGGAGATGTCGACGTAGTCGCGGTAGACAACGGTGTCACCACCGTTGGGGCCCTCAATGGCAGCGTTGACGGCGGGGAGGTCCTTCATGGCAAGGACGGAAGCACGGGAGAAGGCGGACATGAAGCCGAGCTTGACGCCGGTCTTCTTGAGGATCTCATCCTTGTACTGCTTGCGCATGTCCATAAGGGCGGACATGTCGACCTCGTTGAAGGTGGTGAGCGAAGCAGCGGTGTTCTGAGACTGCTTCAGGCGCTCGGCGATACGCAGACGCATGCGGTTCATCTTGACCTATAGCCAGTTTGTCAGTTTTGACCTCAACACCTATGGATATTGTTCATGTCTTACGCGACGCTCCTCACGGCTGCCGTAGGCAGATTCCTCCTGAGGCTTAGAGTCCTTCTTGGGCTCAGGCTTCTTCTCGTCCTTCTTGGGAGCGGGTGCGGGCTTGTCGTCCTTCTTGGGCTCCTCCTTCTTAGGCTCGGGCTGCTTCTTCTCCTCCTTGGGGGCCTCCTTCTCCTTTCCACCATCGGGCTGGGATGAAGTCTCCTGCTTGTCTGAAGCGGGTGCCTTGGGCTCCTCCTTGGCCTGCTCCTCCTTGCCGCCGGAAGGAGCACCGCCAAGCTCCATCTTCAACAAATCCTGACCGACGGTAACGGTGTCCTCCTCGTTGACCAAGAACTCCTTGATGGTACCAGCCTCGGGAGCGTTGACAGCGACATCGATCTGTAGGTCGTGATTGGTTAGTTTTTTCGGGACAAAAATCGCGCATGGTGGATATGGTGTACCTTGTCGGTCTCAATGGTAGCAATCTCCTCGTCTTGCTCGACGTAGTCGCCAACCTCTGCGCTGTGGTCAGATATAGCTATTTATGATTTTCTGAGGCTTCAACTCACGTTTTGAGAACTGCTTCAAGGTACCCTCTGTGATAGACTCGGCCATGGTAGGGACCTGAACGACCTTCTCAGCTGCGATAGAGCTGTTAGTATGTTTGTAGGTAGGATTCCGACAAGATTGACGCACCATAGCCGCGAGTTTGGACGTGGGCAATGGGAGAAGAGCGGATGAGGTGTGCAGGTGTCCTGGCATGGTGGTCAGGAGGACATATATTTTGGTGATTTCAGCCATGTTTACCTCGGTTGTTGTGACAGGAGGACGGAAGAGCGCGAAACAGAAGAGGTCGAAAGGCATCTCAGAGCAGCGGCAGAGCGAGTGGCATATCTGGGAGCGGCGCGAACAGCAGGGCGCAAAGAGCTACCTGCGGCCAGGCGGAGACATTGACGGCTGGACATGGTGTGTTGAGAAAAAAGGATGCAAGCAATCGAGAAAAGAGGGGAGAACGAGAGTCGAGAGCAACAGAGGTCGCGGTGAAAGGGCGATCCTGAGTTGGATTTGTCGGGGAGCGGTATAGAAGCGGTAGGGGTATTGGCAGATGATGCTTTGCAGGTCGAGGGGATAGCAAGAAAATGATGTCCCAGGCCGTCTTGATCAGCCGCAAGCAAGCGGTCGGTACGTCAGAAAGCATTCCCGGGCAGGCCCGGGATCATCTGCACTCTTGCCGGTCTGAGTGGCCAGCCGGACTCAGCCCTACGAAGTGCCAAGAGGTCAGCAACTGCTGCTGCTGCTGCTGCTGCTGCTTGGTGTGTGTCGCGCATACCGGACGCTCAGGAATTAGAAAGTCGCAGCAGAACATTGGATCTGTGTCGCCCCCTTTTCCAATCAATTCGACTCACACTTTCCGGTTGACCGTCCGGACCATCACCCACAATGGCCAACACCTCCGCCATGTAATTGCCTTTCCGACCCGACGTGCAACCTCGCATGGCGCATACTGATTCCTCTGGTCGTAGCCGTCTGTACCGCCGGTCACTCAAGCTGGCCCTCGACTGGTCCGTCCACCGTCATCTCTGGCGCGGCCAGGCCTTGTACATCCGCTCTCTCTTCGAAGCCAACAGCAACGTCCGCGAGCCGAGACAACAGAGAGTGAGTTCCCTCTCTCCGTCATCACACGCCCTCCACCTCCTCTGGCTTCCGTCAATCCTGTCACCACAACTCCATCGCTCTCCTGGAAACACGACTCGCTGACTCTTTCCTCTTTCTCTCTCGGACAGATCCTCTTCGACCAGACCGAAGAACTCCTCAAGCAGTGGAAGCACCCCGACCCATACCGTCCTCCCACCGCTCCCGGTGGCAGCAAGTACGAGCGTAACTTGCCCTGTCCCATCCTTGAGCGTATGTCACTCTCTCCCTGTCTTTCACTGTCTCTTCGCTGACAAACAATCTCCCAGCTCCTCCGCCAGGCTGCTAAATGTAGATACCACGAGCACAAATCGATACCTTTTCTTTTCCGTTAATCAAGATGCTTTCCTTTTACTCTCAACAAGCCCCTCAGAAAGACTTCAGTTGAAGCACACATATCCGAGTCGTTCTACATGATGATAAAAAAGTATAGAGTCAAGCACTGAGCTTTCCACTTCGGTACTCTTTTAAGAGGTCGAGGCTGGAGTCATTGATGCTACGTACGATATCTGAATGAACGATTCGAATATATACACTTTGCGAAGCAGTCTTTCATGGTGCATCTGTCCCTCTTCCGCAACGATGTCATCGTTGATTCATCGCTGTCTACCTCAAGAGTGACTACCTACATGCTTGGACAGGGAGACAAGTATCGCGTCCAGCCAACGGTGAGGACTCGCGCACATCACGCTTGCGTCGGTAAAGTATTCATTTCCGGGCAATTGCGTCCAGGCAAATGCCAGTCACGGCTTGCTCCTCTTCCTCTTCAGAGCTGACAAGACAGCTGATGAAGAGTCTTGTTCTCCAAAAGGTATGCACATCTTTTTCTTCCCACTCTACTCACCCTTTCCCTTATTTTCTGATGAACAATTTGAACGTTTATATACGCTGGAAATTACCGACCAAGCTCTCTTCTGGAGGCGGTGCCGATATCAAATGGCTATTTCTGAGTCTTCTCTTGCACACAATTCAACTTTCTTCGCATCACTTCTTTGGAAGCACGCTGACATTGTTGATTTGATAGGTTTACTTCACACTCATGTGATGCGATATCGAGATATGCCAGCGCTGTGATGGACAAGATGATATAGCCTATTTGATTGCTTTTGACCATTCGATAAAAAAAAGAAGAGATGGACTGCCTTTTGATTCTCATCTCTCAACTCCACGTCTCCGTCCCTTCCACCTGCTCTTCTCCAGTCCCGCTGTCTTTTTTCCTGTGCCTCGATTGATTCACTCGCTTTGCGCTAGTCTGATTACCTTCATCTTTGCTGCTTGCCCATTTTCGAAGCTTAGATTGTGTCCTTTTGACCTTTCTACTCAGGAATACATAACTCCCCGCCTTGTTTTGCTATCTCTATGTGCTCTTCTTTACTATTCTCTTCCATTCATTCTGTCTACACGTCTTTTTTACGAATTTTGACATCCTAGCTTTTGGAACATCTTGTGATCTTCTGAAGAAGGAGATGGACCATGGCACAAGTGCAGTTTCTTTCATGCCATCCAACTTGTCAGTTTAGAGCACTATGATTCTTGTATCTTGACTTGTTGTTCTGATTCGAATTACTGTCCCATAATCTAAACTATTTCCCCCTTCGTGCTTGATCGTTTTTTTGAAGCTATGCTGTTACTGCACCTCTTTGCCCTTTTACTATTATACATTGATTGTTTCTGTATCTGCTTGTTATGTCAGAAAAGGATATTCGAGGCTGAATCATACTTGTCAAGATCTAACGAAGACGCTCAATTCTTCTCTTTTCAGTGGTTGTTGTGTTGTAGAATTGCCTTTTGTGCTTTTTTTGAGGGGTGGTCTTCTGTATGCCTTAAATTCCTTGTTCTGATTCTTTTCTATTCGTCACATCTGTAGCATTGACCGGTGTTTTCATCTTGTCTTCCTTGATCGTGAGGTGGTTGCTTGCTTTCTTTGCATATCGTGTTTTTACTTTTTTTTTGGCTAAGCCGTTTGTGGTCTTTTCTGTGTGCTTGATCTTTCGGTCTCCCTGATTATGAAGGTGATTGCTTTGTTTGGATTTGCTGGTGTTTCGTCATGCATCTAACGATTGGATATTGCTGTTGCTGGTGCTGCTTCTTTCATCTTTCTCTCGCAGATTGCTTTTGGCCATTTCGGTGTTTTGATGTGGACTCGTTGCTGGGATATTCTTGATTGGTATGCGGAAGCTGCTGTTTCTGATGCGGGTGTTTGACTGGCTGTTTTGGTGATTGTTGCTGTTGTCGGCTTTGTGTTGGAGATCGCTGTCGCTGGCTCGAGAAGTGGTGTTCTGCTGTTGTTGGCGCCCCTGTGTTTCTGGCCGAGTGCGTTGGAGGTGTTTCCTAGAAGTGAGTATGTGGCCGAGGTGCTAAGTGGGTAAGTGGAGTGGGAATGTGCAAGGAGAGGAGATGAGGGAATCGGGCAAGGTGTATGAAGTTTAAAAAAGCTGAATTGGTTGATGTAATGGTATCAAAAGCGTGTCATTCAGCTATCCCCCGTTCTTCATTCACCCATCCATGGCCATGGTTGGTAATGTACAGCCCTCTGTTCTTCTGCCACAACAACCCGGAGAAAGTGTGTTGTTCGAATAAAAAAGAAAATGCTCTTCCCGTTAAAAGTAAAATCAAGTGTGTGCCCAGTCCGTTAAAACCCCATTATCGTAGCTGAAGAAAGCAGCACCCCGCGCGCCGGAAAACCCAAAGAATCAAAAGTTGTAGCGATTTGCTTACAGCTCCTGGCTGGGGCCGCTGGTACCCTTGGGGGCAGCAGTCTTCTTGGGGAGAAGGTCTGGAAAGATGTTAGAATGTGGAGATCGGATTGTGGAGGTGGAGCAAACGTACTCTGGTGGATGTTGGGGAGAACACCACCCTGGGCGATGGTGACGTGTCCGAGGAGCTTGTTCAACTCCTCGTCGTTGCGGATAGCGAGCTGCAAGTGACGGGGGATGATACGGGTCTTCTTGTTGTCACGAGCGGCGTTACCAGCCAACTCGAGGATTTCGGCAGCCAGGTACTCAAGGACGGCAGCGAGGTAGACGGGAGCACCTGATAGACGGGTTAGATTTTGATTGGTTTGGATTGAAAGATGCGAATTGACTCACCAGCACCGACACGCTGGGCGTAGTTGCCCTTGCGGAGGAGACGGTGGACACGACCGACAGGGAAGGCGAGACCAGCCTTGGAAGAACGGCTGAGAAAGGAGTCAGAAAGTGATTCGAATGATTCAGAGTGAGAAAACGCGTTGTTTTGGATCGGAAAAGCGCGTCAAATGAGGCGCAAAGGTGAGAAGTGATTGTGGGAGTGCGAATCGCTTACCTCTGAGCGCTGGACTTGGTGCCAGAGGCCTTGCCACCAGACTTGCCGCCAGTCATTTTAATTGATTTGTTGGGGGGGGGTTGGAAAGGGTGAGTTGAGAGTGGTGCTAAAAAGCGGACGATGAATACGTTGAGCGTGTGGTGAGAAGCGTGGATGAGAGATGGAGGAAGAAGGCAGGCTTGTTCGGGGAGCTCTCTGATTAAGTAGTCGCGACGACGCTTGACGTTGCTTCCCCAAGATCACCGAGCTTTGCTCTGATCTTGCGGCGTTCACTGGCAACGCGAGTGAATTCTGATGGTCCGTGCACGAGATCACGGCCCCCAAGCGAGCTCTCGGCGCGATTTGGGGCCGCTTGTCCTCTTTCGGCTGGGGTTTTGCGCGAGCAAGTCGCGTTCGTCACTTCTGTGATTTGAAGCTCGACCCGCGCTTCTATAAGTCTGAAGTGTTCCCCGTCGACAGCGCCCTCTTCTCTCTTCCTTCATCCATCATCAACACTCAACCCATTTTACGTGTCAACCACCTCACACCACCCACCCAACTCACTCAACTCACAACTCAAGTCACCCGACTTTTCAAATCACATCATCAGAAATGGCACCCAAGGCTGCTCAGAAGACCCCCACCACCGGCGGCAAGGCCCCTGCTGCTGGCAAGGCTCCCGTTGAGAAGAAGGAGGCTGGCAAGAAGACCGCCGCCCCCACCGGTGACAAGAAGAAGCGCACCAAGACCAGAAAGGAGACCTACTCCTCCTACATCTACAAGGGTACGCCACCTCTTCCGAATCGCGTCTTTTCCTTGATCGCACCACCTGCTCTCATCGAACCGGCGCTTTTCGCATCAACAAATCGCGTTGATCACGTTTACTGACGCGTCTTTCACAGTCCTCAAGCAGGTCCACCCCGACACCGGTATCTCCAACCGTGCCATGTCCATCCTCAACTCCTTCGTCAACGGTAAGTCGCTTCTGCCTTTTTTGGATTCACTTTTTGGATTCGCTTTTCCGAGTTTCGTTTTCTGATTCCAGTTTCCAGACATCTTCGAGCGTGTCGCAACCGAGGCTAGCAAGCTCGCTGCTTACAACAAGAAGTCGACCATCTCTTCGCGCGAGATCCAGACCTCAGTCCGCCTTATCCTCCCCGGTGAGCTCGCCAAGCACGCCGTCTCAGAGGGCACCAAGGCCGTCACCAAGTACTCTTCTTCCACCAAGTAGAGTGTTTGTTCTGATGGCTTCCTTTTCTCTGTGATACCACCACCTCAAGTTTCAGCATGATTTCTGAACTGGGCTTTGGGCAACGGGGTGGTTCCAATTGGGACGGTGTTTAGCGGGGTTACTTCTTTCTGATAATGCGGTCATGGGAATGGGGTACTATTGCGCAGTGTGTTTTTGTTTTCTTTTACTATTTTCGACATCGGTTTTTTTACGACGATTCAGAAGAAGAGGCGCATCAAGAAGAACAGGTTCGATACGAGCTGTACATCAGAGCCGAGAAGCAATGGAGGATGAGAAACCAAATCGATTTTCCAACTTTAAACATTCATCTTTTTTGAACTCCTTCCTTTTCTTTATTCTTCTGCTTGATCATTATATGCTGCATTTTGCAGTTTCTCCCTTCACTCAAATTCACGACTTTCAAATGTCGAAAAGAAGAGCAGTTCTCCGAGCAAAAGAGCAAATCAGTAAACTCGAGCAAATGACACGATAAATGGCCCACGAGATAGTCCTTCCATGACCACCAGAACCACAAGAGATGCTCAAGATGCTCAAATCACCAAAAAATGCCATATGCCCGTGTCCCCATGTCCCCCAAAGGGAGGAACCAGATCCAAAAACGCGAAACTATCACGTTGGTCCGTTGCCATGCTACTGTGCTCAGGAAGAGAGGAGCTCTGATCCCCCCTCTGGTCCTTTGAAGTCCGAGCTTCTTTTCACTCTCTAGAGCTTTCTGGCATGGCAACGGATAGGAAATAGCTTCCGTTTCGTTTGGAATCCTAGAGGTAGTTCTGAGCTCGGGGGAAGAGGATGAGTTGAAGAGGATGTAACATTGATACTGCTGTTGAGAAAAATGTAGAGATGGATAGATATATGAAGAGAAGATAGTGTAAAGCTGTTTCGAAAGACAAAAGTTCTGGGTTGACAAGTCAGGGATGTATGGGGTGGTACCCTGGCTATAGCTGTCGGAGTTGTGTAATAGGTCGATGAGAAGGTGGTGACAGTGTTTTCCTTCGAACGATGGGCTTTCTGCAGACAGAACTATACTTCTGTGTATATCCGAGTGTGTCCTACGCTATATTGACGTCGATGTCTCTATCATGTCTTCCTGTTTGGTTTCTTGTATGTTTTGCTGGTGGTTGAGTGCATATTCTTGATGAAGCATATTTGTAATGTGATATTCAAGTATAACATGACAAGGAAGCTCGCTATTAGCATGAAACTTGATTTGGTGGATGATAATATATATTTCGATATACGAAGCGTATCAGAGAAGGAGAATAGCTAGTGGTGCTGTCGCAACATGGTCGTCGACCTCAAAAAGGCTTGTATAGGGTCTCACCCTGGCCGTAGACCCGGACCCGACAATATCCGAGAGCCGCGCTTAACCTCCCAGCCACCTCAAGCACGAGCATCACGACCAACCGCCAGCACGTCGCGTGAAACGAGAAAGAAATTGTCAAATTGGTATATCTGTTCGTCATGAAAAACTCGTTGCCCACCCGATAACTCCTCTGCGCCCGGTAAGTAGGAGAGCGCAGGATGCTTGATGCATATCCGTGTCGTGCCCGAAGAAATCCCTCCCATAAACGCGTTGATCCAAGACAAGGTTGCAAGGAAATGCCAGGAGAAAAAAGAAACAAGCCTCAAAGAAAAAACGCCGCCCGTGTCATCGTAGCAGTTGATATGCATGTCATCAGACGATAGCCTCACCTTCATCTTCGTCACAACTCTGTACGTCGGCCATAGCACGTTCAAAGTCTGCTTCTGTGCTGGCATCGCCTCCGAGCGAGGGCTCTGTATCGTATATGTGTACGATGCTCTTAAAGCCTGTGGGCGGCGGAGACTGTATAGCCGCTTTCCAAGCATCCCAGTCCGATTCGTCGCGGATGAGAAAGCCGAGTAGCATGGATGGGTCGACGTCTTGGAAAGATATCAGTCGAAGACGACGTGTATGGCAGGTGGCGATGTCGGCGTCTGAAAGGGGCAACGGTAGGAGAGGACGTGTCTCGTGTGGGTCGAGATAGAAGAGGTGGTCGGCTTGGGTACCGATAAAGTAGTGCGAGGATTTGGTGCGGCCACTGTAAGTAAAGGTCAGTCAAGACTCAGTAGAAGACAAAAGAGAGGGCATACCCAGCGATGCCAACACTCTGAGGGAGACGCAGAGCAGCCTTGACGCCTTCTTTGTACAAGGTATTAAAACCATGGAGGCCGAGCATGGTACCTAGCAGGATCAGAGTCGGATGGAAAGAGCCATCGGAATCGCGAGCGACGCGCATGAAGCTGTCCTGGTAAACACTCGCATCATCAGGACGGACGTAAACTCGGAGCCCAGAAGGAGAGTGTTCGTCTACCAAGGCCCTGGGTGGTGTTAGCGAGAGCGACTACGAAGAGAAGGTAGGACCAAGATACTGAATGCAGCGAGCAGTGGCCGAAGGACCGAACCAATGTCCAGGCTGAGTGCCGCATGCGTTGGCACCATGCTTGACGAAACGGTGGATGGAGAAGGGTGCTTCGGGGTCATCTGCGAATCGAGACAGCAGCTTGCGCTCGGCGTCCGAGGGCTCTCCTATACGCCAGTCTAAGCGCCGTGGTTAGTCCAAGGTTCCCGGTAGCATGAGCATAGAAGTGGTGGATGTACCTCTTCCAAATTCCAGAATCTGCAGTGTATTTGCCAGTAGACTCTGACCACTACGGATCATGCAGCCCCAACCTACATCATCGGTGAAGACACGTCCCTGTTTGACGAGTTGAGTGATGTGGGTTTTCCACGAGTAACCGGCAGAGGCAGTAGGATCGGTGGATTCAGCGATCTGGGAGAAATTCGTACGATATGTCAACCAGATGCGAGATTCCAGGTCATCGAGGAAGGCAGGTGGCCAGCCGTTGTCGTTGGTCGCTTCCTGGACCTGTACTTTCTCGAACTCATCTTCCTTCTGTGGTGTTGCTGCCGAGTCCGGGGGGATAGAGTCGGATGTAGCTGATGGAGCGGGTATGGAAGCGGCAGGAGGTGTCTGAGGTTGTGTCGAGTCGGGATCGGAAGAGGTGGGGTGCGAGTCGTACTGACGGCCTAGACACCAGATGGCATCGTCGTGCTGGTTGTGAGGCATAGGGTCTCTGATGTATCGATAGATACGCCCAGCGATGCGGGCGAGGTTGTCGCTGTTCATGGCAGTATCTGCATGAAGCAAACGAGTTGTTATCGTCAAACGACACCAAGACCGTGATGGGCGGCGTGATGGCTGGGGCTCGGTGTTAGTGCCTTATCGCCTTGTGACCGCTGCACACGGACTCACGGACCCTGAGCGATGATGCTGATGCTGATGCTGATGCGGCGTCTTTGGTCCCTCTTTGACGCTCGACACTTGAACTTTCGCCTCCAAACGCTCCTTCCTCAGGAACATCAAACTCCCACCTCTGCGCAACTTCCACCCTTGCTGTCACTCAGTATTGTTACTGAGTGCTTCTTATTGTTTTAATCTCATTTTTGCATCTTCCTTTTACCTTCCAAAATGGGCAAGAAATTGAGACAGAAGGCGGCCAAGTACACCCCACCTCGAAACAAGAACGCCTTCGCCTTTCGCGATGACTCCTCCACCAACAACAACCATACCGGTCAGTCTGTCGCTCCGCCACCGCCCACCTCTGTCAACTGAACTTCCTTTCTCTAGGCTCAAATACTCCGAAGCCTTATTTCTCTTTGAGAGACGAACTCCAGAGCACAGAGAAGCATGAGTGGACCAAGGAGTCAAGGTTGAGAGACCACAAGGTTTCGTTTGTCAGTGCTGGTTCTATGGCTCCATTAGACGAGCCTGTCAAACTTGACAAGCCAATCCTGAAGAAGAGCCAAGCCAACGTCGACCAAGACAGAGATTTGCGCAACTCAGAGGACGCGATGGCTCAAATGGACATCAACGCTCGGCCTCCTGCCGCCATTCCCTCACTAGACGGTGCAGAAGAGATTGAAATGGACATTGACGAGACAGTTCACCTTTCTGCGCAAATCACAATTCCCATTGAAGAGTCTACGCCACAGCGAATCTCCGTACCTTCGCCTCCACCCGAAGACGCTCCCATGTTCTTTGTAGACACCGCCGGAGACGAGTCGCTCGCCTTCAAAGGTCCCAAGTCCGTTCCTGCCCCTCGCGCTCGCGCGCCTTCACCTGCAAGATCATCGTCAAGTGACGAAGTCGTCTTCCGTGGTCGCAACGGTGTCACCATCAGAGACGACCCTCCAGCTGTCATCTCAAAGCCAGTCTCGAAGCCCGCACCGAAGCCCGCCCCCAAGTCATCGTCCAAGCCTGCCACTCAGCCTGCCCAAGTCAACCCTCAGATGGAGAAGTTCCTCAAGTCGCTAGACAACCCTCCGGAGTGGGCGAAAGAGATGTCTGAACAATCCAAGGCTAGGAACCCGTCTACACACCCTGGAGAGCAATGGCCTTCCATGGAGCAGGCAAATGGCTTTGCAGATCGCCTCGATCAAGATCTTAGCGGTGTCCATGCCTCGCGCAAGTCAAAGAAGAACAGAAAGAAGCAGAACCGCATCTTCCGCCTTGAGCAGGATCTCGAGGACGAGTTGCTGCGCGACTACATCGAAAACATTGCTGCCGAAGACATGCCTACCCGTCGTGGTCTTGGTGGTGACGATTCTGGCGATGATACAGATGACTTCTTTGACGGTCTCCTGAACGAAGAAGAGAAGGATCCTGACGATGTCGATGTCACAGCTCTCGAGGACGAGTGGGAGGACGAGTCCGACTCTGAGGAAGACGAAGAAGACGATGAAGATGACGACGACGACGATACTGGCAGCGAAGACAGCTCAGAGCTCGAAGAACGCTTAGCGCGTGAGGAGCGTGAGCAATGGGAGGACGATGCCGATATCAGGGAGCGACGTGCGCAGGCCATGACGGACGAAGAGCTGGCTCTCCTGTTTATGAAGCAAGAGGAGCTGGGCATCGACGGAGACGACATCATGCTCTACGACGATCGCTTCGGAGACGTTGACGGTGCTCGCGCTGGTTTGGCAAACTATTCTGTCAAGACTCCCAAGGGCGGCAAGAAGAAGAAGGGCGGCAGAAAGAGCGACAACTTCCCTGACGCCACTCTCATGGCCGACGTATTGGAGCAAGATGCGTACGGAGGCTTCGATGTTATGGACTACGACCGACCTAGTTTGAGAAAGAAGAACAAGGGTCGCAAGTCTGGTCCACTTCCTGAGGAGCTTGGCTTGTCAGATTCTGATTTGGTTGAGGAGCTGCAAAACCAATGGGCCAACGACCGCTCCAAAAAGGCCAGCAAGAAGGCTGAACGCGAGGAGCTACGTCAACTTGGTCTCCTCGGCAAGAAGAACAAGTTCAAGCCTGACATGAACCAACGCTACACTGAGGGCATCACCATGGGTCAGGTCAGGATTGAGCTTCAAGACTTCTTGGAACAGGAAGACTTCACCACAAAGGCCTTCCCGCCGATGCAGAAGAACGACCGCAAGGTCCTCCACGAGATCGCCAACCATTTCAACCTCAAGTCCAAGTCAGTCGGAAGCGGTAAGAACAGAGCGCCAGTGCTCATCAAGACACAGAGGACCGTGGAATGGAGCGAGCAGCACTTTACCCGCGTCTCGAGCCTCGTCAGCCGATCGTACCTCAAGAACTCGTCTAAGAAACCTAAGAGCACTCTTGCCGGCGACGTTAGAAGGACCAGACAAATGGGCGGTGGCGGTGGTGGTGCAGCAGCATATCGTAACGGCGATGTTGTTGGTCACAACGCCTCAGAAATCCCAGCAACCAATTTCGGTAGAAAGCTCATGGAGAAGATGGGTTGGGCAGCTGGCATGTCGCTCGGAAAGGAAGGCTCTGGTGGTCTTCTTGTCCCTGTGCAAGCTACTGTCAAGTCAGGCAAGGCTGGTCTGGGTTAGATGGCCGCAAGCCTTGTCACCTGCCGCCGTTGCAAGTCATTATTCGATATCTTCAGGCGTCTTGGGGGTGGTGTGAATGGGAAGCTGGTGTTGAGTTGAAGTCGAGTCTTGAAGATTTGACGATGATTGATGAGAAGGCGTTTTTCCTCATCGACTTTTTTTACTCTAGAATTCTCCAAACCAGCATCGGAAGTCCTGGAGACGGTATTGCATTGAATTGCATTTGTTATGATGTTGAATACACTAGAACGACTTTGACAATAGACATGTTCATCGCATCCACATTCCACGTCCTTGTATCTCATGGTGTCATTACAACAGAAACGTCGAAAGAGACACAAAATGCCTGCCCTTTGCAAATTGTATTACACTGTCCAAATGGACAACTGTGTTTTTCGTATCGACAAAGTCTCTCTTTCCATCCGACTCCTTCTTCCTTTTTTTCCCTTTTTCAAACCTTCCTCTTCAACAACCCCCTGAAGAAATCGAAACTGTTACTATCACTCTGCAACTCCCACTTCTTACCAGTAGGCCTGTCCTCCCAACCCAACTCTTCGGCAACGAGTAAACCCCAATCCGCAGTGATACCCTTGATCCTCGCCCTCACACCCCCTTCCTGCTCCAACGTAACAATCTGGCCCCCATGCAACCAATATTTATAATAAACATCCAAAAGCGGGGAAAATCCAGAATTGCAGAAACGGAGGTATAGTGATTCGAAGGAGACGACGATTGACGCGAGAAGTTTTTCAAGCGTCATGGGGGCAAGGTTTGCGGCGGAGCAGAGGGCGTTTAGGGAAGTGGTTGGAGCTGTGTTGGAGACGTTTATGCCTATGCCGCAGATACAGGTGTAGTCGCCTCCAGCATAACTGCTATTGACCAGAATACCTCCGATCTTGACATATGACTTCGGATCATTGGGATTTGCATTTTTGCCTTTGGAGGGGTCGAGGGCGTAAATGTCATTTGGCCATTTCAGTTTTATGGGGAGGAGGGAGTAGTTGCGGTCGTAGGTGTGGATGCCGTTTACGATGGCGAGGGCGGCGAGGTATTGGATGAAGACTACTGGGGCGGTGGTGGAGAGGGATATGGGGTGGCGTAGCATGGTGCTGAACATTAGGCTTCCTGGCGGTGATACCCAGACGTTGTTTCCTCTGCCTCTGCCTGCGACTTGAGTGGTAGCTGTTGCTGTGGTTCCCACGGGTAGTTTCTCGAGTAGCTTTGGATTCTTCTCGAGAAGTGTGTTGGTTGAAGTAACGACTTCGCCGTACAGCAACACATTTCCAAATGTTTCGGAAATGTCGTGGAGGTGGCGTTTCTTGTAATGTGCGAGGTTTGCAAAGTAGGCGTGGTGGTTGAAGTAAGGAGTCTGTTTTGTGTCTGGGAGGGAGGTATCGTGAACAAGTAGTTTTTTCGTGATTTTGTCGTAGTCGACTATGCCCGCGTCTGTTTCTGTCACTGGTTTGGTGGAGTCGGAAGTGCCGGTGAGAGCATCTGTGACGATGTCTTTTACAACCGTAGGAAGAGCATCGGCAACTTTCTGAAGGCCGATGGTGCTAGTGGGCTCGGGCGACTTCCAGGGTCCGCTTTGTTTTTCGAGCTGGAAAGTGTCATTTTCGCCTTTAATGAGGGATTCGCCATCGACTTCTTCAACGATGTCGGACCATGACGAGACGAGATCCGATATTTCGGATGATTCCAGAGTCGATAGATGAAGACGAGACAACGAAGGTACTCCTTGGTCGTCCTGGCTAGGTGTCAATCCGAGTTTGGCCAGACATGCCTTCATGAAATCGACGCGCTGTTTGTCGTCTGTAGCAAGAGCCTCGACGATTCTTGGGTATGCAGGATTGTCACCACCCTTTGTGAGGTTGACTGCAGCGAACCTATTGTCTCGTTAGCTTGTAATTCGTCATGCTTGATACAAATGACTTACTCTGGGTGCGGTCCAGTCAAGACGACTGAGCCTTCGCCTACCTTGCGATAGACAACTGCGGCAGTACCTTCTCCAGATTCGACATGTAGGCGCTCGGTGTAGCTTGCCAAAACCTGCACGCCTTGATCCTTGTACTTCTCGGCATCAACAAAGACACCACCGCCGTTGTAGTACGAGCGGAAGGTCTCGGGTACAGCACCTCCGACAGTGCTCAGAGCTTCCTTGTTGACGCTTAGTTCAGCGGCTCTAGCACCAGCCTCGCTGTGGTAGACGAAACCAGGGAAAGCAAGACCTCTGCAGATGCCGGGGTAGAAACCAAGTTCTCTATCACCACACACCTCCATGCCCTTCTTGCCAGCTTCAAACTCGCAGCGCTTGCATGCATAGTAGCCACCGGCACAAAGGCCAAGGTAGGCTCCTCCCTTGTTAACGTAGGCGGAGATCTTACGGTTGCCTTCGCCATTCAGTGTGCGGCAATAACCTACGTCTGCACCACCTGGCATGACGAAAAGAGCGCAAGATGCAGTCCATGGTTCCTTGAGGACAGACTCGCCAGTAATTGGGATGACAGCATAGTTTGGACCGAGAAGCCGGCGCAAAGACCAGAGACAATGACGGACAGATTCGACAGTAGAACCATTGCCTAGTGACAAAAGATCAGTATCCTCATTACACAGACAAGCAAGAAAGACATACCTGAGTAAACAAGCACATTGACTCTTTTGTCGGCCATGATGGTATATTTGTGGCAATTACTCGATTCGTAAATCGCCGAGAATCCTCGCTGTTTCTTCGATGACCAGCACTTTATTTTCCGAATACTCGACAAGAACTTGGAAAATGGCGGCAGAAAGAGATCCCAAGCAGAACGCTTCAAATGCAGTCGTGGATGACGATGAGCCAGATGATTGGTAAGTTGCTTCTCTCGGGTATCGATATGAATGAATTGCTCAACAAACGCCTGCAGGGACAAGCGTATCTTCAGCACTGGATGTTCCGGTAAGCAATCGAGTATCCTTGTTACCAAGGAAGACAAGACTGAGTCAGAGGACAGTCGAAAACACACGTCTAAACGACTGCTTCTTCGAAAAGAAGGATTGGAGACAGTGCAAGTCAGAGGTGAGTTGAGCAAGCAGCAGCAGCACCGGCGACCTCGGTCTGAGAAGTTTCGGACTTTGGCTTCGGTTCTCCGAGCTGTGTTTCTTGACAAGATCAATACTGACGACTGGTATACAGATGGAGGAGTTCAAGCAGTGCTGGAAGAAGCAGGGAAATGATCGCAGGACGGATCAGAAGAACATCTAAGAAAGTGGTGAAGCAAAAGTCAGCTCTTGCCTTGCACAGCATGAGCTTCCATCTTCGGAGGTCCGGTGCATGGTCAAAGGACAACCGCCGTGGTCTTCAACGAGAGCACTCTCAAATCTAAATAATTGTACAATAAACCTCTTGTAACATGTTCCACTCTTGTGAGTTATTCATACCAGACAGGTTCAAGTATTGCACAAGGTAAAATGGTCAGTCTAGGCGGTAAGTACCATGGTGGTTTCAGTGACGAAGAGCTTCCACGTCTCTGCGTCGCCACGCCATCTGCTTGAGCATTCTTGCCTGAAATCTTGATCAAACCACATCACAAAATGCGCACCACTTTTCTTCGTGACGTCGCAACAGGCCTCGAGTCGGCCGCCAGGTCTTCGCAGCGCAACATCATCCGCACCCGCTCATCGCATCTTGCGCCGTCAACCTACAGAAGCTTCAACTCGGAAACCCGCCGTTACAATGGTTACAACTCGAACGCTCCCAAGCCTGCAGCACCAGCATCAGCCCCTGCCTCTGCTCCTGCCCCTCGTGCGCCTACGACTCAGTCGAACTTCACACCCAAGGCTGCTCCTTCGGCTCCCGCTCCTGCAAGCGAGCCCACTCGTTCTCTCACAAATGGCTTGAGCGACCCTCCTCCGATACTGGACGAAAGCGAGAAGCAAGTCGACTGGACTCGTTCATTCCATGGCATTTCTTCGCAACCTTTCAGCTCCGAAGCTGCCGCTATCCTTACACAAGAGATCCCTTTTGACGATATCGAGGTCAAGCCCGACGGAATCATCTACCTGCCCGAGATCAAGTACAGAAGAATCTTGAATAAGGCGTTCGGTCCTGGAGGTTGGGGTCTTGTTCCCCGTGGTGAGACCATTGTCACGGGCAAGCTCGTTACCAGAGAATACGCTCTTGTTGCTGGAGGACAGTGAGTTTACACTTGCGATATGCTCGATTTGTCGCATAATATTAATCATAACCCAGACTCGTTTCGATAGCCCGCGGCGAACAACAATATTTCGACCCCGATGGTATCCCTACCGCGACCGAGGGCTGCAAGTCCAACGCTCTTATGCGCTGCTGCAAGGACCTCGGCATCGCCTCTGAACTCTGGGATCCCCGCTTCATCAGGAAATACATGAAGGAGATGGCCAAGGAGATGATTGTCGAGCACGTCGTCACCAAGAAGAGAAGAAAGCACTTTATGAGAAAGGATGACGAGCTGAAGTACCCCTTCAAGGAAGTCGTCATTCCTGGCCAATCTGCCGTTAGAAAGTAGAAGGGTCGTGTATACATAAGAGCTGGAAAGCCATGAGGGCTGGATTGTACAACACTTTCCGAAAGAGATAGCATGACATGCTGCATGCTGACTGCGAACGACGCTTCCTCTTTCATTCTTTCAAACAGTGATTTGTACAATGGTATGATACATGGCTAATAATACAGTTCGTATGCTCGTCTTCAGAAGTCCTTCTCAAATATGGCCAAGATAGATGTCGTATATCTTCAGGTCGTTCGAGCCGAGTCGTGATGCTCGACATGATGAGCGCGCCGCAGCCAAAGCGGGTGATTGGCGAGGCCAGGTCGATGGTCGACAGAGGCGAGGAAGTGTCGTGAAAGGTGATGATGGTCGAGTATTGTCTCGTGACAATCTACCACAGCTTCCACGAAGACGAAGGCTTGGTGTCACCGGGCGTGGTGTTTCCGGGATTCAATTCGGCAAACTTCTTCGAGTCATCCTCTTCCTTCTTCTGGCGGCGCAATTCTCTTGCTCTTTCCATACGTGCTTCCTTTTGCTTGCGTTCGATCTGCTTGCGGTCGATGATCTCCATGGCGCGTGTCATGCCTTCCTTCTCTGCCAATCGCTTGTACTGGCAGTACTGGTACATTCCAGCGGATCCGATGACGAAGGTGCCGACAGCCCAGTTGGTGGCGGATTGGATCGGTGCTGAGACAAGTAGTTAGTATACGCGATTGACAAGTGTCAGAGGCGACAGCGACGTACCCCTCCAAATGGCCCTCGAACTGCCCACTACGAAACCAGCAGTCATACCAGTGAGCAGAGAGTCTCTGACACATGGCTTCTTGGGCAGACTGGCGAAATCATCGATCTTGATTGTCTTTGCAGCGTCGACCAGAGTGACATCTTCAGCCGAGCCACCGGCGGTATGCTGTGATGCGGCAGCGGCGTAGACATTTGCATTCTCAGGCTTCTTTGCGTGTGTAGCTTCGGCGTCTGACCATTGGTCCGAAGTAAAAGCCTTTTCCGGGGTTGCGGGTTGCCGTGTCGTGTCGTCTGCCATTGTGTATGTGTATGTGTGTGGAGTGTTTGCAGAGAGATGCGCTCGCGATTCCTTGAACAACCCAAAAGTCGATGAACTCATGCGGCAAAGGCACGCTTGGACCCTGGACGGGCTTCTTGCTTGACACGAGCCGGAGATCGGGCGGTTCATTCTCAGCCCTAGCCGCCTCCTTTAGATCTGTTCACGTCCACGTCGCGAGATTTCGCGTTACGACCGCGCATCGCTTCGTTTACCGCCGTCTTTGTTTTTGTATGTCGACAATTACATGCCTATTTCTCCCTATACCAATCCCTTCACAGCTCTACAGGTTTAATGATTCATGGTTTTCGTTTAAAGAACTTAATTCGGCATTCTTCACTTTACATCACATCAGCACATTCGAGAATCACAACCTACACAACCACCCACCATGGCGAGACAGAACGGCCAAAACTTCCGCCGTATGGGCAAGAACGGCAACACTTCCTACGGCTCACGGAAGATGAAGACGGCAGACATCTCCACACTACGGGGATCAGAAGCAACATCACAAAATGAGAAACTCGAGGCCACACGGCTCGCCCACAAGATCGACGAGGCCATGGGCTTTGAACGCTTCGAGGCCGGGAGGAAAAGAGAAGGATGGCTTATCAACATGCACAGCACCACCATCGAAGACACAAAGAACCAAGGAGGTCGCGCGGGCGTCGACTTTTACTTTCTCCAAGACGACGGAAATACTTTCAAGGCCACCGTCGAGTACGATCCGTATTTCCTGATTGCCGTGAAGCGAGGCAAGGAGCCAGAAGTCGAAGAGTGGTGCAAGAGATCCTTTGAGGGTATGGTGAAGACCGTTCAAAGGATAGACAAGGAGGATCTGTCAATGGTACGTGGAAGGCTTCAAATGCACTCGAAGCTTTTGACTAATCCGTTTCGCAGCCAAACCACTTACTCGGACACCGAAGGAATTTCCTCAAGCTCACATTCGCAAACGTAAACGACCTATTACAAGTTAGAAGAGGCATCTCACCCGTCGCCGAAAAGAACAAGAGCAAGATGAACGCCATGGACACATACGCAGAAGTCGCAACTGCAAACGCCGGAATGGACTTGTTCGATGACGACTTCGACCAAGCGAACAAGGCCAGCATCTTCGACGCCAGCGACTTCATTGTCGACATCAGAGAGTACGACGTACCGTACCACGTACGAGTAGCCATCGACAAGGACATCCGAATAGGAAAATGGTACACCGTCGAGGCGAAGCACGGTCACATCACATTGACATGCATCGAGGAGAGGTTACAACGTGCTGATCCTGTCATTCTGGCCTTTGATATCGAGACTTGCAAAGCACCGCTCAAGTTCCCCGACGCTGCAGTCGATCAGATTATGATGATTTCGTACATGATCGATGGCCAAGGTTTCCTCATCACAAATCGAGAAATTGTCTCCGAGGATATTGCCGACTTCGAATACACGCCCAAGCCCGAATACGAGGGACCTTTCCTAATTTTCAACGAGCCGGACGAGAGAGCTTTGCTGGAACGCTTCTTCGATTGTATCAAGGAAGCGCGTCCAACAATTATCGTCACATACAACGGTGACTTCTTCGATTGGCCGTACGTCGAAGCTAGAGCTAGTATTCAAGGCATCGACATGTACCAAGAGATCGGCTTCCGTAAGAACAGCGAGGACATCTACCAGTCAAATTACTGCGCACACATGGACGCCTTTGCCTGGGTCAACCGTGACAGTTACTTGCCGCAAGGAAGTAGAGGTCTGAAAGCCGTCACAGTTGCCAAACTTGGCTACGACCCCGATGAACTGGACCCGGAACTGATGACACCTTATGCTCAGGAACGACCACAGACTCTGGCCGAGTACTCTGTCTCAGATGCCGTGGCGACATATTATCTCTACATGAAATACGTACATCCTTTCATTTTCTCGCTATGTACCATTATTCCCCTAGGACCAGATGATGTGTTGCGAAAGGGTACTGGTACACTTTGCGAGATGTTGCTCATGGTCCAAGCATATCAGAAGGAGATTGTACTGCCCAACAAGCATCAAGCACCACGAGAATCCTTCTGGGAAGGCCATCTACTGGAGTCAGAAACTTATGTTGGTGGTCACGTCGAGAGTATTGAATGTGGTGTCTTCCGCGCCGACATTCCATGCAACTTCGCGGTGGATCCTGCCGCCATCGAGGAACTAATCAAAGAACTCGACAACGCACTCAAGTTCAGTATCACAGTGGAAGAGAAGAAGTCAATGGATGACATTGAGAACTATGAAGAAGTCAAGGCACAGATCTTGGAGAGGCTCATCCAACTCAAGGAGACCCCAAACCGCAAAGAGAAGCCTCTGATCTACCATTTGGATGTCGCATCTATGTATCCCAACATCATGACGACAAATCGTCTGCAACCAGATTCCATGATCGAGGAAGCAGACTGCGCTGCTTGCGACTTCAACAGACCTGGCAAAACTTGTGATCGAAGATTACCCTGGTCGTGGAGAGGAGAGTACTTGCCTGCGAAGCGCGACGAGTACAACATGATTCGCCACGCTCTCGAGAGTGAAAAGTTCCCTGGCAAATATGCGAACAGCTTAGCTCGAAGTTTCCAAGACCTGTCTCTTGATGAGCAATCGGTACTGGTCAAGAAACGACTACAAGATTACAGCAAAAAGATCTATCACAAGATTCACGAGGCCAAAACGATCGAGAAGGAAGCCATCATCTGCCAACGAGAAAACCCATTCTACGTCGACACCGTCAAGGACTTCCGTGACAGAAGATACGATTTCAAGGGAAAGCAGAAGGTCTGGAAAGGCAAAACTGAAGACTTGAAGAAAGCTGGTGCTTCCGCTGCTGAAGTCGATGATGCCAAGAAGATGATCATTCTGTTCGATTCTCTACAACTGGCTCACAAGGTCATCTTGAACAGTTTCTACGGTTATGTCATGAGAAAAGGTTCTCGCTGGTACTCCATGGAGATGGCCGGTGTCACTTGTTTGACTGGTGCCCGAATCATTCAAATGGCCAGACAGCTGGTTGAACGCATCGGAAGACCCCTCGAACTCGACACTGACGGTATTTGGTGTATTCTTCCTGCGACTTTCCCTGAGAACTTCGCATTCAAGCTGAAGAATGGCAAGAAACTCGCCATATCATACCCTTGCGTCATGTTGAATCATCGTGTTCACGATGGATTCACCAACCATCAATACCAGGAACTGGTCGATCCTCAAAACTTCCGCTACGAGACACATAGCGACAACACTATTTTCTTCGAAGTCGACGGACCTTACAGAGCCATGATCCTGCCAACCTCCAAGGAAGAAGACAAGAATTTGAAGAAGCGTTATGCTGTATTCAACCACGATGGTACTCTTGCTGAGCTGAAAGGTTTCGAAGTCAAACGTCGTGGTGAGCTCAAGCTGATCAAGATCTTCCAAACACAGATCTTCAAGTTCTTCTTGGAAGGCACAACGCTTGAGGAGACTTATGGTGCAGTCGCCAAGGTTGCCAACAGATGGCTGGATGTTCTTGACTCTCATGGTTCCACTCTGGCTGATGAAGAGCTCATTGATCTTATTTGCGAGAACAAGAGTATGGCCAAGACACTCGAGGAGTACGGCGCTCAAAAGTCAACCGCCATCACCACAGCGAAGCGTCTCGCCGAGTTCTTGGGTGAGCAAATGGTCAAGGACAAGGGCTTGAACTGCAAGTACATTATCTCATCACGACCCAGAAACTCTCCCGTCACGGAACGTGCCATTCCGGTCGCCATCTTCTCGGCTGAAGAGTCGGTCAAGAAGCACTACCTTAGAAAGTGGATGAAGGATGACCCGGGTGACATGGATCCTCGTACCGTCATCGACTGGAACTACTACCTTGAACGTCTGGGATCGGTCATACAGAAGCTGATTACAATTCCTGCTGCTCTGCAGAAGATTCGCAACCCTGTTCCTCGTGTTGCTCATCCCGATTGGCTTGAGCGCAGAATCAGAATCAAGGATGATGTCTTCAAGCAAAAGAAGATGACAGACATGTTCCTGAAGAAGCCTTTGGAGGATGTTGACCTCAACGCCGCCAACGGAAGAATTGTCGGAGATCTTGAAGATTTTGGTTCGTCTTCATTGACTGTACCAAAGAGAGCCATTGTCTCGAGAGTTCACTCGTCGCAGAAGCGAAAGGCTGCTGAAGTCGAGCCTGCTGCACCTATCAACCCTTACGACAGTCTTCCTCCGAACATGCCTTCCATCACAGAGGACTACGAGGGCTGGCTTCAGTACCAAAAGAAGAAGTGGAAGATTCAAAAGCAGGCTCGCAAGAGAAGAAGACAGCTCTTCGGTGAAAAGCGTGTTGACAATACCGATGCCATTGGCAATATGTTCCGCAATCAGAGTGAGTTGATGTACAACTCGACCTGGCAGATTCTACAGCTCTGCGAGGGTGAGAGCCCTGGCGAAGTCAAGGCTTTCGTCTTGATTGACCAAAAGGTTCATCAGCTCAAGGTTGTGGTACCGCGTCAAGTCTTCCTCAACTTGAAGGGAGACGATCTGCCCGATGTATCTGTGGATGGTGTGGAGGCGGAGAAGGTGGTCAACTACACTCTGCCGAATGGCCATCCTTCGGTGCATCTCTTCAAGCTCAGCATGCCTGAACATGTCTACATCAAAGACGCGGATAAGCTTGCAGCACTTTTCAACCACTCCAGTGTTGAAGGTGTGTACGAGACGCAAGTACCGCTGGACATCAGAGCAGTTCTGGAGCTCGGCAGCACCTGCACCTTTGATGAAAAGCAAGCAGGTGTTTTGGGTAAAGGTATGACCCACGGTTTCGACCTGTCTGCACTGCACTACGTGCCTCCCAAGCAACCTTACCTATCTTCCTCGCCCATGAGCTACCTCTACCTCTACCACGTCATTGCTGGCGAGCGCCAGATCTTTGCTCTATTCTCCACTTCCAAGAAGGAGGCCCAGATTGTTGTCCTCAACAGATCCCGTGCTGATCAAGGTATGCCTAATGTCGACCGTATCTATCAAGACATGTATGCCAAGAAGCTGGAGGAAAGCAATGGAGAGCCATGGCAAGATGTTTTGGAGTATCAAGAGGGCATTCACTTCAAGACTGTCAACGTCACTACCAAGAAGAGAGCACTCCAGGAAGTCGGCGATGCCATCAAGAAGATCCAGAAAGAGGAGGCCAATCCTCTTATGGTGGTCATCCAATCTCAACAGCCTCGTCTGCTGAGACATGATCTGCCCATTCTTCAAGATTTGCCTATGCTGCCTCTAAAATCTGATGAAGACGACAAGAGACTGCCTCCGCTGGGATGGCAGTCATTCGTTGCCAAGAGATTGGTTGGACATTACCTTGACCTCGGATCGTGGATAACACACCTGATCGAGCTCAGTCGCTACGGCAATGTTCCTCTCTGCAACCTCGAGAAGGACGATCCACGCTTCCTGATCGACATCTCGTACGCACGAAGATTGCAAAAGGAGAAAGTGGTGCTTTGGTGGTCGGCCAACCCACGTCCTGATCACGCAGGCTATGAGAAGGATGACATTCTCGCTGCTATGGAGACTGTGGATATGCCTTCTGTCAACAATCCCGGAACCTACTCTTCTGTCTGCATCGATCTCAGTGTCAAGAATCTGGCAATCAACACCATTTTGTGTTCTGCAGTTCTCAATGATGCTGAAGGTGCCGATTCGATGGGCTTGTCTATCCCGCCGCCCGGTGAAGAAGGCATTGAGGATATCTCGCATGTTGCCTCTGGCGAAAACACATTTGCTCAAGCAGGTATCATGGCTTTGAGAGAGATGGTCAGAGCTTGGTGGGAAGAAGCTTGCCGTGGTGGTGGCATGGCAGATGTCATGGTTCAACATCTGGTACGCTGGATTGAAAACCCTGGCTCCTTCTTATACGACAAGTCATTGCACTACTACGTGCAAATGATGTCAAGGAAAGCTCTGCAGCAACTCATGTCCGAGTTCAGACGTGTCGGTTCGCATGTGGTGTATGCTAGTGCAAATCGCCTGCTGTTACAAACCACCAAGGCCGAAGTCGGCAATGCCTACGCCTACAGTCAGTACATCCTCAAGACGGTCAACGCCAAGCCATCCTTCAACTTCCTCGATCTCAGCATCACCGAATACTGGGACTACCTAATCTGGTACGACGAGTTCAACTACGGAGGAAAAGGATGTGCAGAAGTCGTCGAAGTCGAAAACCAAACCCTCAACACAATCATGGAGTGGCAGATCGGCACCTTCTTACCTCGCATCTTACAACCCATGTTCAATGATTGGGTTGTCGAATACATCAATCTCATGCACGCGCGCAAAAGACCTTCGGAAACATCAAGCGGTGCTCCTCGACCGACTCAACTTCCCATCCACGCGTCCATTTTCGCTTCCGAAAAGGACGATCAAACGACTCCTGGACATGTGCTGGCGAAATCGTTTTCCAAACCGCTGGCGAAACAGATCAAAGCTTTGATCAAACGTCAACGCACGGAAGCCATGCACGAAGATCTCGCCGCCGATTGGAGTTTCCCCATCCTCCCTGGTTCCTCTGGCAGTCTTCAGAATCCAGTCTTGCAATTGGTGAAATCCATCATGCAAGTGCTGAGTCTGGATAAAACCATAACTCTAGAAGCCCGCCTCCTCCGCAAAGAATTGTTGCATCTTTTCGAAATCCGCGAATTCAGCGCCGAAGGTGCTTTTGCGAATCCTTCGAATAGTCTCGCTATCAAGCAGTTGTCATGTCCGGAATGCTGTCTTCCCAGGGATATAGACCTCTGTCGCGATTCCGACATCATCCCCACCTCCGCAACCACTGCTCCTTCCACCACCAGCACCACCACACATTCACTAACAATCCACTGTCACAATTGCACCGCCCTCTTCGACCGCCTACTCATCGAAGAACGCCTGCTCGCCGAAGTACAAAAACTGATCCTGCAATGGACGACGCAGGATCTGAAATGTGGCAAATGTGGACGCATCCGCCAGAATGAATTCATGGAACATTGCAGTTGTGCTGGGGAGTGGGGGGTCAGTGTTAAAAGGGAGGAAGTGGTGAAATCACTCAAGGTTTATGGGGGCGTGGGCAGGTTTTATGGGATGAGGATGTTGGAGGATGTGGTGGGGGGTGTGGTTGATGGTGTGTGAGGGAAGGGGATGGAGGGGATGAGGGAAGGTATGGATGGATGGGGTTTGTCATTTGTTGGGAATGGCGTTTAGGGGAGGGGGGCATTGCTGGAGTTGAGATGGGAAGATGGGGAGATGAGCGATATGTATATATTTGCTGAACTACAAAATTATGATGAAGATTATCACATCACATTGCTTTAGTTTTTTGCAAGGTAGTTGTGCAATATCAAGAGTCTTGTGGGAAGTGTCCTCGGAGGTTGAGAATTTCGCTGGCATATAGTAGCAGCGTTATTCGTTCTTGACCTTCTCATTTGCCAAAAAGTCTGCGGCCAAAGTTCGTGTCTTTTAAGCTCCGAAAGTGTTGTGCCATTTCAAGAGTTCACACGCTGTTCTTGAGGTTCAGGTGTGCAGGAGGTAGCAATGTTGTTTACTGGCCTGGTGGATAAGATTTCGCTACTGCTTCCCTCAAATTCTGCTAAACTCAGTTTATGCTCAGGATGGGTGATGTACGATGCCCTCTCAGATAAAGTCGTCTCAAATGTCAGCTGGTTAACAGGGTACCTCTCTGTAGATGACTGCACCAAACCCAAAGATATCTTGCATTTCTACAGCTTTGTTGTATTTCAGATACGATGGCTGGTGAGGTGATGACAGAATCTCGTATTCTGAGGGTTAGTTAGTTGGTCCTTTGTGTGCATTGGTTGTTAAAGTGCAAGAAAGACCGTGAGGAGGCATTGATATTTGACTTCGAGCATGTAATTCACCAAGAGCTCGTGGGGTTGTTTCCAGGATAAGGGGTAAGTGGGAGGTGTTTCGTTCTCTTGAAGGACCTAGTAATCAATATGATATCCCAAGGGTGGTAGGATGTACTGACGGCGCATTCAAGAAATGCAAGGGGGTCGAGTCGAAATGTGCAGAATCGATAAACTGGAAGATCCTGAGAAGACTTGAATTTTCCAGCTTTGAGGGTGTTTTGCACGAATATGTTGTCGAGTTGTTGTTGAGGGAAAATAGTGTTGAGTGGGAAGGTACCATGTTTGTCCTGTGCATGGAGATGGTCTGGTGATCATGATAAGACGCGTAGTGATTTGGCTTCGAAAGTAGTGGCTTCTTCCAAAAGATCTGTCTGTGAATGGAACCAGATTCCAGAAGGCCGGCGGCGATGAACATTCTGTTGTCATTTTTTGATCGTAACAGCCTAGGTAGTCATGCAGCATCGCTGGCAGGATTTCTGAAATTTTCAGAGTTCAATAAGTGGATGGTCACTGATGTCAAGCAAAGTCTGTTTGGTAGGAGCGACCCCTCACTACTTTCAGCATCTTCATCAGACATGCAAATCATTCATCAAGACAGCATGTTTGAGCGTTTTGGAAAGAGCAGCGCGTGGCATGTGAGACAAGCGAGCAGATTTGGATTTCGTGCCAAGGGTTTCGAGCTGGGAGAGCTGGGGTACATGTCGTCGGTACATGATTTGGGCTGTTGGGAGGATGAAAAATGAGGGCTGGCAAGGAAGGAGGGCAAGAGAGGGTTTGACCAGATATACAATCAGCGAGATGACTGGCGTGACAATTTGAATTTCGGAAAGGCCTTTTGGATTCTAAAGAGTAGATTGGGTAGTGTATCACTAGTCGTGCGTTGTGGAGCTTGCAGTGTGATTGCATGTCCGCGAACCAAGAACAAGATCCGCGCGCCTCTGGAAGGCACGGTGTCCCCTGCCCGAAGATGTCATGTTTTTGCCCTTTACGGGCCTGGCCATTGCCTTGTCCTTTTACGTTTCCCATACTCCCACTCGTAAAATCATGGCAGTATTTCATGCAGGAAATCGACCAGGATGTGTCTTTTGAAGTTGGTCAGCACAGCCCGTGGGGAGGGAGTCACGGGACTTGCCTTACGGTTCCCAAAGCCGAGAATTGAGGAGAAGGCAAGCGCGACTCTGGCAGACGGGTGGTTCTTTCCAGACTGAAGGCACTCCGAGGCATCAATACGCGCGTGTCCAACGACTCGACAGACCGACTTTTTTGTTTTGCATTAGGTACGTTTGTTTATTCTACCTCTGCTCGGTCTATTCGGACCAGGCCCAATGCTCCCCATGGCCTACCCCGGTCTGAAGAACGAGACACCTCATCACCCACCCAACCACCGTCACACACCCACCACCAACTCCACCTCCACAGAGGTCATCGCAACGCGAACATCGCTTTCACACCCAAGCGCCCGTATCAATGTCTTGGCCCTAGCACTATCGCGTCGCCATCCATCATCCTTCACATGCCCTCGGTCGCGTACAGACGCGTCGCAGTCGGATCTAGCTAACCCACCTCGATAGGGCGTGTGCCCCATGCTGTAACCAGCTTCGACCATGAGTGCGCCGTGGCCCGGTCAGAGCAATGGCGTCTACATGAACCCATCCATGTCGTCGCTCTATGCGAACCCCAATTCCTCAAACATTGATCTCAACTCGTTTGCCCAGAATGGCAGCATCAACCCGCAACAAGCCTTTGGCGCGCCGCAACAGACCTACAACGTTAACCCCGTCGTACCTTCAAAACGCGCCCGACCCTCGGAAGACCAGATGCATCACTCGCCGCATGCCCCGTCACAGTCTCTAGACATGTCGCGATCGCAAACCCCAATGCAGGCTGGCGCGCCCTTTGGCGCATTCAATCCCCAGCAACAGCAGCAGCAACCGTTTCAAGCTCCGCCCACTCCTTACCAACATCTGCAGCAGAACACCTCTGCCTCGGCCAATGCTACGCCATCACCAACCATGCAGCCTCAGCAGTTCCGTCCGCCGCAGCAGCCACCGCAGCGCATGTCAACAGCCTCGCCTGCTACTTTCGCCCAGACCATGTCGCCGGCTCCTTCGACCGCTTCAAACAACATGATGCAGCCCGGCAACTTCAATCCACAGCAGTCGTTCGGCGGGAACAACTTCAATCCGTCTTCCTCTGCAGCCATGAACATGTCGCAAGGCATCACCTCTGTACCTCAGATGCAGCAACAATATCAGCAGAAACTCTACCAACAACGCTTGCAACAACAGCAACAACGCCTGCAGGCCAATAGTATGGCTCAAGTCCGCGCCAATGCTGCTCAGACTGCAGCCGGCTTCAATCCCGCAGCTGCTGCCGCCAATGCCAGTGTTGGAGGCGCGAATGGCATGGCAGCTCCCGGACAACCTTCTGCGCAGTCTAATCAACAGAAGCAAGAACAATGGATGCGATCGCTGCAACAATTCTGCCAACAGAATAACAGACCCTTCAACCCCCAACCGACCATCTGCGGACGACCATTGCCTTTGTACATAATATGGGTCATTGTGTTGCAACATGGCGGTTCCACTCGCGTCACTCAGTTCTCAGGCTGGCCTACCATCGCCCAAAAGGTCGGCTTCAACCTTCAACAATACCCTACAGCAGCAAATGAGCTGCAGCAATTGTTCGATACTCACTTGGGCCAATATGAGCGCGTCTTCATGCAAGCGCGCATGCAACAACGTCAACAAGCTGCTTCTCTACAAGCCCGCCAGTTGGCTGGCCTAGGCGCACCGAGTCCCGCTCAAAGCTCGCCTGGTCGTCCCAACGATCCGCTCTCGGCCCAACAGCAGACGATGTTGCAGATGCAGCAGAAGGCTCAACAGCAGCAACAGCAAATGGCACAGGCTCAGCAGCAGCAGCAACAACAGCAGCAGCAGCAGCAGCAGCAGCAACAGGCGCAACAACAGCAAGCACAACAAGCGCAGCAGGCGCAACAAGCTCAGCAACAGCAGCAACAACAATTGCAAATGCAACAGCAACAAATACAGGCCCAGCAACAGCAGCAGCAGTTGCAACAACAACAAGCTCAGCAACAGCAACAACAACAACAGCAGCAGCAGCAGCAACAGCAGCGTTCGACCCCTGTGCCTATGATGAACCCTCAAGCCACACCTATGCAGCGCCCTGCTCCTACGCCTACTGCTAACGGGATGACCACTCCACAAGCTGCTTTGCAGCAATCAGCCCTGGCCGAGTTCCGCCGTACTTCAAGTGTCGGTAAGATAGATTCGGTACCGCCACCAGACCAGGAAGCTCGAGTCTCAGCATCACCCGCCATCAAAGCTCAGTCAGAAGCAGGTGGAACTCCAGGCATCAAGCGTGAAGCTAGCGCTGCTGAGTTGAAGCACATTACTGGCCAAGAAACAGAATATGAGCCTCATCGACGAACCCTAGACTACTATGGCGGTTACGATATCCTACCCCTGGCCAAACTTGGCGGCGAGATCTCTAGACTAGTTCCCGCTGTTCCAATGGTCGACGAGATGGGATTGATAGACATCCGGGCTCTCACATTGAGTCTGCAGTCTGGCATACACGCCGAGACCCGTCACGCTTTGGACAACTTGATTATGATCTCCGTCGAGCCCCGTATTATATTGGATCTCGAGAAGTGTGAAGACTTGACAGACGTACTGGTTGATTGCGGAGAGGCCCAGCTCGATATCCTTGCAGATGGCGCTGCCGAAGTATCGGACGGTCTCGACTTGCCGTCTTACGAGGATCTTGTCAGGCTGTGTCGCATCGAGAACGAGTCACTGCAAGATGTTCCGGCTGTCGGTACCCAAGAGTATGAGTTAGATCGTGCTGCCGAGCGTCTCGTTGGCGTCACGACATTGTTGCGGAATTTCTCCTTTAACGAAGCAAACCACCGCCTTCTGTCCGCCAGCCCTGTTGTCAACTTTGTCTCAAACGCACTCCGTTTGTTGGGCACTCGTAACACTTTCCTTCGCAACTCGAGGAATGTCGCCGACTTTTACAAGGATATCGTTACCTTCCTCTCTAATATCTCTGGTATCCTGGAGTTGCCCAACCGTGACGATGCTCTTCACATTCTTCAGTTCATCTTGGCATTCGCTCCTCATCCAGCCCCCAAGCTCTCCTCCGACTCTCCGCTACATTTCAACCCATATGTACCTTTGGCGCAACGACATCTCCCGCTGGCAGTCGATTGTCTTGCGAAACTCCTGGCTCGTCAAGAACCCAATCGTTCTTTGTACCGCAGCATCTTCTCTTCTTCACAAACACCCAACTCTTCTGAATCTGTGCCACCAGAAGATCTGCTTACCTCGGCCTTTGCTTTGAGCATTTCTGTCTTACCTGAACGCTCAAAACGAGTGTTCTCAACGACCGTGGAGCTCAAGATGGTAGAAGCTAGAAAGGCTTTGCTAACACAAGGCATGTTGGCTGCTGACATTCTGGCATCGATGCTCCCGACAGCGCAATCATCTGACGAATCAGACGAGAAGAATCTTGCTCGTGCTTGGCTTGGATCTGATGACCGCTGGCCTGGAGGTCTACTACGTATGGCCTTTGTACTCTCGGTCGACCGTAGTGCGCAAGCACAGAGACCCCAACCTGGACATCCTCACATGCAACAGCTAGACCCTGATATGCAGAGTTATGGACTCATCACACATCGAGGTCTAGGTATGTTGGCACGTTTGGTGGAGAAGGCTGGACTGCCAGCGTCAGAAAAGGCCAGATCGAATTCTGATGACGAAGAATCACGAGGTGATGGTGTTCGTGATGGCAGTGATGATGAAGACCAGGACGAGTTTGATGATTATGACAAGCCCACGCCCAGCTGGATAGCAAGGTGTAATCCGGCTCCTCAGCGGGAGACTGTTCTTGGGGCTCTGCTGTCACCAGACGCCGACAAGGTGGCATTGAAGCTGTTGTGCAAACTTTACGATATGGCATCTGCCTGAACGCAGGGGATGGCAAGGGAACGGACAATCAAATAAACAGAAAGTGCGAAAAAAGAACACACATTATTGATCGATCGGATTATGCATATGGGAATAGTGGTATAAAACACGCAAGCGACTCCTTTTTTCCCACCTGAAGTACTGTTTCTTGTTCTCTGCCTTGTATGATGTTGCGATAATGTTGGTGATGACCAGTGAATACGAGATCTGTAAATGCAATCGTGCATATGCCGGCAACCCTTTTCTTGCATCATGCGTCCGTTTGTTTCTTGACACAATTGAAGTTCGTATTTTCTGCTTCATGACTTTGCGGCTCATCCGGATACCGAGTCCTACTTTCGTCTTTCCAAACAGTGCCGCAAGCCACACCTAAAAACGCCTTGATCAATGATACGAGATGATGTTTATGTTTATATCGGAGAAATTATGCAGAGACAGGGTTGTGCCTTATCACTTGGTATACGCCACTTCCGCAATCGAGCAAGCCCCCCATCGGAGGAGGTCGAGGGCTTCGGGGCTCGCTGCTCTCTCCACATCTGCCGTCGCCTTCGATGATTCAACAAAACCCTTCCTCCCTCCTTTTGCCCTCCAGACGTTCGGGCGGCGAAATTTGATGGACACAACAATCCCAAGGAAACTCTAGTAATATAACACCGTTATACAATGGTTTTTCTTTGCGAGTCATTGACAACAGTATTGGAGATGATCCCCCTCGTTTAGCGATGAGATATGATAGTGTCATTTAAGGTTTTGGACTGGGCTGACACCGGCGGGCCCCTGTCAATGTTCCGACCAACAACGGCTCTTCACCTCCTTTCTGCCAGCGAATGGCAGCGAATGGCAGACTCTAGCATAGCCACAACGTTCTTGCCTCTGCCGGAATCTCTCCTTGTTTGTGTGTTGTTCTTTGCCCTCATCATGGGTTGCTCGCGTGGTCGGTTTCGGACTTGAAAGCCACTGATGATGGTTGGGCGTTTTCCCTCTGCGGGAGAAAGGGTTAGGCTCAAGCTCCGTTAGGTTAAGGGAGGGCGTGTGGTTAGATGTTGGTGGCAGATTGTAAGTGATAATATACGAGCCGTCAGGATACGGATAAGGGAGCTGTGCTAGGTGCTTGGGCAATCCTCCAAGGTAGTATTGTACCTGTTCCCTCGTTTCTCTCCTCTGAATCGATTTCTCTTTCTTTCCTTTGCTTTGGTTTTTGGTACACATATACATACAACAAACGACTTTACTTAATGGTGTGCTGATTTGACGACCGTGTGAGAAAGAGATATTATTTGGTTTAAGAGCTTGGATTGGAAACAAGATGGGCTTCTCGTTCAGAAAGGGCAGTGTTATGGAGAGGATGGGCTACAGCGATGAGACCAAATTCCATCAGATCGAATCGCTGGGAGGTGCCCTGGATGCTTTGAGGACGAAAGGCTCGCGCATGAAGCAGAAGATTATCGCTGGTTCGATCGTCTCTGTGCTGCTGGTTTTCGCATTCCTCGCTGTAAGTCTTGTTTCTCCTGCTGCTCTGAAGCTGTCCGGGGACTAATCGTACTCCACCACAGTTCTCCCCTGATACCACAACCTCCTCGCTACGACAAGAACAACTCAACAAATGGTGGAAGACCCACGACGGAACCGACGCGGCAATTGAGAACGGCATCTGGAACAAAACACCAGAAGACCAAGAAGCAGAAGTCGCGCAAGGAACTTGCGACAACGTACCCGAGATCATTCAAGTCGCCATCCTCGAAACTGTACGCGCTCACGATGAAGTCGATGCCGCCCTCGTCCACTCGCTCGCCTCGCAACCAAACGTCAATCTGACACTCTACCAACAAGAACCCCGCTTCGGCAGCGAAAAGATCTTCCACGCTTTCGGTCTCGACTATGCCGGTCCACTCCACCCTGACGATTTCATGGGCACAGACAAACACACCACAATTCCCGACTTCTTGGTACTTACAACATGCGAATTAGCTCTCCGTCAAGCACCCAAACGTCTCGAAGCTCTCCTGGAACAAGGTAAAACCCGCCTCATCTGTATAGTCCACCACTCGGACCACTGGGCCGAAGAACAGCGCAAATCCGACATCCGCCCTTGGGTCGACGCAGGCATGATTGATTTCTGGACACTCTCACCACACACGGCGACTTTCCTCTCCAACACAATCGCAGCTTGGGATTCCAACGACAGCCAGCCTTGGGATAACCCTCCATCCCCTCCCATCCGTGTCTTCGTGCCTATTTTCCCAGTCGTCGCGCCCAACATCACCATATCAGAGAAAGCAATGCAAGGCTTGAGTTTCGCCATGCAAGGTGACTACGATCCTCACCGCAGAGATTACAAGCATATTTTCGAGCGCCTGGGCAACTTTTTGGCAGAGGCGGAAAGAAATGTTTCCATGCATTTACTCGGTCAGGGCAACCGACCCGAAGTCCCAGAAAATGTGAAAGCGCATGTTTTCTTCGATCAAGGGTTGAGTTATACGGATTTCTATGCGTTGTTGTCGAAGGTTTCTGCTGTGTTGCCTGGGTTTGCGAGCCCCGAGTATTTGGACCGCAAGGCTTCTTCGTCCGTACCTGCTTCTTTGATCGCCGGCACACCGCTGGTTGCGGATAGAAGATTATTGGAGGCTTATGCATATGTGGAGGAGGAAAGTGTGTGGTTGCAGGAGGATGGAGAGAATGAATTTGATGTTGTTGGCAGGATGTTGGCGGCCAGTGCCAAGGAAAGAGAACAAAAGAGCCAACACGCCAAAGACAACGCCCAGAGAATCATCGACGGCAACGTGAGAAGGGTAGGGGAGTGGCTAGAAACCGGCATCATCCAGATGTACTGTGCTGGCTCCGAGGGAGAAGACGACTAGATTCTTTTTTCTTTCTTTATTGTTTATATTATCTTCCTTTTCCAATCCCCTTGCGTGAACCGAAATCTTGAAATCACCTATCTGACTGTTTCGAAAAAAAGAACTGTTGGCTGCTTACTGTTCCGATTGCAGAAACACCGACATGGGGTATGGCATAAACAAGACATTGAAGTTCAGGGGTGCATATGCAAAGACGGGAGGGAAGCAGCGAAGCATAAAAAGACAAATCGGAAACCCAAATGCCACAGCCAAGAAAACATGATCCTACACACCTCAAAGGACAATCATGGCTGAGAATTATAAAATGGAAAGCGCAATTCAGGAGTACTGAGTACTTTGAAGGAAGGTGCAGGTGATCAATAGGAGAGCGCGATCGATATCAGAATCGATTCTGTTCACCCCTGAGACAAACACCCAAGACAACACCAACAAGCAGGATTCGACAGCACCACTGATGGACAAGAGGGAGATATGTGTGTTGAAGAATAACAAAAATGAATAAAGAATTAAATGGGTATAATGAAGTTTTACTCTGAACCATCTGCCTCCTGCTCAGACTCTGCGCCGTGGACCAACTCACCATTCCACCTGCCCTCTTCCTTCTCCTTCTCGAAGAACATCTTTGCAAACTCTTGTGCCTCATCGATGTCTTCTGCCACTCTCGTGCAAGCACAGTCCTTGGTCCATGTGTCATGGTAGTTGATGTTCTTGCCCAACTTCGAGTCCATAACCACATGCGGTGTGCCAATCAAGGTGCTCAGAATGTGACCATGCAGACGATCTGTGATGACAAAGTTGGCAGCTCCCAACATTCTGAATCCTTCTGTTGCCTTTGCCCATGCGCGCTGGTTCTTGCCAGTCTCGCGGTGATCACCGTCAATCGAAGGAGTAGGTGTGAATTTCCAGTCTACCTTCCAGTAGCTGACGTTGCCGATGCTACCGCCGAGGTCGAGGTTGCCGTGACCGAAGGGGATGGACTTTGAGTTTCCGGCGGAGATCTCCTTGTCGTCGCGGGCGAGGATCAGAACGTCGTATTCTTTGGGGGTGTTGACGCGGAAGTCAGGGCGAGATCCCCACATGAAGGCGATGTCGGGTGTCAGGACTGTCTTGACTTCTCCTTGGCCAATGCTGTCGGCGATGGCAATGTCGGTCGATACTTTCTCGCCTTCGAAGGTCTCCTCGAGCCATTGATAGCTGGGTGCATCGCGAGCAGCGAGTTGCAAATTGGGGTGAGACAGGAAGGCGGCTTTGGTACGATTGATGCGGTCGTCGTGGGTCATATGGATGCTCTGAGGGAAGGCGCGGATGGGCGTTTGGGTGAAGTGCTTGATCATCTCGATTCTTGACGGTTGGTCCTCCCAGTAGTAGTCGTTGAAGTTGCCACCGCCTGCCATGATGATGGCCGAGTTAGGCTTGTGGTCGTCGAGTGCTTGGGTGAACTTGGTCATGTTGCAGCCCTTGTCCATGAAGCGGCATGCTTCCATGGTCTCGATGCCCATCATACTCAGCAAAATCTGTTGAGCCGACCAGATGGCGGCATCGCCCTTGTTCTCGGTCTCGAGGTAACCCCAGATGTTGACGTAGCGAATGCCCTTAAGAAGTTGTTGGTATTCTGAGATGAGCTTTTGCTGAGCGGCATTGACTACAGCCTCGCAGCCCGTCGAAGGAGGCGTTGTCTTGTCATATGAGATTGGGACGTTCGAGACAACAGCAGGCACTGTTGACGAAGCTACTGCTGATGCTGAGGTTGTCGATGATGCTGCTTGTTGTGTGCTGTTATTCTGAGCCTCATCTTTGTATGATGAGAATGGTGATGAGACGAAGTCCGTGACATCGTCAAGGTGTAATGATGAAGGTGATGATACTGTGCCAGTCTGGAAGAGTGCAATCAAGCAGATGAACAACGCCACCACCACGGCGATATACGCGCATCGACTTGGGACAGGCATTTTGCTTTGGTTGGAAGATGTGTATCAAGACAAGATGGATGTATCACCTACCTGCTCCGACGGCCGTCTTTTACTGTCCACGCCGCTCCTTTTCGACTCACCTTCCCCTAAATCATGGCAATCCCTGCAGCCGAACATACAACAATATACAACTGAAACAGGCATGATGCCGAGTAAAGACGTTGGAGCCGGAAAATCTGGATATCATACATGGTGGATGCTGATGAGCCAAGAAACGGTCGTGTGTGTGACCGTTGTCCGCTGTTTACGCTCAGGCACATGGTGCCTGATTTTATTGCCGAAGATCCACAACAGAGATATAGGGGACCTTGGTCTTCCTGTGCGAAGCTGTTCGCCATCGCGTTTCAGCGGATGCAATATCATTGATTCGGACAGGCGAGATAGGCTGAGCCAAGACGTGTAGTTTGAAGTTGAGTTGATGCACTGAGATGCAAAGTAGGTGCATGGGAAAGTAAAATGACGGTGGTGGAAGAACTCCTAAACGGGTGGCTGCGGCAGAGTGACTCGCCGATGCCAAGCCTCTCAAGCTCTCGACCTCCGCCCGTCCCTTCCTCTTCCTGCACTTCGCAGTCCCGGGCCATCAGGCCAAAACCATGCTATTCAAGGATGCGAGCGTGGTAGATCTTGTCCTCTGTTTGACGGAAAAACACCAGAAATACCCAATAAACTGGTTGACAACTTCTACGTCCGTCATCGCCACCTGATTATTGAAAAAATCAGAGTCATAAAACTCGTGGATCAACCACCATCCGAATCGATCTTCCAACGCTTGCATACAATGTCCAATATGACCCACTTTAGGGGCTTAAATCAGAAGGCTTCACCAAAAAGCCGATTTCGCATGGCCGCATATGATGCTACACATCTAACGTCGATAGGCGGTAGGTGTCAAGGGGAGTCCTGTTTCAGCAGTTTTCCTTCCGCATAGGCGAAAAACAAAGGATAATCGATCTTCTAATCTAAAAGAGCCCTCAGAGTTGGGGCCTGCCAAGACGGACTTGAGTACACCCAGTCAACGGCCATGTCTAGTACTGCTTGGAAGTAGAACGCTTCCAGTCTCCTGAGGTGCCCTGATGCATGGTGAGTAGTCACCCAACGACACTGCTCTAATGATGGTCTCGGCTAGTTTTGCATGGATGCGCCGTAGGCATACCAATCCTTTGATCGGAGTCGGATTTCCGCCACTCTCACCATGCTTAGTCTACCGGCTCCTCCTTGATCAACTTGCCGCTCATGAACGAGCATTGATAAAGGAGAAATGAGTGTTGGTCCCGGTTGACACCGGTGACACTGAGACCTGGTAGTAAAAGCAGAGGATTCCCTCGGCTCTCCAGAACCTTGTAAAGTAATTCGATCAATCGCAAAGATGTCTGAATCACCATCACCCTCAAGAACGAAGGTTGCTTTGACAGTGTTGTTCCACTCGAGCTGTGCTGTCTCGGTGACGCTGATTTCAAAGTCTGCCCTGAATGGCATTGAAGCACCTGTTACCTTGCTTGCGTTGCAAACGTTTGTCCAAGTGGTGCTTCTCACACTTGTTGGAAAGCCTCTAGGATGGATTAAGTTCAGTCGCCCTCTATCTGTAAGCAAAATCTCTCATCATGATTGAGGAATTCTTGCTAACAAGATCCAGGCCTGGAAAGGATTGATCCCCCTGATGCTCGCACGCCTCGTCGGCATTCTCGCAAAGACGTTCTGCCTGGCTAGTGTCGATGCCTCCCTATACCAGATCGCAAGAGGCCTACTTCTGCCTTTCACCCTGCTCTTGTCACACTTCTTCCTCCACCCGCGACCATACAACCCTCCGCTCTCGCTCTTCGGATGCGGCATGATCATGATGGGCTTCGCCACTGGCATGATTACCGACTTGGGCGCTATGCTCACGAGTATCAAGGGTCTATTACTAGGTGTCGGATCCAGCTTCACTACCGCTGTTGAGAGTGTGGTCGTCAAGCGTTTCCTCACAAAAGGTGATGAGGGTATGTGGCAGATGGTATGGATGACAAATTGCATGGCTCTGGCCTGCTACTTGCCTCTCTTCATCATCTCTGGCGAATACACTGTATTTTCTGGCCTCTACAACAGTGCCATGGATCTGGATGTCGCAAACGCCGTCGCTGCCACCGACGCTTCTGGTCAACTCCATGCTTTCTTGTACACTGCTGTCGCTACCGGTGGTGCAAGTTTCCTGTTGACTCTGGCCACCTTCCTGCAAATCTCCGTCACTAGCCCGACAACACATATGATTGTCACCGCTGCTAGAGGAGTCGCACAAAGCGCGCTCGCCGTCTTGATCCTTCGCGAAGCTGTTACCATGGGTAGAATTTGGGCCATGGTCTGCATTCTGGGCGGTAGTGCAGTGTATGCTTGGGGCAAGGACAGAGTCAAGCAGCGTACCGAGAAGGCCGATGATAGAGGCATGTACGAGAAGCTCAATGAATTGGAAGCCAGGGAATCAGAAGAGAGTGTAGAGCTACGGAAAGTTTGATTCCGAGCATCTTCATAGATAGATCACCTTTATGACTACTTAATCTTTGCATTCCCACGTTCTTCTGACCCGCTTCCCCCAAGAAAGATCCGGGCGAGTAGTGATACACTACGAAACGGCATAGTAAAGTCCGGAGAAAGTCAAGCTACAGAGAATCAAACTAGAGGCACGAAATACACATTAGCAACTTGCAGCCTATACAATTCTTTTTATTCTTGGTGTTTACTCAGTATGAGCTTCTTCATGCTTTTCTGAAGATGGCATCATGTTGGCTTCCTCTCTGTACCCCGCTTGACCGTCGGGGTGCGATACGCCGACACATCGGATCTACCCGCGCTGCCCTAATTACATCCTTCCTCCATGAAAAGATCTGTCACCTTCAGCAAACTCCTGCGATCGTAAGTGCAGCCATCTAAACCGTAGTACTGTACAATACGCCCACTCGCAGCTATACGCTGACCGAAACGCTCTCTGCGAAAATTGCCTCTGATTCAGGGAGAAATGTGCATCTCTACAGCTACATGCGTCACAGAGTTCAGCACATGCGGAAGATCCTTGCTCTTCCTTTCTTAAAGGAGTCTGATATTCTCTCGTGATCGGTTGCATAAACTTACATACCCCTCACCTCTCTGCACGTATCACCGATTCTCTTTGCCATCTGGAGAATAGCCATTGCTTTAGCCTGATACCCAGACGGAGAAATGGAGTCATGTAAAACCATCGGACCTGGTCGCGATGATGTGCTTCAATGAGCATCTGACACCGCATATAACGACGTTAGAGTATTTAATGGGTGGAAGTTGACTATTTTGTCAAGCCACCCATCCTTTTCGATGTTTTTCTTCACCATCTGTGGGCTTCTGCTCCCTGCTCTTATCTACCAGGTCAATGCATCTCCTCACAACGCTCAGCCCAAATATCGGCTCGGTCGTGAGCAGATCAATCTCAATTCTGACTGGAAATTTCGTCGATGGGAAGAGAATCCGGATGGCTTAATATACGATTACCGACAAGATCTGGAGAATCTGACAGACGTTTCCATTTTGAAACCTTGGATTCTGCCATCCGGAAATGATTTTATCAAAGATAGCTCAAAGCATTATCAAAGACCTGAAGGCAACCCTGGCAGCAACGTCACATTCGTACAGAACGACTTCGATGACCAGTGCTGGACCTCTGTCACCCTGCCTCACGACTGGGCGATAGCAGGGCCTTTCTATACGGAGCCCGATGGAGAAGCGATCGTAGGAGGTGGCATGGGACGTCTCCCAGTCTTCGGTGTAGGCTGGTATCGACGTAAGCTGCATATCTCGAATGACGACAAGAACAAACAAATTCAGCTCGAGCTCGGCGGTGCTATGTCGTATGCGATGGTCTGGCTAAATGGTAAACTGATTGGAGGCTGGCCTTATCCTTATAATTCTTTCCAACTCGACCTCACTCCTCATCTCCAGTTTGGTCAAGACAATCAGATTGCTATTCGATTAGACAATCCAGTCGATTCTGCTCGTTGGTATCCTGGCGGTGGACTTTACCGCGATGTTTGGCTCACCAAGACGGAACACACTCATGTCAACCAATGGGGTACGCGGTTCACCACAAGAGACGTTTCAGACGATTCTGCCGTCATCGATCTTCAGCTCTCGCTAGGGAACACTGCGAACTACACATCAAAGGTTAGCGTTGTCACCGAGATATATCGATCAAATACCGTCACTGGTCAGCAAGGACGCATGGCCGCATCCTTTCCAGCCACAACGGTGGAAATCGAAGCAAACGACAAAACAAGCATAAATCAAACCCTGCTATTGAGCTCACCACAGCTTTGGGGTCCCCCACCAACGCAAACCCCGAACACATACATCGGTGTGACCAGACTACTCAACGAGGCTGGCATTCAGGTCGACGTATATGAGACACGCTTTGGAATTAGGAAGTTCGAATACACCGGCGATGACGGTCTGCGAGTCAATGGCGAGCGAGTTCGAGTACAAGGCGTGAACGAGCATCACGATCTCGGGGCGTTGGGTGCAGCATTCAACGTCAGAGCTGCGGAGAGGAAACTCGAGATTCTTCGTGAATTGGGTGTGAACGCCATTCGTATGGCACATAACCCACCAGCTAGCGAGCTGCTTGACCTGACGGACAAAATGGGCTTTCTGGTCTTTGATGAAGTGTTCGACTCCTGGGAGCGCAACAAGACTGCCAACGATTTTCATCTCATCTTCTCTGACTGGCACGAGCAGGACCTTCGTGCCATGATCCGTCGTGACGCCAATCATCCTTCCATCATGGTATGGAGTATTGGCAACGAGGTCGGCGAGCAGAATTACACACAGGAACTCACAGAAATTGCCACCACCCTTTACGCCATTGCTCATGACGAAGATCCAACAAGGCCTGTAACGGCTTCTATGAATTTCGCTCAGCCTGGAAACAACGGCGCTCCTTTCCCAGATATCCTGGATGTGCTGAGCATCAACTATCAAGGCGAAGGAATACGAGATACTCCGAATTATGCAGTCACAAAGGGCATCACCACTAAGCCTGCTTACCCCTTGTTCCATGAAGACCAACCCGACAAGCTCATTTGGACCAGCGAGTCAGCATCAACAGTCAGCACACGAGGGACATATTTCTTCCCAGTAACTGACGACGGAGGCGCTCCCGTAAACGATAGTTCTGGGGGTAATACAACTCTGGCACAGGTCAGTGCGTACGAGCTGTATTCGGCCAACTTCGGGTCTTCTCCCGACAAGGTGTTTGCAACACAAGATCAGAATACCTACGTCGGTGGAGAGTTCGTCTGGACAGGATTTGATTATATTGGAGAACCGACTCCATATTACACGTCCAGAAGCTCTTATTCTGGTATCATCGATCTCGCTGGCTTCAAGAAGGACCGCTTCTACCTGTATCAGGCAAGATGGCGTCCAGATCTTCCCATGGTTCATATACTACCTCACTGGAATTGGGCTGGCCGAGAAGGGCAAGTAACACCAGTCCATGTCTTCACCAGTGGTGATGAGGCCGAGTTGTTTCTGAACAACGTATCAATGGGAAGACAACACTTGGATCAATACGAGTATCGTCTGAGGTGGGACAAAATTACCTACGAACCCGGTGAACTCCATGTGGAATCGTACAAGGCTGGAAAACTCTGGGCAGAAGCAACCGTTCGTACAACTGGGCCTGCCGTGTCTTTGAGGCTGACTGCAGACCGTCAATCAATTTCTGCTGACGGTGTTGATCTTTCATACATCACTGCGGATGTGCTCGACTCACAGGGGTCAGTGGTGCCCACAGCGAATCCCGAGATCGAGTTTTCTGTTTCTGGCAGTGGTGGGATTATTGCAACAGACAATGGTGATCCAGCAGACCTCGTCGCATTCACCAGTACGAACAGGAAGGCATTTAGTGGGAAGGCTTTGGCAATCGTAAAGGCGTCGAAGAGGAATGGAACGATCTCGGTTGTTGCGAAGAGCGAGGGCCTCACCTCAGGCGAAATCACATTGAATTTATTGACCTAGGCATAGAAATACACCTTTGGACTTCGAGTTACCTTGGAGTCGGCCATAGCTTTTGTTGTTACCATGTCCCACTGCATACCTCGCTACCCAACAAGTTACAACAGATTGTCTATTGCGTCGCCAGATATTTTCTACTCCAGACATAGTTCACCATTGGGTCCCCCATTCTCTCTGAGATGTCCATGTCAGTCGCAAGACATCGATGTATCAAGTCATCTTTCTGCAGGCGACAAGGGATAGACTGCCGGTGCTAATATGATAGATGAAAGTCCTCAGAGTACCGGGAAGGGCCGAAGGAAAGACATTGCGAGTTCCTATTCTCGGCAAGCAAAAGCAAAAACATGCAACACTCAAGGTGCTTTTAAACCGGATAGAATAAGCAATGATATATAGCAATGATGTATAGCAAGAACGAAAAGCAAAACATACAGCAGCAGGGATTCCCACGTGGTCACCCACCGTAGTACTAATCTGCCGTTCAACTGCTTATGTATGGCAGAGCGGACGGGATGCCCAGTTTTCAGCTGACTGTGGCCGTATGTGCCTGTTTCCAAGAAGCCTAGAACCATAATCCACAAACAATCTGGCAAGCACGAAAGACCGCCCGCGATGCGTTGAAAGCATCTCACCCTCGTGGCGTTGCTTCCATTTTCAACACACTACAGCTCACGCCGTCGCTCCGCGCAATCATTACATCTCGCGACACCCTCATACTTTCGCATCGTGGGCTTGATACATCTCAATTTTTGCGACAAAGATACTATGGAATCTGCCTATAGGTGGAAATTCGTCTGCATGATGCACGCAGCCGACAGACCAACCCCAGCCTTGCTTAGCCTCCAAAAAACACACCAGTGATCATGCAGGCAAACCAATGGCTCGGGACTCAGCCTTTTTGACATGCTTTCACAGCATTCTCCAACAGTAACGCGAAATATGATTGGATATTACAGTATATTCCGACTTGGCGGATGCCTGACTTCCTCTGGCGGCGTTGTCGCTGCATCCTTACAGTCTGAAGTCTCTGGTACACCGCAGCTATTCTCGTCATGACCAATGTCAAGTATGGTATACGCGCCGCCAAGCTATATTGTGCAAGGTAAACTTGTATACGGCTGAGCTGACAGCGAAGCAGAAAGAGAGTGGTCTCGATGCTCCATCAAAACTTCAAAAGCGATGCCGTTCCTTACTCGAGTCTTGTGTTCCCATCTGGATGATGTTATTTTCTAGAAGGTTATTATATAACTTCTAACGTCGGCATGGATCCAGCTAACCGGAAGGCCGTCCCTGGAACAGCCGAGAGGTCAGATGTTACCCTTGACCCATACCCACAGAGCCACAGGACAATTTCTATCTCCCGAAGTTGGTCTTCGGCAGTATCAGAAAGGCCTTCTACTGTATCCCCGAGTTCGCGCGACACCGTTGACCAAGACGAGCAAATTCGCGACCATCTGATTCCAAGTGATCTTGTGGACGACGACTATCAAGCGCAGTCCAGTACGAACCCAGAGCAGACCATTAACTCGCAAGACAACGCAGTAAAGCCGTCTGCGGATCATGGCCAGACAGCCTCGACCGAGATCTCACCCGAAAAGCCAATCCTCTTGGTTCACGAACACCCCACTGACTTGCAATGCTGGAACCCAATTTGGTTACGGAAACCAGCAATTTTAGCCTTTGCATTCATTACCTTGGCTTGTATGATATCAGTGGTAACTCTTTACCTCATGTCGGAGTCACGAAATGGTCTCGGCCATCACACCGGTACCAACCATTATACCTGGAGGTACGGTCCGACAGCAGGTAAGAAGACATGCTTCAGGTCCGCGACTAAGCTAACGCTCGCAGTCATCACGATCGTAGTGATTTTATGGTCTCAGCTAGATCGCTCTTGTAAACTGCTTGCTCCCTGGCACTCGATGTCACGACAAGTTGCTCCGGCGAACCGCACGGTTTGCCTCGACTATCTTTTCGCTTTCCAGCCTGTCGCTCTATACCAAGCATTAAGACTTGGAGACTGGGCAGTCCTCTGTACCGGAATTGGTTCAATACTCCTCAAGTTATCTGTAAGATGTTCCATTCTCATGTTCAGACACAAGCTAAAGTCTGAAGATCGTTGTTTCTACTGGTCTACTGCTCACTAGACCCGCAACTGTTACGACTTCGTCTTTGAATATCCTCCTCACCAACGACTTCCAGATCGACAAAATCCAAGATATTCTAGCAAATACGAATGCTGGCGAGACAATTACCGGAATCCATACGAACCAACAGCCGTATCCGAACTGGACCACAGAAACGGCGACTATACAATCGTTCATAATACCGGACAATGTTCGGCTGCCCTCAGAATACATGCTGAAGACATCCCTCAATGCGTTCATGGTCGGTCTCACGTGCGAGGTTGCTACAATGAGAATAACCCCTCGGTCCGGAAAGTCACCAAATCAAGACTCCAACTTCAATGCCACTATAGAGTCACGATCGTGTACAATCTCCGTCTCGAACATGCCTCGGATGGATCCCACCCAGCTCTATGATTTCTTACCCGATTTGCCGGCAGAAAACTTCGTGTCAAACAGTTCCCTGTTCCAGTGTGAGAATCAAGGAGTAGACGATGAACGACTTATGATGTTTCTCACTATGTCGAACCGAAATTTGGAAATCACGAACTCAAGTGCGATTATCTGTCGACCTGGTTATACTCTGGGTCTCTTCGAAGTTGAGTACAAAACTACTGCAACGGATCTTGAGGACGAAGTGAGCTTGCTTACGCAAGTTGGAGCTTCAAATTACCCATTCAATGCCGAACAACGGATGAAGCTGAACAATGCGATCTACAACTCTACTTGCGCCTTCCTACCGCTGCACAATTCTGAAACAATCACGGAAGCCCAAGCCAGTGATTCTAGGATGTTCAATCTGATGACCTTACTCCAAGGCCGTGACAATTCAGACTCAATGCTTCGACCATTTTTGAATGCCGATATCATGACGCAAAGAGCGACACAAGTCTTCAGTGCGATTGGTGTGCAGACCATAGCAGAAGGCTTGCTCGTGCCTCGGGACCGTCAAGTGTCTGGACAAGCAACCTCTCGACAGCAAAGACTTGTTGTCGACCGCGTCTCTGCCACCTTGATGAGTGTCGCGTTTGGGCTGATATGCAGTCTTTGCGTGGTGCTGATCTTTGTTCGGCCATGGAATGTTGTGCAGCGTCGGCCGGCTAGTGCTGCCGAGATCCTCAGTATATGCATGCCCAGCACGTCTCTCAGAGCATCGCTGCAAGGCTGCGGTCATCTATCCGATGCAGACACACAGCAGAGATTAACGGGTTATAATTTCTCATTTGAAAAGACTGGACATGGCATCTTGCACCCTTTCGTTGTGGAAGCCAGTAAGCAGCCTTCAGCCATGGAATCTGCTCGAGAGACACAAGAAACGTCTCGTTCTATTTCGTGGTGGCATCCCTGGGGCACTAAGCTCGCAACCAAAGTCGCAGTCATCTTGCTACCATTAGCTTGTATCGCCGTACTACAATTTCTCCAAGCCAAGTCAAACGATCACCATGGCTTCGTCAGGTTACCAAACTCAAAACAGCGCAATTTTGAGATTGCGAACTATGCCACCCAATACCTGCCAGCTGCCATCATGGTCTCTACCAAGCTATTGTTTGGGGGTCTTGAAGATGTGGTCAATGTCTTCGCACCTTTCGTTCCGCTCAAAAACGCGCACAAGTCAGAGACAAAAACCCAATCTAAGAAGACAACATGGCTACCTTCGTGGCTACGGAAGAGCGACGATAACTCTTACGACACACTGCAAGGCTGCTCCCCCGACACCTTAGGATACCAAGTATATGCCCGAATCTCGTTTCTTGCGTTGATCTCTGCAGTCAAACGCAAATATTGGGCTGTTGTGTTTGTAAGCTTGACTGCACTTCTCAGTCCTTTCCTCACTATCATCGTGTCAGGTCTATACAGATTGGAACAAACGTCTATGGTCTATCCAATTTCCACTAGCAAGACAACAACATTCAACTTGACTTGGCCTCGAAGCTGGCAGGGGAACGATGATGATGCAGGACTGAGACTTATACAAATCTGGGACCACAATGCATCTTATCCGCTTTGGACCTATGGAGATGTTGCTTTACCCAAAGTCGGCATCGAGCATCAAAACTTACCCTTCACAAACACCTCTGCCGGCCTGAACGCTCGACTCAATGCGATCTTGCCAGGTGTCAAGTCCAGGCTGGATTGTGTTCCCACTTCGAATCGTACCGTGTTCTCTGCTCCCAAATTTGAACAGTTCAGTAGAACTGGTCCCTCCACACTTGACATCAGAGTACCGGTGAACGTGCTGAACACTTGTCTTGGACATCGCATGCCTAACATGCTCACCATGAACCTCACATTTAGCGTCTACGACGAGGAAACATATGTGGCGCAAATTACAAACGTGCACATTTTCCAACCAGCCAACAGCGCAATCAACGTCACTATCACCCCCGATCGTCTCGCCGGTGGTTCCAGAGAGTCTGATAACGGCGAAGAGTGCCCATCACTGGCTTTCTACATTGCGAAATGGTCGCCGTTACCAGAAATCGGTGACTACCAGCTTGACTTCACCGCCTTGTCGTGCAGACAGGTCGTTGACGAAGTTCAAGTCAACACGACCTTGCTGTATCCTGCCATGGAACTCGACCCTCAAGCCCCACCCGTTGTTCTTGAAGGCGTCACTACGAATGTAGTTGACACTACACATAACGGCTCTGTCAAAACTTGGCAAGTTGGATTTCAATTCGACGCTTGGGATTCCAGTCAAAGATGCGTCACAGCAGGGCCAATCTCAACCAAAACCTTTCATGTGAGCCGATTCTACCAAATGGTCGTAAACGGCACCAAGGATGTAGCACCGACTCCACTCGACGACATGATAGGTGATGGCAACATCGAGGCGTTCTCACAAGCCACTCAGCGTGTGTATGGCATGTACATGGCACAAGTCTTTTCCGGCATGAAGCAGGATCTCCAAACTCCAGTGATCATCCAAGCCACCATTGAAGCAATGACCGAATGGCGAGTCCTTCAGCACGAGCCGTCCAAAACCGTCTTGCAGATTATCTTGGCCATCATGGCGGCATGCGCTATCCTGACCTGGATCTTCATGGACACCAAAGAAGTGCTTCCGCACAACCCTTGCGCGATTGCTGGAATGGCCAGTTTGTTTGCCGACAGCTCTTTGTGGGCCGAGGGGGCGTCGAAGGAGATGCCTAGGCAGGATGTCAACGGCAGAGAGGTATGTGGAGACTATGGGGTCAGCTTGGGATGGCATGACAGGTTCGTAATCGATGGTGAGGAGGGAACCGAGAGTACTCCAGACAAGTACTTTGGGATTGACAAGAGCCACGTGCCGAATCAGTGATCACTGTGACACGAAATTGTTGAACAGGACTGGGATGAGATGGATTGAGGAAACGGATTTTTGTTCTAGCACAGTCTTAGCTTTCTTCGTTATAAGATCTGTATTAATGTGTGTTTGCTATGTAACACATACAGTATCTGGTTCTTCATTACTCGTCGTATTCGAGAACGGGATGTGTGAGTGAGAAAAAAGAAAACAGAAGATATGTCCTGAAATCTTGGTGAAGCAGAGAAAATAGCTGTTGTGTTTTATGTTAAGGATAGATCTAAGTTTTGTGGATGAATCAGCAGGAGTTTATATGATAGGAGAGAAAAAGATTGCAAAATATATAAGATGTTTATTCTAGAAAAGAAGTATATCACCTACTACTAAGGCAAATCTATTCTATTAAGGTAAGATTAGTTAAGATGTTTAGTATAGCTAGTTCTAGTTCTTTTATAGATGGCCTTATTTCTTATCGATTAATATCAGAAAGCATACCTTTCTATAAGGAAGATGACTACCATCTATAAAGCTAACGACTATAAACGCGCGTTTAAAGACATCAAATCTAGGAAGGCGGTGAAATGTGTCCGAATCCAGTGAGACCCGGCAAAACGAGTCACGAAAAGCAGTTTTAATATATTGAGGTCTTACGGCTTGGTAGCAACACACGAGTTTTGCGACGCTCATGGCCCTATCTACATTCCCTACTCTTCTGCTTTACGTGCTTCTTCCTCGCGGCGCCTTCGGTTCAGGATCTGAAGATGCGATTCTCTACTCGCCTGTAGCGATGGACTAGATAAGCTCATCGGCGCTATATGGACTTCCTCAGGCATCGAAGGACTGGGTGGCGCAGCTTTGCCTCTCGTTGTGGCTATCTCACACGTGCAGCGTCAGTTAATGGAACAGACTGGGGCTATCTTGAGGAAGTCAAGACTCACGGGTAGATTGTTCATCCATGTCTGCGACTTCCGAGGTTGTCGTGTCTGTTTGGTCTTGTGCAGATGTCGGGCCACCACGTCTCGTCATGCTCTCCTTCAATCGACCCAGGATTTCTGGTCTCAGGTTTCGTATCGCTTCTGTGGCCTTCTCTACCTTTTCCCTTTCACGCGCCAACACGTCTCGGAGTTGCGCTTCCTTTTCGTCGAAGTCTCGTTGTATGGCGTCTTCCCGCTCTTTGCTCCAGTCTGTTGAGCTCTGAATCTCCTTCTGCAGACGCTTGAGCTCATCTGCCTGCTTGTTCTTTTCGGTCTGATGTTGTCGGATCTGATCCTCCATTACGCGCTTCGTGTTCTCCATCTGATTCTTATTTGGGCCTTCTTGAGTGTCCGGGTAGTTCGATTCTTGATCGGCTCTTGCGTCTTCGTATAGTTGTTCCAGTCTGTCTCGCACTGCAAATGGGTCTGGTCGGGAGTCGCCTTCCCACTCCCGGTAGTTGATTTCGGCGAAAGTCCTCTCTGCAGCTTCGATCGCCTTGACGACTTCGCGGTATTGGTCTCTTGCACGTCTGAATCGTGTGGGCATACCTTGACCGTTGAGCCACGCAAGAACACCCGCAAGAACAGTGTTGATGGCACCCAGCACCGTCAGTGCGGTTTCACCAGTCTGAGTGGCTGATAGACCAGTGATTGCTGCGGCGATGAGAATTTGAAGCAGGTAGAGGAAGGTGATTACGTAGTTCGAGAGCCCATACATGACTCGATTCTTTTGATCCTGGGCCAGACATCTGTTGTACAGACCACGATTGCGAAATCTTTCGTGAGCAGCTTTGGAGGCAAAGAAGATATCAGTCATTGCAGAAACCGGTCGCTGCTGGCCAAGAACTTTTTGATGAGCCGGATACAACAGACCACCACCTTCTCTTAGGAAGTGGATGCCGACGAGATTTTGGAAGACCTGAAGCTCGCTTTTTCGCTCTGGTGGTGGTGGATATACGAACTCCTGGTTTGGGTTGTACTCAGCGTCGCCATCGAAGAAGTTCCGCCAGTTTCGTGATTGGTGCTTGATTCCCTTCTCGTCATCCTGAGAATGTAGTGGTTTCGTGGAAGAACCACCTCGCGTCGAGTAAGAGCCATGGGCTCGCCCTTCTTCGGCATGTGTTTGGTCGGACATGTTAATACAGCTTCGAGGACCAGAAAACTGAAGCGCATTGAAGAAGAGTGGCGGAGCTGTAGAGACACGCCTACTGTTTATATCCTAGCACAACTCTCGGATCGCCATGTCTGCTACTGGACTGTCATCATGGGTGCTTGAATTTGTGTCGTTGATCTGTATATCACTTGCCTAAACAGTTCAACGCACAGTGTGGAGATATAAAATTGCTTGTTAGCTCTTCACGCCTTATCGTGGAGATTGAGACCTGAACATATTCGCATTCAACGCGATGACCACCGTTTTGGGACATCGGTCATCAATGCTTGCCATAGTCATCCACAGCAGAACATGATAGATCACCGCAACTGTATTGATGTGCTAAACTGAAATATTGCAGGGGGTGAAGGTGAATTGTGCTGAACAGCGCTGTATACGTGCGTAAAGGCCTTTGATCTTTGCGAAAGAAAAATTTGCAATCGACGAATGATGGTCGTGTATCCACCTGAGCGTTGCGAACTTTTGATCATTGCCTTACTTATGTATAAGAATCCTTTCCTGATATGTTTAAGCTGTTTGGTAGCGGTGCCGACAGTCACGAGCCGACCCCAACCTTATCTGTGAAATGCAGATCATTGGTACGTGCGATCGCTAAGCCTCTCGGAAGCGACCACTCTTTAGGAGTATGTAGTATATCTTGGTCACATGCTAAAGTATTCGATCTTCTCTCAGAGCAGTGGCGTATCCTACAGAGGTGGGTGTGTAATGAATACTCTGAACATTAAGAAGTGGTCTAACGATAGTCAGACATTGACAAGGTGGATGTTGTGTTGTTCTAAAAGCCGAGCCTACTGCATGACGCAGATCATTATACACTCGTTTGAACGCAGAGTCATCTTACGCGGGTATGAGAAGAAGCAAAAGTTTTCAGCTAATGCTTTTGATCTAGTCAGATCACGCATGAGCATCGGACACCCGGCGCTCTAGGAAGGGTTTCGTAAATCGTGGGATCCCATCTTACAGCCCGGATTCAATATGGTTTCTACGCCTGAGGGCTTGGAGCGCATCCGTTGTTTAGTGAGTGCCCTCAATACTTGACATGGGTCATCTCGCTGTTTCAGAGCTGTTCCTCGAGCAATAGAAGTAAGCAATAGGAGCTGCGTTTTTTGTGTTGCTGGCTTCTTTCGCGAGCTGTTGAATAACGATTGAGCTGAGATGATTGTTAATAGGGACTGGAACTTGAGTGGGGATAGAGATAAGGTCTCACATGAGAGTTGTCTTTCCGCAACCAACTATTATTGCTATAAGTTGGCAAACAAGAATTCGAGCGCACATCGAGGTCATTGTATGTGGTGGCCTCAAGGCTGCAGCTCAACGGAACAGCGACCGCTGCGCCCCAGGATCGGGCAACGGGACTAGAAATAGGACTAGGACGAGACGAGGCGAGCTGGGAGAACAGCTCATTCTTCTAGTCAAATGTTATCGTTTTTCGTCACGAGATTTGTATCAGTGTGTGTCTACTATATAACATGCATCTAATTCCTCATTACTCGTCGTATTCGAGAACGAGCGTCATCGGAATAGGCGACTCCTTCGAGGTGTCATCAAGGTATTGTCTCATCTTTACACCAGCGACTTCATGCTCAACAATCGAGAAATGACCAGCACGACCCTGCGCACGGCGTAAATTCTTGAGCTTGAACACTTCCTTCAGTGTAGCAGCCAGCGACACACCAACCAATCTCGCACCGAAGCAGAAATGCAGTCCATGGCCGAGGAGAATGTAAGAGCTGAAGGGACGGTGAGGATCCAGTTTTTCTGGGTTGGGAAAAGCGACGGGGTCCATGGATGCTTTTGAAGTGGCAATGAGAACGGTTTGGTTGGCTTTTACGTGGATGGGACCGCGGGTGCCGTCGTTGATGGTGACGTCTTGAGATGCGACGCGAGGCAGGCCAGGGACTACGCCTGCATGACGCATACCTTCGTAGACGAAGCCTTGAAGTTCGCGCTCAGATGCCGAGTCATCTTTGTGAGCGAGCTCGATGATACGTTCCTTGTAGACCCCGTAGCCAGGGCTGAGGAACAGATCGATGAGCAGCGATGCTTGCTGAGTAATGTTTCCAGCAACAGGTGCGCCCATACCAATGCAATCACCGACCAAGTCACCGATCGGCAGCTTGGTGTCGTTCAAGGCATGGTAAATGCGATCCGCATCTGGACCAACTTCGTATGCTGAGCCCTTTGCGAGCCAATCGACAACAGCTTCCTTGACACCTTGCTGGGTTTGAAGATGCGTTGTCAAGATCTTGCGTAAGACTGGAGCGACTTTCATGGAACCATCTCTCAATTTCGTCTCGTTGAGTGGTAGGATGTTGAAGCTCTGGTACATGAAGAGAACCAGGTAGATTCCGAAGAGCTCGGGAATCGACAACATGCCGCGAGGGTTCTTCTCTGTCTTCAGAGGAATGGCGAATCTTTCGGCCAGCCAAAGAATAGGCGTGACATTGGTGACGTCTCGCACGATATCAATGGAGCGCCTAGTGCCTTGATACTTCAGCGAGCTCTTCACGATGAGTTGCGCAACATTAGTTCGGAAGAATTTGGTGACGTTCGCCTCGAAGTTGTCTTCGAAGAAAACCTTGTGCAAAATCTTGGATCTGTCGTCGTGTTTCTTTGCTTGATCCCATCCAATCATGAAGTCGTGACCGTCTGTACAATTCCTAATGGCGGCTTGGTACATGACACGGAAGTTTTCACGATCTTCGAATACCTTTTTACAGCCCTCTTGTGTGTGAATGGCAACGACACCTCTGTCACTTCGAGGTCTCGTGAGGTCGTATTGATCAATCACACCGTTGCCCTTGAGGATGCCTGCCGCAGCCTTGGGTGTATAGAATGGCAGCAGAGCATAGGCAGACGTTCCAGTGAAGGCATTAGGCAGCCCAGAAAGGAGCAATTGGGGCAGCATACCTCCGTAAGCACCTGGTGGAGAAGTGCTGAGCTTGGTAACACCCCAATTCGTCAAGGTAGAACTGTTAAAGTCATAAGACAGGAATCGGTCTCCTCGAACCAAAGCGACAGCGTCATCAAGAATACCGCGACCAGTCGTCTGACCTGGACAGACACCGCTGCCAGGCATAGGAGGCTTCGTGACCTCTGCCATGAGACCCGGATAGAGCTCGAGGTTGTCGATGTGACCGTAAAGAAGTTCAGCAGCTCTGGCAGTTTCCTTGTCCGGGTTCCACTCTTCGAAGCTGTTGTATGCCTTCAAGTTCAGGTAGCGACGGAACCTAGAACAGTCAGTATCTCCATGTTTCTTACATGTAGAAACACTTACTCGTTCATTGTGCAAACTTGGAACTTGTCTCGAGCTTGGAGCATTCCCATGATGTCAACGATCTTCAAGCTAGCAGGTGTACCGTGCGCACCAAAAGCATGCGCTGGAGACTCAATGCAATCTTTGATGATTTCAGCAAGATCAACATCGTCGAACATTCCATCGGCTTTCCTCTTAAGACCACCGAATGTCCAATCTCTAGGAAGAGAGTCCTTTAGCTTATGACCCTCCGTCATGAGAACCTTCTTGAACATGTCAGGGGTCACGTCATCTATTGAGCCGAGCTCAGGAAGGTTGTCTCTCAGCAGGTCTTCCATCCACTTGGCATCAGCGGCGCTGAGTGCAGCATGCCAATGGTAGAGCACGGCAAACTCAACAGAGACGACATTACCGGTACCGCGTTCGACTCGTGTGCCAGCTTGCTTGATCTCAGCTCCTAGATCCAGAGACCATTCCGAGTTGGCCCTTGGTGTGTTCAAGATGGCTGCAACATAATCTTTCAGGACGACAGTCGCGAAGAAGCCCACATTGATGTTGCGAGAAAGCTGGAAGATGTCCTCGTCTTGCCTATGGTATTGTTAGCAATCATGGTATGTCGGTTGGATGAACCACAACTCACGCTATCCTCTGCTTCTCATCCAAAGTATCCCAGTCTTTGTACTTGCCCTCCTCGTTGATGGAGAATAGTGAATGGGCAATGCTGTTGTGATTTCTCGAAAACATTATCAAGACTGCGATGACGCCAGGAGGCATCATCATGATTCTTTCAGAAGCGATCGAGTCTGCGTAGATGAGTCCATTTTTGTATGTGCGGACTCGTTTCTGCTCCACTTCTGTGTTTCCGTATAGAGTGCTCAGATCAACGTAACTCGAGGTCTCGTTGATCCAAGAGTCCGTTCGAGAAGTTTGAAAACACTCGTGGATGACGATTGTGGCAAAGGAGAAGAAAAGTCTGTTGAGACCAGAGGGGTGCTCACGGAATGGACCCTTTCGCTTGAGCAGCTGCTCGTAAACAAGCTCTGGGTCGGGAAGATTGGGACCTTTCGGTCTCATGGGAGGAACGCTTCGACTGTATGGTGTTCCAGCTTTGCCCATCTCCGGATTCCATGGGTTGTTGTTGCCTCCATCGTGTCGTCTATATCTTGCCGTAGGTCCAGCCAGTGTCACTGGTGGATGAGGCAGGTCATTGTACAGCATCTTGATAAAACCTTCCGAAACCATTGAGGACATTCCACTGTTCGGCGGCGCAGTCTGTAGTGCAGCAACACCATGCTCGAGTAGTAGATCCTTGTCATCCATGGGCTCGCCAGATGCAATCGTCGTCAAGCCTTGTGCGACAGTTCTCATGTCCTTCACCTTCATGTGTGTGAGATCATGGATGAGGGAAGTCTTCTCGTTCATGGGCTTTAGATCCGCCTCGACATCAGTCTTGCGGTCCGGAGCGGTGGATGGCTTCCTTCGGATAGATCCGATCAATGATTTGAGTTGGCCGACTGCCATGACTGTGATTGTAGTGGTTGTGTGGGAGAAAGTAACAAAGTTAGACAGGAGGAATGATCAAAGTACTTCCAGGAGTCGTTTGACCCTCTTGGTCGTAGATATATCATCTCCAGATCATGCTTACTTACGTACGTTGATGCACCATGGCGACGCACGATTACCAACTACCAGGTTATTGGACAAGGGCGTGGGCGACGATCTTGATACCCACATATTTCCCGACGATGGAGGATCAGCATTGTACTTATGTCTACCCGTTGAATGTATAGCCTGCTCGTATATCAATGTTTAGCCTGTAGCTCGTACCTGCCTGATTCTGTGATTGGCCGAAGATATCCTGCGACGCATTTCTCAAAGTAGACAGGCTAGCAGTCGAATATGAGATACCTTGGAGATCGCCGTCTTTTGGCAGTGTTCAGCAGGCGTGGTTTAGTAAAAGCTCGAGCATGAATGACACAGATATTATTGCCAGGGTCGTGTATCGGCTATGCAATCTCGAGACTGGAAATCTTGTAGACTCGCAGTAGCTGCATGATCTTCAGTGTGACCATGATTGGCTAAGCACTCTTCGAGTATAACGTCTTCTCCGGTTTTGGACATGTTCAAACTACACAAGGAGGCTGGAGAGGTAGATCAGCATCCTGTTGAAGCCATCTTTTTCAAAGTTGATGCAACGAGCTTGCGCACGTACCTGTTTTCATGAGCTTCTCTCTTAGCTTGGCGTTGCGGTGCGCCAGAGATACACTCCACCACGCTTGTTGATAACACTAGCGTCGATAGCCGAACACCGTTCCCGCACCATCACCTTGCTGCTTGATTTGACGACCTAGCTTACAACAGCACCAACGTAGCTGCCTTGATCGCAAAGGCGGCGGTGAAGCGTTCGTTTAGGCAGCTGCGAACGATTCGAGAAAGGTTCCCGAACAACGACGTTCTTTTGACTCTAGCATGTCTTCAATTTTGCATCATCTCCTGCATATCGCTGATGTGTTTCGCAGCTAGTACCTCTCGGAGTATTATTGTTTCCACCACAAGCAAGTGTCGTCGTTATATTTCGTCGCTCCGCCTTGACACCCGTTATGACCTTTGATATTAAGTTTCATCAGAACGAGGAAGCTGAGCTCGTGAGGCTCCCAAATCTGGCAAACGCACCGCCGTTTTAGAGTTCCTGTAGTCGCTGGCCTACAGTAGTGCGGGCGTGCTACGCTGATCACATCAAAGGTGGGTCGAGGAGATCGTGCTCACCGGTAGATCTCACATGTTTGGTAAAGCGGATCGGGACGTGACCGTCATCCTGGTTATTGGTATATCCCTGAGATCTGCAACGTCCATGCTGAATAGGTTCAAAGCACGAATTGATTGGCAATTGATGGTGTGCTGGTGAGGATACCGCGCGGACGATGACATGGGGAAGACTGTGGTATGAATTGCCGTCATCATGTATCCTCTTTCCAGCATGCCGCGTGTCTCTTCAATTGCTCTTTGCAGCAATTCAAACTTACTGACATCTTGAGCTCTGACACAAACGAATCCGCAAGCATGGCTCGACGCTCATCGTATCCCATGCAATCGGAGCCTGTCTCAACACCTGCACCCTTTTCACCTGTAGAACACCCGCCGAGCAAACCAAGCAATCGCCAATTGCCCAGATATCTTCGCGCAATCGAAGACCAGGATACACCAAAAGGTCGTACCTTGATCATCTGTCTTGATGGTACTGGCGACAAATTCGACGGAGATAACAGCAACATCGTACATCTCGTCAGCTGCCTCAAGAAAGATGATCCACAACAACTCACATACTATCAAACGGGCATTGGCACATACAACAGTGGAGGTCTGAGCGATGGCATTGCAGCTGCCGTCGACATGGCCGTGGGTAGCGGTCTCGGTGTCCATATCAGAGATGCCTACCGCTTTCTCATGCAGACCTACCGCGAAGGTGACAAGATCTGCCTTTTTGGCTTCTCGAGAGGCGCATACACAGCTCGCTGCCTCGCAGGCATGCTTCACAAAGTTGGACTTTTGCCAGCACACAATCGCGCTCAGATACCATTCGCGTACAAGTTCTACAAGGACGACACTCAAAATGGATGGGACATGAGCGCCGACTTCAAGAGAACTTTCTGCATCGACGTCAATGTGTACTTCGTCGGAGTCTTCGACAGTGTTGCCAGTGTTGGCTTCATCCCGAGAAAACTGCCGTTGAGTAGTACTCCAAAGAACAAGCCATTCTACTTCAGACATGCTATGGGCTTGGATGAGCGCAGATCCAAGTTCAAAGTATGTCGGTATCAGCAAAAAGATCACACCGACCCTGAATCTCGCTGGACCACAAAAGCTGCAACCGAAGGCCAGGCCGAACCACCGCGACAAAGACTCGAGTCCAACAGCACTGCCGAGACATACACCGAAGGCGAAAAGATCCAAAGAGTCGGCTCCGACGCCAACAATGTCGCAAGAGATGTCGACTGTCTCGAAGTCTGGTTCGCCGGCTGCCACGCCGACGTCGGAGGCGGCGCAGTCGCAAATGAACAACGACACAAACCATCTCAAATCCCCCTCCGCTGGATGATACGCCAATGCTTCGAATGCAACACCGGGATCCTCTTCAATACACACCGTCTCGCCGAAGAAGGCATCGATGTCCACATGCTCTACCCAGTCTACCACAAACTCGAAAGACCAACCGTGGGCCCTTCCCCGAAGACGATGGAGAAATACCATCAAGGCGAAATAGCACCTATCTCTCGTAGGTCAACAGTGTTGGAAGCACAAGACGACGACCACAAACACGGTTTCTACAACGTAAATCTCTGGCAAGATGCAGAAAAGCAAAAGATCGCCGAACACTGGGTGCCCGAACAAATGGAAGATTGTCTCGATGCAATCGCACCGCTGAACGATCAACTCGTACAAGCCAAGTTCTGGTGGATTTTGGAAGTATGGCCGATCAAAGTCCGTCTGCAGCCGAAAGATTCGGACACTTGGGTGAAGAAGGTGAGGATGAATATGGGTAGATATCGTGTTGTTCAGGAGTCAGAGCCGAATCTGCATTGGACGGTGCAGCAGCGCATGCAGGATACTGGCTATAAGCCGCAAGTTCGACTTGGCAGGAATGCGGCTTGGAGATTCATTGTCTAGATATCTTGTAGCAGTACACATCTAAGATCTGCGATGTTGTTCATGAGTTGCGACTGTGCTGTACTGCGACCTAGTCATTTCACATGGCCATAACTGGGGTTATCTAGGCTGCAGAAATGTAAGTTGTGTTTGAGCTTAGCATAGGGGCGCACAGAGATGCCCTCCTTGATCGTTGAGCTCTCAGTCGAGGCTATCTCTGACGGAGCCAGAATCATGTATTCCTCCAGTGACCAAATTGCATACATGACAAAGTTTAGCACACGCGGAGGTACTAATGTGAGATTGTAGCGTAAAGATTGAATGCATAAAGTATTACCGATAGTGATGCAATACCAACGAGAGCTTAAGACTTCCTCTTCCCTGTCCCATCCAACTCTAACGCATCTGGTGGATTCCTCTCATCGCCAGTAGCCAAGTTCGGTGCGCCGACAAGGCTCGGCTGCGCTCACGAGCACTTTCCAGAGTAGCTTCGATCCTAGCAATGGCGTCCTGAGTCGGCAGTTCTGTATCTGACATCGAACGAAGAGCCAATGTCGCCTGTAGATAATCTCCATGGTACAGCGACAACGTATGACACCGTTGTGCAGTATGACGGATTTCGACAATCTGTGAGATTCCGCGCATCAACCGAGTGCACATGTATCGCTGTGTTGAAGCAGTCGCTGGCCGGATGCGTGGACCGTTCAAGACTGTATCTGACAAGAAGGGTAGTTCAAGGAAAGTGCGGATGTTGGGCCTGAGGCGAGCAACGGGCTGAATGAGAAACGTGGTTCGGTAAAGGCCCATACAGTAGGTGTTGACTCGATCTGCGAACCAAGTTACCGCGCTTGGTCCAATGGATTTGACGCCAAAGACGCGTAACTGAGGCAAGTCAAGATTGATGAGGTTGACAATAGCTCCCATATCCCGAGGAGACATAGTACAATGCGGATCTTCAATGACCAGGGAATGAAACATTGTGCGTGTCACTGGACTGTGCTGGTCGAGAAAAAGTAGAAGAGGCATGATACCCAACGTGGTCTTCGGGGCTTCGCCGACGAAGGAAGGTCGCCAAAACGAAAAGGCGAGATCTGCATTGTTGTATATGGTTGGACTTGCTTCCGTATACAACCTCTTGTTGGTCCTGACAAGTGATATCAGGTCTGTGAAGTCGAGATGATGTATCGTGGACGGCGGTATGTCAAGATGGCACGTATCGGCCGAGTGGCCTACGTTGTGCGGCAGATCGATTTGAGTGCAACGAACGCGATCCTATCTCGTTCTGGTGCTGTTTTCGAGGTCAACCGTGAATGTGGTGCGCTTTCCGTCTTTTATGGGGTCCTCTAGTAGGAGTTCGTAGATCATCAGCCGTATCTCTGGAGGCAAAACCAAGAAAGGAAGCATCTGGGCGTATGATTCGAAAGAAGAATAAACCAAGTTGTGATCGATAACAGACTGATTGATGATACTGACGATAGAGGTGGTTGGTTGACGCAACGCACGAGACTTCGGTTTCCTGCCCGAGTTAATCTGGTGGCAGCCTTGACTCGGGAGTCCGTGCTTCGCGACTTTGGCTTGTTTTGGCGCTGTTCAATCACCGCATGTTGTTATCTTTACACCTTTGCACCTTTGTGTCACACTAGCGATCTTCGCATAGTTCGCTGTTTTGGATTATAGTGGTCCTCATTGGTTCGAGGCCACCGCGTGACATTGTCTCACACATCCACTATCGACACCGCGAACTTCATCCCGAAAGTGCCAAGACCTAATATCCCGCCAGACTGTACGGATATATCCCACTCATCTACCCATAAGCCAACGACTTTCTTTCACACTCGTACACCCTCTTCTGTTGCCTGCGCATATCCTCCTAAGCTTCACGCAGTATACAGATATGTTTCTGCTTTTCAGTCCGTGGACTTTATAGCGGTCAACGCGACTTTCAACTCCAACATCACTTTCAACAACACGAGGATGGCCAGCGATACCTTTCACCCCTTCCCGCACCTACCCCTTGAAATTCGCGAAGAGATATGGCGCCTCTGCCTGCCGCATCGGGTATACGAATTAGACCAACCTATCGAAAGATTTGTCTACGAGGTCCTCGAAGAGGAAGATGACAATATTCCCTGTTGGCTCGGAAAAACCAGTCGAAGCAACGTTCGCCCGCCGTTACTCACGCGAGTATGCCGTGAGTCGCGTAGAGTCGCATCTGCTACAGGAAGATGGGTTTCATGCCTCGAGTGGTGTAGGGGCGCGTGGAGTGTTGACGGGCCGCATGACGCTGATTGGAAAACCGGCAACGCTATAGACCACGGTTCCTGGCAGGATGCTTCCCGCGACATTGTACATCTGAACTGGACCTCATTCTATGACACAGATTTTGTACCTAGTCTGGATGGTCACCCTTTGACTCTTTTGGCCCAGGAAGCGAAGCGTCTGAATGGATCAGCATCTTTCATGCTGAACGAAATGCTCGTTAATATAGGGGAGGAGGAGCCTTATGACAAACCTCTTTCTCGGTGGTTTGAAAGCAAGCCCTTGCGCGAAGGCAGGCAGGAAGACCTGGCGGCACTGAAGCTGCTGCCAGAATGGATGGTAATTGTGAGAGTGCTCGTTATACACCTCGACCTTGGACGAGCTGCCGACAGCGGTCTGTTTGGACTTTTAGGAGATGAAATTATACAAGTGGTGGACGCCACTCTGCCGTTGGCCTCGCAGCTGTATGCGCTAGCCGAGCATTGTGAACGTGGAGCTTCTGCCGTCACGCATGCACAGGACTTTACTCGAATGTCTGCAAACGACATGGATGCCATGGTGAAGCGTGTGGCGTTCAAAATGTTCCATGATCATGAGATAGGCAAACGTCTGCGGCCAGCAATCATGTTCAGGCTGTGTACAGAGATGTGTAATCACATCGACACGCCGAAACAGAAGCACAATGTCTAGACTAGACATGGTGGGACGAGATGAAGCCCAGGCTGCACAGTGCAGGATATCATATGATATCTCGATAATCACTTAATCGTTGTCCTAGCCGATCACTCAAACTAGGCTCGATATGTCTTTCTCTCGTGCGTAGTTCCCAGATTATCTGTTGAATGAAGATGTGTTGGTTGATGATACTGGCGATAGAGGCTGGTTGGGTGACGCAACGCGCAAGACTTTTGATGATACGTTGTGCGGCCTGGAGAAGAAATCGCGTTGAGCCCCGACAGCCATCGCTCCTTCATTGGAAAAAGTCGGTCTGAACTTGGCATTCTACAAGACATCTGCAACCCTCTTCACCTCGTAATCTTTATCTAGGCCATGCTTTACAACAGCAACTTCTCCTTTCCATGCAAAGAGAATATCGCCCAGATCTGTGACATTGATAACGAGCCTGGGATTGGCCCTCACCCAATCTGAGGGTGGCATGAAATGATGCAAGACTTCATCTTTGTCTTTGAATGAGGTTTTGTTGGCAGAGCATATCCACCCGTCAGTGCCCAAGAAGACCTCGAGATCTTGGTAGGAGCCGATGTAATACTCCATCTGGTCGCAGACAGCCTGCTGATAGGCTATCACTTTGATTTCATGAGAGCCGGGCGAAATCACAGGAATAGGGATGCTGAAAGCCCTTGGCTTTACTCTAAGTCCGTGACCAGAGTAGTTGATAATGAGGGCCGAGTTGTTCAAGATCGGCGCAACACCTCGAAGTTGCATGTCTGACTCTAAATCTTGTGAAAGATTAATGCCAGTTTTTACATTAACTGATGCGAGATTCTGCCAAGAATACAAGCGGATCGTCTGACTATGAGCGGAAATGAGGATGTTTGAATTTGTCGGATGATATGTGAATGCGTAGCTGACCTCGGGTTCGTGATCGATTGAGCCATCAAAAGCTTGACCACTGGGGATTGAATAAACAGCAGCCTTGTCGTTGGCACATATGAGGATTCGGTCGCATTTGTGATTCATAATGGAATGCTGTACACCGGTGCCCATGCTTTGATGCTGAAATACCTCTTTCGCACACCACTCATCTCGCTCAAGTTGCAAGCGATGGACAAATAGGTATCCTGCTGTATCCACACTGATCAATAGCGAATGTTCTCTGTAAAATCCGAGTTTCGTGATGCTGGCGTGAAGCTTGAAAAGTTGTGTCACCGCCTTCCCAGAGTGGGAATCAAACAGCCAAACTGTGGCATCGTTCTTTCCTACAATGTATCTGCCTTCTTTGTGACATGCTAGTGCTGTTACAATGGAGACATTGTCATCATTGCGGTCAATAACGTCTTCATGATTGTCGCGGCTGTACGTAGAGGGAGTACGGACAGACTCGGTCTCAATTTCGCGGCGGAGGAGAGCGGCTGGTTCCCAGACTCGACAACTCCGTCCATTTCCTCTGATGTCGAACAAGCGGACAGAGTCATGGTTGAAAGCCAATGTAGTGATAGCGTGGTCCTCGGATCGTATTGTGTAGACCACTCTCAAGGTTTCGAAGTCGTATAACTTGATAGTCCCGTCATTGGCACCAGCTGCGAATGTACGTCCATCGGGAGATGCACTTAGTCGATAGTACGCCCCAGCTTTGGAGACAGTCACTTTCACCTTCTTCAAGCGGACATCGAACAAAACCAAATCTGCCAAAGTGTAGCTAGCAACGAGAAGCGATGATTCCGGGGACCGACTGAATAACAGTGTGTTCACGCTAGCCATCTGAACAGTCAAACCGTCCGAGAGCCCTGTGTCGTGGTTGTATAACTGATATGTATCCTCTTCATAGTTCCACAAGACTATATCCTGACCCCGGTAGACGATGGCAAGTGTGCTCAGTTCGGTTTTGAAAGTGGCTGTCAGAGGGAACTTGCTTTTGAACTTGTCGCCATAGCGCCCTTGTAATCTTCTGGCCCACTCAATAGTATCCAGGACCGTGCCGTCAAGAGCATTGTACGTGAGCAACACGTTGTTCTGCAGCGCGACAAGAAGCACCCGCTCGTCATCGACGAAAGCAAGATCCATGCATTCTTTCTGAATTCCAGCCGTCCACATCGGCTTGGACGTCTGGGTGTTCCATGCGTGAATAGTTCGATTGCTTACGCTGATCAAGACAGGTGTGCGCGTTGCGAATCTAAGAGCCTTGACTCGGGTATCCTGTCTGATCACAACCTCTTCAAGACAAGTCGAATCGTTGAAGAGTGATATTTTACCCGTTGAGCTTCCTATGGCGAAGATGCTTTTTCCAGAGGCGACAGACGTGAGTGTCCCAGGCTGAGATGCTGTCTCCGATATTCTCCGTGCGCTACTAGAGGATGTGTTGCTGGAAGATCCAGTGAATCTTTCTATGTGGTGGTCAGAAGGGGCCAGGGTACAAAGACATTCATCCCAGTTAGTTGCCGAGAGTCCGTAAACCGCGATGCCACCACAATCGCTAGCAAATTGCTGGAAAGGAGCCGTAGTCGAAGGACAGAATGGTGGTATCAAATCATTTATGGTATGAGGATATAGCGAGAGATGTCGCCCAAACTTACTTATGAGCTTCACCAGATCTGTCGCCCATTTGTCGACCACTTCTACCTCCTTCCCTATGAGAAGGTCTGTTTTTGACTTTCGTCGCAAGAAGTCTTTGAGAGATTGTGCAGTTCGAAGCACAGTTTCTAGGTTGCCCTTACGAGCAGAGTAACCAATCCAGGCTAGAAGGTTATCCGACTTCAGAAAGGTGGAGAGTTGTTTCAACAGCTCTTGATCCTGAGCGGGGCTCTCGTTGAGATGCAAGTAGAAAGAGTCGACGGCGTAGCTAGAGAATGGAGACCTTCTACGAGAGATGCTCAGTTTGTGTCGACTTTTCTTGTTCATTTCCGAGCTAAGGAGATACTTCAAACAACCTAAAGCCAGAGTCTTGTGACCTGTAGCACGATCAATCGCAAGCCCCGAGTCCCCGTGATCGATGCCAGGACGCAACAGAAAGTCCCGTGCACTCAAATGGCGTGTGCGAACCTGATCATTGCTGTCCACATACATGAGATCGTGGCAGTGTCGGGAGACGAGAGTTCGAACAGCATCGTCGTCACCTTCGTCGCTCAAGCCCGGCAGTACGTAACTGAGTTCAGCAAGCGAGAGAGGCCGCACAGCACAAAAGACCCAGGTCAATATTGTCCTAGACAGCTGATGGTCCGGCAATGACTTCGAGATGTTGGCGTAGAGGTCTTGCATGCCAGGAGGCTCACTTTGAATTGCTTGTAACCTTGCCTCGAGGCCGTGTACATTCTCCAGCCGGCGAACGACGAGAGTGGCCCACAGGAAACAACCATTTGACTTGGCCAGGATTCCGTTGCGCAATCGTGTCTCTGATGAATCCAGCTGTTGGTCCAGATATGCGGATATGTCTTCTTGAGTATCTTCTATGCGTATGTCCAGAGAGTTTACGAGTCTGGGTACAACGTGATAGGTGTGATGATCGGCTTTTGCTGTAACCAGGATTCTTGCAAACCGCTTCTCACAGAGATGGATCAGTATTTTGGACAGTGCCACGTCTGCCTGACACTCATCCAGAGAATCGATTATCCAGGTCAGCTTAGGAGCTGTGTCTAGCTTCAGCCTGAGAATACCATCCAACCACAGTTTACGCCATATTATGCTGTGATCTACAGCTCTTGCCAATTCGGGTTCGTCCTTCAACATATCATCGATCAGCTTCGCGACTTCTGGTACAGCGGATGCTGTTTGGCTAGCCATTGATTGTAAGAAGGAAGACACAGATGTTCGACTCTTGTCTCCCTTGACAAAAAAGTAGTAGCACACATTGTTCGGACCGCCTCGTAACTTGTCGACCACGTGAGCGGCAAGAAAAGATTTTCCTGCTGCAGGAGGTCCTCTGATCCATAGTAGTGTATCATCTTTCGTTGTTATCCAACGATCATAGTTGGCATTCTGATCTAGCCATTTGCAAGTGCCTGGAATCTTCTCCGAAATTAATCGCCACAGGTCAGCTGCCTGACTATCAACCGTTGATGGAAGTCCTCGATGGGCATTGATGTTCTCATTCAGACTCTGGAGGCCTTGTCCGATGATCTGGGAAAGAGTCTTGCGAAGTGCTTGATGAATTCTTTTGAAGTTAGAGTCTTCCGCTGAACCAAATTTGCAGATACTCCGGTGGTCACCATTCAGCGTCTCAGCCCGTTCGTTCCCCACACTTAGCACAGCGTTCATTTTCTCTACGATTAGAGGACCCCCGACTCCAGTGATCTGTAAAGCCTGCGATTCGAAGAATGAATGCAGTACGAGATCTTGCGAGTATCTCGGGAACGAGTTGTTGATGCTCTTGACTTCTGGCGACTCGCTCGCCAGGTCATTGAGGTACGGTTTCATGCCGGGAGCAAATCGAAATACGTGCGACAACATTGTTGCATGGGCAGAGCCATGATGGGGCGTCGCAATAAAGCACATGACTCGGATGCGACTGCAGAGTGACATGAATTTGTTGCCGGTCTTCGCGATGATGTATGCTTTTTTGATTACCAGACCCCCCATACTGTGACCGATAAGAACGACAGGGCTCTGGAATTGTTAGACGTTGTCTAAGATAGGGGTAGATCCGGTACTTGCCAACGAGCTGGAAATAAGCGAACTGTCCTCCAAGCTTGCTAACAGTGAATTGGAAAAGTCGACAATATTCAAAACATTGCTTTTCTTGAAGTCGGAGTCGTAGCCGAAAGAGTGTACGGCGATATTTTCGTATCCCTCTTCTCTAGGAAGTAGATCGCGAGGCCAGAAGACTTTATCTTTGGTCCATGTGTGCTCTGAGCCCCCACCGAGTCCGTGAACAAATACGATATGAGCGTCTGACATATGGTCAACTTTGCCTGGATAAACAGTCGTTAATCCGAAGGGTCCTTTCTTCTCTCGCGAACCTCGCGACGCGAGCTTTTGCTTCAGAGCCCTCATTGCAGGGCTGGTTGAAGACTATGGGTTGAACTCGCCGTTACTCCAAGAAGAAACTGGCAAGATGTTCCGGAAAGTGACTACGATGCCTTCATCCGAGGAGTTGGTGCCAGAACATGCATTACAGGGACGGGAATGGCAGATATCGACAAAGGATGCTCCGAAATGGTTACAGCCAGTCTTTTCCAGATTCCCAAGACTTGACAGCGTTGCGATACTTGGTGGAGTCGGCCGGCTAGGAAGACAGCTGGGTGAAAGATGTGTTGCTTGTCACACAACAACAATCAGTACGGGCTTGCAAGCCATCCTTGACGGAGTGAGGGGCGCTACAGGTTGTCCAAGCCGTACTAGGTCTGCTGAATGGGGCTTAAGGTCTTCATCCGTAAGACAGATACCGATGTACCCCCACATGCTTGGTAGCTGAAGATGAGTAGCGAGTCGAAGAATAACCGAAATCACAAAAGCCACACGGCATCGAAAGGTGCGGTGATCCGTATAGGCCAAGCGTGCGACTGGTGTTGCTTACGAATGCCATGAACAATCTCTCATGCATGCACCCCGCCTCAAGATATCGGGAGGATTCGCTCCGGTAAGGCTGGTGCACGAAGAAAAAGCGCAGCGCTTATATGTTTTCGGGGGCTCGCCGTATCTTGCCACTGACCGGCACATGCGAGAATTTCATCAGTTGGAATCGTTAACCGAACTAGCTCCTAACGAGACAGCCAGACGTTGAGCAGTGGTTTTCGGCATGTCACCTACGCCCATGGAGACTTTGATTTACAACGTCGATTTAGACCGTTCAATGAGCAGCAATGTGGATGATGATGAGCTATGGGATGCCACTACTCCATGGGATACACAAATTGAAGTCCCGGCTCAACTCATTGAAGATGTTGATGACAACGTCAAAGCTCGTCAGTGTTTGATCTGCCACAATATAATGATGGAGTCTAATGCAGATCAGACTTTCCAGAGGGCACCGAGATAAAGAGCATACACCCCCATGGCTCTAGTTATTGGTCTCGGACAGCGGAAATCCAGACTGTCGTCAGTGGTGAGCCCGTGTTTTACTTTCTCAAGGTCAGCCAGAACAAATTCGCCAGAAAGATGTTTCGAGGAGAGTATGAGTCACAAAAAGCGATCTACGAAGTCTGTCCTGACTTCTGCCCCCGGCCGATCACTTGGGGTGTGTACCAGACAGTCTCAGACGCTTACTTCTTCCTCTCCGAATTCATCGACATGGTCGATGAGTTGCCGGATCTTCATCAGTACCCGCAGAAAGTGGCCCAGATGCACAAGAAGGGACTGGCACCGGATGGAAGGTACGGGTTCCATGTCCAAGACATGTGCGCGCTGCTACCGATGTACGTCACCAAAAGCGACTCCTGGGAAGACTTCTTCTCGAAGTACATGAGACATTTCATGTTGGCGGAGAAAATCGGCCAAGGTCCTGCCTCTAAAGAACTGGAAAGACTCGAGAGGATATTCTTCGATCGAATTATAACGAGGCTTTGTCGTCCTCTCGAGACCGGTGGGCGGGAAATCAAGCCACGACTGGTTCACAGCGATTTATGGGACGGTAATTCTGCGATTGATGCTCAGACGGAGAATCCTATCATATATGATTCTTCTTGCTTCTATGGTCATAACGAGTGTGAGTCATGAGACGGAGCTGGAGGAAGAGCTAATGACGACTTGCAGATGATCTGGGTGTCTGGAGGTGTCCTCGACACCGAGCCGGGACACCGTATATTGAGAAGTACCATGAGTTCTTTGCAAAGTCTGCACCAGAAGAAGACCACGAAGGACGGATGTTGATGTACTTCTTGTATGTGGTTCAGAACAATGTTCTAGCGTCTGGCAGAGGCTTACTCAATAGATCGTTTGACACACGTGCCTCAGCCTGTTGGATGGGCAGAGACGATTTCAGAACTTCGTAAGAACTTGTTTCCATGTTGTTGTCCTCCGATCTGCTGACTTGCTTAGGATGATTGACATCATGACCGAATTGGATAGAAGGTTTCCAGAAACGTATGAAGAGTGGGCGACAGCGAGAGGAGAGCCAGTTTGCCCACGCAAAGGATCCAGCGTCCATTGAAGATCAAGATCAGAAGTTTGCTGAGTTGAGTGGGTTGTAGTGAATGAGTAAATAGTTGGTGGCTATTCCGTACGCAATTTTTCTCGCCTCTTCTTGCGCCAATCCTGACCATATCTTGGTATCGCCCAAAGTCCCAAGCCTTGTGCGCCACCAATAAGCAGAGTCATCAGAGTCAAGTACCACCCTCTTCCAATGGCTTGAACGAGCGGTTGCATGATCGCCACTGCAAGGGCAGATAGACCGCATCTGACGACTGTAGCAGCAGCGGCGGCTGTGCTTGGGCTCTCAGGGTGAACATCAATGAGCAGAGTATTGAAGCAGAAGAAGAGGAATGTTCCGAAGAAGCCAACAGAGGCCTGTAACACCAGGGAGATAGCGACGTGTGGTTTGATCTGGACGACCCAGCCCAGGCTCGCAAGAGAGGCGTTATAAACAATCCAAACAAAGAACAGATCTCGACAACGTGCTTTCTCGATCGGGAAATTGTCCAAGTCATCACCAGCAACACCGTCAACGATAAGACCAACCTCACCAGCAGTCTTTCTGTACTTGTGGTCCATCCATCTTCCATTCACAACACCTCCACTAATGACACCCACGGCTCCAGGCAGGTAAGCCAAGCCGACTTCGAGTTGGTTCCAGCCATAATCGTTCTCGTAAATGCTAGGCATCATTGCGAGGAAGCTGTTCCAGACTGCGTAGTTGACACCACCCAAGACAATGATGAAGGCCGCGTCCTTCCAGAGCATGATCTTGAGAGAAGCCAGTGGGTTTCCGAATCTCACACGTCGTTTCGACTCTTCGGGAGTACTGTCGACGGCTTGCCGTTTCTCAACATCAGGAAGACCTATCCAGCTTGGTCCAAGGAGCATCCACTGCTTCAAGGAAAATTGTCTAGATCTGCCTTGAGAGCCGTCGCCCACAACGCTACGAGCAGTTTCTGGCAGGCAACCGGCTATGAAGCCTATATTGACAGTACCAAAGATGACGAGGCCCCAGAATACCCACTCCTGTCCACCGCTTCGCCATGCTATCAGACCGCCGAATATAGGACCAAGTAATGTACCGACGTTGGTCGCACTCATGACGGGACCAATCATACTTCCACGCTCACTTGGTACGCATACGTCGGCAATGATCCCGTACGCAATAGAGACACTTGCACTCGCACCAAGAGCCTGTAAACCACGCAAAATCAGGAGGCCAACATATTCAGACTTGACGAGGGCGAGAGCCAATGAGGCAACTGTATAAATAAGGAAAGTGAACAATGTCACAGGTCTCCTCCCTGTGTTGTCCGAGAATGGCGCAAACAGAGCAGGTGTAACTGCTTGGACAATGGAATAGAAGGTGATGGTCAGGTTGACAGATTGATTCGACACGGCATATCGTTCTCCTAGCAGCGGAAGTAGGGGAAGGTATACAGTCTGTGTAAATGGCGAGGTCAGAGATGCCGTGGCAAGAAGTACAGTGAGCACACGTTTGTGTCGTTTCCCAAATATTGTATAAGGCTGAATGGTAGCGGCTTTCGGTTCTGAAGAAGTCTCTTCGCGCTTGTCCGTGCGTTCTGATGGAGTATTCTCGTCTGTCTCAGGATCGTCGCGTGGTAGAGATGGATTCTCTGGTCTAGTCATCTTCGTCTTTGTGTCATCGGACGGCTTCAAAAGTGAAAGCTATCGGCAGCGTCGATGTGCGGGGTTAAGCAGGTGTGTCATTCACGACATTGTGTGAGCTCAAGGAAAACAAGTACCCTCGACGAGCACTGCCTTCCAGAAGCAAATATCCTTCTTTTTCTGCCTTGAGCAATTCTGCATTGCAGCCGCAAGTCTCTGAGTCGCGTTCTGGTGATCCTCAACGCAGGCAGGCAAGCGCGTCGTCACTGCTCTCTCTGCCTGGAAGTACGTATACATCGTGGCGTGATCTCGGGGGATGCTACCGGGGAGATCCAGTCGTCACGGGGCTGTCAATGATTCGCGCATGTTTTTCTGCGTTTTCGCACCAGTCATGGTCGAGGAGGAGAGATGGAACGACCTGTGAGGCTTGAAGCGCGCGAACCGGCAGAGCCGCAGTTTCCCCGAAGGGCACCCTTCGCGTTTGCACTTGACCGCGTTCTTTCTTTTAGTACATTGTTAAAGTCTCATGCGCTTCTGATCCATAAAAACAAGATGCTCCAGAGTTTCGACGATCAAGGATCTGACAAGCGTTGATGAAAAACACCGGAATTGTACTGGAGCTGCAATCCGCCGCATCTCGGCAACCATGCATGCGGTCACTTCTGCAGCTGCCTGATCGCGGCCTCAAGTACCGTCGCTCCATCCTAGGAGCAGTCGAAGGTATTGCCATGTTCGGTGGTCGTGTATCTTGCGCTTAGAGATCGTAGTTCACGATTGCATGTAGCCCTCTCATGCCCTCCCAATCACCGACGACGAGCTCAATTGCCAACGCTCCAAACCTTCCTTTGAAGCAAGGTTTCGCAGCCACAATATCGAAGCCAATATAAAGAGTCATCTGCGCGATCCTTAGCAATATCTTAGATCCTGATTGGGTGGTCATAAGGGACTCGGCTGTACTCGTCCTTTGCAGCTCTCTGCTACCGACTCTTCTTACCTGCGGCTGAGGCTGAGGTCGACCACCCGAGTCATGCATTCCCTATCTATATGTTCAGCTCGTACTTACAGATTTGAAAGTCATACTAACTCTGCATTGTAGCCCTTGCAGATGGCCAATACCTCCCGGATCGACATCGATGTTGACAAGCAGGGCGATTTCGAGGTGTGCTTCGCCAAGCTCAGAGATGTCAAGACCAAAAATTTCATGGTTTGCTTCAACGCAGCTAAAGCTGTATGTCGCGTCGATGCAGACGAGATTCACCTTGAACACCTCTTGAGCAGCCCGAACAAGGATTACAGCACGCGCTGGATCAACTTCTGGGGCTGGGACCACGGCAGAACGAGCTTTCTCGACGTTATCGCGAAGAGGTACGACCTTTCGCCTCGCCTGCTGGATCTTCTATGGCCTAAGATCCCGCCTCCAAAGGCTTCCAAGACACCTGCGAGCAATTCGTCTGGATCGCCTACGTCGTTTGACGACATTGAGTTAGGTCTTTCACCGGTCAACAGTGCATCGCGGTCCGGTACTGGAGATCGACAAATTCCCCTTTTTGCACATGTGGTAGATCGGCTATGGCATTTCTGCTCAGTTGATCGAGGAGAACATTACCTTTACGTCGGCTTTGACGCGCTCGTGGCGGCTACTGGACAAAAGCCTAGTGTTGGCACCGATAGACCGACTGGGCATCGAATCTGGACGTCGCTACTCCTGTGTGATGATGGCACTGTTTTCAGCATTTTCGAAGACCCACCTGTTGGGTCAAATGACGAGCTCATCCACAATATACGATGGTACGTCTTGGATATCTTTCAACAACAATCTCATCGACATTCGCCGCCTCCCTCGTCTTCTCTTGGCCGGGTGACTGTACGACCTACCGATGCTACACAACCTGCGACACACGAAGCTATGACTGAGATGACCAGCCTACTTTTCTATTATCTTTTTGATGACTGGCTCACCTCATACTCTCTGATTGCTCAGAGGGATCATCTCTATCGCGCTGAGCTCGAGGAAATCAGAACAAGAATGTTCAGGGCGGCGGATGTCTCACTGATCGAGTCGCTCCACCAACTAGGTCGCCAGCTTACTGTACTCAAGCTGATGTATAAGAGCTACGAGTCCATCATACGAAGAATACTCCAGAGACGTCGAAGCTATCAGCTACTCATACAGGAGCCTGTCAACGGTTTTCACAACAGTAACGCTTGGTACAACACAGCTGTGCCAGGCGCTTTCGACTCACCATCAGTAGACCCCTTAGCTTACGAGCAGTCTCCGATCAGCCCCGGTGGGATTTCAAAAGCCCATCGGGTTACTCTCGCCTCGCCTGCAGTGTTCCGCTTCGAACGTCTGCTTGACCGAATACAACTGCTCGCTCAGACTGAAATCGACGAGTGCATCCGGGAGAAAGAATCGTTGGCCTTCATGGTACGACTGAATTAAGGCACGAAATAGAATCTAAGCCTAACAAATTATCCAGAACTTCAACCTCGTAGCGCTCAAGGAATCCCAAGCCGTCGAAAAGCTGACTCGGACGACCATCTTCCTCGCCAAAGCGACAGTTTTGTTCCTTCCAGTCAGTCTCTTGACGAGCTACTTCTCCATCCAAGTCATCAATAATACAGGCTACAATTTGAAGACATATTGGTTGAGCTTCCTAGTAGTCGGATTACTGACAATACTCCTTCTTTCGGTCACCGGCTTCGCGAACAGCAAGGCGTTAGGAGGAACAGTCTACAGAAGCTTGACCAAGATTTTCCTCCTCAGAATCACCGAGAACAGGAAAGGAGTCAAAAAGAGCTCGCGATAGATGGTCTTGATGCCAAACCATCGTTTTGACGTGTTGCCTGCTGACTCGCCAAAACTCTCTCAACCAAGCCGTCTTCCCGCTGTTACTTGCTCAACCACTCCAATACTTATATACTACTTATTTCATGCCCATTGTAAGCAAAAAAATAGCCGTGGTGGTGTAGTGGTTTATCACACCCGTGGTCTTAACACGTGCGCAGTCATTCGTTGTTACTCAACGCCGTGTCAGTCTAGATCCGAGGAGGTCGCGGGTTCGATTCCTGCCCATGGTGCTTTGTATTTTTTTCTTTTCTTTTTCGTAAATTGAACAACCACCTTCCGTTGTTATCACATCTTCAAGAGTCGAGAATATTCTCGTAGCTGAAAATCAAACATATGCTTTTGCGAATGAGACTTCGATAAGAAGATGCAAGCGAATGAAAGAAATTGTCATGACGCTTGCTCCATGCTAATACTTCTATTGATCTCTAGGCAACTTGCCCATCCCCATCAACCCCATAAGATTTCCAGCCGGCCCAGCCATCCCACCTTGTCCTTGGAAACTCTCGAGCATATTCTTCAACATTTCATAATGCGGGTCTCCATCCTCTCCGGCGAGTAAATCTTCATCATCACTGCTTTCGTCATCGATGGTGACTGGTTTTGCCTTGGCCTTGCCTTTTCCTTTACTTTTGCCTTTATTGCTCCTCTCGATATCTTCCCTGACTTTGTCTTCAAATCTGACATTTTTGCCAGTGGCATTTGTGTCGGGAGCAGCGTGAGGTGTAAACGCTTTATCCTTGCCTTTATCTTGTGTGGTGGTATTCTTCTTCTTTTCCGCATTCCTCTTTTCATGGATTTCTTGCATCATTTTCCATATCTGTTCTGCTTCTTTGTCGTCATCTCTTTCCATTTCCTCTTCATCCTCCATTTCCAAAGCTAGTTTTCTGGCTTCTGAGTTTAAGCCAGTTGTTTCTTTTTGCTCGTCGGGCATTCCCATCATTTCGCGCATTGCTTGTTCGAATTCGGCGTCGGTGAAGGAGGCGGCTTTGTCTTCTTCTGCGTCGTCTTCTTCGGAGTCTGAGGCATCAGAGTCGCTGAGGGAAGATGAGCCGGAGGAAAAGGTCTCGGCGCCTGTTTCTTCGTCTTCGTTGAGGAACTTTTCGAAGCGGGAGACCATGTCTTGGAGATCTTTTTGGGTGGACTCATCGCCGAAACCTGTGCCTTGTGGTGTGTCGTCGTCTGTAGCTCCAGCACCGCCGGCAGCACGTCCTTTGAGTTCCTTGTCGAAATCTTTGAAGTCGATGTCGAGCCATTTGTCATCGTCGTTTGTTTGCGGCCAGGATGCGATCTCGTCGTCGGTGGGTAGCGTATCTTCTCCTTCTTCCACGTCTTCGAGCAACATGCTCATTTCTCTGACTTCGCGCTTATCCTTGTTTTGAGGGTCGCGGAGCATCATTTCGAAACCGCAGGAGAGTTTCATGCCGAGGAGGACGGGCTTTTTGTGAATGTGTGGTGTTATGCCTACCCAAGCAGGCGGAGGAGGAAATTCCTGGCTTACGAGCTGTGCGTAGCCAACTTTGGGGAAGCGAACGCTCATGGTGACGAAGTCTTCGGGGGAGAAGAGGAGGGTGGCTGTGTCTTTCGTGGCCAGAGGTTTTACGGCGATAGGGTCGCGCAGATAGAAGGCCTCGATTGCTGGGGCAACATAGGAGGGACTTCGGTGGAGGAGGTAAGCGAGACGACGAGGGATGGAGAGTAATGCGTTGTGTTGGCTCTTTGCAATGGCGGCTGGGTGGTCTCGCAAACGGTGGAAAGCTTCTCCTTCGATCATTGGCGAGTGCAATGTCGAGTGTGGTGTTTGTTGTAAGAACTGCAGCGCTTGGCTCAAGTCAACATGGCCAGATAGTCCAGGCGTGGTAGGTCCTGAGGCTCCCGTGCCCGCGTTTCGTTGCAGAGGTATGATGTGTAGCTGTCCTTGATGGATCCAGACACGATTGTCAGCGAGTTCGGGCTCCAACCATTTCGGCAGAGCATTTGCAGCCTCAGCGAGCAGAAATTCGCCGTCTGGGTCGCGAACTTGAATCCATGCCGAAGTATGCCGTTGGCTGAGTTCGAGAAGCAGCCAGACAATCAACCATTCATCCGCTATTGAATCGCCAAAGTTGGTTCGTCCGTGAAGATAGTATTCGTGTCCAGGGACTTGCAACTTCTCCTCAGATGCGCTATCAGCCTCAGCCTTCTCGATGTTGGAGTCCAGTCTTGTATCAATCAAATCTAATTGAAATTTCTCGCGCTGCCAGATGTAGTCCTTGAGGTTCGGTGATTTGAGGAGTCCAGTAGTAGCCGTTTGGATGGTCTTCAACTTCTCTCTTCGCGCATAGTCGGTCTTGAGTTTCGCATCAATAACGAAGATGGTGTATTCAATACAGTCGTCCGGCAGGCGTTTGGTAAAATCAGAAAAGCCGTCTCCTCCGCCGAAACCACCAAAGTCTTCCGTCTGCTCATCATCAGAGTCCACCTCTTGAATTCGATTCTGGTTGTCCAACATGTTCACAGTGTTTGAGAGTTCGAAGTTCAAGATAATCAAGTCGTGCCTGCAGACATTGTCTGGCGGCGGCGGCGACGTCCGGGCCCGAAGGCGGCGACTTTTCTGCCGGCGCGCCGTGGTCCGAGCTCCATTTTTCAAGTTGCATCTGAGCCGGCCAAGCACTTTGTTGCATCCCCATCTCCATGATCAAGATAGTGATGCAAGTGCTTGCATGGTCTTCACACAGTGCATTAATGCACACGGAAAGTGAGATGACTGCCTTACTGCCCTTCCAAGCAGTTGTCCGGCCATGTATGCCGCTTTGCTAACTTTTTGGCATTACAAGCCCGCCGCTGTGAAAGATGAGTTGCCAAGCACACTACTCTCTCTGATGGTCATTTGCAGTTTAATACCATCACGCTCAGTATCAGAACGTGCCTCAAACAACTCATCGGCCAGGTATTCCCTCTGCAGAGTGATGGACGAAGAGCCGACAGATTCAACACTCGGCTAGTAACGCTCGTACAAGGCTCGGTGCGGCTACTAGAGCGAAATGAGTTCCTTTCTTCTCATCAATTGGGATCATATGCAGGTCTCATGTATGTCGAGAATAGCATTGATGCTTTGATGCTGGACAATCAGTCGGCTTTTGACGGCTATCGATCGTCATTGTTGGCCAACCGCCGACGGCATTCGGTTATTGGTTCAACCAAGCTACCCAACTTCTACGACCGAAGCGCGAAAGTAGATTCGAATTCTGTATTTATTCAATACTCACCTGAAGGAAGATACATATCTGTGGGCTGTCTTGTACGAGCAATAACGCCATGACAAGCCAGAACACTGCTATAGTCTCTCATGGGACGGTCGAAACTCAGCCTTCACAGATCTACGGCAGTGGCACTCCCATACTACGTATAGGGTATGTGATGTGTAGTGGTCCGATCAACAACAAATAGTAAAAGACTGACACTATCTAGCAATGGAGGAGCAGGAGCAACAGGGCTGGTAGAGGCTCTTGCAAATGACTATCTCAGCACAACTTCGACACATGGGTCCATTCACTGGATATGCAATCATTCCCGCAACACTCAACTCGCACTCTTGGGTGGTCATATAGACTTGGCCTTAACTTACGAGCGCGACCAAGAAGCCCTTGCAGCTCTCGAGGGCTGGTCCGTTACCGCTGGATATGCTTTTCACGATCATTTCTGTCTCCTGGGTCCAGAAAATGATCCTGCAGATATCCGTTCATCAACTCATATCGGAGATGCTTTTGCCCGCATAGCCAAAACTCGAAGTCTTTTCCACAGTCGTGTTGACGCTTCGGCGACTATGTGGAAAGAGAGAAGCTTATGGGGGCTTGTAGATCCGAAGCCCTGGGACGATAGCGAAGCAGAAACGTGGTATAAGACCAGTACCAGTGGTCCTGCTGAAGCGCTGACCAACGCTGACGCCGCTGGCGCGTATCTTCTTTCCGATCGTTCCACACTTTTACGACAGACAATGCTGCGCGCCATATCGAAGTCCACGGTCTTCTATGAGCCTATGGGCCCCAAGGATATACTCATCAATAGCTGCTATGCTCTTTACTCCCCGCGCCTGCCGATAAGAATCCATCATGAGGTACATCAATTCCTCAAGTATCTCAACTCTGCACGAGGGCAAGCAGTGATATCGCGTTTTGGGGAGAATGAGGTTGGAGTCCCTTTCTTCGCTTGCGTCGAAGATGGCTTTGCAAAGACCTCACTGCTCAATGGACGGGCGTCTGGAGGACGATGGGTATTCAAAACACTGGATCTGCCCAAAGCTAGGCTTTGAAGGTCTTCGCATGAGAGTTCAGACACACATACTGGACTGCTCGTAGTAATAACAATACTTCAGCCGCTTATGTATCATTAATCATGTTACTCATCATCTCATGACTGTGAAGAGAAATTGCACTACTCTTCATACTTCACTCGCTTACCCTGCTATGGTTGCTGCAATTGTGTAGTGAATATGAACCGCGAGGACACACGATCGACGCGTGGGTGGCCTGAGCGCGGCATCTCGCGGTCACCCTGACCCCAGCCCCTCCTTGGCTCGACTGCCTGCAAATTGCAGCTGCCTGGATTTGTTGACAGCTCCTTCATCACTAAGAGGGCTATGTATAAGCCTCGAAAAATGTATACCAAGAGTCGCTGCCCAGCAAACTTCATACTTCCAAGAGATGAAGACACGATGATACAGCAAATCTCAAGATGCGCCCGACCTTAGCTCCGTCAAAAGCCACGCCTCCGAAATGACAGGAAGCTGCGATCCTGCGAGCCCGTCAGCACCAATGGCAGTGCATCAGACAGGAGAAGGCGCAAGGTGTCGGCTGCATCTTTCTGGAAGCTTAATATCAATCATTGCTGTGACGGTGTGTTCAATATACACGGCAAGATTGTGCCGTACCCTCTGCCTGTCAGCAACAGTGCAGGCGCGAGAATAATTAGGAACGCAGATTTTGAAGGTATGCATCCTCCTGTAAGGCAGAAGGGTACAAAGCGTTCCTGGCGCAGCAGATCAAATCCCTCGAGGATCGTTTTCTGGATGACATAAAAATCACGACTGCACCCTTTTGTTTTGCTGACATCTATTATACGTGCTACGCTCTATTGAAACCATGACTCTTCTCTACGCATACCAACCAAATCATGTCGCACCAATCATTCTTGCCCTCATCGTGGTCTCATCGCTTCTGCTGCATGCATACCAGAATTTGTGGGTGATTTTCCTTGCCGAGTGTATCATCCAACCTGCTTACATGGCTTCAGCAAATACAAGTATTGGAAGATTACCTTCTTCATGGTTTGGGGAGGGCTCGTCTTCGCTACTGGATGGATCACACGCTGCGCCTCAACATACAATCAACAGAACATGAGTCTTTACATCATACAGTACGTCTTCACCGTGGCCGGTCCGCCCATTTACTCGGCCGCCGAATACAACATTCTGGGACGCCTCCTAAGATACGTTCCTATGCACTCGCCTCTACACCCCGACCGTGTGCTGTACGTTTTCATATACCTGGGCACATTGGTCGAAAGTCTCACCGGCGCTGGCGCCAGCATGTTTGCGACGGTTCGACCTGATGACCATGGAGGATACAAGACCGGAGGTATACTCTTGGCCATTTCGTTGTTACTACAAACCATGGTGGAGTTCGTCTTCGTCTCCTTGGTCATCATAGTCCATCGACGTTGTCTTCAAAGTGGCACTCTTCCTCGAAAAGTCCACCGTCTTTGCATTATGCTCTACGGCACCTCGACATTGGTCTTCCTACGCTGTCTCTTCCGCGCCATTGAGGCCTTTGCTATCTTGTCAGTCTTTGGTACCGGAGAATGCCACGGCCTCTGCCATACTGTTGTCTTCCACGAGTGGTACCTCTATGTCTTCGAAGCATTGCCCATGATTCTGTACACTCTCTGGATCAACCTGATGCATCCAGGCACCATGCTACCTAGCGATAAAAACAGATACCTTGATGTCGACGGCAAAACCGAGCGCATCGGACCAGGCTGGATCGACAAAAGATCGAGATGGGAAACATTCGCCGACCCTCTCGATCTCACTGGCGCCATCCGCGGTCACCCCTCTCACGAAAAGTTCTGGCTCGAACCACAAAGATGGCCCTTGGCTCAAGGCACCGAAGCTCCTATCCAAACCGTCAACGACCATCCACCTAAAGCCTAAGGCAGCAAGGCACAAAACTCGCTCACTATGACACACATCCCGCTCTCGCTGCCGCCACACGCCCTTAACCACTACCACGCCATCTACCTTTATATACGACCTGAATTAGAGATTCCTTGTCCCCAGCTAAGCAAGGGCCCCGCCTGCTCGTCTGGTGTGCTTTGGCCCACTTAGCTGGTTGCCGACATTCGACAAAGGCGCCTGCGTGGGTTCGATCCCCCAGCACGCGCCGATTAATTAAGTAAACCGGACCGCCGGTTTCTTCCCACACGTCGCGGACGGTGGTTTTCTTTTGCTTGGTGGAGGTGTGTTGGACTCTTTTGTGCACAGTGCCGAAGATGTTTATTCTTTGTTGGCCTCTTGCTTTTCTTGCGATAGAGGATGATTCGTGAATTTCTGTGATTTTACGGTTTTTGCTTATGCAGTTTTATAATTATATGGTATCTTCACATTCTTTCGGACCCGTTGCGCGATTCTCTGCAACCTGATTGTCCTGCTTCTTTCACCAATACGCTAACTCGGTTTTCTCGCATATCTTTGCTGATCTTGTCCCTTTTTTTGATGAATGGCTGCACGGCAACTACACAGTAGTATTGAGAAGGTATAACAATCGACGTGGAAGATTGATAGTGATTCGTTTTCAACCTAATGACTCCGCTACCACCGCCACCATCATCATCACCGGTAACCAGCATCATGATCATCCAGCATTATAATAACACTCAAACATCAACTCCAACTTCCTCTTCTCCATCTCACCCCCAGTCCCCGGCGTACTCGCTCTCCTCGCCTGCGCCTTCAACGCCTCAATACTCTCCTGCAACGCAACTTCCTGCCCTTTCCTCAACAACATCGCAAACGTCTCTATCATGTCAAAGCTATCAGTTTCCTCCTCGTCATATTCGCCGACTTTGCGTCGATGAACGGCGAAACGAAGAGGTGTCTTGGAGGCTTTGATTTTGCGGACGAAGTCGCGGCGGCGTGAGTGGTAGCGGAGGGAGCGGGCGGACCAAAAGTCTTTTGCCATTTCGCCTAGTTCCTGCATGCGAGCGAAGGCGAGGGCAGTAGGGCTGAGGTCGAGCTTGTTCTTCCATTGGCCGGGCTTTTGGTTGGACGAGATGAGATTGCTGACGTGAGTGTGGATTGCCGTGTCCAGCGCATCTCCATAGCCTGGTAGAACAATATCGACAAGCCCAATATCTCTGGCTTGTTGGGCAGAAACTGGAAGCATGTCGCGAAGGAGGTGACGGCCCACATCATAGCCTACCCTTCCGTAGTAGGAGATCGTATGATACTCACTGCCGAATAATCCCAGTGTGCGATACGCTGGATTCATGACCACATTTTCGCCAGCGATCACCAGATCCGCAGCTGCTGCGAGCGCCACTCCTCCGGCGGCGGCGTTGCCTCGAAGTGCAGCAACAGTCATGATGTTCTTGGCCGCAAAATCCTGGAGAATGAGTAGAACCACATCATTCATTGCGTTAATGTTGGCCCAGGACTCATAGGCCGAATCTGGGGCGGCTTCAATTACATTAAGATGGATGCCGTTCGAGAAATAGCTGCCTCCTAGCAATACCATGGCTGACAAAGGCGATGATTCGGTGTGTGTAACCAGAATGCATCGCAAGGCTGCACACATATGACGGCACTGGTTTGTACTCATGGCTCCGTTGTAGAAGTCGAAAGTCAAGTACGCAACCCGTTGTCCTGTACATATAGTATCATACTCGATGAAAACTTCTTGAAGTGTTGGGTATTCGAGTCTGTGGAAATCTTCAGGAAGATCAGGTAGCAGCTGAGGCGGATTTTGGGCATCAATAATGCCAATGTCTGTAAACAGTGGTATGGCTGGTACTTTGGGCCACATCGTAGCATCTGTCTTTTTCTTGACTCGTCGGGTGTGAGAGACCCAAATTCCTTTCCCGTCGATTGTTCTGAAGCATATAGCATCATTTCGAGTACCGATGATCGTGCCAGGCTGAGTGTGGATGTCTGCCATGTGCTCACCATCCTCGATGAAACCACCATACACATATAAGCTTGAGCTAAACATCCTCGTCAGACAACCAGGTTGGGAATCTGAAGCACGTATGAGCCTAGATATCATCCGAGCAGAATGACGATTGATATCAAAGTCTCGCTGAGCAGCTTTGAGCAATGGAAGCGGAGTAGTGTGTCCTCCAAGAAAAGGCTCGCCGGTCGTGACGGATGCAGTCTTGTATTCAGACTTTGCTTGCAGTTCGGGGGTGATACGATCCCAGCGTGCATCGCCTTCGAGATCCGTACCTGCTGTCTCCTGAATAGCGAGTTTGACTCTCTCAATGGCCGCAACGCTTGCCGCTATCGCTGCTCGCGTGACATCCCCTCGGTAAAGACTTGATTTGGTGAGATTGTGGTCGTCAATGTCGATACAGAACTGTTCGAATGCCCACACTGGGCCTGCATCGTACTCCTCGATAGCTTGCAAGACAGTGACCGCCCAGTGAGAACGGCCGTGTTCGGACCACAGATCCCTTTTCATGACTCTTTCCAGATCTGAATCTGTTCCGTCTTCACCCATAATTATGAAGTCAAGAGCACTGGGACCACCATCGCCAGGAGCACCAGGATGGACGACGAGAGTCATAAACTTCGTGAAGACTTCCTTAGGTACTGGAGATGTGAGGAAAGGACAGATGATAAGGTGTGGGTGAGCCATATCCGCAGCCTCGATCACAGTCTCGGCCGAAAGCGCGTACTCAAGTGTGACCTCATGATCGGGTGCCAAAGTCAGGTACAGTCGTTGAGACAGGGAGTTATGTGCAGTACACAGAAGAAGAACCTTCATGTTATCGAGTTCTGTTGCGAGATGATGGTGGGTGAATGGGACAGTAGGAGGCGGTTGATTTGTTGACTTGCATGCAGGAATCGAGACGTAGCATCGATTCCGTGCTGTCCTCGGACAGCTGGTGATATATGCAGTACTTCTCGTTAGCTCGTCGTCGATTTGGGGCGAGAGACGTCAGCGGCGACAGACACGTGAAAGTATCGATTGAATCTCCCACCAACCTTACTCAACAGCAATTTGGTCACTTGTGAACCTATTCGATAACCTCAAACCAATGTAGCGTTCGAAACGATAACAGGGTGGGGACTAATCTGGCGGCCAGCATAGTCCAGCACAAATAGACCTTCTTCGGCAGTTCTGACCAGTCATTGTTGAGATGACCGGCCACAGCGATCTTGTCATTGGGCTGCAGGAGGCCTCGAGTGATCGATGCGCTGCGCGTGTGCATCTTTCAAGTAGCCGTAGTGGATCGCAACTGTAGCCGTGGGCAGACATGTAGGCGATGTACCGACTGGAGAGGGATTGCGTTCGTAGAGTGGAATATGACACAAGCAAGTCTGGCAGGATGACAGCTTCATGATGCCGTTCCCACAGTTTATCAAAGAGGCTCAAGGAAGGTTCCAGAAATGTACTGGAGCCAAGTCCTGATCTGCATGCGTTTCATCCCATCGAAGGATCACGATGTTAGACTTCTCAGCCGCTGGCGATGAGGTTCAGAGGTAGTCGCAAAGCTCAAGCATGGCATGGCGAGTTTACGCGGACTTGAACGACGACCAGTCTGATTGGAAGGGAGAGACTTGGGAATCTAGACCCGAAGGAGGCCCGATGTTGGTTGGACAGAAATCTGTCATGAGGGTTTGAATTGCAAAGCCATGTGGCAGAGCGCGATGGATCGGACGACCATCCACTCAGGGGAAGAGCGACTGTCACCCAATAAGAAGCCCGCTCCACTTTAGAGCTTGAACTCTAGATCTTGTCAATAGTTGGTGCCGCGAACCTTCTCAGTAAACAATGAAACGCGTATTACATGGAGGTAGCGGCATTCAACCACGTCGCACTAGTTTCGTGACACTCACTTTGTCAAAATTGTCATCCTCTACGGACTGAACTCCACGCCAAGTGTCCGTAACGTGAGCTTACGCCATGATAGACAACATGAAATGCATCAGAAGTTGTCGATGATGGATAGTCACGTTCGTAAGAAAGGAAATGTTGCGACAGCTATGCATATTCTGTATAGATTAACCAGCCGCCGTGAATAAGCGAGATGCTTACATAACGTCATGTCGCCATGTTGGAATGGTCTGCTTGCAGGTTACACCAGCCAAGCGCCCTCTCCATCCTTCATACAACTTCCCAGTCCATTCAGGACTATTGAATCTGACAGTATCCTTCGACTAACGGCCACGGCCGTGCCGCCGAAGATGGCTGGGCGGCGAAGAGTTAGCCCAGCTGAAGACTCTGACTATACCACCATCCCGACTGACTTGATATGGCAGACATCTGGCAAAGCGCAAGAGAGCGACAGCGAATTGGTCCAGATCTTTCGCTTTCTCGATCTGCCTTCCGAGGTTCGAAACTTGAGCTACGGCAAGTTGTTCACGAATCCCGGTCACAAGCTCGAATCTGGCCGAAGATACTTGCCGACGAGGTCAAGCAAGAAGCCCACAAAAGGATGGAAACCCACAGAACGCTGGTATCGCGCCGAAGCTGCCCTTCCTCGTATTGGCGAGATGGACGAGAAGGCCGGCGTATTGGTTCATATGAACTTGATTCGCACATGCGCATAAATGTACGTCGAAGCCTATTGGGTCCCATTTATCATGAACGTTTTCGCTTTCCATGACGGCCCGGTGTCTGATCAATGTTGTATCATAGTTGGCGACAAGCGCGGTCTGATTCGACGAAATGAATGCAACAGCCGAAATTCCTTTCACGAAAAGGATCCTGCTGGCCAACACGATCACTACGATCTAACCAACCTGGAAGTCATTCATTCGCGCACAAGATGTACGTTCAGCCATGAAGTGATCAAAGCCGTTCGAAACCCCGATCTGAATATTGATTCCGAGGTTACAATGGCTCTGAGCAGCATGCTATATTGGCTATGTGTTGCGGGCAGATACCGGGGGCCAGGGTCTAGTGTTTCAGCTGAAATCAAGATGCATTTTGTTGTACCATTTGAGGAGCTGTGCGACGCGGAGGACCTGTTCGAGATAGCGCAAGCAAGATGCACACTGGTCGGACTAAAGTATCGTGAATGCAATCCTTGTTGGTATATCAATAGTGCCTGGCACTTCAAGCGTATCGACGGGCAGACGTTCGAGTTGCTGCTGTAGGTAGGACCTTCGTAGACAATCCCAGGCAGACTGGGCCTGGGTCCGCTTTTGGGCACAATCACATATGGATCGTTATGGCTCAAGATAAGCCTCAGCCAAAAATCCACTCATGGGCGATACCGTGCGTGTCCCTACCGACAAAAGACGAACAGAGACACACCTGTAGAAGGAGTTCCTCTTGATGCGAGACTCGGGTTGTACTCATGAGACTCACGAGGTTCCAGACAAGGCCTCTTGCATCGTGGCAGTGACCACAAGCCAACCATGAATGGGACCAACTAGAATCGATACACGATCGGTACCAGGTCCGACTACGGCCGTAGATGATGAGAAATGGGAGGGGAAGAGGGGAAAGTACCCACGCTACGCATGTGATTCCAAGCTATCTCTTGCCCTTCTTCTTCCCCTTTGCACCACCAGCAGAAGCGACAGTCTTGAGAGCGGCATGTTTAGGGAATTCTTTGATGTGTTGGTGCAGTTTTGTTTTGGAAGGGAAGATGCCTTCACAGGTTGCGCAGTTGAATTTGCCTTCTTCCTGTTCTATGGTGGCAGCTGCTGCAGCGGCGGCTCTCTTTGCTCGCTTCTGGGCAGCTTTGCCTTTCTTTGGCGCTTGTGTTGAGGGTGTTGCATCTGACTCGGAGTCTGCACCGGGGCTTTTTGTGCCTCGTAGGTGCGAGGGAGGGTCCTGAAGGCGGGCCTTTACTTGCGAGGCGGGAGCATATTCATCGTCTGAAGAATCGGTTGTGTTTGCGGTTTGATCATTCGTTACTTCACTTACGGCAGTCTCTTGAACTGAAGGAGAAGCCTCTTCGTCCTCAGAGTCGGACAAGTCTTCGTCCAGAGTGAGATGGTCCATGCCCGCAGCTGCTTCATCGTCCATGATTGGGTAGTCGTCTTCTTGCAAGGGCTCGTCTTCCATCATAGGGTATTGGTCCTCTGGCAAGGGCTCGTAGTCTTCGGTGTCGAGTGGGGTAGCGTCTCCGCTTGTAGGCTCACTGTCCAAATTCAAGTTTGCATTCTCCTTTTGCATCTTCTTCCTCAGAGCATGAACAGCCTTCTGATGTTTTTTACTCTTCTCGTGTGCGTCCCATTGCTTCTCACTCTTGAACGTCTTCTTGCATGCGACACACTCAAAGACTTCCTCGACCTCTGACTCGCTTTCACCAATGACACCTTCGTGCTCGTCTTTTGCAACCGTCTGTGCCCACTCTGGGATGGCAGAGGCTTCTGTGCTCACTTGATTCGCGGCTCTTGCTCTCGCAGCTTGTGCAGCGGCCGCGTCACGGAGGACTTTCTGGCGTTCAGCCTCTGTTTGGGTGTTCGGGATGTATCGTGGATCGCGTTTACGGACAAAGGCAACCAGAGCGCGGACAGAGTCATTGAACTCACGAATGCCTTGTTCGCGGAAACGCTGGTTCTCTTTCTCCATCATACGGCGGTAACGGCGGTCGGGTGCTTCTGAAAGTCGGTACTTGTCGCACCAGGCGAAAGACTTGCGAGTGCTGAACGAAAGCCAGACAGCATAGAAGGACTTGGGCACATCATCGTATTGGTCGTCTTTGTGGCCGAAGGAGGGATAGTCGGGAAGATCAAGACCTTCCCAGTGAGCGGCGGCCTCCTCCTCTCTCGCCAGCTGGTCAAAGGTCTCGCGCAGGAAACCAAAGAAGCCTGACGGAGCATCGGTGAACTCAACGCCGCTGTTGAACTTTCGCAGCATACGAGCCAGATCTTCGGCGCTTGTCATTTTGACGTTCCCATACTCGTACTCGCCAGCACCTGCACCTCCAGTAGTCGGATCATCACCCCGCAGGATCTGGGACTCATGTGAATCGTACCAGGCTCTTTCTTGTGGGTCCGAGAGAACCTCGTAGGCTGATTGGACTTCGGCGAATAGGGAAGTGGCAGACTCGACGTTTCCATAGTTGCGATCAGGATGTAGTTCGAGGGCCTTGCGCCGGTAGGCTTTCTTGATCTCGTCTTCGGTGGCATCGCGTTCAATACCGAGAAGCGTGTAGTAGCCTGTCTTCTGTGCCTCGGGAGCAGCCTCTTGGGCGGCACCGTTTGTTGACGACTGTCCAGCACCCATGGCTTCACCTGACAGCTGGACGATTCCGAAACAGCGTGGTCAACTTTTTGGTTGTTCGAACATGTCACAGCGGCTAGATGCATGTGCATGGCCAGTGCGCGGATAGATAAGATAACAGTCTACAGGCCTTGGCACGGTCAAGTCGCGTCTCACATCGCGCCTGCCTGAGCCGCGCTTCCCTCGCGTCGCCCGTTTAACGAATGAGTGAACTTGAGCCAACCTTGCTTGTGCGTTCAAGGCAGCCATTGAGCTCGATCAGCCGGCTCATTCAATCACTCTCTGCCATCACTGGCCCGCACTGTCGCTATGGCCAACAAGCGTAGACACGGTCCTGACGACGCATCCGACGACGACTCACCACCATCCTCTCCCAAACGCGCCAGAGTCTATGCCCAGCCCGCAGACGATGCACCCCTCGAGACCGACGAAGTTGATGGCGGTTACACATACCAGTACCACAGCCATGTCAACGAAGATCACGACCTGCACCTCGACGTCTCGTCCGACGAGGGCGAGGACCCCGAATCTGAAATCCGCGCTACTCAGCTGGTACAACGGCATTACTCGCAAAACAAGGAGAACAAGGCTGCCGAGCAGGGCATCATCGAGGATGTCTACATGGAAAACTTCATGTGCCACAGTAAGCTCCGCATCCAACTCGGCCCCCTCATCAACTTCATCATCGGCCACAACGGAAGTGGAAAAAGTGCCATTCTCACCGCTCTCACCATCTGCTTGGGTGTCAAGGCCGCTCAGACAAATCGTGCTGGCAGTCTGAAGAACTTCATCAAGTCTGGCGAAGAGAATGCCTACGTTGCTGTCAAGATCAAGAACCAAGGCGACATGGCCTATAAGCCTTACGATTACGGCAAGTCCATTATCGTCGAGAGACACTTCTCCCAGACCGGAAGTGGCTTCAAGATCAAAAATTCTGAAGGTAGGACCATGTCTACCAAGAGAGCCGAACTTGAAAACATTGTCGACTTCTTTGCTCTTCAGCTGGATAACCCCATGAACGTCTTGTCTCAGGACAAGGCTCGTGAGTTCCTCAGCGGGTCCTCACCTCACGACAAATACAAGTTCTTCATCAGAGGTACTCAGCTCGAACAGCTCGACAGCGATTACCGCCTGCTCGAAGAACAGTTGGACACCATCGAGAGCAGATGCGAAGGTGCCGAGACTGATCTTGAAGTTCATGGCAGAAAGGCTAGGGAAGCAGAGGCCAAGAAGAAGCTCATAGATCAGAGTCAGACTACTATGGAGAAGATCAACCAGCTGCGCTGGCAACATGCTTGGGCTCAAGTTGAAGAGCAAGAACGTGAACTTGCAAATATCGAGGAAAAGATTCGCCAGGCCGATAACAAGATCGCCATGCAGCAAGCATCAGCCGACAATGCCAGCAAGCTTTACGACGAATCCAACGCCACTCGCGAAGCGAATGCCGCCGTCATCACTGACCTCAAGGAGCAGCTGGGTCCTCTACAAGAGAACTATAACGAGATCAAGAGTGTCTTCGATTCAAACATGAATACCATGCGCGACAAGAAGGCCGAGCAAAGGAACATCAGAGAAGATATCAAATCCTCTAAGAAGACCATGAGTGATCTAGAGACCAAGATGAATGCCGAAAGGACCAGGATCGAGAACGCCAACGGTCCCGCCCACGCCCACAAGGTGTCCGAACTGGAGGATGCTCGTACTCAACTTCAGCAGGCCAAACAGCGCGAAGAGGAGCATTCTTCTCAGAGAACGCACATTGACAACGGCGTGATCCAGGCCCAGAAAGAAGTGACTGATGCTCGTGGAGGGGCCTTGCAAAGCAAGAAGAAAGCTGTCAGCGATGCGCAAGACATGTTGGAGCGGTTACGAAGTGACCAAGGTCAACAAGCCCGCGCTTTTGCTCCACCTATTCACAATGTTCTCCGACAGATCAGAAATGAACGCGGCTTCTCGAAAGAGCCGATTGGACCGATGGGCATGTACGTTCGACTACTCCAGCCAGAATGGGGTTCCATCATCGAGTCAACCTGTGGTGGACAACTCGATGCGTTCGTTGTCGCGAGCCATCATGACAAGGTGTTGCTATCAAGAATCATGAGACAACAGAACTGGTAAGTGCTTCAGATCACAAGACAAATGCCAAACTAACACAAAACAGCCATTCCAACATCTTGATCAACAATGGAGCTCAGATCAACACACGGCAAAATGAGCCAGACGCGGATCTTGTCACTATGCAACGAGTTCTGGAGGTGATACATGTCTTGCATCGATGGTAGTTGTTCTGTTGCTGACTCCTTAACAGATCGAAAACGATGCAGTCCGCAACTGTCTCATCATCAACCAATTGATTGACCAGACAGTGCTCATGCCTGACAGAAATACTGCCAACGAGTTTGCACAGAGACGTCCACGTGGCGTGAAAGTGGTTGTCTGCCACAATGCTCATGTGCGAGGGGCCGGTCATCGTTTCAACCCTACAAGAGGCGGAATGCAAATGGGCCCGGTCAAAAAATGGCAAGGACAGATGCGTTTGAAAACCAGTCTTGAGGCACAATTGAAGTAAGTGGTTCGAGACGCACCATCAAGTCAGCCTACTAACTCATTCTGCAGCATCGCGCAAGAGAACCTTAACGGCGCCAAACGAGACCTTCAGGAGGCCGAGAACCAGATCCGAACGTTGGAGACCGCCCTTACTCGCGCCAAACAGGCGAAGAACCGACACGATAGAGACGCAAAGGAGATTCGCTTGCAGAGGCAGCAACTGGAAGATCGAATCGAACAGCTGCAGGCCGAGCTAGACGCCGATGCTGTTAACGACACGAGCGCTTTGGACGAGCTACACGCACAATACAGCGAGGCCGAGCAGAACCTCCAAGCTGCGAATGACACTATGGAGGACTCCGTCAACGCTTTGGACAAATTGGGTGATGACAACAGGGACGTCAAGCACCAACTCGATGCTGCCAACAAACAGGTTGAAGAAGCCAAAGCACAACTCACAAAGGCAGAGAGAAGGCTGGAAGACAAGACTGCTTCGCGGGAATATGCCCTGCGACAGAAGAACCAGGCCCTCGAGTTCGTGGACATGGCACAGCAAGAGAAAGAGTCACTCGAGGTCTCGCGCGTTGAGCAGGAGAGGCTCATCAATGAGGATTATCTACCTGGAGCGACAAATGTCAGTCGCAGAATTCCTGTGGAGCCAGGCAACACCGTCGAAGTGCTGGACCGCAAACTCGAAAAGCTGGAGCAGGAGCACAAACGATACCAGGACAGCATCGGCGGTAGCCGCGAAGAGATCTATCAGGCCTGGCGCGATGCACACAAGAAGTTCGCCATCGCCCAACGAGCCTTGTCTGGACAGAAGGATGTTGCAAAGAAGCTCAAGTCAGCGCTACTCTACCGCAAGAATCGCTGGAAGCTCTTCCGTAAGCACATCACTACCAGAGCAAAGATTACTTTCAGCTACCTCTTGTCGGAACGTAACTTCCGTGGTCGCATTCTGGTTCATCACGCCGACAAGACGCTGGACATCAACGTTGAACCCGACATCTCGAAGAACAGTGACAAGGGTCGTCAAACCAAGACTCTATCTGGTGGTGAGAAGTCTTTCTCGACTATTTGTCTGCTGCTTTCGATTTGGGAAGCCATGGGCTCGCCAATCCGCTGTCTTGACGAGTTCGATGTTTTCATGGATAGTGCGAACAGAGAGGTCAGTATGAAGATGATGATCCAGGCTGCTCGTAGATCTGTTGGCAGACAGTTCGTGCTCATCACACCGCAAGCCATGGGCAAGTACATTGAGGGAGTTCAAGATGTCAGTGTGCACAAAATGGCGGATCCTGAGAGAGGACAGACGACGCTGGATTTTAGCGCTGCTTAGATTATTATCGGCGATGGATGGTATGATGGTGTTTATTCTACCGCGTGGTCATTATAGCTAGGCGCTGGTGGGAGTTGACTGACGATAACGAAATCACGTCATGATCTGTTAATATTACTTGCAACCGACCGCTTGGTCAGAATATCCATCAGAAGCTCTGTCTTGTAAGCATGAACATCGCTTTTCGAAAATCTATACCTCCTAGGTGTCGGTTGTGCTTACGCCCTACACTTGACAAAATGCGGGACAGCTCCACCATCGGAGCTGCCTGGCCACATCTCGACATTCAATAACTCGTACTCTGACACGACCCGACTTACATACCTAGCTCCAACCTATATTTCCAACACTTACATTGTCAAAAAAATTCAGTATGAACGTCTTTGCCAGAACTACCCGAGTGGGCGCCAACTCCATGATCCGTAACCAATTTGCGTTTTCCTCCATCGCAAGAAAGTCAACCCTAACTCAAGTATTTTCTGAGAAAGCCATCCATCGTATGTATATTCCAATATCAAAGAGTCTTTCCTTTTCACTGACACAATTCTAATAGCTATTGGACCTTACTACGTATGACTTTTCCCGTCCCCGACAACTTTTCCCAGGACACAACAGATACTGACCGCATCAACAGTCTCAAGCCACCAAAGCCAATGGCTTCGTCTTCCTCTCCGCTCAACTTCCCGCCGACTCCTCTTGTAAACTCGTCACTGGCAGTGTCAAGGACCAAGCACACAAGATGATCCAAAATGCTTCTCATGTCCTCGAAGCCGCCGGCTCCGATCTTGAGAAGGTTGTTAAAGTGAATGTAAGTCTGAATATGTGAGGTTTTGATACTCCGGGGATGGTGCTAATCTGATGGCGACAGCTGTTTGTCAAGGATTTCCACATGGTGGCAGATATCAATGAGGTTTATGGTGGGTATTTCCCGCAGAAGCCGGCGAGGACTACTACACAGATGCCATTTTTGCTTGCTGGGGCGGATATGATGATGGATATGGTTGCTGTGGTTGACAAAGAGTAGGTAATAATTTGCCTGGCAGCATGGTTTGTTTGATCATCAAGCCCATGAATAGCCATCTTGCGAGCTTTGCTGGCGACTCGTGACAACAGGCTCCAAAGACTTCTTGAGCCATGTGCTACAGCTTCTCTCACGTTATAACAAAGGACTATAAGGGATCCATACTTCCAGAGAGTGAAAACAGATGAGCATGGATAAGTCAGAGACAGGGTGATGAGTGTGACGATTTAGAGTTTAACACGGAACGGATCAACCATTCCCCGCGTTTCTTTCATCTCCTTGACTCGACGTTTTGTTCGCGCCACACCCTCACAGAAGGCAGCATTTGAGCACGAGGTGAACCGTTGGAAACCGACTTTTTGTTTGCTTCTAGATGCCATGACCTTCTTTGCTCCATAACTCATTGGAATCTCTGGCAATTTCTCTGGTTGATTTCGCGAGCAAATCCTGGCACCACTGGTCACTTTATCTGAAGATGCATTGAAGATCTTTGCGCCTGGACCACCAAACCCATAGACTTATCAAGAGGATTGCTTTCGGACATCATGAAGTACGGACATGAATATGCGCAACTACTGGCCAGTGAAGGGTTCCCGGAGGAGTGGATTTCTTCGGCCATCTCATATCGACTGCTCAAGAAGGCTATCAAGAAGGTTCAGCAAGAATTAAGCGCCCTCGGTCTGGATGCTTCGACACTCCAGCATGTACACAGCGAATTTGGCGTGGAGGCACCAGGAGATAGAAATGGCGCACATTTTGTCCCGGAACTATGGGTCGCTGTTGATGGCGAGAGTGGAGAATTCCTGGATGCACACTTGACCAAGGAGACAAAGCAGTACTTTCTCTGGCTGGCCGAAAACAATGAGAACACTCAGTCGACTCAAACTGATGCTGGAAGGCGTGCCAGCCAGATCTCACATGAAACCGATGGGTCTTCAATATCGGAGCACGAGCAGTCTAACGCTATGATCAGAGCCTCTTCTGCTGAGAATGGTGCTCACTGGGCCCATGTCCATCTCCACACAGCCGCAAACTTCTTCAACCTTCTTGATCCGAAATTGGCACAACTAGATGCCATTCAGCACGCAGAAGAAAGGCGTCTCGAATCGCATATCGTAGAACTCGGTACAGCAGTCACTACGCTCACCGAGCCGGCCGCATCAAAGAAGGGTAAATATAAGGCTAGATCGGATGTAACAATTTGGCGCCAAATCCTTGCTCTATATGTTCAGCATGCCATCTTCTTCTCGCCATACGAAAGAGATCGTGGCTCACGCACTTTTGACCAAGCAAAATCACATCTCGAACTCTTCTCCAAAGATCTGGTTGACCAAGGGCTTGTCAAAAGGTTTAGGGAAAAGACGAGCAGGAACACTTTTGATCACTTCGTGGCGGTCAACCTGGACATCTTGAGAGCTATGCGCTTCCAAGAGCTCAACATGGAAGCAGTGCGAAAGATCCTTAAGAAATTCGACAAGCGGACCGCTCTGGGAGCAACAAAAGCTTATCAAAGTTATGCAAACAGCGGGCCCTTCGCAAAGTCTGTCGCAACTGACATGTGTGCGGCTATGTCTCAGCAAGTGGTCACGATCGTACCACAATTGGATGACTACAGCTGCCCGGTTTGTTACAACATTGCCTGGAGACCTATTCGACTCGAGTGCTGCAATACAGTCTTTTGCATTCGCTGCATGATCGAGCTACAAAAGTCGGCATCAAAATGTCCAATGTGCAGATCGACGTCTGTCATTACTGCTGACTCTGGATCTATTGATCAGCAAAGAGCTGAATATCTGGTCAAATACTTCCCGACTGAAGTCAAGGAGAAGCAGAAAGCGAATGAGCTTGCTGTCGCTATCGACAAGTATGGCCCAGACTTCCAGAAAGGCCCTTGCTGCGTAATGTGATCTCGCTTTACAACCACCAGTCATCACAAAACATACCAAAATTGCATTGGGGCAGCTAAAATCCTGGATTCTCCACGAAAGACATAATCCGAATCTTGTATGATGGGCAAAGGTTGAAGGTCATCGAGTTGTGCAAAAGGCCATCCGAGAGGCTCGAATCGACCCCGCGCATGGCGTCATACTCACGACTTCCACATCATTATCAGCCGCCCAAGCCGCCATCATAAATGCACCTTCCATCCGCGAAAACGACAACGCCAATGCTAAGAAACTTGTCTCGAACGACCATCAGGCAGACAAAATATCCATTGAAAATCAGCAAAATGTCGAACAAATCTCACCCTGATGCGGACCTGTTTCCACACGCCACAGGCCTTGCACAGAAGACAGTTGAGGATCACAAAGCGGAGCAGCCATTGAAGCTGTATGCTGGATGGTTTTGTCCTTTTGTCGGCCGCGCATGGACGGTGTTGCAGGAGAAGAAGATCCCTTATCAGTACATTGAGGTATTGTTTTTGCTCACCAAGCCATTGCGTTCTGGAGGCTGACTTGCAATGAAGGTCAACCCATACCACAAGCCAGAATCGCTGTTGAAGCTCAACCCTCGTGGTCTGGTCCCGACACTTCAGTATGACAACAAGCCATTATACGAAAGCACGGTCATCTGCGAATTCCTCGAAGAAGCGTACCCAGACCATGGACCAAAGCTCTTGTCTGAGGACCCCTACGAGCGTGCCCGCGCTCGAATTTGGACCGACTACTGCACTTCTCGAATCATCCCTGCTTTCCATCGTTTTCTGCAGTTCCAGCCAATGTCAGATACCGAAGGACTAGAAGAAGTGAGACAAGAGTTCTTAGGTCACCTGAAGGAATTTACCAAGGAGATGGACTCTGAGGGCCCTTACTTTTCAGGCAAAGATGTTGGCCTGATCGATTTGGTTGTTGCGCCTTGGGCAAGTAAGTTATATATCGCCTCGGATCTTGTTTTCGTCGAGTGTTAATGTCTTGTCTCCGCAGTTCGTCTATGGGTCTTCGACCACTACAAGAATGGTCTGAACATTCCAGATGGAGGTGAAGATAGTGCTGTTTGGTCGAGGTTCAACAAGTGGCTCAAAGCCATCGAGGAACGTCCTTCAGTGCGCGAGACTACGAGTGAGAAGGAAAAGTACCTCAGCATCTACCAGAAGTATGCCGATGATAAGGCACAGAGTGAGTTGGCTAAGGCAACTCGCAAGGGTCGTGGTGTACCTTGAACGAGCAATACTTGATGATGGGGAACGAGGCCAATCTTTGGGGTACATGCGCTCTTTATCATGCTCATACTCGTACCAAGACCCAGGACCCTGGCGGGAAATAGTCTCAGGTTACTGGCGACTAAATCCATGCTGCATGAACCTGAGTGCAAGATAGGCAGTCATCGTCGAATCCAATGCATGCCCCATCGAAACGACAGAACACCGAATGAACAACCAAGATTAGTCGATCGCACAAGCTTTCGCATTTCCTATGCTTGTTACAAGCGCAAAGACATTCTGTCTTTTGAGTGGTAGCTAGTCGCCTTATCTATGCCTATCGGCTGCCGCTACCGCTGCGATAAAGATGATCGACATTACCCCAACCCCAGACATGTCGTACCCCAACAGCATGGCAGTCGCACCTTCTCCAAACGTGCAATCTGCTTCTTCTTTCCTGCATCGAACGTGAGTACTTACATGTCTTATCAAGCTACATTGATGAGTATGCCGCCACACCTTGTGACATGGGTGCCGTTGCACTGCGATAGCCAATCCTTGCCCGCGCCATATGACTGAACGATATCGTGGGGCAAGACATGGTAGGTCGATAGCTCTAGATATATTGGTTCCCCTTTCCCACTCTATGTTCTGGCAGGCGTCTTTATCTTCGAGCAAATATACAGCATGTCGTCTTCAGCACAGATCTTGCCCGCAGGTGCCGGTTATGGCGTCGTCATTGGAGTCGGCTTCTTCTTCGCCTTTGTGAGTATCTTCGACGATAACTACGATCTGCAAAGACTGACAGAATGTCAAGCTCATGATGGGAATTTCGCATCTACAAAACAAGTACACAAGCTTCAGCACCAAGACAAGTGAGGAGTTCAACACTGCTTCTCGCAGCATCAAGCCTGGCCTTATTGCCTCTGGTATCGTGTCGGCGTGGACGTGGGCTGCTACATTGTTGCAGAGCTCCACGGTAGCATATCAATATGGTGTTGCCGGGCCTTTCTGGTGAGTCTTGTATCACAAAAACCTCGAAGACGTCTCTAACTTGAAGTAGGTACGCTGCTGGCGCAACAGTCCAAATCCTCATGTTTTCCATCCTGGCGTGCAAAGTCAAGATGAATGCACCACGCGCCCACACATACCTTGAGATCGTCCAGGCCCGCTATGGGAGTGCCGCCCATATCACCTTCTTGTTCTTCGCCTTCGTAACGAATATTCTGGTCGGCTCGCAATTACTGCTTGGTGGCTCAGCCGTTGTCACAAGCTTGACAGGCATGAACGTCTACGCCGCAATCTTCCTCATCCCAGTCGGCGTCTGCGCATATGTCGTCCTCGGTGGTCTACGTGCGACTTTCCTCTGCGACTACAGTCATACTTTGATCTTGATGATCATCATCCTGTACTTCATGTTCAACGCCTATGCGACCAGTGATCTTATTGGCTCACCTGGGGAGATGTACGAGCTGCTCAAAAAAGCAGCAGTGCAGAGACCCGTAGAGGGTAACGTGGATGGTTCTTACATGACACTGAAATCCAACTACGCGTTGATCTTTGGTGTCATCCAGCTTTGCTCAGGAAGTGGCACTGTGTTCCTGGATCAAGCTTACTGGCAGCGTGCCATTGCTTCTCGACCTGCTACTGCTGTTAGAGCATACATTCTGGGTGGTATCGCTTGGTTCGCCATTCCTTTCGGATTCTCCACCACTCTGGGCCTTGCAGCTGTTGCACTCACCGACAATCCTCGCTTCCCTACTTTCCCTGGAGTCCCAACATCCAGCGATATCTCCGCCGGACTCGCAGCATCATATGCAGCACAAGCACTACTGGGTAAGGGTGGCGCAGTAGCTCTACTCATCGTCCTGTTCATGGCCGTCACCTCCTGCGCATCTGCCGAACTTATCGCCGTATCCTCTCTCCTCACCTTCGATGTCTACAAACGATACATCCGCCCGACCGCCTCGCCCTCAAGTCTCATCTTCGTCTCTCACGCCATGATCTGTGCCTTTGGTCTCACAATGGCCGTCTTTGCCTGCATCTGGAATGCCATTGGCGTCGACCTCGGCTGGCTGTTCTTGGTAATGGGTCTCCTCATCGGCGGCGCCGTCTTCCCCGCCGCTTTCGCCATCACCTGGCGCGGTCAATCTGCCGCTGGAGCCATCAGTGGCGCCATTGTCGGTTTGATCGTTGGTATCGCAGCCTGGCTCGCTGTAGCAAAAGTCTACTTTGGCGAAGTCACCGTCGCAACCACTGGCACCGAATACGCAACCCTAGCAGGCAATCTCGCAGCTATAATGACCGGCCTCATCGTCACCGTAACCGTCTCTCTCATAAAACCGCAAAACTTCGACTGGGCGATTACAAGAAGCATTAATGCCGAATCCGCAGATCCAATCGTGGAATCACAATTACAGAAGAAACAAATGCATCAGGAAGATAAACTCAACACTTCCACCGCCGTCAACCCCAGCGAAGAGGAAAAGGCACAGGAGAACGAGAAAAATACCTCCACCTCCAATTCCTTCTCCGAACCCCCACCACCACCCACCCTCTCCACCGAAACCGACACCGAGCGCGCCGCCGACTTGCAATTAGAAGAATCACCATCATCCCTCCGTGGAGCTTTTAAACTCGCTTGTATCGCTTCCTTCCTGCTAACATTCATCATGGATTTCTTACTTCCTATGCCCATGTTCTTCAGTCATTACGTTTTCTCCAAAGGCTTTTTTACCGCTTGGGTGGTGATATCTTTTATCTGGGTGTTTGTTAGTACGGGGATTAGTGTTGTGTTGCCTGTAGTGGAGACGGCGGGATTTTTGAAGAAGTTTGCTGGAGATGTTTTTGGAGGGAAGAAAGGAGGGAAAGTGTGAGAGTGATGGTGGGGTGATGCGGATGGGAATTTTGGGAGTGGAGTAGATGGTTAGATGATCTGGATGATTTAGAATGAGTTAATGGTTTGTTATTGTTTCTGCTCACCTGCTCTTGGCCTCCTCTTCTCAAGGTCCTGTTTGATCTGACATAACGATCGTTTGGCTCTTGGCTGGTTCCATCGCAATTTCTCCTTTCACTGGAAACCATGAATCGTTCAAGGTTCTGATACTTCTCGACACAGGAATCCCAATTTACCAGTTCTCTCGTCTTTACCATACTTGACCGGCCCCAGTGTCGCACGACCGCTATCGACATGACAAGCCGCCGAGATAGCCATCGAGCAAGTCCCCAGCACAGGCATTCCATCTTCGAGTTTTCTGTCCAACGCAAAAGCCAATGCGCAGAGCATAATGAATCCAACCACCAAAGCTGATATGGCAGAGGAAGGGGAAATGCCATAGGTGATGCGTTGATGCGAATATTGACCCATGACGTCGTAGGTGGTGAGAGCTACCACGTTCAAAGCTTGCGACGTGAGGAAGTGTACCAAGGTCAGTGCGACGATGAAGAGAGCAGAGTAGTAAGGTTTCATGGCGAGGTAGTACGTGTTGCGGGCGCCCTGCCTTGGCAGAGTCACGCGTAAGGGAGCATGTGTTCTCGAGTATGAGCTCAACTCCACTGCGGCAAACATGCGTGAGAACAGATGGTTGTAAAACAGATAAGTGATCGAGATGAGGGCGTGTATGGATCCGAGGCCGAAGAGGTTGGCAAAGAGTCCATGTTCGGAGGTAGGGCTTTGTGAGGTCAATGGTTGGTAACCAGATATTCCACCGTCGTTGAGCACGATGAGGACTGCCGTCGCGGTGGCGAAAAAGCCAAGGAAGAGACTAAACATTTGTTAGAATCTGCTTGAGATTTCGAGGAAAACGAATCATACCAGTTGAGAAACAAAGCGCAGGTTTCGGTATCGACTGTCGCCCTCCACACCGGCCACTTGCGTCTCCATGAGGCAATGTCTTTTTCGGATCGTCGGAAGCCGAATTTGTCAAAGCGGCTCGTTGGCGAGTGTACTGAGTGCACGGTAACACCGGGCGTCTTTGCGGAAAAGGTGTCTGGATGCTTCAAGAAGCTCGCTACAGCATCTCCGACAGTTGCTATGAAGCTTTAGCTGATGTAAACCAAAACCAGTATCAATACCACGTACCCAGGGGCCGAAAGCCACGCGAAAACGCCAGACTGGCTAAGCAAAGAACCTCCACGAACAAGCAGACCAGGATACCAGGAAGGACTCGAGCATTGATGCTGACACCGCAGTCAGGCTCAAACTTTTGAGCCAGACAGTATTCAACAGGATATGTCGATACTGTGCAGTAGTAGTCCCAAGTAGGTATATTCCAGATACTGCTATTTCCAAAGTCGAAGTCTGTGTCAATGCAGTGGTTGTGAAAGATCGAGACTACACCAACAGTATTGAACCAATCGATAGTCTGCACACCTTGATACTTGGACTTCACGGCCATCTCTGGGTATTGCAGATCACCATCGATGAATCCGTCCAAGGAGTTGCTGGCGTTAGACGAGCTTATCAGCAACACGTTGGAGTAGTCAAAGGGCACACGCGAGGACGAGAACATAGAGCGGCACTCCTCTGTTGGTATTCGGACGAGGTCTACCAGGTTGACTCGCATTTGTTGTAGCAGCTCGTCAAATTCGATGGATTTCAGAGCTGTACGAGAAGACCTCGAGATGTTGACATAATTCTCCGCTTTAGCCAAGAACGTAGACTGCTCTGTTGCGCCATCGAGTCGAGATCCTTTAGGATAGTCTTCAGTCACGAGAGCCACTGTCCTATCTGCAGTTGCTAGAGTAGTAAAGAACACAGAGTTATGACTTGAATACAGTTAGTAACAGTAATGACCAGAGTGCATCCTCATATGACTTACAGGAAGGGCAACATGATCGAGGCCAATCCTAGAAGGACTGCTCTGATGAGTCTGCGCTTGTGAATCCATCTCATGTTTCTGAAGCCTCCCACACCAATGTGCAACCATCTTTCTCTCGCATGAGCAGTATCAACTTCTGCTCTGGTCGGTGAAAGCAATACTTGGACGCCATGTGTACCCACAGCGAAAAGCAAGACGGCAAACGCATTGACGAGCAAGTGTGCATAGGCCACTGTTCTTGAAACCTCTGAGCAGAGACCGCTGAAAACTTCTGCCACACCGTGAGCGATGTGCGTGTTGCTGTGTATCCAAATCAGGAACGCAATATACGCGATGAGTGTAAAACTGGCGAAGGTGGTGTTGATGATCAGGACGGTGCGCCAGGTTGGGTGCCTGCGGGGTCCCGAACCACTACTGATGAGTCTTTCGTGACCATCATCCATCGTGATAGATTGCGAGGCTGGTAGAAGCTCTGGGATTGCCGCCGCTGATGGCACAGAAGAAATCGCATGAAGGCCGTCGCACTTGGTCGTGGGCAGAGAGCAGAAGTCACGTTCATGTTCGTAGAGAAATTGGGCTTACAAAGGTACTTGGGCGAACAGCAAGCGGCTGAGTAGGATCATGCTGGGACTGTACAAAGGTTGCACCATGATGATTGGACGCCTTGCCGCCAAGGTATGGCTATGAGATGTTACATGCAAGCCACTCATTGCAGACATCGAATGCAGAAGGTGGGAACAGGACACGACTCGGAGGTGGTTCACATCTCGTGTTCGTCTTCAGCTTCTTGCCGAGTGTGTTGTGGTTTTGAACAAGGCAGGAAGACCGCAGGCAGACCTCAGGCTGTCCATTTCGGGACCGGACCGTGCTTGACCGTTGTCCACACTGCGATGACGCGATGACACGTTGCCAACGCGTGTCAAACGCCGCCAGACTCGACCAAAATTGCATCGGAGCACGACTGATCACTCTACTCGAGTCGCAACCAACAAACATCAGACGCCATGTATTGGCCGTCAATACAAGTCATCAATAGTCTATCTGCTTCTGCAGAAAGATGACGATGTGTCGCCAGATGCCGCTTCAACCGATGTGCTGTCGGCTCGGTTGGTCGATTCTCCTTAGAGTTTCCCCGCCACGAGTGATCGACTCGTTCATACCAGGTTGCGGAGAGGGGTTGGGGTGGAGTCGCGGATTTTATCCAAGAGCCGAATCTCGTGCTGAGATGCCAGAAGCAAAAGTCTAAGTATAAAGGCAGGTTGGTTTTACATCAAAGCCTCTCTTCTTGACTTCTAGTACACTCACCGCCAAGATGCATGTTACTTCCTTACTTACAGTTGCATCTCTCTCTACTGGATCTTTGGCATGGCCGAAGTATGTTTCGCAACAAGATGAGATGTCTGTGCAGACTTCATCCGGTCTCGTTCATGGAATCAAGGACTCGAAATATCCCAACGTTCGTCAGTTCTTGGGCATTCCATTCGCACAACCTCCTACTGGGTCGCTCCGTTTTGAGCCTCCTCAAGCACTTCCTGCGTCTGCCGCAAAGAAGGTGGTCAACAATACTCAATTGCCTCCCAGTTGCATGCAGTATCTCAACACAGAAAGCCCTGGAGTCTACGTTGACCAAATCCTCGAATTTGGTCTGCAAGGCTTGAACCGCACAGGCTCAATCAGCGAAGACTGCTTGACACTTAGTGTCTGGACACCTACTTCCAACAACAATCAATCATGTCGTAGTAATGAATTACTGCCGGTCGAGATCTGGATATACGGTGGCGGCTTCAGTACTGGAGGACAGGACGTCCCTTACCAAATTCCAAGCCAATGGGTTGAGCGAACGCAGGACCACATTGTTGTGTCTATCAACTACCGCGTCAACATCTTCGGCTTCCCTAATGCTGCAGGACTAAGTGACCACAATGTTGGCTTGCTCGATCAGAGGGCAGCAGTCGAATGGGTCCGCGACAACATTGTCAGATTCGGGGGTGATCCCTCTCGCATGCTGCTCTGGGGTCAATCCGCCGGCTCGATCAGCGTAGACTACTACAACTATGCTTACCCCAAGGACCCCATCGTCAGTGCCTTCTCAATGGACTCTGGTACCGCTTTCTCTGTCATCCAGTCCGTTGACACGCAACACACAAACTTCACATTTGTAGCCTCTCAACTCGGTTGTGCAAACTCTTCCTCTCCTGAAGCAGAACTGGCATGTGTTCGAAAGGTCCCTGCTAAGGACATTGAGGACTCTGTCGCGAACTACCAGATCAATGGCACCTCACCAGGAATCTCTTTCCTCCCTATCCCCGACGGAAAAGTCGTCTTCAGCAACTACACTTCCCGCGCTCTCGCCGGCAACCAAGCGAATATACCTGCTATCATCGGCACGAATGCTCAAGATGGTGTGCCGTTCGCTCCCTACAGTCCATCCGGTCCGAACGCCACTCTCGCACAGCTCGCTCTCCTCCGCACTTTCTTCTGTCCTGCCACTGAGAGCATCCGTCTACGTCAACTGACCAACCGCCCAACCTATCGCTATGTGTACTCTGGCAATTTCTCGAACATCGCTCCTGCGCCTTGGTTGGGTGCTTATCACTCCTCGGAACTGCCATTGCTGTTTGGCACCTACGACAACTTCAGAGGTGCGGGACCGGCATTGGAGGGACAGACTAGTGTGGCAATGCAGGATGCTTGGGTTGCGTTCACCAAAGATGGAATGCAAGGTATTGAGAGCACTGGATGGCAAGAGTATGAGGTGTTGGGAGAGAACACTGTGAGGGACTTTGGTGACGGTGTTGCGGTCAAGGATACAGATCTCAAGTACTTGGAAGGTCTTTGTGATGGTTCGATGCCGAATTACTCTGCTTGAAATCTGTATTCAAGGAAACATGTATATAATGCTGCGCTATATGACAACCGGAATGAGTAATATTTTCGCTTTTGATATATCCTGTCACCTTTGGATCAGAGTCTACTCTGCACCATCTCCTCCTTCTGCACAGGGTTTCGAACCTTCTGTACACTCTGCTTGTCCTCTTTCAAACACCCCTCCACAACCTCCGCAACAGCCAGCAATCTCTCCTCCCTCAGTCTCTTACCCACCAACTGTAAATTCACCGGTGCATCTTTATACTTGCCCGCTCCCCCTTCGTCCCAGAACTTGCGGTACATGGCATCCTTCTCCCCTTGCACCGGCACAGTCCCCTCTTCCCATGTATCTGTCTCCCTCACCTCCGTCACCGGAAACACCACGCCAGGCAAATCAGTAGCGTTAAACACAGCAGTGTAACCCCAATACTTACTCTCGTCGTGCGCAGAAGCACAACTAGCGTTTACAGGACATAACAGCGCATCTATGCCTGCTTCCTTCCACTGCAACGAAAATGCCGTGCGCAATTTATCCCTTGTGGAGTTTAATGTCCAGGTTTCTTCAATGGTGTGGCGGGTATTGGCTTCGGAGTCGAGAAGCCATTGGATTATAGGGACGGGAGGGTCGCTTTCTTGCAGGAGGGTGGACTTGTACTCGTCGCCGCCGTCGAGGAAGTAAGCTTTGTTTATCCAGGAGAGGAGGGAAGCGTGATGTTGAGGATTCCATTCCACAATCTCATGTCCTGCTGCGCGGAGCTTTGCGACCGTGTGACGTAAAGCGCGAGTGATGGGTGGATGAGGCAACACAGCACAGTCATTGAACATAACCCCTATCCTAAGTCTTTTAGGCAAGTCCGCAGCAGTAGTATTCCGCCATGGAATATCAATCAAACTAGGTTCTTCATCCCAAGGTTCCTTCGCCAACGCCACCGAGCAGAACAACCTCAAATCAGCCAGCGAATTGGCCATGGGACCCACACAGCCGATTATATTCTCCATACCTGCGTGCAGGCCGCTAAGTCCTGAATGGGGGATTCGCGCTACCGAGGCTTTCAAGCCCCAGCCGCCGCAGAAACCAGAGGGCCCGCGGATGGAGCCGCCGATATCCGTGCCGATTCCTAGTGGAGAGCCGCGCATGGCTACGAGTGCGGATTCGCCGCCCGAGCTGCCGCCTGAGGTGAGGGAAGTGTTGAAGGGGTTGGACGTGCGGCCGAAGAGGTTGGAGTGTGTTTCCAACGCCATGAGGGTTTGTGGGTTGGTGGTCTTGACGTGGAAGACCGCGCCTGCTTGTCGGAAGATCTTGCAGATGAGAGCGTCGTGGGGGCTGGGAGCGTCCGCCCAGGAAATGAGTCCGGAAGTCGCAGGTGTGTTTGCGAGATAGATATGTTCCTTGACCGAGATGGGTAGGCCGTGGAGTGGACCAATAGGTTTACCGTGCTTTTCCATATAGGCGTCCAGTTTCTTCGCCTCTTCCAGAGCAGAGTCGAACATGATCAATGCCAGGCAATTAGTAGCTTGATGAGCCAAAGCAGCGCGTTTGCAAAAGGCCAGAGTCACTTGGTAAGACGTCCATTTCCTTGCACGGATTCGAGAGAGAATGTCCACGGCGCGAGATTCGGTGATGAAGAGCTCTTCTTTCGACATGATATGTGGGCATTTCTTGGGTAGATCTGTCAAATTGTGGCCGACGAGGAGGGACTTGTCGACGATCCATGCTGACGGTATAGCATCGTAGATTTCCTTTTGCTTTCTGGCGGCGATACTTTGCCATGAGAGTGGTTGAGCTGCAGCCATGGTGTCCAAAGCCAATGACTGAGAAAACCAAACGAGTAAATATACAAAAAAGCAAGCAAATGCGTTAATAGCAAGAAGAACCCCCAACCACTGGCAACCCAACCCTTATATATCCCAAACCATCCTCCCGGCAAACATACCCCCGTCGCGCGCCCTGCCGGGAAACTCAACCACGCTTCCACCATACTCTTATCGCACGAACCGACGTCGGAAACCTCACCACAGTAGGAAATAATGTGGAGCGGTGAATGCGCTGGCCTAACGTTTGGCGAAAAACGATACGCGAGCCGAAGTCCTCGGTTCGCGCTGCCGTTTCGAGCAGATTGGGCACAAAATCATCTGATAAGACCACTTGGGCGGATCAGATAAAAGGTTGCTTTGACTTCATGTCCATCTCTGCTGCAGTGCACAGCGAAGAATGTACACGTCAAAATACACAATGGTTTTTAGATTTCTTGGAATGTCCAGTGAGAGCCCGATTCTCAATATCATATTTCGCACTCTCATTGGACATACCATATAATTCCAAAAATATCTTGCACTTTTACAGGCAGAAAACAGGGGATGTATGGGTAGCAGAGATGCTGAATGTTCTGAATTCCAGGGGCGGACATTTTTCGTGTTTTTGAGCTCCCGGTGGCAAGATGGAGACGTTGAAATGCTTGTAAGAATGCACGATGGTTTTGTGATTTCTCAAAACGTCCAGTGAGAGTGTGGATTATTTCGACTCTCACTGGACATTCTTTTGAACCACAAAAACTTGGTGCATTTTGACAGCGACAAGAATTAGTATCATAGGCGGCGGAGATGGCGTTATATATACAAGTCACATTCCAAGCAAGGGGAACATAAAAGCAAGGGGGGCACAACTTCAATCATTCATTCATCAAAAAGAGCTAAAATGCTCTAAAAGAACCTAAGAACTCCTTTTTTCCTGACCATTCCTTCTCCTTAGATATCGTGGACGATAGGGGCGAGCTCGCCGTCGTCGACGGGAACTTGGTGGATGTCGGCCTCGGTGTCGGAGGGGACGGTGTCGCCAAAGGAGGCGGCGTTAGAGGCAGCGTCAGAGACGGAGCGGGTCTCGACACCCTCGAGGACCTCGTCCTCGCCCTTGACACGCTTGACTTCGAAATCGTCAAGGTCGGAGGGGACCTGGGTGGCGGCGCGCTTGACACCGTGGGCGGGGCCGGCGACATCCTAAGGGGCGGATTAGTATATGTGCATTTTCAAAAGGGTGAACGCGTTAGGTACCTCGTCGTCGACGCTGGTGGCGGCCATAATCATGGCGGAGACGGAGGCGAGGTCTGCCTCGGGGGTGGAATCTCTCTTGACAGCGCGGCCCTTTCCAATGGGCTTGATGACATCCTCATCAGAGTCCTCGGACATCTGGACGTCCAGCTTGTTAGTTCTGGCTGAAGCACGGGTGGCACGGCCGATCGAAGGACGAGCAGCAGTCTTAGCCTTCACGGCGGCATGCTTCTTGGCGATAACTCTGGAAGGTCTGCCAGAGGCAGTAGGCTTGGTAGGGGCAATCTCATCGGTCTCGTCGTCATCCTCGGAATCAGACTCAGCCTTAACGAGAACAGCCTTCTTGCCACGGCTCTTCTTCACAGGAGAAGAGGGAGCGGCAGAATCCTCAGCGTCGGCCTCATCAGCCTCGGCGGTGCTGCTAACAGACTTGATCTTGGCCTTGAGCTTGTGGTAGGCAGTGTTTGTGGAAGCCTTGGTCTTGTAACCGGCCATGCTGAAGAGCTTGTCCATGTCAACCTTGAATGAGAGTCAGCATACGATCAGGCCACATTGTGCGCAGAATCGGAGGGCAATGGGATGTTAAGAAGAGGGCAGAGATCATTGGATTGAAGAAGAGAGAAGGGAAAGGATGTCAAGACTTGTTGTGCGCATGAGATCGTAGAAGAACGAGACGGCGGAAACGGACCCAGGGCCGGATTGAAAAGAGCAGGAAGACATATGGAATGAACTTACGTCAGGAACGGACTTCATACATTGCCAGACCTGGCCGAGGAAGACCAGCTCGCGTTCGTTAAGAGTGGTGGACATGACTGTGAGTGTGGCGGGTTGATACTGGACGTGTATTGTTGATGAAGCGTAAAAAGTACGATGCGGAACGATGTGTATAGAAAACGGGTGTGTGGTTGGTGTGTGAGAAGTACGAATGATTTGAGAACGCGCTAAGAAGAGTTGTGATCAAGTACGAAGCCGTAATGAAGTACGAGATCGATATTGACAGTGAAAGGTCATGGTAGGTTCCGGCGTTGTTGTGACGAACAACCTCGCTGTCGATATCACGCGCCTTGACTCGCGGAACCAATAGGGAGGCGACGTTGTGCCAGGCGGTGGTATAGGCGTGGCCTCAGAGCATCACTTGGCGATGCTTGCTCTCAGCGGTGATGCTCATCACTTTTTTCACCACCGACAGCACGCGATGACTTATGCTGATGCACACCAGTGACAGTAATGCCTAAGGCCGTCGTTCCTAAGAACGAATCCTTGCTCTCAGTGGTGATGCTTGATACTTTGTCACTGCCGACGGCTTTCGATGGTGTATGCTGATATTGACATTGACGAGGGAAGACCATCACTCCAGATAACCAACTGATACTTGCTCCCAGAGGTGATACTAGTTCTTTGCTGTCACTGCAGACTATGATACCTGTGATGCTCAAAAAGTCACTTTGATATGCCAGCCATTGACAAGAGTATTGGCCACAGCGGTGAAGCTCAATATTTCCTGTCACTGCCAACGGTACTCTTCGACATTCTTTGATGTGCCAGACATTGATGAGGGTGTCCGCCTCAAAGGACATTGCTTGCTCTCAGCGACGAAGCCCAATGCTTGCTGCCACTGCCGCCGGTATTCTCGACTTTGTCCTCAAAGCGATGGCATGTATTGATGTGCTGAGGAAACGGTGAAGCTATTGACCTGGAAGAACACCACTTCAGCAATGCTTGCTATCAATGGTCGATCTCAGTGCTTCCTACCACTGCCGCCGACACTCGCGACTTTGTCTTCCTGGCGATAAAGTTTGTTGATATGCTCAGACAATGGTAAAGTCGGTGACTTCGAAGGCCACCACTCCGGAGATGCTTGTTTTGAGCGGTGATGCCCGTTCCCCGCCGACGGTCTCCGCGAGATCTTGATGTCCCGGCGGTGACACACGTGGATATGCTAGGCATCGATGGAGACGTTGACCTCGAAGACCGTTGCTATTCGGGGGGCCCTTGCTATTCGGGGGGCCCTTGCTTTCTCTCTTCAGCGATGCTCGTTGCTTGTTGCCACTGCCAACGCCACTCACGACTTGCTCTTTCGCCGATTATGCATGTCTCCAGCATTGTAAGAACTGCCATTGAGCTCTGTACCAAGTGCAGATGTAGCGATACCGAGCGGTAGTTAATAGCGAGCACACAAAAGACTGTGTGCCAGTAGCATCACTTTTCCGTGATCCTGAGGATGATGTAGCATACGTCTAGCATCATTGTCTTTGCCGTGAAGCTGAGCTTCGCATGTGTAGACGTTGTGATGTAGGGACAAGCTTGACATTGACAGTTCAACATGCTTCGTTCTGCCAGGTGGTGTTTGGTGCAGAATGCATGACTGTGTACCTCGGCAGAAGCCAAGAGACTTTGGGAGCCAGCAGCAATATGGTTGTCATGGTTGTCTTTTCATGGTACTTCTGGCCGAGATATCTCAAGAGGCAAGGTCACTCTCTGCTCGCATCACTGGCATGTGGCATGTGGCATGTGCGCTCAGGCACATGCGCTGAAGCAATGAGTGCGAAGACCCTGCGTGGTTTGACATGTGTTCAAGGGCCAAGCAATTCGTCGTACGCAGAGGCTTCGAATGAAAGCATTTGGACGTTGCGGATGTAGGTTGAGGTATTCTTTGCACACATTGGATTCAAGCCAAAGCACGTCTTGTAGAGGAAGCCGTGTATGAAAGCCTGTCGAGAGTAGGAAAAGATGTGTAGTGGGAAAGGAAAGCAATGGCAAGCAAAAAATGTTGACAAAGAACCTAGAGTTAGTAGGAATTCAAGATAGACAAAGAGAAGGCCCATAGGGTTTAATCATAAATGAGTTTGCAATTCTTTTTTTTTGAAGCTCATAAAGGGAAGAAAAGGAAGCTACAACCTTGGACATACACGGGTTGGGCGGATCCTTCGTAGCGCCTTCCTTTGCGCCATTCGCCAGGCTTGATGCGACAAAGCATGTCTTGACCCTGCCTGCGCCTTTTGGTGATTCCCTGCTCGCGCAAATGTTGGACATAATTTGTGTGGTTGGCGTTCCAGCCGAATGCTTCTTTCAAGACAGATTGTCGTCGAATCGATGTCGCGTCCAATCGTTGGTAATTCTTGATTTGGTTCCGGTCGATTGGTTGATCAGAAACCTCTGCCGCCACGGCCTCTTCCACGGCCACCTCCGCGACCACCGCCGCCCATACCGCGTCCTCTGCCGCCACCTCTTGCACCACGGGCACCTCTGTCTGCAGCTTCCTTGCGGGCCTTGTTCTTGGGCTTGGGGGCGTCATCGATCAAGAGAGTATCCAGAGGTAGCGAATCGGGCAGAATGTAGTAACGGATGGTAGCGCCGCGGATGTTCATGGAGTCCAGAGCGATGGTGTCGCGACCCTTGGGAGTCATCTTGACTGTTCGCAGTGCTGTGTTCATTTGTGGGGAGACTGATGCGATGGTTCCGTGGACAATTGTGCCTGCCATAATGTGTTAGCAGCTGGTATGCATCTGCGCGACTCAGGGAGACATACCATTCTTGAGCTCGATAGTCACCGTCTCATTCTGGCACTTCATCAAAAACCTAGGATGGAGGTTAGCTGTTTGCGACTTGCTCAACAAGCACATCGACAAGCGACGGCGGAACAGTAGCTCACCTGACGAGCTTCATATTGGGCGCACTGGTTCAGTCAAGAAATGCGCGCTTGTTGTGAGTTGTATGGACAAAGTGTGTTGATTCTCAATGCTGCCTGCTGTCGCGTTCGCGGTCGTTCTCAACTCGGCAACTTGCGCTGTGACGCTCCTTCCTCGCCCGGCTTCTTGGCACTGTCTTCGCGAATGAATCACGTGGTGTCTTCATAAACGATCAAGCATCAACGCATTCTCCTTGAACTCAGGCACGAAACAGAATAACATGAAGTGAATGCTTTATTTGTGGTGATCCAAGGGCAGACATGAGTATAGCCGCCCTTGTTGCTCAGTACAGGTATGCTATCTAATCGTGTGAAAAAGACCACCGGAGTAGATGCCGAGAAGAACTTGACAATTCAATAATTGAAAAGCTACGAAAAGGAGATGACAAGGTGTTGAATACTCTGTCATGCGATTGCTCTCGAGTTGGGTATATCAGGAATGCAACAAAGCCAAAACTCCAATCAGACCAGTCCATGCCAAATGCAACAAATAATCAAATCATTCCTCATCAACCTTGATCCACTCGCTGTCGGTGCCAAAGTCGTTGGAGGAGGCACTCAGATCGCTGGGAGCCTTGCGGTATCTGCTCTCACCTTCCGAAGGCTGCAGACCAGTCGTACCAGCCGTAGTCGTGGAAGCCGAGACACTCTTAACCTCGTCGAGAATTTGTGATTTGATCTGTTCGTCTTTTGCGGAGGGCTGGAAGTCGAGTTCGGCGTGTGAGACCTTGACCTTAACACCGGGAGCAGTCTCTACCTCGGTCTCGGTGGCCTCGTCGTCGGCGACGTCGCCAGGCTGTGAGACGGGCTTCTTTGGCGTGCTGCCTCCTGATCTAGACTTTCTGATGCGCTCTGCCTCTGCCTCCTTTTGCTGAGCCTGCTGCAACTCGTAGGCAAACCAGTTGATGGCCCACCAGAGACCGGCGCACAAGGTACTGAGAATGACAAAGTGGATGCTGTAGGTGAGGGCGAGAAGGGCGGCAAGGGTGAGCTGGAGGGCAGCAAAGGTGATGTTGGTGGCTAAGAGGAGAGTAGGAGTGGCGCCGGGTGTGAAGACGGCGTCCCAAAGGTTGACCATAAAGTCGGCCATGGTGAAGCGGTGTATGCGATTGTCGTAGGAGGAATGGCGGGGATCCTCTGACGAGAATACGAAGGTTCGGATGAGGTAGGTTCGTTCGTTTGGATTTCTTTGGGGTCGGAGTAGACTTTTGGACGCAGGTGGAGGAGAGTCAGGCTCGTTTGACAGGCAAGGCGCCTGCTGGATAGTCCAGGTGAGCGATTAGCAGATAGTTGCAATACGGAGAGGGGGACAAAGATCAATCATCAACCATCATCAATCATGCATCCCCATGTTTCGCGGAGATGGCCGGTGCTCGTGACCACGATATTCCCGCATCCTCCGACACCATCACCCACCGCCTTTAGCACTACTCAAACGCTCTAACATCGGAAAGGCGTTTGACGTCTCAGCTGCTCCGCCTGTCCGCCTGTTGCAAAACGGGATCCTGACTTGGCTCGTCCCGCGTACCTCGCAGAGCAATCACTTCTGCTACGCCGCGCCTACACGTCTAGCACTAATCTCGGCCCTTATGGTGGGGGAGTTTTCAACATATCATTCCCATCATGGCCCAGTTGGCCGTCAACGCCTTTCTAGACTCAAAAGGTCTTTCTGCTACACATGCATGGATTGAGTCTTTTGTAAATTCCAGCCGTCAAGGAACTCCTACACCAGCTTTGCAAAAGACGGCTCTATTCCGCATACTCGCTTCGGATCTCACATCATCAATCAAGGCCTCTCCAAACAACACCTTCCCGCCAAACGCCCTCAACCCCACCGTCAAGGAACTTCGTGTCCCGGATGCTATTCCTGTCCAGGTACTGGATATCGAGGATATAGGACGTAGTGCTTGGAGCCAGGTTGAAGCCATCGAAGCCCAGGAGCGCGGTGAGACGACTAAAGGAAGAGAAGTCATCCGCGTTGTACCTGACGAAGAGGCCGACCCGACCCGTGATGGTACCGCTCCCATATCCAAGAGCAACGGTCCTCACAAACTACTTCTACAGGACGCCAAGGGTACCAAAATCTATGGCTTCGAAATCACTGATGTTGATGGTATTGATTTGAATCTGGGTATCGGCGCTAAGATCATCTTGAAGAACATGACCATCGCTAGAGGTGTCGTCTTGCTTGATCCCAATAACACCCAACTACTCGGCGGAAAGGTCGAAGTCTGGGACAAAGCCTGGAGATCGGGCAGAAAGGAACGGTTGAAATCCAAGGTTGGTCCAAGAGAAGAGGAGGAGCTTTGAAGATCCCGATTGCTCGTCAAACCTTTCAAACCCTCGACTCGACCTCCTTACTCCCTTCAGATGAAGCACACGACTACCAAACTTCCCTACCGCATAGATGGATTCCTCGCGACCTACGATAGTCACAAGCCTCACGTCCAGCACGATTTGCGGCTGATGAATGCGTATACGCAGTAGACAGGGGTATCATAAGGTCATTTTCTAGTTTTGCTTTGAAGGATCCTGGCCAGTGGCAGCCTGGAACTCCGGGTCGTTCTCTTCCAACTCTTGCTTCCTGATAGCTTGCATGAGCTCGTACATTTGTGCAATTTGCTCGTCTGTCGAAACCGTCAGTACAACGATCGTACTCCCAAAGAAGAATCAAAGTCGAATACACACCGCTCATCTTGTCAATCTTTGCCTTGTCCATCTTTTCTCCCCTCCACTTTTCGCCCTCGATCTGTTGTGCATAGCCTTGCCATTCTGTGAGGAAACCGATCTATCGCCCTCTCGGTCAGTCCCATTGCTCTTTTCTTGCTTGGACCTCCTCTTCTCCGTGCAGCAGTGCGCTTACAATGTGAATGGGATTCTCAACATCCCTGTGTGCCCTAAACTCGCTCTTGATATACTCATCACCCAACACACGCATCTCCGGAGGCAAGTGTTTGCGATGACCACGGAGTAGTCGACGATACAGCGGAATTGGCGGGAGGAGGGCGTGGGGAACGACACCCAGGCCGCCAGATGGCGTGCCTACGGTGCTGGCTTTTGCTAGGAGACGTGAAGCTGCGCGCATTTTAATTTATTGTTCAACACAGAGTTGTGGATTAACAGAATAGTTCGAAGCAGCTGCGACGAATACAAGAATGGTTGCGTCACTGAGACCCTTGGTCTTCTGCCTCGGCATTCGCCGATCGCTGCATTGCGCTCCGCAAAAGACACCCCCGAAGCTTTTGACTTGCGATTGTTTCATTGCTGGTTAGCGGAAACACAGCAGAGACGATGTTGCCCACGCCGGATACATCGCATGTCGACTACGATCAAATCTACGAGCCCGCCGAAGACTCATACCTCCTCCTCGACACCCTGTCCTCCGCCTCCGAAACCGCATTCCTACATTCGCATTTCCGCGCCGGTCATGCACCTCTAGTCGTCGAAGTGGGCACTGGCAGTGGAGTTGTTCTGGCCTTCCTGGCTGCCAATGCCTCTGCTATATTCGATCGCTCCATCTGTACTCTCGGCACAGATCTCAATCGGCGGGCATGCATCGCTGCTTCGGAGACAGTAAGAAAGGCTTGTGGGAAGGAAGTCAAGAGCTCGTTTGCGAATGTGGTCAATGGCGATTTGACTTCTGCGATCAAAGATGGGCAGGTGGATGTATTGGTGTTCAACCCACCATACGTGCCTGCTGAGCTGCCGGACTTGAGTCTGCATGCCAAGTACAATACCGCTGATGGTTTGACTTCGTCCGAAGCCTTTGATCGGGATTCGCATTTGTTGGCGCTGAGTTATGCGGGTGGTGTGGATGGAATGGAAGTCACGGATCGTCTTCTGGATGAGGTGCCTAGGGTGTTGAGTCAAAGGGGTGTTGCGTATGTGCTGTTTTGCGCTCAGAACAAGCCAGAGGAAATCAAGAGGAGGATCAGACAATGGCCTGGCGGATGGGATGCCGAGACCGTGGGAAGTTCAGGCAAGAAGGCAGGATGGGAGAAGTTGTGCATCGTCAGGATCATGAGGACGACGGCAACAGATTGAATGAGAAGGAGAAGGAAGTCAAAGATTGGAAAAACATCTATACATCCTGGTTGCCCATTCACCACCCACAACGCCATACCGACACCCAGAGTCGCTACTCAAATCGACAAATTCGCACAAGCGAACGCCGGACGAGTGCTACCGCTGTAATCGTCAATTATGGCCTCCACAGCAGCATACAACCCCGGTCCCAAAAGGAACAAGCCACAAATCATGACAAACACATGAACGACAGTCATGACGCTTCTTCCAGCACCAGCAAACAGCTTGCCACTGTACAATTGCCAGTACGCAACAGCAAAGAAGATGAAGCCAAAGAAGGAGTCGAAAGCGGCGCCGAGGAGGGACAGGAAATCGCCCATGCTGGGGATGATCTCGGAGAAGATGAAGGCGACGAACCAGATGCAAGCCATGACTGCAACCCACACGCCCCAACCGATAACAGTGTTACTGTGTGCATGGCGCGACTTGCCCATGATACGGTGGTACACGAACTTGGCCGAAACATTGGCGTAAATCTTTTGCACCTCAAAGTCAGCAAACGCTCAAAGTCTTTCTCATCACCAGGGTGTCAAAACTTACCACACCAATAACAAGCGTAGGCACAATGACAAACGCAAAGCTCGCCTTCTTGTAAACCACAACTCCCAAACTACCAAAAGCAGGAGCGGTAGCATATTGTCCAAGATACCTGAATCCAATAGCCGGAGGCACAATAAACAAGAATCCAGAGATTCCAGCCAGCACGGTCAGCGCCTTTGGGAAATCCTGAGGCCGCTCCATCTCAGCGATGAAAGAAGGGAACAGAATCTGCGGCACCCAGAGGAACGTAATGTTCAAAACCTGATTCCTCACCATCAGTATTTCATTCTTTCACCAAGCAAAAAGTTTGTGGATGGGGGAACGATCAGACTTACAGCATTCATGCAAGCGACCCAAGTGGTTCCAGCAGGAGGGAAAGCATAAGTCTTGACAGGACCAGCCTTGGGATAAACCCCAGAATACCCATACCCAGGCGCATCCTCGATGCCGACAAAAACGAGGAAAAGCAGAATGGCAATGCCCATACACGCGGCACTGAACATACTCATAAAAGAAACATGTTTCAACGTCCTCGGCACACTCATCACAATCCCCATAACCGTGACAATGACCGAAAAGATGACGGTACACATACTGTGATCACTCAACGTGTTCAAAATCTTGGCTCCGGTCAAGACATGAAACCCAATGAGCAAGATATTATTCGCCAGCAGCATGAATCCGGTAAACTCGTAAGCGATCCTGGATTTGCCGAAAGCGTAGTAGCCGAAGTCGCAAATATCTTTGATTTGAGGATTCTTCATGATGAATTTGTGCATGGTGAGGGAGGTGATGTAGAAGAGGATGCCGGAAATGAGCATGGTGATTATGCCGGGGACCCAGCCGAGGACGGATAGAGACCAGGATTGTGCCATTATGGCCAGGCAGACTTGGTCGCCGCAGAGGAGCCAGGCGGCTTTTTGCCAGGACATTGTGCGTAGTTGGATTTCGTGGGTGTGGTCTGTGTAGAGGACATTGTTAGTTTGGGATCAGGGAAGGAGATTGGTGTATGGTGGACAGGAAGGTGAGAGGTATGGGGTTGGAAGGGTGATGAGGTATACCTTCATTCACCAAAGCGGTGATCGTATCGATAGAGGAAGCACCATCGCTGGGCACATCCTTGACATCGTGGATAGTGGCATCATACACCTGCTTCTCCTCTACATCCACATCGCGTGCGTGGTGTGTAGCCGACATCTTTTATTCCTCAAGTCCAGTATCCAAAAAGATCAACGAAGGAAAGATATGGAAGTAAATTCAAGAGAACGAAAAAGATCTACAAAACCACAGCACATGCAGGGAAAACAGCCGATCATATATCCCTGCCCATCTCCTCTAGCCAATTCCAGACCATTTCACTTTTCTGTGCTTATCCGAGTATTTGGGATTGATAAGAGTTTTGGGGGCGATATGCAACCTATGGCAACCGATAAATATGGCGTGCTTAGACGTGCTTGCCCAATAACACACTACTCACGAGCTTACCCACTTTACGCTCAAGGCAACTTCAGAGCCAGTGGAAAGCCACACACTCTATCTTTTGTAAGGTCTACCGTTGCTTAGAGTTCGGGGACGCCGGGGCTCGTGCTCTAGAACCGTTCCATCTGTTCAGAAAGTCTTGGATGGAAGACAAGCCAATTTTTTTAAGCCTCGGATAGATCTTGGGAGGGTGTGCCGCACCTGACTTTCAGAATGCTTCATGCTTCTTGGGATCTTGGGGGGTCGGTGGCTTGCGTTGCGTGCTGCAAGTCAGAAAAATGGGGGGCGCATATCTGCACACTCGACACCTGAAAGCTTCCCATCCAAAAGCCATCTTACCTTTTGCTCCAAGTTCTCGTGCGAGGGGGGGAAAAGAAACAAAAAAAAGAACAGTTGATAAAAGATCGCAATGGATGCACACTTTCTTCCAGATTTTGATCACGACTTGTTTTGGGAGGGGATACGACAACAACACGGGCAAACCAGAAAACGAATATTCCAAAAAAGCACTGGCTTCGATGAGAACCTTGATGGTTTGGAGATGAGGGCGAAAAACGTGGGCAGGGCAGCAGCGGGATGGGACAGAGAGTTCTTTGGTTGGAAAAGTCCTGCCTCGGGAACGCACTACTGCACTCCACCCGTTCGGTTTGCCGCCCGCATTCTACTCACACCGTTTTCCGCGGTTCGCGCCTCGTTAGTTCTTTCCTATTGTTCTGCGTGCGAAAGCGGTGAAGTGCTGCGATGCGGGAACAGAAACAGAAACAGATCAAATACCATGGTGGCAGTGACATGTCACTAAGAAAAGACGATTGACGATGACGGAGAAGTTTTGAAAAGGATGATAATCGTTAAAATTCGTGATGATGTATAGACAACAAAGAAGCGCCAAAGAAGAAAAGAACAAGAACAAGAGAAAAATGATACTCGACAATCACAACAAGAAAAGTAGTTCCTCGCCCAAAAGGCATAGCCATCAATCGGCTAGCCAAAGGTATCCTTTCAAACTCCCGATCAAAGTACAATAGTGTTTTGTTTCTCAAATCACCATCCACCCATAATTCTTCTGTCAGAGTTATTGTTCAAGATGCCTGCAGTGGCTCTTCTGACACCCCCTCCACGGGCCAAAGATTGGAAAACCAACACATCTCTTTCCAAAGTCTCAATACGGCGGTCCAATAGAGAGCGCCAGGCTCTCTGTAGAGTGACTGCGGCTTCCACTTCTCTCTGCTTGGCTGCTGCGACTTGAGCGCAGTCGGCTGCGGCGATCATCTTCTGCACGCGCAGAGAGATGGTACGGCGAGCAAGACGAAGACGATAAAAGTGTTGAATAGTACAAGCGGCTCTGTGAGTGCGAGCAAGAGGTAGCAGGCGAGAGGCCAAAAAGGCAAGAAGGGCGATCGTGTTACTGCGGCTTGGGATGGTAGTGGTATGTGTAGCGAAGAGAGTGATGAAGGACTCGCTGCATCCAAGGTTGCGAAGTCTGTCTGCTGTCGACATCTTGTTTGACGACTTCTTCACCGTGGTGGGAACATAGTCGGCGTATGTGGAGATGATTGCTGCAAGTGCACGACCATCCGCGAAGGAGGTTGTCAGATTAGTGACAATGACCTTGCGCTGCTGGCAGACACTGGCAGCCCATTCCTTCAATAGAGGGCCTTGCTCATTTGAGTCGGGGTCTTCCTCGCTCAAGGCGTAGTTGATTCCAATAGGCTGAGTTGAGTGTTTGGCGAAGCGGAGAGTCTCCTTCTTCAGCTCATCCCAATTTACCAGAAATCCGAGTCCCCACTTGCTAACCAATGCCCAAAGCAGACTCAAAGTCTTCTCTCTGTGGCCATTCACGACATCCTCAGCCTTGATAGACTCGATCGCAGTACCGGCAAGGCCACGAACTCCAGCCAGAGCACTCAACGCAACTTGAACGTTATGCATCTTTTGTGTCTTGCTGATGCAGGGGAATTTGAGATGTTGGCTCAAGATACGAGCACTTTCATTGGTGTCCAAAGAGCTGGTGATTGTTTCGCCATCCAGGAGATCAAGAGTGATGGTGCGATCAGTTTGCATGTCCAACATCTGGGAAGGATACAAAAGGAGTTCGACAAAGTGTGTAAGTAAGACGCCATCGCGAAGATCGACAGCGAGATTATCGATGCGATAAGTGTATTCTTCCAGGGGGTCCTGCTGATGACGGAGCGAATATCCAAGGTGTCCAAGAGGACGGGCAATATCTCCGACAGATGGAACCATAAGCCTTGCAAATGCTCGGAGGACACTGAGAGATGATTTGTGTGGTGAAGATGTCTGAAACAAGCAGGCAGAGAGCTTACCAGTACTCTTCGCCTGGTCGAGTAGGTAAACAAGCATGAGCCCTCTCAGTACGGTCCTTTGCCAGAACCATTCGGGTGTGCCAGGTTGAAGAGTAGCATCTTCGATAGATTTGACACCATGAGAAGCCAGAAGTTCAGCAGAGTCCTCGTGATCGACGAAGAATGTCGAGCAGAAACGTTTCCATTCCTTGACTCCAGTCGAGGTCGATGCGCCAGTCTTTGATTGCACAGCGTCGATAGCTGGAGAGACACGGCCAACGACCACCTCAGCAGCAGCCTGCAGAGCTTCTGGGTGATAGGTGTTACCGAAAAGGTCGAAGAACTGACGGCGCAGGCCAATGTCGTCTCTGAGCTTCGGGGAGTGAGGTGCGTCCTTAGGCATGCTGAGAGCACCACACGAGAGTGAAGCTTTTAGACGTTGGTGGAGAGTGACCACAGTTGCATCGTGGTACAATGTCAGCATACGAGTGCGGAGAGCAGCCACGCCATTGGTAGCAGGAGATTCGTGAGCTTGCTGGAAGACTACATTGACGAGCTGTGTAAGAGCTGTCTCTTGATTTTGGAGCCAATTGTCCTCGTAAAGCTCAGGCTGGCCGATATCATCGTTCAATACGGGATAGCGCGATGCAGCCAGGAAGACGGAGCGTTTCACATTTGGTACATTGATATCCTTGGGTGTGGAAGCATTCACAGCGACATTCGGGGCGGATCTCGCGACAGCGTTCGTGACAGTGCTCGATGCAGGCTTGGCTACTGAGGGCTTGCTGATTGGTCTCGGAGCTGGGATCGGCTTGTGCTTGAAATCTCTGGAGAACGGATCCGTAGTTGTGGCTCGAGGCACAATCTCAGTCCGGGTGATGGATCTTTCGTGAAGAGCTCTGGCTTGGACCTTGGGCTTCGGTGCATCTTTCAGCTCAGGCGCAGATCGCTTTTTGATGCTTGTCGTCGTCATTGAAACAGGTGCTGTGTGTTGCATGGAAGATGGTGATTTTCTGGTACCCAGAGGTGCGGCTTTGGTCAACGGCTTGACGACAGCCTTTTCACCTTTGCCAGTACGAGAGAGCATCGAACCCGGGAGCAAGTTCTCCTTTCCGCCGCCGCTACCCATTACATGATGTGACACATTAGGCTGTGATGGAGCAAGAGGTTTGAGAGCGCTAAGTTTTGTTGCAGAAGCCATTCTTTGAGCTTGTCTCATGGCACTGGGTCCCAGTTTGACAGGTTGAGGAGTCTCCTTCATGGGCGTGATGTCCAGATTGCTCGAAGGCAGACCGACTGTCTCATCGCGAAGAGTGTGATCATACGCTCCAGGGTGAATGGAAAGTAGCGTAGTGTCCTCCGGAATCCAGATGGTTCGTCTTCTGTCTTCCTTGACATGGTTCGCCGTGCTGCTGGTGGGTTTGAAGTTGGCAATGTCGCTCACGCTACTTGTCGGAAGAGGTGGCGGCTTCTCATCTCTGGATGGTTGAATTCGGATCCTCTGAGCTGGTCTTGCGTGGATTGCACTGCTTCTCATCATCCTGGCAGGTTCATCGCGTTGGTAGTGCTCGCGCTGGCTGCTGCTGCCATCCTCGAAGATGGTGGTGGGAGCACGTCTGGGCTTTCTTGCCAAGTTCTGGCTCCTTCGAGGCGGCGCATTTTTGAATTCCTGTTGAACCAGATGTGCAATGTTCTGGGTGGTATTGTCGTTGAACTGGTCGTAGGCGTCGTCGAAAATGTTGTTTACTTCTTTTTGTTTACTTCCAAACGGCGACGCGACTTCGCGTCCGCCGTGGACAGGAGCTGGACAAGGTGTCCCGATTTCGTAGTTGAACATGTCGGATATAACTCAGTACTGCATTACAATGTTGGCTTTGGGATATCTGGGCGATTGGAATAGATAACCTGTGTCGGAGGTGGAGCGGGTGGTTTGCTAGGAGGTGGCTGGTGCAGCAAAATCAAGCTTGTGATGGGCGTTGTGGCGGGCAACCGCCTTGGCATTCTGTTTGCTCTGCCGCCTGCTCGACGTGCATCTTGTCATGTCCGTCCACCTTCTCCAACTCACAACTGCTGCAATGCTCGAATCGCTTCTTTGGGCACAAGCTGCTCTGTATATATGCCAATCCCGATCTTTACGGAGCTCTCAGAAGCTACATAAATGTACAAAATCACAAAGATTCAACCAATGAAATCAATGCAGACAAACCTTATGCTGCTGCATTGCTGTTGGCGTAAATAATGAGGCTAGAATAGCTTCGACATGATCCGACCTTTGACCGTGCTAGATTCCGCACCCTCAGCCTCCCGCTCACCACGGTAGTGCTCCGTCAAAGCATCAAAGAAGTCGCAGTCCGATGCGAGATCAACTTCTTTGCTGCGATGAAAGCGTGTACCTTTGACCACCTTCCAGACGATCCCAATACCACCAGCCAACGCAATGATGCCGTAATTGAAGATGAAAGTAGCCACACTCCAATTACCCTTCAGAAACACAGCATACCCTTGTACCCAGAGGAATATCGTAGCCCAGAAGAGAGCCCAGTATGCCGCATATGGCTGCCAGCGAGATAGAACAGGCAAATAAGATTGGCGGTCGACATTCTGCGCCTTTACTGCAGCGTTGAAACGAATCCATGTAGCAGACATGATCGCCCAGTTCAGCATCTGGGACGCAGTGCAGAAGTCCAAGATCCAGGAGAGCACTTTGCTGCTACCTGATCCAAGAGCAAGGAAGGCCAGACAAGACAATAGCATGACGGCGATGACAGCCATGTAGGGCACACCGTTCTTGTTCAGTCTACGCAGAAATGCTGGAGCTTGCCCGTCCAAGGCGAGGGCATGCAAACTTCGTGAAGCGTTGAACGTGTACGCATTACCAGCCGATACGATGCTGGTCAACAATGCTGCGTTCACTATCGAAGGCAGCACAGGAATTTGGAGCCGCCGCATCGAGATGACATAGGGAGATGCGCCTGCGTACGTGTCCGAGCCATTGGTAAGAGTGCTGTCGTTAGAAGGAACAAGGATGCCTACGCAAAGGGCACCGCCGATGAAGAAGACGATCAGACGACTCATTATCGTGTTGAAAGCTCGAGGGACAGTGCGACGCGGGTCTTTAGCTTCGCCAGCAACCATCGAGATGTACTCTGGTCCGGACATAACAAAGCCAGCAACATTTACCGCGTTGACAAATGACTCTAGTCGTGTGACTGGGCTGTCGCCTGTCCAAAGTCCCGGCTCTTTCCAATAGCGAAAACCGAACCGGCTACACATGGAGGTCAGTGGTGTATTTTCGTGTCGCGTGATTCAAGGCAGACTTACTCATGTAGAGGGTTACCACCAAGCATCACAACTAAAGTATAGACTATGAGGCCAGTGGCCAACAGAATTTTACACAAAGACAACCAAAACTCGGCTTCTCCAAAAACATCGGCTCGATATATGTTGAGGGCGAGATATAGTACCAGGGAAACAGAGATTAGTACCGCAGGAGATTGATCGTAGCCCCAGTAAGTGACGAGCGTGTTGATGACTGTTGCCTCGAAGATCACAAATGATGTTTGTGCAAAGAAGAGGTTCCAGCCTGCTGTGACCCCCAAAGCTGGATCAACCATGCGACCTGCCAGGCGGATGAATGAACCGTCTAGAGGGAATAGAGTAACAATCTCGGTTTGACATTGGGCGATAGAGAAGACAATGGTCGCCCAGAATATGAAGCTAAAGAGTAAGCACAGAGGTCCGGATGAGACGCCAGAGCCGATGGCGACGAAGAGTGAACTTGAACTTCATCAGCACTTTGTCTTGTCGTGGTTAGGAAAATCGTTACGTACGCTCCGATTGATCCAGCGATTGCTGTGAGTTGAAGTTGCCTAGAGCCAAGTCGACGATGATTCACCGCCTTCTTAACTGCAGTGACGAGATCGTCATCTTCGGCAGGACTGATATCGTGCTGCTCGAGTTATTAGATGCCTCTCGGAGCCATGGTCCAAGGGCTCTCTCACCATGCTGACTTGTCCTATCTCGACCGAGACCTTGGGACTTGGTGGCTGGCCATAGTTCTTGTCGTGCTTTTGCGACCGATTTGGACCATAATTGGGCGGTTCCATGTTGTCTGTCCCGAAAAAACGAAGGACTGCGTAACTACGAGAGTAAAGCATGCTGGTACTGCTGATAATCATATAGAGCGTCACAGATATCATTGTTGTCCCAGGCATCGCACATCTGATAAGCACTGGGACTTGTCTCCATAATCTGACACGGCTAGGTTGACGACTGCTTCGTGATACGGCATCGAGCCCCTCGCCCTATCGCACTCTTGAAAGGCTTAGGCGAGAGGCCTTGTCGTGGACCAGTTGGGAAAAATTGTATGATTTGATAGAGCCTCACTCTCAGTAATAGATACGACTGTCATTGGATGGGGAGGTCATGCATTCCGGTGGAGCGATAGGCAGAAGATTTTCCAAGAAGCCTACTAAGCATCAGATAGCCCAGTGGCACAGTAGAATAATATCAGTGCTGGAAGGATCAAGGTGCAAGCGTAAGGATAGAAGTGGTGGAAGGTGGAGACCGAAGCGGGGTACTGATAACAACCCTCGAGCGTGCTGATTGGGTTTCCACATCTGAGTATCAATAGATAGCTGAGAGGATTGCCGAAGTCAAGGAAGTCGATACACGACGTTAAAACCCTCGTCGTCTGTTTGGAGACCTACCTCCCCACTGAGAGACAATACTCTTCTCGTACAACAACACTTTGAGACAAGCTGGTCCAGTCATAGTACACCATGGCACCATCTCTTGTCCGCATTGATGCTTCGGAACAGCTTGAGAAGATTTTACACATCATCGAACGCGATGGTGCTGTGATCGTTACCAACTTTCTGGCAGAGGAGCTTTTGAAAGAGTCCATGGATGCCAGTGAGTCCCAGTTCGGCGTATTAGGGTACTGCAGAGCTGACGTACCATAGTAAAGCCACATTTGTCCGGGAGGAAGATGTATGACTCTAAAGCCAGCCACGGAGAACTTGGTGCAGATTTCTTCCCAGAAGGATCTCAGCGTGTCTATGTGAGTCCTGACAGATCACATCCGCCATATGAGTACTGACAATCAGTACAGGGGTTGCTCGCGAAGATGCCTGAACAGCTCATCAAGATCGTACGTCTTCCTGTCTGGCAGGGTATTATGGCACGGTTCTTGAACGACGAGTTCGCTTCTTACACTGGAGAAACACTTCTGCCCCAGAGGAGCGGGTACATGCTGGCGTCCACTGCAGCTCTTCGTCTGGTTCCTGGCGCTAAGTCTCAGCCTCTTCATCGAGTAAGTTTGCAAAAGATGAATGACACTCCAGATTCTGATGATTATTCCAGGACCAGATTGCCTATCAGGTTAGACCAGATCCTAGCAATCCTCTTTTCACGCCGATGATGGGTTGCCTGGTTGCAGGATCGAAATGTACATACCAGAACGGTGTAAGTCGTTGAGACTCGAGAATGTGTCCAGCTGCCGTTACTGATCTTTAATATTCAGGCTACAGCTGTCATCCCCGGAAGTCATCTCTGGGGTGTGAATCGTGCTCCAAAGAAGGAAGAAGCGACGTACGCTGAGATGGAGCCAGGTTCAGCCTTGTTTACACTGGGATGTGAGTGTAGCTCTGCAGCGAGATTGGTGCTTGCACAAGTCATTCATACTGACCCTGTCGTCCGGTAGCGACATATCATGGTGCTGGAGAGAACAACTGCGGAAATAACGACCCCGACGCTTTGCGCACGCTGTTCGCAATTTTTGGGTAAGGGTTCATGAAATGATATTCAATGATGCCTTGTTGACACATCAATGCAGGCAGAGAGATTACTATCGTCAAGATCAGGAGGAAGTCCTCTCGACCCCTCTTGAGATTGCTCGTGAGCTGCCCGAAGACATCCTCAGACTGGCAGGCTATTACAAGTCTGTTGGAGGTGTTGGTTTTGTGGAAGACCACCAGCATCCGGTCGAGTTTCTGCAGAAAAACCAGACCGGAATAGGAAAGTTTGTGTCCGCCGCTAAAGTGGCAGTTTAGCTAGCTTGGTCGTGACTGTTGAATGCGAGGATACCATTGTCTTGTCGAACCAGCCTATCAATAATTTCTTGCAAGTGAGCGAGAGCGGATAATGCGTGCAATGTCCGCGATATCGAGTGGTAAGGATTCCTTGTTCCTTTCCAGTTGATCAAAGGGATGACTTTGGAGACTTCAGGATCCGATCCTGGTGGTCGCTACTGCCTCGGAGTGCGCCCTGCCTGAGTTGAGCTGCTTGCTATCACTCCTCGGAAGGAAAGTTGCCAAATTTGATGATCTTGTTCTGTCAATTGCCGTCGGCCGAGAGACTAGAGGAAGCTCACAGCGTTCGCATCGTTTGGCTTCCTTCCCGGACCAAATCCTTGTCTTGCCAAAGCCTGCGACTCAGGATGCAGGTACGCTGGCGTCACATCTCAACTTACCTCAAGCCACAACGTTACCAAGCATGTTGCTTGGTACTTGTACTCAATATTGACTGCAAAACTCAAGAAAGGGTTTCGTTTGTGAAGCTCGTCGCGTTGATGCTTTCGTATGGATATGGACTTTGATCGACATAGTGCATGCTGCTTGTTCACATCCTGTTTGGAACACTACGCGTCTGTGGATCTTTGTGGAGGAAGCGACGATCCCCCAAACGCGGAGCCTCTCGCGAGGGGAAAAAGCGGGCACTCCAGCTCATACGGAAGCAACTTCCGAGAGTCGGCGATTGAGCTCTTGCTGTATGCAACCGCTGAACAATGAGGTGCTTGGCCATGGCCCATGGCAAAGATCCTCGCCCGACCAGCTTTCTGTGCGTTTCTTGCCAAAGGCCCTACTTCGGCGGTTCCCCTACGGGTCATTGATACTCCGACAACGACGATAAGACGATGCATACGGAGTAGCGATGCAGCAATATATCGAAAGCTCGGGCGCTCAGACTGGGATCTGTGAGAATGGTGGCTCGATGGTAAAAGTTGTCTTTCGAGAGGTTTCAAAAGTACGTCCGACAAGCAACGTCAAACCATGATCATGGAACAAGGTTCTTCCGCGACATGACTCGAACTCGGAGGGACATCGACGACTCTTTCGTGCTTTACGTTCCACGGCCAAAATCGAGAGAACAGGACGTATCAGACAAGCCAGGACTATCGCCGTGACGCAAGAGGCCTACGATGCGACTTCATCACAGTCCTTTGCCCTACTCCACATCAAACCCCGACTTTTAGCATCTGCAGATCTCCACTCAATCCATCCATCGTGGGGAAAGTTTGGGGACGGTAGTGCTCTCGGCGCCTCCCTTGCTGGTAAAGGCTTACTCGATGGTGGCTCTCATTGGCTCAGATGACCTCCCAACTCGGTCGTGGAACATCCTAGATACCTTGACGAACGGGCACGCACGGAGACGCCGCATGACCTACAGTGATGTCGGCTTCTGACCGATTCTACCTTAAATGCAACCACCTGCTCAACTAGATATTGAGGCTGGTGTCTCGTCCCTGTTCACCAAGTTGAGTCAAGACCTTTACAAATTTTTATCATCCATTATGGACCAACACAAGGCCGATACCAAACATGTGGACGACATTGATGTCCAAAAGAACGACTTCGTCATCACCCCTGACGCTCGAGAAGCATATGGCCCTGCTGGCATTGCTGGCATCTTCGGCAACTCTTACGTAGCACTATGTGCTGCTTTCTCAGCAATGGGTGGCTTGCTGTTTGGCTACGATCAGGGCGTCGTATCAGTCACCCTTACAATGGACGACTTCCTGGAACGATTCCATCAGATTGCCCCTGAATCTGGAGGCGCGAGCTTTAACAAGGGTCTTCTCACAGCTATGATCGAGCTTGGAGCATTGTTCGGTGCTCTCAACACAGGCTGGATTGCAGACAAGTACTCGCGAAAATACTGCATTGTCATTGCAGTCGTGGTGTTTGTTATCGGCTCCGCCTTGCAGACAGCTTCCATCAATTATGACATGCTCATCGTAGCTCGCTTGATCGGAGGAATAGGCATAGGATCGTGAGTTCAACCATCGCATCATACAGCAGCATCCTGATCTAACATATATCATCTAGTCTTTCGGCCGTCGCACCTATGTACATCTCGGAAATTTCGCCTCCTGAGATTAGAGGAACACTCTTGGTCCTGGAAGAGTTCAGCATCATCGTCGGTATCGTTGTAGCATTCTGGATTACATACGGTACACGATACATGAGCACGGAATGGAGCTGGCGCCTGCCTTTCCTCTTGCAGATTCTACCAGGCCTGGTTTTGGGTGTCGGCATCGTCTTCCTGCCGTTCTCACCCCGCTGGCTCGGATCCAAAGGTAGAGACGAAGAAGCCCTTCATGCATTGACACAGTTGCGCCGTCTACCTGCCACAGACCCCCGAGTGCAACAAGAATGGTTCGACATTCGTGCCGAAGCCAGACTGGTTAATGAGATCAGCAAAGAACGTCACCCCGATCTCCAAGATGGTTCCAGAACTAGCCGCATGAAGCTCGAACTTGCTTCCTGGGCTGATCTCTTCAAGAAGGGATGCTTACGACGAACCCACGTTGGTGTTGGAATTATGTTCATGCAACAATTCGTAGGCATTAATGCTTTAATATACTATTCACCAACTCTATTTGAGACAATGGGATTGAACTCAAGCATGCAGCTCATCATGTCTGGTGTGTTAAACATCATGCAACTTGTAAGCACTACCCCTTCTGTATTACTATGAAGCTTACTAACAACTCATTCTAGGTTGGTTGCTCGACTTCGATTTGGACAATGGATCGTTTCGGTCGACGAACACTCCTACTCTGGGGGAGTTTCTTCATGGCAGCCTCCCACATTATCATCTCCGGCCTCGTCGGCGAGGGACAAAAAAACTGGGACGCCAATGGCGGTATGGGCTGGGCAGCAGTGGCTTTCCTCTTGATCTACATGGTCGCATTCGGCGCCAGTTGGGGACCAGTGCCATGGGCCTTGCCATCCGAAATTTTCCCTTCTTCACTCAGAGCCAAGGGTGTAGCCTTGTCCACCTGCTCGAATTGGCTGAATAACTTGTTCGTCTACCGTTCTCCCCTCTTCTTTCCAGCCATTCACTAACACTATCACAGTATCATCGGTCTCGTCACCCCACCTCTGATCTCGGGAACCAACAACTACGGCGCCTATATTTTCTTCGCCGCTTTCTGTGTCTTCTCCGGCATCTGGGTCTTCTTCTGCGTACCCGAAACCAATGGCCGCAGTTTGGAAGAGATGGATCATGTATTCAGGGATGCGGGAGGCAATGAAGAGGAAGAGATCAGGAAGTTGAGGATTGAGAGGGAGTTGGCTGCTAGCACGCAGGCGTCAGCTGTTGCATAGTCGTATTGGAACTTGTTGTAGAGTTCATTGCATATCGGGAGGAAGCATTGGAGGAGTTTTAATCAATTACTTGGATGTAGATCTCTACACGGTTCAGATGAGATTAATGACTTCATGGTGTACACTAATATCACTTCTCGAAGAATACGTTGGTCGCCCACCCGTGATGCTAATGTTCGTTCAGTCGTCGGAAGCATCTGAACTCTTAGTCTAGTCCATGTATCGGATTCAAACAATGACTACAGAAGGGACTTTGAGGAGTGATACCTCATGTATTGAATGAGGGTCAGACTGTTCGTTAAGTTGTATAGCAAGCTGCATACGTCATACCTAGTTCACGACCAAATGTCGGAAGACAGTATATCGGCCAAGTCATGTGATAAGATGGTAGCAGCGTGGATGATGAAAAGGTAGGAGCAATCGACAAAGTGTCTGGAACACTGGTCTTATTTTGTTTCCATCGTCTAAGGAAAGTCGCTGCCGCATCGAGAACACTGAAAGATTCACATGGTCAAGTTGGAAGCACAGGATAACTTCGTGTCTAAGAATCTGCTCCGTTGGGTTTCTGTATCGTAGCTCATGAATGTAAGAAAGATGCAAAGCAATGGACAAGCAAAAAAAAAGAAAAGAAGCCTCCCGAAGCTAACACCTAGCAGATGCAAGAAGCGAAGAAAGCAATATGTAACACCATTGACACCTCTCAGTCCACCCCATAGCAAAAACAATGATAACCATTACGAAAATTCATCGATCAGAGAGGCATCATGCCAATTCCGCTAGAAAAGCCTCCGCCACCTCCACTCTTCTTTGACGAGCCTGCTCCACCTCCGCCAGGACCATTGTACGCGTACTTGTTCATACTACTCTGCTTTTTCGCGGCTGGTGCGCGTTTCTTGACTGCTCCTCCACCACCAACGCCTGATTTGCCTTTGGGGTAGCTTGATCTGCGAGCGGCCGATTTCTTGCCGGCCCATTTGTTACCTCCCTCGCCAGAGCGGGCACGCTTGTTGACGGGTGCTGCGGCTGCTTTGGGAGCGGCTTGTGATTGTGAGAATTTGGCGTTGAAGGCATCGACTTCGCGGTTGGGTTTGAAGTAGGCGGATTCGTTTCGTTGACTTCCTGCTTCAGGTTCAGAGCTGAATCCACCGTCATACGCGAACTCGTCATCTTCATCTTGGTCCTCATCGCTGTCGATGTATATCACGGTGGTGTGGTTAGGATCATATGGCTTCTCTTCTGCGCCTTCCATCATCGAGTCCAGCTGAGCCTTGTAATGTGCAATTAGAGGAAGCAGGACTGCGCCATGGCAATCGACCTTGGCAGGATCAATACCGCGAACTTTCTTCATGGCAGCCAAATTTTTGGGGAACAGAACGGCCATCTCGCGCAGCATAGTATCGGAGAAAGGCTGTTGACGCAGACTCTTTCTCTTCATAAGGTCCAACATCTTTTCCTTGGCATGCACGACAAAGGCTGCAAGCACGTCTTGATGAACGTCATCCAAGCTCTCCATCGTTTCGTCTCTGGTGATGGGAGGACCGAGCTCCTTGTGGCGGGAACGAGACTTAGTATCCGTCCTTAGTGGCTCGAAAGCATCGTCGTCATCGGATTCTTCGTAACCTTGATCCTCAAAATCGTCAATAACGAAAGTGTCCCGATGGTAGCCATTGTGGGTCTCGCCACGCTTGCGGCTAGGACCTGCTTGGACAGGGGAAGAGATGTTCGTTGAAGGATACTGAGGGGCTTTCTTCGCTGCCTTCGAGGCTTTGACGCCGGTACCTGCAGCAACTTTGGGAACTTTGGGCTTGCGCTTGGTAGTTTTTCCACCTGCTGGGACTGCCAACATCAGCTTTCTTTTGCCCGGGCCTTTTCCAAATACGTGTCGTCTCGGACCAAGACCGAGATATTGATTAGCAAACTTGGCCCTGTTGAAGATTGAGAACTCGCGAATAACGTCTTCAGCCAACAGAAGGCCGAAGAGACGATCGACATTCTCGCGATCGAGATCCTTGCCAGCACCGTAATTCTCAGCTTCCCTGTCTTCGGCGGTAATACCACGACCAGTACCTCGGAAGAGGTCAAGACATTGATGGAGAGTGACATTACGGACTGAGGCCATCTCCTTGACCAGCCCAACTGCAGCAAGACCTAGTTCTGTGTAGTCTGTTTCGACCAGCTCCTCTGTCGTGTCGCAGTTATCACAACCATTTTCGCAGTCTTCTTTTGAGAAAGTTTCTGCAAAATAGGCCAGCACTTGAACACGACGACAATCTGTCTTGTTCAGGCAGAATTGGACGACTCTGCGAAGCATGTCATGTTGACGATCCTTCTGCTCCTTGCTACCGGTCTCGTTCTCATCGATCATCTTGCGCAAGGTGAACAAGTCGTGTGTGCCATAGAATAGATAGCAGTCTGACGATGCGCCATCACGTCCAGCACGACCAGTCTCCTGGTAGTAGCCCTCAAGACTCTTGGGAATTGTGTGGTGAATGACGAAACGGACATCGGGCTTGTCGATGCCCATGCCAAAGGCAATAGTTGCGACAATCACTTTAGTGTCACCTCTCTGCCAATCTCTCTGTACCTTGCTTTTTGCTTCAGGTTCCATACCAGCGTGGTAATGATGAGCCTCGATACCACGCTGGCGCAGCTCATCAGCGACGTCTTCACATTGTTTTCTTGAGAGACAGTAGATGATTCCGCACTTGTCTTTGTGCTTATCCTCTATGATCTCTTGGATTTTGTCGAGAAGCGCTGACTTTTTAGGCTTGTTGTCGACATGGTACGTGAGATTTGGACGATTGAAACTTTGCGAGTAGACTTCACAGCCATTGATGCCTAGATTACCAATGGTGTCCACCTTGACATTCTCGGTAGCAGTCGCAGTTAGGGCCATGATGGGAACACCAGGGTACTCTTTCAAGACCATTCCAAGCTCTTTGTAGTCCGGACGGAAGTCATGGCCCCATTGACTGACACAGTGAGCTTCGTCGATGACAATTCTGGCGAGCTTTCCCCTGCGATGGAGATCCTTGAATGCTGTCTTCATCATACCGCTCTTGTTCAACATTTCTGGCGTGACGTAAAGTAGCTGTACAAAGTCTTGCACATTCGGCTTCGTGAACGTGCTGGTGATCTCTCTGCGCTCATCCATCGATGTACTGCCAGTGAGTGCAAAAGCTTGAATGTGAAGTGCTCTCAGATGCGAAACTTGGTCTTCCATCAAACTCAATAAAGGTGAAACGACAACAGTGACGCCTGAAGTCTTCCCCGTTCTGACGATTGCTGGTAGTTGGTAGCACAATGATTTACCACCTCCGGTTGGCATCAGAACAAATACGTGTCTGCCGGCAAGCGTGGCATTGATAGCGTTGGCCTGATTGAGCCGGAAACCGGGCAACTGGAAGACCTTTGTCAAACCGGTTTTGACCTGTTTTGTCCAAGGAAAATCTCCGAGTTCTTCATCAAGTGTTTTGGGCCTTTTGGAGGGAGTAGCTTTCTTTGGACGTGCTTTGGCAGCGTTCGATATCTGACCAAAAGCTGGACGGTCGTTTGACTGTCGAATTGCCCCATTGAAAGTCGAGTGATCTTCAAACTCGGTCGCGAGATTCATGAGATCCTCATCGTCGTCAAATTCGTCATCAAAGTTGTCGTCCTCATCAGCGGCCTGCGCTGGAGGTGTTCCCATGATGTTGCTGAATAGACTTTCATCTTCCTCTTCAAACTCGTCGAATTCATCGGGCACGCCATAGTTCTCTTTATCACTGTACCGGTTGGCGTTTGCGAAATCTTTGGTGGCAATCGTCGGCTTCGCTGATGCCTGCCGACTGACTGAGGTTGCGTGACTTCGTTTGGACGGGGACGGCGGGGCATTATAGCTGTTGATTGTGTGGGCGTTTCGGTCGGGAAAGTGACGAGGCGGACTAATCTCCATCACACTTGGGTCTTCCTCTTCTGGCTCTGGCTTGATCCTTCTGGCAGGCTTGGGCGGGGTGTCCTCGACACCAGCAAATGTTTCGATGTGTCTGCCATTGGGCAGCTGAGTCTGTTTGACCCGTTCGGGACCAGGACTCCTAAGCACCTCGGTCTTTGCTCTAGGCACAGCCTGAGTCGATTTGACAGAGACTGCTGCAGGTCGCTTGAAGGTAGCCATGAGGCCAACAGATTCGAGATTGTGTAGAAGTGGTAAGATTTCAGTGTGTGTATCACGGATGCGTTGCTTGAGCTGCTTCATCTCTTGTTGTTCCTTGGTAGGCTTTTGTCTAGCAAGAAGAGCTTTTCTCACAAGACCCGAGACGTTCTTCATTTCAAAGTCGAGAGCATCCAGATGGTCCTTGAAGCCTTTCAGATTCTTCAGGACTTCTTCAATCTCACCTGCTTGCTCGTATGCTGCTGAGATATGGGCTGGTACCTCATCGATATCAAGCGATTCCATGGCAGCCATATAGTTGTCTGTAGCTTGTGCATGGCGGTCTCCAGCTTCGGCCAGCTTGGACTCGAAGTCTTGTTGTGTCCATGACAGAAACTTGTTGATGAGAGCATCTTCGCTGGAAGAGAGCGGGGCGAGTCCAGGTGATTGTGAGCCAAGAGCAGGAGACTCAGCAACACGGCTGAGGGCAGGTGTCTGCAACGGCTTTCTGGGAGATGGTGTAGGTTGCTTCATCTTGACAGGAGAAGCACGCACTGGATCGGGTATGCTTTCATGAGCGTCTTCCATGTCTTCATCTTCACTGTCCAATACTTGACGCTTGACGCGTCTCTCTTGCGGCGGAGGGCCCATGGTTGAACTCGAGGATGAAACAGCCGCGGAGGCAGGGCGCTTAGCCGGTGATTGGGCGACAGTCGAGTATGGAGGAGGCGGGCCAATTGGCTCATCGTCTATCAAGTCATCAATAGACATGAAGCTATCGTCGTCATCGTCCGGTGGTTGGATTGTCTCGAGACGTGGGGCTTTGGACGATGGGCGGTTGTATGTGTCGGACCTGTGTTCATCGCTCTTTCTCTTCTGACCGTTGAGATTGGAGAATAGACGACTCGGAGTGGGCAGCGTGTCATCTGTCAAGTCGAGAGTATCAACCTTCGAGGGCAATGCAGGCGTTGTCCGAGCCATCTTCGTGGAGGGAATGGCGTTACGAGGGGCTGGCGATTGAGCATACGATTTAAGGCGACTGTTCAGATTCGGTATGGCCGGTCTAGATGACGATTGGGACGACCTTTCGGGCAAGGAGACCTGGACGGGCTTTGTGGGAGAGGATGAGGCAGCGGCTCTCAACCTTGCCATGTTCGCACTGGGCTCGCCACGCGGGGGTGAATTCGCTCGTTCTCGCCCTGTTGTTTGCGGTAGCGCGATTGGACGCGTTGTTGAATTTGATGTACGTGACGGTAGCAAGCTGACATTCCCGGCTATGTTCTGTGAAAGCGGTGCCTGCGAAGATGGTCCAAGGGAAAGAGGTACGGGTGGTAATGAAGGCGAATGTTTAGGTATACACGGTTTCTCCTGTAGCAACCATCCGAGCTGCTCGCGGAGGTTGTTCTTAGTCATTGAGCATCACGAATGCTGAGATTGTTTGTTTTCCTCCTTCGATATGGGCTTCCTGTCGTCGAGTGGCGCCTGTTCCTGCTCGATTAATTCCTTCTGGAATCTCAAATCGCGACGGACGCGACTGCCCGCGACTTTACGTGCCGGAAGCTAACCCGATAGAGTAATTTCTTGGCATTGTTGCCTCGACCTCGTCAAGGGCACCACCCTGTTCTACTGCTCGACGACATCAGCCCTCACCATCTTTGACCTGCAGTGGTCGCGGTTACTATGGCCAGTTCCTCTGGTATGTACTCGAGTATATGTGCTTGACATTGCTCGAAACGACAGGAGGTGAAACTGGAGACCCGAAATTCCTCTTTACAACACTCGCCCGCCGCGCCGCCCCAATGTCGACTCAATTTGGATCTAGAAAGGTGCGACAACATTGGTCATCTCACGATGCTCAATGCAGTCGAGCTTTCAATGGACATCTGTCTGACCTTGCGAAACCTTGTGCATTGCTACAGATCGTTTGCACGTAAGACTGTTGTCAGTAGAGTGATACACGAGCTCATCTCGCTTGTGTGATCCTTCTCAACTGGAGAGCTGGAGCCTGGAGCGACGCCTTTATTACTCATCGAGTCATCCGTATCTTCGTCCCAACACAACATACTGGCAAGTGTATGACCAGGCGGGAAATCTGACTTGAAGCTTGAACGCAGAATCAAGCAATACAGTTTTACGTTGTCAAACATGGAAGCCGCCGACTCAACGCCCCCGTCTGATCTGCCAGTCCTACCGTCCATCTCGCAACTCGACCTGGCTCGGTCAAGTTTGAGGAGAGAACTCGTTCCTGCCCTCGGTTTCGCCGGAACTCAGCAGCACCTGACTCATGTTATCGCTCCTGCCTTGAATGGAAACAGCCAATCTTCTCGGTACTATGGTTTCGTGACCGGAGGCGCGACTCCCGCGGCTGTCTTCGCCGACAAGATGGTTACCGATTATGATCAAAATGTTCAAGTGCACCTTCCGAACGAGACTGTAGCTACAGATGTGGAAGCTGCCGCTCTAGATCTTGTATGTCAACTGGTCGAACTGGATCCTAAAGAATGGACCCACAGAACGTTCACCACCGGCGCAACCTCGAGCAACATTAATGGTCTTGCCTGTGGTCGGGAGTATGTCATCTCAACCGCCGCAGCTCGCAACAACACCAAGGCAGATGTTTCCTCTCTTGGTCTCATGGCCGCGATGCGAGTTGCCGGCATTGACGACATTCAGATCTTGACCTCTGCACCTCATAGCTCCCTGCGCAAAGCTGCTTCAGTGCTTGGTCTAGGTCACGATAGCGTGAAAGATGTGTCAGACCCCACTGCACCCCACCGTCTCGATCTGGAAGCTTTGGAAAATGCTCTCCAAAGTCCAAGGGCCGCTTCAATCATCGCCATATCTTGCTCCGAGGTCAACAGCGGCCTCTTCGCTACGACAGGAAAGGACATGGTACAACTACGTCGCCTCGCTGATGAATATGGTGCCTGGCTACACGTGGACGCTGCTTTTGGTTTGCTTGCTCGCATCCTGCCATCCGACGAGCCAGCATATGCGCAACTGAAGGAAGGCGTAGAGTCGCTCCAACTGGCCGACTCGATAGCTGCGGATGCGCACAAATTGTTCAACGTCCCCTACGATTGTGGCATTCTGCTCTCTCGCCACCTTGACGTCGGCACAGCAGTTTTCCAAAATCCAGGTGCTCCTTACTTGAATGCTGCTGCTGGTTCCGTGCCCTCGCCTCTGAACATTGGCATTGAAAACTCGAGACGCTTCAGAGCCCTGCCCGTCTATGCAAATCTGGTCGCCTATGGAAGATCTGGCTTCGTCAACATGCTAGAGAACCAAATCGCGCTCGCTCGGGGCATAGCCTCCTACATCCAATCGAGTAGCGTCTTTAAGCTTCTTCCGGAGGTAGAATCAGGTTCTATGGACCCATTAAGCCGAGTCTTCATCATTGTGCTGTTCAAAGCCATTAATTCCGAGCTAAACGACACATTGGTCAAAAAGATCAACGCTACACGCAAGATCTACGTATCAGGCACTAAACATGCAGGGCAACCGGCATGTCGATTCGCTATATCTAATTGGCAAACCAGCGTCGAGAAGGATTTGGCTGTCATTATAGACGTATTGGAGACTGTAAGCAGTGGTCATAACAAGCAGTAGAAAACGCACAAACGATTCCTGAAAATGAAGCTGGCCCCCACTGAGAGTCCGTCGGTCTTCCCGCTCTCAGTGGCACAATCTGTCGTTCCTCGAAAAGCACCGTGCATTTCTACAGCTGTGATGTGGGTGGCCTGTAGCACACAGGGAGGAAGTATAAAATATGTTGTCTTTTTATAACACGTTTCTGTATGTTGCACTGGGTCCCAGTGTGTTTAGACAGAGAATACGTACTCCTCTCGGAGTATTTCCCTGTACAAGAGCCGAAGCGAACTTGAGGATTTGAAACTCTACCGTTGAGTCTTTTGAAGATGACTGCCTCGAGACGATCAATATGACAGGGATTAGAACATGGAGCGGGAGGAGTAGTGTAGTGTCTGTCTTTCGATCTACGGATCTTCTGTCTTCCATTGAGCAACATCTTCGCACCATTAACCATTTCGAACCAGCAATGTAACTTTCTCAACCCGTTCTCTCCCTCACTTGATCATGGCATCGTTCTTTCTTCTCCCACTCCCACTCCCATTATCACCTCAACCTGCCACTTTCATCATCACCTCATCTCATCCCTTCAATATTCCTCGCTCCAGCACAATCAAGCCCTCCACCACCACCCATCCCCACTTCCACCTTCCCTCTTCCTCTTCCTACTCCCCTCCCTCTCCTTTCCCTTTCCACAATATGTCTCGTTGACCTGATAACCCGGGTTATGGGCACCGCCAACATCTTCTCTACTGTTTCCCCTCGTAGCCCTGCCTGAAGTTCTTCCACTCCTTCCCCTCAATTCCTCACTGGTGGACGTGGAAGGGTAGAATCTTGTATCCTGTTGTTGTTGTTGAGGACGTGTATCAGCTGTATTGGGGGAAGCGGCATGAGGTGGCAGTGCAGAAAGAGGAATTGCGATGGTGTGGGTGGGTAGTGGGGAATTGTGTGCGGAGGTTTGACGAGAAATCTGAATGGCGTCTTGATGGGTGGGTTCGTGGGTATGCTGGGAATGATGATGATGGCGGTGATGGTGATGATGGTTGCAGTGGTGTGCAGAAGATGGTTTGTCGATGAAATAGTACCAGCGTTTTGTGGTTGATGAGTATTTGGAGTTGCGTTGGGAGATCTGTGAAAGCAAGGAGATGGTTAGTGGATGTGCTTGAGAAGATGAGTCAAGTCAGAAGGGAAAGAAGGCCAGTGAAGTGGAAAAGATGCAATGAGGGTGATGAAGTGGAGTTAGAAAATGATCAGGAAACAACAAGACAGTAGTGTTCACGAGATCGAGAAGGCATGAGCACGACGAAGGTCAATGTTTGTCTCGTAAGACATGTGTATAGATTAAACCTGGTCATGTTCTCAAGCATGTGCAGAAGCGCTGTGAAGAGCGTGTCTTTGCATGCATCGAGCAGATGGCCAGGTTGAGCAAGTTCGAAAAACTCGCATGTAGTATATATAAAGACCTTTCATCGTATGCGTAAAGGTATATCGTGATATCCCCAATAATTCATCCTCTCGAAATCCAAATGTACATGATATAGCTCGCAAGCCATTGATCGCAACAAGAAAACCAAAAACAGCAAAAGCAGAAAACAAAAGCAGGAAAAGGGGTATGACAGAGAAAAGTAAACGCATCCGAAACAAGCAGCGAATCAAAAGAACAAGCTCAAAGAAAAAAATGCAACATTCACTTCAATCGTAAAATCCACGCTTGTTATTCACCTGAGAAGCCATGATCATCATCCAGACCAAAAAGACCAATCCGATAATCCAGAAAGCGAAAGCGGCGTCCCATTGCGAACAGATGGAGTTTTGTTCCAGCCAGGCGAGGGTGTCGATGCTGACGCCGCGGATGTTGTTGTTGTTTACGTAGCGGTTGCAGTAGGTTGACACATTGCCCTGAAAAAAAAACATCCATTAGCACTATCCAAAAGGGAGAGGAAGCAGCAATACTCACATTTCCAAACAACTGAATAGCCGTTTCAATAAGCCCAGCAAGGAACAGCGCAATAAGAATGAAACTCGCAAGCATAACCCAAGCCGGCTGCAATTTCTTCTGCGCCATGAGGATAATCATGATGATGATCCAGAAGATTGTGAGGGAGCCCACGGTGACGGCGTAAGGAAACAACCAAGGCGTGCCCAATCCCATTCTGTTCTGGATAGACATGAAGTCGCCAAAGACGCCGGTGAGGAGACCGCCGGTTGCGAGCATGACGATGGTCCACCAGTTGAGTAGGTTCTCCGGCCAGGGGTAGCGGCGGATCACTGTTACGCGCTCTCTGGATGCTGTGGTTTCCGTGCGTGCCATTTTTGCTGTGTGGTTTGATGTGTTGGATAGGTGATGAAGTTGAAGAGAAATTAAAGTCGACTGCTGAGATGTTGTGCGCCAGTGACTGTGTGAGTTGACGGAAGTGAGCGATCAAAGTGAATTTGTCGATAAGTCGATATGTGAATTTCGAACCCAGAGATTTTTCCAGAAGTGAGGACGTCTTTCAATGTTGACCCCAAGGATGTGAAAGCCGCTCGATCTTGTAGCCTGGTGAGATGTGCTGGCGTGAGAAAGGCGAGCCGATAAAGATGATCAGCAACGAGCAACTTTTCGTCGCTTTATGGCAACGCAGAAGGGTATGCGCGTCGATGAGTGGCGCGTCAATTTATTCCAGTCGCAAGCAAGAAGCAAAACGGCTATCTCGAAAGCCCGTTAAATTCCCGTTGGGTGTCAGACGTAAAAAAGTGAAGGCGTGTTTGTGACGATTGATATCCTTGGCACAAGAACCCGAATGGCTGGTTGGCGGGGTTGCAGGTATTAAGCACCTCGAAGAACGTGATTTGCGAAAAGAATAGAATCTGTTTCTGCAGGATGGGATTTGAGAGCCGGTGAACCAAGGAATATGCAAGATGATAGAAAAGAGGAAAGATGCAGGTACACAGGGGTGAGAAAAGCGATGTAGCAAGACGGAAAACCTGCTTGGTGGGAGCGGGAGAGGCTGGGAGATGGCAGGGCGATGTGCAAGAGTACGGTCTCCGTACACAGCCCATGAACACCTGAACATCCCACGTCAGAAACTCGTACGAATGTGCTGTAATCGATCAGAAGAGATGCCTTGTACTGTTTCATGGTTTTTTTTTCTTTTGCTTGATGGTTCGCTCCTTTCTTTCCTGTACAACGCAAACCCAGATCTCTGCTTCATCTCATAATCCTACAAAAAGCCACATTTTGGCTAGAAACATGTCGCTCCCCTTCAGTTGCAGCATAACCACCTTTCTTTTGAGATCACCATGACTCCCGAACAAAATCGTGACAAGAAAAGGAAACACAGATTCCGAGACCTTTCGCGCAGGCATCCTCCAAACATCTCGAGTAGCCGGCGCAGAGTAGACGTGATCGAGGCACCAGAGAATAGAAAAGCGAGAAAGATGCCTCAATCTTCCAAGAAAGATGACTCCGCAGAGAAAAGAACCATGGTGCCTTGGAGCCTCGAAACAGCCATTGCGCAACTCCAGAAGTATACACACCATCTCTTTCAGAAATCAAGGATTGCGATCGAACGGACCTGTCAACGCGCGGAAACAAGAATCAAAAGCCGAGATGATGCTGAGGGCGCGAAACGATTTGTGATCATGGTCATTTGGCCTCCTCGGCGCGGATGAAGTATGCCTTGGCGACCTCGTAGGCAGACCTGTAAAGTGATTAGCAGCTGCCAATCGCATAGTCTCAATGGACGAAAACATACCAGCAGATAGCAGTGCTAGGTGCAGCAGTAACAACTCTAGCCTTCATGCCCCTGAAGAAACCCTTTGCGCCATCTCTTCTCGCAATGATACCAGCAGCGTCAAACAAGCCCTTGGCATTTCTGATCTCGGCATCGGTAGAGCTTCCTCTAGTTTGCAACAAAGTCTTAATAACATCGAGGGGAGTTGTGGCAGCGGCGGCGATACCACCGGCGAGACCTCCAGCAGTACAGTGAGTCAAGGGGTCGTAGCCAGGGCGGCGGTGCATGAATTTCGTGATTGATTCGTAGGCGGTGAATTGGAGAGCGGTGAAAGGGACGGTCATGGCGAGAGTGGTGGGGTATGAGACGTAGAAGGCGCGGAGGCCCTCGTTGCGGAAGACGGAGCGTGCGCATTGAGTGAGAGATGTGTAGACACTTCCGTGTACTTGCATGCGCTGCTTGATGACTGTAGGACTTTGTTAGTGGAGGACATGTGATTTGTTGATTGATCAGTCGCGTACCATCGAAGGGGTTCATGAAGGCGTCACTGGCAATGGTCGCGCAAGCACCACTGGTTGCTGTAGATATCCGTCAGCACTCAAATTGAGCCGAGCATTTGAAGCATCCAAATCTCACCTGCTGCAAGAGGGTGGTGACCAGCAGCGTTTCCACCCATCTGTTGCTTGACAACCTCGTATGTAGCGAAGTAGACGGCGTGCGCAGGACCGGCTCCCACGATAACACTCGACAAGCCCCTCCATAATGACAAGTAACCCTCGGCTCTTGAAATAGTAGCGATCGCATTTCCGAGACCGGTGTAGATGGCCGCGGGCGTCGGGCTCATGACTTGCATTCGTGTCTGCGATTCGGAAAGTCAGCATGTCGTCTCTTCCCCTTGCGATACCCGTATCTCTCAACACACCTTCAACAAGTCAATGGGGTACATGACCGAGTGTTCGGCGACACCGGCAAAGGCGCCGGCTGCCATGTTGGCTGCCAGACTGAAGTTTGGCGGCAAGCCCTCGTAGCTGTATAGGTATCCTCGTCAATTCACCCGTTCTTGTCGCGAAGCGTTTCGCAGAGTAGGCTCACTCATATTCATTGTCCTCCTCCTCGAGGACCAATTTCTCTTGCACGGACATGTGTCCGATAGTAGGGGCGAGAGTCTGAGAATCCAGGTTGGGCGTGTCGTGAGAGAAGAGGGGGGCTGTATGCGTCTATCTGCTAAGAGTATGCGGCAAAACCGGTGACCTCTGGGAAGCTTTGCAAAAGTTACTAGTGGTGACGCGCCGATAATCGTAAATTCCAAGAATCCGGAGTCGTCAATTGGGAGGCAATCTGCTTGATCGAATTCGTTCGACGATACGTGTGTCGCTGTCAGTGAAACAAAAAACAAGGAGGAGATCTTGTCGTCTTGTTCTTTACGGCCTGGCCGGGAAAAAGATGAGAGCGAGCAATCCACTATGCATGCTCAATACATGGCATTTGCCGTATGACGACCGGTGCTCTTCAGCGACTGAAGCCTCGGGACTCCCGTCTCCGTGAAACCTTCTTTGGCTGTTCTAGAGAACTATTCGACTATCTCCGCGCTAGCAGCCATGGAATTTGTAAAGAAGAGAGTCCCCTCCATCGTACCGAGGCAACCCCGAGCTTCTTCTAATCATCATGACCGTCTTTCGCGCTGCTAATCTCTACTGTCCATGTTAGCACCACCATCTTCTCGTCACAAGAATGTACAGTACATGCAGAATACTAAACACAGCCAAACAATCGACGCGGAGATCACTGACTAGGACCATGCATGCCGCGCCAATATAGATTAAACGAGAAAATTATCAATCAGATAACTTAAACCGATCAAGCGAGGCCAGCTCTCCGGTGTCGCTGGCTACCGCTGCTTTCGGAAATGCTATCCGCCAACACCTCCGCTGTACCACCAAGGAAACCAGATCTGATCGCCTGGTTTTGTGAGCATGTTAGGGGCATGTTTTGAGAAGAGTGTTTAGACTGATCCTCCGCATCTCCGAGACCGGATCCTAGATCAAATCACCTTCGTGGAAGGGGTTGCAGATTATTGTCCACGCGGCTCTGTCCGGGAATAGCAAGATCGTACTGTACAAGAGGGTCTAGATAGGCATGCTCTATGCGAAATCGATCACGTATAGGTAACCTCCCCATAACCATGTTCTAGCAATCGCAGCGCCCATACCATCGAGGGAAAGCAACCACATCCCTGATACTACCCACACCAGCCAGATAGCACAACAACCTATCGAAGCCCAATCCAAATCCTCCATGAGGAACACTTCCGTAGCGTCTGAGGTCCAAGTACCAGTCAAGTGTGCCTGCATGTTTTCCCTCGTAGAGCTTGTGGTCCGGAATCTCGCTCTCGCCAGCGGCTTGTTGTTCTGGTGTCAAGGTACGTAACATACCGCGTTCTTGCATGACTTTTTGGATGGCAGAGAGATCGTGCTCACGCATCGAACCACCAATTAATTCGCAAAGATCGGGGACGAGAAGGTCGAAGCAAGCGACTGTGCGGTCCCTACCCGGTGTCTTTGACATGTAAAAGGGCTTTTGCTCAATCGGGTAGTCAGTAACAAAAACGGGTTGGCCTTTGCCAAAGTGCTCGGCGAGGAAGCGTTCATGTTCGGCTTGAAGACCTTCTTCCCAAGATGGTGTAAAATGGAAGACTGTGCCTTGCTTCATGGCTTCCTCCAGTGTTTCGATGGCTTGGGCGTATTGGATTCGTGGCCAGTCGGACTGGGCCATGCCTTGCCAGCGGCGTGAGAGCTCTTCTGCTGTAACTGCACCTTCTTCTGCTGCTTCCTCCGAGGTCTGTGTTGATTTTGCTTGCAATATTTGCTGAACGGTATGAGATCCTTGCAAATCTCTCGCCATGGTCGATAGCATGTTCTCGATCACATCCATGACCTGATTGGCGTCATCCACGAAGGTCATCTCGCCTTCTAGCATGTAAAATTCGCTGAGATGGCGAGGCGTGTCACTCTTTTCAGCTCTGAAGGTTGGCGACAGAGTCCAGACATTTCCGACAGATTGCGCTAAAGCTTCGAGATGTAGTTGCGATGACACCGTGAGGTACTTTGGCGATCTGAAGAAATGCTCGACTTCGCCGTCGTCGGACTTTTGTTCGCTGTCCTTGGAAGCGTTGGAGGATACTGTGAAGACCTCGCCTGCACCCTCGCAGTCTGAGGAAGTGATGATCGGCGGATGCGTTTGTACAAAGCCTTCTTTGTTGAAGAAATTCGTGATGCTGCCAATGACTTGTGATCTGAGATGAAGTACAAGTGCGTTGAAGGGGAGGCGAGATCGTAAATGTGGTAATGTTCTGAGGAACTCCGGGCTCTGATACTTCTTCTGTATTGGATTTGTCTGAAAAATTGGTCAGTTGCAATATCATGTTTGAGTAGAAGGACTGCAACATACGGTAGCGTCGTTGTATCCCAGTCTTGTGGCTTCTGTTACTTGCAGTTCATGCGTTTGAGCTTTGCCTGGAGGACACTTTTGCCATTTACCACGAAGGTTGATGGAATCACCGGTAGACAAACTGATGCATCATTTCTTAGTACGTATAATCCTAGTTGTCCAAATAGATGGTTTCAACATACGACAAAGCTTGCTCCGGCGTCAAGACAGCCTGGACTGGTTGCAGAGACGAGCCGTCCCCGACAGCAGCAAAAGCTATGCGCTTCTGTTTTCTGATAGTCCGCACATATCCATTGACTTCAATCTCTGGTGAGGATTCCGCCGAGCTTTCGGCAGACGACTTTAGTAATGATGCGATGTTGGCCGGTTTATGAAAAGTCGAAGTAAGTCGGACTGGAAGGTTCGCCCGCAGAGTGCGGTGATTAAGGCCGCGCCATGTGTTCATTCCGAAGGAGTCTATCCAAAATAAACTCTTGTCGAAGTAAATATCGAGTCGAGTTCTGATCGTGGTCTCGAAGACTTTCAAGTCTGTCTTCGATTGAAAGCAAGACCATGGTCTGTGCTCGGCATACATACCAGTTCTAAACACATCAACGCGGGTACTAAATTTTTTTGTAGAGCTAGTCTTGATGGATTGGTCTTTACTCGTGTAGATGAGAATGGTTCAAGCTATCTGTGCTATGTGCTCGTAAACTGGCCAGGTGCTTGCTTTTTACACACTTGCCAGCGCAGCATAATGCGCCAAACCAAGACAATCATGGTCACGAGCATGTGCGAAAGCTATACTCGAGTACTCAGACAGAGAGTCTGGTACTAAACCAGGGCTGATACATGTAGAAGATACATGTGTCGTGTTGCTACTATGCACGAGCGTTCGTGCATTCCTTGCAGGAAGCCTGGATCGCGCCTTCTGGCAAGGAGTATGAGAACAGGCCTTGTGTGCAACCATAAATCCTTCTTCAAGACCCTATTTGTAGGTCTCAAATAATCACTCGTCTTTACTCCGACAATACCTAGTGCCAATTGCTGCAATGCAACATCCGTTCCTCCTTCTACTTGCCTGCAACTTGGCTAGTGCGCTTCCTCTACATCTTCCAGCTTTTGAGTATCAACGGCCATTGAAGTCAGTTGATCTTCCTCATACAGCGCAACCCTCCACAAAACACCTTGATCGCGTTCCGAGGTCAGCAGAGCTATTGTTCACCGCCAGCGACGACGATGAGATGGTCCACGTCTGGCTGCCCCTTGGAAAACGCATATACACGCGTAAGTATCCTATCCTCATGCTCTTGGGTAACAGCAAAGCTGACGTAAATGATACTCAGGCGATTATCCAGTGCTTCCATTGCATCCGACGTCTGCGCGGATCAGTAACGTCCTCGGTGTCTCAACCGAAGTGACAGCTCGACATAAGCAGCAGCAAGTCACGTGTATCATCTCAGCTGGTAATGATTCGAGCGAAAGAAAGTTCGTTGGGCGAGACCGCGGCGCAAAGCAAGCAGAGATGGAGGTGACTGTATCGTTCCAGGAAGGGGATAGAGTGGTCAGGTTTGATGGACCAGATTCCACGTGGCATCTCAAAGGGAGAGAAGTCAAAAGCTACGAGTGCTTCTAGGCGGTGTCGTTGGCGCGATAAAGCCGAGTGTGTGGACAATTTCGAAAGTTGAGCAAGTCATGTCGGTCGTGTAACATCATGCAGCATGGTCTCTGGGAGGCATGCCAACCATCTCGTATACTCCAGCTCCATCACTTCCAGCTCCTCTACCTTCTCTTGCAAAACCAGCACCCTCTTCTACTGCGGCTGGATCGCTGGCGGTGGCAGGTTGTTTTCCTTTCCCTCCAAAGGATATAGGCTTTAGTTCTCTCCACTGGCAGGCCCAGACACCAAGGAAAATCATAAGTCCAGTGCTGCAGAATTGTAGGCCCCACCAGAAGATTTGAGTAGGTAGCTCTTTTGTGTAGAAGGTAGTTACGATAAGGTTGATGACATGAATGGTGATTGCGAAGTCAGGGACGAGTTTTGATCGAGCGATGAAGAGTAGTAGGAAGATGACACTGTTCGCACAGATATGTTAGCTTCACTGGTGCCTTGAGGTCTGGAAGGAGGAGTTGGTCTGTGACATACCAGATCAGACTGTCCATCATCCAGCAGAGGCCGAGCATCCATCCTGTGGTAACATCACTCCTGACAGTGCGCCAGCTGAGAAGGAGATCTGCCGTGACATCTCTGCCTGCGACCAGGGTGGTGAATAGGATCAAGGCGGCTGCAACAGCGTAGTATAACAGTTGAAGGACGACGATTTGAGCGAGGATTCGTTTTGGCGCAAGGTCGGCGAGAGCTCCCGGACGAGCTGGACGCCTTCGACGGGGCATTTTGCGATGGAAAGTTTATTGTTGATTGTTTGGATCATCGACTGTCCGACAGCTTCGAAGGTGGCAGCGACAGCGATCCCTCGCTGACGTCGATGCCGACTTGCCGATGCTTCTCCAAACTTCGCCGCTTCGAGGCTTCGATTAACTTGCCATTGATTTCATTCGCATACCACGAAATACAAGATGGGTTGGTTCGGTTCAGACAAGTCAAATACTCCGGAAGCACCCAAGGCCACTGCCGATGGTGGTTTCATTGCGCCCGACCGCACAAAGCGCGCCCACTGCTGGGAGGCTCGCGACGGCTACTTTGCCTGCCTCGACAAGAACAACATCATCGACAGTGTGAGAGAGGGCGAGAAGGCCGACAAGCTTTGTGCACAAGAGGCCGTCAAGTTTGATCAGAACTGTGCCTCAAGTTGGGTGCGTCTCCGCTCCAATTGCCCGCCGTTCGCCGCAGTTCACTGACTCCAAGTACAGGTCCAGTACTTCAAGAAGAGAAGAGTAATGGAATATCAGAGAGACCAGACACTCAAGAGACTGCAAGGCGAGGGCGCCAGCGACATTGCTGTCCAGCAGAAGTAATCAATCGTCAACATCATACACGCCACTCGAAGAAGTCGCATAATCGCCCCTAGAGCTCATGCCTAAGCCCTGACCCGCCACTCCACTCAGCACTGCAGTCGACCTAGTGCTTTTACTTGATCATGTTCGATCTCTAAGAAAAGTCAGGATGACTGGGAACATGTTGAAGACTCGGAATGAAGGAGCGTGGAAAGGACAAGTCCGGTCTGAAACTGTACCATATGTAATAATACTGTACCAATATCACGCTGAATGAACGAACCCCACGGACCAATCAACCTGTATTCATTTCTGTGTAAGAGTGGTGTTCCGTTGCTCTCATCTTCAATAAAGTGAACACCTTGATACACTGCCAAGACTTGCACTCCACCCCACAGTCGCGTCTCTTGAAATCTCGCCGCCAAACCATCACGGTGACTCTTTATTTTCATTCTCACAATTGTTTTCGGATTCTCCGCTATCATCAGATCAAAGCCACAGACTGGACTCCTCAACCTTTGATGGACTGCACACGCAAAAGGAAACTAGGTTCTGATAAATCTGCCGGAAGCTGAAAGAACCTTTCATCATGGACGACCAACACGATCTTTCCTACCCGGACCCTGCTTCTGGTTATCATGTAACACCTTATCCTGAGGTTTCTCACCAGACAGACCCTTACAGCTATGCCTACGGTAATCCGGCAGAGGATTACTATCCTCCCATGCCACAGCCTCTCATGCATGATGGCTTTATACCCCGCGGACCACAACCCTTGATGCATGAAGGCTTTATGCCCCGACAAGACATGGACCCGGAATCCGATGTCGATGAAGATCCAAGCAATGGTTATGGTGCTCTCCAGGCGCAATACGGTCTCAACTTCGTCCTCAACCCGCAAAGCTCCCATGTCGACTTTCACAACAACAACCAATTCGATGATGGCGACGATATTATCTATGAAGACGAATTCGAAGGAGAGGATCCTGCAGTCCATCGCAGTCGTCTTAACAGTGTCGAGCGCGAACTCTTGGACGCTAGAGACAATCCCCGAATCGACCCCGACTTTGCCATGTCTGACGGAAATGGAGACAGCTCAGACGACATGTCCATCAACTCCGACCTTCTGAAAGATATCCTTGATGAAGAAATCGCGGCAGGCTCTGCGCGTGGCCGTGGAAGAGGTCGTGGTCGTGCGCGTGGTGCAGGCACAGGACGTCGACGTGGCTGGAAATGGGCTATCAAAGGAACAGAGCACGATCCCAAGATGGCTCGTGGCAGAGGTCGGGGCCGTGGTCGAGGCAGAGGGAATGTTGTTCCACGTGGAGAAGGTCGACGCAAGAATGGCGACAAAAGAAACACTGTCGCAGAGCCTGATCCAGAGTTCAAGCGATTGCAATCGATGGCCACCCAGGCTTTCCTCAACAACAACTTTCAAGTCGCTGCAGACTACGCTCGCGATGCTGTTAAGGCCAATCCTGAAATTTTCGCCGCTCACAGTCTGCTATCCGAGATTCTTCTGGCACAAGGCAAAGACCAAGATTCGCTTACTGTGCTTTTGCACGGTGCTCACACAAGACGAGACCCGGGTCTTTGGTGGACCGTTGCTGAGCGTACGCTGGAGCTGGCCGGCGAGAGTCGTACACCTTCTGTGCTGGAGCAAGCCATCTACTGCTTCGCATGGGCGATCAAGCTCGACCCCGATGACTATGATGCCCGTCGCGAAAAGCTCAACCTGCTTCTGGAGTCCGACCAACCTGCGAGAGCGAGAGGAGAGGCAAAGATGATGGTCCGCCAGAAACCCCACGACCTCAACATTGTCAAACAATACGCCGACTTGTGCGCCTACTCCGCCAGTCTGCCGGAAATCAGACGAGCAAAGGATGCCTACGATGTTGCAATCAACTTCTACTTCAAGGGCAGATCGCTCGGTGTACCAGAGACACAATGGTCCCATCTCAACGTCTACCTCGATCTGGTGGAGAAGTGTGAGAACCCTGCACAAGCGGCCTTTCATCTCAAGAAGCTTTCACGATGGTTGCTTGGCAGAAAGGAAGACACCTTCTGGGATAGCGTGACAGGAGATGACAGAGAGTTTGACAACGATGATGTACCTCGCAGAATCCAAATCCAGGAGTTCAAGTACAGTCGCTTCGCTGGACAAAAGCAGATGTACGGCGAAGGTCTTCCTCTTGAGCTGCGAGTCAAGCTTGGTCTCTTCCGCGTCAAGATCAGTAGGGCAGATCTTCCAGAGGCAATGCGCCACTTTCAATACCTACTGGACCTCAAAGACACCGTCTCAGAATACTACGATCTGTTCAGAGATGTTGCTGAGGGCTTGATCGAGCAGACCTACTATGCAGAGGCCATACTCTTCTATGAGCCTATCAGATCAGTTCCTGAGGCTTGCGATCATGACTACTACATGAAACTCGCAGACTGTTACATGATGTTTAGTCGCAACGCAGACGCCGAATCATGCTGGAAGTTTATCGTCGACAACGATCCGGAAGATATCAAATCCCGTATTGCATTGGCGAAACTTTATGAAGCAGAGCAGAGAATGGCAGAAGCTGTGCCGCTGGTTCACGAGGTCATCAGACTTGGCCGTAGTGATGCAGTCAAGAAGGCGAAGATCACAGTGGATAAGCCACCTCCACCACGAGCTCTTGCTCCTCTCATGCCTCGACCTGATCAACCCGCGCCTGTTGGAAGAGTAGCAGGCCCAGTTTCCAGACACTACTCCCTCGGTCCCATGCCTGAAGACGGCGAAGACGGCGACTACCAAGACGAAGGCCAAGAAGAAGATGACGATGATGAGATCTCAGATGAAGAAGAAGATTCCATCGCCGCCTTCCGCCCAGGAAAACGCGGCCGTCCTGCCAAAAAGAAGCGCGACGCACCCAAACCCAGAGTTTCTCAAACCTACGAACGACTTCAACAACAAGATCAGCGTATCAAGGCCAACCATGTCCTTGTCAATTCGGCCAGAGAAACTCTCGATGAAGATGAAGACTCTCTCCAGACTTACTTTGAAGCCGCACAGGAAATGATGGATGACTTCAAAACCGTCCGCGCCTTCTACCCGGGTCGTGATAAACATATCAAGTTCACCGGATATGGACGGAATGCCAAATCCTCACTCATTGCAGAAATGGAAGCGATGAAAAAACGCATCACCAACGACAATGACATGGACATCGACGACGAGGTTCCTGATGAAAGCATACCTGACAACTTCCACGATATCAAGTTTACAGAGTGGCTAGACATATTCTGCGAATACGCTTTGCTCATTGCTAAATCCACCGCCGATCGCGAAAAATGCTACGAGATCCTCACCTCTGCGTGGAGTTGTACTGTCTTCTACCATAACCTGCAACACAAGACACAAATCCACGCGACTTGGATGGCTTGCGCTCTTCTCCTCAACGACGAGCAAAAAGTCTGCGAGGTGGGCCGCTTCTTCATCACAGAATGGCCTCACAGCGGAGCTGCATATCAATTATTTGCCGGTGTCAATAGACTTTTCGCAGGCTATAGTAACTGGTTCAACTCTGGTCCCACCCAAAAATTCATCCTGCGTCAAGTAAAAGCACTGGATTACGCACTGCTCGACCCAGAATCCAGAGCCATCTACGCCTTCACCGGTCAAGAAAGAAGCTCATACACACAAGCCGGCAAACGCGACGCCAACCCCCACGACCTCCCCGACCTCGACGCCGGCGTCCTCTCCCTCTACGGCCACATAATGGCAGCAGCGCAATCCTGGACATCAGCGCTAAACTACTATTTCCGCGTCCTCACCCTCGACCCCAACAATATCGTCGTCAACCTATGCATCGCAACCGCATACCTTCAAATGGGCATGAAGAGACAGTCTGAAAACAGGCATTGGCAGATTTACCAGGGCATTGCGTTTTTGCAAAGATATGTCGAGCTCAGACGTGAGAGTGGGAGCAAAATTCATCAGCAGGAAGCTATTTATAATGTTGGGCGTTCGTGGCATCTTTTGGGGATTATGCATTTGGCTGTTCCGGAGTATGAAAAGGCTCTCGCTATGGCTGAGGAAGTCAGAGCGGAAGCGAAGGAAAGAGCCAAGGAAACAGCAAGACTCAGAGAAGGAGGAAGGGTCAGAAGAGAGGAAAGTGATGATGATGAGGACGAGGAAGAGGAAGAAGAAGAGGTTGACGCAGAGGAATTTACACAAGAGGCTGCTTTTGCATTGATGCAGATTTTGGCCATGAATAATAATGAAAAGGCTGCTAGGAAGGTGGCGGAGAAGTGGTTGGTCATGTGAGAGGTCTTGACTGGTTGTTTTGCTGGTCGCTTTTCAGGCAGTTCGAGGGAAGGATAGAGGAGGTTTCGGCAAGAGCAATGGAGTTTCAAGGGTAGTTGCTTCTTTGCTGCTTTACAAGGCGTTGAGGTTGGCTTTGCAAAAGGAGCATCTCGAGGCAGTATACCTCTTTCGAACATTTGTACAATACGAACATGACTTTGCAGATTGAACAGTCCCAATATTGACTTTACTCTTACATACCACAATCGCACCTCCAGAATGATGTATCTACAAGAATCGAATATATATGTACATTCTTCAACCTTCTATCCTACCAGACATCATGACCTCGTTCCACATACATAGTTGCGTCTTCCTCAGACGGCCAGCCACCCCAATCTTCGACTCCGTCTACCATTGTTGCGATATCCTCTACCTGCTCCGGCAGAGCTACAGACACAAACTCTCCCTCTTCTTCCCCAGGTCTTGACGGCTCCCACTTGTCTTCCAAGAACACACGTAATGCGGTCAAGGCTCTTCTCATCAAGATGTCACCCCTGCGATCCATGGCGCGGCGCTCGGCAAGTTCAGCTCTATGCTCGGTCATCCAGTGGACCAATTCCTCCAGGCCATTGTAGTCTCGAAGTAGTCCCAGAGCACGAATATACGCATGCAGCAGAGCAGGGCGAGGAATGGTATACAAAGTAGGCAATTTAACCTTGCTGTTTCGCTTTTGAGATTCGGGAGATCTGGCGTCCTTTGCACCTTCGACAAGAGTCCAGAATCGTTCTTTCATCCAGTCGGGTCCTTCTTGGAATACACCGTTTGCGTGGGTGATGAGACGAGCTGTGGCTTCTGAGGCGTACTCCTGTTTATGTCCATATTCCCGAAAGACCGCATGGACTGCGCTTGCTGCATGTTCGGTCACGATGCAGAGACTCAATAGAGCATCTTCATCGAGTGTGAGATCATTTTCCCACATAGTCTCTGTAACTTGTCGTGCCAAATTGAAGGCAAAGATCTTGTCGTACAATTCATTCTCCAGCCTGAGAGATTCTTCTCCTCGTATGTGCAGAGAGCGCCAGCTTGAGGCCAGGGTTGGTGCGGTCCTACGAGCCAATGCTTTGAAGATGGAGTTCCACGCTGGACGATACGTTCGCTTCTGCTGGACCAAGAGATTTAGAGCGCGCGCCAGGGGCTGACGAAGATCGAAGTTGGTCTTAATTATGCTGCCATAACGCCATTGTAGCTTCAACTCCGTGTCAAGTGGAGTATGAGGAAAGCGGCATAGAAGTCGTACGTAGGCAGTGAACAGATGGTCAGGCAGAACGTGCAAAGCTTGATAATCTTTGGATCCATGCAGCAAAGCGCTCACAGCAATACGATAGCGCTGAGCCCCGGTCTCGAGATAAGCCAAGCCCTCTTGCAGAGACTCGGCACTTTCCAATAGCATAGTGAGCGTATCATCAGACAGAGCTTCTCCATCCTCACGCATGTGGTCATACAGCTGTTGGATCGAAGGTATCTCAGCACGAATGTAAGTCAGTTGATGGGCTGACGAGGGAGGCGAACCAATTTCCTGTGTATCACCAGGATACAAAGGACTGGCTCCGTCATCATCGATCTCATGCCCAATGTTTTCTGAGCCCATCATGTTTCTCTTGCGTTCCTGTATCAAGACTTCAAACATTGCGTGATAGATGCGATCGTTAGATGGAAGATGCTCATCCTGATAAGCCAAGAAACAAGCCCATGCTTGCTGAGTCGTGCGAGTTGTTTTGATTCGCGCAATCCAGAGGTTTGTTATAAGCTTGGCTTTTGGCAGGTCGTCTAGGAAGATTCTCTTCTGGATCGTGGGACTGCGATCGGTATCCCAGCCGGCATAGATCATGGCAACTTGCTCCCAGTCCTTCATTGGGTAACCAGCCTCCTGCATCCTGAGCAAGATCTGGTGGGCACGACTAACGCCGTACTCTAGACCGATATGAGCGTCCATGCCTGTGCGATCCTCTTTCCATGGCGGCCAAGAAGGCGACTTGAGTCTGGCCCACTCTTGCTCCTGTGGCGTCTTTTTTGCGGCTAGTTGAACGCGTGCGACAGCGCGATAGCCTAGCCTGTTGATGACAAGAGGAGGGGTATGATCAGCCATGTGTCTTAGAATGATGGCTTGAGCAGCCTCTTGAAAGCGGGAGTTCTTGAAAGGGGAGATGTGCGAAGGTCTAGCGAGCAGACGCAAAGCATTGTTGTATTGGGACGTCAACCGCGAGATGGACTCGGGGGCTGTGCCATTCTCCTGGATGTGAAGCAGGTCTTTGTCCGACAGGCATAGGTGCTGGGTCAAGTAGGTGGCCATGACGGGCATCGCATTGGGCCAGACTCGGCGACAATGATGCAAAAAGCTCTCGAAGACGCAATAGACTAGATTCGGCACACGGCCGTTCAACAAGTCTCCAGCTTCCCAAGCCGGTAGATAGTCTAGAAGGAGACGAAGAGCTTCGGGACGGATGTGAGGACGGGCGAGAAAGTCCTTGTAGACGAAGAAAGGAGGGGCATGGGCCGAAGTCAGCAGGCGTGCAGCGAACAGCGAGTCTTTGGAGGAAAGAATGTTGGTGTAGTAGTCGACACGATCCTGTTCGTAGCCTAGAGATTGTATGGCTTCCTCATCTTGCGCAGTTTGAGGGAGGGTTGTGACGTTAGAGGATTCCGACTCGGCCAGTCGTTGGAGTCTTTGATCCAGAATGGCCTTCAAGGCACCATGTTTGGGACTCAAGGAGAGATGCCATGGTCGATATTCAACTTTGTCTTGGTGTGGTTGATACCAATGGCGAGCGACATGGCGAGTTTGGGAAGAGTCGGTGACGATGTTGCGAAGGAAGGACTCCTGCTTGTCTGCAGGAAGGTAATCGCTCTTCAAATGGGTCGATTGGGAGAAGGAGCGATGGACCGAGTTGTCGATGAAGTGACGAGCGTTATTGCCAATTGGGCAGGAACGGACATGGGGACTTCTCGTAACATGTTGGGCCCGTCTAGCGAGGGACAGAACACCAACAACTGGCATTCATCAGGTCGTGCGCAAGAGCTCTGCTGTCATGGACATGTAGCTCCACGTCTCACGATGCAATTTCTGGAGAGCGACGGAAAGTTGGTGCAAACAAAGCAAATACGGAAAGCGAAAGCGGAAGCGGAAGGGCTCCGGCAGGAGCCGCTGTACGCAAGGGCCACGTCTGGGTAGAGTGAGTTGGGTTGGGTCAGGTCACGGAAGGAATGATTATCTATTGTCTATTTCATCGAGTTGCTGCGTCTATTGACCTTGTCCATTGAACCTTGGCGACAATAGGAAGCGAAGAGGAAGATTGTTGCATTTCAGCATTCTGCCAAAAGCTGGGGCAGTCGCCAATCCAAAGCACAACGCGTCTTCCCTCACTGCGACTTTTGCGACACTGACGCGGGGACGACATTAACCACCATCATGACTACCGCCAGCCTCAGCAATGGCGACGCCGTCAAAGAACAGCAACCCACATCTTTCGAATCTTCACCCACAGGCTTGAAACGAAAGCGCGCCGAGTCGGAGAAGACGAAAGAAGCACAACCATCAGCCCATTTGTTCCAGGACCTTCAAGAGCTCCTCCAGAAGTTCGTCGCGTCTATCCGACATCGTCGCTGTTCCGCCATGCTGACCGTACCGCTAGAAATGATCCTTCGCCATCGGTATTGCAGCTGCCGTTACCCAACGCGTCGCGACTCACCCAGACCGACGGCCCATCAACCAAGCGCCCAAAACTCGCCGACAATGATTCACACAATACTATCGCCGATCGCCTGCAACACAACCTCTATCTAACTCTCGATGAGTTCGAACACGATCTCGATGATGCTCTGGACTCTCTCTTCGAGCCTTTCAAGGCCAAGGACCGTCTTAAGAACGGCCAGCGCATGACCGACGAAGACGTTGCCTCGATGCAGCAGCTATCACAATTCCGCTCCCTCGTTAAAGGCTGTCTTGAACGCGAAAGAACAAAGGACAACACTTTGCCCATCAAGAAAGAGGAGGAAGACCCCATCACAAACCAATCCGCAAATACCGTCCTCAGTCTGTATGGAAATGCTCCCCAACCCAGACAGCTCTTCTCGAGTTTGCAGCAAACAGACGCTTCGATCCAAGGCCCCGGTCTTTCCATTGAAGAACTCGGCCTGCCTAACATGCTCTCTGCCACCAAGCTTGTTCCTCAATCCGCAGACGACGCTCGCGTTGAGCGCAAATCAAACCCTACCTTTGCCGACCTGTTCGCTCCTCCTGCGACTCTCCCACAACTAAACCCTCCCAGGCCGACTAAGCACTCGTCGTCCAAATCATCCACAATCTCATGGTCTCAGGGTGAACTTCCAAAAGCTTCGCGCAAAGCTGGCTACACATTACAGCCCTTGACTGTAGGATCATGGGTAGGCTACGGTGCTGTTGAGACAAAGGAGTCGGCCTCTGCGATTAAGCGTAGGCGGAGGGAAAGTCTCCTCAACGGTCAGGAGCAGCCAAAACCTGCCGAAGAAGCATCCCCTGCCGACATCATCGCTCAAGAGAATGCCTTGTTCCGTGCCGCGTACTCAAACTTTGCACCAACTCAAGACAACTCCAAAGCCCTGGTGGCTAAGGAAACGAAGGACATGGTCTGGTGGCACAGATTGGGTGAGAGACGCTTTGACGAACATTTCGTTCTGGATCCCGCTCTGCAAGAAACCCCCTTCCCTACCGACCTCGAAGAATCGGCCAAGCGAGCTGCCGAAGAAGACGCTGCTGCCATCTCTGGCGCAGACGACCTCGAAGCAATTCAACAAGCGATTGAAGAATTCGATGACGAAGCCTTCAAATCTAACAACCTCGATGTCGTATCCACTATCAACGAAGAAGAGCGCGAGGTGGGGCAAATGCTGGCCGATATTTCCGACCTTCTGAAAGCACTTTCATCACATCAACGCATTCGCAACTCGTATATTCCCACTGGCTCACGAAACCCGGCAAGCCCCAGCCCATTGCTGAGCGCCATGGTCGGCACATCAACCGCGCCTTCAAAGGAAGAGAACGAAACGTACAGAGCTCTACGATCACAGCTAGCTCAACTGATTTCTCAGCTTCCGCCATATGCCGTCGCCAAGTTGGATGGCGAGAAGTTCGCAGAATTGGCTGTCAAAAGAAACATAGTTATTCAGGGCAAGGAGTATCGTGGAACCATGGAAGAGGATGCACTATCTCGTATGATTCGCAACACGCATACTCAGGCTCTTGCGAGTGCGAATGCGGGCGCTCAGAAGACAGACTCGACTCCGCAATATGGACGCACACCGTCTGTATCGAACCGTTCCCACGCCTCGAACTACTACAACAATGCCACAAGGACGCCAATCGCAAACTTCCGTGGTGGTGCCGCACAATCCTACAACAATGCCCCGGCCACTGCTCCTCGACCTAGCTACCCGAACACTTACAACACCACCGCTGCTGGTCGCTCTTCCTTCAGTCAGACACAATACTACCCTGGGGGGCAGCGACCTACATATGCCTCGCAATACAGCGCTCAGACTCCTCAGCCTAGTAATCCTGCACGTCCGGGCTTCAGTGTTCCTCAAACTGCCTTTGCGCCACGCACTACTGCATCAACCTTCGCTAACGGCACTCCTGCTGCTGGTTCCTACACACCACAAACCTACGGGCAAGGAAGATCCAATTACGGGTCTACTAATACACCTGTGCCGGCTCAACAACAAACATACCAGTCACGTCCGCAGAACTATGTCTCACAGCCACAGCCTTCGTCTGGCCGCGCAACACCTACCTTTGCTCAGCCCCAAAATCCAAACACGCCATCAGCAGTAGGGCCTTCAGGGTTTCACAGCACACTCACTGCCGAGCAGCAGAGTCTGATGATGGAAAGGCAACGTGCAGCTCTGGCCATGCAGCCGCAAGCTAGGATGGCGGCACAGACAGCTCCCATGGGAGGCAGTCCTGCAGCACCGCAAGCTCCCATGCCCAACCTCCCCAACGGGTCTGCATAGATTGTACTCGACAAAGAATGGGGCGATACCATGTTTTGACCAGCTATTGCTGCATGGTAGCTTATTGGATAGACTTATCCTGGTTGCTGCTAGCGAAGTTTATGAGAAGACGAACGGGAGGTTGCTAAGGCAGAGCAAATCGCTCTAGAAAGACGAGGAGATATATCCCTATTCGCATCAATAATTGATTTGATCATTCTTTACACTATCGGTTTTGCTATGTCTTACCTGCTGCTTGCCTCCTGCCTCTCGTTTCGTAAAGCCTGAACAGCATAATTGTGAGTTCTCGACGTGAAATGACAGTCGGTTAAGTGCACTTGAATCCTACCTTACCCCACTCCGCTGCCGATACATTGAAGCCTGGTGACCAGACCGGAATACATGGTTGTTCACGTCTTCCTCCCATAGCTCAAGCACGCGTCTCGATGATACTGAATGCTGAGGCAAAGCTTCCTATAGCAGGAGATGGAAACGCCAAAGTCCTGATCTACCATCATCAACATCTTCTACATGACATCCAGTCAACCTTCACCATAAATCATAACTCATAACCTCATATCCACATGCCCAACCACGCCTCTATCCCTCTATCCCTCAATCTTCCCCCTCCACTCACGCACTTCGGCAACAAACAGATCCGGCACCTCCCACGCAGCAAAATGCCCACCCCTCTCCATCTCCCTCCAATGCACGATATCTCTATAATATCTCTCACACCATTCCCTAGGTCCATACGCCGTATCCCCCGGAAACCAACTCACTCCCACCGGCAACTTTATCTCCCACGCCGTACTGTCGAATTCGCATTCGAAGTAGAAACGCGCGGAGGAGGTGGCGCTGTTGGAAAACCAATACAGTGATATGTTATCTAGGATTTCGTCGGTGGTGAATGGAGGGGATGATGCAGAGGAGGGCTTGTGATCGGACCAGGAGAGCAGTTTTTCGTAGATCCAGGATGCTTGGGCTATGGGGGAGGAGGCGAGACCGTAGCCGAGGGTTTGGGGGCGGGTTTTTTGTTGCGTGTAGTAGCCGTAGTGGTGGACGTCTCTGTGGGCGTCGAAGTCCATTGCGCGGTTTTCGCCTGCTTTGTTTTTGGTTGGGGTGAGGATTTCTTTCTGTAGATGGAGGTGTTTAGCATGGATGTCTTTTGGTGAGATTGGGTCTGGGTTGAGGGTAAGGGTGGAGGAGTGGTAGAAGGGGGCATACCTTTGGTTCTAGAAATATGGAGTTTAGATGTATGGCTTTTAGTCCTTTTGGTGCCATGTTGCCTAAGCAGGCTGAGATGTGGGCGCCCCAGTCGCCGCCTTGGGCTACCCAGGAGGCTTCTGTATATCCTAGTCTTGACATCAACTCCACCCAAGCTTTTGCTGTTCGTTGGATACCCCATCCTGTCTCTGTCGGCTTTCCAGAGAACGCATAGCCTGGCAATGCTGGGATGATGAGATGGAAAGCAGCCTTGGGAACCTCTGGATCAATGAGTTTATCAATCACATGTCTGAACTCCAATACAGAGCCTGGCCAACCATGTGTCAAGAGCATAGGCAAAGCATTCTCATGTTTTGACCGTATGTGTAGAAAGTATATCTCTACTCCATCGATGGTTGTCGTGAATTGGGGGTATGAGTTTAGAAGGTCTTCACATTTGCGCCAGTTGTATTCGTTTTGCCAGTACAAGCAGAGTTCTTTCATAGTTGCGAGGGGTACGCCTTGGGAGTCGTCTGAGACGGTCTCCTTGTCCGGCCAGCGGGTGAGCCGGAGACGCGTTTGTAAGTCATCGAGTTCGGATTGGGGTATTGAGAGGTGGAAAGGATAGATGGCATTAGAATCTGGCATGATGGCTATCTGTTGTGGATGGTTTGATGCGAATCTGTTTAGGTTTCCAAGAGCAACTCACCGGCTTCAAGAATAGTCGTACTACTGCTGCCTGAGGAAGGAACGCGTCTCGGAGATAGTGATACCAGATACGAATGCTCGGTCAGCAAGGTTTGTATAGCGGCCCCGCCATGTTGTTTGTCGACCGCCAAAAGCTGGGGAAGTGGGGGAAGCGGCAGTCATGACGTGGTGACGGGTTGGTGCTTTCTGCGATGCTGCACCTCAGCATGGGTTCATGTTCCTGATTATCAAGCAGAAGCTCCCCTGTCGTCGGCCGATGACAGGAGCATGGACTTTGCATTTCGTTCGCGGTAATTTGTTGACCGCGGACACATGGACCCGAAGCTGGTATGGCCACAGCATGCTTCTTCTTACCCGAGGGTTGACGAACTCTCTTCTTGCAAATGTCTCAGATGGCTGGCGGTATGGCTACATGATGGCTGGTGCCCGTTGTCCACGTCGATGCCTTGCTTAGGCTTCAGGCTGGGGTGCATGGTCGGATGCTGTGGTGTGCCGTCTTCCATTCATGTCTCCGCATGTTCCGTCTGCTTCGTATAGCGATGCGGGCAGATCTCACGGCTATCACATACTAATGCTCATGCAACGGATCAATAGAGCTTACCGGCGGGGTAGCCTCATCGCGATCCGGGCTATTGCTTTCCGGAACATGATGGAGTATAAGTAGGCTGGATATTTCCCAGAAGATGGAAGGTTAGTGGTTCTTCCTTACTATCGTTCACGATGCCTTCCTTCTCTACCCTTGTTGGCGCCCTCCTTGGTGCAGCCTCTTTGGCTGCAAGTGCCGCTGTTCCGGTTTCTCAACCCTTCGAACATGTCAAGGCCAAGAGACAGTCCACGAATGCTACCAGCAGCAGTGGTCTCGAGGTCGACTTGGGATATGAAGTTTACGAAGGCTACAGCAACCAGACTACAGGCATCAACATCTGGCGAGGGTAAGTCATCTCATACATGTTGTTGATCAAAATACTGATTGAACACTTCAGCATCCGATTTGCTGCACCACCGACTGGATCATTGCGCTGGCAAGCACCTCAAGTTCCTGCAGAGAACCGTTCGCAGACCATCCAAGCCAATGCTTTCGCGCCTCAGTGCCCCCAATCTTCTTTCAACGCTTACGGAAGAACTGGTGCGAGCATGCTCTCAGATGAGGATTGTCTGTTCCTTAACGTCTATGCTCCGGAGAATGCAACCAATCTCCCTGTACTTGTCTGGATCCACGGTGGTGGCTATGGACTTGGAAACGGCCAACAGGATATGCAAGCCATAATCAACACTAACAACAACTCTTTCATTGCTGTAGCTATCCAGTACCGTCTCGGTGCTTTCGGTTTCTTGTCTTCTGATGAAGTCGACCGCTTCGGCTCGGTCAATGCTGGAATCTTGGATCAAACTTTCGCTCTCCAGTGGGTGCAATCCTACATCTCTTCTTTCGGTGGAGACCCCCGCTCTGTAACCATCTCTGGTGAATCTGCTGGTGGTGGTGCTGTCATGCTGCAGACCATGGCTTATGGCGGTACTTTGGGCACCTCGTTGTTCAAGAACGCCATTGCGGCTTCTCCTTACCTGCCCATGCAATACGGATACAAGGATTGGGTGCCCTCGCAATCCTACTACGCCTTTGCAGGTCTTGCAAACTGCATGCCCAACACACCTTATGGATCTTCATCTCGCACCATCTTCGAATGCTTGGTCAACCAAGACACCGATACCCTACAATACGCCAGTTTCAATGTCTCCACTACAGGCACATTCGGTACTTGGGGCTTCTTGCCTGTCACAGATGGCGTCTTTATCCAAGATGTGCCTAGCCAACAACTTCTCGAGAAGAAGGTCAACGGTCAGAACCTTCTTGTCGGCAACAATGCAAACGAGGGCCCTCTCTTCGTTCCTCAAGATATCGACACCGAGGCCGATCTCGTGGCTTGGCTCGAACTTACCTTCCCTCTCTTCTCCAACGATGATATCGCCAGAATCCTTCGCTACTGTAAGTTTTGCACTCTCCCTACCAGACTTTTCTCTTCCTTGATCACATACTGATGATACTATAGACCCCAGCTCCAACGCAACAGACTCTCCTTCTGCCGTCGACTTTGCAACAACAGGCGACTCTGGCCCTACTGCTATCAACGTTTCCTCCGTAGCCACAGGCCAACAACAACGCGCCAACAACATCTACGCCGAGACCACCTTCGTCTGCCCCTCCTACTGGATGGCCGAATCCTACACCGGCGGCGACAGAACCTCTTTCCGCTACCAATACTCCGTCCCCGCCGCTCAACACGGCGCCGATGTATCAGGCTACTTCGGTCCCGCCGCCCCCACTCAAGGTCCAGCCTTCGAAGCCGCATTCATGTCCATCTGGGGCCAATTCGTCATCAACGACAACCCCTCCATCCCCACCAATGTCGCAGGAGAGGGCGGTCAAGCTGCTGTCAATTTCCCGCAATTCAATGTTTGGAATCCTCTGCAGGTTAATCTTAACCAAACTGGTGGGCAAGAGGTCAGCTCGAATATCGTGCAAGGTGTTAATGCTACGGTGTATGTGGGACCTGGGCTTAGCAATGAGTTTGAGGTTGTCAACGCTTATGATTGGGAAGGTGGAAGAGGGCAGAGATGTGATTTTTGGAGGGCGGTTGCTAAGATCGTGCCTGAGTAGAAGAGGTCATCTGACGAGAGGATGATTTGAATTAGTAATGGGAAGGATAATCCGGGACAATATCTAGTACTTAATCATGACACTCTTACTTTCTTATCTTGTTGCTCTTGTCTCTTCTTTTGTCCCGTGCGCTATGTTTTGTCATATCCAACCCCGTAGCGGTGACTGACGTAGTTTGTCGAGATGTACGATACTATCGAGCAACATCACATCGGTCGCAGAGAGATATCATCTAATAACAACTTCTTTGTGCGGGCCTTCTCATCCAAAAGGGCAAGTGTACAGTGTGCATACTTTGTATTCCGCTCAAATCTCGAAACTTTAGATTACCATCTTCTCGATTTTCTCCACCCTCTGACAAGAAATTGCTTCTAGATGGCTTTAGACGCTATGTTTAAGCAACTAAAGCCCATGGTTGACATCAGAAATCGATTATAGCCAGTGGTGGTCGAGTAATGAATGATTCGTGGTCAGAAATGGTTGTTAAGGGTATCACCCTGGCTAGACTATCACACATTCTATTGCCTTAGTGCACCCAGACTGGCAGCACGTGACCGGAATTCGGGAATTCTGCTGCGCAGTCTAGGCCAAAACCTGGGGTCTTTGCGTAGTAAACTAGACGATTCGTTAGTAGTAACATTATCTACTATCTCCTACCTACGCTATTAATAGTAGCGACTCGTTACTTTAGTAAGGAAATACTGTGCTTCTACGCTTCCATACGATACTAATTTAAGGCTAGCGACGCGTCCTTACAAATACTACTATGTCGTCGACGGTAGGGCCTACTTTACTACCCTCCTCCGTCTAATCGCCTATTTAGATTAAGCAAAGAAGGCTAGACTTAAGCCCGCGTTAGAAAGCGGACGACATTACCCGCTATATTCGTAAACAGCATAACCTTAGTCCTAGGGACTTCGTCGTACTTCGTATGACCGCTAAACTGGAAGAGCTAGGGCCTAGGGTGTTAAGCGCACGGCAGTGGAACAAACGCGTCTATATACGGCTATTAGAGTCTCTTAATATCTAAGAGTCCTTTGCCCGGGCCGGCATTCCTCTAGACGGCATTACTATTAAGCAAGCTCGTAGCGAGATGAAGGCCTTAATAGCCGATTCTCCTTTCTTTAGGAAGTAGGACTATACGATCCGGCCGGATATTCGTACCGCTATCTAATACGTCAAAAGTACACACTATACGCTATTCGACTTCTTGTCCGCCATTGTAGCACCCTTCTATAGCAAGTCCACAAAAACGAGCTAGGAAAGGCGTGTTATAATTCTAATTAGTAACCTATGTAACATAGCCGCTCGTAATACTTCGAATTACTTTATACACCTTGTAGGCAATAACATAGCGCACTATAGACTTATTAAGCGAGGCTAGGAATTTCTCTACTCGATTAGATATGCTGCCTCCTACTAGACCCTTCTCGAGGACCGTAACAAGATTGTAGCGGAGTCTAAGGCGAGCGATTAGTGTTAGTCCGAGCTTTAGTTTTACGAGTTAACTAGTTAGAAGACAATCCTCCGCCGTCTTAGANAACATCCCTAGGCGTAGATCTAGTACGACAACATTAACTATTCCGAAGGTCGGCGGCACTAGACAATGTCTACGAAACTAGAGCAGAAAGTAGCTACTATAGGGCGCGTCTATATTAACCTATTCGTTCCTAACTAAGGCTTAAAGCAGGATTAGATAGATTACTCGGCGAGGCTTACGTATAAGGATGTTCTTCATGTACTAGGGGTTAAAAACGATAGAGAATAGGAGGCATTATGTCGGTTCTAGATAACCTACGCACTTAAAGAAACATTTGGTATATCTAGATACGTAAGCTAGAAAGGCCCTATCCCTTAAGGAGCGAATTAGGACTTCCCATTTATCGAACGCCTTCTAGCAGCAAAGATAGAGTACTACGCTCTTTCCCCTCTCCATTTTAACGAGGGCACGATTAAAGGCACTAATGCAATCTATAGTGCTATATTTCGTGACTAGTTTGCTATACCCGAAGACGATGCACGATATAGCGAACGTCTATAGTTACTTTACGGCGACTAGAAGACTGTCAAATTGTCTACCTCTGTCTAATTAGATAGAGAGGATAATAAGTCCGACTTCGAGCGTTAGAAGTGGTTATAGCTAATCGTTTCTATCTTCCATTAGGCGCAGAACCGGCTTTAGGCCATTTAGAAATCATACATAGGTCCTGTTAACAATCCTGTTACCGCTAGCCTTGCCTATAACATGTAGTATCGGAAGATCAAAAAAGTGCCGTTAGAATAAGCACCTTTTTACGAACTTAAAGAGGTAGTGTTCTAGGCCTAGGAAGCTCGTATTACAGCCCTTCTATTCGTCTAGCTTAAAGAAGAAGGTGTAGATATAACTAACCTTTCTTAAGTCGAAGCCTACCTAAAGAGTCGTTAGCCTTACGATGTTGCAAGGTATATTATATTAATCTATAATACTGCATTTGCTTTATAGGCCTACGGCAACAATTATGTAGCAGTAAACCCTAACTTAGACGAACCTCCTTAGGATAAAGAATTTCTCCTACTTGTACGTTTTCTCTAGGACGTTATGCTAATTAAAAACATGCTCTATGCTTNCAAGTATAGCGACATCGGCTAGGTTAAGCGCTATTACAACCGGTCGATCGTACAGTGCCTTAGTACTAGAGGTACTAACTATGCTCGAGAAATGCTCTTTATGCTATAGCTTTCGCATAAAGGCGTAAGATTTAATCCTATTGTCCGTAAGGCAATCCTTGTAGGCGGGCTTATTAATACCCGTAGCTACGAGGACTTATAGNAGTTAATAAGATGCGCGCCGCTTATAGATAATGTAAAGAGAACAAGAGCAAGTCGGTGTCTTGTAATGTAGGAGTATTAAGTAAGGTGCAAGTATAAGGGAAGGCTAGTTATAGATCCGAGAAGTTCTACAATTAATGTTAATGTTAATGTTAATGTAATAGGGAAGGACCTAAACCATTAAAAGCTCGGGTTTTTATGACTTAGTCTTAAGTTGACTAACAGTAATAATTGCCTTATAAAAGACATGTTTACATGCAGTAAACCTTCTCGACGATTATTAATAAAGACGGTTAAGGCGGCTATAGAAGGCACATCACCCTCTGCTACATTAAACCCGGCAGAAACGATAACTAGATCCGGATCGAAGTCCTATACAATTAGCATTACAATCTTCTAGAAAGCGAGCACATAATCTACGTCCGTCATGCCTACTATTCTCTAGGGAATATTAATGTTCTTGCCTAGGCTAGGCCCTTTACTATAGTAAAGATGGTCACCCTTTAGTCTAGTAGGGTAGAATTTGCCCCCTTAGTGGACATAAAGGGAGATATATAGCACGTTAGGGTCGTTATAGAATGCCTGTTATACGCCGTTACTATAATATATATCCTAGTCGAGAATAAGGACTTTACGACATGTGTCTTTAAACTCGTTCTAGTAGGCTTTAACGGCGATAGGTACATTGTTAAATAGATAGAAGCCTATTAGTTCGTCATGTTCGGCATAGTAACCGGGAGGTCGGATTACTATAATCGCGTTCTTAACATAACTATTAAGAATACCCCGACAAGCCTCGATCGCACCTCTAGCCGATAGCCTTACGTACATTAGGGAGTTCTTAGATAGATAGATACTATCTATTTAAGAACCGCCGTTATAAAGATCTTCGTTGTCCTAAAGTTCTAGACTAATAACGAACTCCTAATGTCGCTCCGAGTGCACCGCGTAGACCTCCTATTTAGTAACGAATCTCGTCGGGATTCTTATAAGTACCGAGGGCGCTAGACTAACTATGCTTAGATCGTCGACTAAGCCCGTATTAACTAGTTCTTTATATATCGCGTAGATCCGCCGTAGGTCTTCTAGATGCACGCCCTAGTTAACTTCTAGGCGGACCTCTATATAGAACCGCATGCGGACATCGTATACGAGGCTAGTCTAAGAGGTTAAATAAGGTAGCTGCTCTAAAGCTAGCTTTGCTCTAGTCGTCATTATTTCTTAACGAAGCGAAGGTATAACCTCTAGTGTTAGTGCCGGTCTATCTCGAGATGACACCGTTTTCTAGCGTTAGGGCGCCTAGGAATGATATAAGTAGGCCTTATTGTTT